GACAGCGTCGACGACGGCGAAAGCGACGACGAAATGGACCCAGACCCAATCGACTCGGGATAAGTGGCCTGGAAAAGCGCAGCCGCCGAGTTTCGCAAGTCATTGACTTCGTTTTCGTCGTTGGCCTCGCTGTCGTCAGTAGTATAGTCGGCGACGGCAGCAGCGTTGGCCACTGAAAGCGGACCACAATATAATCCCTGTGAGCATCCCAGCTCGTCTTCATGCTCGGCTGTGGGCGACCTACGCATATCATCGTCACTGTTGGCGTCGTCATCTTCAATGCCGCTGCTGATGCCCCCGTCGCTCTCGTCGGCGTCCGAGTCGTCGGCTTCGGTGCCATCGGTGTCAAAGTCGAGATCTGTCTCCTCGTACTCCGGCAGCCGTAGAGATTCGACTGACGCGCGGCGATTGAATGTCGAATGCGACGTCAGGTCGGTGTTGCCCTTGAGACCGGTGACCGTGGCAAACAAGCCAGGGAGGAAGGACTCGAGGGCGCTGCGCGCAGCGGTGCTTACCTGAAGCAGCACCTGGGATCCGCGCGGGTGCAGCTCGGGATCGCGTATGCCTTGCGCCTCGCGTGTGCGCAGTCCGTACTGGCATGACGTCTTGGTCAGCAGCGCATACAGCAAGCGAGTGGCAGCGCATGCCTGCGAGGACAGCCGCTGCGAGGAAGAGTTCACGATCAACTGCGCGAGCCGTCGCACTGGCACCTCCGATTCAAATATGGGCTTAAACAAGAGATTAAACCCGTAAAAGGTCGAACAATCGTTGATCATGAACGCCATAAACTCGGCCACGCTCTCGGACACCTGCGGATCCGGGTCCTCGATGAGCACCAAAATCCGATCAAAGAACCCGCCACGATTGAGCTGTTGGAAGCGGTTTCGCACAAGCTGGAGGGCCTTGAGGCGTTGCACATTCGATGCCTCCTTTGACGCGCTGTCGTCAGTACCCTTGGTGTTCAGTGCGCTGGCGACAGATGCAAGCCCTATGCGGTTAAGCTCGTCCGAGACAACAATCGCGTCGTTGGGCGACAGATTGAGGCTTGTCATCAAGCGGCCAGTCCACACCCCAAACTCGGCCTTTGAGAACAGCCGCTGAACGCAAGGCTCGGAAAGGTAGGGTAAGATGTCGCATATCGGCGCGCGGCCCAGGGCCACCGACTCTGACTGCGACCACCACCGCGACGGTGGGTTCTGCTGGTACAAAAGCAGGCGCGTAGTCTTCAGCGGCGACAGCGCAAAACAGTGCTCCAGGAGCAGGCAGGCATGGTGAAACGAGCCGAGCGAGTCCTTGTGGAACACGGCCATCACGCATGGCACAATGACACCTAGCTTGGCCTCAACTACGCGGCGCGCACATTGGTCGCGACTGCTGAGCATATGGAAGGCGTTGTACCCGCGCCTCAGGTTGGTCTCACTCAGCTCTGCCGACCGGTTGCGCTGCCGTTGCAGCCGCGCGCGATGCTGGCTGCGAAGCTCAAACTCTTGGAGCACACCCAAAGGCATTTCCTTGTTGCCAGTATTCTTTTGCGGGTTGTCAATGCCATTGTTGTCCGCCTGATAATACGACGGCGTGCTCGGCACAGACTGCGACGATTGCGAAGCGGTGGGTGATGTGGGTGACGTGGGCGAGTACACAGAACCCTGGCAATGCGTGATAAAGCCGATGAGCGAGGCAATGACCCCATCGATGAGCAAGAACTCGACCATCTTCTGCTGAATGACCGGTCTGTCAATGTCCAGCACGCGGCGAAGCAGCGACATCGCAGTCTGCTTGGTCACGCCAGGCGCAACGAATTCGACAGAGTCCAGGGGCTGCGATGCTGAGCGGCCAGTGTCCTCCTTCATCTCAGTAGCGCCATCCTCTTTCGGGGACTTGCTGGGTGACGCAACCGTCGGCTTTACCGCCGCACCATCACCACCGACCACCGACTTCTCAAACGCACATGTTAGCGACGCAAGCGGAGTTTCTTTGACAGCGTCGGGCGCGCTCTTTGCCGATACATTGGGCTTAGGCGTGGGTGACGCTGCAGACAATTTTGGTTCAATGTTTTTGGAGCTCAAAAGGGGTGGCAGCGCTCTGAGAGGCACGTTATGTATCTGTGTCGGTGCTGGAATTGGTGTTGCTGCCAATTCGGGTGCCGCGCTGTTGGCGATACTCGATGAATTGCTGGTTTGCGCAGTTACATCATCGACACCGTTGTCGTCGCTGCTGTTGTCGGACTCGCTGTCGCTGCTGAGCTCGTTACTGCTGGAAACACGTATTGAGCTGTTGCTGGTGCTGTTCAGCTTTTGAGTGGCTGAAAACCGCTCCTTTAGGGAGTCGGCGAAGCTGGCATGGATAGTGTTGGAGGCCTCGCCCAGCCCGACCCAACCGAGCGGCTTGCGTGGCGGTGATCCAAGCAAAGTCATTGCGCGAGAGACGGTGGAGCTCTTCCAGGGTGAAGTCTGTGAGGTTCTGTCACCTCCACTGCCAGCGCCGCTGCCGGCTTTGGAATCTGCCGCGGGCGAGATCTGCGTGTCCTCCATGGCCTCTATAAGCTGAATCTCAGTTTCGTCCAGAACGTCGCTGATATCCTCATCCGAGTCCGACGAGCTGCTTGCGCTGTTGCCACCACTGCTGTCATCGTTGGAGTTCGACGGTGACTGAACGGTAGCGACAGCTGCCTTTATCGTGTTTTTCACCCTGTCGATTAAATTTATGCTGTGTGATGGCAGGCCAGGTTCTGCTGAGACTGCAGGCGTGGCTATTGATGTGACTGCTTTAGTCACTGTGGCTGGTTTGTCCATCTGCAGTATCGTTGGCTCGAATGCCAATTGTGTGGGCTCTGCCGATTGTGGCCCCCATCTGTCGACCTTGACAAAGCCATCTTGGTCGTCAGAATCAGAATCGGAGCCGGAGACTTGTCCAACAGAACTATTGTTTGCGGAGTTGCTTTGTTTGGCGGGCGACATTGGCTGCTGCTCCTTTTCGCTGTGGTTGTAGGAATAATTTGTTCGAGCTTCTGATTCTGCTGCAGTTTCTGCGCTCGTGTCTATATGTGCGCCCCGGTATGTTACAAAAAAACAAAACGATTAGCAAGAAAGCAGACAAAAACAGAGTGACAAGAGTGACAATCCAATGCTGCGAGCGAAGAGAAATCCAAAATAAACAAAAAATGGCGAGCACAACAACCTGAAAGGAGGACAGGTTAAAGCCTGGAGGCCGTGTTTAGGCTTTGTCAATGTTGCGATGTTGTGATGTTGTGGTATTTGCAGATAATAATAGTGTAAGAGTGCCGATACCGACAATAGTTTGACAAAAACATTGAGCGATACTAATATATCGCTACAGTATAATTATTCGTTGGAAAACGTACCTGGCCCATGCTCAGTGGCTTTAAGCTGCTACCGCTACCAATACTCTTCCTGGGGTGCGCCGGATGTGTGGAAATCGCACGCCTAAAATATGAAAGAAAAATAAAAAGCACAGCAAAATTGATGACCGACAAGAGCAATAGCCGAAAATTTTACAATTAGCAAAAGAGACTATACTGTCAGGGGAAGCAAGCAATGAGCACAATATCGTTTTGTCGGGTTGCAATCCAAGCTGACGGGATGCTACCTCTTGTTACTGGTCTGGGCTTGCTGCTCTTTGTGCGAAGACGGCTGGGATGCTTTGGCTGCGTGTGAAATAATGTTTGTCGCGGTGTCTGGAGCCGACAAGTGACCCTCGCAAATACTACTCTGCTGCTGCTGCTACGGCTGCTGTCGTTGCGGGTGTAAGCTGAATTCGACATGCTATCCATGGTGTTGCCGTTGTAGACGAACTGTGTGATTTGGCGCTTCAAACCTGGCCAACCTAGATAGTCGCTGCGTGTTTGAGTGCGTGTTTGAGTGAATGTTGTGTATAAAATAGGGGGTGAATGAATAAGAGTGTAAAAAGTTTATAGAAGTGTTTGGAAAACCAAAATGTGTTTCTCGCGCAGCAACTTTTCTTTGTGCAAAAAAAGAGAAAAGCGTGGGTGTGTGCGTGCGCGTGTCTGGGATATTTCTGAAGGGAGCGCTGGGTGTTTATAAGTGGAAGCTAAGAAGCCAAAATTGCGAGCTCTTAGTCTCTAATATAAAGAAATGGAAGGAAAAGAAAAAAAAAAGCTGAATAATACTTGTGTATATGTTTTGTTGGAGTGTGTTGGAGAAAGCGAGAATAGAAAATAAAAATAAAAATAAAAGACAAAAAGGGCAAAAATGTTGAATTGACGGCAAAGAAAATGAAGATGAAACCGCTGAATACATCAAAACTGTTCAACAATTGGACTGGCTCTCAACAGTTAAAATGCTAAAAAAATGAGGGGGTGAAGGTCTGTGCCAGAATTTTTAGGCTGTCGAAAAATATGAGTGGATGAGCTTTTTTTGGGGATAAGGGAGAGGGGGATCCCGGGCATGCCATTAAAAAAAGAAGGCACGGCGCCACACTTTGCGAGCAGGAATAGAAAATACTTTCAAAATTTTGGTCAGCAGCCAAGCAAGATTTTGAAAGACATGACCGCGGCCAGTTCGATTGTGCTCGCGCTTAAAATATAACAATACAGGTTGGACACATCGTCATTATGCGCACTTGTCTCCTCATGATAACTACTGCTTGTGCCATATTGACACTTCATCATTTGTTTTTTACGATTTCAGTTTTTAATTTTTTTGCCTTTGCATCTTCGTGCGACAAAATTGCAGAGAGGATTGCGCGCGACGTTCAATCTGATGATGCACAAGATCGGACAAAAAATTCATTTTCACAAGCTGGAAGCGCAGACGATGACACTGCACTCGGGTGAAACAGGCGCTATTGCCACAAAGCAAAAAAATAAGTCCTAATTTGTAGGTCGATCAATCACACCACACAGTACATGTGTGTGGCCTGGATACTCGCCCAATTTTTCACCACTAATTTTTCAAAAGAAAAATTGAGCAACGTATGCAATATGCAAGCTGCGTTCAAGAGGCATTTTAATCAAATCAGACCCAACCAGTGGGTCATCTGTTTGGCCCGGTGCCACAGCCGACGAGCTGGCCTTTTCCAGCGCAGCAGTGAGGAACTTCCCAGCGCGTCCAGTCGAACGAGAGCCCGACACTCGTGGCCATCACACTTTATCTCGATGCCAGCGATGCTCGTCGCTTCAAGCTTCATGCCAGGGATGCGCAGCTGGACTTCGACTTCCGATGATGACGCAAACGCCCTGCCCAAGACCACAGTGATAGGGAACCCCAGCAGCTGCGCGTCATTTAGCCGGAAGCCCGCACTCAGGTAGTCACGGTCATCGACGGCAATGTTGTCCTTGAACACGCTCTGGCCCTTGACCGTAACGTCGCTGAGCAACTGGTACACCTGAGGCACGTGGTCCTGACCTGTGAGCGACACAATGGCCGCCAAAAAGGGCGCGATGTTCATCGGCCACATGAGCCCGCCATTTGCACCACTGCTGCTGCATTCGGCAGCGCCTGCAGAATGCGCGAAACGCCGATGCCGAAGCACCCATTTCGACGTGAGAGCGCTCGCCCTGGTGGAGTACATTGAGATCCATTGCACGCGAGTACTTGTCGCCCAGATAAAAAATGTGGCCAACTTCGATTGCGCGCTGAGCGGAAAGGGTTCCACCAACACACTCGGCGCAGCTGTCCCCAGCCTGTGCCACGTGCCAGTCACCCGTCACCACCTCGCTTTCGCTGCCACTGCCGCTGCCGAGCGCCGAGGCAAGCTCATGTGGGAGCGTGCATCGCAGGCACTGTCGACCAGCGGTGCAAGCTGGCCCGTGGCGGCATCGGTGCACCCGGTGCTGCTGTTTGCCAAAAGTCGAGTAAACTCAATGCGCTGGCTGCTCTGAGTCGGCCACGCTTGCTTAATCTTGAGCGCGCTGGGCTCATGGTCAGCCGGCACCACAACCAGCCGCTGCCCGAGCCTGGTCTTTTCGCCCTCAACCATAGTCGCCAAGAATGCGCTGTGCCCAGTGCACCTGCTGCGAGCGCGCTCCTCGTTTGCCATATACCCGCAGCTCTGACAAGCAAGCAGCGTGTCCTCGCCCGACGGGTTCACAAAGTGAAACTCCTTTGATAGCGACCCGCCGATATTACCCGAATCAGCGTCGGCTACGACGTACGGAACGCCAATGCGGCCAAAGCATCGGCGGTACGCCCGTTCCACTGTATAGAAGGTCTCGATAGCCTGTTCCCGCGTGGCGTCAAACGAGTACATGTCCTTCATGATAAACTCGCGCCCACGCAGCAGGCCGGCACGAGGGCGGGCCTCGTCGCGAAACTTGCGCGTGGTCTGGTAGAGTCTCAGCGGGTACTGGCGGAAGCTGCGCACCATCTCCTTGACTATCGCAGTCACCTCTTCCTCGTGCGTCGGGCCCAGGATTAAAGTCGACTGCTTGCGGTCCTTGAACGAAAACAACTCATCGCCTGTAGACTCCCACCGGCCCGTCTTGATCCAGTTTTCAGGAGAAAGCAAGTTGGGCATGGCCAGTTTTTGGCCGCCGATGGCCTGCATCTCGTCATCGATGATGCCTTCGATCTTGTCGATGACTCGCTGTGCCATCGGCATTAAAGTGTAGATACCTGCCGAGGACTGGTGGATGTATCCTGCCTTAGTCAGCAGTCTGTTGTTGTCGCTTGGGGATATCGGCGCTGCCACTCTTTTTGGTCGGCTTTTTGGTTGGCAAAAGCATCCAGCTCATCTTGCTGTTCTGGGGAACCGCAAGCATGCTGTTCAGTCTGCATGCCGCTGTATAGGAGCCGATGCCTTGTCGCCGAGTGCAAATGCTGCGCAGCATCCTGATACTCATGGTTTGAATGCTATGATAGTCGGGGAGAGACGAAACGTATTTTAAAAATAAAACAATGGGTGTCTGTGAGCGGAAAATGGAGATAACAGGCAAGTACGGCCCGACGGGTCACAGCTGTGCGCAGTCCGGAAAACGGTCTCAACAGTGTACTAACAATATTCATTGATAATGGGATTTTGGGATTCCACAAATAATTACGATTCCAAAATCGGCGGAATCAAAGACAGCAGAATCATCAGTTTGTTGCAAACTGCGGTTGTCGCGAGTGCCAAAATAACTGTGACCGCAGACACATAAAAGAAATGTTGGCCGGTACAAACTCGCTCGCAACATATGTAAACAATTCAATTATTATATTTTGCCTATAAATTTATCAAAGTTTAAATATAGGATTGTTATAGTAAGAGGGGGGTGTGAGGAGCACTAGTTGTCTAGTGTTAAAAGTTAGAGGTGGTTTTATAAAAGGTTTTATTACTGATGTTTCTAAAGCACTACTAGGGCCGGCCTCATCTTATATATGTGCTCTGTCGCCTTTGTTGTGCACATTGTCAATTGTGCGCTCCGTTGGTGAGAACTGGATCTTCTGCGAGCAGACCGGTATCTTGGCAAGTCAATGTTGTGGCTTTCGTGCGTGTACGCTCATGCGTGTGCATTGCAAAATGAGGAGCATGTTTGGGCATCAATGTAATGCCTCCCTAATTTACGCCTGCATTATCCAATTAGCGTCCTATCAATCGGCACACGGGTGGAAACCTGTTTCGCGATTCTCGACCTCAACATCCACTTCCATATCTTCAGTCTGTGCAACAGGATAAAGTTTAGATTATATTATATTATTATATGTTTAATAAATAACCATACACCCCCAAATGCTAGAACAAAAAATGCAAGCCTTATTGCACGCATTTGTGAATAAAATAATGGCTTAGCTAGAAAATGTGCATACATGCTCAATTATGTTGAACAGCTGGTTTCCGCGCGATGGAAAGCATGCTAATTGCAACCCTATTAAACCGAAGCGCACATAAAGTATTTTGCCTGTGTACACACCCATTATTTATTGTTCTACATTTTCTGCACTATTCTTAGTACAAAAAAATTGGGCCTGTTTACCAGCTTACAATTGCATGTGAATGTGCTCCTTGTATAGTGGCACGTATTTAATTGAAATAAAGGTTGAACAAATAATAAGGGTGCTGAAAATTTAATGAATCTACAATATTGAACGGTCGCATGAATGCAAGTCAGTCTCCAGGCTTACCCGTTGATTTCGCAGTCATAAGAAAAGGAATATTCTCTCATTTTTAATTAAATTTGAAGAGCTACAACACAGTTTTGTGAAAGCCAACAATTATTTTGTTTCAATGTGATTTGCCACTGATACACGTTGACTTTCAACAACAAGTGTGCTTGACAATTTTTAAATATTTTATTTACATGTACAAAATTATATTAAAATATTACAATGCTTTTTTTGGCGCTGCATAATATGAACAATACAATTCTGCAAAATACTTGAATTAAGCCGGGTACTTATGGCTTTACATCAGGTGACTTTTATCCAATAAAACGAGCCGGAAAATTTTTCCCGAAAGATATCGCTCATCCCACATACCCCCCGCGCACTCACTTTGCTGGCCAGTGACATAATTGGCTGTCATCGTCACTTTTATGTGGGGAGGATAGACGCAGAAAAAAATTTCGAGAAAAAAATTTCTAACTGAAACAAGAACGTACCGTAGTAGGAAAATTTTTGTGCTTTATCCTGTCGATTGTAGCACTTTCTTTTTTTTTTTGCTTTTTATGTAGTGCGGTGTCGTCATCTTTTTTATTTGATTTTTCGATACTTTATTTATTTTGCATAATAATTTATCAAGTTGTTTCTTTAGGCAGTATACTCGCGCACACGAACACACGCTTATAACAAATAACGTGCAGCACACATAATGTCGGAATTGCCGTCGACGTCAATGTCAATGTCAGCATCAGCAATGGCGACAAGCCCAACAACAGACTCCATGCCGACATCAGCAGTATTGCAGGGGTACTCAGGACAACTGAGCACATCAACCATTGACCCACACCTGATATCCCCATTTCCAGAGCTTCCAACCGAACAAGACCACAGCCTAATGAGCGCCACATCAGCCGTCACGTCCGCCCTAACAGCAGCGACGGCAGCGGCAATATCCAGTGCACTGGCCAGTGCGCAATTAGGCAACCAAACCATGAATGCAAGCGTACTTGCGGGAGACCAGCATCATGGCGTGTTGGATTCACTACAGCGCAAGGCACACGAGCAGGTTATGGAGATCATGACATCGTACCAGCAAACGCATGCGCATCGGCGGCGCAGCAGTGTCGAGGCTGCGGCAGCCGCCAGCTCCGTGCTGGCTTCCATTGCCAGCAGCACGAAGCCGTACCCAGGCGATTCAGGCAGTCCGCAGCACAGCGCCGCGGCGGCCGCATTGTTGGCCGCCTCTGGAATGCATGGTGTCGTTCTGCCGACCATCCCCTCCGAGTCTGTGTCGCTTAGAGGGACGCCGGGTCCGATGGAGGTCTTTGATTCGCAGCTGAGCTCCATGCAGAACCTCCAGGTTCGGCCACCGCCGCTCAATATCCCGACAAGAGATGACGACGATGACGACGATTCGCTGTCGGACGGCTCTGGTCGTGGCACAAGCAATGGCATGCCTATGACCCCTGATGCACCGGGATCGGGGCGGCCAGGATCCCTGCGGCACCTGACGCCCGACGAGCGGCGCGCACGGCGGCTGCAGCGAAACCGGCTGGCCGCCAAGGAGTGCCGGCAGAAGAAGAAGGCGTATATCAATAACCTCGAAGCCCAAGTCAGTGATCTTCAGGCGGAGAACACGCAATTGCGCAAGGAGCTCGAGGAGGCTAATGCGAAACTCACTCTGGGTGCTATGCACGCTGCGAGCAGCGTGACGACGCCCACACTGGACACCAAGAACATTGACGGTCTGACATCCGAGGACTCACTGGCAGTGGCATCCAAACGGCCCCGCATCGACGCCACCGATGCAGCAATGAACATTAGCAGCAGTGGCGGCGGCAGCAGCTAGACCATATCCTTTGGGTTCTCTCTTTCCATCACTCCTCTCGCTCTCCTTCTCGCTCTCCCTCTCGCTCACCATTTCTTGAGCAGAGCAAAACAAAAGGAATGTTACATTTTTTGTGTTGTCTATTTTTTATTTATATTTTTATACCAAGTTTTCTGTGAATATGTCAAAAAATAAAAAAGTTTGCGCTTTATTCTCCCCGACTTGTCCGAACGGGCTCCATCCTTCCACCAACAAACTGCTTCTCCTTCAATCCCGGCGGCGGCAGTGGTGATGTAGCTGTATTTACAGCCACATCCGGGTCTTCGTTGTCAAGTCGGCTCTCGCGGCTGACTGCCGGGCACCCAAGGATGCTTGTGCCTGTCACTGTACCGATCGCTGAAACCACGCCTGCAAAGAATAGCATGTTTGTGAGTCTGTGTCTCTGCGCACCCGTCAATGTGCGAAACCGCATTACCATTTTGTGTGTAAGAGTGTGTGTATGTGTGTTGTGATTCGATTGTCTGTGGCGAACAAATAAAAAAACGTGTGCGTGCAAAAGCGAGACGAGTATATGTACAGGGGCTAAATGAGAAAAAAGAAAAAGTTCATGTGAAATGAATCCCAGCGCAAAATTAAAGAAAAGAATAATTTTAAGCAAACGAAATTGGCAAAATCAAATCTTGAAAACATTTTATATTTTTGTATACTTAAATTTTTCAAAGAATGTCAAAATTGACTTTACAGGGTATTATCTTGATCGAGCCGAGCTCTGTTATTTTTATCTAAAGATGTACGATGATTAATCGAACCGAGCCACAAACGATAAACCCGAAAAAAGTAGTAAACTCAGCACATCGGACTACGCGACACAACAGCAACGCGAGCCTCATGGCACCCTCGCAACGCGTTCTCGACAAGCTTGCGCGTAGCCCTGCGGCCTTCAACGCTATCACCGAACCCCGATTTCAATGACTGCAGATCCTCATCCTCATCAACGTCATCTACGCTACTACAGACGTCATCCTCAACCTCAATCACCGGCGAAACTGGCATTTTAGATGACCCGTTGCTGCATATGCGGGATCTTGGCGGCGGCGGCGGCGCAAGCCTGATGCTGTTGCGTTTATACTTGGACACGCTCTTTTTTACAGACAGCTGCCGCCTCATCCCGGTCTGCTCCGCTGGCCGTTGCTTTTCGCTCACCATGGCAGCAGAAGAGGCAGAAATGCCAGTGCGCGGTGGCGGCGTCGGAGCTCTCGAGGGCGTGGATGGTTTTGGCGATGGAGCAACTTGCGTGAAGTTACGCGGTGGCGGTGGCGGTGGCGGCGGCCTTCTTTGATGGACACGAGCATGGTGGTTGACAGCCGAGGGTTCGGGCGGCGCTGGGTGCAGGTTCTTAGGGGCATATACTGGGGGAGGCGGTGGCGGCGGTGCGCGTCGCCGGCTATGCGCCGGGGGGATAGTCGCATTAGATCTTGACTGGCTTGAAACGGTTCTGGATCTCTGCGGCGGTGGCGGGGCCGGGCGCCGGGACGCTTTGGGAGCAGCTCCGGGCGCCGGTGGGTCATCGACCGGCCGCTGAAAGAACGTATCCTCGCTCATCGACGACGACAAGGACGAGACCGGCGATGCCACACGACTGCTGCGCCTCACATCCAAGGGCGCAATAACATCTGATGTCATCGAGTTGTGCCTAGTGACTGATGAACTGGTACTCCCTCGCCGCAAGCCCACCGCCAAACCAGCCGGCTCTTGTGAGCACACGAGGGACTGCCTGAGCATATTGACCATGCACAGCTCAATGTCGGATAGCCTATGGCGGGCAGCCAAATAAACGGGATTGCGCAGCAGTGCGTTGACGACGAGTATGTACGCCTGTCGCAGCCTCTGCACGCCCTCCGAGAGATTGCTCAGGTCGCGAAGGATGATGTCGACCAGCACATGCATGTCGTTCGTGTACAGAATGCCTGCCGTGCTGGGATCGACTAGGATGCAGTTGAGCATGTGCAGGATCAGCACCTGCGTTGCCGGGTCTGTTTCGCGGTTCAGCAGAAACACAAGGTTCTCGGTGAACGTCTTGCAACAGTCTATGCGGTTCGCCAAGATGGCCACCACCGGAGTGGATGCCAGGAACAGACGCATTGCAGATTGTCTTGGACTGCTGCTACTACTCTTGCACCTACTCCTAAGTACGCCCACTGTGCTGGGCTTGCCGTTCATCTCGCTGGCCTGTAATCCGCCGCTGTAGAACTCGTGCGACTTGTCCTTGATCTGTGCCCGAAAGTCCATCGATCGGCTGCGTGAAAGCAAGTGCGAATCCAGTGGCAGCGTGCGCAGTGCCGGGTTGCGAAGGGGAGCAGCGGTGAGCAAGGCCAATGCGTGGGCGGTTTCCGCCACACCGGCGTATTCGCCATCGTCGCCAAACTCCCGCTCATGCTCGTGTCCCAGTGACGGCGATGTCAGGATTTCTGACATCGGGCGAATATGCAGTTGCTGGCGAGGTGGCCGTTCCTCGGGCACCGCCAAAATGCTAGCGTCCAGAGGTGCCATCGGCTGGTCCAGTGCCCTGGCAGAGGCTAGTTTATCCACCAGCACGCGGTGCTGCAGTGCCGCGCCCTGCGAATCCCTGCATCCGTTGGACATGCCGACTGGCGATGACGGTATGGATGCATATCCGCTTTGGCGCAGAAACTGCTCATTCAGAGCCAGCACTAACTTTGTGCCTGTGTTGTTGTACACGTCACTCTCGGCGTACCGCATGCGCTCGATATACTCGAGCAGAAACTGCAGCGACTCATTAGTGACGCAGGCAAAGTCCGTCTGCGATAGCGTCACTGCCTGGGCAATCTCAAACATCAGCGACATGCCGAGGACCTGCAAATTCGGATGCTCCGAGCACCCCACAGCCAGCCGTTGCAAGAGCGGGAACAGGCCGCTGTCCTTGCATAGCAGGTGTGTGTCCGGCTGGAACTCTGTGATTAAATGCAAGAACGCCAAGAGAAGCCACAGTGTGTCCTTGTACGAGTCCTCAGGCCCGATATTCAGCTCCGCGTACGCCCGCTTGACCAGGTGCCTCTGGACCAGCCGCGTGTTGTTCTCGTACAGTGGCGAGGCAAAGAACATGCAGCATAGCTGGATGAATTCCGGATTCTGAAACGGCTCGTCACAGTCGAACAGCAGCACCAGGGCGCTAATGAACCAGTCCACGGCCAATGCCACGTTCTCCGCCATTATGGACACGTCCATGGCTTGCTGTGTAAATGTGGAGTCATGAAGGACGCATTTTAGTTCAATTTCGGCGTCTTTTAACGAGTCAAACTTTGGCTGCTGCTGGAGGAATTGTCGCCCGTATGCTGCACGGTACGATGCGTAGTCGACGCTGCCCTCAAGGAGAACCGAAAACCGGGAGGACCTCCCACGCCGCACGGAGGCGGGAAACTGGTCTGTGTGAGAGGTAGCTGATAATGCAGTTGTCGCTGGAATTTCCGTCATTGGCCGCGAGTTGTAGCTGTTGCAAATGTTTATATAAAAAAGGCAATTAGGTTATTGTGATAATGTACAGTTGTAACAATGTGTGGTACAGACAAGTTAAAGTGGCAGTTTAAAAGTACAAAAAATATTAAGTGGAATAAAATGAAAGCGAAAGTGGAAAATTAGCTTGTGGTTGGAAATATAAAAAGCGGCTGCCTTTCGCCACCGCCTTTTTGGCCTTTGGGTTTATTTTTATTGCAAGGCGATTTTATAAAGGCAACGCAAGGGGGGCTGTGGTGTTGACAAAAGAGGGGAACAAGGTCTATCTGAAAGTACAAAAATAAAATGAAAATTTCAAAAGAAAGCCAAACCGAAAATGAAAATGAAAAGGCGAATATTCCAAATGATTAAATCGGCCGGGGACAAAACAAAAGTAAGAAATATCGTCAAAACAATGACCTATTTTTTAATCTTGGATTTTTAAAAGCGGGGATGATGAGAAAGTCATTTTTTTTAAAATTTTGGTATAGGATTTAGGTGGGTTTCCCCCCTATGAACGAGCACGTCTGGGCGCAAGTGGAACGCTGGACATACCAAAAATGCACATCAGAAGAAGAAAAAATGAAAGCGAGACATGTCCAGATTGCGCTTTTCAAAACAGAATGAACTGATTCTGAGAACTGAAGCGCAGCCAGAAAAAGCTCAAAAGCAAGCCAAACGCAATTTTCGGAATTAAAATTTGATTTTGTTGTTCTTTGTTGAGCAAGCAGTGGCTGTGAGCACCACTGTGCCAAAATAAATTTTATTTGGACTGCTTTAAACCAGGAACAATGAAGCGGCAGCTTACTGTTTATCAGATTGTGCTGTTGGTTTGTGGCTCATGTTTTCTTATTTTTCCCATTCCATCCTCATGGATCGCAGCCCTGTATTCCAGGACGACTTTATCTCTCTCTCCCCCCTCTCTCTTTTTTCTCAACATTTTGTTTCACTCTTTTCAACATTTTTATTTTATTTTTCTCACTTTCTCTTTACGACTCTTGGGTCCTCCTTCGCACTCTTCCCTCTCTTACCCAAGCACAACCAACATACACTAAAGAAAAGCATGCCCAGGGAAACCGGCACCCCCAACACATCGCAGTGCCTGGCAGCCGGCGGATTTGCCGGTATGGCCGTGGACACAGCACTCTTCCCGCTGGACACGATCAAGACGCGGCTCCAGGCCAAGGCCGGCTTCATAGCCAGCGGTGGATTCCGCGGCATCTACTCGGGTCTGTCCTCGGCAATAATTGGGTCGTCGCCCGGAGCAGCAATGTTCTTCCTCACATACGAGCAGACCAAGGCGGCGCTGGAGCGGCGACACGCGACCAAAGAGTACCAGCCGTTTATCCACATGGCAGCGGCCTCAGCGGGCGAGATCGCCGCCTGCCTCGTACGCGTGCCGACCGAGGTGATCAAGCAGCGGCTGCAGGCCAAGCACCACAGCTCCCTGGCGGGCGCCATCCGCGGCACCTACGGTGCCGAGGGGCTTTCAGGGTTCTACCGCGGGTACTTGACGCAGGTTGTGCGTGAAATCCCCTTTACGTGCATCCAGTTCCCTATCTACGAGTACATGAAGCAGTGGTATGCTGCGCGCCAGGGCCGGCCGATCAAATCGTGGGAGGCTGCGGTCTGTGGGTCATTTGCCGGTGGAACTGCCGCCGCACTGACAACGCCGCTGGATGTGGTCAAGACGCGCGTGATGCTGTCGACGAAGGGTGTGGGTGGTCATCTGGAGTACTCGGGCATTGTGTCGACGCTGCGCCGTATTGCTCGCGAAGAGGGCGTGCGGGCGTTGTTCAGCGGCATTGTGCCACGCACAATATGGATCAGCATCGGCGGCTTTATATTCCTTGGCTCGTACGAAAAGGTCAAGGCCATGTTGCTCGATGCCGGCGTGTTTGCTAACAAATGAGGGGAAGACAGGCGGGTTTTTTTCCAAATCCATGACGGCGGTTTCTTAACGATTTCTTAATGCTTTTTTCACTGTGTTCCTGTGTGGGCAGATTCTGCTTGTTTAATTTAAATACTATTAGGTTGAATGCACTACCTATCCTAATTAATTGCGCCCAGCACTTCAAAGTTACCGTAATTGTGGCGGCGGAAGCTAAGCCCTCCTTCTCAATAAAGTACGCTCCTTTGCCATTAATCCATATTTTAATCACCAGTGATTTTATATTGCATGATTCTTATAAGCACCCCTCCCCTCCCCTAAACCGTTTCTGCTTCTAGAAATTTAAAATAGACTGGCTGCTCAGAATAACACAGAAGAGGGTAGAAGATGTGCTCAGCTTGATGAGAGAGAAAAATTCACGTAATAGTCCTCTTCTGGACCTTTTTTTATCGACCACGCTGCAATTTTTCAGTTTTTGACTGACTGTCTTTTACTTTTGTTTTTCTGTTTCTTCGCTTGCTTTATTTTGACAATTTTTTTGAATTCTCAACCTATTTTAAATTACTTCAACTTTAAACCAACACACATAAAATGGCCACTTTTACCAACGTGTAAGTATAATACCCCACTTGATTATTTATTTGTGTTTTTGTGTTTTTATTGTGCACATCAACCCGATAATTGTATAGGTCATATCAACAGCTGTACTAACTTTTTTTATTTATTACCATTTGCGTAAAAATAAAAATGATTTATTTATCCTGTAGACGTCACCCGACTGTCCTGTGGGCACAGCGCGAGGCAATCGTCTACCTCACAATCGATCTGCACGACGCCCAGGACGCAAAGATCGACCTGAAAGAGACAAGCATTGACTTTAAGAACACAACGGCGGACGGCAGCGAGTATGCCTTCCACCTGGACTTTTACAAGTCGATTAAGCCCGAGGAGTCGAAGAAGTCGCTGACGGGCCGCAAGACCTTTTTGGTTTTGGAGAAGGCTGAGGGCGAGTGGTGGCCGCGTTTGACGAAGGAGGCAACTAAGCTGAACTTCCTCAAGACTGACTTTGATCACTGGAAGGATGAGGACGATGAGGAGGAGGCTGATGAGCCGGCATTCCCTGGCATGGACGGTGGTCCTGGTGGTCCTGGTGGTATGGGCGGCATGGGCGGCATGGGCGGCATGGGCGGCATGGGCGGCATGGGCGGCATGGGAGGCATGGGAGGCATGGATCTCCAAAGCATGATGGCCGGTATGGGCGGCGCAGGCGGCATGGATCTCCAAAGCATGATGGCCGGTATGGGTGGTGGTGCCCCTGGTAACTACGACGACGACGCAGAGTTTGGTTCTGACGGCGAGGACGAGGACAAGGCTGAGGACAAGGCGAGGACAAGGCCGAGGATAAGGCCGAGGACAAGGCCGAGGATAAGGCCGAGTAGGCTCAGAGCCCCAACTGGATGCCAACAAAAACACACCCATCTATTATATATATTTTGTTTCTTCAATATATTTGCAAACGTTTTCTTTCTTATGCTTAAAAGAATCACATGAAGGTCTCGCAAAGCCTTGGTCTATATTTTAAGATACTGTCAAATTTTTGAAAGGGAAAGTTTATAGAGTAAAAAAAATAATAGGTTCAAGTGCAAAAAAAAGCTTTTTTTCTTAAGCAGTGATGATTCCAGCAGCAGCAGTGGCAATCAGCTTTTCGTCAAGCTCCTTGGCAGCCTTAAAGCACTCCTCGTAGGTCTCCTTGTAGTCCTCATGGGCCACGCCCTTTCCGCCCTTACCGCCGGGAATGATCATCAGGCAGCAAGTCGGCCGCTTCGTCGAGCACGAGCCGCCGAGCTCCTCCTTCGAGTTCACAAACACATACGGCACTTGGTTATCCTCGCACAGCACGGGGATATGGGAGAGCACGTCAACAGGAGAGATGTTCGCCGCGAGAATGACCAGACCCTTGTCGCCCTTCCGCAGACCCTTGACGACCTCCTTCACGCCGCGCTTGACGTGACGGTGCTTCGTCGCCTTCTTCACAGTCTTCAGCGCCTTCTTGGAGAGCTTCTTGTCCGCCAGGGGGTGTGCAATGGGTGCCAGGAGAGTGGCATCAATCTGGGTGTTGTCGCCCTCGGTGTCCTCCATCGTAATGCTCGATGCGCGCTCTCTCTTGCTGCTCTTACCCATGTTTGATATATGTATAAGCTTGTTGTTTTTTAAAAGTGTTGTTATAATGTGACAAAAAAGAATTGAACCAAAAAAGAGAGCAATTAAACTGGAATCGATTCGAGGAATATAAAAAAGTTACAAGGAAACACAGAGCAAAAAAATTTTAAGAGAGGGAAAATTGTTGTTTGGGTCGCGATCGCTTCAGCAAGAAGGCCCTTTTGCCGAGCTTGGATCACAGCGGGGGAACCACACGCTTGAGAAGAAAAAAAAAGAGAAAAGGAAAAAAGAAAAAAAAACTGAAAATTGCCAGCCCATTTTTTCTCTCCCGTATCAAGCGAGATCAAATTAGCTGATGTAAATAAGATCAGTTGATTCAGTCACGTGGTAAGCATTCTTCATCCATTTTCTCAGCTGATGAACAGCTTTGTGGCTTCGGCTAGTTTAAAGGTCTGGCTGCTGCGCGGGCACTTGACCTTGCCATCGAGCTTCACGGCCATGTCGCTGAGCGATGCCTGCGAGTACACGTATCCGTTCGGCAGGCGCATCGGCGGGTTATCTTCATTCATTTTCTCGCCTGTGATCCGGCACACCAGATTGGAGTTGACGTGGTGGCTCAGCGGCAGCTCCTGCGCCAGCTTGCCAAGCGTCTCGGTCTGACACACTGGGCAGTTGCGGTTATGTTCCGAGGGATCCTCCGAGAGACAAGCCGGCGTCTTGAGGGCCGACAGCCCGGTCTGCAGGAGCAGGTGGAGCAGGGGCTGCGCCGGCAGATTGTACAGCTGGAAAATCACAAGCCGAAAGTCATTGGCCAGCCCGCCCCACCGCGCCTCGTCAAACATGCTCTTGTACGGCGGGCACTGTGTGGCCGGCGGAAACGCCAAGAGCGTCATTGCGCGCTGGATCCTTGGCATCTGCGTATCTGACCACGGTGTCAAGTGCTTCTTTGCGTAGCCTATAGCACCTGGCGTGTTGCGTGCCCTGATCATCTCAATAAACTCCTGCACCCGCAGCTCAAACTCCAGCGAGTTCTGAATCTTGCGCAGAGCGCTCCTGTTTTCTGCACACCACTGCAGGGCGGCTCGGCAGCTGTGCTGTTCCTTCAGCTCGCCCTCGATTTCCATAACCAGGGCGAACAGCGAAGACTCGGCAAAATGCCCCAAGCCCCCCTTATCCACCAGCCTCTGCGCCGTTTTGACATTGCCGTTGCGCAGCATATAGTCTATGAGTACGCGGTCCAGGCGTGTGCGGCACCATTGCTGGAACTCGGGCTGCGCGGTGGACTCGAACCCCCTGAGCTTATGCAGATCCGCGGCTCTCTGCTTTGATCGCTGGATTAGGTGCGCTTCCTCGAGCTTGGACTCCTCAAGCGTTTGCCTGAGGGTCTGCAGCCGAGAGATCAGCCCGTCTAGCGTCTGCTGCAGCTCGCCAGGCGTCAGCCGGTGCTGGTTTTTCAAAACGTTCGACAGCTCGCTGCTGACTGCCGCTGTTTCACGCTCGGCCTGCTTCTGTGTCTGTCGTACAGCCCGTTTCAGCTGCTCCAGGGGCACCTATAAGCTGTAATTTGTGTCTAGTCATTTAGAATTCAACGCCACCTTGATCCAAAGGGAGGGAAAATGGACACATGCTTGCTGCCACTGTTGCTTCCATTTTATTCTGTCCTCTAAAATAGTTTACCTTCATAAAGGGCTCCTCGATGGCCAGCATATGGTCGACGTTTAGCTTGTCCATTGCGATTCAAGCAAAAAGTGGGAAATGTAGAGTAATAAAGGAAGGTTTATTTATTTTTGTTGAAATGTAACAGGTCAAAAGCAAGAGAGAATGTGGGTGTGAGAAAAATATTTTTTTTATTGCGCAACTGTTTTTATTGCAGCGTCATCGACAACCAAGCAGGAAAAGCAGTTTTTAAGCATGCAATGAATTCTCTCACAACATTCTTGGGAAATCGTTCAGGTGCGGGGAGCAGCTCTCCACATGACTTGAATGAAAATGGTTGGATTCATCACGTGGATAATGAGTATATTTTGGGCACGGCGCAAAGCCCAAATATGTCGTCTCGGCTAGACAATGAGTTTGTCTAAGCAATGTCTGTGCCAAGGCATCATTTGGTTTGATTTTAACAAACTGTGCACAGATTCTATCATGACCGATCTGTTTCAACGGTGTTTTTTCTGTTCAGACTTCCTAGGTCAGTATCTTTTTTTGCGCCAATAATGATGATCATAATATTTCACCACCTTCCATCGTCATGCAAGGCGATGGGTGGGGAGTACATGTGAGCCATTCAGCAGCCCGCCTCTCACTGCTTGAGAAAACGATGCATCCAAGGGGGCAACCTTTAGCATTGGCATTCTCGTCCTTTTTTCTTCCCTTTTTGGTTTCATTCAAAAAACGCAGCGCTAAGAAAGTTCAAGAGCTCAAAGGCACACCCGACAACTGTGATACACCTTCCGCTTTTTTGTTTTTAATTGCCTTTACCACTTTTTGTTTTTCCTTTTCAAATTATCTATTTGGTATTTTTCAATTTGAGTACATTTCTTTTATTTTGGTCAACACTACGTCTACTACTTTTAAACCCCCAAAAAATAAACCACAGCTTGTAAACCCGACAACACACACACAAATACACTCATGGCACAACCAAGTGCGACTAACGCCGTTGAATGGCAAGTACGGGTCAAAGCGCTCATGGAGGGTGTGGAGAAGGAGTTCAACATCAACACGCAGCCCGACGAAACAGTAGGGGCCTTCCGCATCAAACTGACAGCTAAGAGCCAAGTTGAGCCGCAAAAGCAGCGCCTGATATTCCGCGGCCGAGTACTCAACAGTGACACCATAAAGCTCGTAGATGCAGGAGTCAGCAACGGAAGCGCCCTGCACATGGTCACTCGGCCAGCTGACTCTGCAGGGACGCAGAATGATCGGCCGCCGCTGCAACAGCAACAGGGAGTGCGCCCTAGGATAGAACCCGGCGTGTCGCCGTTGGCTACAACTATTTTGGAGCGCGCTATCCAGAATATGATTAATTCCAGAGCTGGCGCTGGAACCGGTGGGATTTCACTTACGTTTGAGTTTGGCGACGGTGGGTTTACTCCCGTGGGCGAGCCTCAGCACATTCCGGTACCGCAACCGCGCCAAACACGGCCGCAACCCGGGCCCCCTCAGCAACAATCCCGGCCGCAACCCTGGCAGCAACTCTGGCAACAACCTCTGGAGCAACAGTCCCAGGGTGCCACTGCCGAGTCCCGTGTTCAGACGCGTCAGCAGCGGCGCACACAAATGCGCGAGGATTTTGCCACCCGCGTGCGCCAGCTGCGTGCAGCTCAGGGGCAGCAGGGCCAAAGCTCCCGATCGACTATCACCGGGCTGTTCCGCGACTTTGGCCGCGATGACGGTGGCCAATGGGTCGCCGAAGTCTCCCCAGCAGGCTTTATCCCCATCGAGCGCGAAGCCAGCGCAGGCATTATTTTGACTGACGACGAGCTGGGTCGCAGCCCTGTCGTATTTTTCGACGGAATGTCGCCCGCCTCGGCTCCCCCCGAGGCAGCGTACCTGGCGATCCCTGGGCTGAGTCGCATTGAGGAGTCTGCGCGCCCGATGAACGCAGCCGGGCCTCGGCTGGACCAGCAGCCTTCGAGGGCTCAGGCAAACGAGCTGGTGTACAATCTGCTCGAACGCGTGCTGCCCGATATACGCCGCCTGCCTGGCCGCAGTGACTTTGAGTTTGGCGCTGAAAGGTCAACCGCCCCAGAGTATATTGGGCAGTCAACGGCCGACCCTGTTGGCGCAACCGGCGCGGCGATGGCTGGCCTAGGCGATGCATTTATGGAGGTTGGCCGATCGCTACGCGCTGTCGGAGGCCAGTGGCAGGACATCGACAATGTCCCTCCCGAGGGGGCCTACACCCCTGCGCACATGACGGCCATCCACCAGGCGATCAGCAACCTCGTACTGGCATCCTCCGTTTCAGTTCCGTTCTTGCGCAGCACCCCCACTCAGCTGGCACAGGCCGGGACCGTGTCTTGGGACACTAACAGGGAGCTGTCCATTATACCCGAGGTGCTCCCGCAGGCGGTCAACGATGCGGCGACAGCCATGCCTGAGCGCACCAGTTATCTGTTCTCCTCGATGTTCCACCGCGAGAACAGGCGCAGAGTTCTCGATATGTTGACGCTGGACACCATACGGCAACTAGAGGAGCGGCCATTGGCGATGGAGAATCCGCCACATATTAACCTGGCGGCGCTCAATTGGAGCATGGCTGCGCTGATGGCCTCCCCTGAATGGCAGCAGATGCGCAGCCAGCAGAGCCTGCCGCAACTGCACCAGCTGCGCTCGCGGATATTTCCGCACATGAACCTGCCGACGCAAGCACAGACACAGACACAAGCGCAGGCGCAGACGCAGACGCAGCCCCAAGCACAGGCACAGCGGCCGCAGATGCAGCAACCTAATACGGCCGATTCTGCTGCAGAAGCCAACAGACACAGAGGCGCGAATCCTGCCACCGGCAACGCTACAGCCACTCGGGGCCCAGCAGACGCTCACAGCATGCGTGCACCTGAAGTCCAGCTAGGCGGCGAGCACCAATTCGAAATCAGGTTTGGCAGTATTGACATGTCCGAAGCACTCACACGCGCCGCCGACATTCACTCGCGCATCGGTAACATTGGCAACAACACAGACGTGCAAGCTACGCCCCAGAACCAAGACCGACTCGGCCACAGCAGCCATCAGGACAGCAGGGCACTGTGCGTGCGAATGCAAACTCAAACGCCAACACTTCAGGCAATGAGTCTCGAGAGGGTCATCCGGCGAATACGCCCCGCTCTGGCAGTCCCGATGGCGACTTTTTCACCTTTATCGATCGACTGGGCGCAATGGGCAGCCAGACCGCGCGCAGTGACAGGTCCAATATGTCGACGACGACCGAGTACAGCGTTAGCAATGGCCAGACTGCACCCATGCCGCGTATTTTGGCATTTGGCTCCGGAATTGGCAGCCAGTTGCTGCCCTTGCAAGCGGGCGGCAACCCATTCCCCATTGCGTCGATATTTTTGGGCACTGAGCCGGGCAGCCTAAGCCCCACGCGCAGGACCAGCATGGCGTCGAGCGTGAATGGCCAGCCTGGAGGCGACAACAACTCGAGTGCATCGGCATCGGCATCGGCATCGGCACTGGCAACAGCAACGGCAACGGCACCAGCTACAGCAGCCACTGCACCTGCAACAATCTCTGCCACTGCAAATATCAATGTTGCTGGTCACAGTGAGTGCCCATCAACATTGGCAGTGGTTCCGGAGAGTCGCAGCAATGATAAGCGCACTCACACTGCGTCGTTCTCAAACGACAATCATAGCCATAATGTCGGCAGCAGCAGCGACAACAGTGGCAGTGCTGGGAACTCTTCTGATCGCAAAAACCCCTCTGATCGCAAGCGCCACAAGGCCGGCGATTCAGGCGACGACAGTGCAAGTGAGCTTCACTAAAAGCAGCGAATATTAGGATTCATCAAGGGTGCCACACAATCTTAGGGGCAGGGGAGAGGAGATGCGCAAATGTTTTCAGTTCATCGTGGTGTGCGGGGGATGGGGAGGAGAGCAATTTTAAATAATGTGCAAGTGTACAACCTTTTTTTATAAAAAACAATTGTCTATTTAATTTTGCTTGGTACCATGCGCAACTTGGTTTCACTTGTATTTTAATTTTGCACCATGCGATGTTTCTCACCAGCACACACACAGGCAAACACATGCCGTTGCCACCTATGCTGTAGCTTTTTTCTGCTACAAGTAATGCAAAAAAAAATTTGCGCGCGACCTTATTGCCCCATGTTACCTATTCAATATTTTATCATGCCAATTGCGAGTTTATCTTGTGGATTCCATTCTTTCACCTATCTGCTTGCATTTACCCACTTCTTTCATTGATTTTTGCATTATTTTATATATTAACAATTGAAAGAAATAGAAATATCGAACAACAATGAAGGAACTATCCTAGGCGGTATCTACATTCTCTGCTGCGTATCAGCAGCAGCAGGCGTAGTGCATTCAGGCACATTTGCCAGCGTAGAAACAGCCACAATCCATGCAGCCTCAGTTTCACCAACCGCAACCGCCACCCGGCAACCTTCCATCCGTCCTTGAATTTCTTACAAAGGCGCAAGCTGGACCCCGAAGATCCGGCAAATCCCGTTGCAGCGACAGATCCCAATGAGGCCGCGATGAAGATTCGGTCGAGAGATCTAATAAACACTGATCGCCCCAATATGAGGCCCGATCTCCACCCGCATCACCAACGGGGCAAGCCCCGCCGCGACGATGACGAGCCAGGGACAATGACAGCAAAAGCAATGCCAAACAGGCTGCTAAAAAGACGCCGGTGAACAAAAAGGCCGCGGCAAAGGATGAGGACGACGACGATGATGTCGGTGACTCGGACTCCAAGAGCAAGGCCAAACCGAAGTCAATCCAAAAGGATAAAGGCAGCGATAAGGACAATAGTGACGAGAAAAATGGCGGCAAGAAGGCACGCGGCAAGGGTGACTCTGGCAAGGACAGCAAAAATAATAAAAAGACTCACACAGGTATTGATGGCAATGAGGTCGAGGATGAGGATTCTGAGGAGAGCGAGGAGCGCAAGAAGAAGAACCGCGTTAATCATATCAAAGCCAAGCAGCGTACTTGGCGCACGGGCAAGCCGGACTACAATTACAAGAAGGCTTTGGATGGCTGGAAGGACGTGGGACCGCAATATTATTACAAGGGCAAGTATGAGAACAGCGCGCAATCGGCTCGCCTTTCTGGGACTGTTTCTGGAGCTGCTCTTGTGCCGATAATTTTGGCTGCTGTGTCTGCCGCCTTGTTTTTGTTTTGAGTTTTTATTATAATATTTTATATATATATTTCACTCGAATGCTTGATTCCAACAGCAATGGATGTTGTTATCATTCCAGTCCACCATTGTAACAAGTTGTTTGACAATAAAAATATGTTTGTGTGTAGATATGTTTGTGTGTGCGTATTAAAACGTAAATATTGGTGTCATGGAAAATGTAATTTGAAAAGTTTAAATTAAAAATGCAAAATATATTTAGAATTTTGTACATGAGGATATTCACCGATGAGGAAATGCTTCAGGAATTCGCCCGAGTCAATATCCATTATGCGTACAGTAACGTCCTCGTATGGAAACCTGTATCCTGCATATGTCTTTTTGGTAAACAGCTCTGAGCCTTCGAAGGCATCCTGTGGGTCACAACTCATGGGGTATGGGGGTGTGTACATTGGTGTGTAAATGGGCGTGCTCGCCATCTGGCCCAGCAAAGGCTCCTGCTGCTGTTGAATCCCGCTGGAAACACACTGCTTTACTGCCGGCATGTTGAATGGCGACCAGTCGTCACTCATGTAATGCGAGCTCTCGCTATTGATGTCGCTATTTAATGTCTGTGACGTGGTTTCGGGAACTGGTGCTGGTGTTATTGACTCTGCAGGCAGAGAGTATGTGGGCACCGATGTTGACGACGGTGCTGTCGATGTTAAGGCTGCTAAAAACAATGAAGCTGCGTTACTAATGGGTGTCTGCTGCATATTTAAAGATGGATGTAAGCTGGCAACTCTGCTGTCGCGCTGTTGATTTTGATGGAGTGCGTATGGATGTGTGCGAGACGATGATGCTTGCTGACTGTTGCTCGAAGGGCTGGCCCGAATGTTCTGACCGGTCCTTCCCATTCTGCCAAGAATTGCTCTATGCATGAATGTATCTTTATTCAGTGCACAGTTATTGTGTGGATTAAAACAAGATATCGCCTGGTATGTGTCAGTATTAATATAATAATTTATGTTTGCAAGTGAAATGAAGTATGAAATGAACAAATATAAAGGTGGGTTTGAAAATAGCTCGCTAAGTGAAAAATATATGGAAATAATAGTCGGCTATTCAAAGACATAAAACGGCCGTTTAGTAAAAAAAGGCAAGCTCTACTAAAAAATTTTACCAGTCACCTGTTAGGCTTAATATAAAGTTCCTCATCACGATCTGTAAAATGTTGAGAGCCACAATGATGATCGATGGGGTAAGTTTTAGTGTGGGATAGTCTCTCATCGGGGCTTTCTTTAGACATTAAGCCCGATGCCAATATAGAAAACATTCGAGCCATTTCCGGTGCCCGATAAATTGCACTGGCTTCTATGATTTTCTCGCAGCCAATGCATTTTCGGAAACCACGGCAATGTGAGCAATCGAAATGACCGCCTCGGCCCATTTTGGAATCCCCAGAAATATGCATTTGCGGATGGGACGAGAGCCCGATTTTCCGTGCACATCCCCTTTTCTTGTGGAAAATATCCTCAAGCCGGGCAAGCAAAAAATCAAACCACCACGTTTTTTCCCTGGCATCTCCGTCAACCGTCAATCCATTGTAACAAATCTCTAATCTGCGTGGGGTAACCTTGAATATCGAGTCTACGCCCTTACCTTTACATTTCGTTAAAAGATAGTGCACTAACACCTTTTGCCAGAGGTATGAAATTAAGTGCAATCATTTTGCAGAGACAGCAACAGAAGCAGCCAGTTGCAAAGCCAAGGAGATAACCCCCTGCTGCGGCTACTCATCCCCGCAGGCAGCGCACGGATTGATTTATCCACATATTATGGCGGTTATTTTCGTCAGTTGCCTATCAAAGGAGCAAGTGTATCAATGTATCTGTTTTCTCCGGGCGAAGTGTGGACGGTTTTTTGTCCAGCACATCAAATTTTAGTTGCTTTGCTTATCTTGCATAATTCTTTTGTATTCGCACTTTTGTTACTGGCTAATGTCTAAAGTAATTAAAGTTTGAAAAAAAAGTCGAAATAGAAATAAAAATAAAAATATGAAACATGAATGGACTTCCGACAGTTTCGAACAAGAATACATCGATCGATGGCTCGTGAAAATGACAGATTCTGGATCTCTCCAAGCCATACCCGATATTTGTAAACAATTCGGGACAACGTTATCCCCGACTAGCCGCACGCTGCAGCTTGCACAATAGCCGATATGGATTGCCAAAGTCAAAACAATTTCCCGATTAATGTTTTTATTTGTTGTGCTGGCTAGTGAAAAATAATAATACTAAGTGTCATGCTCTATAAAAATGTGGGTCTAAATATATTTTAAGTATCAAAAATTATTTTTGGAACTGAAAAAGGGGCAGTGCTGTGTGTGCGGCGCTGTAAACATCATGGTGTTCCTTGATGTCAGCCAGCAATAACAGAAGTGTGTATAGCAGCCATGAGGACGATCTTGATTCTTGAAAAGGGAAGATAGTGGCTTGAAATGTGTGTTGGGCACCACATTAAGTTTTCGAACAAAACACCATTTTATTTTGCTTGCAGGCCGCCCCGTCTTCGCTGGGATTGATGAAAGTAAATGATTTAAACAATAAATATTTTGTAGACCACCAAAAGATGCAAATGCCCAAACAAAAGCCCAAGGCCGTAGTCAAGAGAAAGTCTGATCCAAAGACTGATGCAGTACCCAAGCACAATAAGACAATACTTTTTTTATCATTTCCCTCACATCATGGCGGTTATTACTGCCTGGCAGCTCAATTCCCAATGGTTTTACTCAGTGACTACACAATGGATGGAGGGCTTTGTCCAAAATATAATAATTCATAATTATTTTATTATTATTTCATAGATTTTGAACTTTAAAGCCTTCACACTCGGTTTTGGTTTTATCCAACCACATGGCGGATGTAGTAATACGGCAGGCCAAACACGCCATACCCATGCGCCTTGGCGAGCTTGGCAAATCCCTCGGTTTCGACCTGGTGTTGAAACAGCCAAGCGGGAAAGCCGACCCCCGAGCGATGAACGTGTGCCTTGACCAACGTGAATGTTCCGCCAACACCATCCAATGGAACAACAGTTTGATTCTTTGTAAAGTTGTCCAGATACTTGCGGTAGGTCTTAAGCGTCTTGTAGCCCTCGACCAAAAAATCGTTATCCTTAAGCGTCTTGATCATCGCCAGGCTCTTGGGCGTCTCTTGCCACGCGTTGCGGTCATACACGCTGTGCTTCCAGCGGTTGTTGTTCTTGCGGCGGACAAGGCAATTGGGCACAATAACATCCTTGTTGTATGCCATCAGGTCGCGCACAATGTTGGGCGGGTAGTAATCCAGGTCTCCGTCAATCCACAGCACCCACTGCTCGTTCATAAGCGCGCGAGTCCACAGGTAATTGCGCGCCCGGGCCATCATGATCCGCCGTTCGCGCTGCTTCTCGCGCAAGTGCCGCTGGTTCCGAGGCAGCGCGTAGAAGAAATCCTGTCGGTAAATGTCAAACCGCTTGAACCGCATCTCGATAGGCGCCTTTTCCTGGTACCACTGGCGCGACTCTATGAGCATTTGCTGCGTCCGGTCGGTCGAGTCGGAGACAAGGAATGCTATAGATATCTTGTCGCGTGGGTAGTTGATCTTGTCAACAAGTGCAAAATAGCGCGCCAAATGCTCGGCGTTGTTCTTAACCGGGGTGAGTATCAGCAGCGAGTCCTGGTCGGGCTCAAGCGTGTGCAGCGCAACGTCTCTGTTATTCGCCAAGATAATCCGCGACTCGTTGGACATCCGTACTAGGTTGCTGTTGTCCAAGACCTTGCAGTTGGAGTTTTTTGGCAGCCACGACGGCATGGCGTCGGACTTTGGGCTGTAGTTTCTGTCTATAACCTCAATGTAGTTGGTTCTGTTGTCCGTCGAGTTTGCGTTTCGTGACGAATTCAGGTCGTTGTTCTGTTGATGATAGTCGTTCCCACTGTCGTCAATGTATTCGCAATCGGCAGCAATATTACCACACTGTGCTTGACCCGATCCTGCCGCATTTGCGTGGAGCTTGTTACTGTGGATAAGCATGTCTGGCTCTATCGCGTCCGTGCCATCCTGCTGGCCGAAAAACGCGCCCTGATGGCATGTGCTTATCAGGAGCAAACAGCATAGCGCGGCAAATGTGAGGGCAAGCGCAGGGATGTACTCTCTTCGCATTAACCTACAATATGGAGTTTGTGAAATTGCAGATATTTGCACTTATAGGTGATAAATTCAGAATACGGAAAGTTCTATATTGCAAACATGTGTGCTGTATTTTCTTATTCAAGCCAGAGCTTTGGCTTCATTTGTACATATCGTATTTACCTTTTACCTGCTGTGCCGCGTTGGATTTTAACTACACACGCGTCTCTTATGCCCTTGACGCTGTTCATAGTTTAAAAATTGGCAAATTATAGAAATATGCTAGAATTTGAGTGCAAAAAATTCAATAGTACGTTGTTGTAAAGAATCATCGGTGTCAGACACTTGGCGCTGCCAAGTGGGAACTTGTTTGTTTGCTCAATCGCACTTCAGGCAGTCGATTGGAAGGTCCTTCCTGAATGTGTCTACTGTCTTTTGGTTATACTTTGCGCACTTGTCTCATCCGGTAAGCCGAAACCGGAGTACATGTAACAAAATAACCGCTGTTGGTCGGTTAGCAGTAACACCAATAATTAACAGACAAAAAAGGCAAAGGGCAAATTTAATTAGGAAAGCAATGTTTCTCGTTGCGAGCGGCAGCTGCGTTGTCTGAACAACTGACCCGCTTTATCAAGTATGTACTAAATGCTAATTCGAATCACTAAATCTAAATACACATCCACATCTACATCCATTAGTCTTGGCTCTTTGTCATAATACTCAGGAACGCCTCTTGCGGCAGCTCGACCTTGCCAATCTTCTTCATGCGCTTCTTGCCCTCCTTCTGCTTGTTCAACAGCTTCATCTTGCGGGTGATGTCTCCGCCGTAGCATTTGGCCGTGACGTTTTTGCGCAATTGCTTGACGGTCTCGCGCGCGACGACTTTGCCGTTGGCCGCAGTCTGGATGATGATGTCAAACAACTGGCGGCGGATGACCTCCTTCAGCCGCTTGGCAATGTCGCGGCCAACTGTCACCACGCTGGTCTTGTGCATTACGGCGGCCAATGCATCCACAGACTCGCCATTGAGCATAACCTCCATCTTGACCAGGTCCGACTTGTCGTAACCCGATTCCTCGTAGTCAAAACTGGCAAAGCCCTGCGATTTTGACTTTAGCTTGTCAAAAAAATCAGTCACAATCTCAGCCATTGGGATCCGGCACTTGAGTATGACCCGGGTCTCGTCGATAAACGTGTGGTTTTGGATATCGCCGCGGTGTGTTGTGCAGAGCTCGAGCATGTGTCCCAAATACTGCTCTGGGAAAATCAAAGTCGCAGCCACATAGGGCTCCAGTGTGGACTCGACAAAGTCCTGTATCGTTGCAGCATCGGGGAAATCTGCTGGCGTGCGGATAAATTTGGTCACGCCGTCTCTGTATTTGATTTGGTACGGCACAGTTGGAGCTGTGATCAGCACGCTTGCGTCGTACTCCTCCTCCAATCTTTGGCGGAACACGTCCATGTGCAGTGTTCCCAGAAAGCCCAAGCGCCATCCCTGGCCCAAGGCAGCACTCGTCTCTTTGTGAACACTCACACTAGAGTCGTTTAGCGTGAGCTTCTGGATAGATTCCTTCAAGCTGTCAAACTCGCCAGTGTCTATCGGAAAGATACCAGCAAATACCATCGACTTTGCTGGCACAAAGCCCGGCAGCGCTTCAACCGGGTGCTTTTCCCTGTAAAACGTATCGCCGACATGGGCCTCGGCAATCGACTTCATATTGCACACGATGTACCCGACCTGTCCGACCTGCAGCATGGTAGTCGGGGTTTGCTCGGGATGCATGATACCCACCTCCATAACCTCGTACTTTGTGCCCGAGTGACTCGATATAATCTTGTCTCCACGCTGTATGGATCCGTCCTTAATGGCCATCAGGCAGACGACGCCAACATATGTGTCGTACCAGGTGTCAAACAGCAGCGCCTTGAATGGGTTTCCTATGCTGCCCTGAGGTACCGGCGTCTTTTCAATGACTGCTGGCAGCACCTGCTCGATGCCCAGCCCGGTTTTCGCCGAAATGTGCAAAATATCGGCAGCATCAATCTCAAAGGCGCTCTCAATCTGCAGGACGGCCCGCTCAGGCTCAGCTGTTGGGAGGTCAACCTTGTTCAGCATGGGAATGATGCCCAGCCCTTCCCCAAAGGCCAGGTAAAAATTCGCCACAGTCTGTGCCTGCACACCTTGCGCGGCGTCCACTAGCAAGATTGTGCCCTGGCATGCAGCCAGCGAGCGCGAAACCTCGTAGCTAAAGTCGACGTGACCCGGCGTGTCAATCAGGTTGATCAAGTACTTGTCGCCGTTGTGCTCGTAAAACATGCTCGCCGACTGCGCCTTTACTGTGATCCCGCGGTCGCGCTCAACTTTGAGTTTGTCAAGCACCTGCTTGTTTTTGCCGGTCTTTGTGATAACGCCTGTCAGCTCGAGAAGCCGATCGGCTAGTGTGCTTTTGCCGTGGTCTATGTGTGCGATAATGCTAAAGTTGCGGATGCGCTCGGGTGTGTAGGTGGTTATGTCCAGCTCACCGCGCTTGTTCTCCGGAGGGCGCTCTGAGTAGAGCCGCCGACTGATGTGAATCTTCTGCATCGTGCGTGTGTGCCGAAACGTCGCGGCCACCACGGTTAGCGGCTGTGCGCGCAAGAGCATCATGGTATTTGCTGTAGCCTTGAGCCAGGGCACGCGCTGAATATAATTGAGTGAGGGTGGTAGCAAGTTGAAGTTGAAGTGAAGAAAATGGACTGGCGAATTGGAGAAAAGAAAAACGAAAGGGCTTTTGCTGTGGCATCTTCGGCCACTCGCAAACGATAAAGCCGAAAATGCGATCCCCGCCAAACAGAAAAAGACCCTTTGTTGCCTGAAAATAATATGCCACCAATGCTAATTAAGCGGATCAGCGTGGTGATCGCGTGTGCAGCGGGCAGTGCCCCATTATCCTGCGTCTGCACTCGACTTCAAGTACACGCGCGCCAAGCTGGGCCGCACTTGCGTGCACCATCTCGCACATTTAATTTATATGATTCCTTTGTACTTTATTGTATTATTTTGTCATTGACTTTTCTCGCCCAGACGACAACAATGGCCAAAAGAGCACGGCTGGATGATGGCAGTAGCAACATCAACAACGAGCACACCGGGCAGCCGCAAGAAATTATCATCGATTGCCAACTGATACAGGATAAAAAAGAAATTGCTCTTCCCCCAGGAATCGGTGCCATATCTGCAATTGCTACATGGACGAGGTCGCACTCGTGTGTGGCTAGTGCTGGCGTCGGTATTGATGTCGGGTCCTTACAGCAGCGCGCGGCAGAGGTTGCGGTTGGGACAGATACTGGCTACACTGCTCTCATCCGTGATGATGGCTCGACAGTGGCTCTGGAGAACAGCGGCAGCCCCACAATCCAGCGCCTATTGGTCAAGGACCCTGGTGTGGCGTCGGGAGCTAAATATTTGATTCCGGATGTCGTGTCTGGCGACTCTGAAGGGCGAGTGTCCGTATATAAGAATGGGCGGATGATATCGCGCAACACGCTGTCTGCACCAGTGTCGGCTATTGCCGAGGATTGCAATCCGCATACGCAGCGGAGCTTTATTGTCGGAGATATGAGCGGCTCCGTGACCACCTGCCATGCCCAAGACATTCTATGGCGCGCACAGGTATACTACCCTAAACAAAGCAGTGACAGGGACAGCAGTGCCGTGGGTACTGGTTTGGAGTCGGAAAACTCACTAGAGCAAGGCATCTCTAGCGTATGTTCTGTGCGGTTTCCCGACGACTTTGGTATTCTGACTAGTTATGTGTTGGCGGCAAGTGGCGGCAACAGCATCCAGATTCTTTCTCGTGGCCACCCAGTGCTTTCCGTGCCTGTATCGGCGCCATGCAACTGCATGTGCTCGGGGGATTTTGTTTCCCAAAAGGACAGAGACGCCAAATATGCAACCGCTGCAGACCCTAGCACTAGCACCCAGGCCATGTTTGGGGATGATGCCGGACGGCTACTTGTTTTTGACAACTTTGAAATGATTCCCTACGCGCAAGTTGACTATCCGGTCACCAGCATTGCAACCATTCCTCTGCGCGCCCTTGCCAATGTCGATGGGCCCGACGTTGTTGTTTGCGGGACTCGCTCGAACGTAGTATATGTGCTACACGCCAAGAAAGTTGTATGCACTTTTACAGCAGACTTTTGGCCCGTGGCTGTTGATGTTATTCTTCCGAGTTGCTCTGAGATGAGCCCGGCCATAGTGATCGCTGAGAACAGGGCCATCGAGAACCGGAAAACAGCAGGATTTCTACACAGATTTTCGTTAGAGCTTAATGTCGTCTAATATACATTATGTTGACCAACAGCAAACCTGGAAATGGTAGTTCGACCATTTCTTGTTTTGTTTACAGAGCAACTGTGCATTGCACAAAACTTGGCAAACATTTTAAAAATTAATAATAAAAATAATACATGTATTTATACCCTCCATTATACAAACTGTTTTTGCACAATACGCCCAACACTGCTTTGTTGCCATGCAATACTATTTTTATAGGCAAAGATAAAAAGTGGCAATATAAAGTCGAAATGAATAAGAATCACCAAATGAAAACCATCAAGGGTCATGCTGCCATTTAAAAGAGAGCGGCAAGAAAGGTTGAGTTGTTTTTTATTTGTATACATGCGTTCTTCATGTTGATAATTGTTTACCTTTGACAAACACATAGATATATGTGCACAAATGCACAGATACATGCAAACATACATAATAATTGTGCATATAGGTGAAAAATTCAAAATCCAAATGTCAAGCTATCTGAAATGAAAAAGGATGTGCATTTCACACTGCACATCCAACCAAGGTACCCACTGTAAAATGTACGTGGTTGAGGAGCGCGAAGTAGAATATATGCCGTGTCAATTATCGGAAATATTTCCGATTGCGTCAAATGGTAGCATATTGCTCCTTTTTAACAGTGCTTATATTGTCAATTGTGTGAGCTATTTAATGATGCCGGCAATGTTGGCACAAGGACTCTTATTTTGGCTATTTGACAATCAAATAATAAAAGACAATACATAATTTTTTATAATTACACATTCCATTCTGTGCTCAACCACTTTGTAATTTGATTGTTTGAATGAAGAGCACGGGGTATGCAGTGTGAGCACCGCAAATCCGTTTCTTCCGAATTTACAATACAATCTGTTAAATTGGTTTTATTTCCCCTTTTTAAATCCCTATTCTATAATTACCAACCATTGAGGCATGGGGCACGAATGTACAATAACCGCAGAGACCATATGATGCTTTATTTGAATGCAATATGGCATACGTGGCAAATGAGTGATACGCAATTTAAAAATAATAGTAATAAAATTGGCGACAAATTGGCCTCGATGTGTTCCAGTGCAAACAACACTGGGAAACTCTGTGCATCGTGACGTTTTTATGTTGGCCTTTCATGCGGGCATTGAAAATACAGGGTTTATGCGGGATGTGGGGGCATAAAAAAGGAATGCCTGTTTTGGACATGGGGATGCATCCGAAAATTAAACGAAAAACGATATTGTTAGTAAAAAAAGTGGATAATCGCATTGCATTTTTAATACAATTAGACGAGCATAAAAATTTTTCTGGTTGCAATGAATGAGAATGTGAGAGCATTTTAAATTTCGGAAGCGAAAAAACAGGATTAAATAGGTTGGGCTGTTCCATGTCGTTTCTTGTTATTTGTCATGATCTTGTAGTAAGGCCTGAGTCTATTTTTTATTGTTGATGCTGTTTGATATAAATATCTGCTCTTGTACCCACTGTCTTTTAAAAAGAGAATATGCAAACACACTTTCTCATGTTAATTGACCTATTTCATAAACTTTAGCTACCATTTAAACACCAATTTGAATCAGCACGATTAACGACCAATTGTTAAACTCGCCTTGATAAATCCGCTACTAAACATCTAACACCGATTTCACAGTACACCAAGGGACCTCAAGTTCAAGCTCTTCTTCTACCTCTTCTGTTTTTCACTCATTTGTTCTTTAAATAACCAAGTAACCCTATAGGCAATGTGCCACCGCCATATCATCCCTGACAATAAGGCCAAGGTCGTCGCTGTCTCTGCTGTTCTACGTCTGTGCCGCGAAGACTACTTCTGCACAATCTGTGGATATAACGCTTTGTCGCCGCTTCATCTTGAAATTCACATCGGCGAGGTTCATGGTGAGGCGTACTCTGACGAGGATTAAATATCTCCTACTGTACATGCGTGTGTCATAGATGTGCTGGTGCGGTGTTCTGAGCTCTATATAAGTATATTTGCGCAAATCGTCTCGCACACCAATGTCTCTCCCTCTTTATTCATTATTCGTAGTGTAGGTTTTATATTGAATTATAATGTTATCAATAAAAACAATAAAAAAGATAGAAAAAACAAGTTAACCCGCTTGGTCGCCGGCAAACATTTTCATACCAGGAAAAGCTGTGACATTGACAATATCGAGCAAACTTGAATCAAGTGACAAAGCGCTATGGCCCTGTTGAATGACTAAACACCCGTTCTGCAGCTTGTGGCCGCGGCTGATAGACACGCTCTTTTTGATTCTGGACAAGAGGTCACCAATATTTTTTAATATGTACAGGCGTTTTAACAGTGCCGTGAATCACCTGGCAGTATATCTGCTTAATACCGCGTCGCACAAGATCGTGAGTAAAGTCATTAAAACCGGGTCGCTCTTGCAGCCCGACGGCTTTTGCTTCGACTTTACCAGCAGCCCCCTGGCAAGAAAACAACTGAGCAAGATCAAGCATCTCGTCAACCAGGCCTCCCTGGACTACACAAGTGCGAGTGTTTGCCAGATGACATTAGATGAAGCCAAAGCGCAGGGTGCCGTGGCCATGTTTACCAAAAAGTGAAATGCAGAGAGCGTGCGCATTGTCAAGGTTTCTGAAGTGTTGATGGAGCTGTGGGGGGGGGGCACGCACTTGTGGTTGGAACAGGCAACATTCCAATTCCAGATTGTAACTTAGGACTCTATTGGCGCTGGGACAAGGCGCATAGAGGCTGTCGCCAGCCTAGCAGCCTCGCTTTAGATACAAAAACAGCTTGGGTACGCCCAGGCCATTGCATGCACGCTTGATGTGATCAAGATTAGCCAGATAAAAAATACACCAGTTCGCTGCAAAGCAAAAGGTCTTGCAGGACGAGTCAGATATGTGGTTGCGCGCGGCAGCTATCAATTTGCACCACATTGCTATGCACTCGACGACCTTGGAAAACTCAACACGCCGACAATTATCCATGTTTTTCCGAACTCTGTTAACGGTCTTGACTCTGCAATAAACGGTGGCGACGCGCGGATTATCGTGGATAAGGCGTGTCATTTGCGTGATACTCGACCTGAGTCAGCACATGTGGTTATAAGGGGAATGTGGTTGCGCTAAGCGTGGATTCCCAGAGCGTCTCTGGCGTCCAGGCCGGCACGCTGCTTTGTGGAGTGTTGGTCAAGCATCCAGGAAATGGTGGTGTCCAAGATACTTTTGCGTAAGAAAATTTAAAAACTGCTGTTTCTGCGGCCGAGCAAATAGCAATGCTATAGGAGATTATTATTACAATCGCTGATAATATGTTGAAATATGTTTGCTGAAGCAAGCTTTAAAGGCTCTGCCACATTGAAGCTAGTTCGTCGATTTGTATTGTGTCGAATTAGAATATTTTGAAGTAATTAAAAGAGTAAACAAGACAAGGTAAAATAAAAGCGCGTGATAGCAGCTATAAGTTTGAAACGATATAAAATATAAATATAAATATTTCCACTTAACACCAACTTTTCCATTATCCATTATCTATTTTTATTTTCTTTTTCCATTTTCTTTCATTTCAATAAAGTTATTTTATTATAGACAAAATTATTTGTAATATTCAAGGTAGTAGACTGGCAACTCTCTGCCAGTCGGCATTGTATCATGCCAGTTGCCGACACCGTTATCCTGTGGCAGATCAGTGAAGACGTCAAGAGGAATTTAGTTACCATTGGCCCCATATCTCCTCTTTCCAGCGCCCTGCAGCACCAAATTATATGGAGCAATAGGCTCCAAATCCAGACCCCAAAACTCATCCCAGTAGCGATCCTGCTTCTGCTCCTGCTCCACATCCTCCAAATGAATAACACTGTATTTGGGGTATGGCACGAAATTGGAGCCAACCTTGGTGGATAGTGGGCTGGTTCCGGGGGGGGGGGAATGGCAACAGTAGCAGCAGGGTTGGAAACATAAGCAGGCCCTGGAAGATATTGCATTTCTGCCCCCCTGGCTGCCTGCTGTCTGTTGGCTTTGTGCATGACTGAAGACAATATCTGATGGCTGCCTGGGGCAGGGGCATCAGTCAGGACAGGAGAATATGAGCCCGCCACCTTCCTGGCCATCAACTTTCTGTCAGCTTTGCACATGAGTACAGATGGTACACACTGGCCATTAGGGCCAGGCATATTAGTCATTGCAGGGAAATATGAGACCAGTGCCTTCATAACTACCTACAGTGTGCTAATCCTGCGCATGCGCTTGATGGATCTTTGCTCTCTGATCAGGGCAGAGGTAGATATGGGGAAGCATGGAGGTGCATCTGCAGAAGCCACTGCGGGGTTGTTTGCAATATAATGCATGATGTAATAACTCTGGTTGGCCAGCTTCCTGTCAGTGTGGAGTCTCGTCCTTTATTCAGGACTGCACAAATATAAAAGGCAAAATAAATATAAAAATAGCAGATAAATACAATATACGTCGGGAAAATGGAAAAATATGGCATAGGATAATGAAGCAATGTACCTTAATTTCCAGCTCCTCAGGGTCAGACTGGGAATTCCGCTTGCACTGGACTGCCTCAGTAGGTTTGAGGATACCTACAGGCGGAAAAATTCTGCTGCCTGCCCCTACATTAAGCGACTTGCGCCCAGAACGAATTACACACATGTTTTATGATGGGAAATAATAGATAATTATTAAAATAAATATAACAATTTCAGCGACGTCCTTATTTGTACAGAAAATCGACAACTTTTTTGGTTACTCTGAATTCGAAGAAAATTCGGGTAACTAAAAATAAAAACAACCATTACTTACCTTGAATATTTTTTGTAGTTACTGTTGTCAGTGGTGGTGCTTGGTGGTGCTGTTGTTGCTTAGTTGACGTCAGAGTATCAATATAATTTTATGTAAACAAAAATTAAAGGAAAAAAGGTAAGGGAAAAAGAAGTAAAAGAGGGAGGGAGATAGGGAGAAAAATGGCTACAGCGCCTTTTATTTCCACACAACCACTCCATTTTTTGTTGAAACAATGTCTTCACCAAAAAATAAATAAATAAATGTGATCGTGAACGCGAACACGAACACGAAAATTGGTAGCTTGTTAGCGGATAAAATATGTTTGATGAGTCTGCACATACATATGAGCGCCTGCTATTTAGCAAAATAAAAATATATGCGCTTTCTTTGCTCCCTGTCTATATTTTATATAGCTTTCAGCGGAGTAGATGTTCAATTTAGATGAATATGAATATGGATGAGCAGTCGTTGCAATAAACCAGTGCTGATATTAAGCACTGGTCTGCATAATTTTGCAAATCGCTGCTAAATGCGGAACTAGCTTAGCTCGATTTACACAACCATTAATCGGCTAAACAAATATTCGCTTATTAAAAACCTGAAGTATCACTTCTGTCTCTTTAATCAAACGATGACAATTTGTAGTAAAATAGAGCTGGAAGGCTCGCTTGTTTCGGTTTCGGTGCATAGTTCACAATTAAATGAGACAATTTCGCAATACCCACGGTATTTCATTGATGCGCGCAAGGTATAATCGATGGGTAAACGTTTCCGTTTGCTGCTTAATTGGCAATTCTGTCCATATTTCAATCCTTGACAGCAGCAAAATAAATAGTGTTAAAAATAGTAAAAACCTATATATGGAATATGAAAAATCATTTTTTTTTAAAAAAAAATGTATCCCAGGTCGTGGACTCATCCATATCCCCTATTCGTATGATTTCCTCAATGGTATTGTTTAGCACAAATAGTTATTTGTTGTCGGCATTGGCTTGTGCATTAAAACAATTTGTAACAATAGCAATTATAAATAGCGCTCAATTATTGCATGAATTGAAAGCTTCCTGCGACTTAGTCTACAGTACAACAGAGTCTCGGTAGCTGCACCGGTCTTTTTTCATTTGATGTCAAAAGAAAAATACATCTCAATCACGTGAGTTCCCCATTGACACTGTAATTTCCAAGTTCTGAAAGTGAAAATTTTTCGCTTTTTTTTATAATGCAGTTTTTTTTCTGCGTCAACTTTGAAAAAATATTACAAAAGGAGTTATTTTGTCTCCACATTAATTATATAAATATTTCTAAATAGAAATGCATTTCTACGAACAGGCAGGTGACATCCTTCGGCGACTGGGGCGGCATGAGGGATCGATAAAGAGCCAGACAGTCGGCAATCGGTACCTGGAGGCCGATGACAAGCGTAGAATGTACGCATTGATCTGCGAGACGCTCAAGTACGCAACGGCACTGAGCGTGGCAGTCGAGCGCAGTGGCATTATGAAGGAGAAGGCTTTGAGCAAAGTGACCGAGCAAATGGCCCTGGTCATGGCGCATGACTTGCTGATCTCGCGCGGCGGCTTGCAGCACCGCGGCGCAGATGCAAAGCTTAACCTGGCGGTCCGCAAACGCAAAGAGGCTTTGGACAAGGAGTTCAAGAATTATATGGTTGAGACAGGCGCTCAGAGCATTGAGGATCTGATTCCGCTGGCTCTGCGCGACACTGCGACAGCGACGTTCCGGTACGTGCGTGTCAACCTGATTGCCACCACGGTGGACGCAGTTATTGAGGTGTTTATCCGTGATGGATTCAAGCTTGTCGAGGATGTGAAGATGCTGAACGTGAATGCGCATCGGTTTATGCGCGACGGTGACCTGTCTGATGTGCTGGTGTTTCCTCCTGGGACCGTCCTGCACTTACACCCGCTGTATGTTGACGGCTCCGTGGTTCTGCAGGACAAGGCGTCGTGCATGCCGGCGCACGTTGTGCAGCCGCAGCCCGGCTCCGAGGCCCTGGACGCCTGCGCGGCACCAGGCAACAAGACCAGTCATATGGTCAGCCTGATGGCCAACAAGGGCCGCGTGCACGCCTTTGACATGGACTCGCGGCGGATGCAGACTCTTGTGGAGCTCACAACCAAGGCGCGGTGCCGCATTATCGAGACACAGTGCATGAGCTTCCTTGACGTCGATCCGCTCAATCCGAAGTATGCCCAGGTGGAGTATGCGCTGCTGGATCCATCGTGCTCCGGGTCTGGTATTGTCAACCGCATGGACGCCCTCGTTGATTCCTATGCCTCAGGCGGTCGCCCGCAGGAGCCGCAGGGTGGACGGTTGGCCGGACTGGCCGAGTTCCAGATTTCCATTATTATGCATGCCATGCGGTTCCCTGCCGTCAAGCGCATTTCGTACTCGACGTGCTCCGTGCATGTCGAGGAGAACGAGGCCGTTGTGGCCGCCGTGCTTGCTGCGCAGGACGAGTTTGGCCTGGCACCGGCCGAGCAGGTCATCCCCACATGGAAGCGCCGCGGTGTGGCCGAGGGAGGCCTGACCCCTGAGCAGGCCGCCTGCGTTGTGCGTACACTGCCCGAAGACGGTACCAACGGTTTCTTTGTTGCTGGATTTGTGCGCCAGAAGCCCGCCGACGTGGAGGCCACCCGCCTTCATCTCCAGACCATCTGGGCCGGTCGTCCAGCACCACAGGCTGCCAGTGACCCCACGCAGAACCAGCACCAGCAGACGAACCAGAAGAAGCGCGAGCTTAACAAGCCTGCTGATGGAAAGCCTGCTGGGCCCATGAAGAAGAAGCCCAAGCCCACTGTCGATACGCGCAAGCAAACCAGCTCGCTGAACGGCCAGCGTGCGCGGTCGGCTGTCACTGCCAATACCCCCCTGCTGCGGGTACAGGCGGCGGGTCTAAGGGCAAGAAGCGGTCCAAGAGACGGGTCACATCGGCGGTCACCCAGTGAGATATATTTTTGAAATTATCTTTTAAGGTGATCAAATCTAATCGAGAAGCTAAACACATGCAAGGCTGTGCTTGGGCAGTTCAAAATAATAAAAGTAGCGTTAAATAATATCGTTTGCTGTCGCTCCCTTTTCACCTCTTTTTTCATATTTTCGTGTGTTATCATGTCTTTTAAATTCAATTGGGGCAGTTTTCCGCCCGAATTCAACAAGGAGGCGTTGGAAATGCTGACTCAGGCGCTGAACAAGGGGGCCAACAAGCCGCCCAACCTCGTGGGCCCGATAATAGCCAAGGAACTTGATCTGGGCAGCAACCCGCCGCAGCTGGACATCCTCGAAATCAGCGAGCTGGAGGAAGACCGGTTCCGCGCAATGTTCCGCATGAAGTACGAGGGCGACGGCTTTCTTGTGCTTCAAACCCAGGTACAGGCCAATCCCCTGCGGCTCACACAAAGCGAGATTCCGACGATGCCCCAGATCGGCGTAGTTGCCGCCGCCCAGCCGCTTGTGGTTCCGATGCTTCTGCGTATCTCGGGACTGAAGCTGCACGGCATCATTGTCTTGGCCGTGTCTAAGCAGGATGGTATCACGCTGGTGTTCCGCAGCGACCCACTTGTGTCAGTTGAGGTGCATTCGACTTTTGATTCGGTGCCATCCGTGCGCCGAATGCTGCAGAGGGAGATTGAGGCCACACTGAGGACGCTGTTCCAGGACGACTTGCCCGTGATTGTGCACGAGATGAGTGTCAATGAGATTCGCAGGGCCAGAGAGGCCAAGGAGCGCGAGAGGAGGGAATACATTGAAAGGCAGCAGCAGCTCATCAGAATGCAGCATCTGCAGGTGGTCGGCTCGGAGTCTGCATTGTTGCCGCAGCAGCGGTTGGTGGACACAGCGGGTTCAGAGTCAGACTCAGTGTCGCTGCATCACCAGCAGCTCATGGCATCGCAGCTGCACCGGCGGCTGATGGAGCTCTCACAGAGCGATGCAACGGCGCTACGGAACCCTGTAATGCAATCCGACTATGCGCACAGCACGCGGTCGGCGGAAATCCCAATACAAACCCAATGGCCGGCGACAGGATCAGCATCCGGACGGCTCCACCACCGGACCAGCACCATGGGCGGCACAAGCATGAGCGGTGACCCACAGACCCTGGAGCAGTTTCTCAACGACGACTGGGAGCGCATGCAGCACAACCAGTCATCATCGGAAACTCACGAATATTTGCATAGCGATAGCATGGATCACCAGCACTCAACTGGCGACCAGACCAATGGTGTGGTTGTGCGTGCATCGGATAATGCTGTGGCCGCTCGCTTGGCCTCATTGATGACTATGGGCCAGACTCTGTCGCCGTATACGCAGCGCTTCGAGCACACAACGATGCGGTCGGATGTCAATCCGCGCTTGCATCCGCCGCCGATATTCACGTTGCCCAATGCCGGGTCAGCATTGACGCCCCCGCTCATGTCGCCGGCGGGTCTATCTGGTGCTAGGCAGTTTTCTTTCAGCTCTGCTGCTGCTGCTAATACTGTTTTGGGTGCGGGTGCTTCGTCAGGGACACCATTTTCGGCTACCACTCCGCCACTACTTGCGTCCGGTGGAAGGTCGCCGTTTCCGAGGAACCGCACATTGCGAAGAAAGGTGCATCGGATAGGTGGGTTGGGCCAGAACAACAGCAGCAACGGCGAAGGCGAAGGCGGCGGCAGCAGCGCGTAGCTTATCCTTTTTTGTGTATAAAAATAACTGATAATAGAATGCATTTGAAACTATGCATGCCTTAAGCAGCTGTCGAACCATGTTGGCGGGCTGCTGTGCTTTTTTAATTGCAGCGTATAGTCAGGAATCAAGGAAAGGGGCAGCCAAAAAAGAAGGATCGGTGTTGTGGATGTAGTGGTCTGTGCATTGTCGCGTAATACCTGCTTTTCAGTCAATTGCCCTCTTTCGATTATATCATCTGGGACTGCTTGGGTTGATAATGTGGTTCTGATCAGTGGTGGATCAAAAATCAAAACCACACGTCAAACCAGTGACGTTGCTTTAATGGTCCAGCGAGGGTTTCCACCATGTAACGTTTAATTATTTTTGTAGATATAGATAGCTAGAAAGCAGGCCCACACAGCGGGTTGAATCTTCTGGCCGAATCGTTAGTATCCATGTTGCAATGGCACTCTAAAAAACTATTACATGGGCGAGCTGTATTTTTTTTGCACAAGCCATTTTGTGTAAACATTCTAGTGACAGGAAACTTTGAAATACCGATTTTCCATACAGTTTTGTTTGTTTAATATTGGGGAAAATCTATCAAAAAAATTTATGTATTCTTGGAAGCTTCTTTTTCAGACCAAAAAATAAAAAATATTTTTTATTTTTTGGGGATAAAAACAAAGTTTCCTTCTATTCACTCATTTTTTCATTTTTTCATTTTTTACCTTTTATAATTTTGTTACTAATAGAAATGGATTTCGATGATATTCCCGAGCTCTCTGCAGACACGCTGGCGCTGCTGCAGTCGTTCCTCGGTGAAAAGCAAGAGCTCGACGACCGGTTTGCCAAGCTCCAAGGGAACGCCGACGCAGAGTTTGAGACACAAAAGATAACCATGGACTGCTTCCAAGAGGACTGGCAGCTCAGCCAGTTCTGGTACAGCGAAGCGACATCCGATTTTATTGCCAGCCGCGCGCTCAAGAACACGCAGCAGGGCGAGAAAATAGCCTTTATCAGCTCGCCCTCTGCCTACGTGGCATTCCGCAATATGGCCCCGGAGCGCGCCATCGATGCCTACGTGTTTGAGTTTGACAAGCGGTTTGACCTGTTCAAGCAGCAGTTCGTGTTTTATGATTTCAACAGGCCGTTGGGATTTTCGAAGGTTGAGGAGATGAAGGGCATGTTTAAGTTTATTGTGGCGGATCCGCCGTTCTTGAACGAGGACTGCTTGTCGCAGACTATGGAGACTGCACAGCATATTGCTGCTGAAGACGCCTTGATTATGATTGACACGGGCGCGGTCATGGAGGAGCTGGCTAATAAGTTGGTCGGCGCGAAGATCACGGGCTTCCATCCTGAGCATGGCGGCGGTCTGTCGAACGAATTCCGCTGCTACACTACGTTTGAAGATGACAAGCTCAAATGGATATAGAAGAGCCCTCTGAATAAAAAATATTTGCCCATATTTTCTTTGCTTCTTTGAGCGCCGAGCCGAGACGTATATTTTTCATTATTTGTTTAGCAAGTGGAGAAAACATTTTTTTTTGCAAAAAACCTTGTTCTTCAAATAAACTCGTATTATTCATTTACTCTTGTATATATTTTCATTTGCTCAAATATGTTCTTGCTTCGTGTGCCTTTCAGTATGCTCAAGCAGGCTGCGGTGTGTCAGCAGCGCTTGTTTTCTGCATCGATATTTGTTGGCAAGGACAGCCCTCTGGGACAGCTAGAGAGTCTGGCCAAGTTGCTGTCTGATGACGCTCGCAAATCGCCCAAACCTGATGCCACATCTGAAGAAGCGGTGCCAACCATGCCGATGCTTCCAGAATTTCCACTGGATATGGCGGCCATTGCGGAATGCGAGTCCGAATCCGATGCTCCAACCGTCACAAACAAGCATCAGCCCAGCTCATCATTATCATCGGCACCGGCATCGGCAGCAGCAGCAGCGTTAATAAAAACCATCGACAGACCCCAGCCAGCAACTCGCAGAAGATGGTCGCGCGAAGAAAAAGCACGTCTTGTCAGAGTAGTCGAGCTTTGCCGCAAGAAGAGACATGGAACGTCAGTCTGGCCGAGAGTGCAGCATCACTTTCTGGACCGCACCTCCGTTGCGTGCCGAGACGCATACCAGAATATCCTCAAACTAAACGCACAAGAAGGCTTGGCTCCAAACGAAGTGAGTCCCAGCCACCGTCTCACAATAGATAAGGGTAGCAGGCGGCGGCAAACGAGCTCCGAGTTGGAGATTGCCGCATTGACCGATGCAGTGCGCAAGTACGGTGAACACAGTTGGACGGCTGTGGCCAGGGAGATGGAGAGAACCACGGGGATTGTCAGACTGAAGGGCGTGTACAGCAATATTTGGAACATGAAGGTGTGCCCAAAGGCGCTGAGCGCACCGCCATGGAGCATTAGAAAGTCTGAGCGGCTGAAGCAGCTGGCCGAGGAGCATGGCAGGGATGAGGTGTTCTTGACGTACAAGTTTTTCCCCGAGTACACACCTCCGGTCATCAAGACGATGCTCAACCGTATCGGCACAGATCGGGAGGCGCTGGACTACAGGAGCCGAAAGCCCACAGTCCACAAACATACATTCAAAAAGAAATGAAAAATCTGTATTTCAGAGAGAAGATAAAGACAATTCTTGAACTCTCGCTTACTTTGCCTTGCGAATGAGCGTGTCGGCCAGCGTGAGCATGGTCGCGCCCTCGGACTGGACCGCCTCTCCGTTGGCGTACCACCTCACGCGCGTCTTTGAGTCGACCAAGAAGGCGTACCCGATCAGCGGATTAGCAATGCCCAGCGTGTTCCGCAGAGCCTCGACGCCGCCATAGTGCAAGACATACGTGTCGTGGCGGTGCTTGGGCACATTGCGGCGCACATACGGGAGGCACATGCGGAGCACCGCAGCCTTTGCCCAATTCTCCTCGATATTAACCTGCACAACCTGCACTTTGCCACGGCCCTCAAAGGCCTTCTCGAACACATTGATGTAACTCAACGTGTGCTTCTCGGCGAACTTTACAAACTCCATGGTCAGCAGCGTGGTTTTGCCGCGGCAGAGCTCGGCAATATCAACGGTGCTGCCAGTGAGCGACTTGCACTCGAGGTTGGGCAGGTAGCGGGCGGTGGTCGCTGGGATCAGCTCGGCGGGGCCTCGAAGAGCTTGTCACCATTATTGCGCAGATCCAAAATATTTTGCCAGTGGGACTCGCCAATTTCACGGATGATCCTGGCCCGCGACTCGAGGTTCTTCTCGGGACTCAGGATATCGCGAAACTTTTTGTCAATCTTTTCTTTCAACGGCATATGCTCCAGCTTGCCGGCCGGCACCTGCTGTCCAACGGCCTCGCCTGGCCGGATGGTCTTTCGCGGCTTTGGCCGGGGCCGCGGGAACCGCGTGTTGCCGATGTATTCGATCTTCTCGGCCGGCGGCTCCTCAACCTTTGGCGGTTCCTCCTTGGTCTCCTCGACCTTGGGCTTTTCGCTGTCTGCTGGCTTTTGACCGCCTTCTTTGTCTTTGGCGTTGAGCAGCATGCGGCTGGAATGCAGGCTTCGACCGAGTGATATCTGTGACAGCCGGCCGCCCATGTAAAGCGTGTGTCTCCGCAACAAGTTCATTATTGTTTTTTGGGCGACGGCCTTCGATATTAAACTTTTAAATTTGGGTGCTTTTTAAAGTAGAAGAAAATATGGATTCGAAAGACAAAAGATTGTGCAATAAAAACCAAAAAAATATTTAAGGTGCAGGCATTTTACATATCGCGGAGCTTACGACGATCACTCGTTTTACTTTTCAAGCCTATTTTTTCCCTTGATCATTTTTTTCTCTCTCTCTCAACCTTTCCTTGCCTTTTTTTGACACAAAATTTATATATCCCATATAAAACCCTAGCCATGGTGGTAAAGCTACCAGCGGCTGCCCCGCGATTGATGCTAACCATGTTCACACACAACCGCTGCCAGCTGTGCGTTAATGCCAAGGAGGCACTAGAGAAAGTACGGCAACAGGTGCCGTTCAACATCACCGAGGTGGACATAAAGAAACCCGAGAATAGCAAATGGTTTGAGGAGTACAAGTACGATGTGCCGGTGATCCACGCCAACGACGAGTTCCTGCTGTGGCATCGCGTCAATGTAGAAGACACAGTTTCCAAGCTCCAAAATATTCTCAAATCTGGTGGAAAAGAGTAGAAACTCATCCCTTAGATATCAATACATAAAACATATTAAAAGAATAAAGATGCAATTGAATTTTTTTATAACCGACCCGAGAGAAAAAAATCAACAAAAAAATTGACCAACAATGACATTAACAAAATATATGGTTATCAGGTGACAGCAGCAGTGTTGGCAGTCTGTGCAACAGCTATGCGGTTGAGCTCACCCTGGAGCACCTTCTTAACACGCTGCAGCGAAAAGGATCCCGAAGCCAGCTCCCGACAATTTTCAACGCCATACGGAGACTCAATAACAACCTCGTCCAAAACAACAATCTTGTTCTGGCTCCACCGGCAAGGAAGCGTCCTCGAAAGAGCCTCGAAAATTGACTGAGCCACGTCACTCACCCCAACTCCAATACGCGCCGCCCTCTCCCGCGCCTGCAAAATCGAACGCTGCTTGCGAGCCTCAATTACACTGGTAGCCACAGGACGTACCTCCGGGAGTACCAAATCCCCAGATTTATCTGTCACCTGCAGGTCCTTGATATTTGCCGCCTTGATGATATGAATCTGTGTGCGCTGCTGCTGCTTGGCATTTCCACCAAGACTCGGACTGCCATTGCTCTGCCCGAGTTGCTGCTGCTCGGCCAGCGCATCGCCAGTGGTTTCGGATATCAGTGCGACTACTCCGCTGTATACATCGTATGTGAAGACAACGCCCTCAATGGTGCTGCCATTGATCAGGGTGAGGCAAACCTTGGCATTCACTAACGAGGTAAGGGGTTGTGAAGGAGCTGCGCGCACTGACCCGTTTTTCCGCGCTACCGCAATTGAGCTGCTCTCTATGCCGACACACCAGCAGCGGGGGCAGAATCCGAAGCAGGGGCAGAGGCAGAGGCAGCCGAAATAGCAGCCGCAGCAGCTGCAGCAGCAGCTGTGGCGGCACTTGTAGTGGCCGCTAATTTCTTTGCTGCCGCCGTCGCCGCGTATGAAAGTGGCGCGCTTCCGCCAAAGTTTGTGGTTTTCTTGTTATTGGTGGAATTGCCGTTGGTCTTTCCAGATGCATTGGCCTTCATCTTGTTTAAATCCCCGCTGACTGCTACACCCAATGTAGTTGCATTTGGCGTCGCATTTGTAACCGGCGTTGGTGCGGGTGCCGTTGTTGCTGCTGGTGCCGGTGCCGGTGCTGCTGCTGGCTGAACTGTTACCGCTGCGCCTCCCTTGTTGGATGCTGGACTGCCAGCCGCGGCTCCTTCCTTTAGCTGGCGGGTTGCAGCAGCGCGATAATCCATTTTGGAGGAAGGAAGGAGTGGGGGGAAAAGTTGGTCTCGATGCTCGGAAAGGACAAGGGAAGAAAAAAGGCTAAGATATAAATGAAAGCGAGTAAATGAGGTTAAAAATAAATAATGGCAAAAGGATGATGTTTTGAATTAAGCTTGGTCATTGCGAAATTTAAAAGGCACGAAAATTTGACTTTTTATTTGCACTTTATGTCTCACAGGCTTGGACTGTGATTCTCTCTTTTTCGCAGCGAAATTATCTCTGAGTAAAGTTGGGAACTTAAAATGACTCGAGCCGAGCCGGATAAAAATGAACCAATTTTTTTTGGACAAGGCTCCGAAAACGATATGTGCGTTTTCAAATGCAATCCAAAGTAAGCAGCAAATACGCTATTTCTATACAATATCAAGAGACGTCGTTTGGATATAAAAATAGAGTGACCGGTATACACACGTGTCCTCATGCTAGTAATACAATGCGACTTTGCACGAGCGAACTCTCAACAAAACTCGCATTGTCGCGCCGCCAAATGTCGAACCCAAGCAAACTAAACTCAAAGCAGTCGGGGCAGGCGCACGTGCATGCTCAAAAATGGCCAAATAGTTTATCAAATTTTCACTTTACATTTTACATTTTGCCAAGTTGACACTGTCTAATTACGCCTGTTCTTTTTCAATTATAAAATTTCTTTGAAGAAAACACTTTTCACTATTTAATTCGCGCTTTGGGCCATCCCCTTAATCAACAGGATAAAAAGGCTGTATTGTCTTTGTTTACCCCTTTTAACAATAAAAACGGTGGCTGTCTTTTTGGTGTCTTTTTTGCGCAGGCTCAACAAGAAAAAAACAAGGAAAAATGGTGTCTATAAAATAAAAGAAGAAATTAGGCGTTTTTTTGCTATCCGCGTATCCGGAATCTCACCTGCATTTTCCCAACAACACGAGGTTTGGATTATCCTACTTTTCTCTTCTTGTTTTTGTCGCCATTTGAAATAAATATTTTCACACTCATTTTATTTCGTCACTCTGCATTCTAAGTTTCGTCCTTGAAAAGATAAAAAGAAACATCCTTTCATTTGCCGTGTTCTATTTTATCTTTTCTTTTCTTTTCTTATCTACATCTTCAGTTAATTCTTTTTATTTTTATTTTTGTTTCTACATTATTATTTAAGTTTTTTATTTATCCTGCAAACCCAGTCTTTTTGTTGTTCATTGCTGTTTTTTTACGCAGCCGTTGTTATATTTGCCATCAACAGTTAAACAAAAAGCCTAACATCCAAATCAAACTCCGCATAATAGCGCAGCGCATATAACTTTATTTATTTATTACATTACACATCTACACACCGCCATCCAAGATGTGTTTTTCACAGGGCCAGCACCACCAGGGCGACCAGGGCCACCAGGGCCACTACTGCCAGGAAGCAAATCTAGCAGCGCTACCTTCACCGCCCATGGATGACAACAGCAGATACATGTACAACAGAAGCGGTAACGGCGCGTATGCACCAAACCCGGTTGATGCAGCGCAGGCACTGGCGCAGTTGCCCCCGCCCAACATGCAGCACCCACAGCAACAGCAAGCTCTGTATTATAAGGGCAATGGATACGACAGCCGGCATCAGGAGCAGCAGCAACGCCATCACAATCACAGCCACTTGCAGTGTCAACATTACCAGCTAGCTGCTGAAATTAATACGGCGTATCCGCCGGTGCCATCTTCGCCTACAAATTACCACCCACAGCCTGCTCGGCCTGACCATTATGGTGGAGGCCAGTATCAGGCATCCTCGCCACCGGTCCCACCTCCCATCGCTCCTGGGAACTCTTATCATGTGCCCCAGCAGTACAACAATCCTGCACCACAAGTCTATGCGCCGCCGCCAGGGCCACCGCCACCAGAGCTCCAGCAGCAGCAGCATCAAAAGCAGTACGTGCACAATGCCCAGCAGCTACCACCGCCAATGCACAATCAGAAGCAGCACATTGATTACTCTCCGCCGCCACTGCCACCACCTGCCACTCACTCAAATGGGCAGTATACTAGCCCGCACGTGATGGGTTCAGGCGCGCCGACGCACCATCGGCCAATGTCACAGTCGGAGCCATACTACCAGCTGCACGGCCATTCGACTCCGCTCATGTCGAATCAGGGGCCGAGCCCGCCGCCTTTGCAGCACCAGTACAGCCCTTCGCAGCGACACACGTCGCCGGGCGGTAACTATGGACACTCGCGGGCAGAAACCGACTATTACAGTCCTGAGCCGATTAGAGCATCAAGTCCGTCGGCTCACCAGCCCTACCATTCACCACCGCCGCTGCAGCATCAGCAGCAGCATCAGCAGCCATCCACTTACGCGCATTATTCGGCACCTGATGGCAGTGCCCAGCCCATGGCATCCGATGCGCCGCTCGCACCACTTTTGCACCACCACTCTACCTCGCAGTACGCGTCGCATCCGCCGCCGCCACTGCATATACAGCAGGCGCAACAGATGCAGCAGATGCAGATGCGCAAGTCGCCGTCTCCCATACCTTTGTCGCAGGCGCAGATGCGCCGCGAACACTCGTACCGCGCGGCATCTGGACAACAGGGCCCTGGGCAGGTAGCTAGTACTTGGCCATCTATGGCAACAAGACAGGACACGCGCAACAGCTACCCCGAGCACCACGCGTTGTATATTGCCGGGCAGACACCCATTTCGTCAGTGCTGACGGCTGAGCCCATTGTAGCTGGAATCAATATGCTAAACCCGACCATGCAGCGCAGCCACGGGTCTGGCCCAGACGGCGGATATGCCGGTTCGCCGCCGCAGGTTCCTAGTATGCTCAGCAGCAGGCGTCGGGAGCAGAGCTTCTATGACCACAGTCGCGACTCTGGCGCAATCCCACCGCCCGTTGGCCGCCCAGGCAGCATGTCGACACTGGTTAGCTCCATGGGGAGCATGTCTCTGCGCCCACCACAGACAAACCATGGTCTTGCGTACGGCCAGCAGTCGCAGTCGCTAACAGGGTCTTCCGCCTCTGGGGCGGTGCTTTTCCAGGGTTCGCAGGTGGCCTGGCAGAACTACTCGCCGGGCAACCCGCCACCTGTTGTCCACGCGCAGAGCAACCCGGTGCACAACTCATCAGCAATGTCTTTGCCTCCCAGCGCCATTCACAGCGCGCACACGATCCACGGCCCAGTAGTGCAGTCGATGCCCGAGCTGCACGGCTCGTCGTCTACAGTCAACCAGCCGGGCAGCGGAGGTGGCAGCAATATGGTGTACCCGCTGTGGTCCAACATCAATGCTGACGGGTTCCACGCGTACCAGCACCACATTCCGGTCGAGACGAGCAACTTTTCAGGCACCAAGTACGCGCTGATAATCGGCATCAACTACTACAACAAGGATTACTCGCAGACATCCAACATCAACAGCGCGCACGCGTTCCGCAACATCCTGGTTAGCCGCTTTGGATACCTAGAAAAGAACGTCACGCTGCTCAGCGACGACCAGCAGGACCCAAGGTCGCACCCGACATACAGCCTAATTACGTCAAATATGAAGCGCATGATGCGCGAGGTGCGGCCCAACGACTCGGTGTTCTTCTACTACTGCGGGTTTGGCAAGCTGCCCATGCAGGTCCAGGATAAGCGGTCGGAGACGCTGTCAGCGGTTCGCAGGCTGCGGTCAGACTACATCCTGCCCGGCGACTTTGAGACCGCCGGCGCGATCGACGCCGCGTACTTGCACAAATATCTGGTTCGGCAGCTCCCGCAGTCAGCACGGCTCACAGCCCTGTTAAATTGCATCGTCAACGAGACCGGCCTGGGCGTCCCCTACAAGTACACGCAGCCCAATGGCATGGCCGTGCTGACCAACGCAATTGCTGGGAGCAACCTATTCGAGGCCAACGTAGGCGTTAACCCGGGATCCAATGCTAGCTTTGGTGATCTGTCGCAAAGATTCGAGACGAATCTGATGCAGCAGTACCCGCAGGGCTCCCCGACCGCCGACCCCGAAACCGAAATGAGCCGGCTGCAGCAGTCGTCTGGGGACATTGTCGTGTTTAGCTGGGACCGCGACTACGCAAACCCCAACCACAGGAACTACCTGTCGCACACTCCCAGCAACCAGCTCGGCAACTACTGGGGTGCGGCCATGGAGAGCGCACTGAGAGACAAGCCAAAGCCAACGTATGGCGATATGCTCGGGTACTTGCATGATTCGACCAAGAGCCTTGTCATGCTGCCGTTTATTGCCTCCGGGCGCAAGATTAACATGAGCGAGCCGTTCGATATATGAAAGCCCATTTCAGCTCCATTATTTTTATATCATTTTTTTACTTTTCACCAATCAATCAACACTGAGCGCAGTTCTGCGATGTCTGTTGTTGGCTTTTTGAGATCTTTAAAGACGTCATCGTGCGAGCAGTGAAATAAAAGCGATGCGCAGGAGGGATACCTGCCGAAAACGCTTCTTTTTATTTTCGGGGGGTTTGCCAAGCCGCTGAGACTAGCGTCGAAATGAATTATTGGCACGTGGCCTGGAATAAATAAAAATACATTTACACATACCCCTCCTCCTCCCTCCTCACAACTGCTTTCAAAATTTTGCATTTTCTAGCCAGCGCGGCTTTTTTTGCCTGCCGTGTTTGCAGACGCATTCTCTTTGCGCACCCACTGCACGCAAGCAAAAAAACCGCATTTTCCTTCTCTTCTTTTCTCTCTTTCCTTTTTAAATACCCTCACTTTATTCTTTTTATTCACCGCCATAAATACACACAACCACAACCACAACAACAACCAGCACACCCTATTTTTACTCTTATTCTTTATTTTATTACTCACTCCCCATCTGTACTAAAACGCCATCATGAAGACCCTGCTTAGCATCGCGACCCTGGGCGCACTGGCCCTCAGCTACAGCGGCCAGGCATCCGCAGCCGTGCACACCATCGCCATCAAGAAGGTGAACGAGTCTCCCGAGGCTACCCTCCAGCGCTACGCCAACACTGGCAGCTACATTTCGCAAAAGTACTTTGGCGCCGGCACACTGGACAAGTTCTCATCGCAGCAAGGGAGGTCATTGCGACCAACGTTGACGGCAGCGCCTCCTTTGGCGTGCCCATTTCGAACTTTATGAATGCGCAGTATTACGGCGAGGTTGATATTGGAACTCCTGCGCAGACGTTCAAGGTTGTTTTTGACACTGGGTCGTCGAACCTCTGGGTGCCGTCGCAGGAGTGCTCTTCTATTGCGTGCTTCTTCCATAAGAAATACGACCATTCGCAGAGCTCTTCTTATAAGGCCAATGGAACCGAATTTGCCATTCGGTACGGGTCTGGGTCGCTCGAGGGGTATATGAGCGAGGACACGCTGAATGTCGGCGGTATTGAAATTGAGAAGCAGCACTTTGCTGAGGCCACAAAGGAGCCCGGGCTTGCGTTTGCTTTTGGCCGCTTCGATGGCATTCTTGGTCTCGGCTACGATACTATCTCGGTTCTGGGCACGGTGCCGCCGTTCTACCACATGGTCAACCGCAAGCTGATTGATGAGCCGATGTTCTCGTTCTACCTGTCGGATAACAACAAGGGCGAGGGCGACGTCGGTGAGATGACCCTCGGCGGCTACAATAAGGACCACTTTGAGGGCGAGCTGCAGTGGGCCAACGTGCGCCGCAAGGGATACTGGGAGGTGGACCTGGAGAAAGTCAAGTTTGGCAATGACGAGATTGAGTTGGAGAACACGGGCGCTGCCATCGATACCGGCAGCTCTCTGCTGGTCCTGCCAACCACGCTCTCTGATATGATCAACAAGGAGATTGGTGCCAAGAAGAACTTTGCTGGACAATACATCGTTGACTGCGCCACCGTGCCATCGCTGCCGCCGTTCACGCTGCAGTTTGGCGGCAAGGAGTACGCGCTGGATGCCGAGGACTACGTACTGAATGTGCAGGGCCAGTGTGTGTCGGGATTCATGGGTATGGATATCCCGAGCCCCTCGGCCCCATCTGGATCATCGGAGACGTGTTCCTGCGCAAGTTCTACTCGGTGTACGACCTGGGCAAGAACCGCGTTGGTTTTGCTAAGGCGCGCTAAGCGTCGTCTTTTCACTTCTTGTTTTATTCAACAGCTTGATACAGTTCAATTCAACTTAGTTCAGTTCATCTTTATTTTTTGAGAATTTAAAAGGTTATTTTTTTAAATAGCGATCAGGATAATAAAAGAACACGCAAACTAAAAAAGAGTATTCTTAGAAGTTCTTCTTCTTCTCATCCACAGAGAAGCCGCCAGGACCCACGTTGACAAGCAAGAGGAAGCCGCCCATAATCGACAGAGTCTGGAAAAAGTCATACTTGACGAAATCGCGGTGAGTCGGGTTAAAGTCAATCGACCACCAGTTATTAACCATGAGGTTAAACACGCTAAGAATAGTAACGAGGACAATCGCAGACCACTTAGCCTTGAACCCAACAGCGACCATCAAGCATGACATACCGCCCACAGCGCTAACAATCAGACGCGTCACCGAGAAGGAACCTGAAAACACAAACGAGACGAAAAGCAAAACAAGCAAAATCCTTCCACCCAACAACACATACTTGGATTTGTCCTCATCCGAAATACTCGGCAGACCAGCAAATACATTCCGACGTCTAGCCAAAAGCGCCTCCGCGAGTAACATCAAAAGGCCTCCGGCAACGGACAAGTTACGAACGAAAAACTTGAAATCAAAAATAAGCCCGTATGCAAACCCCTGCACGACGATGACTGCAAAAAGTCCACTCACTGCGTACTCTGTTTGGCGACGGAAAATTGCCAGAGTTGAGCATACCAGCATGGTTATTACGTTGGCAAGGAGGAAGAAGTGGCTGATGCCCCAGGGGAATCCGCGGTAAGCTTGCAGGAAATACAGCTGGTTTTGCCACTGCATGACGATACGGATGGCGTCCTCGAGGAACGTGGACACGAGGAGTGTGCGGGCTACCAGTGGGATATACGGCTTCAGCGGACGGCTCATCCGGTCCAGGACGTCTTCTGTCTGCTCGCTGACGTTTCTGATCTTATCCATTACCTATGATATATTTGTTGTTTTATTTTGAAGTGCAGAAAAACATTTGCAGAAAAAAGTGAATTTAGAGCAGTGTACAACAGTATTCTCACAAAGCTTAAAAAAATCACCCTTGTGTAAACTTAAAAGCGCTCTTCTCTCTACGATGCTTGCAAAAACTGTTGTCGATAATAACGTCGGGGCGTACTTACAAGTAAAGTTTTAAAGAATAAGATATTTGGTTGTGGTTTGTAAAAAAAATAAAAGTAAAACTGTTATTTCTGCCTTTAATAGTTTCTACCCCCTTTTTTCTCAAGCTTGTGAAATGTACTCAAAGGGTAAAAAAACTTTAGTAAAAAAATGATAAAATAGAGTCGGAATGTAAAAAAAAATTAGAGAAAAAGAAGAGAAAGTGAGTGAGAGTGAAACAGATAGAAAAGAGGGTTATCCAAAAATTAAAAAATGCCTGACAACAATAAAGAAGAGGAAGAGATATAGTTTCAGACACAAAACATTGAGAAACACTAATTTCATCACGAAATAAAGAGGTCTTTTTTCTCGGGATTTGCCTTGTTTCCTTACTGCTCGCGGCAAAAAGCCTCACACACACGCTTAAAACTACTGAACTAAAAAGCAAGACACGGCCAAAAAACCCACCAAAAAAATAATGTGCCTTTTTTTGGTGTCGGCAACAGCTAGTAAAGCACCAAGCACCAAGGGAGCGAATGAGAAAGTAAGTCTCGAGATTGCGCATCATCATTTGTGCGTGGCCCAATCACCAGAGCTTTATTTGAGTTTTCATCTCAGCTTGCTTGGCCAGCAGATAAAATGCACGCATGGCTGACGTGGGCAGCCACCACTGGTTTGAAAATTTTAAACAATCGGACGTATTGTTTGCAAAATAACATACAAAAATAAAATAAAAAAGCCACCCAAGAGAACAGCCACATGCATGATATGCAAGTCCGCATATGCGGTTTGTGTTGTTCGTATGCTTTCTCAAAATAGCTGCCAACTAACTAGCCAACTGACTGGTCAAGTAAGCAGGGGAAATTGATCATAATTCAAGGAGCACGCAAAATTAAACGGAAAACCAAGTCTATTAAGCCAAAAAATCCCACACCATTAAAAACAAGGACAGAAAAGGGTAGGAAATACACACTCGCAGTATTAATTGTCGAGTTATATTCCCACTGTCCCGCGGCGCCCAGGCGTCGATGCTGTGCTCCTGGGTGCAACTGGCGACATGTCCGATGCCGACTGGTGCTGCTGCGGCACCAGGGTCGGCGAATGGTTGCGCAAAGGCCCTCCTCCGCCCACACTCCCGCCCGCCATCATAGTGTCGACTGCGCCCAGGTGTCTGTTTCCATTGCTGGTGGGCGTAGAAGATGCCGGGCGGTACAGGTCAATGAAGGCGGTCGAGTCTCTGTTGCTGCTACTGCGCAGGTCAACCATCGACCGCGTCTCGTCGTGCACGCCTAGCTGGGAGTCGTCATCTCCAAATCCGAGCGAGGATGTCCACATCGATGGCTTGAATGACGACAGGTCTATGGCGGCCCCGCCACTTCCCAGGGACGTCATCGCCTCCAAATCCACATCCATGTTGCTGCTGCTGCCGCTGGAGCCAGGGTTGCAATTCATCAGTCCACCGGGGACGCCCGCCAGCGCGTTCATAGCATCCTGCGTGAACTGCGTTCCGGAGAACGTGCGCGCATGGCGGCTGCTAGTTGAATTTGCAGAATCCATTAACCCAAGGCCAATCGACTGTTGCTGCTGCTGCTGCTGAGCGTGTCTTCCATCCAGCTGCGTCGAGAGCAGCGGGAACTGCAATTGAAGATGCGAAGACGACGACGACAATGAACCGGTTGCTGCCTCGGACACTGACAACAGCGCTGACGAAGGCGAAGCCTGCGATTGTTGCGCTGGCACACCAATAGCACTGTTGTGGTCCACCGCTAGCTGTACAATATTTTGGTTGCTGCCAATAGTCCGACTGCGGCGCACACGTGTGGTCGCCTTTGTGCCTGAGGGGCGTGGCGGATAAGGGCCGGTCTTCCGCACGCTGCCACCGGTCTGTTGCTGCTGCTGCTTAGGCACCTGTTCCATCGCGCTGTCGTTAAACTCCGACGTGGCAACATCCTCGAGAAGTGACGGCGGCACATGCATGGTGCGACGGCGTCCCGGACCACTGGCAACTCGGGCTCTGCTGCTACCTCCAACAGACAATTGCGAGCCATAAGCCCCAACGACTTTGTTGCCAAGTCCTGCTGCCGCCCCCGCGGAAAACCCAATCGTACTCGTATCTATCGCCTCGCCGGTATCACCCATGCTCATAGGCACCATGCCGGCAGCTGTGTCCTGACTTGACACATTATACATGCCCTGCTCATGATGACCGCTGTCGCCCGCCTGCTGCTGGTGCTGCATGGTGCAGTTATCCCGAGCATGTCGCTGGTTGGGTAAGCAAAAGTCGGGAATATAGGCATCGACGGCCGGCGGTACGACTGCTGGTTCACTGACCCCTGGCTGATTCCGTATGGATTCAGCGACGCTATCGTGTTGCTATCCGTCGCTGCTTGGGCGACAACGGTGGCGGATGCCGCGTCCAGCTGTGCCAGCAGAGATGGTGTCAGTCCATACCAGTCAAACTGACTGCGCCGCCGCGCATGCGTCATCGTCGACTCGTTGCCCAAAGACAAACCGCCAGCACCACCACCATTTACATGATGATGGCTGTTGATGTCGCCAGCATTATTGCTGCCTGCTGTCCCGACTATCGCTGCCGACGCAAGCCCTGCATCAAGCATGTTCGGATCAATCGACTCGCTGCCCATCTGGCCCCCGGCATCGCCAATGTTCCAGCCGAGCCCTGAGGGGGGAAAGTTGGGGAACCACTGCGTGAGCTGTGTCAGCGCATCAAAGTCGACACGGCCGTCTCCGGTTGACGTTGTACTCAACCCGATACTGTTGTCGTCAGCAACGCCATTGGCCGCAGAAGCCGCTGCGCCGATCGCAGCTGCCCGCGCTGCCCGCTGGCCTGCATCTCGTTGTCCCGAAGATACGCACCGCTACCAACCGTGCTCATCGGCGCCAAGGTCGGAATTGTGGACTCGGCCGAAGAGGACAAAGGGTGCTTGAAGCGCGAATCAGCAGAGCTACTGCTGCCAGTAGTCACATTGATCGCAGTGGCCGCAGAAGCAGTCATACCAGACATGTGGTTGCCGTCGGTGCCCGGTGTCACAACGGAACTCTGAGCCGAGCTCATCTGGGCCGAGATGTCTGCCACCGCGGCGGCTGCAGCTGCGGCAGCCGCAGCCTCGTCGGGCAGGCGCGGAAACAGGAACGCGTCAGGGTTGATTGGCCCCCCAATAGTCATCCGCCGAATGGTATCCGCGGCGCTGAGCTGCATGGCGCTGCCACCAGCACTATTTGCCGCGTGATCGAGCCCAGTGACGCCCGGATGGAAGAACTGCAGCGCCGACGAAAAATTGGACCTGTCAATCCCCGCTGCATCAGCAGCGGCCGCCATAACGTCGTTAAAATCAGCCTGGACCGAGTGGCGGCGCTTGGCCGAGTGGGTCGGCGTCGAGTAGCCACTGATGCCACGGCCCTCGAGCGCCAACGCATCGAGCTGGTCGGTCGGCGTCATGGAACCAAGTGGCCGCGAGAACACCGATGGCGCGAACGAGTCAAACAAAAAGTTGCGATGACTGCCGAATGGACCGGCAGAAACCGTCCCGCTCCTGCGCTGCTCAACATCGGTATAGCTGCCAAGGACAGCAAGCTGGCTGCAGCTGGCGCTGTTCACGTGCGCTGGCGCCGAATGAATGTCGCCGTCGTTCGTCCCCATGTTGACACCGCCAGCCACAGACCCCTCTCCAGATACAGAGAGCGCATCCAGCTGGTTTTGCTTCTCCTGGTTGGCGAGCGCGGCCTTGGACTTGGCGCGTGGGCGCTTGGGCTGCGGCTTTTTGCGGCTGCTCAAATTTTTGGCCGAAGGAATTGGCAGCTCGTCCTCGCACTCACGCTCGTTCACCAACCCTGTCAGGTCACCATTAAACTCGCAGTCGGCAAACTGCTTACTTTGGGAAGACGAGCGCTGCCTGCCGGCACTTGTCGGTGTGTCAAAGACCATCGAGGCGGCGCTCGAGTCGCCGCCAGCGTGGTGCACCTGCGAATTGCAAAGAGACACATTGTCCGCGCCCATGTCGTCGCGATCACCGTCGGCATCGGCATCAGCATCATAGCTAGACTCAATGTCGTCGTCGTCGTCGGGAATCGGGTGCGGGTCGAGAGACGCGTTCATGGCGCTCAGCACGCTCATGATCTTGTCCTTGATGTTTCCTGGAATGTCGCCCTCGAGCCGCTTGCTCCCCGTGGGCGCCTTGCGCTTGGGAATCGACGGCACTGGCTCGGGCTGCGCTTTCGCCTGCACTCCTGGTGACAGGTGGCGTTCGCGATCTGCACGCTCCTTCTTCGGAATAACGTACCCAAACAACTCAAAGACCTCGGGGAATGCATTGCGCAGGCGGTCGCGCAGAGACTGTCCTGGACGATCGTTGAGCTTCAAGTCCGCGTCGGCCGCAATCTTTGTCCAATGGTTGGCATGTCGCAGCACGCCAAGGAGCAGCCGGCGGTCCTCATCGTGAGTGTAGTTGCGCGTGGGTTTGCGTTGCACCCGCTGGAGGCCCTGCAGGCGCTGCGAGTTCGGCGGCAACGGCCACACGACGTCGGGCTCCTTGCCGTTGCTCTTGATGGTGTTCTTTGGGTACGGGCTTTGGGCGCACTCCTGGGCACGGATTGTCCGGAACCTGTCCTTCAGATCGACCGATGTGCGACAGTTGAACACGAAAGTCGGATCGTCAAGGATTTTCTTCCACGCACCAACGCCGTATTTGCTGCACCCGCGCAGCAAGCTTTCGGTCTCTTCTTCGGTCCACTTGCGTGCCGCGCGCCGAATATCAGGGTGCGGCGTGGTTTTGGCCGAGCGATCAGATGCTTGGCTGGATTTGCGCTTGGCTGGGCTCTGGTGTGGGGTGCTGTTGCCGTCCTTGCGCTTGCGCTTGGACATGCCAGCAGATATAGGCATCACTGCCGCATCTGTTTCTGCCTTGATAATGTCATCGTTGGCGGCGCACTGGTGGTCGTCGACCATGATGTGATCCGGCCTAATAGAGCCCGAGACTACGGCTGCCGCGGCTGCAGCAACAGCAGCGACAGTCGCCGCGCTCATACTCCCGCTGTCAGGCGTATATTCATGCTGAGTTCCAAACTGCGTCTGATTGTGCGTGTCTCCAACAACTGCGGACAACATCCCGCCGTCTGCGCCCGCCGTCGTGGCTGCAATGTGCTGCAGTGCCTGGGCCAAGTCCTGGTAGGCTGAGCTGGTGAGTGGAGCGCCGTAATGTGTGCTGAAACCACCCTGGTCATTGCCAGGACCGCCGCCAGGACCCATGCGACCAAAGCCGTTGTTGATCCCAGACAGGGTCAAGTTGGCATTGGAGATGAGCTCGCTGTGCGTCAAATACGAGTTGTCGACATTCTGGTTCTGCTGGTGCTGCTGAAACTGCTGGCTGTGCTCGCTCTGCTGCTGAGCTGCAGTGTTGATGTCTGAACTGGTACCCGAGGACTCGGCAATAAAGGCCGCAGCGTTGTTGAGAAGGGCCAGAAAGCCCATATCAGGCCGTCGCTGGCCAGCGTCCGACGCGCCAGGCACGGGTGCAGATCCCTCGCGCGGCTGGTGATCAAACGTGGCATGGCTGTGGCGGGGTGTCGACATTGTGCTCTGTAGTCTTCCTCCGGGTGTGCGCGACACGGGCCATATCCCCGGAGCGTTTGCTGCCGATCCAGAGCCAGCTACAGCAGCAATCGCAGCGGCAGTGGCAGTGGTGCTTCCGGCGATGCCAGCGCGATCCTGCCATGCAGCCAGCACGCGGGCGGCTGCGGCTGCAGAGTCGCCGAGTGATGACGAAGACTCGGAAGAGCCGCTTCCGTTGTGTTCCGTGTCTGTGCTAGTGCTGCTGTCGTCGCTGATTTTGTAGGGGCGCATCTGAGAGACACTGGTGATGGTCGACGATGCTGATACAGCGGAGACTGGCGTAGTGACCGCAGCAACGAGCTCGTGTGATGGCGGGGTTTCAGAGTCGGAGTAATAGGAGATGAACTTGTTTACGAGCTCGGACCCAGACGTGCTCGCTGTCAGTGGTGCTGTTGTGTTTGCGATGTCTGCTGCGTGGAACCCACTGCTAGTTGCCATTGGAGACAAGGGCCGGGAAACAAAAATATAGAATAAAAGAGAACGAGAACGAGAGAAAATTAAAGAGCGAGAGCGAGAGCGTGCGCGAAAGGCAGTTTAAATTCAATATACGCGCGTTTGTGTCTATGGTACGTAGAAAACGAGCGCCCTTCTTTTGTATGGTGTGCTTCCTAAAAGACAAAAAGGGAGGCAATTCAAATAACCACCGAAACAAGGTGGGACAAAGAGAAGAAACAAAAACTGATTAGTGAGTTTAAATAATATAAGACCAAATCGAGCACACAGCAAAACGAGGTCGAGGTCGCTTGTAATTATTTATTTTTTGAACAAAGGCACACAAAAAGGCAACACTGTCAAGCAAACAAACAAGACAAGAAAGGGGCTGCGGTGTCTGTGTGCACTGTGGTGTGTGTCGTTTAAAAAAAGAGCAGTAAGCGAACAAAGTGGTGAAGTAAAGGTATAAAATAAATGAGCAAGCACGCGTGCTCTTCTGACCACAACAGCGTGGAACATACCTTCAGAAATATGAAAAGTGTGGAGAGGTTGCTTATTCTGCTCCAGCTAACGCACGCGCACACAACGCAAGGGTTTGGGTTTACAAAAGGCAAGAGCGAAAGAGCGAAAGAGAGATAAAGAAAACCTTCAAAGACAGAGCTCGGTCTATCTTGGTAGCGCGTGTGCAGTACTGTCAGTCTTGCGAGTAGCTCTTATCGACAGGATAAAAATAAATGGTGGGATTTTGTTCTAAATTGGCAACGTGCTCTAATAGCAATAAAGAATAAAGGGGGAGAGAAAGAGGGTGGTGTGAATCGGAATGAAATAGAAAAAGAATAATTAAATTGGAAATGTCCAGCGAATGAAAGGCAAAGGAGGAGGAAATATGTGACTGAGCAATATGAGAAAGGGCACTTTTGAAAACGAGTATTTGGTTCTAAAACTAAGCAAAAAAGGAGTGGAATTGTGCACCGTTGTGTGGGAATAATAATAGGCTGATCTCATGTTTGAGCGACCTAGAACGTCAGCTCGTGCCGCTTGCCCCTTTTTGGCTGTTTTGCTTTGGCAGCAAAATAGGGGAAAGGGGTCTGGGCCGGCGTCGAGCAAAAGAAAGAAAGAACAATGCCACCTGAGAAACTAACTCTGACTGGCCCTTGTTCTGTGTAGCTCATATTGATCTGGCCGCTTGCGCTCCTCTTTTCGCGAGAAATGCAAGCTCAGGAAACAACGGGAAAAAGCATGCGGGTGCGGGTGCAAGTCCAAATGGCATCGAATGTGGAATGAGCTCATCTATTTCTGCTTGAGGCAACTGTATTTTTGTTTTGGTGCTGTGGACCAAGATCGGCCTTTGTTGTGAGCGAGCGAGTGTGCAAGTTTGTGTGATAAAAAGTCGTCATTATGTCGTGTATTTTGCTTTGTCTGTCCGCATTGAAAATGCATGTCAGTTGCACACACCGACGCAACACACAACACGCGGCATTGGCCTTTTGAGCCGCCCAAAAGAATCACGCGAAGAATGCCATTACAAGTCGACAACACACACGTCATTGTGAAGCGTAAAACAATGAGTCCAATTGATTGTTGGTTCAAAAAACGAATTTTCTCTGTGAAGGTAGGTGCTCCATTGAAAGATCAAAAAAGTTTAGAGGGGCACGCTGGGCGGATCGAAAAATCAAATGCAAATTTGTCAAAGCGTCATTGTTTTTTCATAATCTTCGGTGGGCACAAGCGATTGGATGCCGATACAAGGTCAGCGGCAGGGTGGTAAGCAAGGTGAGTAGATTTTGTGATGGGCTGAGAGCTCGTTGAGGATAATATGGCCCGTGGGGTTTGTGTGCTGTGCGCAGAATACGAGAAACAAAAAACAAATAGCAATTAGACTGTTGATAAGTGTTTTATTGAGGACAACAATATCGGATACGAAGGGTAAAAGAAGATAAAGATAAAGGCAAGTGTAGTAGCCAAGTTAAAGTTGCGAGGTTTTATTTTTTATGGAGCTGTTAAAAGTCGGCAAAAAAGCAAAGGAAAAAAGAGGTGCAGCTAGGCAGGACACATGAAAGAGGTGTTGTGTTTTATTGTTGCAAACAATGAGGAGGAGGGTGTGCGTGTACCAAACCCAAGCTGCTCTTGCTTTTGTCTGCTCTGGAGTAGGGTACAAATGAATGGTATAAATCTCTTCGCGAGTTGATCGCGTTGCTGTATGAAATATTCAAAACCTATTCCTAAATTTCATATTTACCTTTTGCAGTGTTTTCCGCTTTCTTCTTCTGTTCAAGCTGACACTGTGCCCATATAAACGGATCAATATATAACGACGTGTGCGCCTGCTACAAGCTTCTTGGTTGCCTCTTCAAGAGGGGAATAGTTGAATTTTTTTGTGAGTAAAGACCGTAGCAAAAAGTGCAAAAAATGTTTAAATTTTGTTTAGCAGAATTGAAAAATACAGGGTTGGGGGATAGTAAGGTCGACCAAAGAAGGATGAGAAGTGAAAACGAACAAGACACATACAACTTGCCATTTAGCATTTGATTTACAACACACCCACATACACCCCCACATACAGGCGCACAGTTGCATGGTTGCCGCTATTTGCCACCCCATCGCATAAAGCCCGATATCATATGATTTAGCCATTATTGCGGAAAATTGAAAATGTTTGTGCAGTCAAGGGACAACGGGTGCAAAAAATTCCACAGGCACGTGCCAATAAAATAGTTTTACAACTTTTGCGCGCCACTTCTATTGTTAAAAAGTTTTATTCCATCCAAACATTGACAACTACTAAAAACACACAAAACAAGGAATGTACAACGCGGTGTCCTTGGCCATTGAGTTCAGCAAGGAGCGGCAGAATTCACGCAGCAAAACAGACTGGCAGTTCAAGCGGCCAAAAAGGCGCTCGAAGAGTGGATCGAGCAATCTAATGAGGAGTACCGCAAAGAAATCAAAGAAACAACAGAGAAAATAATTAGGGAGGACTACGCCAAAAGATACGCGCAATTCAAAATGCTGGAGGAGAAAGCCGCTCAGGCCAAGGCCCGCGTAGACGATATCCGGGCGGTCGCATTTGAAAGGCTCGAACAGGCCGAGAGGATCAGGAAAGAGTGTCACAACCAGGTGGATGGCGAATTTGAGAAGACCCGGGACTCCATTATTCAGACACTCAAGGAGCTTGAAGAGGAGGCAAAAGAGATCCAGGCAATGTGCGTGGAGGCCATGAAATAATGACAAGTATTTGGAATGCAAAGTGTATTTTTAAATATATAAAATAGAATAGAAATAAGTTGGTTTTTTATAGGAACCTTGTGCCTGTCAGCGCAACTGCGGCAAAAATGGCAGCAGTCAGGGCGCCGTTTGCCATTGAGGGGACGGCAGCACTATTGGCTTTACCAGCGGGCACCGGGCCGCCTCTTCTTTTGGGACTATCGTCCTTAGGGCCCTTTTTTTCCTTGATCTTATCTTCCTTCTCCGCGTCAGCGCCCGTATTGACATTGATCACCTGCTTCTTATCTTCCTCGTTTTCCTTGGGCTTAACTGGCGGCTTTGGGGGGCTTCCCGTCGTAGGATCGTCGTACTTTTGAACCATGACCTTGAGATCCGGCGCATTCTCTGTGTTGCAAGCCAGTCTCGAGTCACAGCTGTTGAAGCAAAACGCCTTCTCGTTTGCCGCAATATTGCTGTGGTCGCAGGTGTTGCGGCATTCCAGGCGTTGGACTTCGCAGACGCGCTGGTAGGCCGGCCATTGGTAGCGGCGGATGGCGGACTCGGCACCGTTTGTGCAGGTGCATTTGGAGCCCAGGGTGTTGACATTGCAGAAGGCTTCACGGGTGGATGATTGGCCGCCGCAGATGTTGGTGCAGAAAAGAACTTGCTCAGCGCAGAGCTCTTTGCGGATTTTCTCAGGCATCTGGGTGGTTTCCCAGCCGGAGACTACACCTTGAGTTGTATGGAAATAAGGAGTGATTGTTTTTGGATTTAGCATTGCAATTTTTTTCCAAGATATACAAGACATTGTGTGGTGCGGTGTGTTGATTTGCATATTGTATCCTATGCTTACCGAGAGTTGCGGCGAAAAGAGTTGCAGATAGTTGTTCAATGAGGCGCATGTTTCGTGTATGAAGTCGGATTATGTATTATGGATGTGTGTGTTGTTTTATATATGAGAGTGTGCGCGTGTGAATGTAAATGTAATAAAATAGTGATGGTGATAGGAATATTTTGCTTGAAAATTTCAGGAAAATGACAGTCAATTTATACTAATTTGTTATCATAATTTGCAACTCTTAACTAGTATAACTAACTTTCCAATTTTTCTTAATCGAGCATTTAGAAATATATAGTGAAACTAGCATGTGCGCATGTCAAGCATGACTTTCAAACCAGCTTAAAAGTTTTATTTTAAAATAATAATGCTGATTTATACACGTGGAGCATACACATTTCCCCGTTGCACTTTGTGCTTTGCCTTTGATCTTCCCCTCTTACCACGCACGCACCAATTATTGAATTAAAATCAAGCACAAACAAAAACGAAAGGGTTACTGGTTGATTTCTAGATTACTTTTAATTATAATCGTAACGGATGCGCACATTGTTTTTTGGCACAAGCTATGCTATAATTTCATTTTGTTTTACCAACCATAGTGGGAAAAATAGGGGGGAAGGAAAAAGCAAGCCACATTGATTTTGTGTTAAATCGGATGGGTTGAGAATGCAAAACAATTAGCATATGCGACATTTTTTGTCAATAGCCGATTTATCATTTGTATTTTTTGTTCATGAATTATTGTGTGTCGGAAACACGTTTTACAGCAAAAATCATTTAATGGAGTAGTAGAGAACGATTCTGAATGGGGGGAAGGGGGTGGGGACGGAGAGGGATGACGATATAGAAAGAGAATGTTTACGGTTTTTTTGTTTTTAATATCGCATTCTTCTGAAAGAATGCATTACTATTGTTTTTTGTTTTTATTGCATACATGGTTGTAAAACTCTTTCCATGCGGAGGATATACAAAATAAAAATTGAGAAGAGGGGGAAGGAGGAGAAAGGAGGAGGTAAAAATAATGAGGAGAGGATAAGAATATTTGGAGAAGAATGTAAAAGCAAGTTGGTTCTTCCTCTCCGGAGATAAAACTAAGAATAAAGCCAGGTTGGTCAAAGACATTCATTTCATCAGCTATAATTTCAAGTGTTTACTCTCTCTTTCTCTTTTACTCTTACTCTTTCCAGTTTACATTCTTATTATTTTCTAATTTTTGCACTCCTCATTATAATTTTTTTACTCTCTCTCTTCATTTCATCAATCAAACCACAAAACTTTTATCCAACATATTTTTTATCGCATTAAATAATTTAATTATCTTTTATTAGCAATGAAGGAAGGATCCGGTGAAGACCAAAACGTCGCTCCCAGCATGTACAGCCATGTATCTCGGCCCAGTAGTCACCGCAACAAGAACGCCAGAAAGGGACTCCCCTTTAACGTCATGCTTGTCGGCGAAAGCGGCCTCGGGCGCAAAACTTTTCTCAACACGCTCTGCGAAAGCGCTGTAATCACTGGCTCCGAGGTAACCAACGCCGAGCAAGCGCACATAGCCGAGCCCATGCAGTTCAAGAACTACACTGTAGAAATGGATGAGGACGGCATGAAGATCATCCTCAACATTATCGACACTCCGGGATTCGGCGACGGCATCGATAACGAGCAGTGCTTTATGCAGATCCAGGAGTACCTTGAATTGCAGTTCGATAATGTTCTGGCGGAGGAGAACCGGATTAAGAGAAACACCAAGTTCAACGACTCGAGAATCCACGCGCTCCTCTATTTCATCTCCCCAACGGGTCATTCCCTGAGGGAAATCGACATTGAGCTGATGAAGCGCCTGGGATCCCGCGCCAACATCATCCCCGTAATCGGTCGGTCGGACAGCCTGACTCCGCGCGAACTCGTTCTATTCAAGCAGCGCATCATGTCGGATATTGTAACCCACAGCATCTCCGTGTTCAACTTCCCTGACCTCGATGACGAGGATGAGGATGCCGTGGAGGAGAACTCAGAGCTCCGCGCCATGCTGCCCTTTGCCGTGGTCGGCTGTGAGGAGGTCATCAATGAGGATGGCAGACCGGTTCGTGTGAGAAACTACCCCTGGGGTGTTGTGCAGGTCGATAATGACGAGCATTCGGATTTTGATCGTCTGCGTTACGTCCTGCTTAACTCACATATCAGCGATCTGCGCGATCGCACGCAAAATGAGCTCTACGAGATGTACCGTACAGAGAAGCTGTCCGGGAACACCTCGGTGCTGGCGAACAACACAAGCCAGGCAGTGATCTCGGCGATTGGCGCGTAGTTATTTTTCATTTCATTTCATTTTTATTTTGTATTGCGTTTGGGATGCGGCAAGTGCGCGTCAAGTGCGTAACCAATATTTTTTGTTTAATTTAAGCGAATCGATATCATCCACTATTATATTTTCACGTGACAGTGAATGCGATCGTCCCAAAGGCAAAATGCTAGGCTTAATTTTGGTTACACACACGGAGCAAAAAAAAATATAAATATCTTTTCTGTCGCGTAAGCCCTCTTTTGGTTCTTTATATTTTTCTTTATTTTTGTTCTGCTGCCATTTTACATATATATTTTTACATAAACACACACATTCTGTTCTTCTTATCCTTCTCTTTTTCAGATAAGCGTATCAGAATTTAGCATGTCCAACTCGGCAGCAGACTTGTTTGACGACGAGTCCGACGATAATAACAACCAGTACTCCGATGAGGAGGAGGTGAGCTCGCAGAGGCGGTCGGATACGCGCAAAGCGTCGCGGTACAGCGACGACGACGAGGATGAGGATGACGAAGATGAAGACGAAGACGAGGTGTACAATGGCAAGCGCGGCAGCACCAGCGCAGCAATATCAAAGCGGGGTGGCAAGCGCAGAAAGCGCACGCGCACGCACAACTTCCTCGATATCGAGGCCAGCGTCGACACGGATGAGGAGGAGGAGGATGACGAGGACGGGGCACTGGGCGACTTCATCGTCGACAACGAGGCGGAACTGGCGTCGGCCGAGCAGGACGCGCTCCGGCATCGCAGTGCGGCGCGCTCAGCGGTATTCCACGACGACGAAACGTTGGACGCTGATGCGATCGAGGCGCAGCTACGCGAGAGGTACAGCGGCTACGGGCGCGCGTCGATGAAGGCGCCGGGGCCGCGCACGGGCGGCGATGGTGAGTGGACGCCGGCGCGGCTGCTGATCCCTGGAATCAGTGACCCGCACCTGTGGATGGCACGGTGCGTGCCGGGCAAGGAGCGCGACGTGGTGTTTGCGGCGGCACGGCGCGTCTTCCAGTGGGCGTCGTCGGGCAAGTTCAACGGCGTGTATTCGGTGTTCAGCCGTGACGGGCTGAGCGGCTACGTGTACGTCGAGGCGCGCAACCTAGCAGACGCGCAGGCGGCGCTGGAGGGCATCTCGGGCGCGTTCGCATTCCGCATGACGCTGGTGCCGATCGACGACATGGTCGACGTCGTCAAGATCAAGGCACAGCAGTCGCGCCTCAACCCCGGTGCCTGGGTGCGCGTCAAGCGTGGCAACTACGCCGGCGACCTGGCGCAGGTCGTTGCGGTCATCGAGGCGTCTGAGGCTGTTGAGGTGCGGCTGCTGCCGCGCATCGACTACGCGCACGAGGGCCGTGCAGCCAAGGGCGCGCGCCCTGCGCCGCGGCTGTTCAGTGTCGAGGAGGCGCAGCGCGCCGACCCGCGCGGGCTGTCGTCACGGCAGAACGAGATCCTGTGGCGCGGCGACCGCTTCGTTGGCGGCTACCTGCACAAGGACATGCGCGTGGCGTCGCTCCAGACAGCCGACGTCAGCCCGACGCTCGACGAGATCGCGCGTTTTGCGGCCGGCGACGCCGGCGAGGACGGTGACGAGCAGGCGGCCATCGCTGCGCTGGCGTCGCAAGCAGCAGCAGCGTCGCTGGACCTATCGGGTGTTGCGGCCAGCGGGAACTTTCAGCCTGGTGATGTCGTAGAGGTGGTCGACGGCGACCTGGCCGGAGTTGTCGGCACTGTGCGTAGCGTCGACGGCGACGGCACCGTGCGCGTGGCGCCCGAGCTGGGTGGGCTGCGGCGCGGCGCCGTTATGGGCTTCCCGGTGCGCCAACTGCGCAAGCGCTTCCGCACAGGTGACCACGTTCAGGTACAGGCCGGGCGGTTGCGCGGCGCCACAGGTATGGTGCTGGCCGTGGCCGACGCCGTCGTCACTGTGTACACGGACGTCGACAAGGCGGAAATCCGCGTGCTGTCCAAAGACTTGCGTGTGTCCAGCGACGTGGCCAGCGCGGCGCTGGGCGCTCCAGGTGCGCAGGGCCGCGGCGGCATCCAGGTGCATGACCTAGTACAGCTGGACGCCGGCCAGGTCGCCGTGGTGCTGACGGCCGCGCGCGACACCGTGACTGTGCTGGACGACCGCGGCGAACCCCGCACTCTGCCGCTGACGGCCGTGCGTGCGGCGCGCGGCGGTTTTGAGCGCAGCGGCGTCGACTTCAACGGCGCGGCGCTGCGGCGCGGCGACCATGTGCGTGAGGTTGGCGGCCAGCAGCGCTCCGGCTCAGTGCTACAGGTGACGCGGTTCGCGACCTTTGTGCTGCCGCGCGACGCGCCGGCCGACGCGGTCTTTGCCGTGCGCACGCGTCAGCTGGAGTCCCTGAGCGCGCGTGCGACCGCGGCACTGGAGCCATACGCGACGCGCGTCGACCGGACGGCGCCTGGTGTGCGTGGCCGCGGTCGTGGCGGTGCTGCGGTACGTGGCGGGCGCGTGGGCGCGCTGCGCGGGCGCGACCCGCTGGTGGGCAAGACCGTGGTGGCCACGCGTGGCCCGTACAAGGGCTACGTGGGCATAGTCAAGGACGCGGCGGCGACGTCGGCGCGTGTTGAGCTGCACACCAGCGCGCGCGTCGTTAACATTGACAAGGACAAACTAGCTGTGCGCCTGCCGTCGGGCGACACTGTGCCGGCGGTTGACTTTGCCACCAGCTCGGGCGGTGGCGGTGGCGGTGGCGGGCGGCCACCGCCTGCTGCTGCTGTCACGTCATCGTCGGGCGGCGGGTGGGGAGCGCCGTCTGCGCGCGGCAGCAGCGGCGGGTACAATGCACCGTCGTCTGGTGCCGGCGGCTGGGATGTCGGTGGCTCGTCGTCGGCTGGCGGCTGGGACGCTGCACCCGCGTCATCAAATTCTGGCGGCGGCGGCTGGGGCGCTGCGCCCGCGTCGTCAAATTCTGGCGGCTGGGCGACTGGCGGCTCTGCTGCTACGCCCTCTTCAGGCTCTGGTGGCGGCGGCGGTTGGGACATGGGCACAGCTGCGGCGGCCACCACTCCCGGCGCGTCGTCCAACTGGGGCACGCCCGCTGCGGCGCCGTCAAACTGGGCAACGCCGGCTGCCGGCTCCAGCACGGCGCCCTCTAACTGGGGCACACCGGCGCCACTCACGCCCGGAGCGCTCCCGCAGACCCCGGGCGGCCCATACGAGACGCCTAGCTACTACGACGCACCCACGCCTGCGGCTGCGCCATCCACCAACGACGACAGCAGCAATGGCAATAGCGGCGGTGGCTTTTTCAGCTGGGCGGTGCCGCGTGTCCTTGTAGAGTTGGGCTCGTCCGGCCAGCAGCGTGCGACCATCCGCGAGATCTCCACGGACCGCGCGTCGGCCACGCTGGTGTTGGAGCATGGCGGGTCCCAGCGTGTTGACCGTGCGTCTGTGGCGCGCATGGATGTGCGGCCTGTGCGCGCGGAGAAGCGCGACCGCGTGGTTGTTATTCGTGGATCGCGCCGCGGCGCTCTCGGCACTATGGTTGGCCGCGACGGCTCCGAGGCGTTCTTCCAGCCCGATGGCGACTCTTCATGGCACTCGGAGCCGCTGCGCAACCTGGCGGTGTACAGCGACAAGTACTGAAAAGAAAGAGAGCGCTTGAAATACCATTCTAAATAATCACAATCTTTAAATAAAAGTATATTACATTTTCAATAAAACACGCTACGTGTCAGGTGGATCGGGATATCCTGCATTGCCTCGGCATTATCCTTGGCATAATCCCACATGTAAAAGTCTATCAAAACAGCATTAATGTCCTTGCATCCGTCTGCTTGAAGCTGGCGGCGGATGCACTCGACAGCCCAAATGCTGTTTGCGCGGATCTCGACCTCCCACGGGTGTCCAGACGGCAGCCTTCCGTCCTCCCTCAAATGCCTCATCAGCCTGGGCGAATACCTTAGGGCGCCAAAATGGTACAGAGCCTGGGGCACGCGGTAGTCAGCAAACATCGTCACCTGGTCGATGTCCTTAAACGCACCAGCACCACAGCCCTCAAAGCATGCCCACAGGTCAGCCACCAGGATCTGCGCCCGCTTATACATGGCCACCGACTTTCCCCTATACAAGTGCTCGTCGCGAAAGCATGGGAATTCCCCTACCACCCTCTCGGCTACTGCTTGTGCTGATCCATGACATTCCTTTAGTAAATTGGCGAACCTTCCCTGGTACTTATCCACTAGCACGCGACCGACCTCATGCAGCACATGGAGTCGCTCTTGGAACATGGGTATTTCCTCCTGTACCCGGGGATCATCCGTGCGAAACACCTGTCGCAGCTCCTCCTCCGATATCCGCGCATATACCCGGGCATCCGTCAGATCCACACCCTCACGCTGAGCGCGATTCACCGCTGCGCATAGTGACCAGTACCCGCGGTACGTCTTCTCATCCAAGGTCACCGCGTATTGCTCATTGGTGGGGCGAGTGGTCCAGAAGGAAAAGTTTAGTGCGTCGATGAGGAAGATCCACTCGATGGCGGATGAGTCGGCGGTTTTTGGGTTGAGTGGGTGGGATTTCCAGCTGCTGGTTGAGTAGTTGCTTTGCTTCATCCGATGTTGGATCTCCTTGGTGGCATGGAGGATGCCCTTGGTTGGAACGGAGACGTCGTGGCTGCGCCTACTGATGAACTGTGCTGAGTCTAGTACCCGCTTGCTGGGGGTTGTTGTGCGCGGAGTGCTTGCAACTGTCATTTTTTTGCTTGGTTTTAAAAAGGTATCAATATATATTTTAAAGAGATAGAATGCAAAGAAAAAATATAAAATGAATCATAATGAGTAAAAAAATTTTATTTGTTTTCTTTTTTGATCTTGCCAGAAAAGAAAAAAACCGCGCGTTTGATCTCTGAACTTTTATCCTTCCCTCTTTCCAAAAAAAGCCAATCTCACCCAGTGGGAAAGAGGCAGATTTTGCGAAAATCTACGAATCGATTAAAAGCCACCGCAGCGTCACCGATATCCTCCTCCCCAGCACATTATCCACCTCTCCAATGCGCCTAGGAAACCCATGGGTCCATTGAAATCTCGCCTCTCTGCTCAACACATAAACGTCTCCCACCCTTACATCTACCAAATATCCACTACTACCCTCCTTCTCCTCCGCATACCTCTCCGCTCTCTTCCTTACATCCCCATCAACCTTGATCATACGCATTTGTGCTGCACATCCAAAGCTAAACCCACATATACCATCCCCAAACCGCAGTAAATCCACATGGTCCCCAATACCCTGCCCTGGATCGTACATGTTTATGATCGCTTGGTTGAATTCGTGACCTGGAAGAAGCTGCCGCGCTATATATGCGAGGTACCCTAGTGGTGTGGCAGGGTTGAGTAGAGTGCCGAAATGCAAACCTTGGTTTATACCATTAATGGAAGACCCGAGGGAGGAGGAAAAGTACCTAGATTCGAGCCAGTTGAAATAAAGCGCGCAGAGGTCGGGAGAAATCAAGTTGCGCGAAATCAATAGTCCTGGAATGTCTGTAATACATTCAGGCTGATGTCCCAGTAACTGTAATGATGGTGGTATGGGGAGATTTAAGACAAGGTTGCGCTCTAGTATTTCGCCTTCATCTAGGAGAATATCTAGGTCAGAGTTGCTGTCTGACAGGTGGTCAGCGCCAAAAAGGTCTTTGTGCAAGTCGTCATCCATATTTTATATTTTTCAGAGTATATAGAGAATATAGTTATATGAAAGTTAGGTGTTAGAGATTATTCAATCAAACTAATAATAAAATTAAGACTCGGCAAGTCTTGTTTAATGATGAAAATTGAATATTATTTTAGAACGAACTAAATGAAAAATTAGAAAACACCGAACGCGTACCAAACAACGCCCCCTATGGGGACCAATTATGGACCTATGAGCCTGGACAAGCTATCGGCAAGTCTCGTTTAAGGAGGAGGTATGAGCTTTTTTTGGTGAAATCTAATGTTTGCAAGTTGTGGGCAACAACAAAAAATGTTCTCTGTAATTACTAAAATTAAAATAAGGTTTTTGCGCAGTAAAAGTGATCTAAGTCGCAATGCAAAGACATTCTGGTTGTCATTACATTGCTATCACAGGCACAGGTATAGTAATAATATGTATGCATTCTACGAGATTATTTACATATTATAGTAGTGCCAACACATAAAATATGTGATCCCCCATTATAGATCAAAGTTTGGGAGTCACTGACGCTGAGCCACTTTGTATCTACAAATGAATTGCAATTGTGCTGGAATGCCAAAAAACAAAGATATAAATATGTTTTATCACCTATGCATGCACTATTTCATATTTTTCTGTCACCTATTTGGATTCAGTATATATTTTTATATACATTACTGTTTTATCAGGACCAGGCAATGACTATCCACTAAAGCAATATGCGTCATACATGTTTTTAAAAGATCCTGACATGTTTATAAGCGAACAGATGGGCGACAAGAGTTTTTCAATTTTGTTATTTAAATTTACATTTTTATTTTGAAAACATCCAGCAGATTTTAACTTTCAATATGACCGTCGGAAACCACCTTAACCATTTAGCCAAGATCAAGTCCCAGGAGATTGAGCTGAGCATCCTCGACCTTGCCATGTTCAGGCTCAAGGTAGACAGTATCTATCTGTACAAAAACAAGCTCAGCAACCCCAACTTCATGCCTCTAGACGTGCTCGCAGAAAGTCTATGTTTGCTCATTGCCGACCACTACCCAATCCTCGTCGGCCGCCCAACAGTCAATAGTGCTGGCAAGGGAATCATATCGATTGATTCGTCAAATCTCTGTTTGCCTGATATTGCCGAAATCATCGTTGACTCTCCGGTCGAGTCCTTTTTCGAGACCTGCCCGAATGACTCCGAGGACAAGTCCGACATTCAGTTCTTCAACACTCGCAGGTTTTATTGCAACAGTGGGGTTGCGCACCCCCCGCACGCCTCATACCATAGAGACCACTCGGCAGTAATTGTGAGAGTCCTGCGGTTCAAGGACGACTCCTATGTCGGCATCTCGTACTCAATGTCACACTGCATTTTTGATGGAATTGGCGCCATGGCATTTGTCAACCACTGGGGTGAGTATGCGCGAAACCTCGAGGAAATTAAGAACGGCAAATACCAGCTAGTCGAGCCCCCACTCAATGACCGCCAAGTGTTAAACGACTGCTTTTCCAAGGTCGAGCCGCTGGATCTTCCGTTTGTCAGTTACTTTAAGGGCATTTTGCCGCCGCTTCCCGAGATTTCACCCGCGGCCATTGCATCATCGATGCTATCCACACCAGACTTGCAGGCTATTGAGGATCTACATGTGCTGCATTTTAGCCGTGCCAACTTGGAGCGCATCCGCCACCACGTTGACAAGGACCAGACGATCAACGTGGCGTTCGTCACTCTGCTGACCAAAAACATGGTGCAGGCCAACATAAAGGCATTCGGCAAAGCGCCGCAGGCAACGTATGTAATGACACCTTACAATTGTCGCGCCCAATCTACCATTCCAAAGCACTTTGTCGGCAATGCAACTTGTCCTGCCATCGCGCCATTGTCAACACAATTGGTCCTTGATGGATCTTACAAGGACCTAGCCGAGTCTATTAGAGAATTGTGTTCAAAGACCGAGAGTGGCCACACAAAGGCAAACATGTTGCTTATAGAGCACCAACCCAGCTTGTTGTTCCATATTTTCAGCATTTTGTGCAACTCCTCGGAGAGCTCGTATATTAGCATGACCAATTTGCGGTATATGCCATTCTACACACTTGACTTTGGATATGGTGAACCAAGCGTCCTTGGGTTTGACTATTTCCAGATGGAGGGAACAGTTCGTCTGCTGCCAAACAAGCAGGATGATGGTTTGGACTTGTACTTGACCTTCCATGACGCACATTTTGATGAGCTCTGTCAGCTCGAGGATATAAAGCTGTTTGCCAATGTCATTTACTAATACTTTGAATTTAAATTTAAATTTAAATTCACCTCACATGAAAATGAAAAATGAAAATAAAGCTACAACTTGCCAACAATAGTCACAGTACACTCGAGGTCGGACGTCAGCAATGGAAAGCGACTTTGTGTATGGGCGCAGTGCATAGCCAATGCTAAACGGGCGCATCAAGCTGTTGTTGAGCGTTGAGTTATGCCCAAACAGCAAATGATTTACTGAACAATCTCTGCAATTTGAGAGCTTTTCGATTGCATTGTTAGTCAACCACTTTGGCCCGTACGATTTGAACACGGCAACTTGAGAATTTTGAAATATGCTTCGGTTTCGGTTTCGATTTCGGTTTTGGATTTTCCACTGTCTGATTGTGTAATTGCAAGTCATCTCTGCTTTTAGACAAAAATGGAGAGTTGTGTTCAAGGATGGTGTCCAAACTGACAACCATATTGTCAAGATATTTTCGTGATTTTGAAACTGAATACAATGCTTGCCGCGTGCGAAAAACGTATCTTCCTCTATGGCATTACTATCAACTCTTTTGTCATAATGTAGCTTCAAATCTGTTAGATTATTAAACTTTGGCATTGCATTTTCCAAACGACTGCCCGGCTATGACTAAGTGAAATTGTGTGGGACGTTTGATAAATGCAAATGTTTGGGAGCTTTGGTTTTTATACTCGACAACAGTGGTAACGACGTGTCGTCTGTGCTGATACTTAAAAATGTCAGTGCCCTCGAAAACTCGCACTTTTGTGGTTTAATGGCAGGATTACAACTCGGTGCCAAAAGCTGATTGGCGTACCCATCGACCAAAAGCTGGTGGGTGATGGATTTTCCAGGCGGGTCGCAATACAAAACCAAAGGCAACTTGAAAACTCTAGATAATTTCTTGGTAAGCAAATCAACCATGTGTTCTATTGGCCAGACTGGTTCATTCAGCTCATTATCCAACCCGCTTTTATAATACAAGGATGTGAAGCCAAACCAGTCGCATTTTTCGAGTTGCAGGATTTTTTGCGCGTTTTCAATAAAGCAACGTGTTGCTGATGGAGAGGGAAGATAAACTCGCGACTTTTTAAAATACTTGAAATTGACAGTCATGATCGACAATTCAATGCTGTTGAACATTTATACAATGTTGCATTCGTCCTCTGGGCGCCATTTAAGAAACGTGCTGTATTTGATGCAACATATATATGCAGTGCGATACACGATTGGTCTGGCAGCCTCTCTCCAGCCGTGGAAAGCAGCCAGTATTGGCAAAAATAGCTTTCAGTTGTACGCATGCGTTGACCAGCTGACGACATATGGCAGTATTATTTCAAAGATGTTCTGTAGTAGCTGCTTAGTGATGGACGCATTTTTGTTCATAATAAGCAGAAAAATAAAAATAAGGTATTAGAAAACCAAAGAATGCGCATTATAATCTAAAGCTATATGTTGGTTGTTTTCAACTAACCTTTGCTTTCTTTTTTAACCAATAGTGACATTATAAAAAGCGGCCAAACTTTGATCTCAAAGTTACAAACGCTGCTCTTAATGTACTCCCTATGACATTCTATAAATTTACTCGCCCAAAGTGTGAGAATAAGATTTTTCATAAAGCAACCTGAAATTATGTTATATATTACTAGCCATGACATAGTGTTATAGTAAGAGGGGGTGTGAGGAGCACTAGTTGTCTAGTGTTAAAAGTTAGGGGTGATTTTATAAAAGGTTTTATTACTGATGTTTCTAAAGTACTACTAGGGCCAGCCTCATCTTATATATGTTCCCAGTCGCCTTTGTCGTGCACATTGTCCATTGTGCGCTCCGTTGGTGAGAACTGGATCTTCTGCGAGTAGACCGGTATCTTGACAAGTCGATGTTGTGGTTTTCGTGCGTGTACGCTTATGCATGTGCATTACAGGATGGGGGCATGTTTGGGCATCAGTGTGATGCCTCCCTGATTTACACCTGCATTATCCAATTAGCGTCCTATCGATCAGCGCGCAGGTGGGAACTTGTTTCGCGGTTCTCGACCTCAACATCTGCTTCCATATCTTCAGTCTGCGCAACAATAGTATATTATGAATTAGTTAGTACATATGACTTTAGAATAATCTAAAACAAGTTAAAGGGAGAGCATTTACAACCAATTATTGCAACAGTCTGCTAGTTTTGTCTGTGTGTTTCTTAATCCTTAATGCTACGCTAATATTTGTTTTATTGTTTTTCAATTGATATTGTCAAACTAAAATAGCAATGGATATAATTAATATTATTTCAAAATTACAAACAAGGCAGGCACCCTGACTGTTTGTCACAATATCCCTAGCAGAAGCTATGCTTTACTTTGCGGCTGTAGCAATATGAGCTGTGGGGCAAACCACCTTGAACAGACAAGCCGATTGGAAGTGTCGACTCTAATCATTATTATTTAGAAAATTCAATATTTGTAAGCTAGCATACCCAGGGCTGCTTTTTTCGTCTCATTTTTTCCTTTCTTTCCTCCACTCCTAATTATTTTCAAATTATCCTCTATTTTGAATATTAAAACTACAGCTTACAACTTTAAACTACTCGATCAACTGTTATGAGGGGGTGTAAAGAGCACTACAGTGGTAGTGTTAGAAAAGTGGGGGTGAATGCATAAAGGGTTTTATTAGTAATGTTTCTAAAGTGCTGCTAGCGCCAGCCTCATATTATATATGTCTCGTCCTCCTTGGTGTGCACATTTCCAATTGTGCACTCTGTTTGCGAGAACTGGTTCTTCTGCGAGCAGACTGGTACCTTGGCAAGTCAATGTTGTGGTTTTCACATTTGTACGCTTGTGCACGTGCATTGCAAAAATAGGGAGCATATCTAGGCATTATTACTATGCGTCCCTAACTTACTCCTGCATAATCCAGTTAGTACCCTATTAATCGGTATTCAGATGGAAACTTATTTCACGACTTTCAACCTCAGCATCTACTTCCATTTCCTCGGGCTGCGTAACATGATGAGTTAAAAAAATAATACTTTGGAGGTGCGTAAAGTTTCTGTTTTTGGCAATTCCAAGCGTAACTACATTTTATGGAAAAGGTTTGTCCATGCTACTTTTCTTGAAAAGTACGAAAAGTATTATCCTCATCTGAAAAACATTACTTTTGAGGAAGAAAACCAATTATTTATTGATGTTTTAATTTTCAGTTTTTGTTATGTTTATTCATTAAATTTTTTATCTATGTCCTAGCAAAATATGTTTTTGTGTTGGTCTGCTTTACAATAGCCGTTGAGTGTATGTGTATATATCAGTTATCCTTTAAGATTGAACTGATGAGAGCCATGTGCCAAACACACGCTGAACAAAATGACAATTAAAATACTGCTTCTAATAATTTGCCCACAAAAAATTCAAAACAAAATATGTTGCTTGCGCAAGTTACCATTCTCCCCTATGCTTCCAAACAAAGTCCGACGTGCATGGAGGGAGTAAGTGCAGAAAATGCGTAATTAGGTGTGTATACTTCCTAAAGCTTAATTGTTTTAAATATGGCTGTGCCATTAGCATATTGGTTGGTTATGACATTAGTAATATATTTATATATTGCATTTTTCCTTTTCAATCAGACAAAAAGACGCAATGGTTTTAAAATAGAGTTACGACGTGACAATCTCCGCAATTTTGTTGACTTCAAGCCATTGTTGTCCTTTAGGGATGATGTGCTGGCCATCGGTCTTAATTGCAAAACAACACTAATCCTGGACAATGTCCTTGTCGATACTACATGGAGGTACTGCGTCTGGACAGATAGTGTTCTGGCCTTGAGCTGGATTGTGTAGCAGAAAGCGCAGTCGCAGGATGTATGGCAATCACAGGCGCATTGTGTGTGCTGGCTCAAGCAGCACTCGCTCTCTTCCCATCCACGGCACTTGCGGCAGCCCATGTTGTTATCGAGTGGTATTTGTGTAAAATAATGTGTTGGTTTTGTTTCTGTAAGGTAACGAAGAAGACCTTTGCTAATGATAAAGAGTCTGTTTTGTGGAAACGCAATGCTGCGGTCTGTTACTGTCGCGAGGCTCGGCCGGAGATAGGCAGTTATGTGTGTCGGTGCTCAGGTGGATTGAGAGTGTAGAGATATAAAATAGTAAATGCGGGGTGATGAAACGATGATCCAAAGATAGCTATAAATGCGTATAGAACATAATTTTGACGAAATATTATCAAAATGCTCTCTTTATATATCTGGCAGACTGTGGGTTGGCGCTCATTACAAATAATTTTTTACTGCAAACAATTTTTTCATTCGGCCCCGAATCTCATTTTCATCCTACAAAACAAACATTTTTGTTGACGAGTAACTAAAAACAATGACATATCCTATTGAATGTTAGCATGCGCCATTACTAAAAGCACGTATCGGGGGGTGTATGGTAGTTTATAAACAAAATATTGCAGGATACTGTGGTTCCTTCCGAGCTGGTCCAGCTTGTTTATTACTAGGGGTTTCCGGGGTTTCTCAGTTGGGATGAGTCCAAACGCAATGCGCGTCAAGCAGCGCCACCAGTTGCGAGTGTGGAGAAGAATAAACTCATAAATTGATGCAGTGCGAGGCACAAAATGGAAAATGCAAAATGCAAAAAGCACAATAAGGACAAATGGAGACATGAAAAATAGCGACAACAACGGTGCGGGAATAAAAGTTGGAATAAGTAAACCGAGCCTGTCAACCTAATGGGTTGAAAATATTTTCTAATGTGGGGTTTTAATAATACTAGACCGCTTGACGGCATTAAACCTGCATATTGTATTTCCTGGTAAACAACAATGATATTTGCCTGTTGCTTCAGAGAAGCAAGGCAAAATGAGGCTTTTTTTAAAAAACAATGTGTTTTCTATTTTCAACGTCCTGCTTTTTTGCGCCCCGTGCATTGTATCCAAGCTCCACACGTCCTTGTTTCCAACCATTCTTTATTTTGTAAACACATGCATCAATGCAATTATGATGTGGCGTGCTTGTGATGGTTTGCATACATGCGATATTGCATTATTACATACATAACTGTTTTTGAATATTAGAGTCCACAGCCACAAGTAGATATGAAGGAATACAATTTTTTTCGTAAGTAGTCTTGGCTTTGAATAATGTTTTTGTTGTTTATGTTGCTATCATCATTAACATGCTTAAGAAAAGAGTCAATATTGGTTATTTGTTTTAATGTGGCGCTTGTATGTATTTTTAATAACAATGGCATCAATCATATGGTTGTTTGGCAATCTTAGCAAATACAAAGCTGCTGTGTAAAAAAAACATAAAATGCATATTTTTGCGAGCGACTGAACTCTCAATCCATGCTTCTTTTATTTATATGCGAGCAATATATATTATGCACACTTTTTATGGATAGTTAAAATAATAATTTTATTTAAAACATCAAGCAAAGAAAATGATAAACAGAGAAAGCAGAGTTAATTGATTATCCTAAAAATTGAGCATCTCATCCACTTCCTCCTTAACTGCCTTTCCATCAGGTTTGGCAGAGTAGTTGACAAGGGCTTTTGTAGTGCAGGCAGACATTATCTGCAATAATGGAAGGTGTATAATACTTTAATAATAATTTAGCGTGCTTGGGTGGGCGAAGGAAACTAAAAGTTGCAAAAGTTGGTAGTTAAGAATTGTAGAAAGTTGATGATGTATCATTGGCAAACATGTACTTTCTCTGGGCTTTTTATATCCCATCAGCAATTAGCGGCAACAGAAACTTTGCTTACAAATAAAATAATACGTACATGCCAGCCTTTTACCCATTAACATCGTGTGGGTTCGTGGTGTCAATGCTTCTCTATTCAGTAAATAGAAACTGCGAAACCTTTTATTTGGATAATCTTTGACACCAAATATGATTATTTCACAATTTTCACTTTGTGACATTTGCATTAAAGCTGATGTTTCACAAAAGATGGTATTTTTATCCTTCATTATTGCATATTGCATATTGCATTTCAATTCAAGTAATGGCACTTGTATCATTATCTGCCTTTGCGTCTTGCTTTACATCTGTGTGTTAAAAATGTCAGGACTTGTAAATCGTCATAAAAAAGGTATCCGCGCAGGAAAAGCAGTAAGGATATAAATGTAATGAATATATTTTGAAAAGGAAAAGGCGGAAAAGGAAAAACGGAGGAAGGGATATCAAAAACAATCGTAAAGAATGATAAAAAGGAAAGGAGTAAATGATGAACAAAAAATGTACCGGAATGCGTTCCTTTGGGCCGCGAATGCTCGCCACAGCGGCAAACCGCATCACCATTATACAATGGGTACATCGGGGTCGGCGTCGTAAAACTCTGGGTAAAAGTTATTTATCTCGTCTCCAGGGTAGGGGAGCTCATTGAGCTTGAGCGTCGGCGTTTTCACATCGCCCTGGTCGTAAAAGTCGACCTCAATAAAGTTGACCCATATCGACTGGCCGCCACGGCAGTTTACAGCGTGGGCCTCGTACTGGTAGCCGTTGGTGGTATCGAGATTAAACGGATACGGCATGTTGTTGTATGTCACACCCTTGTAGGTGGCTGTCTGAACGATAAAGTGCGGGATGACCAGGATGGATTCGGTACTCCGGTCCCAAGGCCCGCATGTCCACTCATTCCCGTAGTTGAAAGGGCCGTCAAGCTTCAGCACTGTGCTGGGGTAGGGGATAAAGTAACCATTGGTATCGGCCGCGGCAATGGCAGGCTCCTCAACAAACACAACTAACGTGGTGCCGCTGGAAATCATCGAGTCCAGAGTCGGCCACGACGCAGGCTTGCCCTTGAGCATGTACTTGTCTGCGCCGGAATCTGTGAAGGCCTTGACCACGGCTGCTGGATTCGCGTCGGTTGCAATGCCCTCGAGAAAAACGGTAACTACGTCGTTCGTGTTATTTTCCAGCCACTGCTTCACAACTTTCAGCGTGGAGGTGAGCGTGCCGCCGTTATTCACGTTGCAATCCGGGTAGCACAAAACGACCTCTGAGGCTGACGAGCCCTGGTGGATATTCAGATGCAGCCCGCGCACTCCGTCGTCCAGTTGCTCCTCGATGGTCTTGTACTGTGTTCCCGGCACAGATGGTCTGCCTGGCTCAGTTTTGGCAAACGAAGCATGCGTCGATATGTGTGTTATCTCATTGAATGGACGCGAGCACAGGTCCTCATGCCCGTTGCATATTGTGGCGCCAGCTGCTAGACTGACCAACATCTGCAAGGTCAAACACAAGGTCAATAGCATTCCGAGTAGTCGTGCGCTGATCCGGGATCTATTATGGTGCTTTGCAGATGCAAAATGGTGATGCTCCATATTGCCGTGTTTGCGTACGGTCTACGTCTGGCCAATAAAAAATAAGATGTGTGCTATATGCGCGCTGCTGCTGCTGCTGCTTCTGCTGCTTCTGTTATCGATTCTGTCTCTACCACTGTTGCCGTAGTCGTCAAGGATAAGTGGAGTAAAAATGGGGGTAAATGAGAGGCTGGCTCATGCAAAAAAAGCTAAAGATAAAATGTACAAGTGATAGAATGTAGGGGAGCTGGATGTGCAAGAGTAAGGAGGAGGTTGTGCGCGAGAAGAATACACTCACTGATGGGCACAAAGAATGGATGACGGAAGGTTTAGAAAATAGAGATGAAGAATATATAAACGACAATCAAAAGCAGTAAGCTAAGAGGAAGTGGTAATTATTCTCTGGACAGCGTTGGCGGCTTACTGTTTGTTGTCGTTGTCGCTGTCGTTGTCGGCGTGTTTGCTGAATCCACGGCAACCGAGAAGGTAGTGTGAAAGGGTGTGCCTTTGTTTTTATTGGCGTCCCAGACAACTACTAAGAGAAAAACAAACAAATTTTTATTATATTACACGGTTGGGGAAATAAGCCGTATTTTTAGGATTTTTTATATCCACTCCAGGTTTTGCGTCCAAGACTCGCGCTAAAAATGCTATAAGCTTAAAATGTTTGGTTTTGTGTATTTTGTCAATCTTCACTCAAAGTCGGCTTTCTAGCTATTGATCGTCACCGAGCTACTACGCGTGCATGTGCATGCGTGGAACAGCTGGGTGGATGGAATTCGGGGATGTATTACCAGTTCGAAGGGGCTATCCAAAAAGACCTAGAAGGCAATAGCTTTTGTCGTGCGTATTGGCTGCCCAATATAAAAAGAAAAATACAAGTGCTCAAAACGGCAGTGGCGCTGTGGGTGTGGAAAACAAGAGAGAACAATAGTCATGAAAAAAGAAGGGGAGTGAGAAAAGCCAAAAGCAAGTAATCTGGAAAATACAAGCATGGCAGGGATGTGTCTATCGTCGAAAAAAGATAGCCGTAGCACAGCGCGCGTGCATATATTGCCAGCTCCTCGCACGCTGGTGTATGACGAAAGAGCCTAAACAGGCCTCATTGTGAGCTAGCCTGTGAAGCCACATGGCGCATTGAGGCTTGCCATTGTACTCACAACGATGCATCCCAGCATGCGTCCTTGCCGAGGCCAGCAGTCTCTCACCGGCAAACAAGCTTGCAGGAATTTAGACTCGCACGGAGCTGTGCTTCTAATCAGAACATCGATATTAGTTAATTATATCAACATTTCCGCGTTTGTAAAAAATAATGTCAGCGAAAGAATGGGCTATTATCATACACTATTGAAAGTGTATTTTGGAATTTCCAGACATTTATGGCGGAAGTGCAGATTTTTAAGCGGAGGATTCTCAAAACCCGTTTCTTGCGCAAAAATGCACCGGCAGAGTCTGCTGAACCCGAGTCTACAGCGACACCGGAGACTCTGCTCAGGCCAAGGCTCAAGCCAAAGCGCGTGCGCAAGAATCCATCCGCCCCTGCTTCTTCTCTTTGCAAGAGGCAGCGAACCGATTAATATCGTCAGCCATAGTGGTCTATTGCCACTAGTTTCTAAGCACTTTTTAGGCTGCTAGTCAATCTGGGGGAAGGATGTCAGTTTATAGTATATTTGTAGCCTCATTCTTTTCTTTTAGTGTAGCCCGGGGAAATAAGATAATTGAATAGGACCAACCATGCCTATCCCGTCGATTTTCCGGCTTGAAAAATTTAGATCGACCTCATTTTATTCGTTTTCGAACAAAACACCATTTTCTTTTGTTTTCAGTCCACTCCGTCTTCGCTGGGATTGATGAAAGCAAATATTTTAAAGAATAAATAGCCTATAGACCACCAAAAGATGCAAACACCGCGCCCAACCCCAAGCCCAACCCCAAGGCAGCAGTCAAGAGAACGTATGATCCAAAGACTGGTTCAGCATCCAAGCGCAACAAGACTGGATGATTTTTATTATTTTCTAGATTCGAGTTTATCGGTCTGGCCATACTGCTGGCCCGGTTCACTGATTATTGGGGTATTGCAAAATCAAATCAACTCGTGGTCTTTTCGCTTGATCTTTTCACTTTTTTTCTTCCTCATTTGGATCACGCCTCGATTAAGCAAGCTGTTTTTTTTTGCAGCCGCAGCTGCTTATTTGTGTTTTGTGCATACTCTCGTTGACAGCCTCTTTATACTCTATACGCTTGCCAAAATAACCAACCAAATTGCATTTACAAATCGAACTTAAAATGAGCTCCAGCAGCAGCGAAAGCGATATAAAGAACAAACACAACGATGGCGCTTCCTCGTCCGAAAGCGAGACTGTGACGGCTCCGGCGCCAATCGCATCATTCAGAGATATCGGTGTGATGGAGCAGCTGTGCGAAGCCTGTGAAAAGCTCGGGTTCACCGCGCCTACTGAGATCCAGCGCGAGTCGATCCCCTGGGCGCTCCAGGGGCGGGACATCATTGGTCTTGCGCAGACCGGTTCCGGAAAAACGGCTGCATTTGCGCTGCCCATCCTGCAAGAGCTGTGGAAGAACCCGTCGCCCCTGTTTGCCTGCGTGATGGCGCCGACACGCGAGCTGGCGTACCAGATTGCGGAGACATTTGAGGCGCTGGGAGCGGGCATTGGAGCCCGGTGCACAGTCATTGTGGGTGGCATGGACTTGATTTCGCAGCAGATCGCCCTTTCAAAGAAACCGCACGTTATTGTCTGCACGCCAGGCCGGTTGCAGGATCACTTGGAGAACACAAAGGGCTTTTCGCTGCGCACGGTAAAGTACTTGGTGATGGACGAAGCCGATCGTTTGCTGGACATGGACTTTGGCCCGAAGATCGACCAGATTCTCAAGGTCATTCCGCGCGAGCGCAATACCTTTTTGTTCTCAGCCACCATGACAACAAAGGTGGCCAAGCTGCAGCGCGCTTCCTTGTCCGACCCAGTGAAGATCGAGGTGTCGACAAAGTACTCGACTGTAGACAAGCTCTTGCAGTACTACATGTTCTTCCCGTTCAAGCGCAAGGACTGCTATCTGGTGTGGCTGCTGAATGAGATGGCCGGGCAGTCGGCCATCGTGTTTGCTCGCACATGTAACGAGGTCCTGCGTATCGGTCTGCTGCTGCGCAACCTGGGAATCGAGGCCATCCCCCTGCACGGCCAGCTCAGCATGGACAAGCGCCTCGGTGCACTGAATAAGTTCAAGTCAGGCGCGCGCAACGTTCTGGTAGCCACAGATGTTGCATCTCGCGGCCTGGATATCCCGGCTGTCGACCTGGTCGTCAACTTTGATATCCCGTCGTTCTCCAAAGATTATATCCACCGCGTCGGACGTACTGCGCGTGCGGGACGCTCCGGTCGCGCAGTCTCGTTTGTCACGCAGTATGATGTCGAGCTTTTGCAGCGTATTGAGCAGGTCATCGGCAAGAAGCTTGATGTGTTCCCTGGCGAGAAGGACGCGGTCCTGTTGCTCCAGGAACGGGTGAGCGAGGCCCAGCGCATGGCTATGCTTGACTTGAAGGACATTCAGTCTAAGCAAAAGAACGGAAAGAAGCGTGGAAGAAGTGATGGCGACGATAGGCAGATTTCTCTTAGCGAGGCAAAGAAGATGAGCAAGACTGGTAACAAAAACAAGAAGGGTGGTAGCCGGCGGTAAACCCCTTAGTCATTTTCTTTAATCATTTCGCAAAAAAATTTTAATAATGACCACGATTTTTTTTATAAAAAAACGCAGCAGTAGTTGAGCTGCAAAAGTCGGCATTTTATTAATGGCGAATACGACCACGATATCGAGTTTTGCTCGCAGTGGCAGACAAACATTCAACTTGGTACTGAATGCCAACGGTTCTCCTATTGTGGATATGATCTGTGACGTGATTGTCAGCGAGCTTTTTGACTGACTCAAAGGGCTCCATTTCTGTGGATTTGAAAGCGGAAGTGCCAATGGGCTTTGGCACTGACATATCCACTGGCATGATGCATAGCAATTGTAACGTGGGTGCCGATTAAGTGTCCTTTTACAAGCTCATCCGTATCAACGCGCCCACTTTGTATGGCCTGACCATTTTGTCGCAGCGAATGATTGATTTGGCCAGAATTGTGACTGAAGAAAGCGGCAACCTGACTGTGCTTCCACGCCTATACAGGCTGGGCATCGTAAGTCTGGACCGTGGAAAGTGAGCCTTTACCATGGCTGCTATCAACGGTGAAAGTTCAAAGGCAAAATATCACTCATTTGCCTTATCTCTTATTTTTTCTTCTATATTCTTGCCAGACATAATTAGAAAAATTAAATAGTCAAAGCATTACTATTTGTTTGCAAAATTAAAATTGGTTCTATAAAAATAAAGGCTTTTTTTGTAGTTAGTTCAGAGGGGTGCGACCATAGGCACGGCGGTGCATAGAATCGACCTTTTGCAGATAATAAGTGCCAGGGAACATCGACTCAACGTCACCCTGGGGCAAGTACTCGCTAGCATTGTGCGTCTTCTCACGCAAGTTCATAATCTCCTCAAACACCTGGGGGGAAGCCTTAATTCTGCTCTCCAGCCTCTTCTTCAAATCAACCTTGGCCGAAATACCAGCGGTATCGCCGCGCACACGGAACGAGTACACGGACGCAGCACATCCAGACCCATAAGAGAAAAGGGCTACGCGCTTACCCTGAAGCTCCTCCGAGGATATCTGGGAAAGCAACGAGGCGAGGCCAAAGAACACCGACCCAGTGTACATGTTACCGATATTGCGCGCGGCCAAAAGTGACGGCTCGGTTTTCTGCGCAAACTCGCGCTTGGATACTGTGATGAAGGCCTTCTCGAGAACCTTGTTGGTGTAGCTCTCTTCGCGCTCGATCTCCCGGAACTGCTGCACCTCGGCGAACTCCTCGGCCTCGGGCGCGCGCATGAAGTCGTTGTACATCAGGCGTGCGAATCCCTTGACCACCTGCTTGGTGTAGGGGGAGTGGAAGATGACGTAGTCCAGGTCCTTCAGAGACGCATTGTGGACACCCTCGACCTTCTCCAGCTTATCCATGTACGCTGAGTACGCGTGGTCGACGGCACGCACATAGGAGGTGACTGAAAGCGGGCCATCGACGGTCGGGAACTCGGAGGACATATTGGGCTTGTAGAAATCGTAAATGTGCTCCATAAAGGTACCACGCAGAGGGAACTCCAGCGCCAGCGGGGCATCAGGGCCCACAAGGATGCAGGCGATGCCGCAGCCGCCCGATGGCCGGGCATTGCCCTTGGCATAGACAGCGATGTCTCCAGCGACCACCAGCGCCAGGCGACCATCCCAGGCCGACGAGTCCATCCACTGGCAGGCGTTGAACAGCGCTGAGGTTCCACCGTAGCACGCATTGGTGGTGTCCACACCCTCGACGTTGAAGTTTCCAGACTCCTCGAAAAGCTTCATGAGGACGGTCTTTGTCGACTTGCTCTTGTCGATTATAGTCTCGGTACCGACCTCGAGCCGACCAATGTCGCTGTAGGAGATGTTGTTCTTTTCCATAAAGTTCTGCACGGCTGTCATGCAGACAGAGGAGATATCCTCGCGGTCGTCACAGAATGCCATCTTGCTCTGGCCCAGGCCAATGGTGTACTTGCCGGATGACACGCCATCGTGCTGCTCGAGCTCGGACTGCTCGACGTACTATAGAAGGAAATTAATTGTGGTTTTTGGATTGTGGATTGGGGTTTAGTTGTTTGGAATGGGTTTTTTCTATTTGACAAAAACAAAAAAAAGAATAATACCGGTGGCTTGTCGGGTCGAGACAATAACGAAAAGAAAACCCACTTTTTTCAGTCTTTAAATAGTAGATTAGGAAATGAAGACGAAGAGGAGAGGAATAGTAAAATACACTCTTTCACGGAGACAAATAAAGAGAGAGGATCAAATGGCAGGGAAAAGGGACATGCATATGAAATCGGAATAAACACGGCGATTCGGCAATAACAATATCATGAAAAAAGAGAGCAGCAACGCGCTACTGCATTCGTTGTTCTAGCTCTAATTGTCCGAAAACAAACAAACAAAAGAGAGGAATAGAGGAATAGAGACAACAACAGGGGACAACAAGAAAATGTGAATTCGAATTACAAAAAAAACCGCCCAGCACTTGGACTTTCAGATGAAGAAGGTGAATGCAATGTAAGTAAAAAATAAAGAGTACTATTCTGGCGCCATAGCCTCTGCGCAAGGAAAGTTCAACCAATTAGACAAGGAAAGTGAGAAAAAGACAACGAAGATAACTTACGCGGCTGGGAAAGTAGACATCAATGGCACAAACACCAATGTTCTCGGCACGAGCAAAAGCAGTCATGGATATTTTTCTGTAAAGTTTGTTATAAAGGTTTTGGGAAAAAGAGAGGAGGTTAAGAAAAGATTAAAGTAAAAAAGTAGTTGTAGCAAAAAAAAAATTGAAAAGAAAAAAAGAAAAATCGGCCAGAGCACTTAAATATACAAAGTTCCTTAATTTTTCAGTCTGTTTTTTTTTAGTCTGTGGGCAAAAAATAAAATAAAGATTGGCCTTTTTTTTTACAGCTTCTTAAAAACCTTCCCCTGTTCAACCAATCCAGTGCCTTTTGTTGCGGCTTTTTATTTATTGCCTTTTGTTGTTGCTATTTGGATTGGGGATGAGCGATCTGCAACGATTGTATTCCTCGGATCGCAACAAATAGAAAATATAAAGAGGCAACTAGGTTGCTTTTTTATTTTATTCTTAAATTCATGCAATGAAAAAGAACGGGAAATAACATATGTATGGAGAGCCAGTTAAAAACCAACAGCAACAAGATTAAATTATCGAAAGACAAACCTGACTTTCAAATAAAGAAATGCATCATATTTGCACATACTTTTTTAAAGAGAGGCTTTTGCTGATTGTAGATTCTCAGAAGAAAAAGCCACACATCAAGCCAGTAAAAAAAGGGGTGGATTCAAGCCTGACGCAACTCCTCAAGCGCATCAACTAAGCGAACATACTCTGCAGTGCCCTCAAAGGACTGCTTCCCTTTACCAATGAGGCCACGCAGGACCAATTTCGCCTGGTGCTTCCAATCCGCACACACCGGCTGCGCAACAGCAGCAGCCTTGCGTTCCTCCGCCTCGTTTCCGGGTGCTTCCTGATCCGCGCTATTGTCTGTTGTCGGTACGCGCACAGTCTGCGTGTACTCGCCTATGTTCTCATACATGCTGACAAGCTCCAACGCAGCCTCCACCGCATCCTTGAAGATCTCTTGATCGTAGGTAACTTCAGCCTGCTGGGAGAAGCAGCGGTACGCTTTGATGTAGCAGTCGAGGCAATGGCGGTAATCGCGGCGCCAGTACCAAAAGTCAGCCATGGCGCGCCACAGCGGCGCCGACCGCGTAATGCGGGCCTCGATCTGCTCCTGCAGCAGGTACTCCAGGTACCGCGCATGCTGCTGCTCCTTAATCTCACCCTCCTTGGGCGGCAACCCGCGGGCAATGCCACCGCGCACGAGGGCAGCGATGATGGCGCGCAGCGCCGTAATATCAATGCAGGCGGCGGCGTCCTTGTCAGCGCGCAACACGACAATGCGACCCATCGCGTGGATGGCCGACGCGAACTGCTCCGAGGCAATCGACACGGCCATAAAGTTCGACCAGATATGCCACGAGTCGTAGTTATGGCGCGTGGCCTCACGCAGCGCGTACCAGGCGCGGTCGCGGTGCGAGTCGCCCAGGCGCATGCAAGCTGACGCCAGGTTGTTCCAACCCTCGGCGCTCTCGTCGTCCAGCGCTACGGTGCGCTGGAAGGCCGCGACGGCAGTCTCCCAGTCGGATATTTGCAGCGCGGCGCAGCCCAGCACGTACCACGACTGCTCGAACAGCGGGTTGAGCGCCAGCGCCTTGCGGTAGCAGTCGACAGCGTCGGCAAAGTTGCTCCGTGCGTAGTGGTAGGCGCCCAGGGACCGCATGGCGCGCGCGTAGCGCTGGCCAGAGACTTCCCAGGCGTGCAGCCAGTGCTCTGGGTCTTTCTTGAGATCGCCCAGCACGCACCACAGCTTGGGGCGGTCGGGCGAGACAGCCAGTTGCTCGCGCACAAGCCGCTCGGCCACCTCCTGCTGGCCCAGCAGTGAGTACGCCGAGATGGCCTCGTCCCACATGGCCAGCCGCTCGTAGATGTCCAGCGCCGAGCGCATAATGCCCATGGTCATGAAGCGGCCGGCCAGCTCGCGCTCCAGCTCCCACTGGCTGGGCAGCGCCAGCACGCCCATGTATGCCAGGCGCTCGGCCGCACCGGCCTCGTTGCTGCCAGGCTCCGGCCGCGAAATCTGGTCGACCAGCGCCTGCAGCTGCAGCACCGAGCGCTCGGCCGTGCGCGTACGCGTCGCCTCTAGCCGCGAGCGCTGCAGAAGCCCTGTGGTGTACACCGACCAGTTACTGGCGCGGTCCAGCACACGCGTGACAAACGGCCGCATCTGCTCGGACGTCAGTCCATGCGCGGCATTCTCGTTCTCGACGTTCTGGCACAGCGCCAGCAGAATGCATTTGTCGACGACCGCCAGTGCGTCGGCCTTGGGCGCTTTCTCGGTAAAGTTGATGGACTCCAGCAGCGTGTCGTCGTTCAGCTGCATGTTCTCGGGCGCTGTCTCGGCGTCTAGCGCCAGGTTGCGCGTGCTGCGCGCGTCGACGACCAGCTGCGCAATGTCGAAGGTCTGGTGCTTGGTGCGGCGGCCGCGGACGCCGGTCATCTCCCACTGCAGCCCGCTGGCCGCCTGCGCCTGCGCCACCAGCCGCTTGGTGTCCAGCGGCATCTTGTGCTGCGAGAACACTACGGCGATTTCCAACAGGTACCGCGCCCACAGCTCGCGCTCGCCGCCGCCCACAGCGTCCCAAGCTGCCGCAGCCGCAGCCGCATCGCTGCCCTGCAGCAGCTGGTCGCTGCTTGTCACCTCAGTGGCCTTCTCGCGAGGCACCATGGCAATTTCCATGTCCACTGCAGGCTTGGCCTGCTGCTGGTGCTCGGCCTGGCTGCGCAGGAACGCTTCACGCACGGGCGCGGCCGGCAGGTAGCGAGCGGTGCGCGCATACATGGCCAGGATGCTGTCGAACAGTGCCTGCGACGGGTATTCTAGCAGGCTCTGTTGTGTGCTCATCACACGGGCCGCCCACCAGCACGCTGCCGGCGCCGCCAAGTCGCGCTCATGATCGTCGCTGGCAGCCACGTCGACCAGCAGTAGGCGCGCAAAAAGCAAGTACATCGGGCGCGGCGTCAGCGTGTACGCCTCCTCGCCTTCGCTCTCGAGCATCCGCAGTACGGCGCGGTCGACCAGCTCGCGCTCAGCCGTCTGCTTGGCGCCCAGGTAGATGCGGCCGCCCATATGGTCGCGCCGGCCCATCTCGTGCCTGTCAACGTCTTCAGGCAGCTCGACAATCTTTGTGGTGATGAACGTCTCCGCCCAGCGGTGCGCCAGGGCCGCCGGAAGAACCGACGCCGGGTCCATGGACATCTCGGGTCCTGTCCAGTTGGTCTGCAGGAACGCGTTCAGGCAGGCAATGCCCACCCATGTGATCTGTTGCCAGCCCTCGGCGCCGTGCTCCTGTGCGTAGCGCTGTACCTGCGCCTGGATGTACAGCCGCAGGTCGGCGGGGCTGAAGTCTGCGGACAGCGGCGAGGCTGTCGGGAGGCTGCTGGCCTGCGCCTCGTCGAGATCCGTGCCGAAAATTGCGCGCGCTGCTGGTGATTGCAGAACCTGCGCGTAGTCGCCCTTGGAGATCGCGATCGTTAGGGCGTCCTCTTGATCGCCAACAGCTTGGCCCAGGATGAGCTGCTGCTCCAGCAGGTTCAGCTCTGATGTGGATGGTGCGGATAATGCGGATGGTACGTGCGCCATTGTATGTATGTGTTGATATGTGTATGTACTTTTATAATAAATTATTTTTTGAGACGCACGAGAGAGAAAAAGAGAAAAAGCCCCGTCTTATTTATATCGCTTCTCATCCACGCCCCCAAACGCTTGGATCAAAAGCTTGCTGTTCGCTTGAGCCTTATATATTTTTTTTGCTGAAGCAAACATCTAGAACCTTACGACCTATTACTCAGCATTTAAAAAAACATTTTTGAACTTGATCAGACCAGTCACTAATCTGATCAGGGCCCATCAATATTCAATAAGCTTTTAAAGTCTGTTTCTGATATTTAACAAAAACGTGACATTTTTAGGCTGAAATGAAATAATAGGCTTGAGAGAAACAGTATTTGCCTTCAAACACATTTGCACCTAGAATCTCTGCCAAGCCAATACAACACATTATAAATACGCTGCTTCTCATTTTTTTAGCCTGTTCTTTCAGACGAGTGTATTCGAAAGGTCAAAAAGAAACAGCAAAGCACTAAAAACTTTGTGATTCTACAAAGCAAGAAGAGGTATAATTTTTTTTGTAGGCTGTAAATTGGCAGTTGCATCATCAGCTTCCCCAATTTCCTTCCCCCTTTCTTCGTCATTCTTTTTTATTTGTTTCAGTTTCAGTTTCTTCTTTCCCGCAGCAAAAACCATTAAAACTACAATTTTCCATTATCATTATTATTTAAATACCAATTTGTTTCTCCCCAAATTTCAATAAAGATGGACTCTAGCAATCAGGACGCTGTTCAGGACCCGACTACTTCGCCCGTAGCTGTCGTCGATACCACAGCAGCAAACACCGTCACTGCCACTACCCCTACCCCTACCGAGAAAACTAGGCAGAGCGCAGATAGCACTGAGTCTTACAAAAACAACCTTTCCATCAAAGTCAAGGTAAAGTCTATGAATTTAAAGCCTGTGTAGTTTGAATTCACCAAGAAGAAAAAGAAAAATAACACGCTCCATTTTTTCTATACATTTCGTTACTAACCAACAACAACCAACCAAAAAATGTTACTGTTTATTATTACAATCCTTGTTTCATTTTTTTATATCATAGACGCTGACCGGCAAGGAGGTAAGACTTGGAACATTAATATATAAATGTACTTTTTTTCTTTATTTGTTACGTACACAAAATATGAATAAATACTAACATTATGTTTTTTCTTCACCTCCCCCCCAACGCCCCCCATGTTTTTATCTGTGTAGATTGGTCTGAGTATTTGCTTCGCTGATACTGTCAGGACCATTAAGCAGCATATCGAGTCCCAAGAGGGAATTCCCCCAGACCAGCAGCGCCTGATTTACTCTGGTCGCCAGATGCCTGATGAAAAGACAGCAGAAGAACTTAAGCTTGTGGCTGGATCAGTCCTGCATCTGGTCCTGTCACTGCGTGGCGGAAACAATTAGGAAAAAAAATTGAAAACTAATTTTTTTGTTTAAATATAAAGACGTGAATTGATTTGATTTTTTTTATGTGTAAAGAAATACTTGGAAATAAAAAGAAAGAGATAGAGAGAAAAGGGGGAGGTGAGCATCTTCAGTAGACGCGCTTGAAAGGAGGAACAGCCTTGCACTCATTCTCATCCAAAGTATTCGCCACGACACTGCGGTACTTGAGCTCCACGGGCTTATCGACATCCGCCTGGTACGACAACGAATGCTTCATCCACACCTTATCATCGCGATCCGGGAAGTCCTCGCGCGCATGAGCGCCGCGAGACTCCTTCCGCGCCACCGCCGAAGTAATAGTCTGCGACGCGCACGTAAGCAGGTTACGCAGCTCCAGGGTCTCAATAAGATCCGAGTTCCAGATCATCGAGCGGTCAGAGACACGCACATCATTGTAGAGCTGCGACACATCACCCATCATCTTGACACCCTCCTCCATGACATCCTGGGTGCGGAAAACGGCAGCGTGGTTCTGCATGGTCTTCTGCATCTTGAGGCGCACCTCTGCTGTCGTGTGCTTACCGTTGGCCGTACGCGCGTAGTCCAGGTCCTTGATCGACTGGTGGGTAACCTTGGCGTCGATCTCCTTGTGCGGCTGGTTGCGCTCGAACTTGGCTGCAATGTCGTGGGCAACGGCGCGGCCAAAGACCACGAGGTCGAGGAGCGAGTTGGCGCCGAGCCGGTTGGCGCCGTGAACGGAGACGCAGGCGGCCTCGCCGGCGGCGTACAGACCGGGCACAACCTCATCCTTACCGTCGGCGCTCTGGCGCAGGACCTCGCCGGTGTACCGCGTGGGGATACCGCCCATGTTGTAGTGCACAGTGGGCAGCACTGGGATCGGCTCCTTGGTGACGTCGACGCCAGCGAAAATACCGGCAGTCTCCGAGATACCCGGCAGGCGCTCGGCGAGCACATCTGGGGGCAGGTGGTTGAGCTGCAGGTAGATGTGGTCCTTATCGGGGCCGACACCGCGGCCCTCGCGGATCTCCATGGTCATCGACCGCGAAACAACATCGCGCGATGCCAGGTCCTTGGCCGTCGGCGCGTAGCGCTCCATGAAGCGCTCGCCCTCGGAGTTCACCAGGTAGCCACCCTCACCGCGGCAGCCCTCGGTCATCAGGCACCCGGAGCCGTAGATACCCGTAGGATGGAACTGCACGAACTCGAGATCCTGCAGAGGCAGACCGGCACGCGACACCATGGCCATGCCGTCACCCGTGCAGGTGTGCGCGGAGGTCGCCGAGAAGTACGCGCGCCCGTAGCCGCCCGTGGCGATGACCGTGTTGTGGGCGCGGATGCGGTGCAGGGTGCCGTCCTCCTGGTTCAGCGCCAGGACACCGCGGCAAACACCGTCCTCCATCAGAAGATCCATGCCAAAGTACTCGACAAAGAAGGTCGCGTCGTACTTGAGCGAGTTGCCGTACATGGTGTGCAGCATCGCGTGGCCCGTGCGGTCGGCCGCACAGCAAGTGCGCCGAGCCTGCCCGCCCTTACCATAGTCCAGCGACTGACCACCAAAGGGTCTCTGGTAGATAGTACCCTCGGGGGTGCGCGAGAACGGAAGCCCCATGTGCTCCAGCTCAATGACAGCCTTGGGCGCCTCACGGCACATATAGTGGATGGCGTCTTGGTCTCCGAGCCAATCACTTCCCTTCACGGTATCATACATGTGCCAGCGCCAGTCATCCTTGGACATGTTGCCAAGGGCCGCGTTGATGCCGCCCTGTGCTGCCACTGTGTGGGAGCGTGTGGGGAAGAGCTTTGTCACGCAGGCGGTCTTGAACCCTGCCTCGGCCAAGCCCATGACTGCGCGGAGCCCGGCGCCGCCGGCGCCCAGAACAATGGCGTCGTAGGTATGGTCGATCACCTCGTATTTAGGCGAGAACGAGTTGGTTGCCTCGGTGGCGCGCAGCGGTTGCGTACCCAGCACGCGCTGCGCGAGGCGCGACGAATGGAACTTGCGGCTGCTCTGAACCTAAAGAGCAGACGAATCTCACGAATTTGGGAGGGGAGGAGGGAGGCAAATGCAAGAGGGAGAGAAAAAGGGTTGTTAGTGAAAGTTGAATGATAGTATTATTTTGAGCAAGAGTAAATTTGTTATTATATTATTGTTTAGATTACTAACCAAAGACTTTGCCGCGCGCTGGTGAATACTGGTGTTTAACATTTTTTGATAATATTTCCTTGTCTTGTATCTCTATGTTAAAGAAAAAATAAGAAACAAAAAATACAAAAGAGAGAGAATAAAAACGTATACAAGAGAGAATAAAAAAAAGACTGATATGACAAATGTTTCTTCGTATCTACCCGAGTGATAGAAAAAGTATGAACAACTCACACAGACTGGGTAAGAGGAGTAGGAGAGATTACGGCATGGAGAAAAATACGCGATTAGATGAATAGTTTTTTTTTTTTTTGGCTGCAGCTGATGCTTGTTACTGTTGGGCCCTTTTCTTATCTTGCCCAGTGATTGACTGGCAATGTCCACATTTACGCATAAAAAAAGTGGAATAAATTAAAGCTTGGGCCGCCCTTTTTCTATTTTATTTTTTATCTCCTCTGCTTTTTGGTTGTGACAAAAAAAAAGGAGGGATGTGCCTGATGTTTCCCGCATGTCCGCCCGCTGTTAATCATTTTTCGGAGGATTTTTTTTGACTGGTTTGTTGGTCGAGAGCCTCAAATGCACAAATGCACACGTTCATACCAGCTCAATCGATTGATTCCAGTCAGCTCGAGGTCTGGCTGAGCCGAAACTAAGCAAAGACCACCAAAGACCGGCAAAGTCACGAGCCTCTTTCTTTGCTTATTATTATAAAAATTTTTTGCCTTTGTATGCTCTTTGCCTTTAAATTATTCACCTACTCTTTTCTGAAAAGACAGCAAAATACACAGACAATGTCCTCATTTTCTCAAGGCGGCAGCAGAAGCAATAACAAGCGCGCGCACAATAGCGGCGGCAGTGCCCATGACTCCACATCTCTCGAACGCAGAAAACACCTACGTAATTCAAACTCACAGCAAATGACACTCAATTCATTTTTCAAAGGCAAAAATTCCACCAGCACCAGCAAAGAGACAGATGCAGAGGGCACTTCCAGCAGCACAGTGCAGTGGTCTGACATTGACGGCACCTGGATTGGAACGTTCCGCAACCCAGAAGCCTCTGACAAATTCGCAGCTTTCGACTTGGACAAAACCCTGGTGGATGTCCGGGGCACACACAAGTTCCCCAAGGGCGCCGACGACTGGCAGTTCTTCCACCCGGGCGTGCCCAAGTTCGTGCAGCGCGCCCATGCGCAAGGATATAAGATTGTGATATTGTCCAATCAGCTTGGGCTGAAGCAAGCTAAGGGGAAAAGCGAGCTGGCTAAGGGGAAAAGCGAGCTGACAAAGGGCGCGAGGGACTATCGGCTGAAGATTCAGAATATCGCACTGCAGCTGGATACTCCGTTTATGCTTTTGGCGGCGACGACCAAGAGCTACATGCGGAAGCCGAGCCCCGGAATGTGGTTTATGGCGGAGCACAATAATGACGCGGTGGAGGTCAATCGCCGGGCAAGTTTCTTTGTCGGCGATGCCGCTGGCCGGCCCATGGGCAGCGGGTCCAGGGGGTTGGCGGACTTTAGTGACTCCGACCTGGTTTTTGCGCGCAACGCCGGCGTGCCGTTTTACACCCCCGAGGGCGTCTTTACTGACGAGATCTGCGCTATGGAACAGCCACTGCCGCTTTACCAAGCACAGTCATGGGCGATTCGCCGATTCCATCCCAGCTCACTAGCTGATGGGAATAAGCCAGCTCTCGACGCACTGCTTGCGCAGCTACGTGCCGAGGTCGAGGATGCGCAAACTAGCGGCAGTGGCCGCGGGCTTTTGGTCGTTCTTGTGGGCCCACCGGCGAGTGGGAAATCAACATTTACACAGCGATATCTCGAGCCATTGGGGTTTGAGAGAGTCAATATGGATCTACTGAAGACGCGCAAAAAGTGCGTCGACGCGGTGACAAAAATCCTCGATGCCAAAGGATTCGCCGCCCTGGACAACACCAATCCGGACGCGAAATCGCGCGCAGCGTATTTGAAATTGGCCGAGCGGGCTGGCGCAGGCACGCGTGCCGTGGCGGTGGTGTTCGGCGGTGGCGGTGGCGGTGGCGGTGGCGGTGGCGATGGCGGTGGCGGTGGCGATGGCGATCACGATGGCGATGGCGATGGCGATGGCGATGGCGATGGCGATGGCGATTCGATTAGGGAAGTTGTGGCGCATAATAATGCGTTTCGCGCGCAGGTTGACCAGGCACGGTGGTTCTCGCGTGGACGCAGGGGCGATTCTGTGGTGCGGCTGCCGTTGCTGGGAGAGAGTGTGCCGGCGGTGGCGGTGAATATTTTTTTCAAAAAATTCGTTATGCCCGTCGAGGCTGAGGGCTTTGCGAAGGTTTTGGGGTGCCCGTTTGTTCCGTTCTTCGAGTCTGCCGACGACGAGGTGCTGTGGAACCAGTACTACTGAAAGGATTGAGGCATTTTTAGTTGGAAATAAGAATAAGAACAAGAATAAGAATAAGAATAGAAATAAGAGCATTGTCACTGGATATGTTACCATTACGTTTTGAGGAGCTGCGCAAAACAATAAATAGACAAAAAAACTTGGACGCACATAAGCCTGCGGGAAAATAAAAAGTATAGTTATTTTTCTTCACCATTCACATTCATACCTTTTCTCTCTCTCTCTCTCTTTTCCGATGGCAATGCAGGACGAGGTCATAGCCCACCTACGCACACTGCGATCAGACTGCTCCAAGGCGCTCGCCTGGTGCTCGGCGCTGCTCTGGGGCGAAAAGGCGTTTCTCCTTTCCGACCACACCAGCGATCTTCTCTGGCTCATCGACGCACTAGTGACCAACGGGCAATACCGCCAAGCCGAAGAATGGCTGCTCCACCCAGTCTACGCACACAGATGCCGCAGCACAGCGACCGGCCGGCATCTCGCCTGCGTCGTGGCCATGCGGCTTGGACGCGCCGAAGATGCGCTCGAGATGCTCAACATGGAGGGCTTGGAGGACGCTGCGGGGGCAGAGGCTGGGGCTGGGGCGGATCGGGCGCTTGCCGCTGGTGGCGGAGGGAGGCCGCTGGACCGGCGCGCGCTTGTGCTCTATATGCAGGGCGCGGCGGCGATCCAGCTGGCAAACCTGGGTGTGGCCGAGACGCACCCGGGCATCAAGCGGCTGCAGGCACAGGTTGGCCGGCTGGCGCCCCCAGAGTGCCCGGGGGAGGAGCGGCGGATGCCAGCAGCGGCAGCAGAAGCGGCGCAGGCGGCTGCGAGGCTGGGGCCAGTCGGGCGGCTGGCCTCGCAACTGTGGGCGCAGAGCCTGCGCGTGGATGCGCGGTGCTGGGAGGCCTGGACGGGGCTGCGCGACCACGGGCTGCTGACCAGCGACGAGGAGCAGCGGCTGATCGACTCGCTCGACTGGGCGCAGCACACCGGAGAGGCAGCAGCCACGCAGGCACCGGCCGCGCAGGCACCGGCCGCGCAGGCACCGGCCGCGCAGGCACCGGCCGCGCAGGCACCGGCCGCGCAGTTCTTCCGGCTCTACTGCCTGGCGACGCAGACGACGGCGCTGACCGAAAACGCAGTGGCGGCCACGGCGCAGCTGCTGCGCGCGCACCCGCGGCTGGCGGCCGACCCGGGGCTGCGCACCATCCAGGCGGCGCGCCTGCTGGCGCTCGGCCGCCCTGCCGCCAGCCTGGCGCTGACCACGCGCATCCTGGACGCCCGGCGCCTGCCGGACCCGCAGCCCACGGCCATGCACGTGACGGCGCTGGCCACGCTGCGGTGCGTGCGTGCGCTCTTCCGCATCGCGCACGAGCTGGCCGAGGAGTTTGGCATTTCGCCGGTGCGGCGGCCCGAGGCGGCCGGCGCCGGGGCGGGCGCGGCGGCGGGCGCGGGCCGCGTGCGGGCGGGCGCCCGCGGGCTGCTGCTCCCCGAGACGCCGTCGCGCGTGGCTGCTGGCGGCGGCGGCTCGCTGCCGGGCATGCGGCGGCCTGGCGCGGCGGCGGCGGGCGCGGCGCGGGCGGTCGCGCGCTCGGCGGCCAGCGCGGCGACGGCGGCGTGGCGCGGGCTCTGGGGGCTGCCCACGTGGACGCACCCGGGCGCGCCCGTGCTCGCCACATACGCCAGCGCGCTGGGCCCCGTGCAGGCGCCCGCGGTCGTGCATGCCGAGGCCGGCAGCGTCTCGACAGCCAACACGTTCACCACGGGCAACGCGCAGGCCGTCGGCGGGCCGACGCAGTACGAGTTTCCCGGCGCGTCCCTTGCGTGGTACGCCATTGGCTGCTACCACCTGGTGTGCGCCATGGATGCGCAGGGCGTGGACGCCGAGCGCGCGCTGGCGGAGGCGCGCCGCTGGCTGGCCAAAGCCACGATGGCTGCGCCGCGGAGCATTGTTGCGTGGGTGGCCTTTGCTCAGACGTTTGCTGTGGCCGGCGAGTGGGAGGCTGCTGCGCGCGCACTGCACACTGCCGCGGGGCTGTGCGGCTGCGACGACGTGGCCAATGCCGCCGGCCCCAGCGGCCGCCTGGCGCACGTGCCGCTGGCCATCCTCGGCCGCGTCTACCTGCGCATGGGCGACCTCGGCGTGGCCGAGTCCTGCCTGGACGCCAGCGCGCGGGGCCTCGGCGCCTACGGCATTGCGCAGTGGGCGGCGGCGTGGGGCCCGGCGGTGGGCGAGCTGGAGAACGCGGAGCTTCTGCAGTGGTGTCGCCGCGGGGATGGCGCAGCGCGGGAGGCCTCCTGCACCGACGGTCCGGCCGCTGCGCGGGAGGCCTCCTGCACCGACGGTCCGGCCGCTGCGCGGGAGGCCCCCTGCACCGACGGCCCGGCCGCCGCTCTTGTGCGCCAGGCTGCGCTGGCTGACCCGCAGCTGCTGGCCGACGTCGGCGTGCTGCACTATGACCGCGGGGATATGCCCGGCGCGCGGCTGTTTTCCGCCCTGGCATTGAGGTCCCTTGCAGCCAACTCCGCCATGCAGCATGCGCTGCACGTGGGGTTTGAGCCCCTGTCCCCCGCAGTGGTGCCATCTAAGCGGCCCAGTGCTCGGGAGGATCGCGTGCTGCTTGCGCTGTTTGAGGCGAATCTCGGCATGGCGCTGCGTCGCATCGGCGATTGCCCTGCGGCATTGCTCTGCCTGAGAGCGTCCCGCGTGCACGCGCCCTCGAGCGAAACCGCCCTGGCCGTGGCGTTTACCCTGCACATGCAAGCCATTGCTGCTCCCGCCAATGGTGCTGGGGGACTGGACGAGGCTATTGATATTTACCATGCGGTTTTGTCTGAACATCCGGGGCACCCGATTGCGACGGATCTGCTGACTCTTGCGCTTGAATTGTCGGCCAATTTGCCGGATGCTGGCCGGTTACCTGGTGGCTTGTTTGAGGCTTGCTTGGACGCGGGGCTGGAGATCGAGCTGGAGGCTGGTGATCCCAGTGGCTTTTTGCCGACACATGGTGGCGGTTTGCTTGATGTTATACCATCGGTGGTGGGCGGGGGTATGTTTGAGACTAGCCCTGGTTCTTTGGCTTTTGCGTCGGCTGTCAGTGGCGATGACAACGAGAATGGGAATGCACATGCACATGCACATGCACATGACGATGACGACGATGACGATGAGGATAGTGACCAGGTTATGGATATACAGGAGGACAGCGATAGTGACAGCGACATGGCAATGGACTAAAACATATCGCGGTATACCATTTGTAAATAATAGTTTCTGCGCCCCCCCCTCCCCCTATTCACTTTAATGCTTGGTGAACAACCCGGTCGAAGGTGTTAACTCTAAACATTAATGTAATATATACTCTATCAAATGAACAGCTCTATTTACGCTACATATTCCATAATTAAAACAATTATGTTTAAAAGGAATTGATGGTAACATAGGTGCTTGTTAGGTGTATGTGTATATGTTGGCTATCCATCGTAATTTAACTAGAAGGAGCCACGTGTCAAATAAATTCCTAACAATAGGCAAATTAAAAAGCTTCCCCTTGAAAAAGTTTTCTCTTAAAATGGCATTGAATATATAATAATTTGTATTTACGAAGAAGAAAGGGAAATGTATTTATTTTTATTTTTATTTATTGTTGGAGCGTGCGGCGCAAAGGCCCGCTTCTCGTCTTTGCTGTCGAAGCACCAATGCCACCATCAAAGTCCACCGAAAGGTACGGTGCCTCCTGAATACCCAGCGACACGCCGCTATCCTCTTCATCAGCCACAGTTTTCTTAGACCCTCTTTTCCCCCCGCCAAACTTGCCTCTCTTTGTAGTCACCGCCACAGCCGCTGCTGCCGATGATCCAATAGCTCTCGCAGCATAGCCGCCATCAATAATCGCCCACATGGGCATCTCCACGCCCACCGCACTCGGTCCAGGACCCTTAACAAACCCAACAATACGGCCAACCAAGCCACTACTACCTTTAACCAGGGGTGGCACCAAAACATGCAACGACTTGGTTGCGGGATCAACCGATCTGACAAACGCATGCGCCAAAAACGTCGTGTTACCCACATTGGGATGTCCGTAGACAATCTGTGGCAACTCATTGTTGGTTTGGGATCTCAGGAGCGCGCGCGATCCGGGTTCGCTCAGCTGCAGGGCACCGTGGTCCGTTACGCCTTGGTTGCCGGCATAAAGTCCCTTGATTTCGCCATCCGTCCATGTATGTGCGTTGGTCGAGTTGGGAGCCTTGGATACGCACACCAGTCCGACGAGGGTTCCATTGAGGGCGCGCAGAAACTGGCTGGCTGGAATGTCCTCCTCGCCCAACCACACCACCAGGTCTTTCCACGGGATAACCAAGGGCGTCTGCGATGCCAGCGGCTGGTGCATGTCCCACTGCGGAGAATCCAACTGCTGCACATTGCTGCTGCTGGCGTAAAAATGCGAGATGAGAGAGAGGTCGCGCATGTCTCTGGCCATCAGCTTGGGGCCCTTGCGGCTGGCATCCAAAATTGGCTGCGGCTCCGAGTCATCTACCGACCCAATGGCAGCAGTGGAAGTAGTAGCAGCAGCCGGTGTGGCGCGCAGTGCCAGGGTTGCGCGGTCATAGCTCATGGCCGAAATCCACGTCAGCCTGGGATCACGCCCAGAAATCGACGAAAAGTCAATGAACGGCACCACCCCATTACCCGAATCACCAATCAATTGGTTTTCCTGCTGCGTGGCCGCAGCGTCGTGCAGCTGGATGTAATTGGTCGGTTGGACGGTCTCGCACAGGGAGTAGTGCAGATCCAGACCCAGTCCCTTGAGCCACCCTTGCGTGTTGACCACCAGGGGAACCACCAGGTGATCCAACGACTTGGCTGCTTTTCCGGCTTTGGTGACCACCTGCTGTGCGCGCTCCCCCGCCATATGGTCCCTGTAAACAGACGCCAACCTTCCGATAGCCTTGACATACCTATCGGGATCGTTCTTGGGCGACACCACGCCCATATACACGGCATGCAGGGGCTCGGCCTGACTCATGTGAGTAAAGGAGGCCCAAGAAGCGGCTGCGACAGCATGGCAAGGGAGAGGGCCCCCGGAGGAGAGAGTTCCGACTGTCCAATATCCGTCTCCATGTAGAACACGCGTCCGAATCGGCCCAACAGGCGGTTGATGAGCTGACGCGTAAAGGTCGACTTGCCCTGACCCTGCGCGCCTGCCATTACGTAGACTGGCGAGATGGGCTCAAAGCCATCGTCCAATTGCAGTGGCGCCTTTGACGCCAAATCCAGCGTGTCCATCCAGTCCTGTGGCACCTGCAGCAACTGCATGTCCGGCGTTATATGCGATATGGGGTAGAACCCAGGCACCCCGATAGCCGCCTGTAGTTCCTGCTCCGTCACCGCGTACTCGTCTACGGGCATCATCTCAGTGTCACTGTCGTACGTTGCATCCGTGTCCATGGCCATGGGCGTTTGGTTGAGTCTGCGCTTGAGAGATCCGCGTGGCTGCCCTGCGGATACACGCTCCGGAAGACTATCTGGTGTAAACAGGTTGCGGTAGGGAGGTGCCACACTGCCGATACTGTCCAAGCCGCAGGAAACAGAGCGAATTGCCACGATCGATGCCGATCCAACCCCCGCTGTGTCAAGGCTCACGTGTTCCTTCCATAGCTCCTGCAGTTCCACAATATCATTGCTGTTGTTTTCTTGCGCGTCCACCTGGGGTTCGCATCCGGCTACGGCGCGAATGGATACCAGGGGGTGTGATGATGGCGAATACACGCGCACCCACTGCGCCCCTACTGCATACTCATAGACCGATACCTGGCCATGCAGAACACAGATATCCACAATGCCCTGGAACACAATGGTGCTGTCCTTGGCATCTCCACAATGGAAATGTTGCGCGCATGTAAAGGATCAGTGCTGCTAATCCTTTGCATCGAATTGTTGCTCGTTGAGCCTACGAGCAAGGTGCGGTTGGCTTTGGTCGCTTGCCAGGTGGTTGCTATGGGGAGAATATTCTTCGTAAAGTCAAAACCTTCTGCCGTTGGTACTGCTGATGATGGTGTGGGTGTTTGTGGGGAGCGAGTCGTGGGACTGGCTGTGCGGCTCGTGATGTTGGAGTTGAACCGCGTGTTGGCCGGTCGTGGTCGCGCCGTGAAAGACCCCGTCGTCCTTTTTGCTTTAGTTGACTCCATCATATATATAGATAGAAAAGTTTAATATTACGAATACGAATACGAGAAAAGAACACTGGTTGGAAATTCAATTGAAAAGAGAAAAATAAGCGAGAAAAAATCAAAGAAATAGGCGCCCGTATTGTTTTATTTTTTGAACTTTGATTTGTTGGATCGATTTAAAGAATCAAAAATGAAAAATGAAAAATAAAAAGAACAGTTATTAATTTTGAGATTACCAGATCAACACCTCTACATATGAGCTTGACGTGGCCTTTACCTTTTTTTAAAAAAAAAAGTTTTAGACATCAACACAATGGCACAAATACAAGGCCATACATTTAAACATTATCTAGCCTTCTTCTGTTTGCCTATTATTTACATTTACTATTAGCCCAAGCAAGAACAATGTCGTTTACTTTTGCCCAACAGCTAAGCCTTCGCGCATCCCAGACCGCCGCTGACTACATCGCCGCCTGCACGACCAGCCCAACCCCGAACCGCGTTGTCATCGGCGGCGCTATTGCCGATCCCACACGCCCCTGCGTCCTCATAGTTCAGCGCGCCTCCAATGAGCGCACCTTTCCCAACGAGTGGGAAATCCCCGGCGGCCATGTCGACCCTGGAGAGACCATTCTCGAGGCTGTCTCTCGCGAGATCGCTGAGGAAACCGGGCTCGACATCACCCACGTTGTCTGCGAATTCGAGGGATTCCAGTACTCGTCAATTAAAAACGGCGACGATAATGGCGAGGGCAGCCGGGTGGTGGTGACCGACCAGTTAAACTTTTGCGTGCGTGTCAAGGACACTGCGTGCGTCAGGCTGTGTCCTGAGGAGCACCAAAAGTACGCGTGGTGTGATGAGGACAATATTGATCAGTTCAAGATGACCCCGCCCATGAGAAAAGTCGTTGCTGACTCCTTGGCTGCGCTAGCTGCATGTGCTGCCGAGTGAAATGCACGGCTCATATTTCCTTTTTTGTAATAGAATTACAGTTATGAAAAAGAAAATAATTAAAAAAAAGTTAGTTGGACTTTGGCGCTACATTGGGGTCGTTGATGGCGTTCAGACGCTCGACCAGCGGCGGGTGCGAAAAGTGGTAAGCTGAGTAAAGCGGGTCAGGGTTCATCACGCTCTTGTTCTCGATCTGCAGCTTAATCAGCCCCGACGCCAACTGCTCGCCGTACCCGAGCTTCTTCGAAAATGCATCCGCGTCAAACTCGTGCACCCGCGATAGAACATTCATGGCAAACGTCAAAAGACTGTCCAGCGGCTGATACAGGAACTGGAAGAATATGAACCCAACGAGCGTCGGCATTGTATGCATCCCAAACGACTCGTACATAGCCCGCTCGCCCACAAAGCAGCTGAACGCAAAGAAGACAATGAAAGTCTGCAGCTGCACGGCGGTGAGCATGCGCAAGATATGGTTGTTCTTCCAGTGCCCGAGCTCGTGCCCGACAATGGCCACAATCTCCTCCGTCGTGCACTGGTTGATCAGGGTGTCGTAGATCACAATACGCTTGCTCCTGAAGAACCCAAAGACATACGCGTTACTGTGGCTCGACCGCTTGCTGCCGTCCACAACATAAAGCTTCTTGAGCGGGAAGTTCAGACGCGATGCGAGCGCCTCGATGGCGTTGCGCAGCTCGCCCTCGGGCAGCGGATCGAACTTGTTGAACAGCGGCTGGATGAAGGTCGGGTATATCAGAATGGCCAGAAGCTGCACCGCCGCCATCAGCCCCCACGCATACAGGTAGAACTGCGACCCGGTTCTGTCGATCACCCACAGGAACGCTGCCAGGATAGGTCCGCCCAACAGCGCCGTCAGAGCCAGGCTCTTCACCATGTCCGACACATACAGTCCAAAGGTCTGCTTGTTGAACCCGTGCTTCTTCTCAACAACAAAGGTCGAGTACAGATCAAATGGCAGCGAAAGGAACGTGGACACATACGTGGCCGCCAAAAAGTACGCAATCGACCGAGTGATCTCGTACTCGGGCCCATACCCAAGGTACTCATCCATCGCATCGCCAACAATGGTCCACAGCCAGGGCGTCAGGTCGTAGATAATGATCACCGTAGTCTGGATCTGCATAAAAACATTTTTTACCAGCCCGAGGCTGCTCTTGTCCAATCCGTAGGCGTTGGCCTCCAGATACGCCTGGCGCGAGATGAACGGCGCAATGGCCGCAGGACGCCGCACCTCATGCAGGCGGTCGCGCTGCCGAATATCCAGCTTGGCCTCCCACAGATACGTCGCCCATGAGAATACCAGAACGCACTCCTTATACGGCAGCGTATGCATCTGCTCGCCAAGCCAGAATCTCAGATCCGACGCAAGGAAAAATAGCTCGTCGACAGACCGGGGGAAATACAGCATAGCCAGCGCCGCATGCTCTGGAACATTCATAATGAACCCCGGAATTGACACAATAGCGTCGTAGAATGGCTTTGTCGCCGGAAAAATCGTCGGAAGGCTGTTGGCAAAGATTCCAATAAACACAACGGAGATGCCCACAATTACAAGGAGCCCGAGCTGGATTCCATCAATGACATCGTCGAGGAAGCCCTTGCGCATTACGAGCGCCGCCTGCGCGTCAATTGCCGAGTCGGTGTCATCGCCGTAGCGGCTGCTGGCGTTTCTCCGTGCCGGCGTGGTGTTGTTGCTATTACTGACTGCCTGGCTCATAGTTGTCAGTCTAGAGTATTCTTTCAACTACGCAGTGAAATTCAACCAATAAATGGCTGATGTATTCAAAAAGAAGATGGAAGCCGTAGGAAAATAAAGTGAGATGAGATGAGGTAAGGTGAGGTGAGGAAGAATAAAATATGTAAATTTGCGGAAAGGGAAAGAAAAATATATATATTTCAAACTGGGCTGAAGCAAAGAAAAGTAAAATTTCAAGCAGTCTTTGTATCCATCATGGTGGTGGCAAAAGCGGGTTGGCCAATTCAAAAAAAACCATGTAATCCTCTAATCTCAATCTGCATGCAAAATCACTGCTGAGGCATGAGCTGTAATAAAGATACGGTGGTACTTTTTTTGGAAAATTGCATTTCTTGTCTCGTCCCTTTTTTACTTTTTGGAGAACCTATTTTTATATATAAAAAATCGCACTCTAATCGGCGCTTGTTCTTGTACATTTTCCTACTCTTATTTTTCTAATTCGTTTACATTACATAAAAACCAGGGTCGCAGACGAATTATGCTGAAGCAAATTACCAACGTGCGCGTGGCATTCTGCCCCTTTTCGAAGCACTCGACATCCACAAAGTGCGTTCATGTTAAAAACAGATAAAGACCACTACTCACAGTGAATACTATCGACTTTAAAATCATCTCTATTGATGCACACAACTTTTTTTGCTAAATAACCACCTTGTTGGTCCGTTATTTTTTCCATCTATATTGTAGGGTGTTTTTGAACCGTGTTTTGTCAAAGAAGAACAATGCGGCCAACCCGAATTGCAAGATCAACGTGGTGACAACGGCGTTTGTCAAGGACCCAGCTATGATTGACGTCACATTTAAGGACGGTAAAAAGTTCCAGATCAACGGCGGTGATATGAATGGCGATGATATTATTTCACAGGTGGAAAAGTACTCAAAGAAGCTCAGCCAGCAGGAGGATCTCCAGGGCCAGTAATTTTTTGTTTTTGTTGTGCTGTACAGTGGTTATACCAAATAGAAGAGCACATATCTGGAAGGCTCAGAATATTATTTTGGTTTGTTTGTAAGTCTATATGGGAAAGTTAGTATTGGCATGACAGTTATCAACAATAATATTTACTATTTGTCTGGCGTATTATTATCTATACATTATAACTTGCATCACTTGCTGCGCAAGCTCTTCGTGTATTTTGTTAGCCCAAAGAGTATTAAGCAACACTGCATTGTTGCCGCTGATACTATAATATGGTGATGGCATATGTACACATCTGATTCCACACGCGAGCATTTGCATAGTATTAATGACAAGATACACCCAATATGCTTTACGTGTTGTATTTATATTAAAATGGGAGGTTACTGCCGCTGAGCCATATTAAATCTACAAATGAATTGCAATTGTGCTGGAATGCCAAAAACAAATATATAAATGTTTTATCACCTATGCATGCACTATTTCATATGTTTCTGTCACCTATTTGGATTCAGTATATATTTGTATATACATTACTGCTTTATCAGGACCAGGCAATGACTATCCACTAAAGCAATATGCGGCATACATGTTTTTAAAAGATCCTGACATGTTTATAAGCGAACAGATGGGCGACAAGAGTTTTTCAATTTTGTTATTTAAATTTACATTTTTATTTTGAAAACATCCAGCAGATTTTAACTTTCAATATGACCGTCGGAAAGCGCCTTAACCATTTAGCCAAGATCAAGTCCCAGGAGATTGAGCTGAGCATCCTCGACCTTGCCATGTTCAGGCTCAAGGTAGACAGTATCTATCTGTACAAAAACAAGCTCAGCAACCCCAACTTCATGCCTCTAGACGTGCTCGCAGAAAGTCTATGTTTGCTCATTGCCGACCACTACCCAATCCTCGTCGGCCGCCCAACAGTCAATAGTGCTGGCAAGGGAATCATATCGATTGATTCGTCAAATCTCTGTTTGCCTGATATTGCCGAAATCATCGTTGACTCTCCGGTCGAGTCCTTTTTCGAGACCTGCCCGAATGACTCCGAGGACAAGTCCGACATTCAGTTCTTCAACACTCGCAGGTTTTATTGCAACAGTGGGGTTGCGCACCCCCCGCACGCCTCATACCATAGAGACCACTCGGCAGTAATTGTGAGAGTCCTGCGGTTCAAGGACAACTCCTATGTCGGCATCTCGTACTCAATGTCACACTGCATTTTTGATGGAATTGGCGCCATGGCATTTGTCAACCACTGGGGTGAGTATGCGCGAAACCTCGAGGAAATTAAGAACGGCAAATACCAGCTAGTCGAGCCCCACTCAATGACCGCCAAGTGTTAAACGACTGCTTTTCCAAGGTCGAGCCGCTGGATCTTCCGTTTGTCAGTTACTTTAAGGGCATTTTGCCGCCGCTTCCCGAGATTTCACCCGCGGCCATTGCATCATCGATGCTATCCACACCAGACTTGCAGGCTATTGAGGATCTACATGTGCTGCATTTTAGCCGTGCCAACTTGGAGCGCATCCGCCACCACGTTGACAAGGACCAGACGATCAACGTGGCGTTCGTCACTCTGCTGACCAAAAACATGGTGCAGGCCAACATAAAGGCATTCGGCAAAGCGCCGCAGGCAACGTATGTAATGACACCTTACAATTGTCGCGCCCAATCTACCATTCCAAAGCATTTTGTCGGCAATGCAACTTGTCCTGCCATCGCGCCATTGTCAACACAATTGGTCCTTGATGGATCTTACAAGGACCTAGCCGAGTCTATTAGAGAATTGTGTTCAAAGACCGAGAGTGGCCACACAAAGGCAAACATGTTGCTTATAGAGCACCAACCCAGCTTGTTGTTCCATATTTTCAGCATTTTGTGCAACTCCTCGGAGAGCTCGTATATTAGCATGACCAATTTGCGGTATATGCCATTCTACACACTTGACTTTGGATATGGTGAACCAAGCGTCCTTGGGTTTGACTATTTCCAGATGGAGGGAACAGTTCGTCTGCTGCCAAACAAGCAGGATGATGGTTTGGACTTGTACTTGACCTTCCATGACGCACATTTTGATGAGCTCTGTCAGCTCGAGGATATAAAGCTGTTTGCCAATGTCATTTACTAATACTTTGAATTTAAATTTAAATTTAAATTCACCTCACATGAAAATGAAAAATGAAAATAAAGCTACAACTTGCCAACAATAGTCACAGTACACTCGAGGTCGGACGTCAGCAATGGAAAGCGAATTTGTGTATGGGTGCAGTGCATAGCCAATGCTAAACGGGCGCATCAAGCTGTTGTTGAGTGTTGAGTTATGCCCAAACAGCAAATGATTTACTGAACAATCTCTGCAATTTGAGAGCTTTTCGATTGCATTGTTAGTCAACCACTTTGGCCCGTACGATTTGAACACGGCAACTTGAGAATTTTGAAATATGCTTCGGTTTCGGTTTCGATTTCGGTTTTGGATTTTCCACTGTCTGATTGTGTAATTGCAAGTCATCTCTGCTTTTAGACAAAAATGGAGAGTTGTGTTCAAGGATGGTGTCCAAACTGACAACCATATTGTCAAGATATTTTCGTGATTTTGAAACTGAATACAATGCTTGCCGCGTGCGAAAAACGTATCTTCCTCTATGGCATTACTATCAACTCTTTTGTCATAATGTAGCTTCAAATCTGTTAGATTATTAAACTTTGGCATTGCATTTTCCAAACGACTGCCCGGCTATGACTAAGTGAAATTGTGTGGGACGTTTGATAAATGCAAATGTTTGGGAGCTTTGGTTTTTATACTCGACAACAGTGGTAACGACGTGTCGTCTGTGCTGATACTTAAAAATGTCAGTGCCCTCGAAAACTCGCACTTTTGTGGTTTAATGGCAGGATTACAACTCGGTGCCAAAAGCTGATTGGCGTACCCATCGACCAAGAGCTGGTGGGTGATGGATTTTCCAGGCGGGTCGCAATACAAAACCAAAGGCAACTTGAAAACTCTAGATAATTTCTTAGTAAGCAAATCAACCATGTGTTCTATTGGCCAGACTGGTTCATTCAGCTCATTATCCAACCCGCTTTTGTAATACAAGGATGTGAAGCCAAACCAGTCGCATTTTTCGAGTTGCAGGATTTTTTGCGCGTTTTCAATAAAGCAACGTGTTGCTGATGGAGAGGGAAGATAAACTCGCAACTTTTTAAAATACTTGAAATTGACAGTCATGATCGACAATTCAATGCTGTTGAACATTTATACAATGTTGCATTCGTCCTCTGGGCGCCATTTAAGAAACGTGCTGTATTTGATGCAACATATATATGCAGTGCGATACACGATTGGTCTGGCAGCCTCTCTCCAGCCGTGGAAAGCAGCCAGTATTGGCAAAAATAACTTTCAGTTGTACGCATGCGTTGACCAGCTGGCGACATATGGCAGTATTATTCCAAAGATGTTCTGTAGTAGCTGCTTAGTGATGGACGCATTTTTGTTCATAATAAGCAGAAAAATAAAAATAAGGTATTAGAAAACCAAAGAATGCGCATTATAATCTAAAGCTATATGTTGGTTGTTTTCAACTATCTTTTGCTTTCTTTTTTAACCAATAGTGTGATACAAGAAATTGCGGCTTGTCTCCGGCGATTGATTAATGAATCAATCGCTAGTTAATTCCCCACTTGGATATGTGGGAATTCATACGCATATATAAATACTAATGAATATGAGCAGTGGAGGCTGTTCATCCCTTAGCTTTTTTAATTCATTTGTTCAATATATATTTTTAACATAACAACAGCTCAGATTGGAGGCACCTCCCTGAAGGCGTACAGACCAAAGTACGGGCATATAGAGGCGACACGGAAAGAAGAGGCCGCGCCGCTACAATGGGACTGCTTGGGGATCATGCACAACCAAACTGCATCGACGGGAAATAACCCATGGCTACCGCCGAAATGGGGACAGATCCAAAAAAATTACGCTAGAACCAAAGCACATATCCCTTCTCTGGATGATGGCACAAAGTGCGGTACCCACGATCTCCCAACTGTCGCATTGTGTCGAGGGACTGGACAAGACGTGCAAGGCCTGCACCATTGAGACTGAGACCCTCGTGCACTACTTCTGGGAGTACAAACACATCCAGCAATTCTGGCTTCTCATATCTCAGTTCTTGCAATACAACCGTAGTGACCAGACAGGGCCAGCATTCAGCATCAAGATCATGGCAATCAATAGTTTTGGAAAATCAAGGGAATTATTTCCAAATGCAGACACTCCACGGAATGGTTCTCTGGGAGATATACCGCACCCACGCCGAGTTTTCAATTGGCGGACATTCACCTCACAGCAGACACCATGTTTAGTTGCTGGAAATATTTAGTAATGAGCCGCATCGTACAAGACATTCACTATTCAATCCCACATCTCAACGTCGTCCGCACATTCAAGGACTGCTGGACAGGGGTGCCATGCAGTGGTTCCAGTTTGACCCGGGTAAAGAAGAGCTCACCGGAACGCTCATGTTTCGTGACACTCTAATTCAGGACAATCGCCCCAACTACCACGCACAACACAAGGAAATTATTGTGAGCAACTTGATATGTAGGTTTTGTTTTATTGTTTTTATAATATGGCTCGGCATATACATTTTTTGACACAGTAACTTGGTGCAAGTCGGGAATTATAATAAAAATATATTGATACTTCAAAGTTAGAAAATCCTCAAATCAAAATCTTACTCTTTGTAAATGAGTGGCTTGATCCAGTGGGCATGTTCATACAACTCGCCAATTTCCAGAACCTGTTGCATATGGCGATTGTACATACCTCGGTAGACTTTTTCGACCGCGACAAGCACAAAATCAGGGCAGAGAGCAGCGAGTGTGATGGCGTATCTAGCCAAGTCGCGGCCGGATTTTGACAGGCATGACAGCACCTGCACAATGTTCAAGTTCTAGTCGAGCGGGTAGTGCGTCAAGTGAAACTGCTTGATGTAACTTGCAAACATCATCAAAATCAGGAATGCTGGCAACTCCAATAACATTGCAGACGAGCTCAGAAAGAAGCAGCAGGGTTTTAGACAATTCGAGCATCATGTCAAAGTGTAAAGGGCTGCGCAAATGCAGCTTCTGAATTCCAGCAAACAGCGAGTTCCTTGTGGTTACAGCAGAAAATTGACCATAGTCGGCAGGAATGTCTATATTGAGCGTATTTAGGCCTGGAGTGACTCTGTGCAAGAACTGCAAAAATCAGGCAGCAAAGTGAGCAGCTCGGGGGAAGACCAGATGTACTGCAAAAGTGTGCGTGAAAAAGGGTTGGAAGCCTTCCTCCAGCAGACGTGCAGCGCTCTTAAAAATAGCAGTAACACCCAACGACAGCGGAATACCCATGTATTGAAGGGTGCTGATATTAATACAAGACAGCGCTTGGAGTGTGAGCCATTGGGCTGAACTGAAATTTACACGACAAACTTTTGGGAACAAAACATTGTTAATAGCCGCCGGTAAAGGCTCGGTTTCACGGTCCAGGCTAGCGATATCCAGTTTGTGCAAGCATGGAAACACAACCAGCTTGCCGCTTTCTTCAGTCAAAATTCTGGCCAAATCAATCATTCGCTGCGACGAAATGGTCAGGTCATACAAAGTGGGCGCGTTGGTACGGATGAGCTTGTAAAAGGACACTTGATCGGCATACATATTGCAATTGCTGCGCATCATGCCAGTGGATATGTTAGTGCCAAAGCCCATTGGCACTTCCGCTTTCGAATCCACAGAAATGGAGCCCTTTGAGTCAGTCAAAAAGCTCGCTGACAATCACATCACAGATCATATTCACAATAGGAGAACCGTTGGCATTTTCGACCGAGCTGAGCATTATTAAACATGTGGCTTTCGGGACCATTTGCATGATGGAGCAAGCAAGCTCAGCAAATTTAAGCTGTACATCCTCGAATTCAATATTGTCGCTATATTTACTGTCCGACAAATAACAGCCCAATGTGTGGGGGCGTTCGGATAAACCATTCCCAAAACTATTCCCTGCCGAAGCGCTTCTAATCCACGGCCTTGAAATATTAGCGAAACATCGATCACGAAATGTAAATTCTTGGCAAATATGTTGATAAACAATGGTGCCGTGTCAATATAGTTCAATACAAGACCGCCTACTAAATGCAAATTGCTCTCGTTGCCTCAAATTGCGACATTGACATTAAAATAGATGCTCAAACGCAACGGCACGCCATCTGTAGCAGAGACACGAAAACCCGATAAGGGTACTATGCAATCCAGGCGCCGCGTCGTGTCTGTAGCAAAAGTTATAAACCGAGTTTTGCGTGTATTGAACTATAGACCCGATTATATGGAGTGATAATATTTGAAAGTAAGGGTAGTGTTTTGCCATTTTAGGTGGAAAATCTATTGAAAAAAGTATAGATGAATAGACAAAAGTACTTTATTTCTAGTCATTCAAAAAAGCTGTAGTATTATGTGTATATCCAAATAGCACTACAGCGTGTATATGGGTGCTGCAAACCACAATGTTGTAAATTGCAAAACATTCGCAACAAATCTTAAAAAAATGCTAACAATGTCATTGTCAATTTCCTTATCCTTATATCTTTTTGTAAGAATGTTATATTCAACAACAGCTATTAAGTTGTTAAACAATCATTACAAAGCATCTGTGGTCCAGAGGTATGATTGCCGCCTGCCACGCGGTAGACCCGGGTTCGATTCCCGGCGGATGCACATTTTTTGCTTGTCGTTGCAAGATATATTTTTTATATAGCAGTCGACGACGCGTATTCTTCGATGCAAAGATGTCTCTGTACACATGTGTATTGTTCTGAATCACGCGTTCATAAACGAATTACATTTTTTTTATTCAAAGACGATAGACAACAATATTAAAATAATTTACTGGTTGCTATCTATAGCTAAAACTTCTTGAACAAATACAGTTTCTCCTGATTCTGCTTCAGACCGAGAGTGTTCGCGCACGGTGTACTCGATCTTGTAGTTCCCAGGGCACAATATATAGAGGGGCATTGACACTGAGTGGCTAGCTCCAGGTGGGATTTTGGGTAACCGCATGCCGCTGATATCGTCAAACACCAGGTCATCAAAGAGCTCCAGCGCAGGCAGATTGGGCGATAACGGCTGCGCAAACGTCTTTTGTGTCTTTGGTAGCTCATTGTTGTCAGTCATCTGTTCGGATAACACAAATGCAAAGTCACCATTGCTCGCAGCCGCACTTTGGCTAGTAGCACTATCAAATGGCACAAATGCCAGTGCCTGGTTCTCATTCACAAGCAGGCGTGCATTAGAATTTGGAGAGAATAAAGCCGTGGGATTTTGGCTAACCAGCGGGGTATCATCGTCTTCGACATCTCTGACAACTAAAACACTGATCTCCAGGTCGAGATCGCGGCTGAATCGGTTAGTAAGCTGGAACTCCACATGGCACGCATGGCCAGAGTTACACTGCGCTCGGATAAGCCGCGCACCCACGCGGCATGCGCCCACGCCATTAACGGACACTCGTATGTCTAGTCCCCTGCGCCGAATGGTATCCATATCGCCCTCACTCGGCGCAAACAGTGTCCGCGGGTCAATGAACCCGGACCTGCCAGACTGATGGCAAGCCCAGTGCAAACGCACACGGTTGCAAATCTCCTGTCGGTACCAGTATATCTCGCGGTGATGCTCCAAGTCCTGCTCGCTCATGTCGCGCGTATTTGTCAGCACAAATTGGCGGTCGTTCCCGCGGCTGTCAATGCCCGCGGACCATTTTTCGTCCGATTCAGTGACTGTATGCAACAGAGACTGGCGCCAAGGGTAAAATATGGCTCGGTCGGGCCCACCGTGCGCCTCTAGTCCAGGAACAGCAGACCGCAGCACGTGGTCATCCAGACGGACACGAGGCAGTGGGACAAATATGCGCGAGAGTGATTTGCGCCCGGGCATATGCACTACGAGAGATTTCACCAGCGCGGATGGGTTGAGCTTTCCCGAGGATAAGCTGTAAGCGTCGTTGCTCGATTTGTCCGAAAGATCAGTCTCAACCGTGAGCTCGACGTCTGTTGACCCCATGTTGGCCAGGTTAATCTCCGCCAGTAAAAATGAGTCCTCGGCACAATGTACAGCTTCAGGTATACTTCCCGATGCCGTCACAAGGGGAGATTGCTCAGAAAATGCCTCGCCCAGTACGGTGACTAGATCCCGGCTTGAGTTACTCACTGCAGCGCCATCGGGGGTGGCAAGTGCGCGGGAGATATACGGCGGGAGAGTCGAGTATCTCGCAGTCAACGAGTCACCGCTACCAGCAGCACGAGGTTTGGAGTCGTGAACCGGAGCGAGCAACCGGACAACAGACACGCGCAAGGGCCAGCGCAGCTCTCTGGACCACTCAGCAGTAGCAGCGCTGCCGTAGCGCACGACAATCTCACCGCCGCTCAAGCCGCTAATCCCCGAGACACGCACCTTGAGACGATAAATACTCTTGGGCCCAATACACATTGAATCGCCGTTGTCCTCCGACGGTACCTGCAAGTAACTGAAGGCGGCGTTTGTCAGGTCACCCAGCTGTGAGTCTGCGCGAGTCTCGTCCGCCCACTTGTTTCCATCAGCAGAAACCAGCGGCTCAAATGCAACTCCAAGGCGGTCCACTGCTGCCATATCACTGCCATTGACCAAGGTTAAAGTAACCACGCGGCTTTCGCCTTCGCACAGGCTCAAGGAGTCCTCGAATGCCAGACTGCTTTCGATGACAGCGAGTTTGGGCAGCGCCGGCACGACCCGAGTATGTAGCAGGTGGCCCGAGTTCATCACCGACAGGCGAACAGCTGGCGAATCCGGCAGCGGCTTGTCTAGGCTAAGGAGGCTGTTGCGCTCGGCCTCCAAGCGCTTCCAAATTGGGCGCTCTTTCATGCGCCTCGTGGCCTTGTGCTCGTCCTCCTCCGCCAGAATGCACTTGATTGCCAGGTGCTGGAACAAAGACAGCTTAATGCCGAGTATCTTTAGTTGTCCAAAAGTACGCGGTGTGGCCACAAGCAGTACTTGGCCGGTGCTATTAGGAGGGATTACGCACTGCGTGCTCTGAGAAACCACAGTAGCATCCTGGTTATTATTGTTATCTGAATCTGCAGCTGGGGTAACTTCCACGTGCCCGATGAGCAGAATGTCGGTCAGTGGCAGCGCGAACGGAAACGGGTTGCTCAGCGTGGCAACGAAATGCGTTTCCTCGTGGGCAACCAGCAGCGGTGGCATGTCACCCAGGGCCTGTGCGCTCGGGTTATACAGAAACAGCGAGCTGGCTGTCTTGGCCACCGAGTCCTGCTTCTGGGAAACCGCAATGGGCATCGGATTATTCGGAAAAGTGCAGAACTGAATGCCCACTAAAAGCGAATTAAGCACGCCTCCTACCACCGAGGCATCCCTGCCGATCACCCGCGGCTTGTTGGAATCAGCCGAATCGACAGATGAAGTCTCGGCTCTCTTGTCTGTGTTGCCCGCCGGGTCAAAGTGATAGCGCTGGTGAAACAGCCCGATGGTCCTCGAGAGATACACGCGCAGCATGTGCTGCTCGTCAAACAAGGGCCGCCTCTGCGAATCGGGGACAATAGCTGACAGATGGCTCAAGCAGCGCACCAGACGAAAGGCTGTGGCAATAGCATGCGGGTAACTGGGCAGAGCCTCGGCAATGGCCAGGCACTCGCGCAGAACATCCGCCTGCAAGTGCATCCAGCCGCTGCCATCCGAGTGCGTCGACCCAAGCTCAAACGAGTACACAAGGGCGTCCAGACAAGCGACCACGGCATGGTGCAGGCTGGGACGAGGCTTGGAAAACCACTCCCGGGCAGGCGATGCCAGAAAATCACCAAAGACTGGCACATCAAAGGACGAGCGCATCGGATTGGGCGAGCCCGCGGGCGAGTGCATAGCCATGTTTCTCGCAGAGGCCGCTGCAGCAGCCGCAGAGGACACGGCATTGAATGCGCTGAAACCGTCCAGAAAGGCCGACAGGGCCGTGTGATCTGTGCGCGACGACACGCTCGGGTGCGATCTGGGGCTCATGCTGTACGCAGGGGCACCGACGTGGCGCTGGGCCGTCGCTGTGCGCAGCAGCACGGGGATGGCAAGCAAGAGAAATTGGCGCAAGAAAAAGAATGCCTTTCGCGAGTACCCGATTCTGCGGAACAGCGCACTGGTTTCGGCAGACATTTCGAGCTGGTCCGTCAGTGCAAGCGACTCGAACGAGCTCGCCCAACCACGCTGGAGCCACTCGTTGATGGTTGCGCGCAGCGGAATGTTTCGCGTGTTGGCAACGACATCGCAGGTCTGGAATTCCATGCGCTCAGGCTTAATAGTGTCGACTTGGTTCCGCAGTCGCACCAGTGAGGCCAGCGCCGCCTCATCATCATGCAAAAAGGCCTCGCGCGTAGCGTGCAGCACCAGGGCAGCGCGCAGGCAAGCCTCGGCATGCAGCAGCGGCGCAAACGTGTAGCAGCGTTCGTATAGCACTGGCACTTGCGCAAACAAACTGCCTATCTGCGCCAGCAACGCGCCCAAACCGGCGCTCTGCGGTGATATGCTTCCGTCTATGGGCGCTATCACATCAGGAATGCCTGACACAAAGGCCGCAGCAAGACGGCGCTCCTGTGGACGCTCGCACAAAAGCAGCAGCGCCGCACAGTATCCTTCGACGGCCACAGCGTGCCATAGATGGTCGCCGACCGCGCGGCTAACCTTGATGGATGCTGCATAAGCAGAGAAGGCCTCTGCCAGACGACCGGACATCAGGAATAAATCGCCCTGCAGCTTCTTCAGTCGCCCAGCCCCGGCTGTATCGTTGGGCTTTTGGACTCGCTTCTCGCCGGTTATAATTTTAGGCGACGGGGGAGCCGCGATATCCCGATCGAGCTCGCCGCCGCGCCGGCCACAACCCGTGGGCAAGCTGGTTGTTGATTCGCGGCGCTGCTCTTTAGACGCAACCTGCGACGCGCGGCGCGCTATGCTGTGAGCAGCAGCCTCAGTGGTCTCGTGCATTGAAATATTGCCGCCGCTGTGGCGGAAATGGCCGTCGGCCGACGCAGTATCATTGTCCAGCGATGATACCACCGGCGGGCTGTGTGCGGGACTTGGCTCGGTTGGCGTTTGCAAATTTGCGCGGTCTTCTATTGACCTCGACATCAGGCTCAGGGCCGACACCATTGTTCCCGCAAAGTCGCTGACCAAGGTCTGCAAGTAAAATGACAGGCTCTCGTCGCCGTTTGGAATTACGGTTACGCCGGACACATCATCGGCCTGGTCAGCCTGGGGGTCGAATGCCAAGCAGCGGTATGCCACAGCTGTCGGCAGCTGCGACACCATTTGCATAAACTCGTCCTGTGCTGCCACTATATCCTCGTTCGCCTCGCAGTCGATGAGGCCAATGACGCCGAGAACCTGCCTGTATGTCTGAAGGCCCTCAAGGTACTCGTGCTCCTCGCTGACATTTGTTGTGAACATGAACCGCAGGGCGCCCTCTCCGCCAGAGCTGCCGCCATAGCTCGCAGTGAGCAGCTCGTTGTCAACGTGTGCCAGTAGGTCCGACAGCTCCACTTGCGAGAACTGGGCAATTGCATTTGTCCAGCGCGTAAGCCTGTCTTGCCGCGCTGCTCCAATTGGCACGAGTAGCACCCGAATTCCAGCCGCATCCACCGCGGTCACCGTGGACGCGGCAAAGCAATGCTGGCTGCTCATGTCCTTTATCCGGGCGTCGTCGTCGAAAGCGCCCTGCTCTGTCTGCCCGCGGCTGGCTGGTTCGGACATTGCTAATTCAATCGAAAGAGGAAGAGTGCGAGTGTTGTGAATATAAAATAGGAAATGGTTGCAAATATCTGTGTCTGGAGATCAAAGAGGGAGAAAAATCGAGGGGTCCATCCAAGTGGTAGTTCATTTCAGGTTTAGAAGAGCTAGCTCGCTGTGGACGTTGCAAAAATGGACTCGCAAAACGCGGCCAAAAAAATTGAATTATAGGTTGAAAAAATGGAATGAAAAAATTGAACAAAATGCGCTGTCAGCGTTTGGTAAGGCTTAAAAATATTAACGACAATATGACGGATAGCCACCGACGAGCCTGGCCACAGCAGCGTTTTGCAGCTGGTTTAGGTCTTGCGCGCGCGAGCTATGTTGTTAAAACCAGGCTGCTGCTGCTGCTGGAGCTGACCCATCTGCTGGTGCTGGAGCTGCTGCTGACCCATCTGCTGGAGCTGCTGCTGAGACATGTGTTGCTGCGCATATCCGCCGCCGACACTGCTGCCGCCGTGTGACGACAAGGCGTACCCGCCCGGCACAGGCATGCCCATCGGCATGCCCATCGACGACTGGCGTGGGATCTGCATGTCGGCGATCCAGGGATGGCGCAGGGCATCCTCGGGCGTCAGGCGCATCGCCGGGTCCCAGGCCAGCGTGCGCATGACAAAGTCCACCAGCCGTGGATCGTTCGCACGAGCAAGAAGCTGCACCAGCGGCCGCGACCCAGGGCGCCGCCGCTTGCCCTTAGTGTTGGTGTATGGCTTGATAACAATGCCGCCGACCAAGCACGCTCCGTTGGGCAGCAGCATCATGTTGCCGACAGGCGTGGCCTGCACGCCGTACGGCGCCGGCTCGGCAAAGTCAGCGCACCGCGGAGCGCGCTCCAGCATGTACGCCGGCGGCGGGCCAAGCACCTCGACCACGCACGCCAGCTGCTCGCGCTCGTTTTCGCCTGGAAACAGCGGATAACCTGTCAGCAGCTCGGCCACGATGCAGCCCAGCGACCACATGTCGATGCCCGTGCCGTACGGCAGCCCCAGGATGACCTCGGGCGCGCGGTAGAAACGCGACTGGATGTACGTGTACACGCGCTCGGACTCGAAGCAGCTAGATCCCAGGTCGATCACCTTGATCCGGTACGACCCGCGCTGCAGGTCGGCACTCAGCTGCGGGTTGGTCAGCGGGTGAGGTGGCGGTCCCGCCGCACCAGCCGGCCCGCTGCGCCGCGAAGGCATCGGCGGCGGCCGCGCAAGAAGGATGTTCTCGGGCTTCAGGTCCGCGTGGATGATGCGGTGCCGCCCCATCAGCTGCAGCGACTGCAGCATCTGCACTGACAAGTTACGCAGCAGCGGCACCGGTGTCCCTGCAAACTGGTGCGCCTTGAGCCACTCGTAGAGGTTGATGCTCAGCAGCTCCATGACAATGCACAAGTGGTTGCGGAAGTAGAAGCTCGACGTCATCTGCAGAATGTTGTGCCCGCCCGACGGGTCCCACCGCCGTAGGCACTCCAGCAGCTTGACCTCGACCTGCGCCTGGTGGTGGAAGCGCTTGCGATTGCGGATAATCTTGATCGCAATGATCTCACCGGTCTTGTGGTCGCGCGCCCGCAGCACCTGCCCAAACGAGCCCTTGCCCATGACCTCGAGCAGCTCGTACCGGTACAGCATGTGGTCATTGAAATGGATAAGATAGTCACCGCGCTCATCGTCAAACCCGTAGTTTGTGCGCGCCGGCACGCGCGCCTTCGTGTTGCCCACGTAGTAGATGTGTGGGTAATCAAGAATTTCACTGCGCTCGTGCGCGCTCAGCTGCTGCCCGTACCGTGCGATGGCCTCCTGTGGCGTCATCGGCGGCACGCCGCCGCCCGAGGCCCTGCTGTCTGGCGCCTGCTCGCTCAGTCGTGACGGCGCTTGGTTTGATGATCCGGTTCGGGACATTGAGGGTGGAGCCTGGACGGACTGCGGCTGCTGATTCTGATGTGTCTGCTGCTGCTGCATTGCTTGTTGATGCTGACTCTGCTGCTGCTGCTGCTGTTGCCTGCTTGCTGTTACTGCGGCGGCGGCAACAGTTGATGACGATAACAACTGGTCGTTGGTTGGCTTGCCAGCTGGGAAGTGGGTGTGCATCTGTTGCTGCAATGGCGCGGGTGCTGCTACCGCTGGCGCTGCGGAGACCGTAGATAAAGATCCCCTCTGCGTGACATTCCGCTGGTGGTAGCTGGCAACCTGCGGCCGCACAACTTGCCCAACAAGCGAGTGCGGCTGCGGTGGTGCATTGGATCCTTTCATCTGAGATGGCGCTCCGCTGCCGATAACGCTCGCTGCTGCGCCTGCGCGAGGTGCATTTCGCGGCTGCTGGTATCCCATGTTGTAGCCTCCAATTCCAATGGCACTGGCCGACGACGAAGTATTGTTTTGGCCGCGAACAGGAGCAGGCGCGCTTGGCTGCATGTTCCTACTCCTCACAGGCCGGAGCCTGGTCTGTTGTGACCGAGCATCGCCTTCGTCCTTTGACTCATCGCTGGACTTTCCACGCGATAACGACTGCGAGTTGTTCTCGCGCGCCGCCAGCTTGGTACCTGCAACGCCCGTATACGATGCCGGTGTGCGCTGTGGCGCTGGGTTGCCCTCTCGCACAGCCTGCTGCGTCCTCCATGTCGGCAGCTTGGGACCAATGGTGGTGCCGATTGAGGGACGACCGGCGGCCCTCCCAGTTGTGTTGGTCGGAACTCCACGCGCGCGATCCACGTCCATATTCGCGGCGCTCGAGGAGGTCTCGAGCCTGGCCTGCAGGGGACGGTGGCTGCCGCCAGAGATCATACCAGAGCTCCGCTTGTGGTGCTCGCTCGATCTGGTGCTTGGGGGGGTGTTGCCGACCGTCTCCTTGTCTGAGGCGCTCGAGATCTGGTCGCTGCTGTAAACGTTCATGTCCTGGTCCGACGGGGTTTGCAGAAAGCGCCGTCTGGAAGAACTTAGCCCGGACTCTCCTGCAGTGACAGGCGTGCGTGCAGATCTCCCAGTGGCCGAGTATGGCTCTCTTGCACGCTCTGGGTCAACGGTCAGCCTGGTTGCCTGGTGCATCATCCGGTGGGCTCGACCAGCCACTCCAGCCGCTGCCGACGAGGCCAGCGTGCTGGTATGTTCCTCATCAATGTCGCACTCTTGGGCCACATAGGCCGGTCTGTGCAAATTTGGTCTGTCGGCAGTGGCGCCGGGCCGCATCATGCCCATCCGCACCCTTGTCCCTCCACTGATGGTCGCCGCACCGGATGCCGTATTTGTTGATGTGTTGGATGTTGTCGCACCACCGCCCATTGCGGATGATGGTTCCTGGTTCTCAAAGACGCCGCTCCGACTGCGCCTCCGCAAGTGTGGTTTAGGTAGTTGCTTGCTGTTGCGCGCGACATTCCTGGTGTCTTGTTCTGCGTTCTGGTTGCGCCGTTTGCCACCTGTGCTGGCTTTCCACCTGTTGTGGACTCGCGCGATGACGAAATGGCACTCGATTTGGCGCCGATGCGCGCAGACAAAGGTCTGAGCCTCGATGGGATACCTGTCTTTGGAGTTGTTGTTGTTGCTGCTGCGACGTCGTCTCCTTCTTCTGATGTGGAGGATGGCTGGTTACGCAAGGCTCTGGCTGCCGAAAATATGGGCGGTGTCGCAATATTAGACTGTGCGCCGTACGAGACCCTTCGATTAGCGCCTCTTGGTCCGCTGTTAATAGGAAATATGTTGTGGTTCGAGTAGCTGAGTCCTAGTGTGCTGGTTCCGCTACCTCCAACTCCCATGGTGGTTCTTCGAGCTTGGCGTATTGTTATGCGCGGCCTGGTTTCTACCCTGGCACTGGTTTTGACTGGCTTAGACGACGAGTATGGCGTTCTTCCAACTGAGGCCTGCGCGTTTTCAGGTGCTCCTTCGTTTGATGATGCGCTTGCCGACTGTCTGTTACTGCGGGTGTTCTTTCTGTTGACAGATAGTCTCTGGCCCTTCTGTAAAAACGGTTTCTTATTGGTCGACAATCGCTTGCTCTTTAACTCGGTGGCGCCTTTGATCGATTCTCCGGTTGGAAAGCCGATGTTGCTACCAGACAGGTGCTGGTGCTGGTGCTGGTATTGCTGACTGGAGGAGCTCCCCGTGCTGTCTGCTAAATCCGAACTGTCAAAGTCCTCGTTACAACTATAGTGTGCGCACGATTTGCGATAATTAGTCGAGATTAATGCGTGAATCGATGGCTATTTGTATGCGAGCTCAGAATAGACACAGGCGCCAATTGTTTGAGAGCGGGGGAAGAAAAAGGCGCTGCTGCTTCTCAATTTTTCTTTCTCTTTTTTGGTGTGGCATGCGATTTTACAATCAACCAGAAGAAAATGCTGCGTTTGCACCCACACAGAACAACCTGTTGTCAAAAACATAGTCAAAAACAAAAGACACTCAGTCCCAGAAACAACTAATAATGCGTAACAATTTTTGCTGCTGTTTATTATGCGCTTCATACCTGTTGGTTTCTGAGCAAATTCGACCGCGAATGTTGTCAATCGAGGAATCAACCGAAATTATCGAGATGCTTGGACTAGCCTTGTTGTCGAGCTTGTCTAGCCAAATTTAAAAATAAAATAAATAAATAACAAAAAGGGGATATAAAGGAAGTGACAATATTAGTATAGTAAAGTTAGCATCAACAAAGAAGCATACAAGGGGGAAAGGAAGGATGGAAAGAAAGAAAGAAAGAAGGAAAAAATGGCAGGTCAGTTGGCTTATGTTTGCAGACCAAGCACAAATTCGAATAAAAGAGTAGAAAATTGGAATAGAGAGAGGAAGAAAAAAAGAGAGCATGAAAGGTGGGGGAAGTACTCGCCTTGTTTCCTTGCGATCGACCAACGGTATTTTCAGCACTCGAGGACACCCCCCCCCCTTCAACAAGGGCAATAGTGGGAGGAGTTAGGCGTGCGCGCTGTGTTGCACACGGTGCTTATTTACGGACTGTTAAAAATAGCTGTGCGAGTAATGAGCAACAGCAAAAAAATTAAATAAAAGGACATATAGAAGCCCACTTCATTGCAAGTCATGAGCCAAGCGATTCTCTCCAAACCGCCGTCGTTGCCACTACTGCACCTTTTGCTATGATGTGTTGCAATATCATGTACAAATAAAAATGCAGACGTATCTTCACCGCTCATATGCAGCCCGAGCAAGTGGCAATCGTCGATAAAATTGCCCCCCCCCCCTGCATCCGCCGCTGGCAGCGATGCACACGTCTGGTCGAGCACTTGGCAAATAAAAAACGGCACGTTTGGGTACGTTCTCGGCCAAAATGCGCTCTGTGTCGGCCCCCCACTAGACTCAGCCCCAAACTCAGATCGCCATTGAAAAGAGACAAGTGCTGAATTGAAAGATTCAAAGATAAAAATAGACAAGGCTCTCCAAATCAAGGGAGACCAACCGTGCATGGATCCAGAACTAGAAAAATGGACTGGCTTTTGGTCCTAAAATCGACAAGCGCTTGTTGGAGGCGTCCAAACTCAAGCAAAGATAAAAGTCGATTCATGCACAAACAATGGCATATGCAGTCAATAGTACGAGTGGTCGCTGAATCTGCTTCTCAAAACAGACTGCGGGACTGCGTGCAAAGGATAAAGCGGACCAAGGGAAAATGTGGCGGAGAAACAGAGGATGGACTGCGTACACAGACATGGGCGCTTCTAATAGTTTGCCAGCGTGCTGTATATTTTTCTGGGTACTAACCTGAATGCTTGCGCTGTAATGGAATCGCTACGCGGCTGGTGCCTGACTTGGTGTATGGCTTTTTGATATACCCTAGTTCGTAAGTAGAAATAAAGAGAAAGGATGCGAGTGGCAGTCGAAAAAGTGCGAGTGCAAGGATCGTGTTTTTAGTGTGCGAAGCAAAAATAAAAGTTACATGAGGCTTGAAATAGGGCCGAGCATTGCGAACATGGATACTATGCGCAGTAAAAACAGGTTTCTTGCTCGTTAAATGCCATTTCTCGTCGCAGCCAAAAAATACACGTGGTTGGTTGGTCGTCGCACACATGTGATATGTGGTTAATTTACATGCGCGCGATATGTGGACAACACTTTTATGGAAAATTGGTGCCGACTGTTGCGTGCTGTTGCATACAAACAAATGCACCACCGAGCGAAAAATGAGTGTACCACGTACGCGATAATACAAAAAATAAGTGGTGTCCGCGTTATTGAGACTCGAAGACTGTCGTTGGCTGCGTGTAGGCTGAAGTGACTGTTGTGTGTGCGCACAAATCCAGCCCGAGTTCTGATTATGAGCGAGAGAAAAGCAATGTGTTGGTTCTAGAAAGCAATGTGTTGGTTCTAGAATAGCAAAATGAGAGAAAGAAAAGAAAAGAAAAGAAAAGAAAAGGCTATTATGGCGGGGGCCAACATAGCAAATGGATGCTGCGAGGGTGGGTTATACGAACAGCCGACGTGTGGCCAAGCCAAGCCAAGTCAAGCCAAGCATGGCACAGCAAGACTAGGAAAAATGGCAAAGGGGGAGCATTGAGAGGAATGAATAGGGCCTGGGGGAATGGGGATGACGCAGTTTTGCGCGCAACAATGCTTTAGCAGAACAGCCTGGCCACAGCTCGCGCTGCGCCAAGTGCCATTCTGAGAAGCCATGTTTGTGCGGTCGAGAAAAGTCTGCGCGAGGCTTCAACGATAAAAGGCATTGACGCCGCGAGCTACGGTTATTCTTTTTGACGTTTTGGCGTATATTAAAGCGGAGGAAACATGCAAAACACGTGCGGGGAGAGTAAAGCCGTATATGCGCACCATTCCTGCACAACCAATGCTCGTTTCCAAACAAGTGGTTGTGTGCGGGGGAGGAAAAAATGACCTCCAAACATGAGCGATTAATCTCGATTTGGTATCACAAATACCCGCTCTCCCCCATTCTCCGCCACGCCAACTACAGAGGCATGTCAATGGGTGGGAGAGGACATGCAAATGCACTGCAAAAAAACCAATTGCTTACCTGGAGCCGCGCTCTCGTTGGATGACCGCCCGTCAATAGATTCACAATAGCTTTCCACCGCCGCACTGGCGCTGGCTCTAATCGGATCAATGGTCGCTAGACGCGTGCGCAGCCGCCCAGAAGAGCTACCCACCTCACTGACACCAGCCGAAAAGTTGCAGCCCATCTGCACATGGAAGTGATCCTCCGATGGCCTGCCCTTTGGCGATGGCAGCTCTGAAGATACCCACGAAAACGTGCGCTGCCGAGACGTGTTGTGGTCAAAGTCGTCACACATGGCCTCGATGGCTGCAGTCAGCCCGCTGACGTTCTCGCTGTCAGTGCTTGTTGTCTTGTCTGCTGCACTCGCAGCGGCGTCTGCTAATAAATTGACGTTGCTGTTCATTGCCAACAACCGTGCATTCGCTTCAGGCTTTTGGGGAAAAGTGGGTGAATGTCGGGTGGTTGTTTTGCTCGCTCTTTCTTTTTTATCGAATTTCTGAGACGCGTAATTCAAATGACCATTCAGTTGTTTGGAAGAAGGATAAATGACAAACCCCCCAAATTGGTAAATGACGCGAAAAAGATGTTTTTTTTGGTGTGTCCCTTTTTACATTTAAAAATGCGCCTGTCCCATCATGATCAAGGCTGCCCAGTCCAAGCGCGCGATTATTAAATCAGATCCTGAATCACCATGCCTTTGGCATTATACAAGCAAGCGGTATATGTGGTATAATTGGAAACCCCAAAAAATCAAAAAGAAATAATGAGGCTTGACATGCCAAAAAAATATGTACTCTGGCAAACTACAATGGTGCCAGAAACGCGGGTGTGTGACCTGCCATGCCATGCCAGGAGTACCAATTATGAGTATATTAAAATTGTCCAGCTATTTGCATATCCCTGATTCTTCCGTCCCAACAAACAAAAACAAGACGCCGTACATTTCCAGCTACTAGCGAGGGTTTATGCGCAAAAATATCTAAAACACCAGGAGTTTAGAGCACCAACATTTATTATTGTTATTTGCCATATCAGAGTTCGCGTTTGTCCGAAATTATTGGTGTTGTTTTGGCATTGGCCTATTCAACTAACATTTTACTACTATTTTCGTTTTGCTTTTTGAGACTTACTATTATTGCCCATCAATTCCTTCTTCCCAATCTACTACGGGAATACTGCTCCACGAGCTTACTTGTCCCCACTTTCTCACCCTCCTCCTTTTTTACTTTGTCGGCCGGGCCTTGTGGTGTTTAGCTCCACAGACTTTGCTAAAAACGTCATGAAATCATTTAAGGTACATCTTCAAGCCTTCGAACAGGCATAATATTACTGTTACAGACAGGTGCGTTTCCCTGAGCAAAAGCCACATTCTTCTCCCTCTTTTTTCATTATATATTAAGCTTGACTATACCAATTAACCCAAAAATACACTTACTGCTCAAATTCAATTTTGTGTTGTAATACTAATTTTTATTTTCACTTTATCCAAAATCTTGGCAGCGTTCGCCGTTATAATATAAGATACCACCACTGCAAAGTCCAAACTTTTTTTAAAAATATATCTTCTGTTTTGTTTATCTTTATTTTAAAAAGCAAACTCTTTATAAAAATACCTCCTTCATCTCCCCAACTCCAAGCTGTGCTGTTCTCCTGCATTTTTAAATTCTCATCTTAATCCTCATAAAATGTTCTTGTTTAATGACACAAATCGGCGGGACTATCCGACTCCAGACCCCTACGAACAAACGGGAATTATCGTGTATCCCGAGTAAACGCGTTATCGCCGTATTCAATGCATAATTTTTTGTTTAATAATGTTTATAGTGTGTAGTTTTCCTTGGGTGCGGTTACTTTGGACAGTGGACTTTTTCTTTTTGCACACATACTCTTTTTTCTCTAAATTAGAATTTTCATTTTCTATTTTTTAAAATCAAGCAATGGCGAACCTTTACGAACCATCTTATGTTGAACATCCAGTGCATATTTGCTCAATAAAACATTGCGATTTATATACAGGCTGTAAATTGTATGTATTTAGTGAGAAATTCGAATTTGAAAACATTCGAAAAATCTCTGGCATGCATAGATTAAGTCGATCCGGCACCCGCATATGTGCTGATTTGAAGCCTTTTCCTATTGTAAAATAATGGGTACCCTGTTTTTTTAATTTTTATTTGTCCAATTCCCACTTTTCCTGACCCATGTTGTTTTGTTAAACAGTAAATAGGTGTAAATAAATACATTCTGTAAGCCACATGTCATTATACTAATAGGAGGTGTACATGTAATCGTTTGGCCCGTTGCCTATTGCTTAACGAATAGATAGACCATATACCTTGGCCACTAGATATCGTTGCTTTGCCATCTGAACAAGTATCTGCATTTGATTAGTTTCAGTTTTTCATTGATTGGTTTGATCCAATTTTTTCTATTTGTGAGGCGGAAAACCGGGTTGAAGGCAGAGTGAAAGGCACATTGTATCGGCCGATATTCCGTGTATAATTGATTTGCGGATTTGTCGGGCATGCACAATCCTTTTGTTTTTATTTTCTCATCAAGCTGAAAATCAAAACATTTGATTTAAAAATTATTTTATTGTACATTTATTCGTATTGACAAGGATATTATAATGGTACTGAAAAAGTAAACAAGTTTATTGCGGCCAAATTCGGATGAAGGAAAGACCAGCGTCCCTTTATTACGGAAAATCAAGAAGGAACAAAAGACAGATAGAGAAAACGAAGAAAAGTGAAAATCCCAAATAATGCTACCCTATCATTGCTCTGGCGGGAGAAAATAAAAGATGTAGAATGTGAAAATAAAATTGTTTACATATAATTAGTGAGAGGCAATTTCTTGCCTGGCATATCATGCTCAGGCAAAAAGACGCAGCGGCTTCAATAACGAGCTGCGACGCGACCATTTCCGCGATTTAGTCAACTTGTGGTCATCAGCAGCCGGCACCTGGCCTTGTCCTTGCATATGCAATCTGAAGTTGTTTCTATCATCCAGCGATGATAAGCTGGATCGCGATTCTAACCGCAGAACTGAGCTGAGCAGAGACGTTGCTGTTTTTGGCGTCATTGTGTGTGTGTGCGGCACCAGGTGCGCGGGTAATGACCGGGCCTTGAGCTGGATTGTGTAGCAGAAAGCGCAGTCGCAGGATGTATGGCAATCACAGGCGCATTGTGTGTGCTGGCTCAAGCAGCACTCGCTCTCTTCCCATCCACGGCACTTGCGGCAGCCCATGTTGTTATCGAGTAGTATTTGTGTAAAATAGTGTTGTTTTTGTTTCTGTAAGGTAGCGAAGAAGACCTTTGCCGATGATAAAGGGTCTGGTTGGTGGAAATGTAATGCTGCGGTCTGTTACTGTTGCGAGGCTCGGCCGGAGATAAGCAGTTATGTGTGTCGGGGCCCAGGTGGATCGAGAATGTAGAGGTATAAAATGGTAAATGCGGGGTAACAAAAGAACAATGCAAAAAATAATAAAGGCAATTTGATAATTAAATGGAGCTGAAATGTTTAAATATCAAACAAATGGAGTGGGGGTGGCTAGACAGTCCTCTTTATATATCTGGTGGATTGTGGATGGGCGCTCATTACAAACAATTCCTATTGTAAAACATCTCATTCGGCCCTGATTCTCGCATCATCTCCCCACAAAACAAACAATAAACAGGTTTTCTATTTTTGATGTGTGGCGAAAAGAAACACAATGAGCAATTTCCTATTTAAGGCCGGCATGCGTCATTGCTAACAGCACGCTCCGTGGTGTAATTCAGTTTTTGGAACGAAAGATTGCCAGATATTGTGCTTCTTTCCGAGTTGGTCGAGCTTGTTTGTTACTTTTTTTGCTGAATTTTTTTGGTTGGGTTGATTACAAACGCAATGCGCATCAGGCAGCGCCATCAGTTGCGAGTGTAGGCATGAATAATTGCATGCATTGCAATGCAGTACAGTACAGGGCTTAAAATGGAAAGGTACAGTGATGTTAAAAGGCGACATAATAAATAGAGACAGCACTTTTAGTTGTTGCGCGCTGCGCATTGTGTCTGGACATTCCGCGGCATGTTTTTTTCAATGATCAATTGGTTTTAATGTTAAAGTACAAAATATGTTTATTTTAAATGCAACAATAAGTTTAAAAAGCAATTAAAGCCTATCTATAAATTAATGAATTGAACGTGAGTATAAACCACAGCACAAAAAGGGATACGGGTTTAGAAAGTGAATGAATGAATTTAGAGTATTTAGATTAGCAGCAGGTTCTCGATCTGCTCGTTGGTGGGGGGGTCAAGCTCAAAGCTGATCTTGCTGAAAATCTTGCGGATCTTGCTGAACATGGTTGATATTGGGTGGTGTGCAAAAAAAAGTCGTAAAGATGGATTGGTAATTTGGGAACTTTAAAGTTGAATGAAGAATGGATTGATGGATATTTTTGTGCAGAACAGGATGGTTTGTAGTTAATAAGCTGGAACTTGGGGATTATTACATTCTTTTTATATTTCAATAAACTCGCTGCTTCTTGTGGCGCATTTTGCAGTTGAAGATATACATTTTTTGCTTATTACTTTTTCTTTTATTATAAAATGATCTGGTCGTATTGTTGTTTGTAATATTCTTTGCGACAAAAGCCTGTGCTATGTTTTTTTCTCAATTGATTGGTTATTTATTGTTCTGCAATCACTTATGCGCAAGCATGTGTGCGTCAAGCTACAATAGCATAATTACCATTGTGTCTCGATGCAATCGGTTGTCTCTGAGCGAGATTTTATTATACTTGGTGTTTTATTGTCCCCCCCCATTTATTGTCACAATTGTAGCACTCGATTAATTGAAAAGGTCCCATTTGCGCCTGTTTTACTTCTTGACCACGTATTATTCTACAAACGCCTCTTTCTACAGCCACCCTCGTGTGAGGATGACCAATGGCAATTCTAATGCCAATTACAATAACAAATTACTTGAAGTTTGCCTCCATTTTTCCTGTTAGAGGCGCGCATTTTGCACTCACCAATGCACATAATAATGCCGCCGCATTGGCCAATGTCAGGCAGACACCAACGCGGCCTTGCTAGAACTCGTGACCAAAGCACCAACTCTCAAGATTCGGAAAGTAAAATCAGGGCAATCAGATCACCGATAGGCATGTGACGATTGTCCAGAGGTATCGATGCAGAGCGGATGGACCCGGCTCGCTGCCAGTTGAGCCGGCAAGACCTGTGCCTTAATTTTTGCACTACACCACAAGTACGGAGAAAAATTAGGTCATGGGCCAGGCGAAATTGGATCGCTTCCCACATGACAGTCCTGTTAATTTGCCTCTGTAGTAAAATAGGGAGTATTTTTGGGACTGACCAATGGGGTGATTTCCTGGTGATGTGAGTCAGGCTGGCAAACCAGCTTGCCATTGCGAATGGCACAATTTTCCGCTCTTTTTTAATTGTTTTTTCAATTTGCTTTGTGGCCCACGTGAGGAATATCCAGACAGTACACTTTTTAATTCGCCAAGCAAGAGAAGGGTTTCTGGCTGCTACAAACGCTGACGCGAGTGTGTCATGGAATTAGCAACAACGCCTGCTGAATCAAAGAGGGCGTGGCGTGTCGCCATGCTGCCAGTAGTATATAATTCAAAACGTATTGCTCCTCTCCTCTCCTCTCCTTTTTCCTCTTCAATTTCAATACTCTCATCAATCAGCCATTAAACACACCCAGCCCCAGTTCAGTCATTATTTTATTTTCATTTTTATTTTTATTTTTATTCTCTCACTTTAGACAAACTCACTTTCCCCATTAGCATCGTCGCCTTCATTCTTGCCCGCCCTCTCAGTTCCACCCCTTTATTTCTGTAATTGTCACTATATTTTTATTTGTATTATTAGCTGTCACCATTTTCCCTACCAATCATCCAACCCTTTTCTTGCAAATGGTAAAGTCAGTTCTGCTTCTGGGCATGGTCCTGGCAGCCACAGCAGCTAACGTCTCCGCGGGCAACTTCCACGGCCACCAATACAATTCCCGCAATGATGTTAAGCCATTTGGCCCGACCGCGCGTTCCAGCGTGCACCACACAGTCTATTCTGTGCCCCTTGAAGTTGCACCCCTGAGCTTCGGCAAGCGCCACCTTCGCGCCAGCAATCTGCACAGCTATTCTGGCGCCAATGACTACAAGCTGGATGGCGCTGTGGCGGTCGCATCAGCCTATTTATCAAAGCAACATGATATTCCGGAACATAATATGAAACTCAAGTCGGCCTATCGCAGCGAGCACACCGGCGTTACCCACGTCTACTTTAGACAGATGGTTAACGGACTCGAGGTTGTGAACGGCAATGCCAACGTCAACATTGACAAGCACGGTCGCGTCATCTCATCCGGAAACTCATTTTCCTCTTCGTACTCAGTCACCAAGCCCTCGGTAGACAGCGGACACAAGTGGACCGATGTTGCCGAGGCTGCTGTTAAGGGCTCGTGGGAGACTGCACATCACGTTGTCAGCACCGCATTTGACATCCTTGTGAATGATGTCACGGATGGCTTCGACAGAGTCGCAGAGTTGGTCGACGGCGTTGCCAACCGCCTGCGCATCCAGAACGCTCACCATGGCGACGAAGACATTATCGACCTGGAGGACCGAGTGAGGCCGCATGGAGGCGAGGGCCGCCAGCGCACGTTTGGGCCCCGCGGTGTCAAGACATCGTACATCTCAGTCAAGGAGGCGCTTGAGCGCCTGTCCCACTACATCAAGGACGACCTCCTGCCCCACCAGCTTTCAGCCGTGGAAATTGAACCGTCGATGAACCTCGAAGGCGAGCCTGAAATCGCACTGAGCGGTCTTCCCACCAGCTTCTCAGTTGACGGCAAGGTCTCTGCGCAGGCTGCGCTACTCAGGCTTGACGACGGTTCACTCATCGAGACATGGGACATGACAGTTGAGCAGGAGGACCACTGGTGGAATGCGCAGATAAACGCGCGCACCGGCAAGGTCGACGCTTTGGTTGACTGGAACAACCAGTTCACGGCCGAGCCCGAGGCATACCGCGTCTACCCCTGGCAAGTGCCCGACCCATCACTGGGCGAGCGCGTGCTTTTAGAGAACCCCGCTCACCCCAAGGCCAGTCCGAAGGGATGGTCGAGCCACAACCAGACGTCGGGAAACAACGTGTTCGCACAGTCCAATCCCGACGGCGGCCGCAGCTGGCAAAACAACTTTAGGCCGACTTCAGAGGACCGTGTGTTTGACTATGACCTCGACCTGAAGAAGCAGCCTTCGTCGTACATTGAGGCTGCTGTGACGCAGCTGTTCTACACGAACAACTTTATGCACGACCTGTTCTACCTCTACGGGTTTGACGAGGCCTCTGGCAATTTCCAGGACGAGAACTTTAGTGGCAAGGGCCGTGGCAACGATGCGGTTATCGCCAACGCTCAGGATGGCAGCGGTTTCAATAACGCCAACTTTGCGACCCCACCCGATGGCAGACACCCCAAGATGCGCATGTACGTCTGGGATTTGACGCAGCCCTACCGCGATGGAGATCTGGAGCAGGGCATTGTTGTGCACGAGTATACGCACGGAATCAGCATCCGCCTGACTGGTGGCCCGGCCAACTCGAACTGCCTGTCGTACGGCGAGTCGGGGGGCATGGGCGAGGGCTGGGGTGACATCTTTGCGACCATCATCCGGCTGACCGCCAATAGCTCCCGCAGCGACGACATTCCGATGGGCGAGTACTCAGCAGCGCGCGGAATCCGCAAATTCCCTTACTCGACCGATCTGAAGACCAACCCGTCGACCTACGGCATCCTGAATGGTCCCGCATACTGGGAGGTGCATGCCAAGGGCGAGGTGTGGGCCGAGATCTACTACGAGGTGCTGTGGAATCTTATTGATGCACATGGGTTCTCTGACGACCTTTTCAGCCATGATCTCACCAAGGGCAATGTCCTGGCTCTACAGCTGCTGGTCGACGGCATGAAGCTTCAGCCGTGCATGCCGAACTTTATCGATGCCCGCGATGCAATTTTGCTGGCTGATCGCCAGTTGACTGGAGGCGAAAACCAGTGCCACATTTGGAAGGGTTTTTCCAAGCGTGGTCTCGGCGTTGATGCCGAGCTGCTCTTTGACTCGCCGTGGGGCGGAGGCTCGCGTACCGAGGACTTTAAGCTTCCTAAGGAGTGCAAGTAAGCAGGTCATTTTCTAATTCCGTTTTTTTAATTTTTATTTAGAGTAATTGAGAAAATAATATGAAATTATTACAGAGGAGCTTTGGTCAAATATGACTTGGGTTAAATTCATTTACATTTATAATTACAAGCATATAAAAATACACGCCCTGGTTGACCTTCATGCTTTCGACCATCTGTGAGAAATGTCTGTTTTTGTTAGCAAACAGGTTATCGGGCATGTCAAACTCTGCCATCTGGCCGTGGTCCATCACCAGAATGCGATCGCTGTCCATGACAGTGCCCAGCCGGTGTGCAATAGTCAACACGGTGCAGTCCTTAAATTACTTGCGGATCACCTCTTGCAAGATCTGGTCAGTTTTGGTATCCGTGTTGGCCGTCGCTTCGTCCAGGATGACAATCTTGCGCTGCCAAAGCAGAGCTCTGCAAAGACTGATGAGTTGCCGCTGGCCGACGCTAAAATTGTTACCACCATTTTCAACCCATTTGTCCGGCCCAACACCCTCGCTCCATGGGCCAATACTGTCATCATATTAATCATTCTCTTCTCGATACTCCAACAGGCATTTATGTCGAAGATCATCAATTTGGTTCGCACGAATAGCTGCCCAGACTTCGCCATCGGTATACTCATTGGCTGGGTCGAGATTGTCGCGGATGGTTTCTTCAAACAGCACTGGATCTTGTGAAATGATGGAAATGCGTGATCGGAGGTCCTGCAGTCCAATGTTTGAAATGTCAATACCATCGATGATAATCTGGCTGTCGACTGGATCAACCAGGCGCATCAGCGCGTATGTAATCGAGCTCTTTCCAGCACCTGTGCGGCCGACAATGCTGATTTTCTTGTTTTTACCAACTGCGAAAGAAAGATCCTTGATGACCAAATCAAACTCTGAGCGATATCGCATATTGTAATTACGGAATTCAATCACGCCATTCTGAGGCCAACTGGATTCTGGGGTTGAATTCTCAACAATAGCCGGTGCTTCGCGCTCAAGCTCCTCAATGTATGTGTAGGTAGGCAAGCAGTCATTAAAAATATGCTCTTTAGTGTTTAATCCAAGTAATTTTGTCCAAACAGGTTTTGACTTCTTTCAACAATGAAGTAGCTACATCAATGTGGGCCGTCGTTAAGGTGGATTTTGAATTTATGTGCAGCCAAATATTCAAAAGAAGGAACGCTGAAACAGTCAATTCATTACAAAAGTCCAGTGTCAAACCTTTAGCATAATATCCCACACGTCGATTATGTACTATCAGTATATAATATATACTAGAAATATTATAATGGGCAAGATACCTGTCTGATATGTTATGAATGCGTATATATGGTTTCTGTCTAATATAAAGTTTGAAATCTCCAGGATAGACCGAATATCATATTTTTTCATCAGTGGCCTACATTTGTCATCAAACACGTTTATGGCGCTATTTAACACAAAAGTACAAACAATTATTACAAACAAGTAAAATCAGTATTGGCGCCACATTTGCCATTTGTACAATAACTGAAATGGCTATAAAAACGTGGCGGAATACTTTGGCAGACAACAATGGCATAAACATATTTGAAATGTACACATTCGAAATTGCCGATGCGGAGAGTCTCTCTGCAATTTGCAGGGGCATCGACAAAATTCTGTCTATGAGCATACTCCTTAATCTTTGCGCCAATTTATCGATCCAATATTTATTTCTCATCTAATCTTCAAGATTCCAAGATGCCATCTAACTACCTCAACAATTGCATTAATAACCAAATACATTTTAATGATAATACCATGGTTGCTGGGTTTTCATCTGTTATTAAATCCATCTTCCAGCTGTTACTATAGTACAGGCATAGGTATTAACCATTTTTAATAAAATTATCGATGCCATAGTCAAATAGCCACTGTTTTTAGATACCACCATACATGTACCGGTTTTAAGGGTGAGTTGCCATCTTCAGGGCGGATTGTGAACGTGCCATTATCATTGGTCAAATTATATATATATCACTAGTGCTGCCAATATCTGAAATGTCGAATATCTCTAGAGTATCCAATTCATCAGTATCTTTCACAATGGTTGCTTCAACCTGTGCGGGTGTCTGCTCAACTACTTCAGCACATTCATCAGCAAGCGTAATGACCTTGTTGCTGAATGGGACCAGGTGCTCCGCATGAGTGACCAGAATTCGTGTTTTGTCGCTTATTATGCCCCCACTAATCAATACATGCTCGACAACATGCCGCTCGACTTGCGCATCGACAGCCGAAAGCAAGTCATCAAAGATGTACACGTCTGCTTGCAGATACAACGCCCTACAAATGCAAAATAAAATAAAAATAAATTAACAAGAAGCTTAGTACACAATTCGCTTTGGTTTTAACTTTTTTTTAACTTTTTACATTTTTCAACTTACCTTGCTAAACCCAGCCGAGCCTTTTGTCCGCCTGACAGATTGATGCCATTGCGGCCAATCTCGGTCATATCACCAGCAGGAAGATGCTTGGCGTCTTCTGTCAAAGCACTGGCTTCAATCACTCGGTGGAATAGTTTATCATCGTACTCGGCACCCATGAGCACGTTTTCGCAGAATGTGGCATTAATCACAAAAGCCTCTTGGCGCATATACGCAATACTGCCGCGCACAAAGCTTTGGCCGCTGGTAATTGGCATCTCACCACAAAGGCCAGAAAGAAGGGACGACTTGCCACTTCTGATTCTTCCAACAACAGTGATAAACTCGCCGGCCTCTATACGCATTGACATTGACTTAAGTGAAATTTTGTTTTTGCCCCAGCTGAACATGCAATTCGTTAGCTCCACTGCAGCTTTGCTGTCTAGACCTTTGGACTGACGCTCAGCGTAGCGATTATCATCTGGCTTGATCAAATTTTCAATAAATATTATTCTTGTTTTTAATTCAGAAAAAGACATAACTCCATCTGTTATTATATACATAAAGTTTAGAAGCGAACCAATACACCCAAACAGTAGAGCAATATCAGCATATGTAACTTTGCTGTTGTTTTTGTCCAATAAATGCTACCAAAATAATTGCAGACGCTATGTGCGATGTAGCGCAGCTGAGGATATTGACAAAAAACTTTGCAACCTGCCAGCGAATAGGTATAGCATTTTTTGTCTGCGTATTACATTTAAAATTTTCTTTATACAGATTTTCCCAGGCGAAACACTTGATTGCTCGTAGATTTACGATGGTGCCAGTTGGATCCTCGTAAAATTTGGGTACCTTTTCTAATTTTTGAGTTTTGTTTTCTTGTTCAATTTCCATATGACACTCCAGCCATATTTTTCACTAGACATTATCCAAATATTGAATGACTAACCGAGTATTATGCCAATGCAGTACACAAAGCTTAAGAATATGGATACTATATTGATTACGTTGCCACGTAGTGTACTGGTAGTGCTTATATTATTATTGCGAGTATTAATAACTTTTTTTACAATTTTAGATATTAGCAATTCATTTATCAAATAGATTTTACTATCTGTATAAGTAGTTAAATATTTATATAAATTGTGTGTGGTTCCCAGGCATGCCCAATTTATGAATATTAGGGCTAATGTAGGATAATTAATAAATTTGTTGCTTCCAATCATCGCAATAATTGAAATAAGCGCCAAACGACGCTTGGGCCTTACCATTCTCGGAAAAGCTTTACCAATAGCAGCAGTTATCAGTGTTTTCCACTCGACAGCAATCAAATATCGAATAATGTAAAATTCAATTTAAAACAAAAAACATAAAGAAAATAGCATACAAGTTGTTAGTGTTACCATTTGTAATAAGACATTTGTAAAGCAATTCGTCAAATACCTTGTACTTAATGTTTTGTAGGGTCCAGTGGAGTATTTTTTCGGCTTCTTGCTCCAGATTATAAACAGCTTCCATACTTAGCTTGTCCTGGCACGCTAGCCTTATCAGGTTGAAACATCTGAACATGAATAAATCGCTCACCGTGCTTATAATTGATTTCTGAGACGACTTTCCAATCCCGCACCATGCAGAAAACATGTGCAATCCTACACCCAAGGTGGTAGCAGCCAGAGAGTAATTGCTTGAATATTCTATTATCCAATAAAAGCGTGTGACATGCAAAATGGCACACGCAAAGTTGTTGTTTTTGGAAAAGTTTGTTTGAGCCACCAGCGAAAACGCAGTCAGAAGAAAAACAGCCGCCAACGCAATGACAGATTCCGCTGAATGTTCGGTAAAATGGTTAAATGAAAGCGCAAAGTTGGCCAGACACACCGCGCCAAACAGCCTGTTTGTTTCCAGCTTGCGCCTGGAAAAGTCAGAACATGTTAGCTGGAAAGCAGAGGCTCCGGTCACCAGGGCGGCCAGCATTAAACCCGCGTGGGCATAAAAAGTGGCAGTTGCCATGAGCGCAATAATATTGTATAAAGCTAGTGTGAAATATTTAAAATATGCGGTCAACTAAATAATATTAAGAATTAAAAAGTGTATGAGCGTAAAAAAACAATATATTTGTGAGGAGTCTTTTTCTCTATGCTACTTTGCTTTCATTTTATGTAAAATATTTTTATCTAAGGATGTGAATTGTTTGCTTTGTTGTTTCCTGCTAATTTTTATACCAATACTTATTTTTATAAAAAATAAATCGATTTGTGTTTATAAAAAATAGCTGCAGGCACGTGTATAATAAAGAATTGGGGTTGCTTTGATAATAAATAACTGCGGTCGGTTTTACACAATTGAAAAATCTTGGCAAGTTTTTGGGGGACATTAATAAAAAATTCACTCCGGTTTTTCAGCGCTCATTATTTGGATAAAAATGCGGCTGCTTTAGTTTACTTGCAGTTGAACCCACACAATGCTGTCGAATAATAAAATGTTTCTTCCAAGCACAAAAACAACATTAACTGAAAGCTACACCAGTGCAAAAGAACAACTGTTTTAAATTTGTTGCTGAAAAAAGCGTGGTTTACTTTTTTTAATGTAGTAACTGTCATATTCCTATGTTTATTTCCCTAAAAGGAGTATTGCTACTATTGTGCTGATACCATTTTATAACGCTTGCAATGGCGCGATTTGAACAAGGTGTTTAATGATAAAGACGAGTTTTCTAGCTTGACAGTAAAACGCAAATATTGCAGATTTTATATTCAAATTAGGTCATACAACCTCTCAACATTACTTGACTCACAAAACCAACAGCCGTAAAAGTATGTTCCTGTGATCATGTAAGCGCAAAATAAAGGCAAGAACAATGCCAATGTCAAATAAAAGGAGGTTGAAGTTATCATGCGTTGCCAGCTGACATGTGGTTGGTATTAACAATAGGCAGCAAGGCACACACGTAAACATGTCTTCCACTGATGTCGGCAAATGTTTTTTTCGTTTTGTAGGAAATGCATTTTGTGCACTTGAAACACTGTTTTATGCAGCTTGAATGCGCAGCAAAACCTATTTTCTTTTCGTGTTGCGTGAAATAATTGGGAAAATAAAATCAGAAATAGGGAGATGAATGGGTAAAAATAAAACCAATCCCAATATGCATGGCTGGACTTTTGCACATCTAATGCCCAAGCAATGTGGGTTTTTTGTTGAGCATTCTTGTTTCTTTGGGCCTATTTCAACTGTAAATGCTGCGTATTAAAAAACCCCATGAAAGCGCAATGTGGCTGAGTCGGAAATGCCCGAAAAAAGATGATAGACACCAATTTACCTAAAAAATTAAAAGTTTGGCAGAAAATAGTAGAGTAGTAGTACTAGCGCAAACACGTTCCCTTGCGAGTAATGTTGATAATTAAATTGGCGTGAGAAAAGTTTTAGCTGCAATCAGCTCAAGCAAAATAAAAAACCAAGCGACAACGGCAGCAAAAAAACCCGCGTCAGTTTAATAATAAATTGGCAGGAGGAGAGTGCAACATAAAATTTAGTTTTTTTAAAGCCGATGGAGTTGATAAATGCAAATCGTATTTTGGATTGGTGAGTCTGCACAGAAAAACTCCACTCTATCTACCCACTAACTAAAAAGTACGCAAATCACCATTGTTGAAAAAAAGAAACGCACGCTTGACAAAGCAGGATCGCGTACTCATGCATGCGCGATCGACTTTGTCGATACGTCCAGGAGCAACTGGTATTTGTACGTCAACCGAGGTGAGAGAACATTGGTATATGGGGTTAAACAGCGCAGCAATCATCAGTTGAAATTTGTTGCCGAATTTGGAAGAAAGCGAAACACTGCACTTAATGCCTCTGAAGATCATATTTCGCTTAAAATATCGTTTTTTTGAGTAATTTGGACAGACATGCCCGTGTACCCCAACACGGCAATGTAACCACACATGGCACTTCAAAAAGGGAGATGGGGATTACACACCGCATTTGAATGTCCAAAACGCAGTAACATCCAAAAAAAGAGACCGACCCTACCATCTGTCCAGTCGAGTCCCTAACCACCCTCTTCCGTTCGCACATATTTTCTCGCCACAATAGTGTATTTTTTTGACATGATCACACCCCCCTCCCCCTTACTAGGGGCTTGTTTATACGTGTATTATTTGTCGACAAATAATCGATGGTTGCTATCTGTTTGCACAAAAAGCACAAAAAATATGCCGAGCGTGAAACTGGGTTTACATTTAAAATGGCGTCCTTGGTTCTCGCTGTCCTCTCCATAGCAAAAATCACCCCGTTTTCTTCGTCCTCCTTGTACCTCAGCTCGCTCTGCTTATTTCCTCCTATATTGCAGAACCACATAATTTTTTTCTAGTCACTCGTGTTTCTTGTAGTCCAGTAGTTAATATCAGCACTTGTTTGAGCCATGTCATCCAACATCATCGTTGAATGCCCAAGAGAGTCAGCGCCGTTGCTGAACTCCCACCCCTCCGAGGCCACCTTAACAAACATCCCAATTCACAACGAGACCGAAGGCATTCCTTTTGACGATGAGCTTAGTGTATCTCGCGTGTCACTCATCAAGCAAGAAGCCTGGTGGCTATTCATCTCCTCAATCCCGCTATCCATGTCATATTTTCTCCAAAGCTCATTCAACTTTATCAGCATCCTCAGCGTCGGCAGGCTCGGCGTCAACGAGCTCGCGGCGGCATCATTAGGCCTAATGATGATAAACTTTATCGTGCTCATGCCTGGAATCGGCCTTGCGAGCGCACTCGAGTCTTTTTGTAACTCGGCATTTACAGCGTCTAGCGACAAGACGCGGGTGGGATTCCATGCGCGGCGTGGGTTATTCGCTGTCACTTTGCAGTTGATCCCGACGGCTGTTTTGTTCCTGTTTATGGACCAGCTTCTTTTGCTGCTGGGCCAGACGCCTGAGGTGTCAGAACTGTGTGGGCAGTTTTTGCGCGTCTGGTTGGTGGGAAGCTGGCCGCTGCTGGCCTATGAGTGTCTGAAGCGCTTTGTCCAGGCACAGGGTATTATGAAGGCGAGCACATGGGTGATGGTCTTGGTCGCACCGGTGCATATATATGCTAGCTACGCGCTTGTGTGGTCTCCGAGCACGGGTGTGGGATTCATTGGTGCGCCATTGGCCATGGCAATGAGCAACTGGCTGTTGTTCCTGGGTATTACCGGGTATATTGTATTCAGCAAGGCGCGGCACGCCTGGGGCACTTTCTCACTGGACTGCATCGATGGCATTGGCGAATACTATCGCTTAGCCATTCCCAGTGCTGCAATGATGGCTTGCAGCTGGGCGGCGTTCGAACTTGTCACATTTGGTTCATCCATCTTTGGTCCTGTTTCCCTGGCAGCCCAGGCGTGCATGTTCACAGCAATGTCGCTGACATACCAGACACCGGCGGCAATTGGGTCGGCAACTGCCACGCGTATTGGCAACGCGCTGGGTCAAGGCAAGCACCGCCGTGCTCGCTATGCCGCCTACGTATCCATCTCCACAGGATACATTGTTGGCATTGTGTGCTCGACTATACTTTTCACCCATCGCCGCACTTGGGGTTATATCTTCAGCAAGGACGAGGATGTTGTTGCATTGTGTGCCAAATTAATGCCGCTTTTCGCCGCTGTGCAGACATACGACGGCATGAATGGTCTGGTCGGCGGTATTATGCGCGCGCTGGGTAGACAGAGTCTTGGTGCGGCTTTGGCTTTCCCGTCATTCTGGATCATGGGTATTCCGTTAGGCTTTTATCTCGGGATGGGGCCGCCAAAGCTCGAGGTTGTTGGCTTGTGGTTGGGTTTGGTGCTGGGTGTGATTGCGTATTCGCTGTCGCAGCAGTGCTTTATTCTTTTCTACGTCGATTGGCGGCACGAGGTCAAGGCGTGCCTGAGCCGCGTAATGGTGTCGCCGCAACCAAATAAGCTCGTCACTGCGGATTCAATGGTATCGTCATCGGCCGCTTCAATGGTCAGCTACGGGTCCATGGTTTGAATATTCAAATTTGCTCGAGCGCTTTTTTGTCCAACATGTATCAATTTATTCTTAATTAATGTCGCATTTAAATTGCCGAGATGATAGTATTGCATGTATCCGGATGCTTAAATGTGAAGAAGGACGGGCGAAATAAGCGCCAAAGATAATCAAGAGCCAACCCCCTCTCCTCTGCAGCTGGTCATTTGGCCAATTTATAGTCTAATTGGACGAGAATTAGGAGACATCAATGTCACCCCGTTAGTTTATCCCAAATTCCCGGTATTCCTCAACTCATCCTCCAACTCCTGCTGCCTGGCAATTTCGCGGCTGACCACTCCAAGATGACCTCCAGGATGGTTACGCGCAAAATCCACAGGACCGAAATGCCTGCGTTTCATCATCATAATAGCAATGGCGTCACCAATAGCCAGCATCAAACTAGACGAGGACGTCGGAGCATTAACCAAAGGCGAAAGTTCCATCTCCACAGCGCTTTCAATCCAAGCATCGCACATTTGTCCGAGCGGAGATTCCGCAGATTTACCCATACCGACCAACCGCACCGAGTGAGAATTATTCAAATATGCGCCGCCCGCAGTATTGCCGCAACCCACAGAGGCTTCTTCCTTTGAGCGCACTCCGTGCAAGACCGATGCTAGTCGGAGAACCTCTTCTGTGGCACCAGAGTAACTGAGTGCGACGACGCAGTCGCCTGGGTGGATAATTCCTAGGTCGCCATGGAGTGCCTCGGTGGAGTGTAGGCTGATGGCGGGGGTTCCTACGCTGGTTAGGGTGGCGGCGAGTTTTTTGCCAATCAGATATGACTTGCCTACGCCCGTGAACACGATCTTGCATCCGGGTGTATCTGCAGTTTGGAGCATGATTTGTAGCGCTGATTGGAGATCATACGGGTTGTTGTTGCGTATCCGGTCGGCACATTGTTTTATTACTTGGCTCACTAAGTCTAATGAATTTGCAATATCCGTCGTGGCAATGGTGAGTTCGTCTGCGGATGGTGATGGCATCTTGAGAATATAAGAGATAAAAAACAAGAATATATTTTTTTGTGTAGGGAGAAGAAAATTTGAACTAATGTATGAGGATGTTTATCGCAAGGAGTACGAGTGATGGTGTCATTGAGCTGTTTATATGTGTCGAGTAAGAAAGGGGGAGAGAATAAAAAAATGCCAATAAATAATTTGAACAAGTAGCAGAAGAGAAAGCAAAGAGGGGCAAGCAAAGAAGCCCCACAAGAGAAACAATAAAATCGACTTTTTTTTTCATCCTGTCGTATTTGATGCATGAAAATTGCATGAAAAAAATAAGGTGATCGGACCTGTAGAAAAATTTACAAGGATATTCTTTTTTTTTCTTTTTTCTTTCTATTCTTGCTCGGGATTTGTAGGATAAAATATTCGCAGACGATTCGTTCAGATAATACTTTTTTTCCATCCGGAAATCGTGATTTGATAAAGCCCTTGCCCCACAACTTTTTCAGTGCATTTTACATCCGTCTGCTTTTTTTTTCTTTTGGCATTTTTATCTTCATAATTTTTTTAACTCATTTTTATTATATACACACCATTACCAAAGTTAAAAAAAGTCATGTCAGCAAGTAACCAGGCTCGTATCGCTTACCGGAGACTGCTCAAGATTGAGCGCCGGCGGTTTTCAGGTAAGTATAAAAAATATAATAAGGAAAACGATTTGATAACACAAGGAAGATATGAGGCCATATCTATCCCAAGCACGCTGTGCTTATCTCGATTCGCAGCACATTTGCTTGATCTAAACAGAAAAAAATACAAGAAAAACAATTCCAAAAATTAATTAAGCAAAAAATATAATATACATCTTATTTTTACCTTATGTAGGTGATCTTCCAGTAATGATGGCGGCAGTAAAGCAGACGCGCACAGAGTTCGAGAATAACCGGTCGGAGACGGACGAAAAGAAGATAAAAAGCTTTTGAAGCACGCAGCGGGCGTCGAGGAGGTTATTCGGGGGTATGTGGTGCAGGCACCGCGCAATGAGGAGAAAGATAACACGTATAATATTAAGTTTACCTCAGAGCATGCGCTGCGTGACGGACATCCGATCATAATCAAGAGCTCGCTCCAAAAAGACAAAGAAACCAAGACCAAAGAGTGAAAAGGATAATATTGTTTCTAAATTTTCGATTTTATTGGTTTGTCTTTTCGATTTTAAAATAATATGATATGTATGGAGAGAAATAATATAAATTAAATTAAAAAAGCTACTTTGCTGCCGCCTTCTTGGCACCAGGAGCAGGCAGAGCAGCGCCAATATCCGACCCACGTAGTTTAACGCCCAAAATACGCTCCAACTTTCCCAGAATCTGCTGATTCGGAATCGCCCTAGCATTCTCATAATCATTAATAACGCTGTTCTTCTCATTAATCTTTGTAGCCAAGTCCTTCTGTGTAAGCCCCAGTCTCAGACGAGCAGCACTGATGGCTTTTCCAACACCAAGTTTAATCGTAGGTGGGGGTTTAACATCGTCACTGCGGTCGAGTTCAGCGATACGCCGGTGGTCAGTGTTTACGTGGTGGGATTTGTTGGCTACGCTGGAGGCGCGCTCGGTCGCTATGATGTTGCCACTGCGCGCGGCGGCGTTGAGCTGGCTGGTGGTGCGCACGGTGGCGGTGCGCGCCTGAGGCTTGCTGACAATAAGTTTGGAATCCCAATCGGCCATTTTTTTGTGGTGTGAAGAAAAAAATTGGTTTGAAATTAAAGTAAAGTGGAAAAAAAAAAAATGAGAGAAGAAAAAATAAAGTTGATTGATTTTTTTTGAGCCACACATATTATACGCATACGCAACCCCTGAACCTGAAAGCAGAAACCGAAAATTTCCAAAAAAAATTTCTCTGTTGCTTCTTCCATCTCCACATAGAACACGATGGAACACGTGGAGAAATAAAAGATCAAACAAGCAAGCAAAATATAATAGATGTTTTTTATTCACACAAAATAAAGACAAGCACGCAAGTTCCACCACACAGTCCAGCTGTATAAGCACAGGAGGAAGCCAAGCAATATCAGGCAAAACCATTCGGCACAAGGCACTGCGAAAAACATCGCCGGCCATTTGCCTGGCCAAGGCCCACCGGCGCAGTGGAGCAGGGAAAAGCCAAAGGCCGCCATGTCTTCGGCAACGCCAACTTCCAAGGCAGGATGTTGGCAGTGCATCGTGATGAATACAGCCGGAATGCCGACCAGGCCCATGAGCAAGGTGCAGCCCAAATGCGATGCATCAATGGCTGACCAATCCAGCCTTTATTCTGCGCTTGGCGATGGCAGTCCAGGTGGCGGATCACATCACCAATGCGGCCGGTATTTTGTTCAAACCCAGCAGTCGTCGATGAAAAAAGAACAGTGGCAGCGACCGCAGCAGCCAAGCCAACTCGCGCAACCCACAGGAGCCACATAGGCAGGCGGGATCCCAGAAGCACGGTGGCAGCGAAAAGACCAATGGCCGCGGTGCTTCGGAGGAGAAAAGAGCCCTGGCGGTGCAAGATCCCAAGCAGCCAACTGTCCATCGCGGTATTGCCGAGAATCCCCTGGTAGCTCCCGTCGTCCGCATTGTTGTCGTCGTCGCTGTCGTTGAGCGAAAACGAAGACATTTTGGTTTCGAGTCCCGTAGTATGTTGACGATTAAAATATTTGGGCACGAATGGCTGTGGCGGCTGCTCAGCGGAACCAGCCGCAGTGGCCGAGTGCTTACCAGTCACGCCGCTCGGCATAAAGCTGCTACCGCTTAGTAGCGAAGATACCGGATCAACGTCCATGCTCTGGGGATCTGCATCCCGGTGTGCGGAAGCGGCTCTGGTAAGTTTGCGCTGCGACCCAACCGACAATGTGTTCAGCCCAGCCATAATGTCTGCGCCAAAGGCGCTCTCATTGGCATTATTGGCGTTGTTGTCGTCGCCGCTGCTGTCGCCCGTATCAAGCCGGCGGCGGTTTCCGATAGCGCGCCGGCGAATAGACGTGCGCGCAGCCCATGGGCTGCTGCCGGCGGAGGACCGGGCGGCGGCGAGATCCAAGCCCGAAAAGCTGTCGTCCTGGTCCCTGTTTGTCTCAGAAACGCCAAACGACAGGTTCTGCAGCGAAGCCAATGCCAGCTGCGCGTCCCCGGGCGTCATCGAGTCCTTGCCAGCAGCAAAGGAGCTGTCACGGGCAGCAGCCTTTGATCCCTTGGGCATCAAGGAAGCGCCGCTGCTGTGGTGGGGGGGTTGGCGGCGGCCGCTGTGTGTGCGCAGATTGCTCGCGGCCAGCCAGCATAGCGCCAGATCGGCAGCAGCCAGCACCGGCCACGCAAGCACATGCGGAGCAGTGGCCAGCAGCAGCAGACAGGCAGCAAGCAGCCGCAGAAGAGCCAGCTGGGCAACCCGGCGCCGATACATCGGCAGCCCGGCAGCGCGCATCCCCGGATTACAAGCAATATATAGCCACAGGGGGTTCACCAAGCGAGATAGAAAGGTAAGAACGGCCAGTGCCAGCAGCCCCGCTCCCGCCAGCACAGGCAGTGGCACTACGCCGGCGTACGCGCCCAAGTACACGGCCCAGGTGGCCATGGGGCAAGCGAAAAGTGCAACGAGGGCGCAGAGCACCCACATGAGCACCGCCCATTTCCTGCGCAGCGTCGGCTGGGGCCGTAGGATGCGCGCGGCCAGGCGCTTGGCGCGGGCCGACCGCTGGAGCGCACTGGCGAGCTCCCGCGGTAGACCCACTGCGCCTGCTGCTGCAGCCTGCGATCCACGCGCACCTGGCACGCACGGCACACCAGCGGATATCGTTTGCGCAGTTGCCCGGCGTACTCCTCGGCGTTGTCCGCGCGGTCCCGTACTCCGGATCGTCTTCGTCCGGAAGGTACGCCGCGAGGATCTGGCAGACAAGCTCCTGGTTCCGCTGGCATGCCGAGCAGAACACTTGCTCTGCCAGGCTTTGTTGGGTGGCGGGCAGTTGGCGTGGGGGGCGGGGCGGCGGCTCGTTGTACATTTCCGCGCGGCTGTCAACAATGTGCCCGTGGGCGTCCAGTGTGTTTTGGCTGTCGCATTTCGTGCAGTGCCAGTCCTGCGGTGTCTGTGGGGTTTGGTGTGGGCTGGGGCTGTTGCTGGGCTGTTGCTTGTGGGCGGGAGTTGGGTGGGTTCATTGCAGAACCAGCAGGTCACTGTTGTCCGGTTATGTCCAAAGGCTTTCCACATGCTGCCACTGTTTGCATAGTGCTTGTTGTGGCAGTAAGGGATAAATTAAATTAGAAATAAAAAATGAAATAAACAAAAATTGAATTAAAGCAAGTTGAAAAGCAAAAACTTTAATTTTTGTCTGTATGCTTCTCACGTGTAAGCGCGATCGGCCGATTTCCCAGTCTTTTTTGCCATGTTGCTGTCATCCTCCCCACCCTTCTCCACCCTAAATTTCTTATCTTTTTTAATTCAATTCAAAATTCGCTTTAGAGAAAAGTACATTTAGGGCAACACCGAAGAATGCTCGCCAAAACACACCCGGGCCTGCACGCTCTCCGGCATCTCCGGCCAGCTTCATGGTCCAGCACCAGCAACATTATCCGATCGAGCCACCAGCAAACGCGAACGCTTCTCCAAGCGTCCTTCGACTACAAGCACATCCGAGACAATGCGCAGAGGCTTCTCGAAAACGCACACAGCCGGAACGTCCGCGACGCACAGCCTCACCGCGTGGGCGAGCTCTACAATGAGTTCCGCCAGCTGACATCGCAGGTCAACGAGTACCGAAGCTCGCTCAACAATATTTCAAAAGAGCTTGGAGCATTGGCACGCGGTGGCAAAAAGCACAGCCAGCAGAAGCAGCACCAGCACCAGCACCAGCACCAGCAGCAGGAAAAGACACAGGGAAATGTTGACGCGAGTGGGTTGGATGAGAGTGGGCGCGCGGCAGTTATGGCCGATCTTCACGGGCGCGCGAGTATCGTCAAGGCGTCGATCCAGGGCCTGGAGCTGCAGCTGGGTTCGATTGAAGCCCGGCTGCGCTACGAAGCGGCAAAAATACCCAACCTATCGCACCCAGACACTCCGCTAGGCGACGAGTCGCACGCGCGCACCGTGCACATCAACGGAAACCTCCACAACACGCCCACGGTTCCTCTTGACGAAACCAACTCGGCTCTTTCCGATGTTGAGTTCAAGGATCACTACGATTTGGCATTGAGTCTGGGCATTGTGGATATGGAGGCTGGGGCGAGGGTTGCCGGCAGTCGGTTTCATTACTGGCGCGGGGCAGGGGCGTTGTTGGAGCTGGCGCTGGTGCAGTACGCTATGACGCGCGCGGTGGCTGCTGGCTTTGTTCCGCATATTACCCCGGATGTTGCGCGCAGCAGCGTGGTTGATGCCTGCGGGTTCAGGCCGCGATCAGGCGCCGAAGATGCGCTGCTTGATTCGCAGATTAACGGCGATTCCGCTGCTGCCGTGCATGGGTCGGGGGAGGCCAGCCAGATATACCGCGTCATGTCTGTGGCTGAGGAGTCCCACAAGGAGGCAGCTGCCGATCCGCTCTGCCTCGTGGCCACAGCCGAAATCCCCCTCGTGGCCATGCGCCAGCAGCAGATCCTCGACCGCCAGTCCCTGCCCATCTCTATGGCCGGGCTCAGCCACTGCTTCCGCGCCGAAGCCGGAGCTCGCGGCCGCGACACCCGCGGAATCTACCGCCTGCACCAGTTCACCAAAGTAGAGCTCGTCACACTTGCGCTGCCCGAGAACAGCCAGGCAGAACTCACGCGACTGGTTGATTTCCAAAAATCTCTCTACGCTGACCTCGGACTGACCTTCCGCCTACTGCAGATGCCCACGTATGAGCTGGGCGCCAGCGCATACCAGAAATTCGACATTGAGGCATGGATGCCCGGCCGCCGCGCGTGGGGCGAGATTTCTAGTGCGTCGAATTGCACGGATTATCAGGCGAGGAGGCTGGGCATTCGGGTGCGTGCCGAGTCTGCGAAGGATGGCAGTGGGTCGCCGGTGTTTGTGCATACGCTGAATGCCACGGCTGTTGCTGTGCCGAGAATCGTGGTTGCGATGTTGGAGTCCTTCCAGCGTCCAGATGGAAGCGTTGCTGTTCCGCACGTGTTGCGGCCTTGGATGATGGGCATGGATATGCTTGTGCCTGAGCGCTGCTGATACTCATGATTTGTTAATTAGCCAATATATTAATGGAGAGTTTTCTTTAGAGAATTGTGCTGCATCGCATTGCGCTGCATATTGAAGCAAACTGTTGAGTAATCCATACTCTGATTAAGACCTTTTTTGGAGCCACGTGTTTGCTCACCTGCCTTGTTTTTTGTTGTTGAATGAGGTTGAAAAACAAGTATTAAAATTTCCTATTTAAGCAGCCTATACGTGCAATCGACTTTCGATTTATTTCCAATTTCTTTTTATAAAGTTTAATTTTTGTACTAATATTTTCTATTTTATTTTAAAAAATGCCTGTCCACTCGCCGTCGCCCACTGCCATCATACCAGCACAAGATGTTGTGTCGTTTTACTTTGGATTGGCCCAATCGAGGCTCAATCATCCAGGTTCCACGGACTGTCCATTGCTTGTTGATGCCGGCAGCAACAAATCGTACAATTTTGCCAATATCAAACGGATGTCAACGGCCATTGCGCGCGGCCTGAAACACAGGGGATTTATTAACGAGCAGGGCAAGCACCAGAACCCTGATTTTGACATTGACGGTGTGGCAATTGTGTTTTCGCCTACTGATATCTGCATGAGCGCCATACACTACGGCACGCTGATGGCTGGTGGCACATTTGCTGCAATGGATTCAACTATGGGCGCCATGTCTCTCGGAAACCGACTTATTTATCTGAATTCCAGCGCAGCATTTGTGACCGCCGAGCTTCTTCCCACTCTGCTTTCTGCCTGCAATTTGGCCGGCGTGTCAATCAACAAATCTCGTATTTTCATCACTCAAGGAGACATTCCGGGATATACGTCGCTGGTCGAACTCATTGAAGAGAACAGGGACTTACCCGCGGTGCTGCCTATTCTCTCAATGACTGAGGAAAGACTAGCACGCAAGATAGCGCTGATAGTCTATACTTCAGGAACGACCGGAAATTCAAAGGGCGTAATGCTGACTCACCGCAATATTGTCGCCACTCAGATGCTAGTCGGCGGCTACACAGCACATAACTCACAAGTCCAGAACATTGCGGCCAGTAAACTGCCACAGCAAAAGGTGCTGTCGGCACTCCCTCCTTGGCATATCTACGGCATTAGTGTGCTTTTCTATCAGCCGCTGGCCACAGGATCCTGCATTGTGCAGCTTCCACAGTTTGGGCTCGCACCATATCTCGCTGCCATTGAAAAATTCAATATCAAAAGGTTATGTGCGACACCTGGCATTCTCTACAACCTTATACATAGCTCGACCAGGTCCAAGGATGGTACGGTCAAGATTGGTTCTGAACCTGGGCGCAACTTTAATGTTGATTCTGTCGAGACAATAGTGTGCGGTGGAGCATCTGTTCCGCCTGTTAGGCTGAGCCAGTTCGTGGCGTTTTTTGGCGGCGCATCTGTGGTTATTGGATACGGCGCGACTGAAACATGCTCGATAATTGCTGGCTCTACATGGGGAGAACCAGAGCCTGGTGCGACTGGAATCCTGTATCCCAACACTTGTGCAATAGTCATCGACAAGCATGGTAATGAGACTGATGGTTATGGAGAGCTGTGCATTTCAGGACCCCAAGTTATGCTTGGATATATCGGCCAGAACATAAAGCCGCCATTTGTAAATGGTTTCTACCGTGTGGGCGATTATGCTCGGGTGGCAGCAAACGGGTGTGTGTTTCTTCGCGGCCGGATAGTCGATATTGTGCACACTGAGCAGGGCTTAGTTTCGCCGACAGATATTGAGAACATGGCTTCAGAGCACCCTGCAGTCAAGGACTGTGCCGCCGTTGGCACCAAACCAAAGGGCGCAACAGCACGCGTGTTGCTGTTCATTGTGCTTGCGCCCGATGTCGCATCTCTTGCTGATATTAACGATTGGATTCGGATACGTGCGAAATTAGACATTGAATGCAGGGAAATTCAGGATATTCCAAAGTCATCTGGCGGCAAAATACTCAGAAATCTCCTACGGTAGTAACGCATTGTTTCCAATTTGGCTTATTCTTACTGTTTTTATTCAAATAGCTAAACTGTTCTTTTTTTACAAGGGAATTAGAAATCAAGATTTTTTATTTTTGAAGATATTTGCAAATGTGCAGCATGTGGCACATGCGCAGTGCATAGACGTGGAAGGTATAGGATAAAAAATTTGGGTTGATATTTGTGAGTTGTAATTTTTTTAAACTGAGCACACGAATATCAAAAGATTAATTTCATTTGCCCAAGCAATAATAAAATTATTATAGTATTTGCTCCAACTTTTTTATTATTATTTTTAGACTGGCCTTTCTACGAAGACCTTTCTTTTTCTTTTGTGCAATTTTTGCAAATAGGGCCCTGTCTTTTAATAGTTTAAGACCTCCGCATATCTGGGGTCTTTTCTTTTTACCCTTTTTTCTCTTTTTTCTTTCATTAATTTTCTTTTATATTTTTATGCTTTTGGTGACTCCAAATTTGTACCACTTTTGAAATTCCAAAAAAAGCTTATGCACAATGACTACAACAGCATCAAACAGCAGCGGTGATGACATTCACAGCGACAAAGAGACACAGTACCAGCAGCAGCATACTCTCGCAGTCGATATTACTGACATTACTGACATTACTGACATTACGGGCATTACGGACATTACGGACTCTAAACCTTCCGACTCTCCTCTGTCCCTAAAAGAGACCAATTATCCGGAGCCACTGGTGTTCGAGCCAAGCAAAGACATCCGCGAGCTGTCGCAGGGAGGCGGCTTACAGATGGCCTTGCAGACCCTAGTGGCATCCATATTCACAGCATTGGTACTGCTCATGCCACTAACAATTATATTCGCATTTATCTACGTCAGTTGGGCGCGCCTGCCACTGGCAGCATACGTGGCGTTCTGCTACCTAGACCCGGCAGTGGACAATGGAGTTGGTAGGCGTATTCAGTGGGTGAGGCGGTTGGGCGTATGGAAGTATGTCAATGCGTACTTCCCGGTGCGAATAGTGCTAGAGAAAAAGCTGGATCCTTCGCTCAACTATATTTTCGGTGTGTCTCCGCATGGAATTCTTTGTTTCTCCGGTCAGGTGGTCATGGGTTCTCAGAAAAGCGGCTTGGATGAGGCCTTGGCGGGGATTACAGCTCACCCAGCGGCACTACACCATGCGCTCAGGCTGCCTTTATTCGGCGCATACCTCCTTGCCATCGGCGCCATCTCGTCGTCGCGAAGGAGTATTAGGAAATGCCTGGCGAGTGGTAAAGGTCAAAGCGTTGGCATTGTCATTGGTGGTGCCAAGGAGAGCTTTTACACAAATCGAGGTAGTCGTCGGGTCATTTTAAAGAACCGCAAGGGATTTGTGCGCGAAGCCATTATGGCCGGAGCACCGTTGGTTCCAACTTTTGTGTTTGGGGAGAACGACATATTCTTTCAGGTTGAGCACCCGGTGTTGCGTCGGTTGCAAGAGTGGTTGCAGTCTAAGATGATGTTTGCTTTGCCCGTGTTTTATGGAAGATTCGGGATTGTTCCTCGTCGCACACCGTTGACTAGCGTTTTCGCCGCTCCTATTTTTGTTGAGAAGAATGCGAACCCTAGTCATGATGAGATTAATAAGGTGCACGCGGAGTACCTTGTTCAGCTGCATCGACTGTATAACCGCTTCAAACCAATTTACGACCCGGAGGGTGGTGACTTAGTAATTGTATAAAATAGCTACTCGGTTTTATTTCTGTTATGTTGTTTTGTATTGGACATTTATGTAGACTACATATGTATTTGGAAATTTTAAATATATAATATTTTAAAGCACAACATCTGTTGGTGGTAGTGTTTTCAAATTGCCACATTTTGAAAGATTCGAACGTCACAGCTCTGTTATGTTTGCGTTTGCGTCTGTGTCTGTGTCTGGTTTTGGCTTGGTCCGGCCTCCAATTGCGGATTTGAGTTCCAGCAGCATGCTGCTTATCTCGCCTCTTTTCACAGCCGCCTCTTGCTAAGTTCTCAACAACAAAAATTTTCCCCCGCAAAATTCATAGAGCAAATATACATTTTTACCATTACCATTAGAAATCAATATTTTGTAATATATAAACCGTTATTCGGTTATCGCTCAAATATCGTATTCAGTTTTTTTTTGCTTACCTCTATTTCCCGGCGCTGTCTTTGTGCGCGGATTCGTTCACTGCGATCGACACCCGACAGCTACAACAAAAAACAAAAACAAAAACAAAACAAAGACTTTAGTAAACACGCCAATTCGACATGTAAAATAAAATCACAAAGGTAGGAAATGTTCCCTTATTACCAACCTTTGGTTTGTTGTTTCCATTTGCAAGTTCAACATCGGCTTCAAAGACCATTTCAGGCGCATCCAGATCTTCGGCGCCGAGTGGTGTATATCCAAAAACGCGCGTTCCTTCAGGGACCGCATCAAAATCAACTTTGCAGCCCAAATCCGCATCGCTCGGAAAACCTGCACTAAAACAACCCTTGTTCGAATCATTGGCAAAGGCTGGGTCAGGGCAAGTCAGGCTGGTGAGGGTCTCCTGATACTGAATATTGAGCGTTTCAATGTCAGATTTTAACGAAGCAAAGATACGCGCGATGTTCTCAGGAGCCACGCCCTGGTCAATACTGTCTGTCTGGCCCGAGATATTAGTGTTGACAGTGTTGGTAGATTCTCGGCATACGTAGAGTTTCGCCTGTATTGTTTCCAAAGTATCTGCCATTCTGTTAAGCAGGCGAGCAGGTGCATTATTATCTGGAACACTCGGGTCATCAGAAGGCGTGGTCGCAGCCAGCGACTCCCACCGCCTGGATGTGTACTGTGCCTCTTGGACCCTTCTAATATCGCCAGTCGCGTTTATTGCTGATAGATGGACGCATTGCACTTGAGCAGATACCCGTTCAAGGGAGTGAAAAAGCCGCGCGTGGCTGATGCTTGGCTCCGTCAAGAGCTCTAATGCGTGAAGAGTGAATTCAAGCCACTGCTTGCGCAGGGCAAAATGCAAATCGAATTTATGTCTGAGCATATCCAAGGACAGAGCATCTGAATCAGACAATTCGGCGAGCTCACACTGCAGCGCCGAAACGCTCATCTCCATATGCTGTGGCAGCTGGTCACCGAGTAACACAAATAACTCGTCGATAGACCGCGTCAGAACCGTATTGATTGTCTCCCGCGTATGGTTGGCCGCCCACATAGCACCCAGTCCTGGCCTGGCAGCAATTGCCGAGAAAGCTCCCCCGGAGTGCGGCAGGCGATATCCTCTAGACACAAACTCGATCTCCCGGACAGACCGCAATGCGCGTTGCAGCGCAATGTCCAGTGAGCGGCTGCCGCGAACCATTGTCTGAATTCGGTCAATGCAAGTGTGTGTGACTGCTAAAGCCGATTCTAATCGCGCCTGCCGCCATGCAGCTGTAACTGCAATGCTTGCTACTGCTGCCCCAGTTAGCACCGCAATACAAAGCGCACTGAGAGATTTGGGCTCAACCTTAGCCAATTTAAACGTGCTACCGCCAAGAATTATCGGCGATAGCATGCTCCGTGCTGCACCAAAGGCCGCACCCCTGCGCTCTAGACCTGTAGCTGGAGTAAAATAGCTGTTATCTGCGGCGCGCTGAGCTGCTACCAGCTTGGACTTTGGCGTGTACTTGTCTTCCAACAAGCCAGACTCTGAAATAATCGCAATTGATGTCTCTAATACTTTTGTTGCCAAGCCAATGTGTTGTGCCGATGTGTATCGCAATGCTTCAGAAATATGCAAAGATAGTTGATTTGCCCAACGGTGCACACGATCATACACGGTTGGCAAGTTTTGCTTGTCTGGCAATGTATCCTTTTGATCAATGACTAGAGCTTCTGCTGACTCGATCTCTTTCAAGTACTCGCCTAGTGGAGAGTCCTCGTAGGCGACAAGCTCCGACATAAGTATGCAATGTAATAAAAAGGAAAATGTGTGGCTAAAAACAGAGTCAATGATGCGCAATAGTATGAATTTTTAACAATGTATTGCTATCAAAATAAATAAAAAATTTCCGTGCATTTAATTATTTAAACCTGTGTGCCTCAGTGTTTGGGCTATTCTCGCTTTAAGGGGGCGATCCACGTGGTTGCATATATGTCAACAGCGCGGTTGGAATGTGCTTTGTTTTGGTAATACCAACAGCGGTATTTAAATTATGCCAATACCATAGCAAGCGGCAAGTGTCAAGTGGCAGAGGAGGCGTTCTATTAATTGACAAAGCTTAGCTACTCTATTCAAAAATTGCAAAGCTGCAGCTTTGCAATTACAATACCCTGATTATATTAATAAAAGCACCAAAATTATAAAATCAGGGCTGTCGTATTGTTGAGGCTCATTCCAACATAGCTCATGACCGACTTTATTGTCTCACGCCACAAAGGCGCGCCCCTTCATCGCTTGAACAATAAACCATGCAGACTTTTAAATATTCACAGAATACAATAAAAGAGTAGACTTAAATGCCAAAAGAAAATAAACCCTGTTTGGCACTCGTCGCTCGAACAATACAATCCTACGAGCTTTTAAATATCTGCAAATAATAAAAACAAGTTGTGGCGGAAGTACCTGATTCTTTATTAGCTGTGGCGACTGTACGTAAAGGGGATTTTGAAACATATAAAAAGCGCTGCCGATTCCAACTTTCATTTGCTCACAACAATTCATTATAGCAAGCACATTTGTATTAAACATTAACAATTGCCACACAAAAGCCATTTTCTTCGTACTATAATTACCAAGCTTCCGCCATGTTCTTCAACTATACATTGACCACCGAAAACAATTTCACGCTCAGACGCGACATAGACACCCGCGACTCGCGCAATGGAATCAGCTCCGTGGATGTACGCGGGTACACTGTAGTGGCATAATGCGCCGCAAACTTACCGTCGCCATACAGTAGTGCCGACCAAAAATAGACATACATACGTGCTGGACACCTTCGACATTGATATACACCACTTTATTTTCTTTTTTCAGTGCAAAATAATAATAAACGACTTTTTCTAATAATAAAAAACATGAAGACCCAAAAATATAAAAAGTTTTTAGACCGAAATGGTCTTGAAAAAGTTGAAGCCCGTTGACGACGTAGAACCAATCACTCCCGGAATCTGAGGATGCCAGTGCAGCTCCTTGATCTGGCTCTGGCCCTGGTGGACAAACAAAAGTTGGGCAGGAACCTCGCGCTTGGTGCCATCGGGGCCAACCATCGCATCGCGGTGCCGGGCCTCCTCCTCAGCATCGAGCTCAACAGCAAGATCCCAAAGTGTCAACTGATCATCACTGCCCGCAACAGCAAGAACTGACTCATCAGTCGGGCACCACTCGATCGATGTGATCGCGCCCTTGTGCCAGTTGAATTGAGCAGCGGGGGTGGACCGGCCGCTGGCGTCAGTCCACTTGCGCATATCCCAAACCTTAAAGTCACCGTTGTCAGCACCACTGGCCAGCAGGTAGCGGGATTTGCGGTTCCAGCTGATCACATTGACGTCCGAATCGTGGGCGTTAGGCACATCGAGCGCGTAGCCGTGGTTCTTTGCCCTCACGTCCCAGATCTTGATTGACTTATCAGCCGAGCACGATGCAAACACGGACGATTCCTCGGGACTCCACTGGAGGTCCTCAACCGAGCTCTCGTGGCCCCTGAACGGCTTGGTGCCGGGAACAAAGCTGGCGCCGGTGTCGTTGCGACGGATAGTCAGGAAAATCTTCTTGTCACAATCACCAGTCAGCAAACGACCGTCGGTGCTCCAGTCCATCGCATAGCCCTCAACATTGTTGTGCGAGGCAATGGTGAACAAGGGCTGAGTCGCGGACGCGGGAACCTGCGTACCGGGGGTCTCAAGCGCATCCATAAGACGCTTGGTATCCCAAATCCGCACGCTACCGTTATCAATCCACGTGGCAGCCAGGGGCGACTGGTATGACTGTAGAACGCGGACACGATTGACTCCGCCGTAGTTTCTGATAGTTCTTGTCTCAAGGATCGGATCCTCGTCGAGATCGTTGACGTCCTCATCGTTTTTGTCCTCAGCATCCAGATCGTCGTTGATAGTGCGATGGAGCTGGCTCATCTTCATCAGTATAACCTGGTTCCGACTGGGGCTATCGGCCTGCGTTCCGGCGAATGCATACATGGTGTGTGGGAACATCGTGCGCCCGTTGCCCATGTTATCCGGCACAAAGTCAAATGACAAGCACGGCCAGTTTGTCGACATGGGGTGCAGCATGTGGTAAGCAGAGTTATCGACCTGCAGCGTCTCACCCTCACCAAGCAAGTCTCCGGGAAGGTACACTTGGCGCTTCTTCTCGGCAACCTCCTCGTCATCCTCCTCCTCTTCCTCCTCCTCGTCCATCATTTCGATACCGTCAGAGTCCTCCTCACGCTCGACAATGTCCTCCTCCTCGATCTCGTCCTCATAGGCATCCTCAAACTCGCCCATGTCGGCATCGCCGTCGACGTCCATGTCACGGCTCTTGTCAAGCGTGCGCTTTGGCTGGTTTGATTCGCCATTGGTGTGAACAGCGGCGACTTTGGACCGCTCTTCAGTCGCACCGGCAAAGGCATTGGAGGTGTTCTGGCGCTTGGACATTATAGCTGCGAATGTACAAGTGAAAAGTCTAGAATTGTTTTATCTGGGGGAGACTGCCCTCTACACTCGACACAAAAAATAGTATAAAAAGACAATGCAATTAAAGTCAAATGTTGCAAAAAAGAAAGCAGGTCTCACTCGCGTCAATGCCATCCCAGCGAACCACCCGGCTCCTTCGTTATGCTGCACTAGAACACGCAGGGGCAAACTTTTTTCTTCTTCACTGCTGCTTGCCCCGCCTAATTGTTGGGGGTGCAGATTTTGGCTTTCCCAACGTAAAAAAATTAATTTTTGCTTTTAATTCGCTGATTAATACTAATTATCCGATCGTGTGGAAGAGCAAAAAAAATTCAGCAATTAAAAAAGCTTGCAATTCCAAAACGAAAATGTCACGGCAAGGTTCTTTTATTTGGTTTATTTCTTGCACTCATTAAACACACTATTTACAAATCGATGGCAAAGAAAAACAATACCTCAAAGTCCCAGCGGGCTGCCAAGGCCGCTAAGGCTGCCGCGCAGGCAACCAGTGCCTCTAGAAATTCGATTCCAGACTCGTTTATCGAGCAGTTCATCGACCACCCCGGTGCCTTCATCGTGCCCGATGCAAAGGCCAGGGCGGCGGCCATGGATGTTGTTGGCAGGACCTATGACGCGGCCAACTTTTCTGACAAATTCGGACTTTTTGACGACTGGAAGTCCGTTCTGGACAGCGGATTCGACACCAACCTGCAGCTGTGGGAACTGATCAGCATCCGCAACGAGCCGGTGCTCAAGTACTCGGCCGATGTCATGAAGGAGCTGTCTGCGCTGATTGACTCTGTGAAAATTGACTCCGAGTCCGAGTCCGAGTCCGACGAGGACGAGGCGATGCTTTCGTCTGGGGCAGAGTCTGCGGCCGAGGACGAGAACGATGTTGACGCACTGCTAGAGTCAGGCTCTGAGGCGGCCTCTTCTGATCCCGAGTCTGACGATGCGGAGAATGCCAGCGATAGCGACAAGAGCGCGGGTGATGCGAGCGAGGGCGAGAATGATGACGAAGATGAATATTATAATTCCAAGCCGTCAGTGCTCGACGATGAGTTCTTTTCGGTAGCTGAGATGGAGAGATTTGCCGATGACGCTGACGAAGAGGACATGCGCGACCGGGCCATTCTTGCCGGCGACTACCCCAAGCCCAAGCATGGCGAGAAGGAGGACGACGACGAGTCGAGCGAGAGCGACGAGGATGACATCGACCTGTTCCAGGACCTTGACAAGCAGCAGGGCTTTAATGGCGACGGCAGCGATATGGACGATGACGATGAGAGCGATGAGGAGGGAGTTCGCCCAGACGAGATGAAGTATGCCGACTTTTTCCTGCCGCCCAAGGACTCCAAGCGTGGTGTGGCCAGGGCCTCGCGCGAGAAGCACGCCAAGCGAGTCAAATTTGATCCCAAGGCCGTCGGTTCCGACGATGACGAGAAGGACCAGAGCAAAGGCAGCGACAGCGACGAGACTAAGGTGACTTCGGCTCGCAAGTCCAATCTCTTTGACGACGATGACGATGCGGATGAGGAGGACGATGTGGCCAACAACAAGTCCGAATTTGAGAAGCGCCAGGAGAAGCTGCAGGGTCTTATCAGCAAGCTTGAGGACGAGGCTGTCGAAAAGAAGGACTGGACGATGATTGGTGAGGTCAACTCTGTCACGCGTCCGAAGAACAGTCTTCTTGGCGAGGACCTTGAATTTGATCACGTTCAAAAGCCCGTCCCGGTCGTCACGCAAGAGGCTACGCAGACCCTGGAGGACATCATCAAGCGCAGAATCATCAGCGAGCAATGGGACGATGTCGAACGCAAGAAGGACATCCAGGCCAAGCCCTTCCGGCCTTCCGAGTTTATAGAGCTCAACGACAAGGCCTCAAAGAAGTCGCTTGCCGAGGTGTATGAGGAGGACTACTTGGCGAAGAAGGCCGGTGACGACTATGTTCCCGAGAACGACGCAAAGGTTACTGAATCTCACAAGGAAGTGGACAACCAGTTCCGCGATTTGTTTGCTCAGCTTGACGCCCTGAGTCACTTCCACTTTGCGCCTAGACCTGCGACCGTGGACATTGAGATCCGCACCAATGCACCGGCTCTGCATATGGAAGAGAAGCTGCCAGTCAACATGTCGCAAGCCGCACAGCTGGCGCCCGAGGAGATCTACGAGAAGAGCCAGGGTCGCAACGGGCGCACTGGTGATCTCATGGGCGAAACTGAGATGACGCGCGAGGACCGCAATACACGGAGACTGAGGAAGAAGCACGCACAGAAGAAGAAGAGCGATGCAATTGCTGAGGTTAAGGGTATCAGCAAGACTGCGGCGGCGGCGGCCAAGGCGGCCAAGACGCCAAGTGCTGACAAGACCAAGTCAAAGTCGAAACCCAAGCCCAAGGCTGCGTAAATGCTTTATAAATTCAATTTTATATGTGGACTAAATGTCAAATTACAGTTTTGCGTATTACAATTATTAAATGGTCTAAATGTTGGTGTGACGATGTACGACATGCTCGTTCAAGTACAAGTATCGCGGATTTTTAAACTATGACAGACGCGTCCCTCGAGTTAACAGGAGTACAAGCACCGGTTGACGGGCTGCTGCTTTTATTTTCCAGTGTCACCAGGCGATCAATGTTATCGGGCTTAAACAGCTCCCCGCTCCAAGCGTACCAGATGGTGCGGAGCAATACAAAGAGCCACAATAGAAACAGACTGACTATGAGAGCTGCCGCCAGAACGCGGAAAAACGTGAACTTTGTGATTCCCCACAGTGAGTTGCTACTTGAGACGAACGTGCTAACAGGAAAGATGAGTGCCCACCAGCCCAAGTTGAACGGTACTGGTCCACGGACGCGAGTGTATATAGCCGAGTAGATTCCCAGTGTAAGCCACCAAGACGCTAAGGCCCAAAGAAGCAATCCAAAAAAAAAGCCAATACCGTAGAGCATATTTCCTAGATATTCAATCTGTGGAAACTCAGAAGGAAATACGCGCAGCGCTTGGACTCCTAGCTGCTGGATGCCATATGAAGACTGGCCAAGTGGGCCCAGTGGAATCAGCATACTGGCCATGGACTCTTTGGGCGGCAATTTAAACATTGTTAGACGAATGAGATAGGCGGTCACTAACATCATGGCAATGCCCATTCCCATTCCCCAGAGGACATACGAAGTCAAGATTATGACTGTGGCTGTATTTCCTGTATACGCGGATGCGACGATAGCCCCAGCGGTTGCTGCTACAACATTGGGTACAACGGGCAAAAGCAAGGTTGCGCTCATGGTTTCCAATGTGTGCTTCTGGTGCGAAAATACTGTGAAGGGGATTATCATTGAAGACAATACAGAGAGAGCCACATCAATGCACCACAAAACCAATGCAAGCGTTGGAACCCAGTGGAGATCGTATCGTGCGAGCATAATAACCAAGGAACTGATGAGTGTGCTCAACCCCATCGGAAGTGCCCCAATGGCATGCTCAACTGCGGGCTCATCAGTATATCGTAAAGGTCGCGGTATTTGACCAATCTGATGACGAAAAGGACCGAGATAACTAAGAATAAAAGGAGGTTGAATAGAGCAATGGCCATGCCAATGTACCGCAGAGGAGACCACTGGTAAGGAAAGTTATGGATTAAAATTCCAACGCTTCCAGTGCCCATGGTGACGGTATACCAGGCAGGATTGAATCCGCGCACGATGTCACTCTTGGATTCGAGCTTGTGCATCGGATGCCTGATATAATGTTTGATGAGGGCGGCGCTGGATACTGATTTGATTGGCGGAGATCTGTTGTCAAAGTCTAGACTGACATCTGTGTGATTAGCCGGGTGTCGTGAGGTCATCTTTATTTTTTGTGAAAAATTAATGAAGTATGGAATTGTTTGTTTTGAAAACAATTATAGGTATGAATATGTATGCAAATGCGAGTGCAAATTTGAGTGCGATTATGTAGAAGAGACAATGGTGTAAATATTTTTTGGTTCGACAGGCGGGCAGTGGTCTGAATTTATTGCTATCCTGTGGCTGGTTCACTTTTTTGGATCTATATACTAAAAATCAGCAATAAAAGTTCAAGCTTTAAATCGCTTGGAGCAAATGACACCATTTTTGTGTTTCATATGCAAGGGTGGAGTTTACTCTTGCAAAATAATGAATAAAAATCAGTAAAAGTAAATCCCACACTGGCCTAAAAAATTGGCAAAAAATTGATAATGCCTTTTTTGCTTCGGAATTGCGCATGTCGATCCCCCTTAACCCCTATCGCCAATCATGCAATGTAAAAACTTCCTATGGTTGGCCAATCGCTGCGCGCAGTCAGGCAGCAATTCTGCTTTCTGCATTGTCGGATTTGAGTACTCAAAATAGAAACAAAATTCATTACATGCATGATGCTTGGACGGCTTTTCAAACCACATCCCCAGCGGGTATTTTTAAATCAACTAATTAAATGACTCGTACACTGGCTTGTTGCCAGACATGCGTCGGATAATCTGCTAAATATGTTGCGCGTGGATAAATGGAAGTTGGATGTGCAGTAAACAAAGCCACTTTTCATTTGTTTGTTTCATTTTTATTACAGTGCGCGCTATTAATTGTGTATAATATAATATATAATATAATATAATATAATATTTTAAATAACTTTAAAGTTTACAAGTGCAAAATATGTTATTGTAGGTACAGAATATCTTCAAACTATATCAGAAGAGTCCTTCGAGTTGACAGGAGTACGAGTACTGGGCGTTAGGCTGTTGCCTTTATTTTCCAGTGTCACCAGGCGATCAATATTGTCGGGCTTAAACAACTCCCCGCTCCAAGCGTACCAGATGGTGCGGAGCAATACAAAGAGCCACAATAGAAACAGACTGACTATTAAAGGCGCTGCCAGTGCGCGGAAGAAAGTGAAATTTGTGATTCCCCACAGTGAGTTGCTACTTGAGACGAACGTGCTAACAGGAAAGATGAGTGCCCACCAGCCCAAGTTGAACGGTACTGGTCCACGGACGCGAGTGTATATAGCCGAGTAGATTCCCAGTGTAAGCCACCAAGACGCTAAGGCCCAAAGAAGCAATCCAAAAAAAAAGCCAATACCGTAGAGCATATTTCCTAGATATTCAATCTGTGGAAACTCAGAAGGAAATACGCGCAGCGCTTGGACTCCTAGCTGCTGGATGCCATATGAAGACTGGCCAAGTGGGCCCAGTGGAATCAGCATACTGGCCATGGACTCTTTGGGCGGCAATTTAAACATTGTTAGACGAATGAGATAGGCGGTCACTAACATCATGGCAATGCCCATTCCCATTCCCCAGAGGACATACGAAGTCAAGATTATGACTGTGGCTGCACTTCCTGTGTGCGCGGACGCGACGATAGCCCCAGTAGTTGCACCCACAACATTGGGTACAACGGGCATGAGCAAGGTTGAACTCATGGTTTCTAATGTGTGCTTCTGGTGCGAGAAAACCGCAAATGGAACTAGCAAAGACGAAGATATGGATAGCACCACATCAATACACCACAAAACCAGTACAAATGTAGGGAGCCAATGAAGATCATATCGTGCAAGCATAATAACCAAGGAATTGATGAGTGTGCTCAACCCCATTGGGATTGATCCTAACGACATGCTCAACTGCGGGCTCATCAGTATATCGTAAAAGTCGCGGTATTTGACCAATCTGGTGATAAAAAGTACCGATATAACCACATATAGTAGAATGTTGAATAGAGCAATGGCCATGCCAATGTACCGCAGAGGAGACCACTGGTAAGGAAAGTTGTGGATCAGAATTCCAACGATTCCAGTGCCCATGGTTGTGCTGTACCAAGCGGGGTTGAAAGCGCGCACAATGTCGCTTTTCGATTCAAGCTTGTGCATCGGGTGTGTAATGGCATGCTTAATGAAAGAGGAGCTGGATGTCGTCCTAATCGGCGGGATTCTGCTGTCAATATACAGAGTGAGCTCTGTGCGATTGCTCGGATGTTGCAAGTCCATTTACGTGGGCTGTAAGAATAACTGTTTTGAGGGGATTGTGTAAATATTAAATGATATTGTGAACTTGTTTATAACAGGGAAGATGAAAAGAGAATGTAAATATGCTGGCTTTTTAAATGGTGGCGCTTTATCGCTGGTATAAGGCTGATCCACCTTTTTTCAATTCAATCAATGCAAAAATAGAATAAAATTCCGCACTTCACATGTTTTCTATTTACACCAAGCTAGTCCCGAGCTGTTAAAAAAATGCCAGTGATTGCCCTGATGGATGGACTTCATACTTGCAACTGAGTTGGTCGAGCAAAGCACATCATTTTAGACATTCCTGTAGCCAATCGTGTAAAAAATACATTTAGTCCTCATTAATGACAAACCAAGCACAGTGCACGATCAGGCATTGCGCTTGTTTTTATGTTTGTTACTCAGCTGGGATTTGTGCAATTGAATTATAACTGTTGTGCCACATGTATTCCACATATATGCATGTCCTTTGTGCAGTCATGCAATTCATATGTATCGTGGATATCCGCAAAATCAATTAATTGTGTGTCTGATACATGGGGTACAAAGCCAGAATAAATCATTTTATTAAATTTGAAATGGCTTTCACACGAGTCGCGCAAATGAGAAGAGACACCGCATTTTTCCAACTGTACCCACCTACGAGCAAGAGGGTCTGCTGATCCAGTGCAAAGGCATTCCCTCTCCATCTCTGCACGCTTTTTTAGCGCAATTTCGTTTACAATAGTAGCAGATCGAGCATGCATCATCCTCATGCGTGTACACTATTCTAGTCAAGTTTTTATATTTTTGCGCATTTGCCTTATTTTTTTGCCACGCTAATACAATCACAAAGCAACAACAATGTTAACAAGATTTCTTAAAAATTTTGGATTGTTTTTTGGATTGCGCTAGCATTTGGCAAAGCAAAAAAATAATTCAAACCAACTCGGAATAACAGACAACCTAACAGAAAACACTGAATATGGATATACCTTAGGATTAAAAGGGTTTCATGATTGAGCACTCTACCTTATGCGCAAATGGTTGGGTGTAGATCCTGTACCAACTTTGAAACTTTTCACTATTTATCCAATGCGGAATTTTATTCGGCGAATCCAGATGAGCTTTGTTGAATCCTTGATTTTGGTTGAAGAAAGTCATTTTGAATTGTACTTTATTTTTGGTCTCTTTAAACCACACCAAAAATGGGGCTTGCGAGTTCATGGTCCAATCCGTTCAAAACAAAAAAGCGCATAATCGCAATTTAGGCATATGGTGCTGGCGGATATCTCCCACAAGTGAGCATATGTAAAATTAAATTGAAATAGTTAATTGTTACATTTTGATTTTTCATAATATTTTCATTAAACAACCACCACTATTTTTTTTGTAATCCAAACCCTAACATTATAAATATTTCTTAAAATGTCACTTGCATACGGCAATAACCGCAGCGCGCAGCTTCCGCCGATAGTCAACCGGATACTCTACGTAAAGAATCTCCCGTTCAAAATAACACCCGAAGAAATGTTTGATCTGTTTGGAAAATACGGAGCCATACGGCAAATTCGCATTGGCACAGAGCCGAACACAAAGGGAACGGCATATGTAGTTTACGAGGATATTTTTGATGCAAAGAGGGCGTGCGACCACTTGCAAGGGTTCAATGTGATGGGCCGGTATCTTGTGGTGCTGTACCACCAGTTGAATTACAAAGCAAAGAGGGTGGACCTGCCGAAGGAGGAGGAGCGAGTTGAGCAGCTACGGAGGTAAGTGTCTGGACAATGCATAATACATCCCTATGAATTGTTTTGTTTTGTGTGCTAGTATTTGTGAATGTGCAGGAATGACATGCGTTGGCTGTGCTGATGATCTGAACTGACAATGTTTTCGCCATATTTACCACTAATATCTCGCTGTAGGCAGTTCAAGAGCATGGGCAACGACGACGAGGATGATTTGTCTTGAACAATTTGGTTGAATATAAAACAATATATATTAATACCTCTACGCAACAAAATGCATGTCCTTGGCATCAGGCGCATACTTTGGCCTGTGCTTGTTATAAATCCTCGTGAGCTCCTCGACATACTGGGCATGGTACACTTCAATATCCTTCGCAGTCGGCTCCAAATTGCGCTCCACCTTTATCGGCCTGCCGACCACAGCTGTCAGCTGTGTTTTGTATGGCGTGAAAAATATATTGCGACCATGGAACAGCAAAATGGTGAAGCCAAAGGCGCTTCTCACAGCCATTTCAAACCTATGCACAAGAGAACCTGGCGGGTTAGGCAGCAGGCGGTAGATTGAGTTTTCGTTGAAATTGTAGATTGGAACAATGTCACAGCCAGCGCGGACAGCCTCGAAAATAAAGCCGCGGCGCTTGAGTAAGACCAAGTCGGCGGTCCCGTCGTGTGCCAGCATGGATTCCTCAGCACCTCCGACGACAATCAGCAGCGACTGGCGCAGCCTGTGGCGGCGCTCAGAGAGAATTTGGCGGATGGAGTTGCGGTCGCACGATAAGCAGCCCATGGCCAGCGCGTAGTCGCGGAAGAACGGGATGCTGAAGGTCGCCGGCATTGTGACTCCGCGGACCACCAGTCCCGGAAAATGCGACTCGATCCCCATCCCCGTGGTTCCTGAAATTAGCTGTGACATGTAGCTAATGACGCCGTGCGGGTGGCTGCCAAACACATACTTTGCGTTGGCATCTAGGGGCTCCTCGAAAACTATGTTTGGCTGGAAATATTTGTTCACATGGTTCCAAATTGGCAGCCTGCGGAGAGCCGGGATTCTGCGCCCGACGCCATCATATGGCCGCGGATCAAAAAAGCTGAGCACCAGGTAGACCACAAGCAGCGCACGCAGGGTCTTGATGCAAATCAGGAGGTAGAAGAAGACCAGCGTCGAAAGAATCGGCGATGTCGCCCACATAGTCACAATGACTGTAGTCAGCGCTTCCTCGAGAAAGGCGCTGGCGTGAGTAAGTTGCGCTCGACACACGTCGGCGATCCCATTTTCGGGAATCTGCAGTCTCATGAGCATGGGCATGCCGAATGTCCAGCGCGTGGCAGTGTCCCAAGGCGCAGTAACCGTTTCGCTAGCCGCATCGGTTGTACTGATACTTGATGAAACTTTCTGACAGCTCATTAGAGGAGGTGGCTATAGTGCTCGTGTGTATGTGTATTCGTATGGCTTTGTGTGTGTATGCTGTATTAAAGAGTAGAAAAAGGGTGCACAATGAGAAGATGGGAGCAGAAGAGGGGATGCTGGATATTCCACATGCGAAGCTCATCATCCTCCAAGACAGAATACATCTGTGTCCGCTTTTGTGGACTTTCAGTGGACATTGTACTTTTGTTCCCCACATTACATTTTGCACTTATAAGTTCTCTTCCCAAAATGATTTGTCCTGCTTTTCCCACTCAAGTTGTGTTCCACAAATGCGCTCTGTCACATCCACTCCTTTGCACGTGTGACTGCATGAGGATGCAGTCCCTTTTCTCATTGCCGCCGGTTCGTATTTGGAGATACTGCTGTATTTGTCCGAGCGTGGCATCGGCTCTATTTTTAACTTTTGTAGCGTTTCACATGAACTTTACTGCGAATATACAAACAAACAAATTTAATTCAAACACAAAAAGCCAAAAAAAATTCCTCACGATATAAAAAAGAAAAAGAAAATTGCGATTAGACAAATAAATTCCAACTACAAAAGCACAAGATTACTTCAGGGCCTTCTTCAGGATCTTGTGGGCCTCCTCCCAGTCGTCGGTGGGGACCTTGATGATGCTACAGCCGAGGGAGTTCTGGATCTCCTCCATCTGCTCCAAGCTCTGGTCATCGTGGACAAAGTTGACGCTGGCGCCAGTGCGACCGAAACGACCAGTGCGGCCAATGCGATGCAAGTAGGTCTCAGGGTCCGGGCGCTGTTGACCGTCCACAGGGATATCGTAGTTGATGACCAGGTTGACTTGCTGGATGTCAATTCCGCGCGCAATAACGTTGGTGGTGATCAGCACCTTAATACGGCCGTTCCTAAAGTCATCCATGACCTGGTCGCGCTTCACAGTGTCCATTGTTCCGTGCAGGAACACAATGGCATGTCCCTCCTTCTCCATTCGCTTAGCAATTGTCTCAGCGGTATCGCGACGGCGCACAAAAATGATGCTCTGGCCGACAGTCATCAGTGAGTAGAGCTCTGAGAGAACCTCAAACTTGTGCTCAGAGTCCCTGCAGTCCATATAGAACTGCTTAATACCGTCGACGGTCAGCTCGGTGGCCTTGAGTCTGATCTCGTTAGCCCCGGGGGCAAACCGCTCTGTGAACTGGCGCACGTTGTCGGGGAAAGTGGCAGAGAACAGGACAGCCTGGATTTGCTTGGGCATCATGTTCTTGACGCGCAGCGTCTGATCTCCCAGCCCGTGGTTGTCCAGCATGTTGTCGGCCTCGTCGAGAACAAACAGTTTCATGTGCTTCAGCGACAGAATGCGATTCCTGACATAGTCGCTGACGGTTCCGGGAGTACCAATTACGATGTGCGCGTTGATGACCTCCCCCCTCTTCATCGAGTCCTTGATGGCATACACAGCCTTCATCGGCGTGTACTTGCCCATCTGCTGCGCAACCTCCATAATCTGCCTGGCAAGCTCGCGCGATGGCGCCAAGCACAGTGCCTGGGGCTCGTTGAGATCGTAGTCGACGCGACTGAGCATCGTCAGAACAAAAGCCGCGGTCTTTCCTGTTCCAGACTGCGACTGTCCGATCATATTGCGTGGCGGGTTGGCCAGCAGCAGGGGGAGTGCGCGCTCCTGGATCTTTGAGGGCTTGGTAAAGTTCATCTCGTAGAGTCCCTTGAGCAGGTTCTCGTGCAGACCCAGATCCTCGAACGACTTGATGGAGTACAGGGGCGAGTTGGGGTCGGCCTGGATGTCGGCCAGCCGGACTTCGACCTCGGTTTCGTCCTCGATAAGCTCCTTGGGCTGCGCCTTCACCTCCTTCACCTCCTCAGTCTGCTTCTTCTGCTCTGAGCCCTTGGCGCCGGTCGAAAGGCCCTTAATATCCTGTGTGAGGGTGTCAAGCTCGTCTAAAGTGTAAATTTTATAATCAGTTTTATATTTAGGTTAGCGGATTCTGCATTTGTCTGGATTCCGCGGGTGCTCGCGGAATGCAGCGCCGGCGTGTGCAAGATTGATGCTTACTGTCCGAATCCTCAAGCGAGATGCTGAATTTGCCGCGAGTCAGAGAGTCAGTAGGGTCAGACATTATTAGCTCTATTAATCTGATTGAGAAAAGTAAAATAAAATAATAAAATAATAATAAAAACAAAAAAATTGAAGCAAAAAAAACAAAAGAACTGAGCGCGTATTTATGGCGAAAAGCCGCATCATCTGTAAACGCATGAGCATGTTTCTGACACTTTTGCAACGTAAAAAATTAGATAATTAATTGATTAAATACGAAAGGGACAGGAGAGATGATGAAGATCACGGTCAGCTCAGGATTGCTGGAGGCACATACACGGTCGCGCTGCTGAATAGCGCACGGCCTGAGGGCAGGCGCCCATGCAGCTCTTCAGTCGACGGCACAGGCTCAAACCCAATGGAGTCGTTGTTTCGGCGGTACAAGCTGTAAAGCGGCTCGAGCGGCCCACGGAGCAGCATTTCAGCAGTATTCGCATGAACTGACGTCTTGCGCTTCTTGACCTCTGTGAGCAAATCGCGAGCATAACGCATAAAGCCCACAGCGTAGCCGTACTTTTTGTTGTCACTGTGGACTTGGGCAAGATACACCATAGCCTGGGCAAGGATGACGAGCTGGCCGTCGCGCATGTAGTTCTGGATGTCCGACGATATGCTGCGGAACTCACCGCTCTGCAACATGCGCAGTGCAGTGACGGCGTTGGAGTAGCGCTCTTGGATGCACAGAAGGAAGTTGGCGGGCATGTTAGGTGTCTTTCGGTGGTGCTTGTCGTTGCGCAGCCAGACGCGCACAGACAGACGGTCAGCGTCGGCCAGCGACAGCATTTGCAGCATGTACTGAATATCGGGCGTCAAGTCGGGAACGCCCAGCCGGATGCCGCGGAGCTGCGGCAGCACATGGTCGATGATGTACTGGAAGACTCCAGCGGCCTCACGTAGCTCGAGCGCTGCGCGCCTCAGCGCATCGAGGATCTTGTCGTCCTCGTCCTTGTTGGCCACCTGCGCTCCGGGCGTCATGGCGTTCATCGTCTCGCACTCGATCTCCGTGTCCAGCGTTGCCACCTTGGAGTACGCCGCCATAGACTTTGCTATCGCCAGCGCCAACAGCGTAAACCCAAGCTCCATGTATATGGATGTCGACTGTGTGCGCCGCTGCTTGTTCGACCCTCCGCCCAATACCCGCGCCCCCAATCCTGTAGACGACGTATTGCCACCATCGCTCTCCGCGCCACCTCCCCGCTTGCCATACCGCGTTCGCGAGAGTCCCATTGCGTCGTGCAGCTTGCTGACAATGGCGCTTTTCCAGATAAAGTCCACGCCGGCCATGTCCTTGAACGCATCTGTGTTGTTCTCGTAGTACCACACATACCAGTGCAGCTCCACAAGGTACGCCTGGATGGCAGACATCAGTGCGCTGATGCGGCTAAAGTCGTCTGTCTTGCTCTGTGACTTGAGCCGCTCGCGCATTGCCTCGCGCATGGTGCACATCTTGCTAATTCGCCCGTAGAGCTCTGTGTCGCGCTGCAGTGCCGGCGGCAGCAGCGCACTAGGGCTGATGACTTTGGTCTTTGGGTTCCGCAGGTAATATCGCATTTGCGTCGAGACGAATAGAATGTATAAGTGTGTGTGCGCAAGGAATAAATAATTAGGAAAAGAATGTGAATTGACTAATATAAAAATGTTTTTGCAGATTTTTGTGACAGAAAAAAGTTACAAAGGCGGGGGAAATGGAGGCGGTGGATTCGTGAATCATTCCAGGCAACTATGCTGTAGCAAATCTTTAAGCTGCTGGTGAATGCGTCTTGACCACCCTGTGCTTTTTTGTCATGATGGTCTGCAGAATTGAGGTGCTTTTTATGCGCTCAGGAACATTGCCAAAAAAAGTTAAACAAGGACTGCGGAGAACCAATTTTTCATTCACTGGTGCTTATAGTAGTAGTGCCAACACGTCACCGCCCGAACCGCTTTGACGGGTCAACTGGATAAATATCTGCGCCACTCGCTGACGCTCTCTTCCTAGACCCACCAGCCACTGGCGGGCTATTCACTGGATTTTTGGCCTGCATCAACGCCTGCTCCAACTTTTGCAACCGCGCGGCAATCGCTGTGACATTGCTCTTGACCATGCCCAGATCATTATGAAACCCAACGCTCGTGTAAAACTCGGCTGTCGGCCGCCTCACGTTCTCCTCGCCCTTCAAGCATTTCCTAGCTCGTATGTCAAAACCCTGTCAATATCCAGAGCAAACGTGTTGCGGACACTGTCCAGATCCTCTGTAGTTGTCACGTAGCGCCGTCCTATCCCTGCCTGGCATTCGCTGCAGTTGAGCTCGTGGTATATGCCGTCATCTGTGTTTCTTTTCACTTTGCTAACAACTACGCTGTCAGGAACTGATTGAAGGCCAAAGAGATTGCGTTCGGGAAGAGAGGCTACGTAGGCGAACGTGTCGCCGAGGATTGTTCGGCATTTCGCACAGCTAAAGACAATCGGGCCATTGATGGCCCCGTCGCTGTCGTTCGTTTCGCGCGCTTCTGCATGCCCTGAAGTCGCCTGGTGGACCCCGTTGCTAGACCTGCGGCTCATTATCAAAATAAATAAACTTTTGCGTATGTATGTGTGTATAGTCGTATGTACGTGTTGTATTGTAGTTGGGATTCTTTGTCCTTGCATTTTTTATTTTTATGCAATTTTTGTATATGTAGTTTATTATGTACACATAAAAACTTTGGGATATCACATGTTTAAAACGGTAAAGTTGAGCAGTAAATCATATTGGATATATATTGTTAATTAAACTTGCAGAATACCTTCTGATACGTGATTACAAATTACTTTGAACCTATTTATAATCTTCCAGAACCAGGAGTATGTCCGGTCGGCGGCCTCCCTGGTCTAGGAGTGGGTTTGGTTGGCGGCTTGGGCTTGGGCTTAAGAGTTGCTTGTCTTGCAACCAGATGTTGGTCTTGATTTTGGTCCTTGACTTGGGCCAAGACAGCGGGAACAACGGCAGCTGTGAAGATGAGAGAAGAGATAAATTTCATTGTGATGACTTTGCTGTATTTTATTATTAAAATGTAACCTGTTAGTGTAGAATTAGCGGGATATTGTAGTTGTTTTTATAGGCTATATTTTGATACTCTGTAAATTAATTTGTTATTATAAAAATGCTTGCTCGCTATCGGAATATTAAATTGATACAATCCTATGGACTGAATATGTGTGCGTCAGTTGACAATTCAAAACCAGCAAAATAATTTCTATTCGAAAGTGTCATTTTTCTACACAAAATTCCCAAACAAAAATATGTCACTTACATATGACATGCGTAAACTTGACATGGTGGCTTTATTTTTTTGCAAATATATTTTTTTACAAATGGATAACTCGACTGAACTTGATTTCTAACAAAATTGCACATGCTAGCGTGGCTTTATTTCTCAATGATGTTGCCACCTTATTATGTTGTTTCGAATATATGTATGTACCGCGTGACTTTTGTTTTTGTTTTATTTTTCGCATTAAAAAGGTGATTAATTACTAATTGATTTACAATCAAAATATACCCAAAGAATTAACCAAAACTAAAATAATACTGAAAAACTAAAACAAATGAATATCTATGCTTTTTCCTCAACAGGTTCTACAGCCAAATGCGGCATTTCCACAGGCAACTCAACCTTACTCGCAGCCTGATTATTAGCCCAAGAAATAAAAGCATTCCAAAAAATCCCCACCACACTACTAAACGGCACCCGATACAGTACAGGTACGAACCCGAAATTAACTACCTGCACAACCGGCCACACGGCATAATTAGCCATCAATGTGGCCAATAATACTCTCTCAATCTTCTTTTTGCCGATTCCCATCCTTTCCCTTCCATGAAATTCATAGCCACGAAGAATCCGGCAATACCCAAGGGCGCGTAAATCAATTGATCCATTGATACGCGCTTACCGACGGCCATGGCAAAGGATGTTTTGCCTGCAAGTTGAAGGGGGAGTGGGATTTTGCGGTTGAGGAAGAGGTACCATTTGTGAAAGAGGGGTGCGCAGAGGGAGCCCCAGGCTATGAAGCGGAGCGTGCGCCGGTGGTCCCAGTGGAAACGGTGGTGGGCGTTGCGGGATTCAATGTGTTGCGCTAAGAGGTCGCCGATACCCCCGAGGGCACCGTTGGTTACTGTTAGCGTTAAAAGCGGACGCTCGGAGGCTAGAGATGTCCAAGCACGGAATAGAGCTGCCATTACAAATCTCTCAACTATATTGTTAAAGATAATATAATAAAGACAAAAAATCGAGAAGAATGAAAGCCAGGATGAATGAGTAAACTTTCTTTGAGAACAAAAGCGAATGAACAAAAAGTTTTCCGAGTTTGTGTTTCACCTGACGTCATCGTGAATAAAAAAGTGGACAAAATTTCCAATGTTCGAATTGTCCAGACCCTTATTTTACATCCCATTCATTTCCTGCTGCTCAAAAAATTAGTATGTCACACCATCAACTGATCAAAGGATAAAGTGTAATAAAAATAGACGAAAATTAAAGCGAGGCTATAAAGAAAAAGCTAGTAAATATATTCTCCAATCATTTGGGATCGGTCACGTATGTCCCAGGGAACACGCCAACAACACCACGAAGCCTGCCTGTCCACCAATCATCCTTTGCCTCCGTCCGCTTCAACAACTCGATTCTATCGCCTTCCTTGAACTCCAAGTCACCTTGCGCCTGAGCTACATAATCATACAACGCCTCAACATACTGCGCACCGCTGCTACCACTACCACTAGGCAATGTTGCCATTGGTTTTTCGACAGGAGCAGTAGAATATGCGCCTGGTCCATAGGATGGCAGCGGAGCGGCCGTATGCGCAATATAAGGTGATGCCGCTGCCGGTGGTGGTGTCGCATGCTGCTTCTGCGAAGATGACGACGGTGGGAAGGATGATTGGTAGGTGCCGTAGGGCGATTTCGCGGCTTCAAATGTGGCAACAGGGCCAGAACCAGAACCAGCTGCTGCTCCCAACATGGCTGGCGATTTGTCGCCGGCCATGTTGGGATTAGCCCCACCGTAAGGGTAGTTTCCAGCAACTGGTAAAGGCTTGGGTTCGGGAACCAACAGATCCTTGCCCTTGTACGGACTGACCGTACCGTAGGGACTAGAGGAACCAGACGGTGGTGTAGCGCCCCCCTGTGATGCAAATATGCCCGCCGCCGCAGGCTTATAACCAGCTGGCTTATCCTTCTTAGAAAAAGTGCCCCTAACGGTACCCATCATGCCCGCCTTGCTCTCGTCCAGCTTTACAGGCACTACAACCATGTTTCCGTGACCCCACAGATCAATAGCGGACAGGCTCTGCTCCGCCTTCGCCCACTTGTTCTGCCACCCAACTACCACAGGCGTGGTTAAGTCAAAAGCCGGGCAATTCCTCGCTGCGTCCGAGAACTCCCTAAACAGGCTATCATAAAGCTGATGCTGGATCCTAAAGAACTTGACAAAAATAGGATCAATAAAGGCCTGCCTCAAATCCAGCATCTGCTTCAACTCAGCCTTCAACATATCGTTAAAGTACGTGTACTGGCGGGCGGCATCCTGGTACTGCGCAGAATTCTTCTGGTAGGATTTTTCTTCCGAAAGCATGCGATGGCCATCGGTGGACTCCTTGGCCTCTGCCTTCTCCACAGCCACGCGGTGCCGGTCATAATCCATCATTTTGTGGTCTCTCTTTTGGATAACCTTGTGCACATTGCGCATCATCGCCATCATTTCCTGAATCGGCCCCACGATGGAAATATCGAGGGAGCTCAGCTGCGGCTCAATGCTTTGCTTAATTGCCACTACACGGCGGTGGAATTCCTCTGCTACCCGCAGGAGTTCCGGCGACGCACCTTCGTCCACGTAGCTGCCAACTGGTTGCGCAGTGCCATCCGGGTCCGTGCTGATGGGGCGATAGACAGCGAGGATTTGCTCAAGATAGGAGGTCTGGTAGAGGAGGGTCGCGCGGATGCTGTCCCGGAACTGGGCTGTTTGCGCAAATAGTTGTTTGGTGTCGGCTTCGAGCTCGATGAAGCGCGCCTTGAGGTCGTCGAAATCTGTGTCGACTGTTTTTGCACCGCGGCCAATCTTGGATTGCAGCTGGTGGGGCATTCGCTCCAGCGCCTTTTTGAACCCTTTCCAGCTCATTTGTACGAGAAAATATAGGTTTTTTTTGTAAGAGTAGAAAAAATAAGCAAATAATAGAAAAAGAAAGTTATATTGTAATGAACACGAAGAGAAATTGCGGGGAAAGAATAGGAAGAAGATAGAAACAAAAATTGTGGCGAGCGCACTTTTTTTGTATTTCTTCCAACCTTTGTATATGCGCCTGTGTGTGTTTGTCTGAGCGTCACACGCACTGTATTTCTTCTATTTCATGCTTTTTTCCTTTTCTTTTTCTTTTCCTTTCCGCCAAAGCCTTCTTTGTGTGGATTGGGGTTGAGCACCACACTGATTTTATTTTCAGTATGTGATGTCGTCGATAATTGCCTTCGTGGCCAAGTATCCGTCAAACGACTCGTATCCAAGCTCGCGGCCAAAGCCCGAGTTGCGGAACCCGCCGAACGGCAAGTACGAATACAGCGCATTATAGTTATTGACCCAAATGGTACCGCAGCGCATCTTGCGCGTGAACCTGGCAATGTCGCTATGATTGCGAGTGAAAATGCCCGCGGCCAGCCCAAACTCGCTCTTACGCTCTATCTCAATGACGTCGTCCAGGCTGTCGAACGGCTGCAGCACAGAAAGCACAGGGCCAAAGATCTCCTCGGTGGCGATGCGCGCCTGGGGATCAACGTTTTGGAACACTGTGGGGCGGACCCAGTACCCCTCCTGGCCGACCCGATGCCTGCCGTCGCCAGTCAGCAATTGCGCCTTGTCCTCTTCAATTCCAATGCGGATGTACTCGAGCACGCGGTCCATCTGGCGGCGGTCAATCAGCGGGCCCATCTCGGTGTCCTCGCTCTGGGGCACGCCTAGCACTAGCTTTTCGGCAGCAGCCTTGAGCAACGGCAGGAACTCAGCGTAGATGGACCGGTGCACCCAGAGCCGCGTCAGCGCGTTGCAGTTCATGCCAGTGTTGCTCATGCACCCGCTGATTACCAGCTCGGCGGTGCGCTGAAGGTCGGCATCGGGCATGACGACGCCAGGGCTCTTGCCGCCAAGCTCCACGGAGGTAGCGCGCACGCGCGCTGTCGATGCCGTCGACCGGATGACGTGCTTGCCGGTGGCCACAGAGCCTGTAAAACCAATCTTGTCGACAAGATCATGGTCCACCAGCGCCTGGCCGACAGCCACGCCGCCCAAAACCACGTTGAAGACACCGGCGGGGAACCGCCCAGTGTTGTGCAGCAGGTGGGCAAAGAACAGGGTGGTCAGCGGTGTCTGCGGCCCCGGCTTGAACACCACCGTGCATCCGGCCGCCAGAGCCGGTGCCACCTTCCAGGCCAGCAGGCACAGTGGGTAGTTGAACGCGTTGATGAAGCCGACAACGCCCACGGGCACCTTGACCGTGTACCCTTCGAGTCCCGCATTGGTCTGCGCCGCAATGTGCCTTCCCTCGACCTTGTCCGCGTACCCAGCAAAGTGCCGGAACAGATCAATGGTGTCGTCTAGCTCTACGCGCACGTCGCGGATGGGCTTTCCCGTGTTAAGGCTCTCCAGATGCTCCAAAGCCTGGCGGTTGTCTTCGATCGACATGGCCAGTGCAAGGAGCGCGTCGCGGCGCTGTGCTCCAGAGTATGTGTTCACCCATGCGCCCGAGTAGAACGCTTTGTGTGCTGCTTGGACGGCCGCATCAAGGTCGGATGCGGTGCTCTCGCTTACTGTGGCAATCACTTGGCCTGTGGCCGGGTTCTCAATGCTGCTTGTTTGTGAGTCCGACGAGCCCACCCACTCACCATTGATATACGTGAGCGTGGGATCGAACGGGAGGCTGCTTATAATGGAAGACATTTTTATATGGTAAAAAAACAAGATGTGGAGTATTATTTCGAAAAGGAATATGAGTGGTAAATATGTGGATGAATATACGAATGACGCTGTTTCTCTCAAATATAGTGGAGGGCGGCCGCGCCTTTTTATACAACAAACGAAAGTGTTTTGTAACTGCTACTCGATGACGGATGAAAAATAACGATTTGTTCATAACTGCCTGTTTTAGAGCCCAAGCACGCAACCCCTCACCGCGGCCCTAATCCTTCATTTCTCTCTTTTATCTGTAACAAAGCATATATGCAATGCGCACGAGAGTGCACAAGCGCGAAAAAAATAAATGCCATCTTGCATATATTCACACACCCACGAACGCACAACACATTGAATTTTTTTATTCCTGATCAGGCTTGATTGCCAGCACAGTCTTGCGCAGTCCATCAACAGTCTGCGCCTTGCGCTCCGCCTTCTTTATCAACCCCTTCCTAATAGCCCTCAAGTCGCCCGTCATCTCAAACACCTGTGCCAAGCCAGCCTTGCACGCATCCTTCCTCAACTCCTCCTCGTGCTCCGCCCACGGATCCAATTGCGCTGCCTCCAACACCAGCGCCGGCGCCACTCCGTCAATCTTCTCCATCAGCCTGGTCAAGTCAATCCCCATTGCACCCAGCTCTCTCACAATAGCCTCACGCCTCTGCTTATCGGCTTGTGGCGCCTCTTCAGATATCGCGTGAGCCTTGGGAGGGTCTCCGAGTCCATGTGGTTTAGGATGCCCTTGCATTCGGATAGGTCAGCTATGAGTGTACGGTATTTTTGCTTGGCTGAGCGTAGCCGTGCGGTCTTTTGGTGGTCTGCCTGGAGGTATTGCAGGGCCATGTAAAGTGTGCCGCCCGTTATGGCCACTATACCAAGAACAGCGGCTGCGGCTGGTGTTGAGCCGTCGTGTTTGTAGTGCTGAAAGAGCTCCCAGAACTGCATTGTCGTTTTGTGTTGAAATTTGTGTCAATCTGGGATGAAAATAAAGTTGAATTGTTTGAAAGTAACGAAACAGAAAAGAAAATAGCAAACGAAAAGACACGGCTGTGATATATGCATGATGGGTTTCGAAAGGTTTCTAAGTAAACAGGAACGATAACTTCTATGGAAAGTAAAACTTTTTAATTGGCTGCCTGGAGATTAGAATCAGCAGAAAGCTTGGGCTTGAATGGATGATTTTGTTCAGGCTGTGTTGCAGAAATAGCTGTCACTGGGATCTTGAATATGAGCTTGGTTCTGTGACTACACTTATCCTTTTTGTTGAATAGGATCTTGACTGGACTTGGAGAATGCTGACGAGTACTATGCTGCACCGGCGCCTTCCAAGTTGTCGACGCACTTCTTGGCCGTGACACTGCTCGGCTTTTACTTGTTGCTGTCGTGGTCAATTGGCAAACCATCGACATACTAGATCTGCAGGCATGTCTCGTTGGTATACCGCAGCAGGCCGTGGCAAAGGGTCCCTCTCGGTGATTTTGTCGACAAGCTTGATTGGCCCGCATCCAGGACTAAAAGTTGCTTTCTCCTGCTATCGGATTTTGCACCGGATCTTTCCCTTTGACCATCCACACTTAGCGCTGTAAGTTCCAATGATGTTGGCTGACAGGTAACAAACAGGCTGTGACACATCAGTTGCAGTGTCGCCACCGTGCGCTTGGAGTGGGCTTGTAATTGGCCTTGCCTAATTTGCGCGGATCGGGCACTCAGTGATGTTTCTTCATCTCAGAATGGCATGCCGGGGCAGACCTTGAACGTTCAGAACTCATCGACTAGGAACACTTTGAGGCCATGTCCCAGCAGCGCCTTGCGCCTGCCAGTGTCAATGAACACAGCAGGTTTGATCCAGCTGATAATTTCTTTACGCATCAAGTCGTAGATATAAGGGGCCGACTGTCTCGCTTCTTCCGCTTTCGTTTTTGACACTTTTTCGACATTAGTAGCTTTCCCGGCGTCAGCAGCCTTTCGGATCTGCTTGCTTTTTTAGGGGTGCGCTTGCTTTGACAGCAGACTGAGCGGCGGGCTTAGTGACGGCCAAGTATTTTTTAGTGATTTTTAGTGATTTTATTTTTGCAAATATATTAAAACCATTAAAAATTCCAATAAAACGAATGTGACGAAAAAAGTGGACCCTCTCAAATTGAAAAGCGAGACTTTCGCAGTCTTGATCTAGTTAGATTTGTTGCTATAGTGGTTCGATATCTCCCAACTTCTCCAAGAAAGTACGCTAAATCTCAGACTTTACACCCCCCGCTTACAAAGTTGGGGGAAGTTGTGAAAGAGAAAAAACCAACTCGCATCAAACCCGTGGACATTTTTGTCGTTTTGTCTTCTGTCTTGTGCTCAGCAAACCAAGATAACATATTTCCCTGATTGGCAAACTTGTTACCAAGAACAATGCTGATTGCAAATCAAAACATATCAGAAACAGTCCACTCCGATCACCTTGTAATTCAAGTCCACTATTATTGTGCTGCGCTTCAAGTCTATCTTCCTGTCTTTCAGTAGAGCAAATTGCACTCATCCGGAACGCCAGCATTGGCCAATGACACTAGGGGTAGAATAAAAAGTAAATGAATTATATTCATGACAATAGCAAGATAATTTAGTATAAATAGAAATTTTAAACTGCAAAGCTACATAAACAAGAGTAGGTTGATGCAAGTTATTGTTTTTATATTCTAGTCCGTCTCTTTCGTTATCGTGCAGTGTGCTCGGCGTGGCATCAAAAATAGCCATTATTCAGCAAATAAAAAGCACAACGTATCATTTCTGTATTTACCGAGCGTTACTACTACCATCTCCCCGCCTTTTATTTATTGTAAGTTTGATACGCCGTGTCCCACTTTGTGCTCCTGTATTTTCTGTTTCGAACATCGAATGATGCATAAAAATCTTCAAAAACATTACCACTCGTGTACCTACCAATATAAATTTGTAAAAAGAGGCGAACAGACATGGTTAGGATTGCTAACAGGAAAGGATTCTCCGCATATTCTGCAGCCGCACATATTGCTTACTGGAATATCTGCGCCATGGTAATTGTGATACTGAGGATGATAGTGCGCATTTAATAATAATAATGCAAATTGCTGTATTAATTGGGTTTAAAAATTATGTATGTATACTACCATATGGTTTAGGCTTTATATATAATTCACACGCTCTATCTTTTTGTTAATAATTCACCATTCTTCTGCTCTCCGTCCCCTCTACGATTTTTTGTCTCTTCTGATTTTCCTTGGCTAAAAATTTGCAATGTCTTTTGAGAATTCCAACATGCCGGTGAGCTATGTATAATGATTTCAAATTTGTTCACCCCAAAGTCTGATCACAATTTTTCATATTAGAAAGGCAGTGACTTTGACAATTCCGCTTTTTTATTCCCCTCCCCACATTTTTCGTTCAACCTACGCTCTTATAATATTCAATTGGTGTGCAGAAAAAAGCGAAAACATGCGTTTATATTCAACTACACGCTACAGGACAATGCGCACCCTTTTCCGCACCTCGACTACACTTTTCAATTAAAATTAAGCGCAATACATGCCGCTCATTTGATGCTGTACTGAGTATTTATGTTTGCATTAAATGCATATTATAATTAAACTACCAGCGGCTATACTAAAACAAAAAACGTTTAACGAGTTGACACATTGGGTTACATTAACGCTTTGATGTTAGATTGGGATTGTTTCTTGTCTTGGGTGGCCCAAAGGTAGTTCTAGGTGGTTTAGCGGTTGATGGCCTTGGCTGTACCTGCGTTTTGGGCTGGGTCTGGACAGTAGAGGCAACAACGACAGCTAAAACAAAAATGACAAATAAATTCATTGTTTAAAAAGATTAAAGGATATTGGGTTTGAATATACTTTATAGTCAGACAAATAAAAAGTCTGCGGGATGTTATGTCATTTTATAGCTGTTGTTTGCTGCTTAAAAACATCCTTTGAATAAAATAATATGCAATGTAGGAGTATGCTTGAATACAGGTGGTTTTATTAAAGCATTGAATGCCAACGTCAAAAATGAATGATATTTTTTATGTTCAACTATTACTGCTAAACAATAATGCCAAAACATACAGCAAATCATTAGAACGAAGCTCATTTTTTATAAACAAGCTTTATTTTTGTCAGCCTTAGTAGAACAAAAAATACACATGTGACAAGATGGTGCAATGCTAGCAGTAATGTGAGAATAATAGCAACACAATAAATAGCCATTTTCTCTCACGCCTCACTTCTAACAAGCCAATCCAACACACCATTACTTGATAAACAGTCGATGGTGCAATATCTTGAACGTTAGAATGTGGCTATCATGATTGACTGACATTTAAATACGCCTTAATTCATTTGTTTGGAATATGTCTTTTTGATATTGTTGCTATTTGTGTTTATAACTCTGCAAATATTTTGATTTGCGAGGAAAAGCAATGTATCCATAAAATAAATTACTGTGCTGTTGTGTGACAAAAAGGGAAGGCCAATAAATGTAAACTGAGCAGTTACAAGGAATACTGCTAAATGGGTAATTAAATATTTATTAGAAAACTAAGGTGTCCTCATCCTCATAGTGGGGACACGGTGTATATCGAAAATATACTATAAGTGCGCGGCATCTCCTGTGCTGCACATATGTATACAAACATCAAAACAAGTAACAATATCAAAACAAAATTTATTTTGATGCACCTCCAAATTGCATCAATTTCTACTATCACCAGGATCTAGCAAAAACAGGTTCAATCATGAACACCATGCGGTTTCGCGATCGATGTGATTGGACCAGGGCATTGGGTGACGTCCTGCATCTGTCTGATGCATCTTTGCGCGCCTGCGGGCTCAGATCGGGTCGCTGGCCCAGGTTGCCCCCCCCCCCCCATGGGGCTCTCAACAATAGTATGTTTCTTTTAAGTTCCAATATAAAATGAGTGCTTTTTTTTTTTTAATGCAAATTTCTTGTAAACAATACTTGTCTCTTTTTAATAGACAATTTTGACTTGGTGCACTGCACATATGATGAATGATGCCCATAAAAACAGGCTATGTTTTTAGCCCTCCCTTTTTACACGGACTAATGCTCCATTTTTAAACTTGCAGTTGAGCCCTTGTAGTGCCGTTAAACTGCAACAAATTTCAGCGTTAACCACTTGGTTGAATATATCCAATTTGTTTATAAACATCGCAACTTTGTTCACGGGACTGTCCCCATACTTAAGCCATAATTTAGTTTATGTTTATAAATAAAATCCATTAATTTATTAATTTACTTGCAGTTTATTATCATATTTAACCACAATCCATCACACAAATTAGAGCATATAAAACTATACCTTCTTTAAATGAGCACCACAATGCAAGCAGCAGTGATGCGTGAGCAGTACCCGTTGAAATCCAAGAGGCGATAAAGAAATACGAGGATTTCATCACAACCAAATTACAGCCTGATCTCCAACAAACCCTGGAACTCCGCGACACCATATTTAACCAAATGTCCGAATACCTAAAGCTAAAAACACACATTGACACCATTCGCACACAGGGACTGGATGAGCTGGAGACTAAGGTGGATTTGGGATCGAATTTCTACGTCAAGGCGTTTGTGCCCGATACAAAGTTTATTTTGTTAGTATTGGGTTTGGGTTTCATTTGCAAATGACCTTGGATGAGGCCGATGCGTTTATTGACGAGAAAGTGAAACATTTGGAAAAGTAAGTTATATTTATATCATTGATTGGTATTGCATGTCCGAAAAATTGTTAATTTTATTTTTGACGCTCAAACTTCTACTTTTATTTTCTCGCTGGCATAGGTTGGCGGACAGACATACTGATGAGGCAAATGAGATCAGGGCGCAGATCAAGATGGCAAGTATCATTTGAATTATAGCTACATATCTGCTTTCCAATTAATGACATACATGCTTTTGGTGTACTAATCATACACGCTCATTTATTTTTGATTATCCCATTTTTGAATGCTAGGTGTACAGCGCGTTGATGGAGAGCATTAACGGCCCCAAGGATTGAGCTTTTATGAATACGTATTTGGCTTTTTGCTCATTTTCCATTTAATATACTTGTTCATTTGTTTTTATACAACCCAAAGATAAAGCTAATTTTGTATATTTTCGAAAGGAAACTTTAACATTAAAGCTGGGCTTCAAGTCTATGTCCACTGGCATCTTCGGGACTTTCATTGTCACCGTTTGTAGCTGCAGTGGTCAATGTCTCGAGCATGCGCACAATGCTCTGCTGCTGTTGCTGCTGCAACGTACCAGCACCTACTGCCGCTGCCGCTGTGGTCATGGTTGCAGCTCGCATACCTCGTACCTTGATGAAACACCTTCCTCCTCGCTAACACCATCACTGCTCACATCACTCTTACTGTCCCAATGCGATCTGTCGACCTCACTGCCATACGACACGAAAAGCTCCTCGCCCACCTTAATTTGGCGCGACGTCAAACAGATGATCTGGTTGACCTTGATGCCCTCCAAAAACACAATGTTGTCTCGATTGCCCTCGCGGTCCTCATTCATGAAATGAAACGGGCAATAGAGCGCGCCCAAGGGGTCTGTGTATGGAAGGCCGTTTTCATCTGTAGCGTCAAGAACCGTTTTACGGTACATGATGGAGTAGTGCGAGGCCATGCCGACGTTCTCTTTGAGTGAGTCGAATTCATCCTCGGTCATGGGGACTCCAAAGTAAAAGCCAAGGGGGATTCCGCCCGGTAAGTTGCGGATGGCAAAGAGGCCGTTGCCGGCGCCCGGGATGGATGACGGTTTGACCTCGACTATGTCGCGCCAGCTTTTTGGGATATTCGCATCTGGCTCCGAGTGGGCATTCTCTGGACAAACGACCGATTTGCACACAAACTGTAGTAATGGCAGCGAACTGGTCGAAGACGGCGAGCGGTCAGTGGTAGCAATGATTTCGCCAGACACCTTCTCAGCTGAATCTTGTAAAAAGGACTTTGATGCAGTATTTGGCTGTGGATCAGGTTGTAGATTTGACGCTTCAATATCAACCTGCCCCACATCTAATTCATCCAGGAGAGGTGCATCCACTACAAGCTGTTTGTCGCCAGACTCAGCTTCAATATTAGCTACTAAAGCCTCATTGCCTGCCTGCTCCGCAACTGTGGCTGCCTCGGGGACCAACTCAGGCACTGGGACTGGCAACGGCTCAGGACCAAAACACAATGGCCAATCCTTCTTAACCAAAACCTCCATCCACTCCTCATACGCCGCCAAAGCACCGTCAAAATCCCCAGGCTTATAAGCCAGCTTAAAATGATAGCATCTCGCACCTTCCGGCCGAAACTGCACAAAATGTCTATCTCCATTATTGGTCAACAACGCACTCGCGCTATTCTGTGGCGTCTTCCCTGTGAATGCCCTGGGCAAACCGCGCTCCATGCTGATTTTCTTATCCAATTCCACGGCTTTTCTGACCAACTCACTTCGACTAGCTGTGTTATCAGGTGCTTGTCGCAGGACCAGGAACATCACGTACATTTGGTTGTACCATCGAGGACGCACAGTTCTGGTTTTTTTAGTAGCAGGTTGTGTGGTCAGAGAGTCGGTATCAGCGGTGTTAGCATTGGAAGTGGCGGTGGTGGCGATGGGTATGTGTATGGGCTTTTTGCGCTTTTTTTGAAGACGACGGCCTCCAGGATGGTCTTCGGTGATGATTTCGTCGAGGAGATCGAATACTTCGTTTCCAGTGAGCGTATTGGGGAGAAGTCGTTGTCGTGGCTGGCGCGAGGAGCGTCTGTGCTCGCCGGGCGAGTTGCATGCTGTTTTGCTGGCAACCTCACTGTGAATTTTGCTGCCCCCAGGTGAGCCCGAGCTAGCTGCGCAGGGCGAATCCGGCATTTGAAAATGCAGACAAGTATGTATAGTATGAAAACGCGTCCAAAGTTGGGAATTTGAAATGCAGAATATAAAAAAGTTGAAAAGTTGACGATATAAAGTACTGTAGAGCAAAAAAAGATTTCTTTGGCTGACGTGTAATAAAATTTTAAAAGTAAAAACGATTAGGAAAAATGCATACGAGCAAAAAAATAACAGAAATCAGAAAATATTTATGTCATAAATTTAATAAAGGAAGTGCGTCGTGATCGTGTTGAATAGAACAATGAATGTGTGATATTACGAATGCAAAAAAGAATGAAAAAGAGAGATTAGCCAATGATTCTCGAAATTGATGTCTTTACAGGCTTCTGGTGCTCATGAACGCGCTGCCGAGTAGGGTTAGAGCCGTTGCCGCCACCATTAGACGCGGTGGGATACGCGGGGTTAGCGTTCGAATTCGAATATAGAGACTGCGTAAAGTTGTTTGCATGCTCACTGGTGCCATTGATGTGGGGCATGGCCTGCGAGATATGCTGCGGCGGTGTAGGAACAGAAGTAGAGGGCGCATGGACTGGCGCTTGCTGATGGTGATGCTGGCGATAATGCTGTTGCTGCTGGTAGTAATGCTGCTGTTGCTGCCAGCTTGGATGCTGCATTTGCTGCGTGTGGTATGACATGTTACTAGCACCACTGGATGAGCCCGGGTGCACGTACTCCTGGTGCATGGAGCTGTGGATAGGAGCGCTATGTGGCTGATGCGGCGGCAGAATCTGCTGCTGCTGGGCATACGCCATATGTGCGGATGTCGGCTGCACCGGCACTGAGCGATGCTGCTGCTGATAGTTGTTGTGTACAGCGTGCTGCGGCAGAGGCAGAGGCAGAGGTAGGGGAGCACGCACCATCCCCGCACTAGGCCCAGGCGCAGGCTGTGCCGATGACAGAATCCCGCCAATGCTCGGGTGGTTGCCGCTCGCCCCAACATGATGTGGCGGGTTGTGAGACACGGCAGCCAGAACCAGTGGGGTGTTGGAGTCGCTGGCGGAATTCGGCGTCACACTAGCGCCAGCACCAGCGGCGGCTGAGGCAGGGGCCGTGTTGTCCGCACTAAAATGGGTGGTGGCCTCATTCGCGCGCTTCTTGCTCAGCTTGGCGTAATCTACAAATCAAAATCAATTGATCAGCCAACAAGTGGCAAACCCGGATACAAAAAAAATAATGTGATTTAGCAACGGTGGAAATCAAAGATCCAAAATCACAATGCGTTGGTGCAAATCTTTATTTATAGGCGCCTGAATCATCTGATTTTTGGTTATGAAACTTACGAAGGCCACATGCATTGCAAAGAGTCCTGGCGCCATCAGGGCCACGACGCCATTCAGGTGTCTCTGAAATCCCGCACGAACGGCATGTGTTTGGCTGTGCAGCGTCAGATCTCTTCTATATTTATAAGCGGGCAGATATTTAAAAAGAACAAAAACATGCACGGAAAACCGGTTAGTTGGTTGATTTTATTATGGGCACTTCAATAGAATTGGCAGAGAAAAATTGCGATTCATCGCGATGGGTTTGCATAACAGAAAAAAGAGTGTGAAAAAGGGGGATGGTGGAAATGACAAAAAGTCAACTTTCTGTGGCATAGCAAAAAGGCAAATGAAACGAATAAATAAAGCAAATCGTAGATCTGATACAACCTTCCAAACAAAAGTGAGAGCGGCAAAGTGTAGATCGACAAAGTGCAGATCGACAGAAAGCGATCTATGTAGATTTTATAGTGAGCAAAATATGCACACATATTGCTTCTTTTAGGCGCAATCTCACAGGCAGGTCAAGCAATAATAAGAGGAAGGTGCGGGAAAGGACACTTGCTGAGTGTGCGATTTGTCGCCCCAAACACAGCAACAAACAACAACACAAAAACAAAACCCATTCTTGGTGAAATGATTGCTCACCCAAGATGTACATGAACAGTGGGGTGGACTTACCGAACGTTTGCGGGCCTTGCTCCTTGCAGGCGAAAGCACGGTGCGGCGCTTCCGGATATAGTCCATCGTATCATCATCGGCGCTGGTCGACATGCGCTCGCGGCGAATGGTCATGAACACCAGCAGCACCTCGTACGCCTTGCGTGCCATGTCAATGACCAGGTCGTCCGACGGCTGTGCGTTAAACTTGTTCTTCTCGGGGCCGTACTGCTCGGAAAACTGGCTCAAGATCTTGCATTTGTCGGCTACATCGCGCAGCTCGCTCTGGTACTTCTCCAGAATTGTCGTCCGCTTCTTCTCGCAGCAGCTGCTGCCGCTGGGAGACGCGCACTTGCCCGCCGCCTTGTCATTGACGACATCGTCATTTGACTGCTGCTGCTCTGTGGTGGCAGCAGTGGCATTTTGATTTGAAAACTGCAATGTGCTCATTCTGAAGGTTCCAGCGAGAGACTCTGGCTGCCGCCCACTGTCCCGAGGATATGCGCTGGAAGCCTCCTCGTCGGCCAAATGAAAGGGATGAGGAGGAGGGTGGTGGTGGTGATGGTTGTGGTGATGGTGAGGCGCAACGAGTACTGCCGAAGCTGGGAATACCATGGTTGATGGCCGCGCCAAAGCCTCCGTTGTGACATTTGAAATGTCCTGCATGGTTAAGGGCCGTGCAGCAGGGCCAAAGGGCGCGGCAATACTAGCCACCGCATTGTTTTCTGCAGCCACTGCGCCGCCGTCAGTTGCGAGCGACGCGCGGATGCTTTCAAGCTCGCGAATGTTTGGAAGAGCAGCAACGGGTGAGTCAGCTTCTGAAGCGTCTGCGTTGTGTTGCTGACTCTGCCTTGATGGCTGTGATAGGGCGTTGGGCCCACACACAAAGTTGAGATCCATTATTGTTATTATTAATGAGTATTAATGTGAGGTTGATGTGTGATGTGTGCGATGAAGGCTGCTTGCAACAGCGACAACAACAGCAACAACAACAATAGAACGAAATAAAATAAAAATAATATGCGAAAAGGAGCTCAGGAAAATATTGGAAGGAGAAAATAAAGAGGGAGAGAGAGGCTGACAAGCTGGAAATCGTTACAGCCAACTGATTGGTCAGATAAAAAAGGTATAGAACCCCAAGAATGGAGGACGGGAGACAAGAGACGGGTAAAGTGCAAAAGAAATAATAATGGAAAAATATATAGAAAAAGAGAGATGGCTCAAAATAGTAGCTGGGATGCGTCTAATAAATAGAAAAAGAGCGAGGTGAGGCGAGGTGTGGTGAATGTACAACTGAACAGAGAAAAAGGCAGATGAAGAAAAAACTGCATGAAGAAAAAAACAAGAAAATAGGGACGAAGGGGAGAGGACAAAGGATGCAAGATGGCATTGCAGATTGTTGCATTATTTCTTTTTTTGATATGGATTGCCATACTAAAATCTGGCAACCCGCGTATTACTTTTTTTCGATTGCCCGCTTTGGTCAGAATTTCTAGTCAGAATAGCATGATGACACAAGAAGTTCAAGTTGGTTTTATTCGCTATATATAAATGCACCTTCCTTTTATCTTCCGTTCATTGGAAACATATGCCACTCACTCATTTGCCCCTCGCACATACCAGGCGAGATTCCGAATCGGCCGCCAGTGCGATTGGATGTGATTAGACTGTGCCTTTAAGCTATTCCGTCGGCGCCATCATCCCACTTTATCTGCCGCCATGCTCAAAAGAAAAATATGCTCGCGAGCTTGGTACAGCCAATAACTAACAGGGGCCACTTTAAGCTTTTCAAGGTCATCCCAGTCAACAGGCGACAACGGTGTAAATTCGAGCTTAAATTGAACGGCTAGGCAAGAGCACGCAAAGGTGTGACCCGCATGCCCAGCATTCCGATGGCATTGTATTGTGTTAATTTCGGGACATCACTGCGTCCATGCATCAATTCCAATTAGCTGCCCATTGAGCCAGAAAAACAACAGCTGCAAGCGAGACGTGGAAATGACATGGTGTGTGTGCTGCACAGCATGGCAGTGAAACCACATTTATTTATCTGGCAGATGCGGGCGAGATGAGAACCTATTTTTCTTTTGGCGCTATTGCTGCTGATGCTGGATGTATCATGGGATTCGGTTTTATTTATTGCGTCCAGATCTCTGCGCAACGCAGAAACAATGAAGGGAAGATTGTGCGGCTTGGACGCCTCGCATCTTCTTTTCTTCAATATCTCGTGTCCGAAATACCTCGGCCAGCCATTGTTTAACTTTTTTATCTCGTTTTTCATTCTTGTTGATTTTTTCTTGATGTTTTGATGTCAATATCTATTGGCTCGGTGCCTCGTTGTTGGCTTGTAGTTTTTGCCTTCGCTTTTCTTTCTTACTTTTAAGCAGATGAAGCAGTAAACACTGGGACAATCGGACATTGTAGAAACGTAAATACATTCAAGTTACAATGAGCATCGTTATTTTGCATAACCAAAAAATAGGGACGGCTGCTCTGTAGAATCAGAAAAATATAACAGATAAATGTAATTGCGATAAGAGTAACTCATTATATCAAAAATTTGAGAATCGTCCCCCAAATTCCCTCGTTCCCCCTTTTCCAAAAAAAGTGTTCTGCTGGATTGTAATTTAGCTGGACGCATCTTCGTTGGCCTTCTCACCCTCTTCTTTGAACGGCGCATTGTCATTCTGCGTGTCGTATATTTCAAGCACCTCGGCTACGCGCGCATCAATAACAACCTCCATGCTTTGTTCGTTCTCCCACGACGGCAGCTCCTCCTCGGCCTTGCCCATATCGACAATCTCCTGCACGTCGCGCGCCGGCCGCTTAGTCGACTCGAAGACCACCTGCAGCGCCTGTCTGGAGTACAATTCAACGTTCTGTTGGTCATGGAAGAAATTCCAGATCTTGTGCGGCAGGCTACCCCAGCCCGTGAGGTTGAAGAGCGAGATGTAGGCTACAGCCGGCAGCTCGGGCAGCGCACCACCATGGTCAAAGCGGTCGTAGTTGATGACATGCGGCGCAGGCTCTGCTGCTGGTGCTGTTTCCACCGGGACGGTCATATCAAAGGCTCCCGCGGTATCGGTGACCTCAATCTCGGCATCAGTGCCGTGTGCCTGCGTCTCAGTGGTGATTTCGCGCGGGGCGTTCTCACGCTCCTCCGTGTCCAGCTTGACCAGCTGCGGCATTGCCAGGTTAAGCGACCCCGTGGCGCCCTCATTGATCCCATTGATGGCCTCCACCCACGCCTCGCGGCCAACCACCACAATGTCCATGACGCCGGGATACGGCTCGGGCTTCCAGAGCCCAACGTTGACTGTCTCTCCGGGCTCGCGACCGAGCTGGTTTTTATACTCCCGCAGCTCATTCTCCTTGCGCCGCTCCTCAACGGCCTCCCGCCATAGCCTCAGCTCCTCATTGTCCTCCTCCTGCTCCAGCTGCTTGCGTCTCGTCTCCTTGACCTCCTCAGCAACCAGGCTGTGCACGCCACCACGCACCACCGACTCCAGCCCATCGACTGTCTGCGTCTCGTTGACCAAAGTCAGCTCGTAGTCCAGCGCGCCGGCGACAAAGACTGGGAGAATATACTCCTCCCAGTGCATCCGCGCCTTGCGCGTGCCCAGCTCGCCCATAGGCGCTGTGAGGTACACGTGCACTTTGCGCATGGTGTCGAGCGATCCGACGGGCTGGTTCGCCACATGCTCCGCCCGTTTGCAGTAGTACTCGAGGCACTTTTTGCTCTGCCTCTTGTTGTATTGGTAGAACCCGATTGTGCCGAATACCGTACCCCAGAACAACGCCGTGTTGCGCGACGGCAGCTTTTTTTTTATTGTACCCAGAATACCAGCGCTCATTTGAATTTAGCTTCTGTTTGTTGTTGCTGCTTAGAGGCGAATTGAAAGAATATGTAGATTTGGCACAAGATAAATAAATGTGTCAATGCCAATTTTATTTATCAAGATCGCACTTAAAGAAGCATCGGCAAAAATAAAATATTATAATGCTTGATTTGGTTGATCTTGCATAAACTTTCTAATTTTTCATTTTGCACTTTTCTAATGGAAATTGGTATTATTTTGAAAAGAGTAAACACCAAACGTGTACCAAACAACACCCCTTGTGGGGACCAATTATGGACCTATGAGCCTGGAAAGTTATTTAAAAATCATCTCACCCCAGCAATGCAAATGGCAGCCCCAGTGCTGTCTTATGGCTGCCCCTTTCCTGTCTGCTCACCCTGCCCTTAGCAACAAAGTTAAACCACCAGAGGTGGGCAGATTGAAGGCAGCCACTGATAATAACCATTAGCTCCAGAGCCATGGTGGCAAGTGACACCAGTCCGAAGTCTAGGAGGTCATCTCCCATTGCTGTGCTATGGGGGGGGGGGTTTGTGATAAGAATAAACACTAATAAAATATATATTTATTAATAATCCGCTATAATGGAGCTAACGATGCTCGCCTTATAAATCGAAAACCCAAAGTAGTAAAATATAATCGCGATTGAAAGTAATCGCGATCATCACATGCCATCGCCGTAATTGATGTCACAGCATTAGCCCTCTTTTCCTGTGGCCAACATAAGCGCTGTACTCTTTGTTGGTGTTCTGGTGTTCCACGTGTCCATAGCACCTCTTGGTCTCTTGAAGACCATGTTTGACATGAGGAAGCTTGACTATCAGTACTTCTGCTGCTATGCACCAGTGCGACTGTTGCTGCCCATGGTTGTTGTTCCGACTCCAACCACATGCAGTGTTGGCTGGTTGAGCCAACGACGATCAGTGCCTTTGTAGAGAATAAATATACATTTTCACACACTTTTCTATTGGCTCAAATGCAGGCTACAAAAACTATAATAGCTAATATAACCCCCAAACCAATGGGACTTTATTGTGTTGATGGCATGGTGTTATTTTAAGTTGCTTTATTAACCCCCTTATGAGGACAATGGAAATATGGGCGAGGCTGTCTACACCTGGGCGAAGCTCAGTCCGAACTGAAGTCTGACTCCAACCACATGCAGGAACTACAAATCCAGCATTACTTGGACTTTTTGCCACTGGTCATGCGCTCTTTGCGCTTCTTGACGAACTTTGGGATCTTGGTCTTGCGCTTCTCGCGGTTGGCCTCCTTGACTGCCTGCTTGTGCTCTTTCTTAGCATTCTTGTCATCAGGCCGCTTGGTGCCTGCATGCACAGACTCATCGTCATTGCTGTCCTCCTCATCGCTGCCGTCCTCATCATCGGTCTCATCCTCCTCACTGTCGTCATTGTCATCGTTTTCGTTCTCATTATCGCTGTCAACCTCATCATTGGTGCTCGGTGCTGCGCCCTTGTCCTTCAGTGTGGCCTCCTGCTTTGCCTCGGTCTCGTCCGCAAAGTGGACAGCCCGCGCGTTCCTCTCCTTGGCATCAGCACTGATGACGACCTCGTTCTGGTTCGGCGTATTGGCCGCAGACAGGTTCAGTCCAACCAGCTTACTGTAAATAAGCTCCTCGGACTTGCCCTCATTGATCTGCTTCACATCGCGCTCATAGTCAATAACCTCATCCAGCGTGCGCGGGATGTACGACTGCCTGAACACCTCGTCGTCGGCTCTCAGACTATTCAGCTCCTCATCCGTGATCCCGTCCATCTCAAGCTGAATGGCAGCCAGCGCCTCGTCAATCTCCTCAGTGGAGTTGCCAAAATTAAAGTCCGTGATGAATTCAAACAGCCGACGGAGAGACATCGTACGCACATTACCGCGCTTGCGGAAATACTCCGTGACGTTGTTGCAGTCATGGCGCAAAAAGTCAATTGCATACGGGTGGTCGTGCTCGACGGACTGCGAGACATCGATAATGTAGAGCTTCTTGGCATGGTACAGGATATTGTACTCGCTCAGATCCGCGTGCACCAGCTTGCACACATGGTACATTAGGCGCATGTCGCGCACCAGCTGATAGTAGAGCTCCGGATAGCGGTTGGCCGGCACAATGGCGTCCTTGAGTCTCGGATACGCCCAGCCCTCAGGAGTGCCTAAGAAGTCCATAACCAGGACGTGCTGCCGCAGAATGATCGGGTTCGGCGATGGGATGCCCGATGAGTAGATCCGCTTGAGATTACGCATTTCCTTCTCGGCCCACAGACGCACCATCTTGCGCGGGTTATGCCGCGAGTACCCGTGTCTGAACCGGTACTCGCCCGACACGTATCTGTCGCGATCCTTGAAAATCAGAATAGACGTCTTGTAAATCTTAATCGCCCTGTGCTCGCCCGACTCTGTCATCGCATGGTACACGTTGGCCTCCTTACCCGTGCTAATGCACCCGTTGATCTCGTAGATGACGCCCTGGTTGAGCAGCTTGAACAGGATAATGCGCGTGCGCGGGTCCAGGACCTGCTCGGTGGTCGCCCGATCGGCCTTGTCTTTGCGCGGCGCAGAGCTCACGCCCTGTCCCTTGCGGCTACCACCCTGGTTGACGCCATCCTTGGGCACCACCAGGCCTGTGAATTCCTCCAGCTTGATCCGCCCAGAGTACTTGTTGAGCTCGACGCTCTTGGGTGCCGCACTGCCAGTAAGGCTCGGCTTGCTGCCGGCCGCCATGGCCTCGAGAATCGCTGCTGACTTCTTGACTGTTGCCGATCCGCTGCTTGCCTTGGTCGTTTGCTGGCTGAGAATCACTTGCTGCCGCATTTTGTTGTACTGCTTGGTAAAGTCGCCGCCGTTCTCGCCCCAGTCCTCGGTGTAACCTAGGAGATCATCGGCCTCAAACCCGGCATCCTCCTCCTCGTACTCCTCATTGTCGTAGTCGTAGTCGTCGGAGGTGTCATTTTCGTCGTCTTCAAAGTATGTGGTGTTGTTCTCAACTGTGGCCTGCTCGGGGTCACCAGCGGCGGTCTGTGTGTTGCCAGCTGTGGGCTCAGCAGTCGTCGTGCCCTTCTCTTGCTGCGTAACAGAGAAAGTAGAGTCCGCCATTATATCGAGAAAAAAACTGCTTCAACTTTTGAAGGTATAAAATAGAAAAAAGTATTAAAAGTGGAATTGCACAGCCAACAAAATAAAAAATATTTCGCTTTTCCCTCTCTCTATTTCGCACTGGCGGTAAGCAGAGCAGCCTACAGCTCATAAAAAAAATCAAATAAAAATAGCGCAGATCGAGAACAAAAAATCACGACTGATCACAAAATCAATTCTTTTTTTTATTACTTAAAGCGCAGGGTACGCCAGACGGAAGCCATGGACGGTTCCCCTCACGCGTTCATCTCCGGGATCATCCTCGAACATCGCGCCCGTGTACTCCTCAACCACCCTCGCGACCTCCAGACCAAGCTCTTCGCGTGCCCTCTCAATAAACGCCATATCCTTGTCGGCCAGCCAGGGCCGATGATGTGTGAAAAACACATATGCCTCGCCGCCGTTGGTCTTGCCGCCATCCTCCGCCAAAGATGGCTTGGCCATCAGCCTCTCGACCGATCTCAATAAGGACGTGTGTTCCGAATGGTTGAACACAAGGTCACAGAGAATAAGCACATCGTAGGTTCCCTCCTGGCTTTGAGCCAAGGCTGATATCCTCTCGATTTCGCTGCCCCACTTGAATCCCGTCACCGCAATGGACTCATCGGCAAGTTTGGCCGGAAAGTTGATCTCGACGTTCTTGCGAATATTCTCGATAAGATCGTGGTCCGGGTAGTCTGTGATTACGACGCGGCTGGCGCCGTTGCATGCAGAGATCAGAGACGGAAGTGCGCCAGCGGCTCCGAGCTCGAGAACAGATTTGTTGCAGATAATGTCCTTTTGCTCGTCAAGGTAGTTGGCAAACGTCTTGGCTGCGTTCCAAAGGTGGTGGCCCCACAGCGGGTGCGATCCCAAAAGGTTCACAGTGATCTTGTCCGGCGAGCCCTCGGTCACCCACTGCGGCTGCCTGTCAAACACGACGGACGTTGGCTCAGGCGGGGTGGGAAGTAGCCCTCAGGCTCCTGGAACATGCTGTCAAAGCCGCCGTCTTCGCTGTCGCTGGAGGATGCAGACATTGTGTAAGAAAAATATGTCGCTGAAAGTTGAACGCAAGGTGCTTTTTTTTGGAGAGAGCGAGCTGCAATCGCCAAGCGTGGCTCAGTGCCGGGCATCGCTCGCGGACCAGATTGGTAGAGGAGAGTGGGAGGCTCACACGTGAGCAACATTCAGTTTCTTTTTTTTGATAATGGATAATTGAACAAAAACGTGTATTTTTATAGAAAATGACAAAGGAAAACGAACGGGTGTGAGAATATTTAAAAGGGATGTACAAGTGGAAGAATAAAGTAATAAGAGAATGAGAGTGGCGGTGGCGGTGATGGCAGCGGCGGGGGGTAATACAGTACTAAAAGCGGGTGTTTCAAAAAAAGGAGGGAAAAAGACGTCTGAACATTTGGGCTGGAGTGCGTGCACGGCTGATGAAATCCACACAGATTTGTTATTCAGTAGCCGGCGGGGTTGTTGGCAGACGACGGCTGGGCGTAGCTCTGGTGATGGTGGTGGTGCACAGAAGTGTAGTCCATCGGCCCAGAGCCGGCTTGCGTTGGCGACTGCATCAGGGTCTGCGCTGAAGGCAGGTGCTGGTAGTAGCTGGTGCGTGCCGAGTGTGGCAGCTGCTGGGGCCGTGTTTGGAAGTGGGCCGGGTGGTGGTGCTGCTGCTGCAGCGAGGAATCAGCCAGGGTTGTGCGCGCGAGGCCATTGCTGATCGAGCCCGCGTGCGGGATCGTGTTGCTGTGCGCAATCATCAGCGACGGCAGCGAGCGTCCAGCGAGCTTGTGAGTCCCGGAAACGGGCGCCCCCATGTTGCCCATGGCAGCCGCGGGCATGTTGCTCTCCAGGCTGTGCGAGCCGCTCAAGTGGGCCGACGACGAGCCGGGAGTCGGCGTCGCTGTGGTCGCTGTGGTCAGCCTCGGAGTCGCATTGGCGTCGATGGGCAGCCGGGCCAGGCTGCCATTGCCATTGCCGTTGGCGCCTGAAGACGCCATGTTGAGCAGGTGGCGCTGCTGGTGGTACGCGTGCTGCTGCTGGGGTAGACTGATGCCGCTTGCTCCGGGCGTCATAATCGGGGCCATGGTCAGAGCCGACGAGGCCGATGGCTGAAACGCGTGCGAAGAGAGCGACGGCAAGTTGCAGCCCTTGCTTGCGCCATACCCTGCCGAGTAGCCCGGCGAGGCCACGGGGCCCGAGCGGTGCACGCCAGTGAACGACGACCCGGTCGAGAAGTTGCGAGGCGGCTGCAGCTGCGGCTGCGGCTGCGGCTGCGGCTGCTGCTGGCTGTTGTTCATAGGTGCGCCCATGATTGGGCTGGAGTGACTGTTGGAACTAGGAAAGCACTCGGACGCCGAAGACAACAGGTCTGGAAAGTAGCCCGAGTCTATGGGCGCGCCATCCTTCCGCTTGCTGCTGCAGCGGGGATGAGAGGCGGCCCCCGAGGCAGACTGCGGCTGCGGCGGCAGGTTGTAGCTGCTGGCCGTCAATGTCATTGGCGGCGGCACATGGTGCGCGGTTGCCCCACTCGAGTGTCCGACTGTTGGGGTGGTAATTGTCGAAATGCTGGCGCCGTTGGTGTACTGCCACGGGTACGCGTCAGCATGCGGGCGCGACTGCGACTGCTGCTGGGGCTGCTGGTGGTAGTAGTGCGGGGTCGGGCGGTTAGAGTAGTCCGAGTGGTAGGCAGAGTGTGTGGTCATCGCCGCAGTGACAGCAACTGCCGCAGGGGCGGGGTGCTGGTGGTCGCGATAGTAGTAGGCCTGCTGTTGCTGTTGCTGTTGCTGTTGTACCACTGACAGCTGACCAGGCATGGCTGCTGCCTTGGTCGCCGCAGGCTGGTAGTGGTTGCCGTGGTGCTGGGAGGAGGGCATGCCGCCAGAAGAGCCGATTGAGTAGTCGCTCACATGCAACAGCGCCCGGCCGCCAGTACCGCTGTTGGTAGTGGCAGTGCTGGCACCATAGCAAAATGAGGCGGACAGGGGCGGAACGGCAACCGATGGGGGCTGCTGTGGCAGCACACCGGCCGGCGTGGGGAACGACGGCCGGTGCTGCTGGGTCGAAGCCGAAATGGACTGCACTATGTCAGCGGTGACAGTAGCAGGCGCAACGGCCGATTGGTGGCCGTGGTGCGTGGGTGCCATCGGCCTGTTGACCAGGCGGCCATCAGGGCCGACGCGGTACCGGAAGAACGGGTGGTCGCATGCCTCCTTTGCTGTAATGCGTGCCCGCGGGTCGTACTGCAGCAGGCGGAAAAGCAGGTCGTGCAGGTTGGCATACATCGGGTTGGTCGCCGGATTGACTAGCTGGCTCAGCGACCGCATCGCGCGCAGCCCCTTCTGCGACTGGCGTGGCTGGTCGGGCGCTGGGTAGCGGGCGCTCATATCCGAGCGGAAGAACTTGGCGCGCAGATCATGCGGGACGCTGCGCACAATGTGAGCCGGCGCCTTGCCAACGACGACCTCCATCATGGCCAGATGTTCGTTGTTCTCATGTGTCTGGAACAGCGCCTCGCCGGTCAGCAGCTCGAGGATGATGCAGCCGATCGACCACATGTCGCACGGAAAAGACCAACCAAGATTGAGAATGATCTCGGGAGCGCGGTAGTGGCGAGTGGAGACGACCTGCGCATGGTACTCGTTGTTGAACGTCGCGCTGCCAAAGTCAATCAGCCGGATGTTAGTCGACTTGAGCATGTGCGTCTTGGCCGTTAGGTTGTTGCCGAACGGGACGACGTCAAACTCGCCGCTCTCAAGGAGGATATTCTCGGGCTTGAGGTCCGTGTGGACTAGATTCAGACTGTGCAAGAAGGCAACGCTGCGCAGCAGCTGCTCGGCGAAGAGCTGCACGTGGTGCAAAGAGAATGGCCGGAACTCATTCTCCTTCAAAAAGTCAAACACGCTGGGGCCCAACAGGTCGAAGAGCATACACACGTGGTTGCGGTGGTCAAAGGTCTCGTTAACGTGCATGCACTGGTAGAGGTTCGAAGGGTCGTTGCGCTGCAGCGTTTGCAGCACGCGGATTTCGACCTTGGCTGCATCGCGGTACTTGGGCACAGCGCGAATGACCTTGATTGCTACCAGGCGGCCGTTCGTGCCATCCTCACACTCCATGACCTTGCCAAACGTGCCTTGGCCCAGCAGCCGGCGGATCTTGAAGCGCTGCGTAAAGTCGCGCCCGGGAACCACAATGTAGTGCCCGTCGCGGTCATCGCAGGATGGCTCTGCCTTCTGCTGTGGACGCCGTAAAACAGAAGAAGAGAAAGTGTTAACATTTGCGTTGCGGTTTTTTACAGCGACAGATCGAGAGTTCATTTTCGATGACGAGAAGATGCGGCGCATTTGATTCGGTTGGTCATAAAATGAGTTGTTGTTCGAAGAGGGTTTCATAGTCGATTTGATGTTTTGTTTCGACAGAGTTCGGCGGTTATCGACAAATTGTTTGCGAGCGATGTTGTTCGACAATGGCAGCGGCAAGTCGGGTGTTGATCGGAATCGCGGCGGTTTGGAGCCAACAATATCATGGTGCGAGTCCATATGATTGTTGTTGCGCGATCGAAACAGCGAAGTGACAAACGACAGGACGGCGGACATTGTCGTTGATCAGAAGCAGACGCAGAAAAAGACGAAAAGCAACAAAGTGATAGGCGTGTTGTGTGTGTACAGAAGAGAGCAGAAGAGAGAAATAAAGTGAGAAGTCGTAAATTAGTGATTTGTGCTTTGTATCTTGCGCAAAGACAAGTGAGGCAAGAGAGGGGGAATCGGCAAAAAGTGCGAGCAATGAAAGCCAGATAGATAGATGTAGATGTGTGTGTAAAGGCCGTACAAGTCGAGTATTTAGACTTTTGCTAAGGCATATAAGCAAGAAAAAAGTGAGGTGTGGTGGGGCGCTCCTGTGCGGAAATAGCGCCCAAAATTACAAAAAACGGTTGCTGTCGCACAAGGCGCCAGTATAATCACCACATTCTCCAATTAGAACACGCACAAGCGAGTTGGTTGGGATGCAGTCAGCGCCAGGGAGAAGAGTAAATAAAGAACCTCTTATTTGTATTTGTACCACCCCCACATAGACAAGGAAAAACATTGGCTTGATTGCGCTGGGATGCGGCAAACAAAGAGCATCATTTGTTGGTCCAGGCAAATAAACAGCCCGTGAGATTAATCTCGGGTGCTACGTCTGAGGGGATAAGCAAGCGGGTGCTGCTTGGCTGGCGGTGTGGGATTTGAAAAAGTATAGCGGGCAAAATGTGTGTTTACGCCCAAAAAGGACATGCATAAACGTCGGGAATGCCAAACAAGAGGATAAAAAGAAGGCAAGGCAGCAAATGCCAGCTTGCTCGTGTTTTTTAGCCACAGACCAAGCGCATAATTCGAGCGATTTGACGTATAATTAATTATACTCTAAAACGGCGCATGTTTGTATGCGTGCGACGTCGCATTCATTGCAAAGCAGGCAAAGAAAAACAAACATATATACAAATACATACAAACATACAATGTTTGGCGAAAATCAAAACTTTGAATGTGGGGAGAGAGAGACAAGCGGGAAGCGAGCGCTTAATGATATGAGAAAATGGGGGAGGGGTGCAAAATGAATGAGGGGACATGCCATCTGAAATAGGCGCCAGCTGCCCCTAAAGGGCCTAGAACCATGAATGCCCAAATAAACCAAAACTCTCACCAAGCTCGCATTAACAATCAAAAGCTGATTTCTTACCTGCTGCTGTTGACGAGTACGTTGAGTTGTAGCGCGCCCGCGCGGCGCCCTCTGCACGGCGGGCTTGGCGGCGGGTGCGGGGCCTGCTGCCGATGCCACCACCAGTGCTGCTGCTGCGTTTTTCCTCCGCTTGGGTGCTGGCACCAGCTGCTGTTCTGCATTCTGCGTCTGCTGGGCTGCCGCTGCAAAAGAAGATGCAAGAGTGGGCACGTTAAGCTGGCTGGCTGCGACTGTGCTTGCATCGGCTGCAGCGACTGCCCGAGCTGCGTGGTAAAGCGCGGCCGACGACCACGGTCCACCCGTAGCCAGAGTCTGCTGTTGCTGCTGTTGCTGTTGCTGTTGCTGTTGGTGCTGCTGCTGAAACTGGCTGCGGTAGTCGACCATGTAATAGGGGTTGCTCTGGCCAGCCGCAACGGCATCCGCCATACCTGCATGAGCAGGGCCGCGGAACGCAAATCTGCCATTGGCGGGGGAAGCTGCCATTGCTGCCGCTGTGTCATGGATCGCGCTCGGTGTTAATGCCGCTATCTCGCCCAGCTGCTGTTTGTTTTCGAGTTTCAGTTGCTCCTGTTTCCTCCGAGCTGCATTCTGGGCAACAGATCTGGTCATGTACCGCGGCTGACTCTGCTGATAAGCCAGGGAGTCATACACGTGTGGCGTTGTCGATGTAGCTGCTGCTGTTTCCGCATTGCGCATTGAGGGAAGCGAAAGCTGCGAAAAGTTGTTTCCAATGGTGGAAAGTATGGAATTTGGGGCGGAGGCTGACGCTGCTGCTGCTATTGCGACATTCGGCGGCGAATCTACTGTAGCGGCAGATTTCGCTGCTCCATCTATTATATAAAATGCAAGTTATTACATTCGCAGGAAAAGGAAAAGGCCAAGCAGTAGTAACAAAAGCAAAAATAAAGAAAATGTATGTTTGGCTGCCAAAATTGGCATTTATCGTTTTTGCTAGCGCGTATATTCTCAATGCTACTTGGAATATTCGGCATGGAAGCTAGGGCAGCAAAAGCTGCCCCCACTATGCTACTTCATCTTCATTTGCTTATCCTCTCAACCCAGTACTTTTCTTTATCGGTCAAAAGCATTTGCGAATGAAAAGACAGCAGAAACAAAAACATACTCTTTCCAGCTCGAGTATTGCTTGCAAAGAAAATAAATATAAACGTATTGTCACTGTTAGATGACTTACCTATGTGTGACCGCTCGGTGAGCGACGGGTGCTGTGATGACGCATAATGGCTGATGGCAGCCGCCAACGAGTGTGTGGGATGTGTGCGCCCGCTGTAGTTGGCGCTGTCTGCTCCGACAGCCGTGGTGGGAGTTGTCGTGCTAGTGGCTGCCATGTGCTTCCGTTTGAGGTCCAACTCTGGCTCACTTGAGTCCCCGTGTATAACGATAACGTCGCTGGGCGACGCCAGGTGCGATGTCATCGGCGGTATCCGCTGCGAGTATGTGTGCCATGTGTGGAAGCCGGCGCCAGTCCTGTCGACTCCAGTGCCGGACATTTGCGGGCTGTGTATATGTGTGATTGTTGCTGCTGCGTGTTATTATCGTGTGAAGCGGTGCGCTTGCTAAACAGATCCTACAACATGCGCCCGGGCGAATAAAGGAGAAGAGAAAGAGCGATATTGATTTGAGAAACAAATAGGAGAAGAAAAGCGCAAAAGGGCCTCAGTGCTCGGCAATACGAAAAAGAATAAAGGGAATGGAACCCTGCGGGGGGTGTATGTGTATGTGTATGTGGTTGCAGAGAAAAAGAGTGAGAAGCAGGCAAGATTGGCGGAAGAAAAGCAGAGAGACAGGCGCAACGAAAAGGAAAAAATAATCGAAGGACAGTAAAGAATCCAAAGAGCAGCAGGCTGCTCAAGCTGCATACTCGGTGCCGTGGGAGGACAGTGTGAAAAAGCACAGGTATTGAAAAGAGGGGGAGAGGTAGGGCCAATATTATCGTACTTTTTTACACTTCAGTTTCAATTCCAGCTTTGCTTTGCTGTTATGAAAATGTGCCGCTACAATACAAGCGTAAGACGACAGTGGGTGTGTTATGTGTATATGTGCGGGTTGGAGCGCGGGTTGGGACGCAGAGGCAAATGAGAAGATATGAAAATACAAAAAAAGCGTGTGGGATGTATGTGAAAAAAGCGGGGCGAGACGGCAAATGTCGACAAAATATGCGTGCAGTATATTTGAGATGAAAAAAGAGGGGGAGTGAAATGAAAGCGCGCACAAAGGCATGTTTTCCCGCAAAGAGTGAGAAATTCGCAGTCGACTGTGACCGCGCAACTGCTGGCTGCTGGCTGTTTATTCACTACTGCTAGAGTTGGCATACTTTATGTGTGCGCTCTTTTGTGGTTTGGTGCTGGCCACACAGAGGTTGCAAAAGTCAAGCCTAAGCCTTCTTTTTCTGTTTCGCTGCCAAGGAGCAAAAATGCTCGTAGCAGAAAAGAGAAAATGCTTGCACATTTTGATGCAATAGCGTGCGGGAAAGAGCAAAATGTCGCTTGAAGGAGGTAAAACGTGAGCACATGCGCACATGAACCGTCATGCTTCGCTTCATGTACGACGCTCAAAGAAAGAGCGCCCAAATAAAAAATATGAGAAAAGATGTTGTGCGCACCCAAGCTATCAATAATCTTGCCTTGTCCAAAGTTGGCTGTGCGCGCAAGCAATATTAGAGGAGGCATGACAAAGACAAGGACAAGGATAAGGACAATGTCAATGTCAAGGTCAGCACAGGCAAAAGCGGGCAAGGCACGCAAGGCGGTTGGATATCAAGAGATTTGAGGCAAAGCCCAACAAAAAACAAGGCAACAATCATTGAAGGGCGAAGTGATACAACAACGGGCATTCGTGCATCGTGTCCACCTGCAATTGCATCCGTTGAGACAGACAGACAAAATAGAACGCGGATGGGAACGTGATGCTGATATAAAAAAGTTGCGAGTCGAAGAAAAATTGGGAAATTGGAAGATACATGGAGGCAGCAAATAAGCGGATACGACTGCTCGTGAAAGGAACAGAATTGGGATGCTTACCGAAAATGTGATCCGAGAGAAAAAAAATAAAACCAAAGCGAGCAAAAGGCGCAGAGAGTATCTTGGCTGAGCTGGTATTATACAGGCTGACCGAGTGACTGATGCGGGTGGGGATGGATTTTCCTGCCAGAGAAAAATTCAGAAAGAGAATAGGTGCGCAATAGAGAGAAAATGGCCTCGCAATTAGGAAATGCGCAAGCACCGGTCTCGCAAAAGATAGAGTGGCAGAGGGCACAGTTGTGCGTATATGCTATTGCTGCGTCTGCGGTAAGTATTCGTGCGCTGCGTGGGTCTGTATGTGCCTGACGCCGTCACGCTATTGCTGTATCCTTGCTTCTCGTGCAATCGCTGCGAATAAGTGCAAATATGACTGAGAAATCGCAATAAAAACGAGCTGTTGCTGCTGGTGATGATGATATTGTCCGCGTGTCTGTCTAGCTGGCAGTGCGCGTACTCTTCTTTGTAGTTTGTGTTTGAGTTGCTGCTGCTGCTGCTGATGCGTTCGTTAATGCCTATGAGAGTTGTAAGATAAAAATGTGGAGTGAAAAAAGTATGCAAGCAAAAGTTTTGACTTTAGTATGTGCGAACAGATGGGTTCCTTGAGCAAAATAAAACAGCCTCCTTGAGATATTCTAAAGCTGGGCGCGACAGCAAGTGAAAAAACATGCTTTATTTTTTTGGGCACCAAGCACCGAGCATCACTAAATGAAGGATGAGCGAATGCAGCATAGCATATATTTGCTGGTGGCCAACAAAAAAAAGAGAAAAGGCACGAGGACCATACAAACAGCCGGGAAATAAATGCTGAATGCTAGCCGCGCTAACAATAGGAACCCCGACGCCGCAATGCATGAGCGTCTTTAAACATGTCTTTAAGAAAAAATAGAGTGCTCTGCTAACGCTTTCGTATTTTTGCATGCTGCGTATTGCGTGGTGCTGCTGCTGTTGTTGTGAGAAGGCAGAGATATAAACATATATCGGCGATAGCATCAACTCAGCTTTGATGCCAACATATTTCCAAAGGTTTTTTGTTCGAGGGGCTAGGGAAAAAAGTTGCAACTTACACTGTAAATGTATTTTTGCAAGACTGGTTCTTAATTCTAAGAGCAAAGGAATTCCGTCGTCTGCGAATGCGAATGTGAATTCGGAGCCGCCCTTATTTGTTCGTTTTATGTAAACGCACGCCGCTTGCGAGTTTAATAATAATAAGAAAGAGAAAGATAGGGCAAAGGGGCAAAAACACTTGAGGCTGAGCGTATAAAGTGTGTCCAATTGAAAACTAGCGACCGACTGACCGAGTGAGTGAGCGACCGATATGTGAAATTAGTAGAGAATATTCATGTAACAAAAGAAAAAAGAAGCAGAGAGAGAAAAAAAAGTTGGATGGACGAGCCAGACCAAAAAGAGGTGTAGTTTTTGTGAGTTTGGGTAAACAGGAGAAAAAGTAATAAAGTACAGCAAGGACCGTATGCAAGAAAGAGAGAGAAAAACCAAGGGGAAAAAATGAGAAGCATAAAAAAAGGCGCATGCAAAAAGGTGTTCTTGCGGCTGCCTGCTATTTTCTTCGAGTGGCATTCAAGCATACATACAGGACGAGTAAAATAGCAGTTAAGGCTGGCAAAAAAAGAAAAAAGCTCTCGCAGAAATACTTTTGATTGCGGGTAAAGCGACACAACAGGCATAAAGTATCTGAAACGCTTGACGAATAGAAAGAGAAGAGGGGGGCTGTCTTTGCAGACACTGGCTCCCGCTTTTCTTTTACATCGCTCCTATCCTCCCCCTCTTCTTTTGAAAAGAGTGTGGAGACTTTGCGCTTTTCTGTGCTTATTCTTCCACTCTTTCCTCCCCCCAGCCAGTTGGCAAGCTGCTGTTTTGTTTCGCTTGCCTTTTCATTTTCATATGCGTGCCTTGCTTGCTTTTTGGTGGTTAGTCCGTCAGTAAGAGCAGCCAAGCACCGACAATGATGCATCCATCTAGTGAGCCTTGAGAACGCGCCATGAACACAGTGGGCATGGGCAGGCGGGAGAGAAGGGGAGGCTCTCCTGCCTGGGGGGTTGATTCGTGCAAGACTTTAAAAATCGGAAAATAATATTCGCGCTTTGGCAGCTTCATTCTGGCAGCCGTTAATCCCAAACAGGCGATTTGGCCGCGCGCTTGTCTATTATATTTCCCCCCTTCCTTTTGGCACTCGTGAAGGCTTGCAAAAAACCCAACACCCGTTCGCTTTATTTTTTTGACGCGGATAAAAAGGGGGGGAAAAGTAATAAAAGTGTGCGTGACTTTCAAGAGCGGCAAAGACCCAAAAAGCAAACCCCCAAAAGTGAGGACAAAGTCCAGGTTGTCTTTCCAGCTCGAAGACGACAGCAAAATGAGAAAAACCAAGGCGAAGCAGCGAGATATTTCGATTATCTTGTGACACAGCAACCCAGGCATGGGATCTGAGCGACACTGAAAGCTGCTTGTGTTCAAAGAGCGCCCCTTTTTCCGCTCGGGAGCCTTTTGCATGGTCAAAAGGAAAAGGAAATGAGCGACATTGTTAATTGCACATATCGCCTTTCTGTCGCAAGCATTTTTTGGGAGTTTATTTGGCCTGCGCTTCTTGCAACATAGCTCTTTTCGTTGCGCCTATTGTGCCAGAACAAAGGGGAGGGGAGGTCACTGAGCAAAGAGGCCAGCAGCCTCCGGTCCCCTTCCATTCTTCAATTATTCGATTATTCGATTATTCCATGTTTCAAGCCAATCAGCCCGAATGCATCTCCCGCGCCGAGCCCAATGTATTGCATCCATTGTCCCATTGCGCAAGAAGCCGCCAACCTGATCCCATTTTTTGCAATGGTCGAGGGAGAAAACATACCACAGAACGTGGAGTATGTTGGAGGATATAAAGTCGTAGCAATGTGAGCGCGGAGAGACGCACCCACACGTGCAACACGGTAATTTTGTTTTTAAAATGAGACAACGCCACTTTTTGGCCACTGCGTTCTTTTTTTGGCATTCCCTCCTTTTTGAGCACACCCTCTGCAGAGCATTGTAAGCCGCAGCTGCCGCTCTCTGGCCCTGCTTTTTTGTTGTGCAGTCATGGATATTAATAGTATCTAGTTTTGTGTTGCATATTACTTGTGCTGAAAATCCGTCGCTCTTGCTTCGACAAAATGCCTTGTCTGCCACTCTTTTCAACAACCCCTTGCATTAATCAGAAAGTCTGATTCGCATTGAAATTAAAACCCCTCACTGAATCTGAGCAGTAAAAAGTGCCAGAACCAACAACAAATTCTAAAAACCAAATGAAAGTGAAACACAAAAAGGCGGGAAAATAAAGAGTGTTTTTTTAAAATGTTATTATTATTTTTTGTCAATGTCCCAATGCAAAGAGATGCAAAATGTTCCGCCCGCACGCACATCAGCTCGGCCTTGAGCTCAGCTCCGCTTTAGGATCAGCCCCGCCGTGTCATCAGTACCGCTTTGGCGCAATTCTCATAAACATGACCATTATGAAAAACACCGAGACCACAACTAGGACCATCATCCAGGTCATCCCGGTCGTGCCCCATGAGCGCTTGCGGTACTTATCTAGGCGACTGCCATGGGCATTCATATGTGTCACGTTGCCCCCCAGGATCTCGGATGCCTCGTCCACAACCGTCTTGTCCTTTTCAATAAGGTCGCCGAACGCGAGTGTGTTCTTCTTCAGGATCGATGCCATTTTCACCAGGTCGGAAGACAAGTCGTCTTGTGTGGCGCGCTGTGACTTGAGCAGTCGTTCGACGCCCTCGACACTGTCCGGAACCACACTACAATAAAATATGTCAGATTTTTAGTGCAACCATTTTTGTTCAAAGCATGTATGGCATTCAATGGAATTTGTTTTGTCAATGTTATTATCTTTTACTGCACGAGCAAACTTACCCACGGCGTCGCAATCCGTCCATCTCTCCGAGCAGCTCTACAATATCAAATATGGAAAAAAAAACATAGATTCAAACTAACTCTACTTAATCAGCACTTTGCATACATCGCAATGCCAAAAACAACCAAGCTCATTCAAATTAGTGCGCAGCACTCACCTGCTCTCTGGTCTGCAAAGTTCGCCTGCCGCTGGTCTGTCGACGGTAATGCTGGCAGCAGCGGGGACGACGACAACGAGGCTGATACCTGCTTAGGTGCAACAATCTCGCGAGCATTACTTTCGTCGTTGCGATCAGCTGAAAGCAATCTATGCTGCGCCTGCTCTTTGGAAACCTCGATATCCTCTTCAACCGCGGGCTTGACGTCCAGCGACCGTAGAAGTGCATTCTTTTTGTCCACCCATGGCCGAATCCGCCTGCTGATATCCACCACACGGCTCTGATATGCATCAAGCTGATCTGATTTGGTATTGTCGTATTCGGCTAGTATATGCTCAATGTTTGTCAGTCGCCGAACCTGAGTCGAATCCAGCGGCTCTGCGAACATGCCTTCCTTCAATTGCTTTTCGCACGCGGCTAGGCTTCGCGCAAAGCGTGCCGCCTCATCTGCATGTGTAATGTTGGCACCAGGCATTGATAATAACAATGTTTTGTTTTGTGCTCGTAGCCAATTTGAGAAAAAAATAAGGTAACGAAAGAACAAAAAGTAAAAGCTGCTTTAGCCGCATAAGATTGTTTCAAAAAACATTTCGCTCATTTATCGCTGACAACACACAAAACCCGGCTGTGGGAGAACGTCACAAGATGCAGTGGTTTGATTTGATTTGATTTGATCACATCTTTAAAATGCGTGGTCCACAGCTTCCGAACGTCGCCAGGTCGCTGTAGTACGCTGTAATCGCTTTGAAGAAATTACCCGTGTAGTTCATCTCAATGTCGCAAGGAACCCCTGGAAAAAGATCAGCCAGCTGTCTGGGGTCGCAGTTGCGGGGCATAAAGTAGGCAATGTTGCTGGAGACCATGCGTGCTCGGTCCACCCACTCTTGCCCGCTATGGAACGGCATATGCTTCAAGTCGTACACTTCCGATCCAAGGTATTCTGGACCGCCCCATGGCGGGCTCATAAACACGACGTCAGCCACAAGTGACGGCGCCAGCTCGTAAAAGTCTCCCAAAATAAACTCGATACGGTCGCTGACGCCGTAAACCTCGGCATTGTGCTGCGCCATGGCCAGCCGCACGGGATCAATGTCGATGGCAATGACGTGCTCACACCACTCGGCAAACTTTATCGCATTGCCTCCTACGCCACAAAAGGCATCGATTACGCAAAACCGCCCATACAATTCCTCGCCCTTCTTCGTTTTAAACTCGGTATTCCGATTGAACAGCTGCGATATGCGCTGTGCTGTATCCTCAGCAATGACCTCGGGCGTGACAGAATACCAGCCCTCCTCGTCGATCTGGATCCCCTCGTCGAAGCGGTTGAAGAATGAATACCGGTTATTCCAGTACTTTTTCAGTTCAATTGGCAGCTTCTGGCCCTGTGTTGTTGTGAAGTATTTGGCATTGCTATTTTTCCTGCCTGCTGATGTTGCTGTTGTTGTTTTGATTGGGGTATTGTGCCTGGTCCGTTTCGCCAATGTCTCTGCGTCCTCTGCGTCTAGTGACTGGCGCTGTCTCCGCTTGGGCATCGTCTATGTGATAATAAATATAGATATGTGTGTATTAATGTAAGCGAGAAGGGTATAAATACAAGGCAGGTTGAAAAAAACAAGAAAAAAGTGTGTGGCGAATGGCACGCGAACTCATATTTGGTTTTAAGCTCGAAAAATTATTTTTCATTTTTTATTTTAAGTATCAACTCGCCAGGTCTTTGTCTCCCAGAATACATCATTCGACTCACCGAGCCGACGAGCCGACTGTATTATTACTGAAATCGTTTGGTTTGTGCCAAAGATCAAAAAGGTGGCATTGCATTTCCTCCTCTTCTCTTCAAAATCGCTTCATTCCCATTTATTTATTTTTATTATTTTAATTGTCATTTGCGCTTGCTGTTCATTTCGCTCGCAGGCCCAGCCAAATTTTACACACCCAGCCAAATATTACACAGAATCTATATGGATTCGCAGACAAACAGCAAACAACAAATGAGTACCCCCACTCTTATCGGACTCGGCGTGGTCGGCGCAGCAGTCTGCGGGATCGCACTAAAGACATTGTCCCGCGGAAAGGCGTCCAGGCCAGTGCTCAAGGGAGTCACCACAGTGCCCAAGCACTTTTTGAAAGGCGGATTTGATTCCAAGATGAGCAAGCGCGAGGCATCGCTAATCCTGGGCCTCAAGGAGAGCTCGCTGACATTGGAGAGAGTCAAGAAGGCGCACCGCACAATCATGCTGAGCAACCACCCTGATCGCGGAGGCTCACCGTATCTGGCGACAAAGGTCAATGAGGCCAAGGAGTTCCTTGAGACAAAGGCGCGTATCCGGTAGTCGCGCGGTTGTACTTTTTTGGTCTCTATTATTTTTGTTTTCCCGGCCAGTATCGTTTGCTGAATTGCGCGTGTACTTCAGTAGACGGGGCTGGTTGACACAATAAAAACGTTTTTTGTTTCCTGTGATTTTAGAGATGGCATTATCAACAAGAAATATGCTTCTTTGGTTATAAAAGGAGGGAACAATGCTCGGGTATTAATTTTGTTTGCTTGTTGCTTCACTACTGCGTCAATTAGATTTTGCGTGTTGATTGTGCCGCTACTGCCAACTCAGTTGTTGAGTCAGACTTTGAGCGAATACAAGCGCAATGCGAGCTAAATTATCGGCCATTATTGTAAAAAAATATCAAAGCGTCATGTTTTGCGCTTGCTATATGGCAGTAATCCCCTTTGCTCGGGCACATTTTTATCCTAGCAGTTCGAGCGCGCTTACTCACTGCCAGAGTGATTGAGTTGTTGAAATGCTGATCTGAAATCACAGCGCTTATCGGATGGAAGCATTTTTTAGTTTAAAGACTCGGAACCCTCATTGTGTTGTTTGTATCCCAAAGCTTGCAGGAACCGGTTATGTGTTTATTGACATTTATTTACAAAGAACAAGAAGCAAAGAAAAGTCAAGCCATATATGCAGAAACAGAATGCGGAGTTTTCTGTTGTCGCATTGCTTCCGATTTGATTGCTGCAATACGCACTTTAGCTAAACTGAACTTGAATTAATTACATCATATTTCGAGTGCGCAACACAATGTATTTCTAAAAATAATTTGAATATATATATGTATTGCGATGCGTGTCGCTTCTTTGCGCAATATTCGGGCACATAAGAAATCCGTGATTTAAAATTGGTGTTTGTTTACTTTTCTCCTTGCAAATAAGCACGCAATTTTATAGGCAACCTCAATTCCAATTCCAATTCCAGCACAATGTTCATGGAGCTAACGGGGTGTGTTTGTTTGCCTTTCGGTGTTGCATCTGGGAAATGAAACACACTTTAAAGCGAATTCATTTGCCGGATGGTTTTACATTTGTTTTCATTAAAAAATGCTAACATTTTGGTATGTTTAATTTTCTACTGCCAGCCATGTCTGTCTGTTTGTCTAAACAAACTCTACTGCTATTCATGTTGGTCTACTGGCACTTTGCCGTGTTTGATTCATTCTTTAGCCAGTGCCACCCTTCATTTTTTGCACGGCTATTAATTGTATGAGAAAAGTTGCCATTTTCACTGCAGGCTGAATTTAATATTTAATTGCACCCATTTTCATCCTTGCATCGAGAATGTTGCAAACATTTCTTGCTTACCTGAGACTGTCTCTTCCTCCCTGCAAAGACCATATCTGAGAAGCAAAATTGAAGATTCTTTGCCATCTTTTTTGCTTCACTTCAATTTTTTCTTCAATTTTCCAATTTTCAATTATTATCGTTCCATTATTTCGCTATTTCGCTATTTTTATCTTTTTTGTTATTTGTTGTCATTTGCCAGTGCTGACGCTGCGCTGTTTTCCGTTCTTTTTATACATTATTATTTATTTTCCGACTTCCTTTTTTTGGATTATTATTTTTGGGCTTCTGAGAATTGCATAAAGACCAGTCAGTGGGTGCAAGCACAATAACAAAAGCGTAAACAACAACAAAGCCTCTTTCAATAGTCTTTTAAAACTAAATAGCATTGGGCGCGGCAATACGGCTTGTTCAGCCACTTTTTAATTATCCTGTTATTGTTATTATCCTAAGTCTGCTTGAATGCAATAATTGGGGTGCGTGGCTGTGTCTGTCTCCAAAGTCTCTCCTCTCTCTTTCTTTCATCCTTTCATTCCTTTTCTTTTGACACCCTAGTCTGGCCAAACGCATGTACACCCTTTTCTCCACCTTATAATTACATTAACCTTGTTCGCCCCATTCGTTTAAAATAATACTCAACTTTGACCATTTAGGGTATCTCGGGCCATTTTATTTAGCTTTTTATTTATTTATTTATTTTTGGAGTGGTCTGACCCTTTATTTAGCCATATTGGCAACTTAAAACACAAAAGCGATAGGATCTGCCTTTGAAAGGACGCATTTTCTCTGCAAGTGTTGTAAACATTCATCCTTTCCCCACGCACAACCGTACATCTCAGAAAAAGGTCCATCCTCCCTTTTTCAATTTTCTCTCAATTTTCTCTTTCATTCCGATTCTATTCAAGACTTTGGTCCCTCTTTCTTTCTTTCTTTCTTTCTTCTCTGTTTAGTTTTTAAACTAGATTGTACTTTTTTTGTCTTTTACGGCTTTTTATCTTTTTTTATTTATTTATTTATCGTCCCTTTTTCTTTCTTTCTCTCTTTTTAGCTTTAATTTTTTATTATTCACGCGCATCTTTTCGTCTCCTTATTATTCTTATTAAAAACAACTCACCACCACCACCATTACCACATATTAGTCTTGAACAACATCAAATAGCGCGTCTTGTTGGACGCTACGAAAAATCTTGCCTTGCATACATACATACATTTTATTGCACTTAATCTATTTATATTATATACTTGGAAAGAGCCTGAGTGTGCTTGGGCCTGAGCTCTTTTCACTTAAACAAACAAGCACAACACCTCGCTTTTCTATTTCTCAGACCCCAAAAAAAATCGTATAGTGCCAAAATGCTGAATCGTAGGGCGCGCGATAGCACGGTGCTTCCAACAATGAAGTGCGCACAGTGCAACCAGGACGTGCATATCCGGCTAATCGGCGAGCATGACTGTTCGTCCAAGCCACCGATGCCCGCGATGCCGCCGCCACCGCTGAAGGACCGGGGGCTTAGTTCATTTTTCCGAGGCTCCAAGCCCGAACCCCCATCACCACAATCACCACAATCACCGGCAGCGCGACAGCAGCCACTATCCATTGACCGTAAAAACATCGAAAGCCAGGCGTTCCCCAATGCGTACAAACCGTCCCTAAAGTTCCTCTCAGAGGATACGGACGGCAGCAAGGATTTTGATTTCGACAGTATGCTGCAGAATGCGGCGTCGTATAAGGGTAGCGGGGTGGTGAGCAACGAGAGCCTGTACGATGTGGTGTCACCAGAAAGCCGGCGGTTGCCGCCGCAGTATGCGCAAAGCAACAGTAGCGCGTCACTGGACTCGTTGGCGGCCGGGTTCAGCCCAATGGAAGTCTCGCGCTCGCTCGCGCAGCCTATGCATATTGGCAATGGCACCGGCAGGGCCGAGGACAGTAGGGGGGTGCGGCTGGAGAAGGCGCGCGACGAGCTGCGCCATGGAGGGCCCAGCGGATATTCGGCACAGTCCGGGTTCGCACACGCCAATATGGCTACGAAGCAAAACAAGCTGATGCAGAAAATGGCCGGAAACGACAATTCATTTGGGGGCTCTCCTGCAGCGGCTGGCCGCGTGTCGCCGCCGGTGGCGTCCGGCGGAAAGCGGATGCCGACGTTTTCGCCATCTGAGTCCGAGCCGGGCTTTTCACTGTCCGGCGGCCCGTCGCCGTCGATGCCCCTGCACGCTGCTTCACCGATGCCCGCGCCGGTGGCTGCTCCTTCTGCTGCTCACCACCCGCCCCCACTGTGGAAAAACAAAAACACTCTTGTGCGGCTGCAGCCAACACAGCCCCAGCCCCAGCCCCAGCCCCAGCCTCAGCAACACCAGAGCCAGCCGCATAGACAGCAGCAGCCGGCTGCAGCTAGCAACAGGGAGCACAGAAAGACCGGCTCATCGACCAACTCGAACTCTAGCGAGGAGGGCCGCGATGCACGCGAGGGTGGGCTGTCCATCGGCAGCATGATGAAGTCGCATCCGACCAAGGTGCGCAGCATCCCGGTATCCCCCACTGGCCAGTTGCGGGCGGATGGCCAGGCGAAGGGCACCGGCTCGCCACCGGCCACCCCGGTCGACACGCAGATCTGCATTTCGTCGCGCAAAACACCGGTGCCGCGGTCGTTCAGCGCATCGGCGTCGCCCACACCCACCCACGTGGCTGGGTTCGCGGCCGCAGACATGGCGAGCCCCGAGCGCAAGGCGCTATCGTCACTGAGCGGCGGCAGCGCGGCGGCATCGTGGGACGAAAAAGCGGCCGAGGCCTCCAACCCGCTGGACGTGCTGGCGTTGCTGGTCGGGCCGACACACGGCCGCAAGCAGTCGCTGGTATCTGGGCTGCCGCAGATCAACACGCAGATTGGCGGGCACGTGCGCGCAGCCAGCCACAATGTAGGGCCTAGCCCGGCGCTGGGGGCCAGTGCAACGCGAGTGCCGAGCCTGCAGAAGGGCGCGGGCGTGGGCGCGCGCGGGCTCAAGTCGGCCAAGCTGGACTCACTGCTGGACGACCTTATGGGCGAGATGCAGGTGCTCAGCGCCGAGGTGCGCAACGAGTCAGACCGCGACAGCATAACCAGCTCGGCCAGCAACACGTCGCCGGTGGACGCCGTGCGGCGTGGGCGCTTTGACAGCATGGCGAGCACAGCCAGCACCGGCAGCGCGCACAGGCGTCTGGGCTGCGCAACCTGCGGGACCGCCGTTTCCCAAGCCAAGGGCGCTCTGGTGCAGGCGGCGCGGATCCCGCAGTCCGGCGACCTGCCGGCAGGCATCCAGGGCGTTGAGCACCAGGGCCGCATCTACTGCGTGCGCGATTATCGCCGAATGTTCCCGCTTGTGTGCCCGTCGTGCTCGCTGCCGTGCGAAGCATCCAAGGACGTGTCCGTGCATGCGCTGGACGCCTGGTGGCACCGCGCGTGCTTTAACTGCCAGGAGTGCCGCCAGCCGTTCCCCGATAAGTCGTTCTACGTGTTTGAGCAGCGGCCGTACTGCCGCTACGACTACCACAAGCTGAACAACTCGCTGTGCGGGTCGTGCAAGAACCCCATCGAGGGGCCCTGCGCCCAAGTGTACGAGGGCAGGTTCCATCCGGCCTGCTTCGCCTGCAGCTACTGCAGCGAGCCGCTGCGCGACGTTTACTACAGCCTGGAGGGCAAGTTCTTGTGCGAGAATCATGTGCATCACCAGAAGTCGCACAAGAACGCCAACAAGCGCAGGACCGTGTTTGGCAACATCTGAGCAGGACCGTGTCTGGGGCAAGATCTGAGCAGGAGGCAGCCAGTGGGCTGTTTTTTATCCTTTGTTTGTTTTGCCAAAAATATCATTTACTCACTTGAGACACAGGTCATGTCGGCCCAGCAGTGTGTTGGTATTGTTTGAGGGTAAATAGATGTAGCAGATGGCAGTTACATTTGAATAGCGTGAGCGTTTAAGGCTGTTCTGGGTTACTGCTTTTCGTAGAGGGGGGATTTGTGTTTTTTGTGTCTTGTTGATATGCAAAATGTATGTGTTTTTCCATTTTCCATTTTGCCTTTGCTCTTTTGGAAATTCAATCGGAAAACTGCATAGTGATTGATGGGTTGCTTGATTAATTAAGCGATTGCGACTAAAGTAAACATTCCAACCAAGAAAGAGAGAGGGAAAAAATAACAAACAAGGACAAGAGCAAGAGACACTGTGCATCAAGAACTTGTAGAAAAAATTTATTTCTAGTCTAGGTCTTCTTTTCTTTGTTTCTGTACTCTATTCTTGCTTGGCTATTCCACACTTCTTTAATTTATCTTTAAATCCCGTACATTCCGCACATTCCGCCCGCCCCAGCTCGCAGCCAGCAACAAAAAAAGAAGCAAAAACCACATTCACAGCCAAAAACAATGGTAGGCTTCAAACACTGCGGATGATCATAGTTGAATGGCGGCCCGCTGCCTGTATGCTGGCCGCTCACTGCCTGTATGCTGGCCGCTCACTGCCTGTATGCTGCTCGCCCACTGTCTGTATGCTTATTTATTCCCCACTTCCTACATGCTCATTTAATCCCCATTGCCTTTGTGTCTTATACTTTATAATTGTTTATTCCACACCAGTAGAGCAACAGGCGCAACCGCAAGAGGCAGGCCGAGACACTGTCCGACAACGAAGACGCCGCGCAGCCGGCGACGCCCGGTGGCGGATGAACTTTCCGCCGAGCTCGCCAGGGCGCATAGGCATGGACGGGCCGCTGCCGCCGTCCAGTCCGCCGGCGTCGTCGCCGTTCATGGGATATTCGCGGTATGGCGACGGCGACGACGACGACGACGAGATCGACGGCCTGGACGACGACCTGCCCGAGCGGCTCGAGGACGCCGAGCTGCGCGACGACGAGGGCGAGATGCTGGCGCTGGAAGAGGACGACGACGGCGAGGACCTGTTCGGGCCCGGCATGGAGAGCGACTACCGGCACAACGCGCAGCTGGACCGCTATGACGCCGACATGCTGGACGACACCGACTTTGGGTCGATGGACCCGGCCGAGCGCGCGCGCATCGAGGCGCGGCTGCGGCGGCGCGACTTTGAGGAGGGCCGTGGGCAGCCCAAGTCGCGCATTCCACTGGCGTTCATGCAGGACTTTGAGGACGCCGACGACGCGCGGTTTTCGCGCAGCGGGCGGCGCGCGGCCGGCGGGGTGGCGAGCAAGCACGCGCACCTGCTGGACATGGCGCAGACGGCGGGCGACGAGGAGCGCGCGCTGACCATGGACGACCTCAAGGACATGAAGGGCCGGTCGGTGGCCGCGTGGGTCAGCGAGGCTGGGCCGCGCCAGACCATTGCGCGCGAGTTCCGGCGCTTCCTGCTGTCGTACGTCGACGACGTCGGCGCGTCGGTCTACGGCGAGCGCATCCGGCGGCTGGGCGCAGCCAACGGCGAGAGCCTGGAGCTGACGTACGCGCACCTGGCGCGCGCGCGGCCGCTGCTGGCGTACTTTTTGGCCAACGCGCCACGCGAGATGCTGAGCATCATGGATGACGTGGCCATGGACGCCGTGCTGACGATGTTCCCCGACTATGCGCGCATCCGCTCCGAGATCCACGTGCGCGTGGCCGAGCTACCAACCACCTGCTCGCTGCGCGACCTGCGGCAGGCGCAGCTCAACAGCCTGGTACGCATCAGCGGCGTCGTCAGCCGCCGTACCGGTGTTTTCCCGCAGCTCAAGTACGTCAAGTTCGACTGCGGCAAGTGCGGCGCCGTGCTGGGCCCGTTCTACCAGGACGCGCAGAACGAGGTGCGCATCCATATGTGCGTCAACTGCCAGGCGCGCGGCCCGTTCTCGCTCAACTCCGAGCAGACCGTCTACCGCAACTACCAGCGGCTGACGCTGCAGGAGACGCCCGGGTCGGTGCCGCCGGGCCGGCTGCCGCGCCACCGCGAGGTCATCCTGCTGTGGGACCTGATCGACTGCGCCAAGCCCGGCGAGGAGATCGAAGTCACCGGCGTCTACGCCCACACCATGGACGCGGCGCTCAACAGCCGCCAGGGATTCCCGGTCTTCAGCACTGTCATCGAGGCCAACCACGTGTCGAAGCGCGCCGACGAGTTTGCGGCCGTGCGGCTGACCGAGGAGGACCGGCGGCTGATCCGCGGGCTTGCGCGCGACGACGCCGTTGGCAAGCGTGTCATCCGGTCGATCGCGCCGTCGATCTACGGCCATGAGCAGATCAAGACGGCGCTGGCGCTGGCGCTTTCAGCGGCGTTGCCAAGGATATCGGCGGCAAGCTGCGCACGCGCGGCGACATCAACGTGCTGCTGCTGGGCGACCCGGGAACGGCCAAGTCGCAGTTCCTCAAGTACGTCGAGGGCACGGCGCACCGCGCGGTGTTCACGACCGGCCAGGGCGCCAGCGCTGTCGGTCTGACCGCCAGCGTGCGCAAGGACCCGGTGACGCGCGAGTGGACGCTGGAGGGCGGGGCGCTGGTGCTGGCCGACCGCGGCGTGTGCCTGATCGATGAGTTTGACAAGATGAACGATGCCGACCGCACGTCGATCCACGAGGCCATGGAGCAGCAGAGCATTTCGATTTCCAAGGCCGGCATCGTCACGTCGCTGCAGGCGCGCTGCTCAGTCATTGCCGCCGCCAACCCCATCGGCGGCCGCTACCGCCCGGCGCTGCCGTTCTCACAGAACGTCGAGCTGACCGAGCCGATCCTGTCGCGGTTCGACGTTCTGTGCGTGGTGCGCGACGAGGTCGACCCGGTCATGGACGAGATGCTCGGCCGCTTTGTCGTGCAGAGCCACACACGGTCGCACCCGCTGTTCCAGCAACAGCGGCAGCAGCCGGGCGGCGCCGACGAGCCGCAGCCGCAGTCGGACGCCGACATGGACGTGATCCCGCAGGACCTGCTGCGCAAGTACATTATGTATGCGCGCGAGAACGTGCAGCCGCGGATGTCCGAGCGGTACTCTGACAAGGTCGCGCACCTGTACGGCGAGCTGCGGCGCGAGTCGCTGGCCACCGGCAGCGTGCCGATCACCGTGCGCCACATCGAGTCGATGGTGCGGCTGGCCGAGGCGCACGCACGCATGCACCTGCGCGACTACGTGCGCAACGACGACATTGAGGTGGCCATTCGCGTGGCGCTCGAGGGCTTCATCTCGGCGCAGAAGCACTCGGTCATGCGCAATCTGCGTCGCAAGTTTAACAAGTACCTATACACGCGCCGCGACCACTTTGAGCTGCTGTATTACTTGCTTGGAAAGCTCGTGCAGGAGCGCTTGACCTTTTACGCTCTCAGGTTTGGTGGGAATATCCCGGAGCGGGTGGAGATTTCAAAGCCCGAGTTTGAGTCGCAGGCTGCGTCCTTTGGCGTCAATGACTGCGCTGCCTTTTATACGTCACCGCTGTTTGTGCAACAGATGTTCTCCATTGACGCCGCGCGCGCGGTATTGTCAAGACGTTGTCGCCGGCATAGTCGGGCTTTTGGCGACTGGAGGGATCCAATTAATATCTTTTTACTATTTCAATATCATCAATATCATCAATTCTTTAATTCTTCATATGCTGCAGCTTGTGGATTTTCAACAATATTTGCAGGCTTGATTTTGATTTCGTGATCGGATTGATTTTAACCTTGCTCAGCGAAGAAAAAACGTAAAAAAAAATTGGATCATGCATAGAAAATAACTATGAGGAAGAAAAAAAAAACCGTAGTACTTGCAAACGCCCCTCTTAAAACATAACAATATTTGTCTCTCTGCTTCCACTGTGCTTAGTATATTCTTTTTTTATATTTCTACCCCTTTTTATACACATTAAACCACCTTTTTTTCCTCATACACCAGAAACAATGGGTCGTATTTCAAGGAACAAGCAAGCTGGGCCGTTGCCTCTTGAGAAGGAGATGGTTACCGGTAAGGTGACCAAGGCTCTGCACGATCAGCTCAAGCACGAGAATACCCGCTCTCGCAAGCAAAAGGAAGCCGCACAGAAGCAAAAGAAGGCTACTTCCAGTGGAAGAACCCCCGCTGCCGCCGCCGCCAAACCTGCTGTTGCTGCTGCTGCTGCTGCTCCCGCGTTCAATGGACGTAACGGTAAGCGCACCATTGCCGCCGAAAAGCCCTCTGCCGACACGAAGAACAAGCGCACCAAGGTTGCTGTTGTACAAAAGCCCGAGAGTGAGGAGGAGGAAGAGGAGGACATTGTCAGTGATGATGCGCCGGATTATACTGCCGAGGGAGCCCCCGAAGACGGATGGGACAATGCTCCGTTGGCAAGTGCCTCCGAGAACGAAGACGACTCCATGGGAGAGTTTGACGAAGACGACGATGAGGAGGGTGTTAGCCAGATGCCTCTTTCTCTGCTTGACAGCGATGATGAGGAGGACAGCGATATGGGCGGCATCGAGTCCTACGACGAAATGGATTCCGACGAGGACCTGGATGAAGAGGCTGCCGTGACCTTCCGTGACATGGAGAAGCGCTCGCGTAAGCTTGATGCCATGCGCAAAGAGGACGAGGAGATGGCTGATATTGAAGCCACCGCTGCTGAGGACGTGGTCGAGGGCGAGCGCGAAATCTTCATGCTGCCGTCGGCCAAGCAGGTCGAGGCCGAAAAGGAAGCGCCGTTGGATCTGTCCCAGGTGCAGCTGCGTATCCAGGAGATTATCCGCGTGCTGAACAACTTTTCTGAGCTGCGCGCGCCCGATAGCTCTCGCAACGACTATATGGAGCAGCTGCAGCGCGACATGTGCTTCTACTACGGGTACAACGAGTTCCTCATGGACAAGCTTCTTCAGCTGTTCACTGTCAGCGAGGCCGTTGAGTTCTTTGAGGCTAATGAGGTTGCACGCCCTGTGACTATCCGCACAAACACCCTGAAGACCCGGCGACGTGATCTTGCCCAGGCACTGATTAACCGCGGTGTCAACCTTGATCCCATCGGTAAGTGGACCAAGGTCGGTCTGACCATCTTCGACTCGCCCGTGCCTATCGGTGCCACCCCCGAGTACATGGCCGGCCACTACATGATTCAGGCAGCGTCGTCCTTCCTGCCCGTCATGTCGTTGGCGCCCCAGGAGAACGAGAAGGTTCTGGATATGTCAGCTGCCCCCGGCGGCAAGACCACGTACTGCTCGGCCCTGATGAAGAACACCGGCCTCGTTGTCGCCAACGATGCCAACAAGGAGCGTGAGAAGGCCCTGGTTGCCAACATTCACCGTTTGGGTATCTCCAACACCATCGTGTGCAACTACGACGGTCGTGAGTTCCCCAAGGTCATGGGTGGCTTCGACCGCGTTCTCCTGGATGCACCCTGCAGTGGCACGGGCGTCATCTCCAAGGATGCCTCCGTCAAGGTGAACAAGAGCCAGGACGACATCAACATGCTGACCCACCTGCAGAAGGAGCTGATCCTGTCGGCTATCGACTCTGCCAACGCTGACTCTGCCACCGGCGGCTACATTGTTTACTCCACGTGCTCCGTGACCATCGACGAGGATGAGGCTGTTGTCAACTACGCCCTGAGCAAGCGCCCTAACGTCAAGCTGGTGTCTACGGGTTTGGATTTCGGCGCTAAGGGATTCACTAGCTTCCGCGGCCAGAGCTTCCACTCATCCTTGAACCTCACTCGCCGGTTCTACCCACATGCACACAATATGGATGGCTTCTTTGTCGCAAAGTTTAAGAAACTCTCGAACAAGATCCAGAATGCCGAGAACCAGTTTGTCGTTCCCACCGGTAGCGGTGCCAAGACAAAGCAGAAGAAGAAGAGCGTCAGCAAGTAGACATATCAAACAAGTAAAGGTTTATGTTTTTATTTCGTTTTTTTGAAAAGGTTATTTTAATTGGCCTCTTTTTTTCCATTTCGTATATTTCTTATAAAAAAACATCATTAAAAATATTTATTCCTTTGATTTGTTTGGTGCAATAACTATATGCGCATGATATTGTAATATTAACAATTGAGTGTAGGTAAACTAAATATAGAAATGGGGACAGCAATATATTGAAGCCTAAAATAAACAAAGCCTCGTTGTCACTGCTGCCTGGTAGAAATTAAAAACAAACAACACAAAAAAGTATTGCGCCATATTTTACCCTCTTTACTTTACTAATATTTTGCACGTCAAATATTTTATTCTAACTATTTATGTGACATTTTATTCTTTTTTTTGTCCAATGGCTCAGTACATTTCCTCCTTCTATTCATCATCCAGCACCATGTCCAACGCGGCTCATGCCCACCAGCAGGATACCCGCAATGCCATGGGTGCACCACCAGTCTATGCCAATCCAGACGCAAACCGTCTGATTACTCTAGCCATCAAGCAGGCCCAGGTCGACTATGAAAAGACCAAAGCAGACCACAAAAGGATGCAAGCAATCATTGCAGACGAACTGGTCGCAATCAATGCTGAGTGCCAGGCTGAGATTGAACGCGTCAAGGCCAAGTACGCTGAAAAGGCCGATGCGCTCCAGTTGGAAGAACACGAGTGCGCGCAAAAGTTGGGCGAGGCTAAGAGCAGGCTGCTAGAGCTGCAGCGGAATGCCCTGACCCTGGTTGAGGACGCATTTGGCGATCTCTTGGAGATTGGAGTCTTGGATTATCGTGTGCTGCCCAGTGGAGATGTCGCTCAGGAGGCTGTCAATGAGCCTTTGCAGGCGCACGCCGCCCGTGTACTGCCCTCTGGAGAAGAGGCGAATGTTGCAGTTTGTCCTCAGGATCAGCGCTGTGTGCCTGCAACTGCAGCTGCGGCTGAGGCTGTGGTGCAGGTTGGTTCCCAGCCACTGTCCCCAGTCGAGCTTGCCCGGGCACGCGATGTCTTTGGCTGCTACAACGCGAAATGGGCTGTTTTCGACCAGAAAACGCTTATTTTGGTCGAGGCCCGGTGCAAACTCACGCAGGCACGGATTGGCTTTAATCACGTTAAGGCCGAGCTGACTCGAATTCTTCCGGCCAAAATCAATATCCACCATTTGTCCAAGGTCTCAAAGAAAAAGACTGAGTTGCTTGTGGATGTGATGGACCAGCCAGAGATTTGCTGGCGTTTATTCCAAGAAGGTTGGGCCGTTGGTGATGTTAAGGACCCGGAAAACATATTTGCCAATTGCTGTAATACCAAGACAGAGAAGATTAATGAGCTGAAGCTGCGCTATAAGAAGGAGTGCAATTCAGTTAGCAATATTGGTGTTTCGGCATACTATATGTATTGCATTAAGCAACTGCATAAGCACTTTAGCTCATAATTGTTTTATTTATTTATTCATTCATTCATTCAACAATTCAGCATTAAGCAATGTAACAGTCAACCAGTCGGCTGTTTTCTTGATTTGGTTTATATTAAACTTAATCAAAACGAGTTTATATTGTACTTTTTTATAGCACTGTTCCGGCAAATGACTGGCCGGCCGAATGAATAACAAAACAAATAAGTAAAACAACAGATGGTGGCGCCATTAGCAAAGTGTTATTGCCGAAACAGTTTCGAAAATTTATTTGCATCCACTATTTTTGGGTGCCACATATTTGCTTTCTTGTGTATAAGTTTTTATGATGATTTCCCGTTTCGAAAATAATTTTTTTGTATTAATGAAATAAAATTTATAAATCATATTTACCTCTCACCGCCACCATCCCAACGCATTCAGTACCTAACCCGAGTACATTCAACATAAATATTTATATGTGGTTATTTCGGGGTTTCAGTAAATTTAACATTTTAATTGGTTATCGTATTTGTATATGACGCCAATTTTTTAGTTTGATTGTTGTCGTGGATTTAGTGGATGGCCACGCTTTTCTGTTTATACCTTTTTCTCACAAAAAAACTATTGTTGTCAATGCATTTTTGTCCCTGCTCCTGCTCCTGCTCTTGCCATTGCAATTGCACAAGTGGCCTTACATGTTTTAAATATAAATTAAAAGAGAGCAAGCAAAGTCATATGTCAAGTACAACAGCAAATGGTTATCGCACAGAAAATAATTTTTTGGCATTCGAATAATAAAGAAGCATTGCCAAGAATAAAACAAGTAGAACAGAACAAAATTTAAATATATGACGCCCCTCTATATATTAATTAATTTTAAAATTGTTACTCAAAGACAGCAGTTGTCAGTGTTAAATTATTATTACTCACCATACATTTTAATAGTTGATTGGGATCAACTGATCAACCGGCCTTCATTGTTGATGGCCAGGCTTTAAATATGTGGTGCTACGCGAGCTTGGGCGGCTTTATCATGCTGCCCACGTGCTTGGAGCAACTGCATTGAACACAGCGAGAGCTCAAGCAATGGAAAATGGTATATATGCGCATAACAAGCAACCTTGTGCGCGCTTAGCACTGCCATACTGGTTTATTCTACTATTTGCAGCTAATAATTATTCGTGCTCTATCCAAAATTTGTGTATATTAACATTACAAGGTTCTAATCACTGGTTCTGTACATAGAACAGCAGATACGCGGCCGGCGAAGCCACCTTGTCCTCGGAAACCGGCACCACGCGGGTATCGTCAAAATAGTTCCACTGGCCACGCACCCTGTTAAACACACTCGCCGTGTAGTGGCCAGAGGACAGCGTGCCGTAATGGTTGGCCACCGCATACAAGTTGTACGATGTCGTCGACTGCTGGCGCGCATCAGGCATCATATAGTTATCCATTTGCAACTCCCGCGTGGGGAACACAACGTTGGTCTCGAGCTTCTCGCGGAAATGCCCAATGGTCGAGAACCTTTTGAGGTGCACGATGAGAACGAGTGGCAGGCGCGAGATCAGCATGCGCTTGCTCGCCTTGCGCTTGGTCTTGCACCGCGGGCAGTGCCACTTGTTATCGCCGTCGAGGATCTCACTCCCCGAGAACGCATCCAGGCACTGGTAGATGGACACAGGGGCGCTGCTCTTGCTCGACGACTTGCGCAACAAAACTGCGGCACTGCTGGGCTTGGTTCCGGGCGTCGGAATGGGCACAGAAAGCTCGGTGAACGTAAAGTACGTGGTCGACGTGTGTTTGCACAAAAGACATGTCAAGCGCGACTGCACTTGGCCCTGGAAGATACTGGTCATGATTGACCAGTTGCGGCGGGTATACCGCTCCCACTGTATGTTCGCCTGCTGAAAGTCCGGCAGGTGCTCAAACTGGATCTCTTCGTCGGGCGTCATGTCACGGTCTGGCGGCGGACGCGGATGTACGCGGTTCAAGGACTCGTGCAGGGTGTCGAGCACAAACAGGGCAAATTCCTGCGCGTCCTCCTGGTCGTTGCCCTTGAACTGAGCCGAGCAGTTGCCAACCGCCGAGCGGAAGCTAATCGGCGACAGCGACCCGTACTGCCCACGCCACATGTTGTCGAGGAGGCGCGAAAACTCAACAACAACGTCAGAGTGGCTGCTCTTAGAACCGCGAATCAAATCCTTCTTCCAACCTCCCTGCAAAAAGTACCGCGCAAATGGGACTGTGCCGACCAGACATTGGATGACACAGTTCATGAAACATGTATTGCCAAAGTTTTTCAACCCTGTCATGCCAATAGCCGAAGAGTCCAGGGCTGCTGAAGGCTGCACCTGCGGTTGTGTGGGCACTCTGGAATTAATGCGCGGCGCTGTATTGTAGTTGGGATCAGCGGGAGGAGCAATGGCAAATGTGCTGGCCTGATTGTACACAAACGAGTTGCGAAGGTTGCCGCCCGCGTGCATGCGCCCGTTGAGCGATGGATCGGATCCTGCAGCGACTGGGTAGTTGTAAAAACCGCGGCTGTTTGCAGCGGCAGGCTGCATCTGGGCATGTTGCTGCTGCTGCTGGTTGTACTGCGGGACCTGTTGCTGACGGAACTGTGGATACTGCTGCTGTTGGTGCTGTTGGTATTGGTACTGCTGATATTGGTACTGCTGGTTGGCAGGAGGCAAGTTGGCGTATTCGAGCGGCTTGGGCGGTAGCGGCGCATTGGGGACGTGGCTTGCCAATTGAGAATGCTGCTGAGTCTGGGTTTGCAAAGTGCCCTGCTGAACATAAGCTTCTGGTTTGGGCGGCTGTTGCGAAGTTGGGATAGGCGGTAGCTGCTCGCGCTTTTTCGTTGGCTCTGTGTTCATTTGTTGTTGTTGCTGCCCCTCGCTTTCTGCACGGTTGGCCTCTAGCGTCGCAAAGTGTGTGTCTGTCGGTACAGATACTCCAGCGTACTCATTAGCATTTGTCCTGCCGCTGTACGCTGGCCCAGTGAATCCATATGTGGGGTTGTCAAACACTGTGCTGCGCTGGTTCAAGTCGGTTGGATTATCAGGCACATCGGGCAACGGCGCAGAGAGGGCCTCTTGCATCCAACTGTTGTCGGCAGCAGGGTCAACAGGAGCAGCGCCGAGTCTATCTGGGGTTGCGTTAGATCCCGGGAAATTGCTGCTGACCTCAGCGCTGGCCTTTGATTCGGGTGCCGGTGGTGTTGCAGCGTGGCTGGTTACAGAGTTATATCCTTGAGTAAACATCGTATAAGCGGTCTGTCGCCGGCTATCCATCTGCTGCTGTAATTGCTGCTGTTGCTGCTGTTGCTGTTGCTGCTGCTGCCATTGCGGGTTATAGTTGTTGCTCTGTTGGAAAAAGTCAAATACCGAGCCCGAAACTGGTGTCGACGCGGTGGGGTCGCCCATGGTACCGACCAACACTGGTGCTGCTACAGAAGTTGTCGCCATCGCGGCAGTTATCTGCGGAATCGGCGGCACAGGCGAAAGGACTGCGGCCGGCTGATACCGGGTCTGGTACGACGACATTCTACTGCCCGACAGCGCCCCAGTTGGCGCATGGTAAGACAACATCGATGAAATATCCGCCTGAGGCGCAGTGACGTTTGCCCTTTCCGCACCAACTGACAAGGCTGCGGGTTCGGGAGATGCTGACCATGCTTGTACGCTCTTGGGACGTGGCGACCTAGACATCGATCTGCGCGCCTCGTCAGACCACAAGCACTGGTGCTTTCCCATCGCCTGCACCCATGAATCAAACCCGCCGATCAGAAACAATGGCTGGTGCTTGAGCGGCTTCAGGAACTCGCAGTGGTAGATGGCCGAGTTGAGAGCCTCCAGTGCTGCGACCTCCACGCTGCCCACATCGCTGAACGAGTGCGCTGACTGACTCATGTAAACGACAATGTCAAAATCACCGCGCTGGCGGAACCACGCTTGCTGATCGTCCGAGACTAACACCAAGCTCGACTCGATATCCGCCGATGTACATCCCTTGTGAAGCACTGCTGGCTCAATGTTGACCGTGTACTTGTGGTCGATCCGGCCCCAGACAAAATCCTGATGCGGCCGCACATCTAAAATAAGCACTGTAGGACGGCCGTTGGCTGCAGTGCGAGACTTGTCGAGCAGGTTCCAGAGTTCCAGCGGCATGCACGTTGTAACGGTGGGGTCGATGAATTCGGAGCTGGTGTCTTCGCCGATGCTCGCAAGGTTCGGGCTAATCGCCATTGCTGACCGGTGGCTGCCATGATTAATGACTGCTATTCCCGGAAGCGTGTCGCTGCGAGATCGAGATATTATCGTCCGGGGCCTGTTCCGGTCTCTTGCAATCTGCTCTGCTGCTGTGCCTCCAGCCACTGGCTTTCAAGGGTCGAGGCTAGTGCTGCACCAGCTGCATTGCCCGGCAAGTCCGCCACAGGCTGGGTTGACTGGATTGGTCGGTACATTGGCGAGAGAGAATCCGTGCTGCTTGCCGAGCGGGCCAGCTGATGATCCGGGTACATCTGCGCAAACTTGCCCTCCATCATTTCGAGCTGCTCGACGGCATCCACCTGCGCATCGGGCACCCTGTCTCCGTGGGGATCAACGTACGGCCGCGTCTTGAGCACTTTGGCCAACTGCTCAAGCTCACCCACCATTCGCGTAACATGCTCTTTTCGCAACCTTTCGTAAGTTGCGTTCTTACTAATGGCGTCAAAGTCGCGCAGCTTGGGCAGCTTATCCATGATGTTCAAACACAACATGTACTTTAAGTAAGCGTTCTCTAGGTCGCCGGACTCTTGGTGTAACCGCGCCTCGTCCATGTACCGCTCTGCCAATTTGAGCCATGACTTGGATGTCGCTTTCGCCGAGGAGTTTATTCTGGCCCGCTGGTTCAGCGCTGTGAGCAGGGATTTCCGCCTAGGCTTGGGCTCACCCGCGGCCATCGGGACTTGCGCTGGACTAGCACTGATGTTGTTGTTAAACTTGGTCGGCGGTAAGTTGCTCGGCATCATTGGCGATACGCTGAATCCAGGCATATGTGCCTTAGTCCGCACACTATTGGACCCCCCAATAGTGGTTGCTCCCGGCGTGGCATGTTCCTGCGGACTTGTGCTCGCAGCGGGCACTAGCGGCGGCGTATTTTCGAGCTCTGGAAACGATGATATCCTGGAGGGCACAGGCAGTGTGTTCATTGTATTTGCTGATGCTGAATTGTAGAGCAAGTTGCTGGTGCGAATTCCACTTGCGCTGACTGGCGGCTGCTTCGTTAATGTGGGCGGTGTTGGCGACTCGAGCAAACTGCTGCTGTTGTTGTTGCTGCTGCTGCCATCTTCGGTGGGTGACTTTATTAGTGCTAGGCTTTCGAACCGCCGAATGAGGTCGTTCGTCCGACCGTCGCTGAGCCTGGAAGACATTATTATTTTTTTGAAAAAGAGTGATGAGGTTTTAATTGTTGTCGGAATAATAAGAAACAGAATGTAATGTAGTAAAAACTATATAAAAATAATAGTAGTGACGTGTGGAATTAGGCTGTGTATGAGAGATGAAAATGCATGAGGAAAGTAAGAAAAAAATACTCGAAAGAGATATAAAATACAAGTGAAACTATAGCAAGAAAGGTGACGACGCTTTCTATAAAAAAAGTTAACAGGAAAGGAATAAAAAAAAGGCTCAGACAAAAAATGGTGCAAAGAGAAAAGAGACAAAACCGAGCGACGTTTTTCCTTTCTGTGGATTACAAAAAAACATGAGGCGGGGAGGGGCGGGGGGCAGAATGTCTTAGCGCCCTAACGTGCAGCATCGCCACTAAATATTTTGGACAAGACGCAAAACTGTACAAAGGGACAAAACCTGGCATGTCAAACGTCAGCTTCTATTCTCTTTAAGCGGGATTGAGATTTGCATGAAAATAAAATCCGTGCGCCTTGGCACGAGCTCGCCCATATGCCGGCAAATACCAAATAAGTGATTAGATATAAAAAATTATTTTTTTAATCGCGTGTTACTAAAAAAAAAGACAACATATTTCTTACGTGCCAACACTTTCTTTTCCCCCCTTTTCTTCTTTTTTATTACCCCCTATTTTCTACACTTTTTTCTCTTTTCACAATAATGGTGATTTGTCAGTATTTCCTTCAAGGAAAGTGCAACTTTGGCACCAACTGCCGCAACGAGCACCAAGCCAAACCAAGTTCGGCCTTCGGAAAGTCCTCCTCACAAGCAATAATGCAGGGTGGTGGTGGTGGCGGCAACTCTTTTAACAACAATAGGTTTGCCACTCTGTCACAACAACCCGCGTTTGGAACCAACACACCATTTGGGTCGGGAAGCGGGTCCGGTGGTAGGTTCGGATCAGGGTCCGGCACATCTGTGTTTGGATCTAGTGGTGCTTCGGGCGGATTTGGATCTGGTGGTGGAAGCGGTGCATTTGGGTCTGCCAAATCATCTAGTGCGTTTGAATCTGCTGGCGGAGCCAGCGCATTTGGTGCGGCCAAGCCGTCGAGTGGATTCGGGTCCGGGACAGGGGCGTTTGGCGGCGGCAGTGGTACAAATAGTGCAGGTTTTGGATCGGGCACGGGCGCGTTTGGTGGAGGGTCGTCCGGCGCTTTTGGCAGTGGCCAAGCGACAAACACAGGGTTTGGGTCAAGTGCCACCACAGGGCTTGGTTCCTCCAAGGGCACAGGCGCGTTTGGTAATGCTTCAATATCGGGATTCGGAAATGCTGCAGCGACCACACCGAGCACAGGTGGGTTTGGATCAGCAACGACTTCTGGATTTGGATCAGCAAATGTTTCTGGATTCGGGTCAGCGACAATAACTGGCGGGCTTGGGTCATCCTCGAATACTGGAGGTTTCGGAAATAACACCAACACCAGTGCATTTGGAAGTGGCGGAGGTGGCGGTGGCGGATTTGGGTCAAGTGGGTTTGGGTCATCTCCAGCTAAAGGATTCGGAACGACATCTGCATTTGGCTCAGGATCAGGAATAGGGTCAGGATTCGGCACAGGAACAACAGCATTCGGTGCAGCAGCAAATAAGGGATTCGGCAATACTAAAGTACCGCAGATATCTTTTGGTAACACTGATGCCGAACGGGCAGCAATATTGGACCCCGGAGACCATTGACTGAGGAGGAGAAGAGCGTGTACAGGGAGGTTAAATTTACAATGGGCAAAATTCCCGAACAGCCACCCACTCTGGATCTCATCGCTTGAAATAATAAAAATTGATCTAGTGATTTAATTATTGTTATTGCTGGTGGATCAAGGGTTATACATATTATTTTTTTTGCCATATATTTTTTTTTCTTTTGCACGTTAATTTTATTAGTCCCGTTCTATTATATTCTCCATTCTTTTTTGTGCTGTTAAATTTGATAGTTGGCATTTATTATTTTCGGTTTTATAAAAACATTTATTCTATATTCATTCGTTATCATAATGAAGTTTTTCACAGGAGACGAGTCAGGGCTGGTCAAAGGTAACACCCACACCCACACGCATACATACACATACTTCACCCTTTGAAAGGACATGGACGCAAAGATCGTGACATCGCACAAGAAAGAAAACCCAAGCTAACCCTCTTTAATAACATTTATTATACTTTCAAATAGTCACCGATATTGACCACAAAGTGTCGCTACTCGAGGCGCAAAATAAGGCGGCCAAAAAGGTGCGCTCAGACGCCAAAGCCAAAGCCAACGCCAAATCAGGCGAGAAAGTCATAGTCGAGGACAACATCCTTTTGGGCGTGCAAGTCAAAACATTCCATGGCACAGTCAGCCGGCCACTAAGCATTCAGCAGATGGTCCAGGGCACGTACAACGGCACCGCGGCATTCTTTGTTGCGCGCAAAAACGGCGACATCCAGGCGATCGACAAGACCAGCGGCCAGACGGTCTACGACTACGCGCAGCCGATGTTCGAGGAAAAAATTAGCGTGAAGAGCAACGGGCGGTATATTAATGCGCGCTCGTACGTTGGATTGGGCGTTGGAGATGACTGCTTTGTTTCGTGCACGAATATGGGAGAGGTGCGGTACCAGAATACGCAGGGGAATGGCGGCGGGCGGATGAAGCTGCCTGTAGATGTTGTGCGGATGCGGTCGCATAAGGATCGCGCGCAGGTGTTTGCAGCCGGTGGGCGCGAGCAAGAGCTCAGCGTGTGGGATGCTGAGACGGCGTGCACGGCGGCGGAGTGGGTCAAGCCGGCGGTGCAGCCGCTGTTCAAGTCCAAGAACATCGCTGATGATGGGCTGGGCCTGCGCCCGCCCGTGTGGATCACCGATATGCAGTTCCTTGACGCCAACACCTCCGTGCCCCAGTTGGCCGTGTCCACGGGCCACGGGCAGATCCGGATCTACGACGCCAAGGCGCAACAGCGGCCCGTGCAGGACTGGCAGATCACCAAGCACCCGATCCTGCACATTCTCGCATCACACCTCCGCCCCGAACTCTTCTTCGCTGACAACATGGGCAACATGCAGCAGTTGGACTTGCGCACTGGAAAGGTCATTGGAGGATACAAGGGCATTGCTGGTGCCGTGTGCGACATGGCGCTGAGCGAAGACGGACGGAAGGTGGCTGAGGTTGGCCTGGACCGGTTTCTGCGGGTCTACGAGACCGACGGCATGCGTTTGCTGCGTCATCGGGCGTACATTAAGCAGAGGGTCAGCCAGGTCGTCTGGGACTGGGACGAGAAGGACCTCAACCAGAGGGAGATCGACCAGATCGAGGCCGAGCATATCTGGCAGACCATGGACACGCTGGGTGAGGAGCAGCGGACAAAGAAGGGCAGCAAGCGCAAGGCTCTGTGAGAAGAACTTCCGGGCGGGAGGAAATTGGCTCACGTGTATTGTTTTTCTATGCAACTGAAAAAATAAAATGAGTTTGCTGAAATAAATAGAAATGATAAATTAGCAAATTAAATTAACATTTACTCAGCCTTCTCATTGTCGATTTCGCTGTCGCTGTCATCGATGGTCTCGTCGGTCTTCTTTGCGCGCGCGACCTCGACAGCACGGCGCTCAGCAGTGGCAAATGCCATGGCCTTTGCGTGCGCGGCCGTCCCCAGCACAGCCGAGCACAGCAGCCCACTAAGCAAGTGCGCCTCCTGGTCGCTGACCCTAGGCACAGCCCTCAGCAGCCAATCCAGCACCGAACTCAGCGGGAACTCTGGAGCGCGCTCTTCAAACAACCACGCATGCGTGGCCAGAATATACCCAACGGTGGCCGAGAAAGATAGCTTGACGTCCAGCGAAAGCCCGCTCCTCAGCATTTCCGGCGTGCGCAGCGCCCAGGCGCCGCGTGAAATCTGCAAAAAGTCATCAATGATGCCGCCGCCGCTGCCCAGCACCGTGCCAACGATGACCCAGGCCACCAGAGAGTCGGCAATCGGCTGGCCGCGCATCCCCGTGCGCACAAGGTCGACGCCAGCGGCCGTCACGCCAAAGCCGCGGATCAGCCCGTCGACGCTGGCCAGGAACACGTCGCTGACAGGCGCGCACACCCGCAGGGCACCGTACAGGAGGTCGCCGGGCATGCGCGACATCAAAAGGAAGACTGTCGTGTACAGAGGCAGGGTGATGTTGCTCTCGAGCCACGCCTGCGGCCTGCCCAGGGCAAGCCCTGTGAGGATGGCGCCGCCAAACGAGAATGTGAGCATTGTGAATAGCTCTTGCAGCAGCGGCTGGCGCCCTCGCGTCTGCAGTGTTTTGCGCACTTCGTAGGCTACGCGGATGGCGTGCAGTGTCATGAAGATGCCGATGGGGAGGGACCCGTCCCACTGCTTTTTCAGCAGCGAGGGGTACGCCGTGGCCAGTCGCTGCACTTGCGGGAACCCGGCTAGTGCTGAGATACTTTCGAGCGTTGTCATTTAGAGTACGTAAAATAAATAAATAAGTATAAAGCTGTCGTTGCTGTTGCGGTCGTTGTCGTGTTCGTAAGGTGCTTAAAAAATAATGTGCCGATGTAGAATAAGGAGAGAAAGACGTCAGGATTTCTTCTCGTCCACTTTCTCTTCCCGCGCCCGTTCCCGCTCGCACGGCTTGTCACATGCCCTGTCGGCCAATCACGCTTCCCGATGTCACGCTGGACCCTACGATTTAATTGCAAGAATTTTATGCAGTTTCCTGTTTTAATTTTTTTGTTACTTGGCTCAAGGCTTTACTGCCGACGTCAAGCTTTTAGTTCTCACATGCGCGTGCGCATGCACATACTTTATTTAAGGACAACAACAGCAGGAAAAATCATAGCGCTCTCTCTACCTTTTTTATTTACCGAATTGCGCTCTCTTGGTTTTTTTCTTGTCTCTCAATTCGTTTCCGCTATAAAGTTTGCATTTACTTTACTTTACACTCTTGAAACCCACACCAATGAAACTCTGTTCACCATCGGCGCTGTTGGCCGTCGTTGCCACGCTCTCCCTGACCGCCGATGCGCTGCACCTCAACAAACTGCGCGTAGTCATTCAAGAGGCCTCTGGCATATTTGATTCTCTCGACCTAACCACCACAGGCACCAGGGGCGGCAACGGCGGTGACGGCAACATGGGCAAGAACCGCACGCTCAACGATATCATCCGCGATGTTAGCCAGGTGGACGACATACTGGACCTGGAATACGTCAACTTGGATCCCGAGCTTCCTAAGAGAAGCACGCCTATTAATGTCAAGGCCCTGGCTTACGTCAAAGAGCTGGTGGATGAGGCTAAGGCGCGTGTCAAGGTGACCTATGGTCCGTTTACGATGCTCAATAGGGAGTATGATTTGTGCGAGGTTTTGAAGGAAAACCTGAACAGGACTTGCCCTGTTGACGAGGGAGCCATCGAGGTCAATATCGACGTGGATGTTCCTGGGTTTATTCCATGGGTAAGTTTGCGATGGATACGTGTGGACAATGAGTGTTTGTGTGTGTGTCGATTCTTGTTTTTCTTTGAAGAATGTAACTAATCTCGATTCCTGTTTCTTGTTTCTTTTTTTTGCATTGTGTTGTAACTTTTTTATATATATTTTAGGGATGGTTCCATCTTGATGCCTCTGCTTGGCGCAACTCTGACAATAAACAGCTTGGCCGTATACTTGCCGACGTAAAATTCTAGACTCTTTTTCATTTCTTCCTTTCCTCATGAAACCCCAGATTTTGCCACTCGTCCCGATCCATCAACTCCCTATAAAAATAAACATCAATTATTATCATAATTAATACACAATTTATCTGTATAAAAAACCGCCTCTTTTTTTGGGAGGGGGAAATCAGGTGTAATATAAAAAAAATCGACGACTTACTTTTGCATTCTGCATTCGAGATATTCCTTGGATATGTTTTTGCATTGCTTGTAGCTTCCGCGGTTGCTCTGTAGACACTCGAGGTATCGCGACATTATATCCTTGCATTCGCCGCCATGGTCCAAGGGAAAACTCCCGCGGTCTGGTGGGGTTGGTCGAACGTTGATTTTTGGTGGTCCGCCGAAACTCATATTTATATATTCAACAAAATCAACAATATACTTTAAAAAATCATAAGCGAATGATAAACTAAAATTGAAAAATAACAAATGGGAAAATTACTGTTATCTTTGTTGGCCTTATTTTGTCCCGCACTAATTATGGCTTGGAAACGGAAAATTTCATGTGTGCGCACAAATGGACCAATCTGCAGACTTTGACGTAAACCACTATTCTTGCTCGTATTTAGAGATCAAGCCGAGAAGAGTACAAACCAGGGTGCATTAATCTAAATGCCGTCTATTGCATTTAAACAAAAAACAAATTGCACTCATCCGACAGCATATCTGCGAATAAACTAAATGGTCTCAGACTCGCTTATCTTTGTTTACAGGCTATTAGGGTTTCTTTTCTCTGATTGAGAAGTTAACTCTTTATTGTATAAGTAATACTTACCAAAAATCGAGCCCTCGGTTAACTGTACACCAGCATAGAATAAATCAAAGCAAGTGACAATATCATTTGTTACTTCTGATAATTCCTTTGCAACTAAGTCCGTAAACTCTTTAACAGTATACCATGGATCTACACCCTCTACAGTTATTTTTATAAAATCTTTTTTACGATCGGCACGACTGACAGACCTGACAAGCTTGAAATCTTTTCTATGTTTGGGATTTGGTGAATGTTTAGCAGAAGAATCGATCCAAAAAACTTTAACGGTTTGCCTATCTGGTCTGAGCTCGTAAATTAAGTTTACATTAATTGAGTCGGGAATGGCAAGAAATTCTGTGCTGTTTTTGGAAGCCTTATGATAAGCATCATTAGGTGAATATTTTTTTGTATTCTTTGTTAGACACCCTGGCATGAGCATAAAACTACAGCCTGAAAAACGTGTTTCAAACTCTTTTATTTGGATGCGTATTGACTCCGCATCCATGTTCTTGACCATCATCATGTCCCATTTTTCATCATTATGTGCCTCCTAAATATTGAAATTTCTTTCATACATTTAGGGTCTTGTTGGTCCAAGCGAAAGACTGTCTTTTTCATTTGTTATTTTAAGCGAATGTAAATTAAATTGAATGATGGATTAAATTATTAAAACTAATTGAGGGAGTGTGCGAACAAATGTGTGTTAGCAGTATATAAGTAATTTTAAAACTTTAGGGCTGGCATACTCGACTGTTTTTATACAAAATTCAATACACTAACAACGATAGCACTAAACATATGCTTTTAATAAAAAAATAGTGTTTATATTCAATCCCCTAAAAATACTTTTGCTTTTGTGGTTGTTAACCTCATTGTAATTTTATTCCTCGCCCATGTTTTCTATTGACAAATACTTAATTTTTGTTCGATGTGCATTATTTTCTTTCTTCAAGCATATTCCATTTACCCATTCTACATTATTTTATCATTATTTACTTTTCAAACGGTTGTAATTTGTTTACTGTCAACGTGATTTTTTTAGCCCAATAGCTTTAAAAGTACTTTATTTACCCGCAATCAATCAATTTGCTGAAAGGCAATAAATGCAAAAAACCCTAATTAATGTTTCACTTTGCCAAGCAATGTTGCCAACAAAAAATAAGAAAAGCGCTTTATAAAAAGCACGCAATACATTGGTGCTAATCCTTTATTAATTGCCCCGACTCAATAAGACCAAGTTTGCGGGCACGTTCTTCGATACTAACAGACAAAAACCCCCAATTTTTGAAAGAAACTAAATTAAAGTATCATCAGATGTATAATGTAGTGGGTTGGTGTGTGTATGTATTATAAGAATTAAAGTTATTTTAAAAGATGGTTTACAAAAAATGAGCAATAGACAATAGACAATGCGGGTGTATTTTTTACAGGGAGTAGAGGCGCCCACCACATTTCAAATATTGTTCTTTGTCTTACTTTTCATTTTCATTTTATTTTTTAGCTATTAGAAAAGACGTGTGTGCTTGTACCAAAATATATATTTCAAGTTGCTTTATTAACCACCTTATGAGGACAACGTAAATATGGACGAGGGTGTCTACCACCTGGGCAAGACTCAGCCAGACCGAATTCTGACTCCAACTACATGCATGGACTACAAAAATAAAATAGCTAACAACCCCCGAACCAATGGGCCTTATAGTGTTGGGTTTGACCCTCTATCCTCTCTGAGCTCTGCCCTCTTCATCTTGACGCGGCTCCAATCTCTGACCAGCTTGTAGCACGACTTTCTGAACTCCACAGTCTGTTCCTGCATGGTATATGGCCACTTGGGTGTCCTACTTGCGCGCTCTAACAGTGGCTGCTCTTTTCCATGCGCCGTTGTCGAGTTGCTGGCGATATTCGCAATGCCTTCTCCTTCGCAATCTGCGCTGAGCAGCGTGGTTTCCAGCAGTCTTTGCAGAGCAGTTGCCATTTCTTCCTGATGGCCACCTTGCGGAGTACCCGTCCGCCCAGGATCATGAGCTTCTGCTCCTTCTCACTGACTTCCACAACCGACAGCCATTTCGGTCCTTCAGGCCTCTGGTTCTGGCAATCCTCCACTACTGCTGCTGACGACGGCTCAAGCCACCCATCTGGCACTCCGATATATGGGTTGCAGTTTTGTTCTGGGTGCTTGTGCCACTTGTCTGCTGCTCGCTCTGGCCATGCCTGCTGTTCCCTTGGCATCCCTGCCACCTTGTTGTCCTGGTTCCATACCTCCGCCGATGGCCCTGCTGCTGTGTGTGCTGCGCGCTCCCCACCGGTTGCATCTGGAATCTGCTCCAGTGCACCCATCGTCGAGGGCAATTCTGCCGACCACTGCACCAACCACTGTTGCGACACCTCTGGCTGCTCCCCAGACACTGGCCGTGCCCTGGGCTGTTTGTACCAAAATAGGTATTAAACATGTAGACCATTTGAGCCTATTTTGTATATATGACTATACTTTGCATATTGATTGAATATTTAAACATGGCACGTTCTGCAATAGAGTCCATGCTCGATATACTTTTTTCTCTGTAAAAACACGGCACATTGGACTAGCAACTGATACTCTGGATTTGCCGCAATGAAAAAATGAGCACGAAACATGGAACGTTGTTTTGTGCTGGCATATGCCAATAAATATAAGTTGCAGTCGGCCAAATATCAAGTGCCAGTTTAATAAAAACTGTGTTCAAGGTCAAATGAAAAAGGCAGATTGCATGGCAATAGTATAGCGTTAAGATATTAAAATGCAATTAATGATGACAGCCAAAAAACAACAAAATACGCGAGAAAGGGTTAGTAAGCTAACCTTGAAGCTACTTTCAAATTGAAAAGTACCACAGAAGCCGCACAGCAGGATGAGTAAATATAAAATAGCATCCAGACCTTATATATTGGATTTAAACATGTATTCATTTGGGCGTCGAAACCAACAGGCATATGTTTGCGTCTACTGGCGCACTGCTTTTATTGAAGTAAAAAACATAATAGTATATTATATTAATTTAAAAGGTTTTAAAAATAAAAATAAAAAAGCAACTATGAAGCGCCGGATCGAGTGGTTTGCTTATTCCCCACTCCCAGATGCCTCTAACTTTACAACACTTACATCCACCCTTGACCCAACCGCCCGGTTTTGCCTGCCGATTAAGGCGGACCATTTATATAAAAATACAACAAAAATCCAAAACTACAAAAAAAGGAATGGAAGCTTTGTAAAGCTTGGGCAAGGTGGTGGGCAGATATTGAGAGGGGAAGATGCATCCAAACTAAAAATGTGGTCAAATGTGCCCCCCTCACATTGCCAGAATGCTATACGCTAAGTAATATGCGCTTATTTTAAAGCACACACGTCCTGAGCTGCCTTGGATTTGCCGAACACGCGCTATATATACAGCACACTTGCAGTTTTATAGATGGTAGCAGCAGCAGCGACAGATGCGAGTGTGTTAAGCGGATTGTCTTGTGATGTAGGGCGCAAGAGACGAGTGCTTCAGAATGATTAAGAGAAGCGTTTTGAGGACTGCTTGAAGCAACAGGTAACGAGCAGTATATAATCTTGAAGGTTGCGTGTATGCGAGTCACTGCCCCCCCTCTGGGAAGCCGGTTACCGATGCCGTGGTAGGAAATGGCTGTCAGTCGTGCGGGTCCATAAGAGCTGTGTATAAAGTTGTGCGATTGGCCAGTGGAGAACAAAATAAATGCGTGTCAAGGCTGCAGTGGTTGGAGGGTATGAGTATGAGGAGTATAAAATGCATTTTTGAAAGCGCATCCATTTGGCTGCTTTTATATCATTCTGGCTCTTTTTTGCTTTTGCACTAGAGGTCAGAATGTAATGGAATAAAGTGGAATGGAGCGCCAGAGCTTTTATGAGGCAATATGAAAAAGACGCCGTGCCCAAAAATAAAAACATATTTGTGTGTATGTGGTAAAAATTGCAACATTGATTTCGCTGCAAATACACTGTTCAAGCACTGGCATTCTGACATTCTGACATTATTTCTCTCTTTCCTTCTATTCAAACAAGGAGGCTTGTTTATTTATTGGAACCGATATATTGATTGTATTGTCTTAATTTATGTCAGCAACTCTCTAGAATATGTTTTTCCGGGTACAAGCACATCTTAATCCCTCCCATTTTCCTGCCAGTTTTCATTTTAGCAATAACAATGCCCACCACCAAGGCAAACAAACCAACACAAAGTATACAATAACCCGAGGTTATATCACTGTGACTCGTTGCGCGGAACAACAATAACCCCCGAAATTGATATATGCACAGGCGGAAGGAGAAATGAAGAATATATACATTTTGGGCGTGCTGCTAGCTTTGTCCGAGCCTGATTTGGGTGGGTAGCGGGAGAGGCAGGAATAGTTATACGATAGTGAAGTTGTGCAATTGCAATGGCAGGAGCAGGAGCAGGAGCAGGGACAAAAATGCATTGACAACAATAGTTTTTTGTGAGAAAAATTACATAGAGGCAGCATTTTTTGGGGTCTACCTGTCCCACGCAATGGTATTAAAAGTAAAGAATAAAGGTAGAAGTAAAAACAAATAGCCGGCTCTGGCAGGAGCGGCGGTCCTTTTTGGGCCTGCCATGGTTGCGTTAAACCACATCTCAGATAGAATCGTCCATACAATGTTGTTATTCTAGGCCGACCGCGCTTGCGTGTAGGAGGAGGAGAGGGGAACCTACACAGGTAGCGGCAGAGTTATTGCTACGCCTACCGCGCTTGCGCAAAACAGGAAGAGATCTCTCTGCTGGGCAAGAGAGAGGAGTGCCCAAAGGTATCAAAGCATCTGGAGTGCAGGAGGAGACTTAAAAGAGCTAGCACCGGTGTCATTGCAATTGACAGCGCATGTGGGTGTCAGCGACGGCACATTGGTCCCACCAACAGGCAGGGCACCAGACGGCAAAGCAATAGCCGCGTGGCGCTTATTGACATGACTTATAAATTGTTCGCAAAGATCAGTGACCACCTTACTGGCGGGGATATTAAACCCAGGGTTATCCATAAACTCCATTACCATATGGTTAACTTGACGGCGAGCTTCCGTCACAACCTTGGCCACAGTGATCCCAGAAGAGCTGTTCTCAAAGATGCAATTAACCACGTACCCAATGATAACCTTATATACCTGCTGAAGGTGAGCCGCGTAGGTGGTTTTTGTGTGTTTAGATAGAAGGATCTGGTAAAGCTGCTCGACTTTATCTACCATGGAGTACGGGCTAACATGGTAAAGTCAGATAATGCTGTAGTGGGTGCACTACAAGTATCAGAAGCGCATCCGCCAGTGGGTTGCTCGTTGGTCTGCTGGTTGGCGTGTTCGTCGCAGTCAAAGTTGCCAGCCAGCTCGGGGTCAAAATGGCAATCGTCAAGAATATTGACAGTGTTATGATCGTATCTATAAGCAGTGTCATAACCCTCAAACTCATTTTCAGCCTGTTCGTTGGTCTCAAACTCCTCAGCTTCAATGACATTTGACGGCTCGGAAGCCTTGTCCCAAAATATTTGACAGTGCAAATACCTGTATTTTGTAGCTGCCATCAGGAATGTCCTCGTCATTGCCACTGAAAGTCTAACCGATCTGCCCCTCAAATATACTTTTCACATCATTATCGTTAACACTCAGATGCTCATGGTAACTTTGGGACCACGAGTTGGCAGTTCCTCTTTTGCTTCGCGGCTAGTGAAAACAAATGTAAAATAATACGTTAGTACAAGCGTTTTAAAGATATATATGACAATAACCATAGGAATAGATTGAATATACTTACTATACAATCATAGATTTAGATTTAATGTCCTTTACAACGATTGGCAGAACCAGCCACGACATCCATGAATAACCATGGTTTGAAATAGGGAAATACGTCGATCCAAAGCGCGCCTCAAGCGACTCAACTAAGTAGTTTTGCCTATTAAGACCCTGTTCTCGCCATGTCGCCAGCATATGAAAAAGGCAAGTTTAAACTTGCTCATCTGCTCAACTTTATTGTAAAGACCACACTTGCCGATCACTTCATGTGCCAACAGGCGCAAACGATGGTAATATTTCCCAGCGCCCCTCGTCGTCATCTGTACAACCCCGTTGGTCTTTGACAACTCCAAGAATCCCCACTGAATCGCATATGGCGCATCCTTGAATTCCCCCCCCACGACCAGGGTTCTTGACAATAGTGAATAGTCCATCGTCAACTTTTGGCAAAGCACCTTGCCTGGATAAACCGGCGTTAACTTTGATAATTGATTCCAAGTTGGCTAAGACCTGGTGTCGCTCAGTTTTAGCCTCCTCCGCGTCCTTTGTCAGAGCGTCAACTTTAGTAACCAGAGTATTGACTGTAGTAACCAGAGTGTTGACTGTGGCAAATAGTTAAACAAGAGTTTCCTTAATCTCGTAAGTGTTGGTGGCTGCCCTGGACGCGTCAAGCTCTACCTTGCATTGTTTTGTTCTCTCGGGTGACATTGCGATTCGAAAAAATATTTAAAAATAATAAATAAAGCTTGACAGAAAAAGAAAAGATATGTTGAGCGCCAATAGTGAGGCAGAACATGTTTATGCATGCGAATATCATTTTTTTGTTTTTTTTGTTTCAGATTGACTGACGCTCTTGATTGGAAGAAAAATTATCTATAAACAAAAAGTAGCTGCAGCTTTTTGCAAGCATAATTGTGCATTGAAAAAAAGACGAATGGTTTTTTTTAAACTTTATCTGTAACATTTGGTATTCTCTACGTGTATATATTTAAATTTTATTCCAAGCAAAAAAATAAAACAGAAGAATAGGACAGGAATAAAAAGAAAGTGTGCGGATATAGTTTTACAAGAGTTGAAAATAAAATGAAGAAGCAGTAAACCACAGGTCTCTCCTCAGTGATTGATAATACCGGGTAAACAAGCAGAAGACTCAGACATGGACAGCATATGCCCCATTCTCTCCGCCTTGGTCCTTAAGTACTTGTCAGCCTCACTCATGACATTCCTCTTTAGACTCAAATGCCTCGCATACGATGACAGATCCTCAGAACCGCCAGTCTCCGCCTGTGCCCCCTCTTCTCCGGTCTCCAACCACCATCTAGGAAACATAGGTACATGGCAAACAACCTCCAACCTAGAAGAGCTCCCAGCACCGGCACCGCAAATCTGCCTAATCTTGTCCACATTATTAGTCAACAGGCGCATTTTCGAAACGCCCAAGTCCACCAGTATGGCTCTTGCTGCCCCGTATGTGCGGGCATCCGCCGGGTGATTCAAGAGCAAGTTTGCATCGACCGTGTCATGGCCCATATCCTGCAGATTATATGCCTTGAGCTTCTCCAGCAGCCCGATACCGCGGCCCTCCTGGCGGAGATAAACAATAACGCCACGGCCTTCCCTCTGGATCAGCCGCATGGCTTCGGCCAACTGGTATCCGCAATCGCACCTTACGCTTGAGACAGTTTCGCCGGTAAAGCACTCCGAGTGGATACGCACCAGTGGCGCATCAATAAGCGAAATACGACGGGAATAGAAGCGATCGGCCGAATCCTCCACTACCATCCCATGGCTGTGATCCTTCTGGGACACTTCATGCCTGGGCTGTGCTTGGTTGCGCTGGGCTATTTCGCGCATGATCAGTTTCTGCCTCTCACCGGTGGAGGCACCCCGGATTCTGCGCTGCATTTCGGTCTCGCACGTGCCTTGGATCCGCTCCAGTGAGGCACTGCGGATGTCGTCGCCAAACACAATAGCCAAGTGTTCCTTATTGTCCTCTGCCGTATGATACAGGTGCAGGTAGAAGTGGCCTCCGGGGTACGGTATGCGTGCGCGCACCTGCACACCACCTGCGGATCCTCCGAATCTAACGTCGCACCCATGGATGCGCGCGAAACGCAGGTGCGCGGGGAGTCCGGAACAACGCTGGCTCCATTATCCAGAATCAAGTCATCCGAGACACTGTAGACGTCGGTGTCCTTATCAAGGACAGGGGCGGTAGTTGGTCGGTGGATTCACCGGTAAGCGACCAGTTGATGGGCGTGGGGCTTTTCTCCATACTGGCGTCGTTGAAAAACTGATGTTGGCCTTGTTGCTGCTCTAGGAGATGCAGTGCTTGGTCGAGGCTGGCGTTGAAGTGGTTGCTTTTTTCCTTAGTTGGCAGCGCAGCGGCGTCTTTGAGCAGGTCGGGTCTGCTGTGGTGCCGTCGGCCGGTGTCGACGGCACGACTGTGGCTGACTCGAGGTCGGCCAGACGAGAAGACATTGTTTTTATAATGTTAAAAATAAATATAATAAAAATAAATACAACGGGTATAAAGTAAAAAAAGTGGGGTCGCTTTGTTGGCTAATAATATAAAGTGGAAAAGAAAAGTTAATGAAAAAGAGACAAGTTTGGTAGATAGTAAAAGGAGGGGGGTGTGAAGAAAGGAGGCAAGAATACGAAATACTTGTTCCACGACCTTTTTTTATTAAGCATATTAGAAAATGTAAAAGATATCGCACATCGCCATTCTTTTTTATCAGTCAGCAAAAAATCGGGCCAGTCGCGGGCTCCGCTTCCGCGTTCATCGAATTACAAATACTCTTAATTTTTCGAGTGGTGTTGTGTTTGTGAGCTTTAGTTTCTATTTGTAAGCATAAATCCCAGCCAATGGCATTGATCTGGCTATCAATATTCATCATGTGCAGAGCCCAGTTTTGAAGCCAATTTGCCAATTTTTTTGTGTTTCTGAACTCTCGAATCGTCGATCACACTAGCTGACCCGGATTTAATAGTTCAAGTGATATCGCACTTCAAGAAATAAAAAAGATCTTATCTGTTCTTTTTTAGTCCTTGTAGTCAAAAGGATAAACCGCGCCGCCACTGCAACATCAAGTTGGACCAAATAATAGCAGCATTAGCCTGCCACAAAACAAAGCACCAGTCCAAAATACAATCGTATAGACACGCAGATGCTTATATGCCAGCAGCATCAGCGTACTAGCAGCCGGCAACATCTTCAATCGCCGCACAATAAGCTTCACGGTCCGCAACACCAAGTGTCGAACAGTGGCCAAAATGCTGTTGCTCGAGCGGCCAAACAAGATGCTCATGGGCAGGGCTAAGAGCTGCAGTCCAAGCTTACACAGTAGAGATACATGGCTGCTCTTATCACTTGAGAAGTGCACAGGAGTTTGGTTGGGTCGGTGATAGAGCCAGTCATGGAGACGCCAAAGTTGAGGGCGGCGACCGTTGACATGAGCACGTCCGCTTGCTGCACCAGCCGCGATTTTGTGGCTGCCAGCGCAGACCTTGAGTCTGCCGCTGATATGCTGTCGTTGATTGAGCCCAGCATGCGCTGGACGCTCTGCACGGCACGCTGCAAGGACGCCAGCTGAACAGACGTCATCCGGCTACCGCCATTACTGCTACCACTATTGCTGCCCTCATTATTGTCGCCTGCTCGCGACCCAGAAGGCCGGCCAAAATCGCGTGTATTCATAAGTGTCGTATCTAAAGGCTGTTGCTGTTGCTGCTGCTGCTGCTGCTGCTTGGGTGTCATTGAGAGGTTAAAGTTGCGTCCAAAAAGACCCATCCTTGACTGCGGTCTCGTTGGCGGCGGCTCCGTAGTATGATCCTGTGTGTCCCGTGCGTCCGAATATGCCGAGCAGAAATCGTCCTCTGTCATTGCCGCAGTACTCGGCACCCGCCCAACATAATCGGCCAATGTTCGAGGATAATGCCCCAAACCAGCACATTCAGGGGCAGTGGCATTAGTAATGGCCGGAGGCAATATCAGGCGACTGGTATAATTTTCTAGCGAACACAGTGATTCGGCTAGGTTGGAAGCCAGTACATACTCGACGCCGCCCTCGTAGGCAACTAGTAGCGGTCTCAGAGCCTGGCGCGCATGGGCAAGCAAAACGGACGACTGTGCGGTAACATAAAGACGACCCACGACGCCCGGATAATGCTCTCTTGCGACCTCTACCAGTTTTTCGACATCCTCACCAGCAATATCCGACAGCGCCAGTGATTCAACCGGGCACACCACCGCACACACTCCCTCTCCTTCAGCTCCCAACTTCTCATCAACCAACTTTAACGCGACTCGCGTGTCCTCTAATGTTTCCAGACCCCTGGCGTATACCCGCCGCCCACCGTTATTTGTCGACAACTGCCGCGCCTTGATTATAATCCGCCCCCGTGTATCCACAAGCACAGGTGCGTTGGGCCGTCTGTTTGGGTACACTTTGTTGGCCTCGCGCCATGACAGTGTTTGCGCCAGTGCCTGTGCTGCCAGTGCATGGTCGTTGTTGCAGGCACGGAGTGCGCGAAGCGTGTTGCTGTGGTCTTGTAGAAATTCCGCTGTGAATTTGGTATGTATGTTGTTTGGTGGTCGTGAAGTGTATACGCTTGTTGTGATATTGATTGTGCGATGGCTGCTGCTGCTATGTCGCTCGTGTGTGCTGTCGTTGTTGGTGTCATTCCGAACAATTCAAATGTATTTTATTTAATGAAAAAGGGGCACAGGGATATTTGTAGGCAAAAAAAATGCGAAAAAGGCAGGGAAAGAGTGCGAAAAAATGAGAATAGGTTGCGTTTTTTTCGGATGTTGAATAAAGACAGGAATCAACGTTTGATGAATGCATTGTCATCTGCAAGCCGTGCCCTGTTTATTTTCCTCTTGTACTGACAGGGGCAGTTATGCCATGCAAAGTACAAGAAAATTAGTTTGAACCCGAAAACACCGCTTTAAAAGTTTTTAATATCTTCATCGCATGAATGTGATGTACAAATAAAAAATGTACAGATTAGCTCTGGGATATTCAATTTGCCAATAAGCAACAGCTTTATGCCAAAATAAAAAAATCATTTTATTTGTTTACTTGGCATGTGACTTTTTTTTGCTCACAACTTGTTGCCTATCTTAAACATGGCATGTGAAAGACGAGAAAAAATTTACAATTTCAACTACATATTGTCAGTCATTGTTCTGTCCTTTTGTCCGTCGATTAACCTTAGTGCACGCTATGGAAAAATAATTGAGACAACGTGCAGTTGGCTCAATATTTATTCAATTCAATTGCATAGACACATCCAAAAAGTGAAAAATAGCATAGTGCGGATAGTAAATAACTGCATTTATTGTTTTTGTTATTCCTGCACTCCTCAGATGTACATCCACATATACTATGACACTTTTATTTGCAAATATATATATGAAATATAGAAAATAAAGTTGTGTAAATTTAAGCATTTCTATTTTTATAATGTCGCTACAGTTGACATTAGCTTGAAGATATAAAAAGGCATTCATGAAGAGAATCAAGCAGCTGGCAGCTGGCATAACACGCTGCTAGAAAAAATACAGACAGCAGTGCAAATATGTAAAGCTTGCATTTTGTAAAGTCTTGTTATGCAAGAGAGGGGCGTGAAAAGCACTAGTTGTCTAGTGTTAAAAATTTGGGGGTATGAATTTATAAAATATTTTATTACTAATGTTTCTAAAGTATTACTAGCGCCGGCCTCGTCTTATATATGTGCCTCGTCGCCTTTGTTGTGCACATTTCCAATTGTGCACTCCATTGGCAAAAACTGCTTCTTCTGTGAGCAGACCGTATCTTGGCAAGTCAATGTTATGGTTTTCGTGTGTGTACACTCACGCGTCTGCATTGAAAAATGGAGAGCATGTCTGGGCGTCATTATGATGCCTCCTTAATTTACGCCTGCATAATTCAATTAGTACCCTATGAACTGGTATGCAGATGGAAACTTGTTTTGCGATTCACAACTTAAACATCCACTTCCATGTCTTCAGTCTGTGCAAGTCTTATTTATTATTGTACCAAAAAAGTACAAGAGGAATAGAGGACACGCTTTAAAATATTTGTGATTGGTTGCTGTTTTAATGTTTTAATTAGCGGACAACTTGAACAAACGATTACATACAAATAAAAACGTGTTTGAATGGCATGTATTGTTCTATTAGTAAGTATATGTCACTTGCCTTAAATTCTGCGCGTAAACAAATAATTTTTTATTGGAAATTGTAGGAAGTATTGAAGTTGGGTGCTCAAATTTGTAAACAATAAAAATAGCGTTTAACAACCACTGTATGTATTTTTAGTATGGCTAATCACAATATTTAAATAGTTAAAATAAATTTAGTAATAATGCTTGTGTTTGTAAGAGTAATGCTAATGTTTTTAAACTAAAGCTGCTAAAAGTGTTTGTTTGTTAATTAAAGCGGCATACCATCATATTTATAACATTTACATACTAGTGAGCCTGTTAAAACGCTATGGTTTTATTATTTATAAATTTGAGCAAACTTTAATATTCTACAATTTCCAATAAAAAATTATTTGTTTACGCGCAAAATTTAAGGCAATGACATATACTTACTAATAAAAATACATGCCATTCAAACATTTTATATGTAAAGTATTCTAATGTGCAATTGTAGATAAAACCATTAAAAATACCAATATAAAGCGTTCTCTATTCTCTTGTACTTTTTGCGTACTATTTTACAGACTGAAGATATGGAAGTAATGTTAAGTTGTGATTGCAAAACAAGTTTCCATCTGCATACCAGTTTATAGGGTATTAATTGAATTATGCAGGCGTAAATTAAGGAGGCATCATAATGACGCCCAGACATGCTCTCCATTTTTCAATGCAGACGCGTGAGTGTACACACACGAAAACCACAACATTGACTTGCCAAGATACGGTCTGCTCACAGAAGAAGCAGTTTTTGCCAATGGAGTGCACAATTGGAAATGTGCACAACAAAGGCGATGAGGCACATATATAAGATGAGGCCGGCCTAGTAGTATTTTAGAAACATCAGTAATAAAACCTTTTATAAAATCACACCTATTTTTAATACTAGACAATTAGTGCTCCTCACACCCCCTCTTATTATAACAATACTCTGTAACATTTTAAATTTGGGGTTGTAAATTTATTTAAATTCACTTTTATTCTGCCACAAGTTATAATTTCAATTTAAAAAGCTCAGCGACAATAAATAATTAATAGAAACATATTGTTGAATGACAAATCGCTTTTATTTGCATCATCAGATTCACACTTTTATTGTTTTATTTTGTATATGCTGCTGTTGCTAGTACACAAGGTGCAAATTGTAATTTTAACAAAGAACTTGTCTACATTTTCATTTAAAAAATTATTGCTGGTACTGAGTCAAAAATAATTGCTGCTGCCAATGTTGTCACCGAGTTGCAAATGTACAGAAATAACAAAAAATACAAACAAAAAAGACGTGATATACTGCAAAAGAAAATATTTTATGGTTTTTTAATGTATTTTATTTACTTTTCAATTATTTACTATTTATAGATACTTTTTTTTTTTAAAAAAAAACCAATTGGATGGCCAATCTAACCACAATCAATGAATATCGTGGGATTCTAGTCTGTGATATTTACTATACAATAAAGCAAGTCCTAAAAAATAATATATTTTAAAAAACAATTTTTTTGCATACATTATCCAAGCATATTAAATAGATTTTGTGTAGATTTATATTTTTGGCAGACATTTTATATATTTATACATGTTTTTTTGTAATTCGAGCATAACTACAAGCGTGCAGCCAAAGGAAAACAATAATTTGATTGGCATATATATAAATACAATAATATTGGGCGTCTTTTATTTATTTTTAAATTTCTAAACATCACTAGCTTTTACCAATATCAATTTTTTGCCAGTTTAACCACTGTTTTAATATTAACTATAGTTTTTTTTTTAAAACTTCTTGTTAATATGGTTGCGCCGCAATATAAAGTTTATGTATCTGGGTCATTTAAGGATAGATTTACTAAAATAAATGAAAAAGGTTCAAGACAACTTCTGAACTATTAACACATAAAAATACTTTGGAAATTGCAGAATAATAATATATCAGCATTTATAGGTAAAAGAAAACTTGATGTTGGGGATAGCGCTGAATTAGTTATGGATGGTACAATTATAATTATTAAAAGTGAAGTGGATATAATATGTAGTGCTGTAATATCAAGAATGCATGAGCGGAATATTGGCAATACTATCAGACATTAAACAAATAAAACCTGTTAATTTTTTGTTCATTCGAGTTTTATTTGTATAGACTAAAATGCAGTGTAACTTTTTATAAAAATCAAAAAATTTCAAGTGTTTTATTTAAAAAAATACAGCGCAAGCAATAATCGAAGTAACAACAGCCGTCATGGTAATAAAATTCAGCTTTTCCAAATCCAAAACCGCACTCCTAAAAGCTTCCGACTTTACATTCATATACATTACAAAGTCATGTTCACAATTTCCATCTTCATCGCAGCTGCAGTTTACCGAAGTAGTAGTTTCATGACAACTTTCATCGTGAATATCCAAGTCGTTGAGTTCTTTAATAGATGTTGTGCTGGGTACAGCTGAGATATTTGAGTTGCCAATGCTTTTGGCGTTGATGGCGTCGGCCGAAGAGGCGTAGATATTGGTAGAGCTGAGAAGTGCAAAGAGAGTGGTGTAGAAAATAGATTTGCTGTACATATTTGGAGATGTGAATATATATGTGTGTAAGGTTTTAAATGTTACAATATAATAATAATAATAATAATAATAATAAAGTAACAAAAAGAGGGAGATTTCACAGGTTGCAATATATCTAAGCAAATATAAATAAAAGAAAGGAGGAAAAAAGTTTTCATTCCTTTTATAAGTCTTTGTGCTATCAAATAAATTGTCTTTGTATTGAGGAGCTCAAACAAAAAGAGAAGCATGGATAAAGTACAAAAAGACATGAAAAATTTAAATTAATTGGTATGGCATTATTATCGTCCAAAGCCATTTCCGCATCCTCTTCATCCTCAATGGTATTGACGTTGTCATCGACATTGACATTGGCATCGTCCGAAGCCATTTTCGCATCCTCGTCCACATCCTCGTCATCCTCAATGGCATTAACGTTGTCATCGACATTGACATTGTCATCGTCCTGGGACTCGTTCTCAACATGTCTCTCAATCATCTCATAAACGATCTTGGCCATATGTTCCACTCCCTCAACGACAACTTCCTTCCCACGACCATCCACCGACTCCCGCTGCTCCTCTCCACACCGCTGCTGCTCCCGGTGCTCCCCCACCCTCAGCCTTAGCTTCTCTCCATTCCTGACCAAACCCTGTACAATCCGCTTCATCTCAAAACACGAGTCCAAAACACTCCTTCTCCCAAACACATATAGCCCAAGTCTCGCCCTCGACAACGCCACGGTCATTCTCCTCAGATCTCTCAAGTACCCAATCGACCTAGTCCGCACCAACGACAGCAGCACAAAATCAGCCTGTTCGCCCTGGAACTGATCCACCGTACACACCCGCGGCGAGCCAAAATACGGCAACCAAGCACAGCGTCTCTGCAAAACGTCCCGGATCAGTGCTCGTTGGCCCTGGTACGTTGTCAGGATCGCAATGGAACTGAGGGGGTATCCCAAAAGACGCATGTATTGGAATGCGAGGACGCAGTATTCGGCTTCACCCAGGTTCTGGAAGTAATGCGCGGTGGGCTGGGTTTCGCCCTGGTTGCGGAAATCCGGCGTGTCGATGAACTGGAACGCATTGGTGAACCCCAGGTTAGGCCGGGCAAAGGCACCCTCGGAAGTCTGCGGCGCGAGGTCCTTTAGGTCGCGGTAGCGGAAGCGGTACAGGGAGGCGATTTCCGGACGACAGCGCGCCTGGCGATCGAGCTCCACATACGGAACCCCAAGCCGCACCAGGCGGGTGAAGAGGCTCTGCTCCATATTCGCATACAGCGCCAGGCCTCGGCTGCGCACCACAGGGGGCAGCTGATTATGGTCGCCGATCATGATCAGCCGGCGCAGGTTTCTGGAGAGCGTCAGCGGAATGAGGGTCTCGATGTCCAGCACTTGCGCAGCCTCCTCCATCACCACGGTGTCAATGCGGATGCGCAGCGAAGCCAGCGTCGTGCGGCGCAGCGCCGCGTGGGTGCAGGTCATGGCGATGATCCGCGCCTGGTTGGTCAGCAGGTAGTCGGTGCGCTGCTGCGGCGTGCTCAGCAGCTCAAATGGCTGAATATCCCGCAGCTCATCGAAGATCCGCTGGATGCGCCCAAAGCCGGCCTCGGCGGCCCTGGCGGCGCCGTCGGCGGCCAGTGCACCCGCGTGGGCGAACAGCGGCTGGCCGAGCAGCCGGCCGCAGAACGCCGCAAACGGGAACGCGTCCGCAATGTCCTGCGCATTGCCTGTGGGCAAATACTTGCGGCGGAAGCTCTCCCAGCGCACGCGCACATGCGTGACAAAGAACATGCGCGCAGTCTCGCACGTGTACCCGAAGTCGCCGCCGCCGGCTCCCATATCCGCCGCCAGCTGCGCCACCAGCCCCAGCAGCTCCTGGCGGCGCTCAAGGAACGACTCGACGCGGCCGGCCTTCGAAAAGCTCTCGTCGGCAGCCAGCGCCTCCTCGCCGTGGCCGAGCCTTAGCAGGTGGCGCGGCTCGATGTCGAGGCCAACGATCTTGGCGAACAGCTGGTTGAGCGCCTGGTTGGAGTGCGTCAGCAAAAGGATGGTCTCCCGAGGGTGCGCATGGTACAGGTTGGCGACGGCCTGGACGGCAACGTCAGTCTTCCCTGTGCCGGGCGGGCCCACAACCAGCGTCAGCCCAGGCTGCGCCGCCGACTGGATCGCCTCGACCTGCGCAGCCGTGAACGCAATCGGGTTGCGGCCCGAGCCGAGCAGCAGCGGCTCCGTGGCTCGGCTGCGCACGCGCACAGCGCCATCGGGGGTCTCCGGGAAGTCAACCTCGCACGGCGCACCAAAGCGCCCAACAACCTCGATGCGTGGGTATCGCCGGCCGAGCGCCTGGCGCAGGTGCTCCTCGGACACAAAAGTGTCGCCGAAGAACACCGTCGCTGCACCCTTCGTGTTCATTGCAGCGGCCGCTGCCGGGTCGCCGTAGCCGAGCACCGTTGGCGCCAGCCACGCGGGCAGCTCCGGCGGCCGCATCATCATGTCGCGCACAGCTGCCGCCGCCGCGCCCACGCCACCATCCTGCGCACGCCGCCGCACCACCGCAGTCAGCCGCCCATCGGCGTACACGGCCGCATGGCCGGCGGCAGCGTCGGCCGCGTACTGGTGCGCGTCCAGCAGCACGCGGAACCGCCGCACCGCGCCCCCTGCTGCCGCCGCACCGTTGGCTGCGCGGCCACGCGCATCCAGAATGCAGTCGACCTGGCAGCCACGCACAACGCCGACGTTCGCCGACCCTGCACCGACATTCCCTGGCCCTGCGCCGACATTCCCTGGCCCTGCGCCGGCACTCCCTGGCCCTGCGCCGGCATTCCCTGGCCCTGCGCCGGCACTCCCTGGCCCTGCGCCGGCATTCCCTGGCCCTGCGCCGGCATTCCCTGGCCCTGCGCGCAGCTCCACCAGCAGCAGCGTATCGCGCGGCCTTACGCCCGCATCCCACTCGGCACGCACAGACTCGGTGTACCCGCTTAGGTCCACAGCGATCTCCGCAACGACACGCGTCGGCACGCCATCCTCGCCCACGCGCGGCGGCACAACCTCGACAACAGCCACCGCGCTCAGCGGCAGCGCCATGCGCGCCCAGCCGCCAAAGCCGCCCTCCGCCAGCGGCCGCAGGCGCCGCGCCGCGTCCACCACGGCCTCGCGCACGTCGGCCGCCGCCTCCCACCGCAGAAGCTCGTGGTTGCGCTGCAGGTAGTCGTGCAGGGTCAGGAACTGCAGCCCGAGCCGCGGCACGGAAAGAACCGGGTAGCAGATGCCCCTGGCCGCGGGTGCGTTGCGTGGCTGCCCGTAGTGCTCGGCGTCCGCGAGGACGCCCGAGAACAGCTGCTGCTCTGTCGGGTACGCTGATACGCCGGACACGCGCTCGCCGGCCGTCGGCCGCCGCCGGAACCGCTCGGCAAAACACTGCAGCAGAAACTCCCGTGTGTACGCGCCGGCGCCATCGGCCACGACGATCTCCGCAGGCAGCCTGCCGCCGACCCCGGCCGCCGCCGCCGCTGCCGCAGCGCCATCAAGCACCCGCCTGCGCATGCCCACGGCCTCCGCCATCTGCCCAAGCTCCGCATCATCCAGCGGCGCAAGATGCTCGGCCACCGCCTGGCCGGCAACCTGGGACGCCGCGGCCACGGCCAGGTCCTGCAGCTTCTGCGGGAAGATCCGGAACGCCGCCAGCTGCAGCGCCTCTACGCTCGCATACCAGCCATCGCGCGCCTCCACATCGCTCAGCGCGCGGCCCTGCACTGTGGCCACTTGGAAATGCACCAGGGCGTCGAGCTGCTCGACCAGTTCGCCGAACCGCCGCGCCAGGTGGCCTGTGCGCCGGAGCCACGGCGATTGCCTGCAGAGCTCCACCACGTGCGTGTCCATAAGGAGCAGGTTGACGAACCGCCGGGTGGCCAGCTGCGACTCCAGCAAAACCAGCAGCGCAACGAACCCACAGGCATACGCCAGCGCGGGCTCGTCGTCGTCCGTGTCCCGGCGGCCGTGGTGGCCGGCTCTGCTGGGAACAGGCTGCCGATAAAGTCGGCAATCAGCAGCGCCAGGAAATCCGCATTCCTTCGCGCTCCACGCTTGTCTCCACAGTCCCTGCTGATCCTCTTCCCTGCGTGTTTCCACAGTCTGCGCAGCTGCGGCACGGCCTCGAGCTCCGCCTCAACCAGCGCCTGGCCCTGCACATGCCGCCACACGCCCACAGACACCAAGGGCAAGCACGCGTTGCGCACATTATCCGCCTGCAAGCTGCCAAAACACCCTGTAAGGAACTGCACCAGGACATTGCGCGCCGACCACATGTCCAGTCCACCGACAGGGTCCCCAGGCACCCCACCTTCTCCTCGGACAACACGGTCCGTGGTTAAATCCACCACACGCTCAACCAGCATGCCGGCACCTTCTGCCATCATCTCCCATGCGGAATCCACCAACGCCCGCCCGCCACTCTGCTGCTTCTCATTGACCATCAGCAGAATCGACATCACGTGCGTATCAGACGCTTTCGCGTGGAAGTATGGCCAAAGGTATTGCTCCAAGTACTGGTGCCGCTCGAGCGCCTGCAGGCTTGCGCGCGAGTAATTTGTGCCAATAATGTGCGAGCACACCACTGTGTCGATTAGAGCTTCTTGGTATGTTGGTGGCTCAGTGGGGTTGGATACTTGGGCCCAGTGCGTTTTGGCTAGCTTTGCGATCGTGGAGCTCTGCTGAGTATCGTTGTTGGATGGGGTTTCTTCCTCTGCTGCTTCGGCCTCTCCTGCTGCTGCCCCTGGGTTGATAGCGCTGAGTGGCAAAGGGTCGGTGGATACTGTCGATCGCCCGGGGATCGATCGCTTGCCTCCTCTTCCTCTGCCTCTGCCTCTGCCTCTGCCATTGCTTTTAGGTCCCATGCTTTTTCCTTTTCTGTGGTAAGCTAAAATAGAAATATAAATGTAAAAATAGAAATAAATAAATAAATAAACAAGCAAGTCTGATTAAAGAAAAATCAATGAAAAATTCATAGACAGCAAATCGCCAATTGTCCTTAATCAACGCACTTACGGGGCTCTATACCCATCCACACAATTACGCCAATAATAAAAATATATATTATTAATTAAATTTCACACCACATTGCGCCTACTAATAACAGCCATCAGCCTAGACGCATACGCAGCAGCCGGCATATTCATAGCAGCAATAAACGCCACGCGCTCCAAAACATCATCCCCAGACTGCCACACCCTCAAACGATCCACCTCCCCTTGACGTCCAAGCCTGCGATCTGCCCATTTTTGTAACTGCTCAATAACCTCTATACCCTGAACAGCCAACCAAACCGCCCTCTGCTGCTGCAATTGCAATTGGTGTTGATGAGAAGAAGTGGGGTTGTTGTTTTCGGCTATGGAGGATTTCAGCAGGTTGGGCGAAATCATCTCGAGAACATGCGTTTTTTCCTGTCGAATACTCTGCGCGAGCGCAAACAAGTCAAGCTGCCCGCAATCCTCAGTAGTCCCATTGGACTCCCGATGAGCCCCCTGCTCCTGCTCCTGCTCCTGCCTCTGCCCCTGCCCCTGCTCCTCCTCCTCCTCCTCCTCCACAACAGCAGAAGCAGGAGCAGGAGCAGCTGGCTTGTAGAATGGCCCATGTATCAGGACATGTCGCGAAATCCACTGTCTCAACTGCTCACCATCAATCCCATTATCTGCCATTGCCATCGGGATGCGATTGCAGCCGCGCCATCTGCAGGCATCGGCCTCAACCACATGTTTAGCCAAATGCTCTCTCGCCTGTTGCTCACTAACAAACACCTCCAAGCATCCATCCCATAGGCATGCATTCGGATCAACCACCGAAACAGGTGCCGGAGGTTGCCTGGGAGTCGCCCCACTATTGCTATTGTCAACAGCCACTGCGGGAATAGGCATGATATGCGGGGACCGAGCCTTAAGATGCAACGCCATATACACAACCATCGGTGAATTACTCCCACCACCAGGAAGACCATTACGCTGCTGCTGCTGATTAATTATGCTCTCGACAAGAGCTGTTTTGGGAAACACTGCGGCAACTACCCGCATCATCTCGTTAATGTTGAGCGCCCGTCCAATATGAGGCACTGTCTGGCTCTGTTTGGCCACCTTGTAGCGCCCGAAAAGCTCAGAGACGCTCACCTGGTGTGCGGCTTGTTGCGGGTTCTCCGGCGTGACAAACTCGTAGTTGAGGAGTACCCAGGTACAGGCCTCGCGCAGCTCCGGTTCAGTCGGTGGTCGGTTGGCCGCTGCCCTAATTTGCTCTGCACTCATACCCTGATGCTGTTGCTGCTGCTGCTGATGTTGGTTCTGCTGGTGGTGGGTCTGCTGAGATTGCGCTGGCTGCTGGGTTCCTGGATGAGTCTCTGGATGGGATCCTGTGATTTCGGTAGGCGGGTATGCGGCGGCCACCCATTGCTGCATCACCAGCGCGACCAGCGCTGACAGTCCCGAGGGAAGCATACTGGGCTCCGACCCTTCCGCCGCCGCCCCTGTTGCTGCTGCTGATGTTGCCATATTGACCGAGCGAGGAATTGGGCGGAATCCAAAAATCGGCGTCTGCACGCCAGACTCACCGCCAGACGCCTCCGCCTCGCCCAATCCGGCACCACCAACAGCCCCCACCCGCCTCCTCCTACGCACCGCTGCCGCCGCCTCTGCAGGCCGTCCACTCTTCGCTGCAAACGCCTCAAGCTCTTCATCCAGCGCCTTAGCCATCGCCTCCAGCCGTACAGTATTCAAGAGCACCTCGAAACACGCTCCGACGATCTCAACATCGGGTGCCAAAATGAGCTCCGCCAGCCGACAATTAACCATCTGGCCAATAGGCGATATTCTCGCGGTATTATCCGCTGCAGTCATGGCTGCGGCCCATTTGGGAATGGGTAGGGAGAGGATTTCGCGCGCGAGCTGCGGATGCCATGAGATTGACTGCACCATGAGGCGCAGGGCGCCGAGCACCAGCTTGCGCTCCTGCGACACGTGGATAATGCGCACAAGCTCCTCCCATAAGCAGGTCTCGACAAGGGTGAGTGGATCCAGGCTGGAGGCCTCGCGGGATCCAAAAATCGGCCACTTGAGCACCGGCATGGTGTCGAAGGGTGGCTGCGGGGCCAGCGGAATAATGGTGTCCAGGAGATCGAGGAACTCCGCCTTGATGCTGACCAGCAGAAGGTCATCCTGTGGGAACGTCCGCAGCCACTGGGTCGCTTCAATGGTAATTCTCGGGTCCTGCGCCATCAGCTGGGCGCCATCCCCGACCTGCGACAGATTAAACAGCGCTGTGCTCAGTAGTCCACTGCGCTCGCCCGCCCGCTGCACCACCATCTCCAGCCCCGAATCCCCCAGCGCCACCTGTTTCACCGAACCCCCTGCCAGAACAGCCGCCCGGACCGACCGCCCAACCCGCCCACCCTGGCCGCCAGTATCGCTGGATAGGGTGCCTTGTCGCAGCTCCTTGCGCGACCTTTCGAGCACCCGCAAAATCGCCTCAAGCAAAGACGGCGCATGCTGCAGTATCGACCAGTTGTCGTTAAGCAGATTGGTTGCCGCCACCAGCCGCGCACACGCCCAGTCAATCTCATTGTCCAGGTTGGACTTGAGCGCTAAAGCAAATCGGTTGAATGGCCCGCCGGAAAGATAGCTGAGGTGCTCTTCCGTGATATAACCGTCGTGTCCGGGCAGCATATGGTCGAAGTGCGTGCTGGCTGTGGACGCGGGCTTGGGCTCGTTGGGGACTAGGCGTGAGCGAGAGCCTGACGGTGCGGATGCTGGTACTTGTTGGTGCTGTTGATGGAATTTATTGCTTGGGTCATTGATTGAAGTAAGACGCTGATGCTGCTGCTGCCGCTGCACTGGTGAAATACCGCCGCCCTGTTGCATGGTACGAAATATAAAACCCTATATTAATTTAAAAAAAACTAAGTAGTCTTATGAATTGTTAGAAATTGAGCAAAAAAAAAGGCGAGCGAAAAACGAAATAAAAAAGGAAAGAAATTGGTTTTTTCATACAACCGACGCGACAACCCAATTTGATGTCAACACGCCATTTAGATGTGTCAAACTCTTATGATAAATATCACGTGCATAAAACATTTATTTATCGCCTCTTTGTTGTAAAAACGTTTTCTCAGTAGTGCGCCAATCAAACCATTACAAGAGGTTCTTTGTTTTTATTTTTTTTTGGTGAACGCGTTTTGTGATTTTTAATTTTTAGATCCGATGAAAAAAGCAAATGAACAATGAACGAAAAAATCCAAGCCACAGATTTAACTTTCTTTTATTTTTGGTTGGCACTTTTAAGTTTCTCTATTTTTATGTATCCCAAGTAAAAAGTTCAATTCACACACACACACACACACACACATTAAATGACTCAGCATTTCGAACGCTACTTTGAAAGCATCAAGGACCACACCAGCTCTGATGATGAGTGTGTTTACCCCACCACCAGCACAAAATGTAGCAAGAAAAAACCCCCACCAGCAACCAATCACACCTCGGTCCTCGCCAACCCCGAAGCCATCCGACTGGAACTAACCACCGACCACAAAATGTACTACATCAGTGGTGCCCAAGTGCACTTCCCATTTACGCCCTATCCGTCACAACTGGGCATGATGCAGCATATGATCCAGGCACTGAACAATGCTCAGAACACAATGATTGAGAGTCCGACAGGGTCAGGAAAGTCTCTGGCATTGCTGTGTGCGGCGCTTGCGTGGAGGCGCGATTTCAGCGCGAAGTGCAAGTTGAGGTTGAGTAATGCGCGTGTGGTTGTGCGCAAGTATGCGATGTATAGCGCTGTATTGTCCGCTACTGAGGAGATGGAGGTGGTTAAGGGGGAGAAGGGGGACTGTGGGGATGACAATGGAGACGGAGACGGGGATGAAAAGAAGCCTGATGTGACTGCGGATTCTACAGCCGCTACTGATGTCGCCGATGACAAGCCTGATCTGTCCGCAGCGGAGACCGAGGTCATGTTTGCCCCTGATCTCACTGCCGACATGAAGCCCAAGATCGATCCCAGTACAGGCGACCTTGTCGCTGCTGATATGGATTTTGTAACACCCGCAGCAACTCCAGAAAAAAAACCAATGGCACAAAAGGCTGAAATGCCCGCGAATCCGACTCCTGGTTCCGATACCAAGCTGGCTGAGGCCTCAGCCGAATATCACAGAGCAGTTGCCATGGCTGATCTGCCCAAGACCGTCACATATATCCTTGCGGCGGCCAAAATCGCAATTCCGCCAGGGCTGACACCAGAGGACATTGCCACCCTCGAAGAGTTTCAGAAGCATGGGTCCGTTGTCAGCTGCTCCCCGCGTATATATTTTGGCTCGCGGACGCACAGGCAGGTGGCGCAGCTGGTTGACGAGCTTAGAAGAAAAACGCCCTACCGTCTGCGTACAGCTGTCTTGGGGAGCCGTGCGCAGACCTGTATTCGCCAGAAAAAGAACACTGATCAGTCGGTCGACGACATGTGCCGAGCGCTGTTGGACGAAGACAACTGCAGCGCTTACAGTGGGTTTCGCAAGCTGATTGGGCACAAAAAGGTGGCGCGCGGAGGCGACATGGAGATCTGGGACATTGAGGATATTGTCAGCCTTGGAAAAAGGCTGAACGCTTGTCCTTACTACGCCGCACGCGAGCTGGCGGGAACCGCTGATCTGGTGTTCTGCCCGTACAACTACATTCTGGATCCGGGAGTCAGGGAGGCCGCCGGTATTGAACTCGAAGGCAACATTGTTATCTTGGACGAAGCGCACAATGTTGAGAACGCTGCGCGCGATGCCAGCTCCTTGGAGGTCACCGACCAGCAGCTGGGCACCCTAGTCGGCGAATGCAGGCAGCTGAGCAATAATAATGTCTTGCCCTTATCCCACGAGTTCGTCGGTATGTTTGCCGAAGGGCTCCTTGGCTGGCTGAACGATCCGTCGAGCACCTATGAGCACCGCGATTTTGAGACGCAGACGTCTGTGTGGCCCAAGAATGATGTCTCGACGAAGGACCTTTTTAGGCACCTGTCAATCACGCTGGAATTTGTCCGGCGCCTCGAGATAGAGACCGAAAAGCTGGAAGATTATATTAAGGAGGTGCGCGCTATAAAGGAGCAGGGGAAACTTATCGATAAGAGCGCCATGCTACAGTTGAGGACCAGGAACAACTCCCCCGATGAGGTCGACATGGAAGAGGAGCAGCAGCAGGATAAATTGACTCTAAAGCATCTGTCTGCCGGTTTGATGCGCCTTCTCAGCGGGATGGTGCGGGTGCTCAAGTACACGTCTCCGGGAAGCAAGTACCACCATGACTATCGCATAGCCAAGATCAAAAAGCCTAACCCTGAATACCACGACAAGGGCCCACAGCGCAAGCGACGGAGAAAGTCCACACTACCACCTCCGCCACCCCCGCCATTTGTCAATGTCATGGCATTCTGGGCGCTCAACCCTGGTGTCGTTTTTTCAGAAATTGCAAGCTATTCGCGCTCGATCATCCTGACGAGCGGAACGCTGTCACCGCTCGACAGCTACGAGTCGGAGCTGCAGGTGTATTTTGCAAGCAAGCTCGAGGCCAGCCACGTCATCGACCCTGCCCGCTTCTCTGCCATGGCCATTGAGTGTGGGCCATCTGGATTGGTTCTCGAGGGCAAGTATAACACAGTGGACACATTTTCGTTTCAGGACGACGTTGGCCAGGCGCTGTGTTCTATTGCTTCCAGTTCTCCCGACGGCATGTTGGTTTTCGTCACTTCCTACGCCCTGTTAAACAAGCTGATTGCGCGTTGGAGAATGACCGGACATTACGACGAGCTCAACGTGCACAAGACCGTGTTTGTCGAGCCCAGGGGCGGATCCAAGGACGAGTTTGAGAAGCTGCTGGCTGAATACCGCAGATGCCTTGCTAGTGACAGGCTGCCCGGCCAGCCTCTGGCCCGAGGCGCAGTGATGTTTGCTGTGTACCGCGGCAAGGTCTCTGAGGGAATTGACTTTTCAGACTTTTTCTGTCGCACGGTGGTCAACATTGGCATTCCGTACCCGGCATTCAAGGACGTCAAGGTCATGTTGAAGCGCGAGTACAATGACCAAATGTATAGACAATACCAGTATCCCCAAGGTTCAAGCAACGGCAACCAAGCAGCTGCTTCTACGGGCTTGCTGAATGGATCCAAGTGGTACGATACCCAGGCCTTCCGGGCGATTAACCAAGCGCTCGGCCGCTGTCTTCGGCACAAAGACGACTGGGGAGCAATCATTATGCTGGAGTCCCGGTTTGGTCAGTCGTGGAATATCAACCGTTTGTCCAAATGGGTTCGTCAGCATTTGCGCGTGCATAGGAATTTTGGTTCGGCAATGGCGAGCCTCGACGAGTTTTACCGCGTGCGCATTCAGGAAGACCAATTGACATTTGCTGAGACGCCCGACATTGCGGAAGTGCAAACCCTGACTGGTGATGTTGCTGGTGGCGATTCTGATGTTGATGTTGAGTTTAACGCCGGTTCATATCCTTGTATTTAATATTGAAACTGTGTCAGGGGGACCTTTGATCTGACAAGTATACTTTAAAATCGAAGTAATTTACTAACACCCCTTTCTAAAAGTTATTTCGCTATTTATATATAATGATTGTTTTTTAAACGTTACGTGGGTGTTTAAGTGTTTGGTAAGGCTGGCTACGTTGCGTGTAATTGAATTGGACAACCTCTATATTTTACAATATCGGGCTCATTCAACCCGCCATACACAATAGCACATTGCTACGCCAACACGTACATGTATGTTAAAGGTTTTTTGTTGACTATTTGTTTTCAATAAATTATATTTGTGCATCTAGCTAAATTAAAAAGTGTGCGTATCTGATATATATAAATAACCCAGCTAAACAATACTGGTTGGTGCTTGTCAGGTCTAAAAGTCGTAAAGCAGGCTGTCAATTTGGGCTTCAGTCGGTGGCGATGGTCTCCAGATGCTGGCGGGTGCAGTGTCAGTCGAATGTCTCATTTCTAAGTTGAGAAAATATTGTCCAAACAAAAATAAATTTGAAATAAGATAGTATGCAAGTATTGCTGAAAAATTGGATAGATGAGAATGTTTTGATAAGGAGAGATGACAATGGCGTGGCTGCAATGCTTATTTTATACTTGTAGGTATTATGCTTGCACAGTGGAATGTTCTACCCGTCGCATCCAAGGCATTTACAGCCACATCTTCTTTGTTCAATTTACGTAATGCTTTTTGCCACACTACCCTTCGGACTATTCCTTGATTAGGCTAAAAGAATAATAGCAAAAGAAACATTCAGCTGATTTGCCTGTGCAGCAAGGATTTTCAAGTGACGGAAATAGAAAGAAACCACAATCTATTTGTTCTATTTGTTTGGTTCACTTTTCGACATATTATCATTCTTCTATTTATATATGCAGTACATATATGCTCACATGGATCGACCTGCAGAGCACTCGTTTTGACCATGCGCCCTTTGGCTTGAAAAATGCAAGGCTTGAAAAATAGATGTGAGGAAAAGAAAAGAATAGCTAACATGAATTTTTCTTTCACATTTATGCAGGCACTTCGCAATTACACATACATAATATTTTCTTTTTTACTTTTTCTTTTTTGGACACCACTCCCCACTATATCAAATTTTTTTGATACCATGTCTTTGTCGAAAGCTTTTTTATTTTTCCATGGGGTAATGTGGCTGTTTGCTGCTCCTGCTGCAAATGCTAACTGGTTTATACAACATTATGTATGGTTGATTGCTTCATACAAACAACTTTTTGTGTGCTCAATAATACAATACAATAGGCGCAATAGTAAACAAGCCAATATAAAAAAGCACGAGCTAATCGTCTTTGGGGTGAACCAAACTAATTAGATTAAGTTAAGCTCGTGGCTACAGCTGCATAGATGTATAAGTGAGCAGCTTAAAAAATTACTAAAACCCAATAGTAAAAGTTATATCACCAATTGAGCGCTTAGACGCTACAAGACGTCAAAGTTTTTTGTAAAATGCTGTGTACCAAAAAGTATTACAAATAAAATTTTATTTCTAGCAGCATTTAATGAGTTGAAAGCGTTTATTTTTTAAACAAAAATTGTGGTGCCCAACCCACATTCCAGGCCACTATTCCCATTTTCAAGCGCCAAGCTTATCAAGATTGTTTTTACGGCCGCAATGTTTATTCTGGATATTGCTGGCTCACATCAAGTGTCAACAAAACCTTTACAACGCCACCCACATAGAGCTGCCTCTTTCGGTTCTACATTAGATTTTTTAAGATATTTCCAATTTATTTAGTATACCACACCCCAGAATTAAAAAACATTTGAATGTATAGATTCGTGTTAAAAAACCTGGTTATTTAAAATAAACATGCTATATAAAATAAACAAACTATTAATACATACACCACGCATGTTGCAAACATTATTTTTGAATTTCAAAAAGACAAATGCATTATGGAAAATAGGATGTAATCTCAATGTTGTTTTAATAGCAACAAATGTGCAGTTACTAGTGTAGTAATTAAATGACAATCTCAATTTAATTTTATAGACTGGATAAAGCAATTCAGGGGCATCTAATTTTAAAAGGTTTAATAAGTTCAGCAGGATTACGATAAATTACTATATCTGGAATTGTATTTGATTTACCATCTAAATAATTTTTTATTGTCTCATTTTTGTATAAAAGGTCGTCTGTTTGAAGAGTTTTTTCACCAATTTTTGCTGTGAACCTAAGATAATTTTCATATTGTGTGCCTTCTAATAGACTGATAACGGTAGTTTTTTTATCCACATTAATTTTCTCTATAATTAATTTATTTTTATTCAACGGAATATATAAATAAACATTGCATTGAAGTTTTTCATTTTTAGATGGTATTGATACTGGTGCTGGTGCTGGTGGTGCTGGTGTTAAAAGCAGTTAAAAAATATATACCTAGGATTAATATAAAAATTTATAAAATAAGAGCTAATTCTATTCTTTTTATACCAAATGTATTCATGTATGCTTTAACAATATAAGCTTGTAAATTTTTTATTACACGTATTCAAATAATATTTTTGCAATTTTTCAACATTCAGGAATAAAAATGCCAAATTTTAATTAATTTATTACTTACTCCTTTTATAAAGCCGTGGAAAAATTGGCTTGCAGACTTGACATTTTGTCACCTGTTTTTTTACTTTAAGCAAATTTATAAATGATTTTTAATTAGACACGTTTTTATTTTGTTTGACTATAGAAATTATTATTAACAAAAATACCGCATCCCATTTTTGGCGGTTGTTTAGTAAATTAAAAAAACTGTACAGAAGGCCAATTTGTGTCATGTTACCTGTTGTTTATTTACTTATTTTTTTCTTAAAAAACAAGACTTTTGAAGCGCACACATTTTTTGACCACACAGCAGCTACAATTAATTGGCAGGGGTTACTTTAAGTTTTTTTTACACATTCCCAATTTATTTTAACATTGTTGCATCAACAAAGTTTTAATAAAATTGTAAAAATAACTTCTACTTTTACTTATAATTCCATTTATAAAGAATTGTATATAAATTTAAACAAGCAATTCATTGCAAATAATGACATTTAAAATTATATTGCATGCTATTATTTGCTAGAAACAAGGTTAACGGACACACTGGTATATTGACATGTGCTAAGAATAAAAATTGTTTAAACAATATAATTGATCGTTAAAAAGTAAAAAGTAAAATACAAAAAATAAATAGTACCCAAAGTTATTTACACAATAAAAGTATAAATCTATTATTTGTTTTTAAGCACAACGCGGTACCGGGCCTTGCCGCTGTTGATATGCCTAATGGCCTCATTGACCCGTTTTATGAGGAGCTGTTTAATGGTAGAAAAATATTGTGCTTAGCCATAAACTAAGTTTTTTGCATGACCTTAACCCCTGAAATCATTGATCCTGTAATGAAAACCTCATATTTAATAAAAAAACACTGACACGCTGAGCTGGCCCACCGGCAGACCAAGTAGGACAATCTGGCCGCCAAAATCCATCCACGAATACAATTTGCCATACTGGCTGGTATGCAAGTTAGATGTGACAAACAGGTAGTTTAGGGTGTTACTCATAGCCTTGACTTTCTCCCTATTGGCAGTGTTAACAAAGATAGAGACACCAAGCTTTAAACACTCTTTGCGCTTGTTAGTCAAGTGTAAAATTCCAACAGTCTCGGCACCCAGTGTATGAGCGTACTGGATGGTAAGATGGCCCAGACCGCCAATTCCAATGATACCAACACAGTCACTCTTACTGGCGCCCTTGCACAATATGGTAGAAAAGACTGTGGCTCCTGCGCACATCAGGGGTGCCGCATGCGCGGATTCAATGGAAGCAGGGGTTTTGAACGCATATTTGGCGTTAACATGCACAGCCTTAGCGTAAGCACCATAGGCTTGCTCACCATCAGATTACTTGGAGTTGTATGTGAAGACGCTTTTGGGGCAGTGTGGAGTCGAGGTTGTGGCTGCAGGCATGGCAACTATTTTCTAGATAACCGTATGCCTGGGCTCCAAAACTAACGAGGTTACCCTCTTCCGGTGAGTTACCTTGGATTCTTTTGTAATAACCTTGCCAGCAATTGCGTGACTCGCAGTGGCTGGGTACATGGTTTCCGACCGCTCATCCTTGATTGCGTGCAGGTCAGAGCTACATATTCCAGTATATTCAATTTTGACCTCCACATTGTTGTCGCTGAAAGGGCGTGGCATGTAGGACCAGAGCTCGACCTTTATTCCGGGATTCATGGCGGCCCAGCCGTGGATTTTGTTAATTTTTCCTCAACCATTTTGCTGTCAAAATTATTTTGTCTATGTATGTAAAATAAAATTGTATCATAATAAAACGCTTTGAAAGATGAGAATGGAAAGCTGGAGTGTAGTGCGACAAAGATTCTATTTATGTTATTTTAGTATCTAAAATTATTTTTATCTGTGTTGCAGGATGTCACCAAACTGCAAACTAAAATAAAGTGACTATTCCGGTTATAGTCAAAAGTCAACCAGGCTGCTGTGTAACATCTACACCACCTTCTTTTTCCCACTGCTTGTTGTTTACTTTTTGTTTACGCTCGAGTTTATTGATTGCTCTCACTTATTACTCATATCTTTCTAAATTGCTCACAATAATAGCCTGGACTAACAGAATAGTGATTGTTTGTGGAAAAATGCATGTTGCCAGTCTATTATTTATTCAGCTTGATACGCAATACAAAAAATTGCTCTTGTGTGTGTGAATATAATTTTTATGCTAAAAATCAAGATGTACAAATACATCATTTTTCTGTCAGTATTTTTGTCTCATACAAAATTGTCGGCCTTAAAAAACATGTCTAAGAATAATTCAGCTGTTTATTAAATCAGCCTTTCAATTATTTGCAAAGCTGTCATAACACCCTTTGGATGTCAAATTAAAAAAGACATGCAAAAAAATCGGGTGTATAAAAATGAGATATTGAGTTTAATGATTAACCTATGTCTTATGTCGCTTTCATTCAATTTCAGCAAAAACATATTTTGTATTCTGCACTGTATAAAAAATTAAGAGTAGGAAAAGGGGGAGAGCAATGTAAAATACAGAAAAGAAGGAGTTTCAAAGAGTAATTTGTTTTGAGCAGGTGGTTGTTAGTTAACCACTTTATTACTGAGCGCCTCGTTTTGATTTTCGTCAATTTTGTATATTTGTTATACTGTGCGGTATATATGCGCATGAACTCTGTGCAAATTGCCAGCCAAATTTATTTTTTATTTATATTTATGTGTCGATATTCAATTTTTTGTTAAGCCATTTGTTTTTTTGTAAATGTTTCATTTGACAACGGACGCGTGGTGTCTTTTTTATTTAAACGGAATTTTTATATTGTATTTTATATATATATGTATTCTATTATTTTTGTATTCGCATTTTTATTTAATAAACCAACTGTTGTCCTACTTTCGACTGCAAACAAAAACATACTTTTTTATTCCAGCTTAATATTTTAATAATTAAATTTGGCCAAATGCAACCCAACAACACTATTCAAAACATCACTTTGCAGCTCTGTGTCTGGTGTGTATTGTCCGGATGGGTGTGTCAGGACTGCTCAAACGTTTACTACACGTTTGAGGAGGTTGCAGCTCACTCATCTGCTTGCCCAAATCAATAAAGCCGGTTCAAACGACATGTCGACTGATGCATTTGTTGGTGTATCCATTCCGAGCTTCTCTTCTTTTCTATTCTTGTTTTTTTTGTTAATTCGTATGATTTATTTTCAATAAATAATATAATTATTTGACTTTCAAAAACAAAACCTGATACATTACTTTGTTTTTTTAGATTCTTGCACAGCATTGGCTTTGTCTTTGCCCGCATTAATTGTCACAATATCCTGCTCCGCCTGATACTCCTTCAGCACCTTGGGTATAAGCGATCCTTCGACATACACGCGGCCAACAACATAAACGACGCAGGCAGTAAGAATGCAAAACATAATAGCAACCACCGGCTGAATAATAAACGCCTCCTCATGTCTCTTCGTAGCCATTAACACAGTCATCCCCGTACCCTCATACCATCTCTGATTAAACTGCATTGTTGTAACTCCGCTGACTGTTTCAGGCAACGGTTGATCAATCACCGGATACACGGCACCAGCCACTAAATTGCCCTTTTGGCCATGAAACACAACGTTGAAATTACCCCCAATCCGCTTCACAACCTGGCCATCTTTTGTTCTTCCGCCGCTACCACGTACTTTTACGCCGTCAACCTTGATGGCTAGCTCCAGGTACTGGGAATGCTTGAGCTTATTGCGTTTGACACGGCATCGCAGAGGATGGTCGAGGGAGATGCTGCGGAGAAGAGTTTCGTGGAAATCGTCGTCGGCCTTGACCGAGCATTGCGTAGGGCCATCACGCCCGTAGTGGACGGACAGGGGCCGCCGGGTTTCAACACAGGTGGGGCTGATCCATTTGGGTGCTTTGTTGGTGCCGAGCTCTTGCCCCTTTTCCCCAAGCTTTGCGCACTCGATTTTAATTTCGTCGCCGTAACTGAACTCTAAAGAAGGCGATAAATACTAGGGAGATACGTTTAGTTTGTGTATGAGCTTTAGACAATATACGTCTTTTTTACAACATAGTAAACCGTTTTCATCACAAGTTTTATCTTTATTTTGCTCTTACCGTCGTCTACAGGTGAAAACTTGCCCGCGAGCGCGGCGTATGAAAGCGCCAGCAGCACAATACAAAATCCGAAAAGCTTCATCTTTTATATCTGTGTAACAGCAAAATGCAGTGTATGTTTGTGGGTATTTACGAGTAAATGAAAACAAAGCGAAAGAGAGAAAAGATACAGAAAGTGAGGTTTTGTGCTCCCGACCACCAATAAATATGTGAATATAATTTAAACACAGAAACAAGCAAAATCGGCTTCCTTTTCATTGTTCCTTGCTCCTTGTCCCCTGTTCAGTTTGCGTGCTGAAAATATAAAAAATCCGACACGCCGAGCCAAAATGAATTGACAGTAACGATTTTCACTGCGCTTTTTTCCTTCTCATCATTTCCCGCTCACTGTAATGGCTTTGTTTTTTCTTACTCGATTTGGATATAAACGTAACGGCAAAGTTGTTATTTCTTCAAGTAAAATGGAAGAATTCAAACCCAGTAACCAAAAGGATATATGAAAAACACCCTAGAAAGTGAAGTAAAAAAGGGGATTTTACTCCCAGCCGTCCTGGCCAGCGCCATTGTCAACGACGTCGTTGACAGGGGCAGGCGGGGCAAAGCTATGCTCGGGAGCAATCTCGCCACCCAGATCGGGGTTGGCGAACCCAGGCGACATGGGAGAGCGAGGGGAGCGAGGGGAGCGAGGAGAGCGGGGGGATCCAACGGATCCGCGCGAGTGAGGCGAGTGGGGCATCGGCGGCGCCATATGCACGTCAGCGCCATGGCGCTCGTCGCGAGGGCTGCGCGAAATCGACCGCGAATCGCGAGACACCGAGCGACGGGACATGCGGCGGCCGTTGCCTACGGGGGAGCGCGACCTGTAGCCGCCGGACCTGCGGCCGTTGCCTGCGGGGGAGCGCGAGCGCGAGCGCGAGCGGGAGTGGCGGCGGGCACGGCGAGGCGAGAACGAGCGGTCGCGAGGCCCACTGCGGGCACCCCTGTCTGCGCCGCGAGAAGCGGGGTCCTACAGCAAAGGAAAAATCAGGCGATAAATCAAAAAATCAAGCGGATATTGTTTAGCTGACGCGCGTCGTATCAAGCACTGATTCGCACAAAACATGACATTCGTGTTATTCTTACCTCGCGCAGAACGACGCGGCGGCCGCGCAGCTCCTCGCCATCGAGCTTGCGGAGCGCGTTTCTCAGGCCGCTCTCGTCAATAAACTCAATGATGCCCTCCCCGGGACGCAGCTTGTGTGCGTCGGCAAACGACACTTCGCCAGCGCGGCGGGCAAAGTCCTTGAGATCCTGTAGAGTGCAAAACACAAAATAAAAAAGCCGAACATCCCCAAATTTCACCCCCACGGTCACGGAATCCGACGTAGCCCAGAGGCGAAACCATCCCCCCGAGAAAACCGAAGCGAGAAATAGAGAGAGCGCGATACCAGTCAGTCAGTCGATTAGTCGATTAGTCGATTAGTCAGCCAGTCAGCCAGTCAGTCAGTCAACCAGTCAACCAGTCAGTCAGTCGGCGCCATACAACGCGCTTTGGACAAATGTAAATAGCAAGCCTGTGCTCGAACGCCGCCTCCCAAAAACAGGCAAAAAAAGCAACGAGCAAGTCGATTCGCGAACAGCAACCATCTCCTCCCCACTCTCTCTTTTCTTCTCCCTCTCCCGTCTCAATTCATCCGAGAAAAGAAGGCGTTCCCCCAGAGCAGCCAAGCAAAAGAAAGTCCCACTGTCTCCGCGCAATTTCAACGCCCGCAGTATAACCGCCATTTTTATATCAACACAAATCTTGTAAAGAATACTTTCTCTGCTTGGGCGTGTGTATACAGCTTTCTAAGCCTCCAATCTGCTAATGATTGCAGGGCGTATGCAAGGCGCGAGGCACGGCAAGCAGGCAAAAAAGACAGAAACATGTTACAAAAAACAAACAGAAACAGAAAGCATAGCCACAATAGCACCAGAGAGACCGGGAAAAAGAGAGGGGAGAACATCACAAACAACAGTCAACTTACCTGCCAGCTAACAGACGACGACAGATTCTCGACCAGCATGCGGAACGGAGTCCTCTGAGGCGCGCTCATCGGGCCGCCCATACGAGCGCCACGGGCGCCACGCTCCTCACGACGACCAAAATCGCCGCGCTCCGGACGACGCTCCCCTCCGCGATCCCCGCGATCCCCGCGCTCCGAACGACGCTCGACGCGAGCGGGCTCAATCAAAAGACGCTCGCCCATAAACTCGCGGTTGTTAAAGTCGTGCATCACGTCCTCGGCGTCGCGGCGGTCGCGGAACTCGACGAACCCAAACCCGAAAGCAGGCAAATGTCGCGGATTTGTCCATAGTCCTTGAAAAGGCGCTCAATGTCGCGCTCGCGCACGTCGCGGGGAAGACGACCAACGTAAAGACGAGACATAATGATATGTTTTGTTTTGTTTTTGTTTTTTCAAAGAAAAAAGTTTGGGAGTGTTATAAATCTACGTTGAAAAATAAAAAATAATTCAAGTGTAGAAACAAAAGAGGAGAGCAAAAAAAAAGCTACTTGTTAAAAAGGCGCCAATAAACAAAAGAACAAAAAGAAGAATTTTCGCGACCTATTTGTCTTTTTTATTTAGCTCCCCCTATCCAAAAGAAAAAATACCAGTAAGCGGAAGGCAATTCCGATTGGCTGCTCAAATGTACCGGCCGCTTTTGGGGCCAGTTTACGCCTCGGGTGTTTATTAACACGTGATATATTATTTATCTGGTTTATTTGAACGAAGACGGGAATTTCGGATATTTTGGAAGAGCGAACGGCTTGGGCAGTCTCTCCTTGCACACACCGGTGCATTTGGGCCAGTGGCTCTCGTACAGTGCAAACGTTTTTAGTTTCTTGCTGCAGAACGAACAGATGAATTCGTCACCGACTTTGTTGAACTGAACGAATCCCTTTCCGCCAAATGAAGTGAAGTTTGACATGACCGTATAAGTATGCTTTTTTGTTTTATAGAAATAATAAATATTATCAAACCTTTTTGAATAAAAAAGATGTTCAAGACGCAATGAGCAAGTTTGCATGCTATCTGTTGATATACAGACCCATTTTTCACCCCAACACACAGCACGCAAGTGCTTCAATAATAGAAAAGACCATTCTTGGGATGTAGTAATCGCAACAGTAGCACTGGGAAATGAAGTAAGCACATTGCAAATCCCAAAGGTGTTGTTTATTTTTTCCATAAACCCATGGCCCCATGCTTCCTCCCTCCTTTTTCTGACTTTATTATAAAATAAAAGCAACCTGGGCTAATGAATCCCTTTTTTAGTCTCAGTGCAAGAGCATGATATGCGCCTCGAGTGCCCAATAATTCTCGTAGCTAACATTGCAGTTCAGACAGAACCATCTTCCGGTGTCCGCTGCACCAAGCCTGCCAGAAAAATTGTGTACGGCTTTGGTCGCTGCTGCTGGCTTTACCCAAATGCTTCTGCGGTGTTTGACTGCGGCCATTGTTTTAATATTGTTACGATGCTTGGTGTTGAGGAGGAAATGGCTGGATACTTGCGGTAAATGAATTCTTTTATTTTATGACGCTGGCCAAGTCATAAAGCAAAAATCCTTATTTAAATATAAAATGAACAAAATTGGAGTGTATAATAAGGTTGTAGACAGCACAAATTTCCGTTTTATTTATTTGAATGCAAAATATAAATGACGAATGACGAATATTCTAAAACGGAAAAAAGCGTTAGCTAAATGTGTGAATAAGAAACATTTTGGTTCATTGCTTATTTTACATCCAGAAACAACGACAATGAATTTGTCTATAAAAACTTACTGTCAGGCACAAGCAAACTTGCCGTGTGAACGATGCAGGTTGGCTCTATTTATGCATTTTGCATGCGTTTGTGCATTGGAGTTGAACATTAATCGCATCAAATGACTTTCATTGAATAGTCTTAAATGGCAAGAAAATTTTTGTTGCGGAGGTCGTAATTATCCTGTGACTTTCAGGTGCTCAAGAACAGATAATCATCATTGACCAGTTTTTTTTTGAATTTTAAAATGAAATAAATTTCAATGATTTACAAGACAATGCATATGTGTGCTTGTGTGTGTGTTTGTACGCTTGCAAAACTCTGATTAGAAACACAATGATTTTCCAATCCAAGCAGGACCAGATTCTCCCATATACATATGCACAAATTTAGTTTTATTTTTGGTATATAAAAATAACTTTTAATTGCATTGGCTAAAAAGTGGACCGCTGGCAATACATGGAAATAAAAAGTATCCGCCGCCATCAGACGAGATATCCCTCAAGTATAAACACGATCAATGACACAACAGCATATAATAATAAAAATAATGACTCTACATTTAGTCACCCACCACAGCTCTGCTTTTTAATTTTATGAGTCTATTAAAGTATCCGCTTTATTGTGAATTATGACAAATAGTAAAAATAATTGTGAGAATAGGTAGTAAAGTAAAAAATAAAACATGAATATGGTGCTGACTTGAATCAATCGAAAATTGCGAGTATATGAGTCCGAGCGTAGGAAGGAAAAAAACTAGGTGTTGACGGGCAATCAGGCAAACATGATATCTAGGGGCCGTGCACCGACTCGACGTGGTAATCGTAGGCAGCAAGGTCATCGTAGATGGCGTTGCAGTAGAAGCAGACGTAGTTCTTCTGAGCTTGCAGACGCATCTTACGCTTGATACAAGTGGTGTTATTCTTGACGGAAAATGGCGGATGGTTGCAGACATGGTTGATTTGGAAAAAAAAAATAGAAAAAGATTCTTTTAATTATCAAGGAGCGTTGATGCCAAGAAAATTAATATTGCTTTGAAAAGTATTTAGAAAAGAGTACAGATGGTGTGAGATTGGTAGTATGTGGAAATAAGAAAATATGAAAAACACAGGTCCTCAATGCAACCTTTAAATACATGGCTGGTATGCGGATAGAGACAATTCTCTTTTTTTTGTTGATGTTGATGGTCGGAGTAAAGAAAAAATAAAGCAAACGGGTTATTTTTCGTTTCCTTATTTGGAATAAAAGGTCATAAATTATCTGCAACAACACAACCCATTTGACAATGAGGCTTGCTCCCTTGTTTATTTGCAGACAAGCACGGATAAGGCATAAAAAGGGGGAAGGGAGAGGGGGGAGTGTTGGGAAGGATAATGGAAGAATGAACGTCAGCGTTAAAAAGGGATTTTCTTGTTCATTTTGTGTGTCAATCGATTTGACATGGCGTTGAAAAAGAATAGAGCGCACACTCGTCAACAATCTATTTTTTTGTTGGTCAAACTTTATCAATATTTTCAATTGGACTCTGTCTCTATATGTTTGACAATGAATATAATATTTCGATTTGGCATTTTATGGCACAATGCAGCGCACTCATGCCAATATGACCTTGACATGCTGTTTCTAGCTGCTGACTGTTGCTTCCAGTTGCTCTCATGATTGCATGATTGCTGCAGTTTCTAAATGCTTGATAACAGTGCGCTAGTGCCTTTTTGTTTATTTCTAGTATCTGCATTGCTTGAAAAAAGAAGAAAATAGGGTATTAAATGCCGTCGAATTAATACAACATGGTACATGTCTTATCTCCTTTTTTGGACATTTCGCAAAAAATTCAAGCAGGTCGTGTGGATTTGTGCATGAGAAAAAAGTATGCGATCACTTTTCTATATAAACATTTTCAAAACAATGGATGTTTCCTGGGTAAGTACAAACAATAATTGTTGATGCATGAAGCAAAAAGGACACCTATTTTTATCTTCCTGAAGGTGGTGATTATTGTGAATGTGTCCTGGAAACGGCATTCCCATTTTGCCCTTTTCTCCTCGAAATAACACATATGCGTTGATGTAATGACATAATGCATCGACGCAGTGGCTCATGAGACGCTCTGTTGCACTATTCTATTCAGCTCCGATTGCTCAAATAATATCCTCAAAAGAAATAGAAAGTAAGCCTGAACCACAATCAACGCAAATGATCAATTGCATGTGTAGATGCAGCTTTCATATTCTTGTACATTCCTTTTATGTGCAAATACAATATGTGTTTCTACTCAACAAAATGGTGTGCGAACAAAAAATGCAATCATCACTTGCTTTTTTTGTATTTGGTCATATATCGCAAATTTTATGACCAAATTTGGAATACTATACTACAATTGGCTATTATAAAGCTGTAATTGGTGCATTGCGCCTGACATTTCTAATTGTATTGTAATATAAAGGTCACCAAACATATGCTGTATATGCCCATGATGATCAAAAAGAAAATATCCTATTGGGAAGCATAAGAAATAAACATGCCAGATTAATTGCAGCAAATTAAAAAATTGGATGTATATTTTCACTTCATTATTTTGTGGTTGTGGCTGTTGTGGTTGTTGTTTTTCTAATTGTTTTGTTGTCGAGTATGGAATGGGATCCTATTCATGCCCGAATTGTTTGCTAAAATTGGAACACGATGAAGAATGAAGCACTAATAGCCACACCATTCCATCCCACTGCCAAGTCTGTATTGTACAGTTTTGTGTTGTCATAACGCAAGAAATAATTACTGGGTTTTAAGGGCTGACAAAGTCAATATTTTCTCAATACGCAGATCGTGGGATGTGTTCACAACTATTTTTTGTTGCTATTTTCGATAGTTGTAACACCAAACTAAAAAGGGCATGTAGCTTTCCAAAAAGAAAATGTGGCACATTGGCAACTTGTTGTTGTCTGGATAGTGGGGCTTACAAATATGGAATACGGATTCAGAACAATGGCAGCTCCTCTCGGATTGTGTTCTGTTTGGTCAAAATAAAAAGATACACATTTATTTTAAAGCATTTTGTTGAAGATAATTGACATGGATACTGTTTGATAACAGCCCCCTCGAGACAAGGTTGACAAGGTCAACAGGTGCACAACGATAAAGTCAAGCTGGGCATTGACTTGGCGAAAGCTCATCTATTGAGTATGTCTCGAGAAAGAAGAGCCCCACACGCACACACACACACTTCCTATTTGGGACAGAGAGACTCTCTACGGGCTTGTCGTGATCAACCACTCTTGCATGCAGAAACTCATTTTAATTACACCCCGTTTTACTTTGCACCGCCCCAGATCGCAAAATTAAATGCAGGACATCAGCGACGATGACTGCGATTTGCAGTGGGAGAGCGGGTTTAAAAACATTAGTGGCTCGGCTCATAATCGGCTCGGCTCGGCATTACGTGTGCTTTATATTTCTTGTTTTTTATTTTGGCCCGCAAGCCTGCAAAAAGCCTTCTGCTTTTCAAACAGACATGTTACGCAACGTGCTCCTCGAACGCTTTTGCCGCTCTGTACACGCAATTCGATTTTTTCTTTTTCTAAATTCTGGCAAAGTGTAAAAACAAAATTACCAATCTGCAGACTCTAACCCTTTTCAATATTTATATAAACGACTTGTAAAACAATGGACTCTCTTGCACAAGCAGCGGCAGCAACCGCCGACGACTTTAACGATTTGGATGTGGAAATCAAGCGGTCGAGCAATGAAGAAATCAACAGCCGCACCCGGCTGATTGAGAACGAAATTCGCGTACTGCGGAGCGACCACCAGCGACTGACGCACGAGCAGAACATGATGATGGTGAAAATCAAGGAGAACACAGACAAGATCAACATCAACAAGCAGCTGCCGTACCTGGTATCCAATGTAGTCGAGATTCTGGATGTCAGCCCGGATGGAGACGAAGACACCAATGAGGAGAGCGAGAAGGGGGCCAGCGGTAGTGCGGATGCGGAGCCGAAGCACAAGGGCAAGTGTGCGGTTATCAGGACATCGACCCGGCAGACCGTTTTCTTGCCTATCATCGGTCTGGTGCCGACGAGCGAGCTGACCGCTGGAGACCTGATTGGCGTACACAAAGACAGTTACTTGATCCTTGAGAAGCTTCCTACCGAGTACGACTCGCGAGTGAAGGTCATGGAGGTGGACGAGAAGCCGACAGAAGACTACAGTGATATCGGTGGCTTGGACAAGCAGGTGGAGGAGCTCGTCGAGGCTATTGTATTGCCGATGACGCACGCCGAGCGGTTTAAGAACCTGGGAATTAAGCCTCCCAAGGGTGTACTGATGTATGGCCCGCCGGGAACCGGAAAGACGCTGTTGGCCCGCGCGTGTGCGGCGCAGACGCAGTCGACATACCTGAAGCTCGCGGGCCCGCAACTCGTGCAGATGTTTATCGGTGACGGGTCCAAAATGGTCCGCGACGCGTTTGCACTGGCCAAGGAGAAGGCGCCGACGATTATTTTCATTGATGAGCTGGATGCCGTCGGTACCAAGCGTTTCGACAGCGAGAAGAGCGGTGATCGTGAGGTGCAGCGGACCATGCTGGAGCTGCTCAACCAGCTCGATGGGTTTGGAAGCGACGACCGCATCAAGGTCATTGCGGCGACTAACCGCATTGATATCCTGGATCCGGCGCTGCTGCGCTCAGGCCGTCTGGACAGAAAGATCGAGTTCCCGTTGCCCAACGAGGAGGCCAGGTCGCGGATTATCCAGATCCATTCGCGCAAGATGAACGTCTCATCCGACGTCAACTACGATGAGCTGGCCAGGTCCTGTGATGAGTTCAATGGCGCGCAGTGCAAGGCCATCTGTGTTGAGGCCGGTATGATTGCGCTGAGACGCGGCGCAACAAAGCTGTCGCACGAGGACTTTATGGAGGGCATCCAGGAGGTCCAGGCGAAGAAGAAGACATCGCTGCAGTACTTTGCGTAGAGTGAAAAAATGGCATTTATATTCTCTCTTCCTTCCTTCCTTCCTTCATTACATTGCTTTTTTACCTATAAATCTTACTAACCAAAATTTTATATTACTGAGTTGACTTTTCTTTTCCTCCATTAGAGAGAGAAAGGGTTGACATAAACAAACAGGAGCAAAGTGGGTTGATCAATTGGGAGCCGAAAATGAGTAGTATTAGTCAACAGGAAGAAGCAAAATGCAAACATTTTAGACGATGCGCTGGAGCCGGTCAGCAATGTTGAGCTGGGCGCGGGTGAGGTTGGTGAGGTAGGCGACCATGAGGATGTCCTGCAGATGCGACTGGAACAGGGTCGAGAACTGCTTGGTGTCAACCTTGGGGACCACAGCGAGCATGTCCATCAGGTACTTGCCAATAACAGTGTTTGCCTTTGACTTTCCGGTGCACACGTCCTGCACATACGTGGTGACGCGCTCCAGCATGGCACGCAGCTCTTCAATGGACTTTTCCAGCTGCTCCATATCGGAGACCAGCACGCTGGCACCCTCCTCGGTCTCGACGCTATCAGCGGCAGTCTGCAGGGCCGAAAGCTCCGCATCTGGGTACTGCAGCTCGTGGGGCAAGGGCAAGAACAGGCAGTTCTCAGGATGCGCTCCGGCACCAATGGCTGAGCCCTGCATGCACTTGACGCCCAACTGGCCATCAGTCATATCCGTGTCCATCAGCAGGTGCACGGCGCCAAAGGGGGCGGCCTCGCGCGAGTAAAAGTCCTGAATAAGCGCAGCGTACTTGCTCAGCGTGCTGCCCGTTGAGTACCATCCGACGATCTCCTCGCGCGCGCTGGCCTTCTTGTGCAGGGCGAGCATCGACTGGTGGTGCTCGACATATACCTCGACCTGGTCGCTGGTCTCAAAGTGCGGCACGGCGAAGCAGCTGCGGATCTCGACCACGCGGCCGTCGTCACTGCGGACGCCCATGAGGGTACCGATTACGCGCTCTTGGTTTTCATTGCGGCGCAGATAGTGGTCCAGAATGGAGAATAGAACCACAGGGTGCACGTAGCATTGCTGTGCTGTGGTCGTAGCCGTTGTCGTGGCGCCAGACTTGACCAGGCTGCTGGCCAGAGTGGGCAGATTAAGATTGAGCATGGACATTTTTTGGATTTAAAAGTAAAAAAAGGACAGGACAAAAATGTAAATGAACGTTGAATGAAAAGAGGATTGAAAAAGCGAGGCGAGCGAGCGAACAAAGTTTGGTTGGGTATAGGTAGCCCAGCCTATAAGAAATGAGCTGCTTTAATTCTTGTTCTTTATGCGTATTTTTTGCGCCTTTAAAATTTTGCGAATTGAGACTTTGGCAAAAAAATTTCACTTGCCTTTTGGATTGCACTGCACAAGCAGAGGCCAAAAAAATAAAATGGGGCCAGTCGGCTCGCTCGCGGCTCATACGTCTAAGCACGTGGTTTTTTGGCATGATGATTTGATTTTTTTTCTCTTTCTTTTTAAGCCATCAATCCACTGTAACAAATACCCAAGCTGCGCGGGTAACCTTAGAGATTGTGTTTACGCACTTACCTTTTACATTTAATTACAAATGTAGTGCATTAACATTGAGTTTAAACCTTTCATCAGAGGTAGGAAAAAGATAGCAAGCAAACAAACATACATTTTGCTATTTGTTGCAAACGTTCTTGCAGAAAAATTAACAGCAGCGATGGTTTTATTGTGAATATTTATTGGCGGGATCAGATACAATAACCATCCTGTGGGTCAGTATCACAGCTAATAAAAGAAAATATATAACTGAATGAAGGCGCCACCAATTCTCCATGTCTATAACCTTATCCATTTTTAACTAACAGCAAGAACGGGTTGCGAGCAACACGCGCACAAAAAACAGAGCCTAAACTTTGTTTAGAATATGCTCGTGTGTACGCCTCAAATCAGAAGGCCGAAAATCTTGTGACATCACGTGCGGGGAGGGGAAGGGCAAATAAAGGCGTCTATTGGCTGGGGACAGTTATAATTTTAAAATTTTAAGTGGCAGAATTAGGTGGCATTTTTTTGATATTATTCCAATCAGGCATCTATTTTTTTGTACACCCATTTTTGCTACTATGGATTGATAAGCTCGCGCGGCGTGGCTTTGTTGGTTAAAATTTCATTTCTTTCTTACTATTTTTTTAGTCTGCTCTCCACACTTCGATTCAATTTGCGATTTATTCCAGCAACAGAACAAAGAAAAACCCCTTTTCTTTCTACATTATTTAATTTTCAATTTGAAAAACCTCAATTTACTTTATTCCATTAATTGATTCACAAGGAGCAGCTACCAATGTTTCGGCAGTTTTCCTCTGCCGGACGGCTAGCCAGCGGGCCTATGTCCTTTGGCAAGCGCGGGCTCTCGACATCCTCATCGGAGACTAGCAGCGCCTGCAGCAACGGAGTGATCGGCGTGCGCCACTACTCGATGTCAGGCAAAAGAACGCCCCTGGCACCATTCCCGGCAGTCAGGCAGCAGGATAAGCAGCAGCAGCAGCCGACGGAAACGATTCACCCAACACTCAGCAGTCGGAGCAAGGTTCCCAAGTTCACGATGCCTCGGTCAGAATTCATGACCGCCAATCTTTTTGCACAGCACCGTCAGTTGGTTGAAGTCCCCGAGATCACTTATATGGATATGGGCAGCCAGCCCAGAGCCTCGTTTAAGACGATTTCGGAACTGTCAATGTGCAAGGGTCTGAGTTCGAAGGAGGCCAATGTGCCTAGTGCCAAGCTGAAGCAGATTTACGCTGCGCCGGCATCCGTTTACATGCGGGTGACCCCGGATGCGCTGATCCCCGAGGCCATGCGCCTGGGACCTCTGGCCGAGCCTCTGTTGGGGTCGGATTCCTTCAGCGACGGTATTGGGTCGCTGCAGATGTTTGGGCATCAGGATGAGATGATGGCGTTTGTTGAGGAGTTCTTTGATACGATTTTGGTTAATGCCAAGGAGGCGCCTACCCCTGGTATGTGGAGCATTAGGAGGGAGAGAAGGGCTGTGGGGGCACGCTGGATGGGCCGCGATATGGTTGATCCGATGGACGAGATCAACAGTGTGGATTACCAGATGACCAGCGTGCGGCGGAAGCGCAAGACCAAGATGAACAAGCACAAGCATAGGAAGCTTCGCAAGCGCACTCGCGCCCTGAGAAAGCGTCTGGGCAAGTGAGCCAAAATGAATAAAAACGAACGAACGTGAGAGCCAGGCACGGTCGCAGTCACAGGCACTTTTCTGGAGAAGAGTTTGAGATCTTTTTGTTAGGGTTTCTGTTTCACAAGATATGTGCTTGTGTGTGTGCAAATAAAAATAAAAAATATTTTATATGTTCCAACATGGGTATTTTGTAATTTAATTGTATTAAACATGTTGCAGAGTATTTTGTATGTTTTCAGTTGTCGCTGTCAGATTCCATTGAAGCGTCAGAGTCATCCTCGGCCTCCTCATCGTCCTCATCATCATCATCCTCATCGTCTTCTGAGACAGCCTCCACGGGCTCCATAACATCGCCGTGCATCTCGGCGATAATGGCCTCTCTGGTGTCGTCTTCGTCACCATCGGCCTCATCAACGATGCTGACCAGCGGCTTCTCAACCACAGGCAAAGTCCTGATCGACGCGTCGCCAAAGATAGACCTAACAGCAGCGTTCGTGGAAATATCCCAGATGCGCGTCTCACCCTTGGATCCCGCAACAGCCATCAGCATGGTCTCGTCGGGGCAGAAACTGGCGGCAAAGACATTGCCGACATCGAGGTTACGGCTAATGACCATTGTAGGCCTGTTCTCGCGCACGTCCCATACCTTGACGGTCTCGTCGGCTGATCCAGTGACAAGAAGGCCGGGCACCGTCGGATGCTGGTCCATTGCGGAGACAGCCTCATCGTGGGCCACCAGAGTATAGATGGGGGCGGCGCCCTTGCCGCCCTTGACGTTGCGAATGTCGAAGTAGCGCACGGATCCAGCCTCTGTGGCAACAAAGAAATGGCTGGGGCTGTGGACATCCCACATGATGCTCTCGACATCGGCATCGACCGACCACCAGCTGATGGCCGCGGGCGCGCGCGAGTCAAAGGCCGCAACCTGGCGATCATACCCGCCGGTCAGCATGACTGATGCCTCGGTGGGGTGCCACTGGACGGCCTGCACCTTATCCTTGTGGTGCTCGTACGACTGCACGCACTTGCCCGAGTTGAGATCCCACAGCTTGACGGTGGTGTCGGCGGAGGAACTGGCCAGGAGATTGCGCACGTTCTTGTTCCATGAGAGCCCCATAATGGCGTCCGTGTGGAATTCTGGGTGCGGCTTGCCCTTGCGCTTGCGCAGCATCTTCTTGTCCGTGCTGCCCAGGACCAGATCCGGATAGGTGCTGTCGACGGTATCCAGGTCCCAGATCTCGATTCTTGGCTCAAACGTTCCGACCGCCACGTAGTTGCCTCCGCCCTCCTGCCCGGCCTTCCGTCCCACCCTAAAGTCCAGCCACTCGACTGTCAGCGGGAACGCCGGCAGCATAAAATCGTGGTGCACAAACAGGTTGTCGCCCTCGCCCTCGAACACGCAGACTTCCAGGTTGCTGATGTCGTCCTCGGTCTTGGCAACCAGGAGAATGTTGTCAGAGCCGAAGATCCGCATCTCTTCATCCTCGTCAGAGTCGTCAGCGTCCTTCAGCGTAATATAGGGGTCCTCCTGGGCGTCCTGGTAGTAGGAGAGGCCCTTAATGTTGCTAAACACGTTGATGTTGGTGCCCTCTGGGTCTTCTGTGTCGCTGGGCTCAGAATCGTACGATTCGAGGTTGAAGTCCTTGAGCGCCGGATCGTTGAGAATCTCAGCGTCGAGTTTGGACTTTTTCTTGAGCTCCTTTTTGGCGTCAGCGATCTCCTCGGAAGCAACAGCTTGCAGGTTGGAGTACTCCTCCTCAGTCATCTCGTATGTGGTGGGCTTTTCAGCAGCAACTCCTTTGCGGACCCATGCCAGAGCAGAAATCATTGTTTGAATATAGCTGTAGCTGGCCTGCTAGCTTGTTTAAAAAAAAAAAGAGAAAGAGGTTATGAGCTCAAGAAATTGAGTAAAGTTAAAAAAAAATAGTAAACAGGTGAGAGAAGACGGCAAGCTCTGCTTTAATTTTTTTGTTAAAGTTTACGGTTGTTTAATCCCGGTCCCAGCCAAAACAAAAAAATTATTTTGCACGGAAAAATTGGCAGCCGGTAATCCTAATCCAAGATTATGATCTGGGCTAGTCCTTAAAATCAGCAAGGGCAAAAATAAAACAGGGTGCGCTCACCCCCACCCTCCTTTGGCGATCGCCACAATGCCAAAAATAAAAAGCGGGCAAAAAATGAATGCATTTTTGGACTCTAGGCGACGAAGACAACGACAGGGGCGATGATGATCCAGGTGAGGGGGAAAAGAAAAATGCGCATGCACGCTTACTTGCCTTGCTCATCCGCAAGTAGCAACAGCAGCAGCATGTCCAAAAGCTTGGGTTGGTCCTCTTTTTTTTTGTTTCCTCCAAAAAATACGCCTTTTTGTTTACTGTTTTTTTGCCAGTCTAATTTTTCTTCTAATTTTGTACATTTCTATTTCTATACATTGACACAAACACAGCGCCCGCACTTAATACTTTCACTTTTTTCTTCTTTTTTTGCACACTTACGCCCAGCAGCAGCTCAACAACAACAACACTCGCACGCACACTCGCTCTCACACGCATTTCGCGACTCGTATAAATGACAGATGCAGCGGGCGTCGAGAACTGGGCCGACATGGAATTTCTAAACGAGCGCGTGTTTGGAAGCATTGACGGACGGGCACGGTCAACATCAGGGTCCCCAATATGGCTCACGGCGCCCAACGGCAGCATCAGCCAGCCAATGACACCATCGCCATACGCAGCCAACAACTGGCAGGGCCGGCTAGCCAGGTGCACAGAGAGCAGCGACCCGGGTGAAGTTGAAGACTGCCTGGCCGAACTCAGCGCGCACATGGAACCACACAACAGCGACAGCCAGGCACTCGATGCACTGCGGCTGCACGTGCCACGGCTGCTCTCGCACTTCAAATGGTTTGTGCGAGCGCGCGCATACAAGCTGCTTCGGCGTCTGCCCTCCCCCACCTTCCTGGCGTACTGCCGTACGTACATAGAGTTCTGTGTGATGCACACGTTGGCGCTGGACGACGGCGTGCAGGAGGAGCGCGAGCAGGGGCTCAAGTTTGTGCGCTGGACGATGCGCTTCGACGCCGGCGATTGGATGCTCAGCCCGCATGTAATTAAGGCGCTGATGGCCGTGGCCGAGCAGGCGGACGACGGTTTGCGCGGCATATGCCTGGAGACGCTGTGCGAGTGTCTGGTTCGCGATCCTGAGCGGCTGTGGTATGTCGGTGGCCTGCGCACGCTGACGCAGGCAGCGCTGGATGGGCCCTGGGCTGTGTCGGTGGCCATTGCCAGTGCACTGGCGCACCTATTCGACCGCACCGAGACCCGGCGCTTCGTGCATGCCGGCGTGACTCTAGGTGGGATCATTAGCGCGCTGACGGAGCCGGCAGGCAAGGACCCCATGCTGATGGAGCGCGCCAAAATTGCCGCCTTTATGCTGACGCAGCTGCTCAAGTCGTGGGGCGGTCTGCAGTATTTTTTGTCCGACGGGCGGCGCGGCATCGGCGCTTTGGTCGAGGCGCTAGCCATGGCTGACGCTAACGCCAAGGTTCTTCTGGGCATGCTCTTGGAGCTCTTTGGCCTGTCCGACGACTTTGACGCCGTGCAGTTTGAGCAGCAGCCGCGCTTTGACGTCGACCTTCTGGCGCCGTTTAGCCTGCCGTCGCACGCGCTTACGCATGGCGCCGCACGCACACGCCTGCTACCTGTTGATTACATGCGTACGCTGCTTTTGACTGTTTTTGTCGACGCCGGGCTTGTCGACGCCCTGGTATCCGCCGCACTAGCGTCGTCGCAGGCCGAGGTCGCCGATGCCAGCGCAACGCTGCTCAAGTGGCTCGCGCAGCACCCGCATATGCCGCTGCCAGAGTCGCACGTTGCGCGATTCCAGACGCTCGGCGGGCTTGTTGGCGCCGCGCTCACTGACGACTCGCCGAAGGCGCTGGCCGCGCGCCGGATTGTCAGCCGCATCGAGGTTATCCCCAGCCTGTCGCTGGGCCAGATGCCCAGCCAGCAGACCGACGTGTGGGCTGCCAGCCTGGCCTCCAGTTTTTTTTACCGCCATCACTTGCGCCAGCGACGCCTACACCAGCAGCTGAATGCGCTCGAATCTGCCCCCGCCGCCCACGCTCACTCCCATGCCCACGCGCTCGCTGCATCCGCCACCACTGACGAGGAGACGGCCCCCGCTGCTTTTATCCCGCAGCAACATTTGAATATAATGGCGCTGCCTAGACCATCGCTACAGCCTGGAAGCGCCAGCGTTATCGGTGGTTCGAAGGGGCTGGCTGCAGGGCTCAAGGGCAATGCTGCACGAGTGTTGCGCAGCAGCGCGTCCACGGGAAACCTCAGGTCGGCGGCAGCGGCATCAACGACATCAGCGACATTGATGTCAGGCGCAGCATCGGCGACGCTGGCAGGACCGGCAACAGCAGTCAACTTAGCCATTCCGAACACCGCAGTGTCTTTGCTTGGCACAGTCAACGAAGACTCGTCGGCGTCTCGTTTCGGGCACAAGTACACGGCCAGCGATGCCAGCAGCATTATCAACTTTAGGGGCCGCCACTCGCTGGATATATCGCGCAGCCAATTTCTCCCACCGCAGCAGCACCAGAACGTTGCACCGCCAGCGCTGCGCGGACCCACGCCGGCGACCAACGGCATTGCGCAGTTCATTTCCGCCATCAGCTCACCCTATGTGCAGGTTGACTCCATTGGGCAGACGCAGACCCCCGGCAGCATCTACAGCCAGTACGCGGGCAGCTTCACGACGCTATCGCAGGGCCTTGATTCGCCCATTACACCGATACTGACGCCTGTCTCTGCGCCGGCGCCGCCCCTGCTCTCGCGGTCGCGCACAAAGTCACGCAGCCGCAGCCGCAACTCCATAGTCATTGTCAACAACCAGGGCGCCGAGGAGACGCCGCTCACGATATTGATTCAAGAATCGCGTGTCACGTCGGAGGATAACCCGATGCGCTGGGACTGGGACGCCATCCGCACGATCATCCTCGGTCACATTTCGCAGTCACGGCGCCTTCCTGAAGAAGTTACAGTCAGTGGCTTTATTGTCCGCCTGTCGCATTTTTTCCATCCGGCATCGCTGGAGTTCTGCGATCTCAGCCGCACAACTGCCAATGAGGAGTACCTGGAGATTGGCCGCCAGCTCATCCGCATCCTCATCTCCTCTGCTGACGGCCTGCTGCTCATAGACGAGAGCCGCTTGTTGTTGGGCATTGTCGAGGAGATTCGCAAGCAAAACAGCCACTCGCGCAAGAAGGGCCGCGATGAGTCGTGCTTTTCGTTTGCGCGCTTGCAGATGACCATGTCGCCCGGGTACTTCCACTTTTTGAGCGAAATTGACCGCACCGTGGGGGGAGAAACACTGCTAGAGCGCAACCGCCTATTCGATGCATACTACCAGGTGGTCGAGATGCCCGACCAGGTGTTGTTAATCCAGTATATCCTCTCCAGCATGAGCTACGCGGCACCCGGTCATGCGCGGAATATTCTGCGCAAAGTGTCATCGTCGCCACACGAGCCGCTGCGCATGCTTGTGCCCAGCTACCTGCTTTACCTGACTTCCGACACGTCCTGCCGTCCGGGCTCGGTGACCGCCTGGGCTATCGACGTGCTCCTGAGCCTTCTGTTTGATCCGCTGCCCGCCGTGCGCAGCGCCGCCGCCCAGTGCCTTGTCTTGGCCTTCGACCTGCCATGCGAAAACCCCCATCTCGGCCCCGCCGAATGCGACGCGCGCATTGCATACCTCCTTGATGTGCACCCCATGTTCGACCTCACGGTCATTACCGACATTAGGCCTCTGATTCTGCGCTTGATTGGCACTGAGTGCGGCTTTGCATACCTCCGCGGCCAGGGCATCGTTGACAGCGAGATGGAAGCGTGGGGCGCTCTAGAGGGCATTTTTTACGTCCAATTTGTTGAACTAGATATCTCACGCGCCCTAGCCTTTGGGCCTCTTTTCAGCAGCACACCTGACGGATCCATGATGATGACGACGAGCCCGCAGACGCCCCCGACGCCGCCGCACCTGTTTGGAGAACTGGCCAAGAACACGGGCGGCCGCGCTTTTCTCGAGGAAGTTGGCATTCCGCGGCTTCTTTTCGAGACACTGGCAAATATTCAATGGAACTCGGAATTGTCGGCAGACATTGTGGGGCTCAAGGCCACGCTGTGGGCTATCGGTGCCATGGGTGCCTCGCGCGACGGCTATCTAATGCTTGCGCCATTCGATGCCCTTGGTAAACTCACTGAGGTTGCACGCCAGGCCAATTCCATGTCTATTAAAGGCACCTGTATGTATGCCCTGGCGCTCTTGTCCCGCAGCGTCTTTGCAGCCGAAACATTCCGCGAAAAGGGGTGGCTTATGTGCACCTCCTGCCATGGCACATACGAGTATGCGGTGCCGCGGCGCCTAGAATCTATATTCAATGCCTCCGATTGGGCCGCCGGCGGCATGCTCGACGGCACCTATGTTGTGAGCGAGGGCCTGGTGCGCGAGCACGATGTCACAGACGATGTTGACTCGGTGCAAAAGGAGATTATCGAGTCTATCATTCTGATGGGCAACCATGTTCTGGTCAACAAGGCATCCAAGACCTTAATGCGCCTGCGCACCTCGCACCCGCACTACTTCCGGCTCCTTTCTTTGTACAACAAGGCTATGCATCTGTTAGGCAAGTATCGGTATAGGTTGTCGTCGAGGCGTTTTGTTTATAATATCTTTGACGTCAATTTGGCCGCCTTGCACGACGAGGCGCTGGCCAAGATAACCACAGAAAGCCAGGCTGGAGAAAGGGATGGTGTTCCAGGCGGTGTGAGTGGTCGAAGGTTTTCCTCGTCAGTGGCCGCCACAGTGGTCGGCGAGTCGTTGTCGGCAGATAGCGAGGCGCTTAGGAAGCGCGCATCTACTTTGCAGGAGTGCTCTTCGGCCTTTTCGACTCCGCAGCCGACAACCATGTTTTCTAGACGACCGACCAATGGCTTGTTGGATGATATTCGGCCAGCGATTAGACGCACACAAGCACAACAGGAGTTGCAATAAATATATACGGATAAAAGCTTTTTTATTTTTGGGTCCGACTAGAACTAAATTGTTTTTCTATGGCTTAATTTTGGTCGAGTTATTGGGTACTGCAGAATAAATAAAACACAATGTTGATTTATTGATAATCGAACTGGCAATAAAACATACATAAAGTGATCTAAATCAACGATATTTGTGTGATTCGATGAGTGACATAAAACACGTTGGCCCTTTTATTATTTATTTTTAAACGGCAACGAAATCACTATTAAAAATCAAAATATAAAATTAATCAGTGTTCGAGGGCCATTCGCGGTCCCGTTTTTCAGAGGGACTCTCAGAGAGCCTGAGAGTGCGGCCAGAGACTGGGCTAAGAACAATATGTGACAACATGGTTGATGACTATGTATTTTTTGGTTGGACGCGGAAAAGAAAAGAAAAATAAATGAAAATGCAAGCTGCAAAAAAATTATTGTTTTTGGATGATGCTGAACAGGAGAAAAATGAGCAGAGCGGAATGAAGTGGAAAATGGAGTATTTATAGGGCCAGAGTGAAACCACATCCAACATTGCACGGAAAAATATAAACATATATTTAGTGATGTGGCAACCGGAAAATGCAAAAACAGAGCACAATGAACGCCTCTTCTCAATACTTCTCAATACCTTTGGGTGTTTTTTATTTTGAAAATAGTGGCGAATGGAAAGATGCAACATGCACAGTTTGAATTGTGTGCACACGCACGTTGTAACGTTTTACGTTTTTGTTTTGATTATTGTGATTCCTTTCTACCATTTTGTTATTTTGAGAATTGGGAAAAGTAATTCGAGTTGGGCATGTCTCTGCCTCAGCCACAATAACGATTACAATTACAATTGATGTTTATTTGCGCCGGTGTCACATATCATTGGCCACATGTGCACAATATATATGACACACAATCCGTTTTCTTGTAGATGCAAATGGCTAGATCCGTGTAAATGAAATGCAAAAAATACAAGAAAACCTTTCTTTACATCATATCCTATGCACTCGGCTACTTGCACTTTTTTGTCCGTGAATATATTTTCCGAACATCAAAATAGGAAACTATTCCAAATATCTCCGGGTGATATATCATTTTATTATCCTTTTTTCCCTGAAAATCCCAACAAAAAACGTCAAGAGCCGGACAATCGGCATTATAAAATACATTTTTCCCACTCACCCATCGTTTCCGTTCGGCATTTGATATGCATGTGTATTCTGTTCTGCATACCGTTTTTCCATATGGTGAAATCATTGCGAACAATAATGATTTGGCAAACGTGATATGTGTAATTCCTTTTTCCCACCCAACATTCCATTCCATTCCATCCATCTCGTCATTCCGTTTCCCCCCTCGGATCTGATGAAGGTGGTAAGATGAGTAGTAAACAATACGTTTTTGTTTCCTGTTTTCTGTTTCCTCAGTTTGGATGATGATGCGCCTATTCGTTATTCTGATCCGTACAAATCTAATCCCCACACAATTTTTTTGAAAAAAATTTTAGAACCGTGAAAAAAATGGTTCTGGCTTTTTATTTATTTATTTATACTGAATTGCGTGTTCCAATATTATTTTTATCTGTTAATTCAAATTTGTTCTAATATTTACGTTTGGATAATCATGATTTCGACATGTGTAAAAATTGAGTTTCTAGTGCTTAAACGCCACCATGCGAGCCAAATAATTTCAACATTGTTAATTTGAATATGCTTAATAGGCCAGTCAACACATTTTTCAAAACATTATTGCTGGCCACCATTAACATGGTAATTTCAAGAGACGTGAAAAAACACAAATAGGCTGTCTATAAAGCGCAAAAATTACATTTGTCGGGGGAGCGATTTCCTTTGATATCTTCAAAACAAGGGAAATATGGATGTTCAAGAATAGCGAGTATTTGAATAAAAAAATTTGTGAACCTCGTATTCCATTGGCCCGAAAAGTGATCACCTAAATTAAACAGAAATGGTTTTTGCTGTATATCCAATTAACGAAAATATGCAATGCGCTGGAAGAGAGAAAGAGAGAAAGAGAGAGAGAGGAAAAGAAAGAAAGAAAGAAGGGAGGGACGAACAGGTATAAGTTTCGCAAAAAAATAAATACATGAATGCAGCAGTTGCATTTATTATGTTGTTGCACTTTCTGCCCCGAAAATAACAACACCTGTTTTTTATTAATACATTTGGATGCACTTTGTTGGTAAGCAGTCGAATGAGAAATAAAATAAACGCTAAAAATATGGCAGGTTTATTTTTATTTACATTTGAACATAAACAGAGCTCATTTTTATTTTTCTCTTATTATTTTATTTTTTGCCTGATCGCTGGAAGTTTTCGATGCATGCGGATATTTGTTGTTCATTTCTGATTTATTAAATTACAAGCAGAAACACAGCGGTGGTGCTCAGATTTTGGTATTTGTGGCAACACAAAGAGCAGTTGGATTTGCTTATTCTCGATGTGTTCATTTCGTTTTGCATGGTAAATAAATTTTTTTGCCGTGGAATGAACAAAAGCAAATAAACGGCCAATACTTTTTAAAAATAAAAGATACTGGCAAAAATAAATATATAAAATAATACGAAACATTGAACGAGTTCGTTGGATATAGTGGACAAACCAGACAATCAAAAAAGCTGCGGAGTAGAATGGACGCCCAGGTTTTCAGCTCCACTGGTAATCGTTGTTTCCACCACAGCTGCTTCCCACGCCGCAAACATCACCCTCGCCATCTTCGTCGTCATCTCGCTTCAACCTCCCCTTGTTGCGAATTGGAATGCCAAGCCCCTGTTGATTGAGTTTTTTTGAAAGCGCCGTCGATTCGTCGACTCCGGGGAAATCCTTTGACGTGTACACTGTAAACGGGTCCGAAAACACATACTTGAGCACGGGTTTTGACTCGATTGGGTTCATATCCTCTGTATTTAATCGAAGAAGCCCAAAGCGTAGGCGGAACCGACCGGGTTGTCTCACTTGAATGTCCGAGAAATAGAAGAAACATCTGCAAATGTCCTCCAGGTCGCGCAAATAGTAAACGGATGATACTGTCAGACCCACCAGCATGGTATTATGACCCTCGTCCATGATTGTGTGAGAAGAAGCATCTGCAAAGTTGAAATTGTCAGAAACGTATGAGATTTCTCTGGTTCCACTTTCGTCGAATAACAACGCGTGCACGACAAACTCGCCACTCCAGTGCAAGCTACTCGGTCAACATGAATGACCGCGCAAACGACAGTGTTTAATCAAATATAGTCAATATAATGAATGCTTAGTACTATTTGGACAATGAAAAACGCGTACAAAACCATTTTTGTGGTCTGCGTGGTATTCAAACAAAAACAAGACTTTTTTGTTACAATTCCCAATATGTTTTTATCTATGCACATAATTGTTTTTGTTTTTTTTAATACCAGCAGCGACGAGAAAACACCCTCACCAAAATAATCCAAGTAATACTCGGTAGCGAGTGCAGTTTGGCTGTGTGTCGCCGAGGCAAATGACTTACTTTGTATTCTCGGTTCCGTCGGGGTTGTTTACCTGAAGCTGTAAGATAGGGCATGGATCAATGGGCCGTCGCTCGCGGTTGTTTATTTCATAAGCTTTGGCCCGTTTGGGCTGTTGGACAATCACTAACGAATACTGTAGCTGCGGCTCGACGGTGTCAGTCATTCTGAAGAATTCGTTGGCGTACTGTTAATTGGGGGTAGATTCAGCGGAAGCGGTAACAGGTAGTCGGTAAATATAAAAGGCGAGCCGCGTTGTAGGTAGCTGCAGCAATCAACGCGACCAAACGTAAAAATGTAAATAAGGCGTGTGTGAGCTATAAAAAAGTGAAAAAAGTGAAAAATAATATAAAGCTGTTCAAAATATTATTTGAAGGCGACCAAAGTGATTATTTATAAATAAAAGTCTAGTAGTAGCCTCTTTTACACTATTGTCTGTACACATTTAGACTGTATGTATCAAAGTGCGGTAAGCTTTTAAAAAGCCCAAACAAATAACAAATAATAAATAATGAATGAATGAATGACAAATAAAAAATAGAAAAAAAGGTCAGATGCTGAATAAAAACTAATAACAGCGACTAACGGAAATTAGGATATTTATGTGGGGGCAACAAAGATGAATAATAGCACATCAAAATGGGCATAAAAACAAGCGCCGTGCAAATAAATATACTCAAAAATGCGGTCTTCTCCAAAGACAAGCAGTCAAGTTGTGTTTAATAAAAAAAAGGTATGAGCGCCTATGATAATAAATAATAGAAAAAGAAACCCTTTTATGTGTACCTGAGCGGCGACCGTATTTGAAATAGAAAATAGCACTAAAATAAAGCCAAAACAAAACAAGGAAATAAAAAACAAAAGAGGAGAGAAGAAAAAAAAGGTAAACACATCAGGTTTATGATATTTCCATGGGTGCTGACAGCCAGTGTCGCTATCAGCATATTAGGCGCTATAGTGTATCTGTTTTCGCGCCTATCCTTTTTCTCAATTTTTTTCCCTGTACGATCTATTAAAAAATGACGGCATTTTCAGCACACGGAATATGCATTGCACTAAAAGGGATGTCAAAAAAGGCGACGGAAACTGAAAGCGAATAAGGAAGGGTTGAAGGGTGAAAACAAATCTGTTAAAAAAAATTTGCAGAAAAGTTTCCAGAGATAGCGAACTTGATTGTTCTGAGACGGGCCACGGGGTCTTATTTTCTTAAAAATTGAGTGGCATCAAGAAAGGGAAGAAAAAAGTATGCATTGAACAGAACATTTTTTCAAACTAAAATTTCTTGAAAACAAAATTTTTTTATTGGACAGCAGCGCCTCGCTGATGACACGCCCAAAGCGGCTGCCCGCATCCATCGTTGGTTCAAAGAGCACCGCCACACAACATACGCCTTTAAATGGCATACTTCAAGAGATTTGTTGTGCTGAACCAGTACCTTGGTCCACTCAGTACCATTACCGAAAAGGGCATAAGACAAAAAGCATGCAGGCCTTTCGCAATTATCATGTTATTTTTAAGGAAATATGCTCGTGCTCCGTTACGGAGCTGTGTTATATTTTGCTAGCAAGCTGCCGCTACATAGCGGCATATGGCTGTCGATTTGGTATATGAGTCGAGCAACAGCCACAATTTAATTTATCGGACTTGGTGCTTGACACTTACCAAAGGCCTGGTCGTTACGAGCTGCACGTGGGAGAAAAAAGCAACCCGGTTGCAGGCAGCTCCAATGGGCAAAAAGCTGGATTTCAGCCTTGCAAGTGTCGGGCAGATTACTTTATGATATTGTGACTTTAACCATTTTAGTATATACTCATTTGGGCTCAATGCGGGTCAAGCGGTAAAAGATTATATTGGGTTGGCGAAGCTCTACAAAAGATATCTTTATTTTCTCTCTATGTCCTTATTTCCATCGCCCCTTCTTGATTGCCGAATTGTAATGTCGATCACTTTGCGCAGATGGAGTGGTGTGCTGAAGAGCGCCCACCAGTTCTTCGGCTGGCCGACAAATAAATTGCACATCCTGATTTTTGGGGGGAGAAAAAACGCTGTATTTTTCTTAGAAAATCTTCAAACAAATAGCGTCGGAAAAACAGACGGGGTTTCCAGCGTGCATATTGCCCTGCCATCTCAGATTAACTAACTATATCTGATTTGGCCGCATACAAATTGAAAACAAAAATGGCTCTCGCACAGCTAGAGGCAGACCCGAGTCGAATGACAGTGCAAAAAAGCATTGGTTTGGCAAGATGTCCCACGCTGTTAAAGAAACGGAAAACCGAGGGCACTACACATGCTGTTTTTTCTCTCACACTGTGGGGTCTAAATTTAATGCAAATGTGTACTTTTTTGACACACTGGCAGTTTGGCTGCTTGCCTGGTCCTGAATTCCGATCAGCCCGCGATTGCGTCCTGGCTCCCTTACAAAAGTCAGTTCTCAAAACCGAGCCGATATATAGCCAGTCTTTAGGCAGCAGCGGGTGCGCAAAAGCAACGAACCGCTCATATTGTGGTTGCTGGCTATCTGAGAAGCCGAGAATAACCCAGGCATGTGCCAAAAATGGAATTTAACTTTAGGCTGAAGCGGTAGCGGAAGCAAGAGCGGCGAGTGGCGAGCGGCGAGTGTAAAACAAAGAGGTGGTTGTATCAAAACATCAACATAGCCGCTATTTTTGGCAAATATCGTCATTGTTCAAATATGAAAGCAGGCTGTAGATGAGCCGCAATTAAAAAAGCTTGGCTGTTTTTTATTTATTTCTTCTTACAAGCAGACAATCAATTCAATTGATGTATGCTGCGAATGCGCGCATATTTTAGGGCTGGTATTAACAAGAGCAAATTCAATGATAATAATACAAGATAATCGCTCGAGTATTTTTTGGCTGCTGTTGTTGCTTCGACTGTTTCGCCTTTTTTCTCCTTTGCTTTCGAATATTGCTTTTTACACCATTTTGATATTTTGAATACTGCATCCACCTGATCGACTTTATTATTTGTATAAAAAATTATATTTCTTGTCTTAAATACTCTGGCTATTATAAAAAAATACAGACCCACACGCTACATCTCAACCACAGGTCTTAATCGGAAAGTGTAAGTATTCGTTTTGGTCATTTGGAGTATTTTAGACTTTTCGTTCCAAATTCTATTTCTTCGTTTATTTTTTAGTGGCGCGTGTTCCTGTGCTCTACTGCTAGTTCCAGACAAAATAAAAAGGCAATACTACTGCTTTAGCTACCCACCCCTTCGTTTTTAGACTAACCACATTCCAAAAGAAATGATAGCAGCTGTTAAAAGTTTTAGTGGAAAAACATTGATTTTTGCGCTAGTGCCAAATAATATTTGCTTCCTTGATTCATTGTTTTGTTGGCATCGACAAGGACGTCGCCCTCCCTTTTTCCAGCGACAATAGCCTAATGTCCCACAGCTTATAAGCCGTAACACGCATTCAATATTTGCATACATGGCAAACCAGTTGCATTTCGTCTGTTTATCGTGGCCATGTTGTTATTCCCTTCTCGTGATGGAACGCACAAACAAACATAATGTAAATTGCTGCCAGCATTCCATTGTCTGCCAACTGTCGCTAAATTGTCTGTAATTAATACGAAAGCCCGCTTCAACCAGCACCATTCCATTGCGTGTATTTCTCCCAATCGTCATGCCTTTAAATGAGTAGTCTGGTTTGTGTTTTTTATTTTTGTGTAATTTAAAATTATAAATTACGTTGGCATCATGTGCACTTTGCCTTGCCGCGCATATCCATTTTCCCGCAAGCTTCCAGGCTTTTGTGCATTCGCATATCAGAAATATGGCCATGGACCTATAGGATTTCAGAATATTAAGTACATGTTTTCATTTTCCTACAACTTTTGCGCTTGTTTTTTTGACGTTGGTTCCGCTTACATGCGTGTTTCCATTTTTTTCGAGAATGACTGACTTTTTGGACAATATCAAGCGCCACTGTATAATGCAGCACCCAAACATTTTGACTTTTAATAATTTCACTAGCAGGTGCACTGCTATATCTCTAGCAATTTTACGCATACTTTCGATCAATGGGCCAATCCTGTCTAGTCTAATTTTGGTCCAAATAAAAAACGCTATTACAAGTGGCGCCAACCTAATATAATGATGTTGGTTTCAACACCACCACCGCCACCACCACCACTACCGCCGCTGCGAACAAGCAGGTGCGAGTTTGTTTCGACAACAAAACCAGCGTGCAAGCCACTCACTCGCGTTTTTCTATTTTTTTTGCGCTTTTATTTGCTTTTATTGGGTGCATGAATGGCCGACCGCCATGTGCTTTGCATCTGTAGCTGGATGACAAACGCGACCACAAGCAATGCATAAATATACTGCGCCTCATAATATTTATAATTCAGCTTTTCTGTGGACACAAATCTCCACCTCACCTTCCATCCATTAATCAGTCAATGTCTCCTGATTACTCCACATGTTCCAGCGCTAAACTGTTGCGTCTTGAGCGTCTGTACATGCTTATGCATGTTGATTTTCTGCACCCTCCTCCCCGCCTCTTGCTTTGAGCTGATGAGCAGCAGGCTAGAAAGAGATTGCTCGATATGTTATATTCCTTTGCACCGACCCAATCTTGCTGCTTCGTCGGGATTTTCCTTTGTTCTTTGCGTCTCTGCTGAATGCCGTCCCTTGAGCCTGTTACATTTCGCACAGCCGGTTGTGCTGCGGTTGGTGTCCCTTGACGCATTCCATGCAATGGGAATAGTGATGGCGATAGCACCACCAGAAGCAGCAAAAAAGGGCACCAGCCACAGCTGCAGCTGCAGTGCAACTAACAACGCTACCCCCGAATTCGGGGGTAGCGTTTTCTTTGCTGTATTTTTGCAAGCGAGGTTTAGTGCCTGCTGTTTATTTTTTGTTTGCGCGTCATCGCTCATACTTTTTTGTTGTCATTGCCATATCACTAAACTGGATGCATTGCATATCGTCTGCCTAATCGGCCCATTGGTCCCCTTCTTCCCTCTTTTTTTCTGTGCTGGATTTTGCCCAACAAAAAAATACTCACACTTCCAACTTGTTTGTTTGTTTTGTTTGGCCCAGGCTGCCCACCTTGTTTTTTGTCTTTTTTCGTCCTATTTTACAAATGGCGCATACAATAAAACTTGAAAAGGGGCAGAAAATGAATCCCAGAAAAATGAATGGCGTCTATCCCCCAATTTTTTCTTTACTTTTTTCTCTTTACTTTTATTTCTCCTCTTTTCTTTTCTTGCTCACTTACACTGTAAACTCTTATTCTACCACTTCTGTTAATCGCACCCACACACTGCCATTTTTACCTGTCTCTATCACCGTCTATTTATCTAATTACCCTCCTTCACTAATTCAGTAAAACACCACTTATATATTTTACTCTACTCTTTTAAACGCCATATTATTCTATTCTCTGCCTCGTGACGACGACGACGACGACGAATACTTGATCGACCTCAAACCACATACAAACACATACGCTTTCCGGAACGCAAGGAATACATTTTGTTCTCCCATTTAATTTTTCCCGCTCGTGATACCATAGACCACAAACGAGGGAAGAACCGGCGCATTTTTATCATTTCTTAAATCCATCAGCTAAAAGGCAAACGTGCTATCAAAATGGGCTGTGGCGCTAGCAAAGAAGACTTGGACGAGAAGCGGGCCAATGACGAGATCGACAACCAGCTGCGCAAGGAGCGCATGAACCTGCGCAATGAGGTGAAGATGCTACTTTTGGGCGCTGGAGAGTCCGGAAAGAGCACCATCATTAAGCAGATGAAGCTCATCCACGACGGCGGATACAGCCATGAGGAGCGCGAGTCGTTCAAGGAGGTTATTTTCTCCAACACAATCCAGTCGATGCGCGTCCTGCTAGAGGCGATGGACTCGCTGCACATTGGGCTGGAGCACCCTGAGTTACAGGGGTACGCGGACGTCATCATGCGGATGCCCGGGCAGATCGAGGCGGAAAGTCTACCAGCGGATGTGGCCAGCGCAGTCAAGGCGCTGTGGTCGGACGGCGGAGTGCGCGAATGCTTTGGGCGCTCGAACGAGTTCCAGCTCAATGACTCTGCGTCATACTACTTTGACTCTATTCTGCGCATCTGCCAGGACGGCTACCAGCCGACAGACCAGGATGTGCTGCGCTCGCGTGTCAAGACCACAGGTATCAACGAGACCATCTTCCGGGTGGGCGAGCTGACATACCGCATGCTGGACGTGGGTGGACAGCGGTCGGAGCGCAAGAAGTGGATCCACTGCTTCGAGAACGTCACGGCAATTCTGTTCCTCGTGGCAATCTCCGAGTACGACCAGGTGCTCATCGAGGACGACACGGTCAACCGCATGCAGGAGGCGCTGACCCTGTTTGACTCGATCTGCAACTCGCGGTGGTTCGTCAAGACGTCCATTATTCTGTTCCTCAACAAGATGGACATTTTCCGCGAGAAGCTACCGAGCTCGCCAATGAAGAAGTACTTCCCAGACTTTGATGGTGGTAATGACACTGACGCATCATCCGAGTACATCCTCAAGCGCTTTGTGTCGCTGAACCAGTCGGATGCCAAGCAGATCTACACACACTTTACGTGCGCGACAGACACGAACCAGATAAAGTTTGTCATGGCGGCGGTCAATGATATTATCATTCAGACCAACCTGCGCGACTGCGGACTGCTGTGAGCTCAAAATAAACACGGTTCCAATAAAACAGCACTGGCCTGTTTTCTTACCATATCCCTCCTTTTTTATCACCTTTTTGTTTGGATCCACACACTCATACTCATACTCATACCCACACAATATCCTATCTTATTTTTTCAATTTATCGCATTTTTAACCATCTTTTAAATCTTTCAAAACACTTTGCAAGTATCGCTCTTGTTCAGTACAGTTTGGTGGTAGTGACCAGCTATTACTACTGTCGTCGTCTGGAAATAATCTGTGATCTGCAAAAAAGAAAAAAGGCAGCACTTCTGGTTTTTTTAGGAAGATCGGCAATGCCTTGTTATTCAGAGGCCGCTCCGATGGATGAGATGCCGTTGAGAAAAAAAAAGTATAGATGCGGATATGTGTCTAAATAGTCTTCGTCTGGAAAATGGACATCAACACAGCAATGCAGCAATCAGCTGGCAAGGATGAGCAGAACAAATTGTTTTATGTAGATGGTAAATGGAATATCTTGACAGATACATATTTGAAATATATATATATATATATATATGGAAAGTAGAAAATGACAGCGACAGCGACAAGCAAAAAAAGGCCGAAATGACTTTTGTTTTTTTGCAGAGGTTGCGTATCAGGCATATGATATTTCCTACCTTTTTTAACGAAATGTAAAAGGCAAACGCGTAAACACAATCTCCAAGGCTATCCCCCCACGCAGGTTGGGGGAATTTGTTACAGTGAAGTGTCATCCTTGCAAATTACCAAGCAGAAGCAAAGTTACTCTCGAGTCGACTCGAGTTGCTTCCGGAGAAAAAAGCCAAATTAATAAAGGCAAGCCCTTTTTTTCGCAGTTTTTTTCGCCTGCATTTGAAATGACGTGATTGTGCCAAACATGAACAAATAAGAGCGATTTTCACTAAGGAATTACTTTTTTTACCTGCTTGGAGACGCGACAAAGCTACATTTGTTATCTAGTGTCGAATAGCAAAATAAAGCCCAAAACATTTGTTTTCATTTTTCTTTTGCTCGCTGATAAAGCAGTTTTGCTGATGACAAACCAGCATTTTGTTTTGTAGAAAAATACCATTCAAATAAAAAAGCATCAACAAAAAAGATACTGATTAATTGACCAAAAAAGCGGAAATTTTCTATTTTGCTTTTTATGCTAGTGCGCAATTACATTTGCTTCTTTGTGTTTTTTTAGTCCTTTCGTCTCATGTGGTTCTTTCAGCCAAATCTTCTGATCAAAGCTTTTTCTCTTTCCATTCGTTCACACCATTCCGCTCTAGCGGTCAAAAAGGAACTGTTTTTTTGCGGCATAAAAAACTTTTTTATTTTTAAGTAGCCAAGCAAGTAGAAAAAAAGACGTTTGTAGCTTTTTTTAATATTTTTTTTACAAACTGTATTCGGAAAGCCGCACCTTTTTATTTTATTTTTCTCTTTGTCACCCAAATTCACTTTTTTATTTAAATAAACCACCTAATAACCAACACGAACACACAGTTACACAATCCCTTCCCGTCATTTGGCAGTCTCTCAATTTAGAGGCCCTATCATTTGTTGACAAATTCGACAAAATGCCTCGCAGGAGACAGGATATTACCGAAAAGGTGCCAACCACACCACGTAAGGTCGTCATATACACGGACAATCTCATGACCAGCAACAGCGCACGAAGTACGACGGCCAACGAGCCAGCAAAAGAAGTAAGTTGCTTTAACAAGAAAATTTCTCACGCGCACACACACGCCCCCGCGCTCTATAGGTTTTTCTATTATCTTGTCCGAGTCAATTATTTTTTCATGTCTTTATCTGAGCAAAAAGCAACCTTCATCTTGTTAATAACCTCTGTTAAAATTTTTCATTATATCGCCTAGTTGGCACACGCGTTGGGAGAGACATTAAACACCGCGTTGGTCGTGTCCACGTCGTTTCGTTTCGATCCAGAGTTCAATATGCTGGAGATCCTGGATCCGTACAATTTGCGCAACAATATCCAGGTCACAGGGATAACAGACTACAGGGTTTCAGTCAAGATATTTATGCTCCCAGCCGCTGTTGACGCCAATAACCGGCCATCGAGCATGTACGTCAAACAGACGCTGCTCTGCGTGGAAAAGCAGCTAGGGATGGTGAAAATTGACGAGCTTATCGTGTCGTTTGCCGAGATATCAGCAAATGACGAAGATGCCGAAGATGATGGCGAGGACAATGAGGATCGGGAAACAGGGCAATTGGACTTGTCGCCACTAGAGTCGCCCGTAGGGTCGCCCCTAGGGGTGTCGCCAGCACACGCAGAGACCAGCAGCACAGACAGCTTGGAGACAAGCCCGACCACCGCATGCCCCGAAGACGCAATCACCGACATGAGCCGGTACGTCAAGGTGTGGCGGTCCCTGGGCAAACTGCGCGCCTCCGGCGAAGCACTCAAAATTGGCATCAGCGACGTCAACAAGCAGCAGCTAGACCAGCTCTGCTGCCAATCCGGTATCACACCGGATATTGTGCAGATTCGCATGCCCGGAAATGAACCTCAGGACCAAGGTCCCGATGAGGAGCTGCGGGCATATGCTCGCGAAAGGGGTATATTTGTGGGCGCTCATGCGGACAGCCCGAGATGCTGAACGATTGGACGTTCCAGACTCTGGCGACGGACTTTAAGATTAATGAAAAGTTTCCGACCACAGAGGTGGCCCCGCTGGGATACAAGATCGACTTTATGCGGCCGCGGTGGGTCGCTAGTTACAGCGTTATGCAGACGAAGCGGGGGCTGGTGGCTAACCGCGGGTACATCGTTATGGCCAGCTCCGACTGTGTGCTGAACCCAAATCGCGTTCCTCGAAAGAAGTACTCTGTATGATGGAGCTTGTAACTCCTTTTTTCGCCCAGGTTTTCGTGTTAATTTTGTTGGTAATAATAAAAATTAAAAAATAAGGTTTAAGCGTTGGTGATGTTGATGTCAAAACTCGCCTTTGTGCTAATGCTATCATTTAGTGCAAAGGACTTCCACGCAATTTAATAGCTAGACCTAACAAACGTATGCACAAAGGACCAAACGTCTGCGATGCTGAACACGGCATATTTGAATAGAATGTAATATCAATAATACGACTCGAATTCAGACTGTTCGTGTTTTAGTGTCTTTAATTTTTTATTGATATTGGTTGAGGCGCATTGTACTTGCACCCACCCACACACGTGCCCCTAAAATAGTATTGCGCCCTTTAGCACACAATTGGCCTTTAAACAATAGCAATGTATTTCAGTAGGCAACATTATTTGGTATTGTTTATAGCAACAAAATAATTTTTATTTGTATTGTTTGCGTGTTTTCATTTTTCATTTTGCAATTCGCTCACTCACTTTCCAGCTTGAAAGATACTCTAAATAACAAGTAAAAAATTAATCAAATTTTTTGATGCCATTGATTCAGAATAAACAAGTATTTGGCTCGACAACAAAAAGTTGTTATTGGACTTTTGGTGCCAATTCCTATTTTTGCAAATAGAATTATCCAACAAACTAAGCGCTAAAAGAAAATATGCGCTTAGCAATTGCACTGCTCATAAATGGAGTGTATTGCATATATTACTCGCATACATTCTATATTATATATTTTGTATGCCATATTCTATATTCACCTTCAATATCAAAATGTCGTGTAAATCTTTTTTTTGTTGTCATCACCAAGAATGAATCCAGCTCGTGATTGCTCAAATCAATAACCATGCGAACCTGCTTCAGAGTGAAATATAAACAGATTATTTCAAACTCGTGGGCAAACATTTTGTTTTCGGTTATTCCAATAAAAATATAAAATAAAATCACATTCCTTTTCTCTTTTTATGCTTCCGCGATTATTCTAATACATTTTACTTCAATTTTACCTTTTTATATTATTCATTCTTAAAGTCAAATATTTTTAACTTCACATCTCGCTTCCATTCCAATTCCAATTCCAATTTCCATTTCCATTTCCAATTCTCACTTTCACTTTCACACTCATACTATTTTTTTTACCATTAAAGCCACCTTCGCCATGTCCGCTGTTGTTCTGCGAAAGAGAGTCCATCAAAATGACTGGTGCAGCCAGTCACTGCAAAGCGGCATAAGCGACAGATGAACTCTTCTCAGCCAACAAACACAAAGAGAAAGGCAGCCGCGGCCTCCAAGCAGGCACCGTCAGGCGAGAGAGCAAGGAAAACGCGGATACTGTTGCCAACGCTGCGCAGCCACAAAACAACAGAAAACGCGTGTACAAGAAGAAAGCAGCCCCACGCCAGAACAAAGCCCAGCCTGTGCCTATTACGCCGTCCGATAGTAAGTGTTTGTTTGTTTTATTTGCAGACAGCTGCACATGCCGACACATATTCTTGCGGCCAGCGTAAAGTGCTTTGGTGCGCTCACAGCATACTAACAGCATTTTATTATTCTAAATTGTTTTTAGGCAGCAACACAAAAGAAGGCAGTCCGGCTGGTGACGAGCAGGTCGACGCAGCACCCGGCCCTTGCCCCAGCAACGCCCATATTGATGCCAAGCCCAGCTCGTCGGAAAGACAAAAGATGTTTGAGCGTATGGAGCCGGCTATGTGCGAGTTAAGGCGACATCTCAGCGGACCACATCCCAGCGTCGTCGAACTGGCACCACCAGTGGCTGCGGAATACAAGCAGAGGGCGGCCACAGTTGCTGATATTGTTCACCGGGCCATGGAGCAGCTTTCATCTGGCTCCAAGCACACGCCGGCCGGCGACTTGGCTATTTTGGAAGAGCTCATCAACGCCGACTCGGTCTGGCCCGTTAGGCTAGCTCGCTCGAGCTACGCCGCCATTGATTAGTTGGCGAGCAAGCTCAGGCAGGACTACAATGCGCTTTCCAGGTGGACAGGCACACACACATCTAGGGACCACAACGGAAGCAGCAGCAGTGGCGACGTGAGCAAGGGCGCCGAGACATTTACCTCGTTCGTATCTCGTATTATTCAGGGGATGCATCAGCATGCCAATGGAGAGCAAGGGCGCCCCGAGCCACGCCGAGTGCTCATTCCGTCCACTGCGCCAATCAGCACTACAAGTACTGGAGACGACTGCACCCACCAGACCACTGTTCGGATTGGCTTGGGAATCGACTCTACGCTGGCCACTGTCGCTACGACTGATAGCTCCGAGGCAACGTTGGACGGCAATGTAGACGTAATCGACAACAACGATGAGTGATACGCCGGTCTGTTTGCCGCCATCGAGGTCGGGAAGGGCTCGTCGTCGGATGACGTGGACGATGCCGCGCTGCAGCTGTCTAAACACTGTCGCCGCATTTATCGCGCGCAGCCCAACCGGCGCTTTGTGTGGGGCCTGACTATTTGCAGCAGCTCTGTCCAGGCATACTTGTTTGGATGCAGTTTTGTTCTGGTCTCTGAAGCCATGGACATTTGCACCGAGGCGGGCCGCAGCGAGGTCATCAAGCTGTTTGTTAATTTGTCCTTTAGCGAGGACCACCGGCTGGGTTTCGACCCAAGCATTAAGCACTTGCATGACCTCGACTGTTGGGAGATTACGGTTCCTGGCACAGCCACCACGGACAGTGCTGACAGCACGGACAGCAGCGGTGGCAATTCCGGTTCTTATGGATCTACTGGACGCACATTCTACAGTAGCCACATATTAATTGAGGCTAGTCATTTGTTTGGGCGGCTCACGCGGTGCTTCCTAGCAACAGATAAGAAGCCAACCAGAGACAGTCGCATCAGAAGCAAGGACTGCACCGTTTTTATCAAGGACGCTTGGACCGAGGTGGCTGATGGAAGTGGCGACAATGACGTGCGCGACGAGGTTGCCCATCTGCGCAAGATCACCCGGACACTCGAGCGCTATCCAGAGCTTGCGGGCACATACCCGGTCCTCGAAGCCGGCGGTCGCATTAAATTCCAGTGCTGCAGCAGCAATACATATACCGAGGACACGACACGCAGTATTCTTGGGGACCTATTTGACAATGTCACAGTCGGCGAGAAGATTCGGAAGCTGCCATTTTGTGCACACAAGCGCATTGCCACGTCGCCGATTGGCATGCCACTTGATAGACTCCAGTCCATTCCTGAGCTGATCATCGCTGTTGCTGATGCTATGCGCGCTCACCACGCCATTGCCGAGCACTGTAATATATTGCACCGTGATATCTCAGCAGGCAACTTTTTTCCGGCGTATGATGGATGGCACCGTCAAGGGCATGTTGATTGATTTTGACCATGCGATCGACTGCGAGAATCTGGACGCGATGCCGCAAAATGAGCATATCGGCACACTGAATTTCATGAGCGTGAACAACCTCGAGGGCAACAGCAACAAGCGCACCGAGCTCGACGACTGGGAGGCACTGATTTATGTCTTGGTGTGGCTCGGGACATTTGGACTCAATGGCATGTCTAAATATGACAGTGACACAGATGAGCACAGAAGGATTGCAGGTGCTAAAATCAACTATTGGGTTGACAGCACAACATTGAAGGACATTGCCAGATACAAGCGCGACAATTTGGACAACAGTTCCAGTTTTAAATCTATTCTCAACGAGTTTGATAGTAGTGTGGATCATATCAATGTTCTTGCAGAATTGTTGATTATGATGCGCAATATTCTAATCGACAATGCGGGATGCAGTGAGAATGGCAGGGATGCAAATATGAAACAGCCTTTTAACCATGGCAACTGTGAATCATCCGCCTCAAAAGTCACGCCTAGTTCACTTTCTCCATTATCCAAATCCGCATTGCCGGTTGAATGGCGAGACGATATGAACACTCCAATGATTGATCCGTTTAAAGTGCGCACTGGCATGGCACCAACTATTGCCAAGGAGCTGTTGGCCATTTTGGAGAATGTCGTTGAGTATTGCCGAGAATTATTGAGCGAGGCAGGAACTGAGAGCAACGAGCCAAACGCGACGAATTAGTTAATTTGTTCATTTTTAGGGAAGCTAATTTTGAAATTTATTTTTTTACATATTATGAATTGATTAAATATACAGCAGACATTAAAATTGTCAATTTTTTGAACCATCAACTTTTGTATTTGGTGTATCTTTTACCCTGATGGCCCAAACAACATCTCGGTAATATTATTAGTATACAGTAAACCCACTGCACACATCAGTAAAACTTGCACAAATGGTTGCTAGTTTGTTGTACAAATCAATATTAAAAACCAACTTTTTAGAATTTATGCGTGGATTCTTAAAATTAAAATTTTGTATAAAATATATAAAGCCTAAACTTAAAAAATTGAGCACCAGGTTTAGAAGCGGCCTATTAACGACAAATATAATTTTAAATTATAGCTGTGCATTTTTATTCTGTATTACCAAGAGTATATTTATACTTTTATAGCAATTAAATCAATTCCTTTTGTAGTTTTTACTATTTTTAAGTCATGGTCATCACTTGCAACAAGGCCAACAGCATTAAGTCAATGACTCACAACGGCTTCACTTCTACAGAAATTAGCAACAGAATACACATCAAGCTAAGCACAATTATAATGCATCTTAGTTGGCACTTTATCTACAGCGAAAGGCCCAAGGGGGGTTGCCCTACGATTTTGACCAAAGATGACGAAATCTTTATTCAAAGATTTATTTATCACAGGGAAGTAATTGACATTGCTACACTTACCAAAAAGCTGTCAAAGGAGAGAGGGATTCAACTAAATAGGCAGACTATTCAGAGATACCTTGTTCACATTTAGCATCATTCTTGTGTTGTGAGGCAAAAACCATTTGTCACCAAAAACAACCAAAAGTTGCGGTACAGATGGGCAAAATAACACGAAGAGTGGATCAAATTGGATTGGGAGCAGGTTTTTTTGGACAGATGGATTTAAGCTTATGTGCTTTGATACTAGCCACAGGAGGTTTGCAACCAAAGGAGACAACAACGGGATGACGGCCAAATATATTCAGCCTACTATGGAATATAATGGTAGGTCTTTGATGGTGTGGAATGCTTTCCATGCTAATGGTACAATCCCCTTGGCTTATATTGAGGATAATATGAGCAATACCATGTACATTCAAATACTGAAAATAAATTTGGTACCCGCTTTGGAGAGTATCAATCTCCCAAATGGAGTCAGTGTTATTTTTCAGCAGGACAATGACTCTAAGCACACAGCCCATGAGACTGGCAACAGGCTACATAATCACAATATCAGTGTCTTGCCATGACCATCATAATCTCCCAACCTCAATCCTATCAAAAACCTTTGGGGTCTGCTGAAAACCCACCTTTGCAACTATGACACTCATTCGAAAAAACATTGATGAACTATTCGAGCGAGCACATAATTATTGGGCAACTGTTTCAGCTACTACTCTAGAAAATTTAGCACATTCAATGCCCAAGTGCATAAGAACAGCCATACACTCATGAGGGCTTCCTGTTTAAAACATACAAAAAGATCTATTAGACACAAAACATTTATTATGATTTTAATGATTTTATAAATTAATTTTTAATTTTTAATACATTGCCATTAAAAAATTTATTATCCCACCACAAGCAACTTGTAACCATCTTATATAAACACTTTAAGTAAATGTTTATCGTTCTAATGATAATTTTAGGCAAGCGAGTGGAAGGAAATTGGTTTAAGGATAAGCTGAAAAGGATGAAATAGAAATTAAAAAAATCGACAGTTTTCATGTCTGCTGCAGTGTGTATTTGATATGTTTGAACTAAACATGCAAGTAAAAGATTATTCCTCATAAAACAAATTTAATCCAAAAATCTCTTTTTTTTCTTTTTTAAATCTCATCACCCGAGTCCATATCATCATCACCAGCGACCTCCGTGTTCTCACGCTCAGCACGAGCCATATAATCCTTAAGCTCCTTCTCCTCCGTCTCACTCACAGCCTTTGGCGCCATCGTAACCTTCAACGATCCGCCCTCCTCAACAATAACCTTGCGCACGGCCTCAATAGCCTTCTCCATAAGCAGCAAGTCCCCAGCCTTATCAATTGACATCGTCGCAATGCTGTACTGCGGCGGCGCAATCAGGGTGATTTTCAGCGGACAGGTTTCAGTAGACACAGCTTCGCCAGCCTTGAGTGCGCGGCGAATAGCCTCGATGCCCTGGTACTCGGCGCAGACAACTTCAATATCAGCACGCAGCTTGGCGCGCTGCGGGGTGAGACGGCGGGCAATCAGGTGCATGAGCTCCTCCTGGACATTCGCCTCCAGATTGAACTCACCAAAGACAGCCTCCGGGTCAAGAATAGCCGCCTTAAAGGCATCAAAAGCATGGCCGTACTTCTTGTACAAAGGCCAGGCGAACTTTTGGTAGAGCTCCTCGATGTCCACGTCGAGCTTCTTCGCCAGGTTGGACATGATCAGGTGAACTTGCTTGGACTTTTGGTACTTCTCCTCGCAAGCCGCCGCTTCCTCGCGGTTGACGCGGCTCTTGGACAAGTCAATGTATCCTTTGCTCTTGTCCACACGGCAGACGGAGACGGCCTCGTGGCGGCCGACGCGGATGAGCGATTGGACGGAGCGGATACGGCGGCGGGAGAGCTCTGCCATGGGAATCATACCCTCGATGTTGCCGTACTCCTCGAGCTGCACGTATGCGCCAATCTCCTTGATGCTGGTGATTTTGACCATGACAATGTCGTCAATCTCGGGAAAATCGGCTTCGTAAAAGCGACACGACGACATTTTTATTTATGTAAATTGAATAAAGCCTGTAAGCTGATTTGAAAATAATTGGTGGCTGGTATAAGTGAATAAAATATCAAGATTGAGATTCTGAAAGAAAAAAGGATTGAATTTTGGGCTCGTTGGAAAGTTTGCCTTCAATTGCCCTCTTTTCTATTTTTGCTTGTTCGCCTGCCCCAAAGAAAAATTAAATTCATTTGAATTTTTACTTTTCTGACTCACTGGGCGCGATAATTTCCTGCCATGACTTTGAGCGCAAGCACCACTCGAGAGAGAAAGAAAGAGAGGGAAAAATTATTTTTAATTATTTAATCACAGCCCCTCCACCCCCACCCCCTACGATCAAGAGTGATTTCAAAGTTTCAAATGTCTTTCGTCACTTGCAGATTGCATAAAACAAAGCCCGCTCTCGAAGAAAGAAAAAAAGGTTAAAATCTTTAATTTTTTTCACACTATACTTGCATCACTTTACTCTTCTCCAGTTTTTTCCCTCCAGGTTTTTATTTTATTTTTTTACATGTACTTTATATCCACACTTTAAGCTCTCCCCAATGCACGACTTTTGCGTAACGTCCTTTACGTCGCCGACATACTGCAAGTATTGCAGTGGGTTTCTCTGGGGCGTAGCTAAGCAGGGCGTCCGATGCAATAAATGCCAGATCACAGCACACAAGAAATGCGCACTAAAGCATACCAGCGACTGCAAACAACAAACCAACACCACCGCCAACAACGGCGGCTCATCCCCTCCTCCGCCTCCTCCGCCTCCTCCGCCTCCTCCGCCTCATCCGCCTCATCCGCTTCCTCCACGACAATGCGCGAAGACACAGCAGAGTATATTAAGCAGCTGGACAAGGAATTCTGGCAGCAAGTGGAGGAGGAAACCAAGATCAACGACCTGGTCTCGGCGCAAACTGAGCAGCCGCTGTCATTATTTCAGACTCTGCCGACAAACTTTATCCAGTTTACGGCTAAATCAGCGCCCATCAGTGTGGTGCATCGGGGTGTGACGCGGATACTCATGTGGAAGAGGCCCAGGGATTCAGTGGTTGCAATGGTTGTCTACTCGATGTACTGCTTGCGGCCTAATCTGCTGCTGGCCACGCCGCTTGGGCTGATGATTGCGTATATTATATTTAATTATTATAATAGCGGGTACGCGGACAGCGGAGACGCAGGGGATGGAGGGTCGGGTTTGTCCTTGGCATCTTCGTCTTTGTCTTCGCCGTCGATGTCGCCGCCGCCGTCGCTTCCGGCTGCGTTGCCGCGGACATCGTCGACGCAGCAGCAGAGGCAGGGCCTGGGGCTGCTGAACTCGGGGTTCTTCAACATTGTTCCCTTGGCGTCAGTGGCGTCGCCAGCAATGGGGGCCATGCGCAGCGTGAGCAGTAGCGGCGCCGGTAGTGGCGGCGGCGGGCTTGGGTCGCAGAGTGGCAGCGCGGGACTGCGGGAGCGCAAGCGCAGCCATACAGTGATCAAACCGTATCCGCAAATCACCAGCGACCGGGCTTCCTCAGCTCTACCGGCAACCAAGAGCCGGGTGCTTGTGCGCTCGCGCAGCGGCACTGACAAAAGCAGCGGAAGCAGCGGGCCCAAGGCGGTGGATCTGGAGCGGCTCCTGGGCGTTGCTAGCTTTGGCAGTGCCAAGTACACGGACAACGTGCATACAACGCAGACGATCACCGGGTCGTACGTGCAGGCGTACGATTGGGTGGCAGCGCACCACTGCTTGGTTGATTGGTCGCAGCCACAGGAGACGCGACGGATCCTGGCCCTGTGCCTGTGGATGCAGGCGGCGCTGGTTGTGGTTGTGTACTGGGTTCCGTGGTATCTTTTGTTTTTGGGCATGGGGAATGCTGGGTTGTTGGCGATGTCGCCGCACGTGCGCGCGTTCGCAAGGGTGTATGGCGCCGAGGTGCTTGCTTATGGGCGGGAGCGCGTGGAGGCGTGGGTGCGGTGTGTGAGGCGGTTTGCGGTATGGCGGAGGAGGGGGAGGCAGCCCGAAGCTGCTGACCAGCGCAGGGTGTTTTCGTCGCCGGCGCTGTTGGCACAGGAGGACAGCGATGCAGAGAGCGATGGCGGGTATCGCACGCCACCTTTGCTCTCGCTGGGTGGCTCGGCAGCGGCCAGCTCGCCGACGCTTTGTCGGCAGGGCAGCGTGGGACGCATCTGGTCAGCGTGTTTGAGAACCAGCGGTGGTGGCTCGGGCTCGGGTGGATTCCGCGGCTCGGCAGTGGTGAGCGCGGAAAGTGGAGCGACGAGTCGGGCAAGCAGGGGTACGCGTCGCTGAGCGATTTTCTGCCAGGCGCTGGGTATGAGTGGGCGGACGGTGGCGGTGGCGGTGACGGCGACGGGTGGGAGATTGACCGAGAGTGGGCGCTGCCTGTAGTACCGGATGACGAGGGCTGGGTGTATACGGACAACTTCTGGAAGCGCCCTGCGCAGGGGGCGTCGCCGGTGTCGTCGTATACGAGGCGCCGCAAGTGGGTGCGCCGGGTGCGGCCCCGCTCAAGGCCACTTTTATAAAAACCAGTTTAGGCTTGCTTCTATTTTTGTACCTTTTCGCTCCTCATTCATTCATTCATGCACGGACGCATCATCATTATTATTTTTTGGCATGAATGCATTCATTCCAAATATAGGTTTTCTAAAATGGAAAAATATAAAATTTCGTTATTAATCAGTCGTTTTATAGGCACATATTCATTGTGGATCTAGACATCCTTTTCCTATCATTTTTTGTTTTGCTGGGTTTCGACATGTCTGTGCGTTAATGTACAGTTTTCAAGGTACTACTATATTACCCCGCATAACTAAAAAAATCAAATTTCAATTGAAAAGAGCGGGGTTAAAAAAGGTGTTTATATATTTTTTGTTAACTATTTTGTCCGAATGTCCGACTTTCATTTATTTTTATCTTTTTTCTGTCTCGGGCTTTGAAGATATCTCAAAGCAAACAATAACAAAAATAATAAACATCGTTTTATTCCAAAAACATTTTCAGTAGAATTTGCTTCTTGTTTTATCTTTACTCTTTGTTTTTTATTTAGGCTCGGTGCCATTTAATTCACAAGCACACACACACACATATATATATACAAGAGGTAAGAACAGCAACACGTATGTCCATAGCATCGGGCTGGGTGTTTTATACACGCTAATATGTTTATATCTGAATGCGAATATGTAAAGATTGCAAATACAATTGAAACCACTCTTTTTTTCTTTTCTCTCCGAAAAATGGGGTGGTAAAAAAAGGGGGAGGGGCGTGAGGACGATGATGACAGGGGAAAATAAAAAAGGGGGAGAGAAAGAGAGGGGTGTTGTAAAATATATAAAAAAAATGCATTCATTCTTGCGTATATGTATGCGTTGTTTTATTTCTTGAAGAGTTTGAATTTTCATTTTCCATTTTCCATTTTTTTACTTTGGAATTCTAATTTTCATTCCATATTATTTTTATTTTTCCTTGTAACCAAACCACTTTGAGAAATATAAAGTTTTAAAAAAAGGCTAATGAACTAACATTTTGTTCTCTTTAACACTCGCAATAAAAAGCAGTTCAGCTCTCTATAGTTGTTAACAAAAACAAAACAAAACAAAACACACCACACACACACACACACCTCGTCCCTCCTTCCCGAAAAAATAACCCGCCTTTATATATTTTTCTCTCCCTCGCTTTCTTGCTTTTTTCTTTAGTCGTCTCATTTCATAATTATATTTTCTACTTTAATATTCTACGCTAAAAAATACCATTCGTCTTTTTCTATTTTTTTTTCCTTTTTCCAATTCCTTCTTTATTAATTGCACACACAAAAACACTTTCATATAAACACATCCACATTCTACAGAAATGAACGCAGACGCAGCAAAACCAGAAGTAGGCGGGCGGCGGTTAAACAACATGGGTCATTCAGCAGCAGCAGCATCGGCGGGGGACTCAACAGGAACAGAGCCGTATTACACTACACAGCCAACAAACTACTCCAGCAACAGCAACACCACCAACAACGCTGATGACCGGAGACAGCGCATAGCCGAGGACAGCAGCGGATACGGCAGCGTCGGCAAAAAGCGGAGTCGCTCGTACGTCAGCAGTCTCCACGAGTACCAGTTCCACAATCTCTCTGCACACGCACACGCACAGCACCGGCAGCACCAGAGCCAGGCCAGAGCCAGAGCCAGAACCAGAACCAGAACCAGGACCAAGCGGATGGCCCGCAGACGGTGACTGCGCGAATGGTCGATCCACAGGCGAGCTCGCAGCCGCTGGGCTGGGCGCCGTGCCCCGGACGAGGGGGTTTCGCACTGCCAGCGGCAGCGGCAGTGGCGGGCATCCGCGGTACGACGCCGAGTTCTACCACACAGCGCAAGCGCAGCCGACGTTAGCGGCCTGGCATTGGCGGACAGCCGCGGGTATTTGGATTCGGGTCTCGGATACTACCAGCCGCATGCGCTGCGCGCAGACACGCGGGCAGCCCAGGGATTTTACTCCGAGCCCAACTCTGCGTCCGCGTCGCCGGTACACGCCATGCCGCCGGGCGGACACCCGTTTGCCGCCCGCCCGGCTTCATCTGCGGATGCAGCGAATGGCTCGGGCGCGGGGTGCTGCGATATGGCGTTTCGCCGCCATCCGCTGCGGGGCTGGCTCCTTGGGCGTGGTTTTTCCGGAATCAGCGGCGTGGGGGCCATATCAACAACGGTGGGCGGAAACGCCAGCAGCAGCAGCAATGAGGAAAGGGAAGAGGCAGCGGCAGCGGCAGTAGCGCTGAGAAGTCTGCTGGCTGTATGGCAGTAGCTACGCCCAGATGTCAGGCGAAGTGGGGTCGCCGGCCTTTGCACAGACTCGGCCGCGCCTTCCATTCCAGCGGCAGCGGCAGTGGGCTGCAGCAAACCGCGGACTATCCCCCAACGCCGTCCGTTGGCTCATCAGTCTCGGCCACTGCGTTTTCTGCACGGACCGCCACAACCAACACCAGAACCAACAGCAGCACCAGCACCAGCACCAGCACCAGCAGCGGGCGCAGTCGCATCACCAGGGCTACGGCTTATCGTCGCAGGGCATGCATCAGCATAACGCACATATGTTTTCATCGGGAGCCAACGCCAACAGGCATTCTACAGCGGGGACAACTAATCGGGACAGTGTGTTTCTGCGGCTCAAGGATAAGATTATGCATTTCAAACCCAGGTCCAGACCACAGAGCGATATAGTTACGGATAAGAGAAGCCCGTATCAGCATCAGGGCAGCAGCATAGCGCCTCGGGTGTCGGAATGGCTGGTTCATCGTCTTTCAATAAGATCAGTCGTGGCAACAGTAAGTACTTCAAATCAAGTAACCTCTTTTTTTGCTTGATTCATGTTTTTTCTTTGTTGGCTCAACTGTTGCTTGTGTTTTCTATTTTTGTTTTCTTTCTTTCTGCCAAAAGAGATGAAGCAAAATATTGGGGGAGGGGGGTCAACAAAAAAAAACAGTATAAAAAAGTGAGCGAATTTCAACACTTGCATTTTATTTTCTTTCTTTCAATCATGCATGGCCATATGACCAATGCTGCATTGCTTCCATTCTATTAATACGCTTTTTTATTTCACTCCGCCTCAGCCGATGATCATCAACAACTGATTTCACAATAATCTTCGTAATCTCGTTTTCATTTCATTCTATGTGGCATTAAGTAGGCACGAGCTCCGAGGCGCAGCTGTTCGGCATGCCGCTAAGCGTGGCAGTCAAGGCAGCGGGGGTGTGCGTCGGCATTGTGGCGTCCAGCCAAGAGCCGTGCGTAGTGCCGACAGTGGTGGCGGTGTGCGGGCGGCATCTTCGGGCGCAGGGCCAACAGACGCAGGGCATATTCCGGGTCAACGGGTCAATGAAGCGCGTGCAGCGGTTGCAGGACTCCTTTAACGAGCGGCCGCACTACGGGCGGTTCACAGAGTGGACCAGCTACACGCTGCACGATGCAGCGACTATTCTACGACGCTACCTGATCTCGCTGCCTGAATCTGTAATCTCCGTGGACTTTTACAGCGCGTTTCTGGATAAACTCGCTGAGCCATTGTCGGATGACCGCAAGGCCAGCGATTATGGCGAGATGATCGCAAGACTGGAGCCTGAGCCGCGCCATACTCTGCTATATATGCTGGAACTTCTGGCAGTGTTTGCACTGCCGCGGAATAGCGAGCGCACATTGATGAATGCATCAAATCTGGCCGCTGTTCTGCAGCCGTGCTTGCTCGTGCACCCCGGTCACGTCGCCAATCCGCATGAGTACGGAAAGGCCAAGGATGTAGTTGAGTTTCTCATTGTGCATGCCGCGCAGATGTATCCGCCGAGTAATGGCAGGTCCGCCGGTGCTGCTTCTTCTGGTACTGCTGGCAGGGCTGATGCCGACCTGGAGTACGTGCTCGTCGATCAGGAGGGCGGGCGCGTCGGCGCCGGGCTGATTGTGTTTGACGACGACGCTGACCGCACGGGCGCTGTGGACGACAGCGAGACACTGGGTGTTGCCCCAGACAACACCGGTGAGCAGCCGGCGCCCAACCTGGACGCTGCAGAGATGGACGGCGAGGGGAATTCCTCGTGGCAGCCGCAGCCGCAGCCACAGCCACAGCCACAGCCGCTGCCACTGCCGCCGCGTGGTGACTCGCTGGTGACAATGAATATGGTGATGTCGACGCCAGTTATGGGCACGACCGACAGTGCGCGGACATCGCAGGTGCGGTCGCTGGGCTCAGTCACAGCGCGGCTGTACGACCCGACGCCTCCGCTGCACGATCCGGCACCGACACCGCCACTGATGCCGCCTGGAGCCAACGACATGCCCATGTCGCCGTCCAGCCAATCGAGCGCCAGGTGGCAGTTCAACCGGTCGAGCGCTGCCATTTTGCCGGCGTCCCCGGCGCACGCGGCAACCGTGATGTTGCCGAGGGCGGATCGGCAGGTACGCCGGTCGATGTCGTTTGCTGTGCCGCCGCCGATCCACCAAACGGTGTCCGGCGACCATGCGGACGTTGGCCGCTTGTCCAAGGACCTAATGGACCGGTCGACCAGCGCTGTGCTTGCAGCCAGGCGAGTCGGTGGCGCGGGCGCTGGTGGTGGCCTGGGAAGACGTGTTGTACCGTTGGTCCCTGTGCAGACGGCGTCCACGGACTGTGAGGAGTTGGCCCCGGGCGGCATGGGGGCGTATGTGCAGTCGCCGACAATGTCCTCGCAGAGGGCGCATCATGCGGTGATCCACAGTCCGCTGTTGCCGTCGATGGCCAAATACAGCAGCAATGCTAGCCAGCAGGTGCACACCGGAAGACCGATTCCCATGCAAGTGTTTTCCCCAAAGATCGGCGGTGGTGCTTCGGTGATTTCGTCGGTGACACATGGGAATATAGCCCGCACGACGCGGCTTTCTGAGAGCAGTAGTGGCAGCCGGTCTGCTGCTGCTGGTGATTACCACCAGCAACATAGCCATCATGGCCAGCATAGTCAGAATAGTCAGAAGCCGGGATTAGCTGCGAATTTCTCCGAGGCGCAGCAGCAGAAGCTCCATCCTATTGGGAGAGCCGATCCCATGTTCATGCGGCAGCAGATGCAGCAGATGCAAATCCAGTATCCGGCAACCGTGTCGTCTCCTGGCGGCAACAACTACATCCAGCAATATGAAGCGGATGCTAAGGTATTTCAGATGCAGAGACACAATTTTGCATCACCACAGCAGCAGGCGCCGCCGCCATTGGCCGAGTCTAATCGGGACAAAGTCAGCATGACACGTCTGAAAAACATGTTTAGGATTGGCGGGAACGGAGCCAGCAGCAGCAGCAGCAGCAGCAGCAAGGAATTACTGGCAGCGGACGTGCTGTCTTACCAGCAGCCGCAGCAGCAGCCTAACCACCAGCAGCATCAGTACAACTTTCAACAAATCCAGCCGCGCTCCCTAGACACCGTTGTTATACCCCGGAAGCCGCGGCAACCACAGGGTGCAGTGATATACGAGAATGGTAGCAACAGCAACAGCAGTATGGCCAATCATATCCAGGTGATGGTCCCCGCCGGACACCTCTCCATTGTGTACCCGGACTCGCCCATGTCTAAGGCTGACACGCTGCGGCGCAGCAGCATAGACTCTCTGACGATGCGCTTAGCCCAGAGCAATCTTAACCTCACATCGGCAGGACCACCAGCGTCCACTGCTGCTAATGTGCACGCATATTTGGTTGATCCTGACCGCCCCAACAGCGTGAACCTCCATGCAACACCTTCAAACTCTACGACGCTGCATTCCATCAGCCATCTTCAGCAGCAGCAGCACCAGCAGACGTATACGCGTCGGGCAGGGAATATTGTTTTGGGCACTGGGAGCAGCAACCAAATGTACTCCATGCAGAGGATGGCCGATAGCGACAGCAGGATCGCCGAGCGGGGTCGCGACGACTACGGCTTGCCAGATATTTCGTCTACCGGATCACCGCTGATGCCCGCCGGGTACGAGCTCGGTGCTGCTAGCCGAGACTCTATCTATATGCAGTTGCAGCATCCACAAAACACCAGTGGTGGTGGTGGTGATGGTTGGCCTAGAGGGATGAGTCGCAAGGAATTGACAGATGATGAGTTATACGTTGAGGGAAATGGTGGTAGTCCGAGAAGATCCAGATCTCTGCGTAACACCATTACTTCGCTGAGACGCAGGCTGTCAAAGTCCAGCAGAAATGGATCCGGTGCTGGCGCTGGCGCTGGGGGGAATCCCGAGAGCTCACTGGATGCGCTTGTGCCGCAGGGAGCCGGCGCCCAGTAATTCTCTGCAGTTTTTTTTACATCGACGCGACCCGATCATTTTGAGGAACGAATTGCTTTTCCTTTTTTTGTGTTTTTTATTTAATGTTTAATTTTTTGGGCACATATTTATACTATGTTGTTGGTGGGGAACACGTGAAGTAGTACATCACATTGTTTTCGTTTTCAGTTTTCGGGTGGGGGATTTTTGAGATTTTTTTCTACTTCTTTGTGCGCGTCAAGCCAATCACAGAATTTTTTTTGTTCTCGATATGCCAAGCCAACAATATTTTTTATTTTTTATTTATTTGTTTTAGGCTGGAAAGGAAAATCCCACAAAGTATAAATACAACACATGCTTTCACCGCCACTAACCCAAAAAAAATTGCATCAGTTTTTTTTTTTCAAAATTATTTACTAACAACCCACCACCACAATTTCTTTATTTTCCTTGATCACACACACCTTTTTGGTTAATTACTTAATTTACGATCCCGTGATTCCTGATTAATGACAACGCGTTTGGACAGGCTGGTGGGATTACTGGATAGCGGAGCAACCTCAGTGGTGCGAGCAACAGCGGCGCGACAAATCGGCGGAATCCAAAAGCAGCATCCAGAGGAGCTTTTCCAGCTCCTGGGCCGCGTATACGAGTTCGTGGGGAGTAAAAGCTGGGATACACGCGTGGCGGCAGCTCAGGCCATCGAGGCTATAGCCAAAGAAGTCCCCGAGTGGGATCCCAACAGCACCACCGACATGAAACCCCCTCCTTCTCTCACCCTCAATCAGCAGTCTGTAGATGAGCGCGGGGAGGAGGGGGGGGGCAGCGGAGGACGTGGATGAGGATGTAGAGGGGCTTTTGGAGTTTGGGCAGTTTAATGTTGATTCGGTTATCAAGCACGGCAGGCTTTTGCTGGGGTCTGCTGGGCGCGAGTACGAGGATGACGGCTTGCAGGGGTTGGATCCGGCGGCGCGCATCGCCGCGCAGCGCGTGCAGATGCGCAAGAGACTAGGGATTGGCGCGGAATTCCTCGGCGACGACCTGCTGGCCGACGAGGATTTGGCCGCAAAGCCCGTTGTGGCGCGTCCGCAGCCAGTGGCTGTCAAGACAGAGCAACAACAGCATCCAGCGGTGGCAGTGGGCGGCGGCGATGAGGGCGAGGCAGCGATCGACATGAGCACGCTGAGTGCACGCGAGCGCAACCGGCTGAAGCGCAAGGCGCGACTGGATGCCGGGAAGAACAAGAAGAAGAGCAAGGCGGACATGAGCGGCAACGGCAGCAGCGGGCCATCTGTCGAGCAGGCCGTAGTGACGGAGCAGTCGGTGACGGAACAGGCCGGCGGCAGCGCTCTGGTGGTTGAGGCCACCAGGGCTGGTGCACGCGAGGCGCTTTTCGCCATCAGTGCCGGGCGCTGGGCGTTCGCTGGCCTCGTCGGCGTTCTCTCCGTCGACCTTTTTGACGCCACATGGGAGGTGCGCCACGGTGCCGGCATGGCACTGCGCTCGGTGCTCAAGCACCACGGCTTTGGCGCCGGCCGCCGTGCTGGCTGCTCTGCTGCGCAGAACTCCACGCGCAACCAGCGGTTCCTCGAGGACCTGTGTGTGCGGCTGTGCTGTGTTTTTGCGCTTGACCGATTTGGCGACTTTGTCGCCGACCATGTGGTGGCGCCTGTCCGCGAGACCTGCGCCCAGGCCCTGGGTGCTGCCAGCCGGTTCGCCGCCCAGCGGTTGGTGCAGCGCACGCAGGAGGCGTTGTTGCAGCTTGTTGAGCGCGGCTCGGGCACGTGGGAAGTCAGACACGCGGGGCTCTCGGCCCTGCGCTATGTCGTTGCCGTGCGCAAGGACCTTGCCCCTCTGCTGGCTGGTGGCGCCCTGGATGCTGCGCTTGGCGCGTTGCGTGCGTCCGACGACGATGTGCGCGCGGTGGCCGCCGAGACGCTGCTGCCCCTGGCTGACACGCTGGTGACCTGTCAGCCGCACCGCTTACTTGATGTTGTGGCCGCTGCGTGGGCCGCCCTGGGCTGTGCCTCCGATGACCTGGCGGCTGCCGCGGCCGCCGTGCTGGCGCTCCTCGCCAGGCTTTTTGCACATAATGCCGTGCGCGACGCTGTGGCTCATGCCGAGGACCCGCAGTTTGCGCTGTCGCAGCTTGTCCCACGCCTGCACCTGTTTATGCGCCACGCACTTGCCGGCGTCAGGCGCGCCTGCTTGGAGACGCTGCTGGCAATGTCGGAGATGCCTGGTGGCGTGTGCTCTGCGCAGCTCCTGCAGCTTGTCTACCAGAACGTGCTTCTGGAGACTACCGAGGACATCCGCCGTCTGTCGCTGCAGCTCTGGGATCGGTTGCTCTTACAGCAGGTCAACGGGATGGAGGTTGAGCCCAGGTCTCTTGTCGAGATGTTTGCCCTGGCAGCCACCCCCGTGGGCGCCCCGATGCCGCGCAACCTGCTGCTTGACCCCCTGCAGGCAGCAGCGGCGGTGGCGCCGCCAGACACAATGTGGATGCGCCCATGGTTTCGCAGGACCTGGGCTTGATCTCGCGCGACACCATTGTGCGCTGCCGCGTTGAGGCTGCCGCTGCCCTGGGTCGGCTGGCCGCCAGCTGTGCCAGCATTCCACTGCGCGCCGAGTTGTTCGGCTCGCTTTTGCTCAATGCCCTGGTGTCGCATCGCGCGCTGGAGCAGCAGCTGGCTGCTGTGGTTGCCGAGGAAATGGCCATGGCCGAGCGCCCGATCGACAGCCTGATGCTTGGCGAGCCCTTTACCGCGCCCCAGCTTATTGACCAGCTGCGCCAGACGCTTCAGGTCGCATTGGCCCGCGAAGAGCCCTACCTGGATACCTGCGGGGCGCTCCTGCGCGTGCGCAGCGACTGTCTGCATCTCCTCGATCTCGTCGATGCCCGGCAGCGGCCTGCAGTACCTGAAGCGGCCGAATTTTCAATGGCGTTCGCTGACGCCCTGCTCGCGCAGACCGCCGATGTAGCGGCTTTGTCTGAGCGCCGACTGCGGCTGGGCGCGTCGGCCGAGTATTGGCGTCAGCTGCACATGCAGCTCGATGTGGCGGCCAAGGCGGCTCTGGCCGGCGCCCTGGTGGCCATGGGCCGGCTGCCCGCCAAGCTCAACGCCATCCTACGGTCTCTCATGACTGCCATCAAGTCCGAGCCCTGCGCGCTTCTGCAGCAGAGAGCCGCGACGGCGGCAGCGAGACTGGCTGCGCTGTGCTACTGCGCCTGCGACCCTCCGCGTGCCGCTCCAGCGGACAAGATGGTGCGCAACCTGGCGACCTTTGCGTGCTCCGATCCAACATCAACGCCCGTGTTTGCGCAGCGTGTGTCCCAGACCGAGTCCATCTTGATGCTCGAGATGGTCCAGCGCGAGCAGGCTACCGCTGCTTCTTCTTCGTCTGCCACACAGCAGCAGGGCGGCAAAGCGGAGCAGCAGTCGTCTGGGGATGCCTCGATGGCACAGGCGGCGTCAGCCAGTGCGCAGGCGAGCCATCGCAAGAAACGGCGCGGTGCCGCCAAGGGTTCCACCAACTCTGGCTCTAATATTGCAGCGGCAGTGGAGGAGGAGGAGGCTGTACCGTTGGTTGCCGCCGTGCTATCCGAGGAGCAGGGGCGCGAGCAGGCCGCTCGCCTGATTGTGCGCGGCGCTGAGGCTGCGCTGAGCGCCATTGCAACGCTCTTTGGCGCCAGTCTGGTTGACCGTGTGCCGCGCCTCTGGGAATGCGTCACCTTGCCGCTCGCTCAGGCTTACTCTGCCGACCCTGATGGCGCCGACGCTCGCTTTAACGTCAATGCCGAGGCTGCGCAGGCAGTCATCGACGCGCTGCGCGTGCTCTTGACCCTGGCTCCTGCCCTGCACCCCGACCTGCACGGCCACTTGGTGGCTACGCTGCCCTGGGCTATGCGCGCGCTGCTCAGCCGCTTCTCGGCCATCCGGCATATGGCCGCGCGCACGATCGCCGAGCTTTGCCGCGTGGCGACCACGGCTTCAATGCAGGCGTTCATCCAGACAGCGCTTCCCGTACTGGGCGAGTCCACCCGAGTGTCGTGTCGCCAGGGCGTCGCCGAGGCCATTTACTATACGATCCAGCGCCTGGACGACCACATTCTGCTGCCCTACGTGACCTTCCTCATGGTTCCTGTTCTAGGGCGCATGAGCGACTCTAACGAGCAGACCCGGCTTGTGTGCACCAATTGCTTTGCGCAGCTGATTAAGCTAGTGCCACTGGAGGCCGACATCCCTGACCCGCCGGGCATCTCCGCCGATCTGGTGGCGCAGCGCGAGCACGAGCGCAAGTTTTTGGCACAGCTGATGGACCCCACGAAGCTCGAGCCCTTCCGTATCCCCGTCACCATCAAAGCCACGCTGCGCAAGTACCAACAGGAGGGCGTCGACTGGCTGGCGTTCCTCAACAAGTACGAGCTGCACGGAATTCTCTGCGACGACATGGGGCTGGGCAAGACCCTGCAAACCATCTGTATTGTGGCTTCGGACCATCATGCGCGCAGGGACAAAGAGCCACTGCCTACCCTGGTTGTGTGCCCGCCGACACTGATCGGTCACTGGGAACAGGAGATTCAGCGGTACGCCGAGAATCTGCGCCCTCTCTGCTACGCCGGCCCCCCGGCCGAGCGCCGGCCGCTGCTGCCGCGCATCCAGGACAACTCATGCGATGTCGTCATCATGTCCTACGACGTCGTCCGCAACGACATTGACCTTTTGTCCGCGATCAACTGGAACTACTGCATCCTCGATGAGGGCCATGTCATTAAGAACGCGCGCACGAAACTGACCCAAGCCGTCAAGCGCGTGCACGCCCGCCATCGCCTTATTCTTTCGGGCACGCCCGTGCAGAACAACGTCATTGAGCTGTGGTCTTTGTTTGATTTCCTGATGCCTGGGTTCTTGGGTACCGAGCGCCAGTTCAACGAGCAGTACGGCAAGCCTATCTTGGCCTCGAGGGATGCCAAGCAGATGTCCGCGCAACAGGTCAGTGGCGAGACAGCGCTGAAGCAGCTGCACAAGCAGGTACTTCCCTTCTTGCTGCGGCGCATGAAGGAGGACGTGCTGAGCGACTTGCCACCCAAGATCATACAGGACTACTACTGCGAGCTATCGCCGTTGCAAAAATTCTTGTATGAGGAGTTTGCCAAATCCTCGGTCACCGGCAACCTCAAAAAGTCGCTTGGCATGGCCGAAGACACTGTCACGGCGCCCTCGACAGCGGTGTCTACCGCGGCAACAGCAGCAAAAGAGCAAAAGCCGGCAACGCATGTGTTCCAGGCGCTCCAGTACCTGCGCAAGCTCTGCAACCACCCGGCGCTGGTGCTTTCGCCGAAGCATCCCTTGTACAATCAGGTCGTGGCAGATCTGCGCAAGCGCGATGCCAACTTGCACTCGCTCGATATTGCGCCCAAGATGCAGGCGCTCAAGGACCTGCTCAACCAATGCGGCATTGGTCTCCCCCCATCCGACGAGGATATTGATGTGAGCGCGTCACATCGCGTGCTTATTTTCTGTCAGCACAGGGAGATGATCGAGCGCATTGAGCAGGATCTGTTCCAACTTCATATGCCCCAGGTCACGCATATGCGCGTCGACGGTACTGTTGAGGCCCGCCGTCGCCAAGAGATCGTTACCCGGTTTAATGCCGATCCCACCATCGACTGCCTTCTCCTCACCACACACGTCGGCGGCCTCGGACTCAACCTTACAGGCGCAGACACGGTCATTTTCGTTGAGCACGATTACAATCCGGCGATGGATCTTCAGGCAATGGACCGCGCGCACCGGCTGGGCCAGACAAAGGTTGTGAATGTGTATAGGCTTATTACGCGGAATACTCTAGAGGAGAAGATCATGGGTCTGCAGGCGTTCAAGCTGCATATGGCTAACACTATTGTCAACCAACAGAACGCTGGCTTGGCATCCATGAATACTGATCAGCTGCTGGACCTGTTTGATGTATCACCGCCCAAGAAGAACAAGCCAAAGGATGAAGGTGAAGGCACAAAGTCTATGGCCAAGGCCCTTGAGGGTTTGGAGGACCTATGGGATACGAACCAGTATGAGGACGAGTACAACTTGGATAACTTTATTTCATCGTTGCAGCAGTGAACAATTCCATTTTTACTTGTTTATTAATGTTTACTCACATAAAATTTATTTTCAACTAAAAATTGCGAGTATAGTTTAAATTTAATTGATATGTTTAACTTGCTGCTAGCGAATATATCCGTTAACAACGAATTTGATCGAATATATGCTTATGACAATGAAAAGTTTATATATTTTGGCAAGGCGCACACATCTAACAAATAAACTTATTTTTTTAAATCTAATAATTGGTAATTACTCGCCCTGGTTGAGCTTCATGCTCTCGACCATCTGCGAGAAATGGCTGTTCTTGTCAGCGAGCAGGCTGTCTGGCCTGTCAAACTCTGCCATCTGGCCATGGTCCATGACCAGGATGCGGTCGCTGTCCATGACAGTGCCCAGCCGATGTGCAATGGTCAGCACAGTACAACCCTTAAACTCCTTGCGGATCACCTTTTGCATGATCTGGTCAGTCTTGGTATCCATGTTGGCCGTCGCTTCGTCCAGGATGACAATCTTGCGCTGCCAAAGCAGAGCTCTACAAAGACTGATGAGCTGCCGCTGGCCAACACTAAAATTGTTACCACCCTTTTCAACCCATTTGTCCAGCCCAACACCCTCAACCCACGGCCCTTCGTTGGAATATTCATCATTCTTTTCGATATAAATGCCTGTTGGTGTCTCCAGAAGGTCGCTGACTTGGCCTACGCGAATAGCCGCCCATACTTCGTCGTCAGTGTACTTATTGCTTGGATCAAGATTGTCGCGAATAGTTCCTGCAAACAGTACTGGATCTTGTGGAATGATGGCAATGCGCGACCGGAGGTCCTGCAGGCCCATTTTTGAAATGTCAACTCCGTCAACGACAATTTGACCACTGGCTGGCTCGACCAAGCGCATCAGAGCATATGTAATCGAGCTCTTTCCAGCACCTGTGCGGCCGACAATGCCGATTTTCTCGTTTTTACCAACTGTGAAAGAAAGATCCTTGATGACCAAATCCAACTCTGAGCGATATCGCATATTGTAATTACGAAATTCAATCACGCCATTCTGCGGCCAACTGGGTTCTGGCCTTGAATTCTCAATGATAGCCGGCGCTTCGCGCTCAAGCTCCTCAATGTATGTGTAGGTAGGCAAGCAGTCGTTATAAATATGCTCTTTAGAGTGTTTAATCCAAGCAATTTTGTCCAAACAGGTTTTGAATTCTTTCAACAATGAAGTAGCTACATCAATGTGGGCTGTTGTTAAGGTGGATTTTGAATTTATGTGCAGCCAAATATTCAAAAGAAGGAACGCCGAAACAGCCAATTCATTACAAAAGTCCAGTATCAAACCTTTAGCATAATATGCCATACGTCGATTATGTACTATCAGTATATAATATATACTAGAAATATTATAATGGGCAAGATACCTTTCTGATATGTTATGAATGCGTATATATGGTCTGCTGCCTAATATAAAGTTTGAAATCTCCAGGATAGACCGAATATCATATTTTTTCATCAGTGGCCTACATTTTTCATCAAACACGTTTATGGCGCTATTTGACACAAAAGTACAAACAATTATTACAAACACAAACAAAATCAGTATTGGCGCCACATTTGCCATTTGTACAATAACTGAAATGGCTATAAAAACGTGGCGGAGTATTTTGGCAGAAAAATGTGGCATAAAAACATCTGAAATATTTGAAATATTTGAAATGTACACATTCGAAATTGCCGATGCGGAGAGCCTCTCTGCAATTGGCAGGGGCATGGACAAAATGCTGTTTATGAGCATACTTCTTAATCTTTGCGCTAATTTATCGCTCCAATATTTATTACTCACCCAATCCTCAAGCTTCCTAAGCTGCCATCTAACTACCCCAACAATTGCATTAATAACCAAATACGTTTTTAACGATAATATCATGGTTGCTGGGTTTTCATCTGTTATTAAATCCACCTTCCAGCTGTTACTATAGTACAAGGCATAGGTATTAACCATTTTTAATAAAATTATCGATGCCATAGTCAAATAGCCGCTGTTTTTTAGATACCACCACACATGCACCGGTTTTAAGGTTGAGTTGCCATCTTCAGGGCGGATTGTGAACGTGCCATTATCATTGGTCAAATTATTTATATCACTGGTGCTGCCAATATCCAAACTGTCGAATATCTCTAGAGTATCCAATTCATCAGTATCTTTCACAATGGTTGCTTCAAACTGTGCGGGTGTCTGCTCAACTACTTCAGCACATCCATCAGCAAGCGTAATGACCTTGTTGCTGAATGGGACCAGGTGCTCCGCATGAGTGACCAGAATTCGTGTTTTGTCGCTTATTATGCCGCCACTAATCAATACATGCTCGACAACATGCCGCTCGACTTGCGCATCGACAGCCGAAAGCAAGTCATCAAAGATGTACACGTCTGCTTGCAGATACAGCGCCCTACAAATGAAAAATAAATTAACAAGAAGCTTAGTATACAATTCGCTTTGGTTTTAACTTTTTTTACTTTTTACATTTTTCAACTTACCTTGCTAAACCCAGCCGAGCCTTTTGTCCGCCTGACAGATTGATGCCATTGCGGCCAATCTCGGTCATATCACCAGCAGGAAGATGCTTGACGTCTTCTGTCAAAGCACTGGCTTCAATCACTCGGTGGAACAGTTTATCGTCGTACTCGGCACCCATGAGCACGTTTTCGCGGAATGTGGCATTAATTACAAAAGCCTCTTGGCACATATACGCAATACTGCCGCGCACACAGCTTTGGCCGCTGGTAATTGGCATCTCGCCACAAAGGCCAGAAAGAAGAGACGACTTGCCGCTTCCGATTCTTCCGACAACAGTGACAAACTCGCCGGCCTCTATACGCATTGACATTGGCTTGAGTGCAAACTTGTTTTCACCCCAGCTGAACATGCAATCCGTTAGCTCCACTGCAGCTTCGCTGTCTAGACCTTTGGACTGACGCTTAGTGTAGCGATTATCATCTGGTTTGATCACATTTTCAATAAACTTTATCTGTGAACTAAAGTACTCATAATTATTGAATTGATCTATAACCAATTTTGTAAAATTTGTGAGCGATTTGATACAACCCAAAAGGAAAGCAATATTAGCATACGTAATGCTGTTATTGTTTGAGCGGCCAATGAATGCCAGCAGAGTAATTGCAGATGATATGTGTAATGTGGCGCAACTGAGGTTATTAACAAGAAATTTTGCAACTTGCCAATGGATTGGTATAATAATTTTTATCTGTGTACTACATTTAATATTTTCTTTAAACAGCTTGTCCCAGGCATAAAACTTGATACCTCGCAGATTATCAATAACATTGATTGGTTTCTCGTAATACTTTAGCGGATTTTTTAATATTTTATTTTTTTTGAGCTCAATAATTTTTGCATTCATTAATTTCTTGAGCCATATTTCGATACCCGTGACAATAATTGGAATCACAAAAAGCCGTCCAATTTGATTATACATTATCCAAACATTGACTGATTCGCTTATCAATGATCCATTGCATTTTGCAATATCTGTAAGCTTACGAGCAAATAAAGGTATACTCAACAATACTTTTCTGTTAAAATCTTTATTACGAATATTGATGGATTCTTTCAATATTTCACTTTTAAGCATTTCTTTAATCCTAAAATAACAGAAATTTGTATAATTATCAATATATCGTTTGACACATTTTGAAATGACCAGGCTTTGCCAAATGGCAAACAACATGGCCAATTTCATATAGTTAATAGGGTCACTGCTTCCAATGATTGTGAGCAGCGAAAACAGCACAAAACGTCGTTTGAGCATTAGCATATTTTTCAATGCATTGCCAAAAGCAATTGTAATCAGTCCTTTCCACTCGGCCGCAACCAAAAAGCGAATGACGAAATACCTATTTTAAAATAAAAAAAGCAAAAAACGGCATGCAAATTGAGTTTTACCATATATAACGCAGAGCATAAACGCAAATACACAAGCCAAATATGCCTACCTTTTTGAAGTGTCCATCTTAATATTGCTGTATTTGGCAAACAAACCAATTTTTTGCTCTGAATCAACTATATCTTCAATATTCAGCTTACGCTGACTTGCTAGCCTGATCAAGTTGAATCCTTTAAGCATGAATAAATTGCTCACCAAGCCTGAAAAAACTTTTTGGTAAAACTTTCCGAGCACGCACCACACAGAATATAGGTGCAGAGACAGGCCCAAGATGGTGACAGGCAGAGAGTAGCTGCTTGAATACTGTATAATTCGATAAACGCGTGCGGCATGCAGAATAGCGCACATAAAGTTGTTGCTTTTTGGAAGGTTTGCTTGAGCCATCAGCGACAATACAGTCAAAAGAAAAACCGCCACCAACGCAAGTACAGATTCCGTCGAATAGTCAGTAAAATTGTTTAACGAAAGGGCAAAGTTCGCCAGACACACCGCGCCAAACGGTCTATTTGTTGCCAGCTTGTGCCAAGAAAAGTCAGAACGTGCAAGCTGGAAAGCGGAGGCTCCGGTCACCAGGGCGTCCAGCATTAAGCCCGCGCGGGCATAGAAAGTGGCAGTCGTCATGAGTACAATAATATTGTATAAAACTTGTATAATAGATTTAAAATATATATTATATTAAATAGACTAATAATTAAAAGTAGACGAAAGAAAAGAACAAGAGCTATTTATGAGCGCTGCCCCTACCTTGCCACCATACTTTTACATTTTCAATTTAGTTTGGCCCTCCTTATCATCCTTGTGTGTGTTCAGCTTAAAACTCGTTTGTAATAAAGGGCTGCGACCATCTTTACACAATTCAATGATGCCTTGGCATGTTTCCTTTTAATGTCTTCTAAAAAAGAAAATCCATATTATTTCCCATTGCCAAAATATGGACTAGCAAGTCCCCAACCCCCAGGAGGAATATTCGAAAATGTGTTTACGCGCTTACCTTTGTTGTGATTTGGAGAGAGCACTGGTCGTCTAGCGTTAAAGGTGCTGTGATTTGAGTGGAGCACTAGTCACCTGGTGTTAAATGTTGTATGTTTGGGTTTTGTTATAGTTTTTATTATCAAGGGAATCAAAAGTAAAAATAAGGCTGGTCTCGTCTTATATATGTATCTCGTTCCCTCTGTTGTGCACATTGCCAATTGTGCACTCCGTTGGCGAGAACTGGCTCTTCTGCGAGAAGACTAGTATCTTGGCATGCCAATGTTGTGATTTTCACGTAAGCGCGTTAATGCATGTGCATTGTAAAATGGGGAGCACACACGGGTGTCATTATTATGTCCCCTGACCTACTCCCACATGATCACATCTGCACCCTAGCAATCAGCATGCAGGTGAAAACCTGATTCGCGATTCTCGACCTCAGCATCCACTTCCATATCCTCAGACTGCACAATACCTTTACATTTTGTTAAAAGGTAGTGCGTTAACATCTTTTACCAGAGGTAGGAAATTAAGTGCAATCATTTGGCAGAGACTCAGCGGCAGCAGTCGGGCACAAAGCCAAGGAAGCACCCTCTACTGCGGCTACTCATCCAAACAAGCAGCATAGTGCTTGATTTATAGACATATCATGGCGTGTATATCTGTCAGTCATTTAACACAGGACAGGGCTTCGTCAAAGGAGCAAGTGGATCTATAGATTTATTTTCTCTGGGCGAAGTATGGACGTTTTTATTATCCAGTGCATCAAATAATATGATTTTTTTGTTGGTAATGTGGCTTGCACATTTATGAAAAATCACTCATGCAGGGTATTTAGCGTTGATTCGAATGGTGATTCTGTTTTGGTTTGTCCACTTCATTTATTTATTTTTTTTGCTGCCTGCGCCCCCTATTTCCAACAATTCCATCTCTTATACCCTATAATTCTATTTCATAAATAACAATAATGGTCTGTATAATTTGCTACGAATCGCTCTTCAAGAAGCACCACGAGCCCGCTGCTTCTAACATGCGTGTCCGGGCAGCAGACAACCGCCCAGCTGCCCTCAGCTGTGGCCACGTATTCCACAATAAATGCATTACCCAGTGGTTCACGACCTCAGACCTCCCAAAATGCCCACTCTGCCACAAGACAAGCACGGGCCCGGCCCTGACACTGTTTATCGGGCTTGATGAAGAAGACGCGTTCCACATATCGTCGAGCACAGGCAACAGCAGAGACAGCAGAGGCGGAGAGGTGTCGGCAAGCGAGCCGAGCGCGCAGCTCGGAGACCTGGCGGTGTCGGGGGCTGGTGGCTCACAGTATAATGCGCAGGATTTTGATCGGTTGGCTGCGCAGGTCGAGTTGCAGCGCGTTCAGCTGGATGCGGCAGTAGCCAGGAAGAGGGCGCTGCACAAGAAGCTCAATACCCTGTATGCGGATTTGGCTCGCCAGAGGAAGGTAAGCAATGAAACCACCGACGATCTTGACGCGAGAATCGCACTTACTCTTACACATCTGGATTTTTCCATGATCCTACATTGAATTAGGCATTGCCAAGGTGCAGAGCCCTTTCCTCGTCTGTATTTACTCATCCATTATCGCGACTAGTGCGAAGGACATGCTATTTTTATGAATATACAATTGCATTACCAAATGCAATGGACTGTGGTTGCCTTAATTAATTGACCATGATTCCTTAATTTCATCATGAGACGCGGCTCGCTTTCGAATGTTCTCTATCTTCTGATATCAGTGTGACTTTGCTCATGCAACAAAGCGCATCTTGAGTTTGCTTTTGTTATTGCGTATGGCAATAGTGTGCCATGAAGCTTCCCAAAAAACAATGGCATTATTCTCGCGCCATTGTGACCAGGAATGGCAATAGGACTATTTTAAACGTTAAATTGCATTAATTGATGCTGTGTTTGCTGGTGGCAACAGCACATTCTTCGCAAGGCTTGTAAACGATATGCTGTCCGCTCAACAATGGCTAACAACACACTATCGCCATTTGCCTATTTGCCTGATTGTTCCATCCTGGACCATTGTCCGCCTTTATGGCATTCCCAACCTAATCAAATACGATTTTTGATCAGTGGCAAAAAAAGAGCACCAACAAAAATATCTTGTGGCCAATTCGAGACAATAGTCTACGCTGAAACCAGTTTCATCTCAATTCCATTATTTTTTCCGCACTTGCGGAAAATCCGTATAGTATAAACATTTTTTGGAGATCGCCGTTTGCGCGACTCCGTTTGTAATGACCGCTTCTTATTTGTCAGAGGTTGTGCTACACAATTAAAAAATAAAAAGATAAATAATTCCCGAGCGCTTGGGCAGGACGTTTCATGGAACTAAAAAAACACCGTAATTCCGCATTTGGACTCAACAGCAACTCATTTTATCATATATCTATATGATGAGACGACCACGGCCGGGCTTCCGTTCTGGATGCTAATTTTTTTTGCTTTTGTACTCCTTTTTTCGTTCTATTTGCGCATCTTTATTCAACTGATATACATAGACATAAACATTTATCTTTATTGTTATTTCCAATCTCTAATTTCAAGCAAATTCGCTACTAAAAATGTCTCCCTCCCAGATTCTCGAACCCACCCCCGAGCTGTCCAAGGCTCTGCACGCTAATGTCGTCTCCGACCAGGCGTCCAGCTCCATTATCAACCGCCTGAAGAGCAAGAACAAGGAACTGCAGACGCAGTCGGTCAACACGTACCAGAGGTTCTGGAAGGACTCTGAGATCAACAACGAGGAGTCGCGCACGGACATGTACAAGACGCTGACTAACACGTACTACAACCTGGTTACCGATTTCTACGAGTACGGATGGGGAGAGAGCTTCCACTTTGCCCGCCGCAGCATCGGCGAGACACAACGTGAGAGTATCCGTCGCCACGAGCATATTCTCTTCAGTGCCGCTCGGATTGCCCCCGGCATGAAGGTCCTGGACGTCGGGTGCGGTGTCGGTGGACCTGCTCGCGAGTGCGTCCGACTTACCGGCGCCCATATCACTGGCCTGAACAACAACGACTACCAAATCCAGCGCGCCAACATTTATGCTGCCAAGCATAAGCAGGAGAATTTCTCTACCTTTGTCAAGGGTGACTTCATGGACATGCCGTTTGAGGACAACTCATTCGACGCCGTGTATGCCATCGAGGCGACCTGCCACGCGCCCGTGCTGGAGGGCGTCTACAGTCAGATGTACCGCGTGCTCAAGCCCGGAGGATACTTTGCCATCTACGAGTGGTGCCTGACGGACAATTTTGACGAGAACAATGCAGAGCACAAGAAGCTGGCTCTGGACATTGAGCACGGCGATGGTATTGCCAAGCTGTTTACCGCCAAGGTTGCCTTGCAGGCGGCCAAGAACGCGGGCTTTGAGCTCGAGATTGTTACGGATCTTGCTCACGAGACCGTTGCCGGTAACGAGATTCCGTGGTTTGCCGCCCTCGACATTGGTGTTGTCAGCTTCAACGGTATCCAGGGCTTTGCTCGCTCGCAGGTCGGCCGTGTATTTACCACCAATGCCGTTAAGCTGCTCGAGAAGGTTGGCATTGCCCCTGCTGGCACTGTCCAGGTCCAGGACGTCCTGCTCACTGCCGCCGATGCTCTAGTCGCTGGTGCCAAGAAGGAGATATTTACGCCCATGTACCTTATCGTTGGCCGCAAGCCCTTGAACTAGGCTGATACACAAACCTTATTCTCCAACTCGACCTTCACCCCTAAAAAGTATACAAGTATTTGTTATTTTCTGTTGTCCTATTTTTCACATATTTTCTAATTATAATGTCTATTCTTATCTTTAGAGCTTTGTGACAGAAACAGGGACAGAAACGGGAACAGAAACTGCATCTTGGAATCAAGATAAAAAAACCCACATTTTTTAGTTCACATAAAATATATATATATTAAAAAGACAAAACTGCACCATATTGAAGCTAAATAAAAAACCAGCTTACTGCTGCTGCTGGTCGCTGCTGCTGCTGCTACCATCCTTCTGTTTGGCACTATCCTGCGACGCTGCAGCAGACGGCCTGCGCTCATTGCCCGCTTCACCAGCCGAGCCAGAACCAGAACCAGGCATTGAAAGCGCAAACGGCGCCGCAGGGACCATGTCCAAGTGCATTGCTGAGTATGTAGGTCCTCTGAACCCCGCAGATGGTATCGAGGTTGGCTGAGAAACCTGCTGCGACCCGCTCCCCACAGCAGGTTCCGCAGTGTTGCTGCGCACAGTGGGGTTGCGCGACAGATTGGGCACCCGCTTGCCCATCAGTTTGCGCGGATCGAGAATCATGTGCTTTGACAGCGGCGCCTTCCCTTTTGCCGAGTGGATGGATGCTGCGTCGTCGATGGTGCCGTCCAGGGCCATTGAGTGGTTGCCTGCTGCTTGGGCACTGGCCGAGCCCGAGGCGTCCTCCAAGATCGGCTCCGAGACTTGCACAGACGGAATCCGGTACTGATCCAATGGCTGCAAGTAGCCGGGCCCGGTATTATCTTTGGAATCGGAAAACCCACGCTGCTGCATAGCCACACTGCCAGGGGTCCCTTCGCGCTCCGAAATGATGTTGTGCACGCTAGCTGCCATGTCCTCATCCACGCGGCGATCCATCTCGATCAGCAGCCGCCTTGCCTCCCAATCGGGCCCAAACGACGATTTGCTCCACGCCTTGCGGCTATGCAGCTGCCTGAACTTCTCCTTAACCAGCGCACCGGTGTGCTGGACCACCACAGACATATACTCCTTCTTGACCTGCATCAAGAGCTCATAGTAGGATTCGACCTGGTTGCGGAGTTCCAGCCGGGGCGCGTGGAACTCAAAGTCGCGCAAGTCTGTGATGTTGTTTGTCTTTTTGCCCTGGTACGAGATGCAAAGCGTGCTGCCGCCAATCTTGATATTTAAAAAGGTCTTATTGCTGCTCGCCCGCTTCTTCATCTGGTCCACTTGGTTGCGGTTGTCGCTGCTCTGCGATATGTTGATCATGCTGGTGTTGTCTGAAAACATGGAGAAGGGCGTGTTACGCCCTGACATGGTTGCCAGCAGGCCCGCAGAGACTGGCTGTGGCGATTGCGGCGATAGCTGCGACATGTGCAGGTGGGACCGCGGCAGTCGATCTTCAAACGTGGGCGAGCTGCGCACGCTCTCCTCAGTGGGGTTGCGCCGGATCATTCGGGTGGCAAGCAGGGACCGGCCACTGCCCTGCATATCGCCAAGCATGCTCAGACTGCTGCCATATGGACCCGCAGACATCGTTGTAGCGCCAGCACCAGCCGAAATTGCTGTTGAGGGAGTGCTTGGCATAGAAGAGCCCGCAGCGATCGGGATGTTGGCACTGGCTACCTCGCCAGAGCTAATGCTGGACACTGTCGGCCGGCGATTGCGCGCCACGCCAGACGCCATATCTGTATGGCTGCTGCTATTGCTTGGGCCACCGCCGCCGCCATTCGTATTTGCAGAGTCCTGCGGCGGGTACAGGTAGTTTATGAGCTTTTGGGCAATATCGTGCGAGAGCTGGAGCCGTAGCGGGAACAAATCGACCTCGAATCTTTCGACAATGCTAATGCCTCCGACAGGCGCTAGTTCGGACCACCGCACACGGATCATCTTTTCGACGCAGAAATCCGGACGCGGATGCTTTGGACGAACATAGGGGCCGACAAGATCGGTGAACATAGGGTTGGGCAAGCGATTGACAATATACAGCAGGTGGACCTCACTGAGCAGGTGCGTGGCCTGGTCCGATGTGGTCACAGCCTTGAGCGTGGCCCATCGCAGGGTCACGTCACACAGAGGTTGCCCGTCGTTCTCGAGCATGTGCCAGGTGGCCTTGCTAATAAACAGGTGGATGGTGCGCGCAATCGTGGTCTGAGCGCCCTCGCTCGACTGCATACAGGAGGACGACGACATCGACGACACCGACGTTGTGCTTGCGGCGTCGCCACGGTTGCGACCGCTGTGTACGGACGAACGCATGGCGTTGCCGCTGCTCTGCGCCGTATTTGCACGAGAGCGCAGGCGCGGAGGCAGCCCAGTTGATGGGCCCTGATCTGCGTCGGCAGCGGCGGCCTTGGTGGGAGCAGAGCTGACCGTCTGCCGCCGTGACTGTGCCTGCGCCGGTACTGAAGAGGTAGCGGTATCTCCACCGTTGAATGCAGGACTACCCTCCTGGTGGTGTGCGCTGCCACCCGCGTTTGAATTGGTATTGGTGGCAGTAGCAGCAGCACGCGCGTCGAGCCGTTTGTGCTGGCGCATCTGTTTCTGCGCTGTGCCAAAGAGATCCATGGCTGTACGAAGCTGCAACTCAAGCGCCCGACGGTGCCGATCGAGAGTCAACAAGGACATTGCGCGCGACTTTTGCAGCCCGGCATCAATATCGGCCGCAGCCGTTCGGCCGGCGTCGCGGAGCAAAACAACGTGGCTGCGCTGGATGGTGTACCAGTCCTGGATGATCGGCAGGCGCTCACGCAGGGCCTCCTGTGTGGCGCTGATGACGGTCAGCAGTCCGCGCAGATCGTCCATGTCCATGCCAAGCAGAATAGTGTTGAGATGGTCCATATACGCGGCCTTTTCGGGGTCGATAAACACAAGCAGCTCAGTGACGGTCTCGTAGACTGCGGTGTACTGCTCGGCAGTGCATGCCAGGTTGAGCTCGGGCAAAAAGACAGAGAAATGGTTGGCACGGTGAGACAGACCCTGTCCACTGCCGGCATTTCCTCCGCTGTTGTTGTTGTTCGATGTGGCGCCGCCGCCGCTATTGCCATCGTTGGCCACGCCATCGGCCTCGTTGGCAATGAACTCGTTGCTGTCGTCGTTGTCATCATTGCTGTCATCAGAACTATCGCACTCACCGTCCTCCTTGGCCTTATCTCCGTCATAATCACCGTCTCCAGACATGCCGCCAGAAGTATTGGGCCGCTCAGCTGAGCCACGGACCTCTGTGTTTTCAGCATCCATTGCAGCAAGATTCATATCGCTAGCCACCTTGCGCGTGCTGTCGCCCTGAATTCTGTGCGGGTTGGCCTTGTCATAAACAACCAAGCCGTTGTTCCTGTCCATCAGCCGCTTATACTTGCTCAGGTCTTCGAGCCACCAAGCCTTGCTGCGCTTCCTGCTGTTTGATCTGGTCTGACCACGGCCATCAAGCGTAAAGTCGCCGTCGCTATCGCTGCTGCCCGAATCATCCTTGGAACCACTCATTGCCGCGTCGGCTTCAGCCAGCTCGTCGAATATGCCACGGGCGCGATGCTTCCCCTGGCTCAGCAGCAGCTCAATGGGGATCCACGCAGGCCAGATGGCGCTTGGCTGCGACGCATCCCCTTCTGTCTGCGACCCGTATGTGCAATCGACAAAGTATGCCGCCTGGTGCTCAAAGTCGTTGCGTTTGGCTGTAAACACCTGCACATTCTCCAGCTCGACCAGACTCCTTGTCTTGACAATGGACTCGTCGTCAGGCGGCCGCATAAATGTGGCACCCGAGTCCAACAGCGTGTCCTCGCCGTGCGCCAGGGCATTGTCTAACTCGTCCTCATTGCACAAAAGGATGCGGTGCAACTGGACGCGCTCTGCCACGGCAATAGCCGAGGTTGTGCTGTTCTCGTCGACGCGCATGGACACTTGCGAGTTTAGGAACTCGACCAGGATGGAATAGTATGGCCGGTAGCGGATAAAGTCATCCCAGACGCTCTTCAGGCCCTTGTCAAACTTATTCCTGCCCACGCTGCGCTTAGACAGCTTGTAGTCCTCCTTGCACCGCTCCTTGGTCTTTTGCTTGCCCGCCTTGGACTTGTCCTGCTGCTGCCGCTGGTGCTTCTGCTGCTGCTTCTTCTGCTTGGACTTTTTGGACCTCCACAGAAAGCCGAGTCCCGATGAATCCTGCGTTGTCTTGGAGTTGACGGCGTCGTCCTTGAGTTTGTCGTGGCTGCGGAGCTTGCGCAAGAGATTTGGGATGTGCAGGCCGCCCGAGAGTCGCGATGACCCGGAGTTGACGCTGCTCTGGTCGGCGGACTGGCGACGTGGACGCGAGGGCCGCTCCTTGGGCACCGCCAGTAACGGTCCTGATCCAGCACCGTTGTCCACACCCGCGGTCTCCGACCCTGCAGTGACAGTGGATTCCGAGCAATCTCTGCCGACAACTTCACAGGTGTCTCTCGCCAGTGTTTCGGACGGCACACTGCCGCTGTCCCCTGTATACTTGGCTGACGTAGCCGTGCGCACGACCTTGGTCGCAGTCTCTGACAAGTAATACTCGATAGCTGTCAGACAGTCCTGGATGTACAAGAAGCGCATCAGTTCGTCGCGTACTTGACTGGTCCAAATCAAGTACCCCGAGTAGATCAGGCAGCGATGGCGGTACAGCGTGGCTAGGACCTTCTCAACCTCCTGTGTGTCACGGTCGAAATCCACATCTATCTCCTCCATGGCCGCTGTTACTGGCAGCTCCTGCGGAGCATTGCCCGGCGACCCGTCGATATCCGGGTCAACACCGAGGAAGCGCAGGCAGCGGTTGATCAGCTTACGCCTGGCGCCTAGCTCGTAGATATGCTCGGCGCGTCTGATCATCTCTTTTCGGAACTCGTCGCTGTGCCGGTTGGACGCGCGCTCGAATTCGCGGCTGAGGTGGGCTAACCCGGCTTGCTCCTGCTGAATGGCTGTTCCCAGCATTAGCTTACGCTTGCGCAAGAGCATTGCCTGTGTTGTGCGTGAGTCCCGCATAATGACATTAGGGTCGGGCCCGGTGGGCACAAGGCGGACCATCTGGATGTTGGTCAGTGCAGGCTCGATGGCGAGGCTGGGCTGCCGCTGGATATCCACTGGTGCGTAGTTGAGCGGCGATTCAGGCTGCGGTTGCTGAGAAGGAGAGGGCAGCGAGGGGTTGATGGACTGGCGCGAGTTGCTGGCAGTCAGCCGGCGCTGCCGCGAACGCGCAAGCTCCAAAAGATGGAAGGACGACTTGTACGACATGGCCGAGGTTGGGCTCTTCAGGTCGCTCGACGACTCGACTCCCGGCGCGTCAACAGTCGACTGATGAGCAGGAACAGCCGGGATGAGCGGCTGCAACTGGGGCGACGGTCCGGTAGACCCAACTTCTGAGGGCTGCCTGTGTTGCTGTTGCTGCTGCTGCTGCTGCTGGAGCAATAGGTTGCCAGAAGTGGGCTGTGTCGATGCTCGCTGCATAAACACTGCCGCCGGCTGGATGTTACCAAAAAAGCTGTGCTGTGACGAAATATAACCCTGTGTCGTCGCTGCCGTTGGCACTGGCGGCGGCCGACTACCCGTAGGGGCATCGTAGATTATACTGTCGTGGGACAAGTTCCTGCTCAGCGCCCAGGGCATCGAAGTATTGCGCCTGTGCAGGGCCGACCCAGCTCCCACCGAATCATCCGTCCTGTTTTTCGCAAGAGGCATGTTGCTCGCGGCGGTACCCGAATACGTACGGGCAGTGAGCCTCGCGGCATGTTTGACGTCGCTCAGCGCACGACCGCGCGGTGCACCCAAGCCGCGATACACCACGGGTTCAGCGCCTAAGTCTGCCTGGGCGCCAGCCACTGCATTGTCAAACCCAGCCAGCACAGGCGACACCGGCACGCCCTGTTGCTGCTGTTGTTGTTGCTGCGACTCGACGGACTCGCTGACCTTTGCACCACCATTGTCGAGAATCTCATCGAGTTTGTCACCAAACTGCGTCCACCCGGGCCGCTGGGTAAAGTAAACCATGCGCGGAGACCACAGGACGCACACGACGCTGGGGCTGGTAAACGTGGCCTCGCTGATATCGAGCTCCTTGAGGTCGCGGATACTTGTGCACGAAATCCAGCTCCGCTCAAACTCACTTAGTCCCGAAAGCGCACCATCGGCAAACCGCAGGCCGTTGACACGCGCACCACGCAAGAGCTCAGGCGCCAGCGGGTTGGCAAACAGGGGCATGCAGAAGGCCATCTGCGTGAGTCGCACGTCCAAGTAATCGATCTCCGTGCTGGCATCGCCCACGCCCCACCGCAGAGCCATGGTCTCCGTGGCTGCCACCTTGGGCCCTTCGGCTTTGCGCCTGGGTTTTTGCGCGCTGGTGTCTGCAGGAGGGTTGGACTGCACGCGAGAGGACCGCTTGTAATCAACGCCATTGCCGGAGGACGAGGACGAGGAGACGCCGTCCTTATCCGAAGCAGCGTCGCTCTTGGAACCGACCGTGAGTTTGACCGAGCTTTGCTCCAGGAGAAGGTTGAATGAGAACGAGTCAACCCGCGCTTTGAGCTCCCTTACGGTGCCTTCGACCTTAGCCCCGAGTGCCGCCGCGCCCTGCGCGCTCATATCGGATGGAGTTGGCGACAGGCCAATGTCCAGGTACTCATTGTTGTACCCCATCATGCCCATCTCCCTAGTCTCCAGCTCCTTGATCTCAAAATCTCTCTGCGAGTATGCCAGCTCGACATTTTTGAGGTCCAGAACCAGGCGCATACTCCGTAAGCACTTGCCCAGCTTATTGTCTGAAGTCTCAGTGAACGGGTACAATGAGCCCTTGCGCACGGGGAGCATCATGCGAGAAACGTACAGGGGCAGGTAGCGCTGGGTGCCCTCGATGGCGGCGGCAGAGGCGCTAATCTGGCACTGTGGTTTGGAATTGGACCTTCCAGCAGCGGCAGAAGCAGCAGCAGCAGCAGCAGTGGCGGCGGTCGGTGAGGGACGGGCTTTAGCCGCAAAAGCTGCAGGCAGAGTCGAGGCTGAGGCGTGCGGGGAAGCTGTGTCTTGGCATAGCGAGGGGAAGGGCACAAAAAAGAGATCCTGCGCCTTGGGACTGCGACGGCTATGCGTGTCCGCCCCAGCCGCAGCAGCAGAAGAGGAGGAGGAGAGCGGCGGGTGGCTCTGTAAGGTAGTCGCAAACAGAGAGTGCATGGGGGACACCAGAGAATCAGTGTCGTAGGCGGTCCACTTTCTGGGCGGCTTCTTCAGCACGCTTGCGTCCGGTGCCCGCAGCCTCAAAAGCGTCTGCGACTGCGCCGCACACTCCCTTGTACCCGCGGGCTCAGATGACAAGTACATGTCCGCGAATGCTCTCTGCTTTGCCGCCGCCTGCTGCTGCTGCCCGGACGAAGCCTTTATATCGGCCTTGCTGTCGGTAAACGGACACAGCAGGCTGATGCTGGTGTGCAGCTTGGAGCTCCGGTACCCTGTATACGCATCGGTGGTTCCGAGAAGAGCGGCCGCGCGGGCGCTCTCAGGCGCAATCGGCTGCACCTCCCAGTGGTTATGGCGGACGCCGGCCGGGTCCGGCGGGATATACGACGAGAGCCCAATGCCGAGGCGCACGCCGCCAGACAGGTGCAGGAGCACCTTAAAGTATAGGCGGTCCATGCTCTGCGTCACAAACGTGTACCGCGCGCTGTTGTCACTGCCGATGCTGTGCAGCAGGTCAGCGTAGGCGCGCTTCCACAGCAGAGACTCGCCGCCCTGGTCCATCATCTGGTTAATTTCCTCAAGCGTCGGAGTCATGTCCGTCGACTCCGGGCGCTGGCTGTCCATTGACTTGAGGATGGCCGACTGCCGGTCAATGATAATGGGCACACCCATCAGGAACTCCTCGCAGCGCAGCCGCATGAACTCGCCCAGCGCTGCCGACGGCGGTGCGCCTTCCTCGGTGGGCACTGAGTAGATGCCGCGGCCGGACTCTTTGTCCCAGAGGTCGCTGCCTGGGAACCCCTCGTTTAGGCAGATGCGCACACCGCCGCGCATTGTGAACAGGTAGCTGCCGGGTTTCTGCGTGACCTGGTACGGATCGCGGCCATCCAGAGCCAAAAAAAACATTTGGCCGCGCTCGCTGCCCAGCGGCGGCTGCTGTTGTTGCTGCTGCTCGTTGGTTGGTATGTTCAGATACAGATTGTCCACGTCTGGCGACGCCGGCGCCTGCTGCTTCTGCTGCTGATTGGCAATGCAGGGACGCAGGGGCGCGTCAATCACGGCCATGCGGCACTTGAAGTGCATCCGCGAGCGCAGCTTGTCCCACCAGGGCAGGCTGGGGCTGACGTCGGCGCTCTTTGACGTCACGGACTCGAGCCGCTGCATCAGCGCCGAAATGACTGGCTGGTAGCTCGCGCCCCACGCCGACATGATGGGCAGCGGCGGCAGCCGGGCCTGCAGATGCGTGCGCTGCGGCGACTGCAGGTCGGCGGGAGGAGCGTGCGACGGCGCAGAAAACATCATAATAGACATTGTGGCAAAGACTCGCGGGAACTGCAGGGACTTGCACAGGTACCAGCCGACAGTCGGCAGTTCGATACCGGACTGGCTGGACCGCGGGCCGATGGGGATGTAAATCGACCGGAGCGATCTCTCGTGGGCGACGCGCTCGGCAATGAGCAGGCTGCCGCTGATCTCGACTCCACCGTAAAAGTCCTCGTAGCTTGTACACATTTCTTCCCTGGGCTGCGTCTCGTGGCGGTAGGGGTCGGGCACGCGGAACAGCGGGAAGGGGAAGTCGCGCAGCTGCATTCGGATGTCACCGCACTTGATGCGCAGCCGCATTGGCACCAGCGTGGCCCACTTGAGATTGTGCGGCGTTGCCGGGTCGAGGTAGCGCAGGTACGCCTCAATTTGGTTGAACTCCAGCAGGGAGAGCGGCGTGTCCAGCCGCAGCCACACGGGCGACATGACCAGGCGACAGAGCGGCGCCGGCGGATGCGTCCACGACCCAGGCACGTAGTTGTGTGGCAGCTGGCCGGGCTGCTCGCAGTGGCTGCTGGCCCGTGGCATGTCGAAGATCTCGCTGAAATACATGCCTTCTGCTGACCCAGCCTCGGACCCACCCTGCGGCTGCTCCGGCTGCGGCTGCATCTTGCGGCGGATTGCACGCACCCACTCGCGCGACTCCACCAGCATCAGCCGGTTGTGCGCCGCGGCAATGTCGGCGGCAACCAGGTCAACCATGCGCTGGTGCTGGCTCGGCGCAGACTCTGCCGGGTCGTCTATGTCCTCGTAGCCATCGTCGCTCTCGTCCAGGCTCTCCTGCGACACCGTCGTGTACGACCGCACGCGGCCCTCATGCTCCGGCATTTGCGTCACCTTGGACACGTCGTGCATGCTCAGCGAGACCAGCCCGCGCGGCGCCGGCGGTGGAAGGTCGTTGCGCGAGTTCGAGGACGCGAACGTGCGCGCGCCCGCAATCATCGGCGGTCTGCGATGCTGTTGCTGACTCTGGCTCACGGGCAAGCGTTCAAAGGAGCCACTGAAGGTCCCTGCGCCCTTGGCGCCCTTGCTGGCCCTGCCACTGCTGCTGCCGCCGCCGCCGCTGCTACTGGTGGGCTTGTGCGATGTCCTGCTGCGAGCGTGCTTGGCGGATCCAGCGGCGTTGTCCCGGTGAGCCCGTTTTCCCTTTGCTATGGTTTCAGTCAAGACAAACTCCCGCTCGCGCCTGGTCTGCAGCTCCTCGGCCTTGGTCTCAAAGGCCTCCAGGCGGCTGAGCCGCTCCCGCTGCTCGTGCGAGCCGACCTGGTATATCCTTGCGAGAGCCGTCTCAAAGGGATCATCGTGCACCATGATGGTAAACTCGGGCCCGTGGAAGTCAATCGTCGGTACGTCGTCTGGCTCTGTCAGCGTTGGCGGTGGCGGCGCAGCCACTGTGCTGAGCGACCGCAGCGGTGGAGGCACAAAGTGCCGCGGATTGCCCAGGGCCGTCATCAGTGACTTGGCAGTCACCACCGGCTTGGTTCCGGCCACCCATGTCTCGGAGTGCGGCGGTGGCGGGTAGCATGTGGTGATGGATTTGCGCGCGATGCGCTTGCAGGCCTTCTGCAGAAGCAGGTAGCCGTCGATGGTTTCGGCCATGTTGTACCGGTGGCCAAAGGCCATGGCGGCGCGCTCAAACACAATGTCGATTTTGCTGTACGTTCCGTTGCTGCGCACGCCCTGGGCGGCACCTAGGGCCTGCTTCTTAGCCTTGCACGGGAATCGCATGGCCATCTGGCACTGCTTCATGGACATCAACGGCTGCATCGCCAGCCTCTTCAGCTGGCCCTTGGGTGTCGATGATCCGTACATGGTCACCAGCGGCCCGCCCAGCTTGATAACCATGTCGCCTTCGGTACTCTGCTGCGTCTTCTCGATAGTGAACTGAACCTCAGGGATCTTGAGCCTCATCTCGGGACTCTGCCTCCCCTCTTCGGCAGTCATGTTGGCCCCGATGCACTGGGCCAAGCCCTGGTCGAGATTAAAGTACGCCGGCAGAACAAGGTCACCGTGAAGGTCCAGCAGCGCGCTCCTAATGCTCACAAGCACGTCGTTCGACGACTCCTCGGGCTCATCGACCTGCTGCATGGCCATCCGGCGGCCAAGCTTTTTGCGCCTGAGCCAGTATTTTACATGACTCATAAAGACAGACCAGCGGTAGACCGATCTCACGCCCGTGGTGGCTGTGAAAGCAACCGTCTCCAGATCATACACCGTGCGCGACCTGCCCTGCGCCAGGTGCCGGCTGCCGATGCCGAGCTTGGGCTGCATCAGCACAATGTGCCGCTGCACAGAGTCTGCCCCGTATCCACACAAATCTGACACGACAAAATCCTCCACACCGCACTGCGTCTGTTTTGGATTTTCGTCGGCGGGCTGCGCCGAATAGGCGGGCACAGCCGAAAGGAGAAACATGGTGACGCGCTGGCACTCTAGATTGACCGTCATCGGGCCGATATCAGGCCGAAGCCCAAAGACATGGGGGGACTCTATGGATCCGCCATTGAGCCGCACACAAAGGGCGCCTGCGGCCAAACACACCTGCGTACCGTGCTCAATGCCGCTCAGTACATCCTCCTCGTTGTCACATGCCAGAACGCTCATCCGCAGACTGTCAAAGGCAATCCGCAGCGTGGCCGCTGCTGCTCTTCTGCGCTCCCCCACGGGTGCCAGCTCGGAGTCGTCAGGCTTGGATGACTCTGGGATTTTGTACTCGGTCCCGGCAATGTGCATGAGCTGGGTGGCCAGCCAGAGGGGCTGCATCGAAAGCCAGTGCCGGAAGTCGTACTCGCGCAGCATACCGCCCACGTCGCCGACATCTGCCTCGATATCGGCGTTGATGCGTGGCTTCGAGTCGGTATCGGTGGCAGCGGCGCTAGTTGCACCGATGTGCAGGTTGACAAGGCCGCGGGCCCTGACACCGCACTTGGCAATTAAAATCTGGCGCTTGCTCTGCTGCTGCTGCCCCTGCGACTGTGGCGGCAATGGAGTGCTGGCGGATTCGGGTGCTGTGTCCTCCCATTGGGCGCCAATAGGACTTGTTGAAAGCCTGAACTGGATGGTTGGCCTCAGCGCGTCACCAGCACTAGCATCACTACCAGCGGCAGCATCCAAAAGCGGATCATCATTGCGTTCCAAGCAGGCGTCGCTCCCAGCGCCAGTCACAAAACTATCCAAGCTCGACGAGCTGCCCCTCTCCCCACACCGCCTACCCAAGGCATCAAGACTCCAGGACAGATGGCACTCCAAATGCTGCATCCTCAGGGCGACGCACTGCAAATTCTCCTCTTGGGCGGTTGCTGAAACATGCGGACGCACAGCATACAGCGCGCGCTCCACCGCCACATGCGCCTTGACGTCGGCAAACATGAGGCTGACCAAGGCATTCATGCGGAAACTCATTATGCCGCGGGTCTCGCGCTTGTCTTGGGACAGAATACGGCGCATGGCGCGGGCGCGATGTCCGATGTGCGCGATCCATGCTTTGGCCTCGTCGAAGGCCAGCTGTGTCTTCAGATCCAGCACCAGCTCAGGCCGCCCGATGTCCAGGGAGAACAGCGGTTGCGGGCTCGGCCGGTGCGTCAGGTCCTCGGACAGGAAGGCCGACATCTCGCCGAACAGCGTACAGTGCCGCAGTCGAAACCCCGCCGCCTGCGCATCGAGCTCCTCCGCCCGCCTGTCAGGCGTCATCGACGGCGTGCGCAGCGCCAGCGCTTGGACAGTGCCCGAGGCCACGCGCACAAAGGCTGTCGAGTCCTGCGACCGCCGCACAAAGCCAGTGTCGCCAGGCCACCCGCCCGACGATGCTGCCAGTCGGCCGCCGCCGACCGTTGACTGCGCGGCGCTGGTGATTGCGCCCCACAGGTACCCGGCGCCAACCTCAATGTTGCGCTGCCGCCACCGCAGCATGCCGGGCGCGCACACGGGCAGCGAGCGCGCCGGCGCGGCTGGGGCCAGCGGCAGGTCGAAGACAAGCTCAGTTACGCGTAACGCAATTCCCACATGTTCCAGCCGCAGCTTGCTGAGGATCTCGTGCAACTGGAAGAACATGCGATGCACCTGCTCGTGCGCCTCAGCCGCGGCCTGCTGCGTACCGCCATTGGCTGCCACCGCGTCGCTGGGCTCGTCGCCGCTGCCCGCGTCCGAGGCAGGCGGCATTGACTCGGGCGACTCGCTCTCGGCGGCATATTGCCGGAGGACGTTGGCCAGATGCGCGTTGAGCGCCCGGATGCGGCGCACGGACATGGATGACCGCACGGTTGGCGCGAGCAGCATAATGGCGACTTCGTCGAGCAGTGGGCCGATGATGCCGGCACGCACGTGGGTGAGCCCAAACTCAATGCTCTGGTCGACCTTTTTGGGCAGCCCCCAGAAGGTCGTGATGACGTCGTTGCGAATCGTGCACCGTTGGCAGTCGATCGCCGGGCCCTTGTGGTGAGAGCTGTCTGTGGGCTTTTGCGCGAGCATATCCTGCATGACGAGCATCTTGACCAGCTCCCAGCGTGAGTTCATGTGCTTTTGTGCGCCCTCGATGCCTGGGAACACGCGCATGCCGCTGACCTCCAGCGCGATCGTCGAGAGGTACTTGAGGCTGCGGTCGCGCTGCTGCTGCTGGTTGTGCTGCTGCTGCTGGCCTTGCTGCTGGTCTTGGTACTGGTCTTGGTGCTGGTCTTGGTGCTGGTCTTGGTGCTGGTCTTGGTGCTGGTCTTGGTGCTGGTCTTGGTGCTGGTCTTGGTGCTGGTCTTGGTGCTGGTCTTGGTGCTGGTCTTGGTGCTGGTCTTGCTGCTGGTCTTGCTGCTGCTGTTGTTGCTGTTGCTGTTGCCGTTGCCGTTGCCGTTGCTGGGGCTGGGGCTGGGGCTGAGCCTGATCAGGCGGGCCAAACACGGGCTCTGCCTCCGCTGCCGATGCCGATGCCAATGCCGCCTCTGCCGCAGCTGCCGGCGGCACAAACCCACTATGCTCCCCGCTTCCAGGCGCGCGAATCTTTGCCAGTCTCAATAACCAATCGACAACACCAAGCACCGAGCTCGCAAACCCAGGTCTAGTCCACCCTTCGCCCTGATTCTCCCTAGCCGACTCTGCCCAGAGCATCAGGTTCGAAACCATCAGCGTAACGCCATGCCCCGCCCGGGCCATCTCGCCGCTGCTGAGCACCACGCTGACATCCGACACTGATATATCCACCCACCGGGCAAACAGCGACGCAACGTATGTGTATGTGCGTAGTGTGGCGGATATTTTTTTGGCCAGTTTACCTGCCAGTTCCTGAGCTTCAGTGTCTAAAACAGGGTTGCCCATTTCCCTGCGAGTCTCTGGCCCTTGCTGCTGCTGCTGCTGCTCCCTACGATGTTGCTTCTGAGTTTGCGGCTGGGCTTGGTCATCGCCTTCATCGTTATCCTTGTTTTCTTCCTCGTCCTCGGGCAGGTCGAACCATGGAGTGGGACCGTCGTCCGTTAGTGCTGGATTGGCCGTGCTGAGCAGTTGAATATGAACGCCGCGCGCGTAGATCTGCAGCCGCTTGGACAACCCATTTCCCGAAACATCGGATGCTGGCGCCGGTACCGGTGCCGCAGAGGAAGAATCAACCAATGGCGTTGGCAGCGGCGGCGGCGGCAGCGTGGCGGTATCGGAAACAGCAGCGCTGGTCTCATTGCCCTCTCTGCGCCTTCCCCGCATCCGCGCCTTAGCTCTGCGCCATGCCTCTCTAACCCTTACCCTCAGCCTACGCATTGTCCTCACATCAACACCGATCTCATCCACCCTTACGACAACCTCATACTTGCCGCGCACCTTGATGGTCAGTAAAAGCCCGCTGAAACTCGTGCCGCTGAAGCTGCGCACGTCTAGGCCAAAGCGGGACAAGAAGAGCTTTACGGGGATGCTCAGCAGGAAATGAACGAGTCTCAGGAGAACATAGTAGAACAGGGGTGTGGTCAGGGCGGGGTGGAGTAGGAGTGTGAGTAGGAAATTGGGCGTGTAGGGCGACAGTGCTGTGTGCAGTGGTGCGACCGCGTAGTGCTTTGGCAAGGGCAGCAGCACTGAGAGCGTGCATATGGCTACCAGTGCGAAGAACGGCAGTTGCATTTTCTGTTGATAATTTGCTCTTTGCCTCACGTGAGAGCGGTGGGTGTGAACGTGTATGTGTATGTCTGCTGCTGGTAAATGAGAGAAAATGTATGAATATTATATAGAAAATAAATGTTGAATTGAATTGAAGCAACACAAAATGCTCAACTGACAAGAAGACCTTTTTTCTTGCCGCCGCGGCGCTTAAAAAAAGCGTTCAAACGCATATAACACCAAGAATTGAATCGCTTCATGTTTGATTCGGGATAATGCGGCCTGTGACGATTGCATGAATTTTATTGGACGCCAAATAAAAAAGCTCCATACTGCCATTTGCTCTCTTTTTTCTTTTACAAAAATAAAAATAAAAAAGCGAGCCTGTCGCTTTTCCCCCCTTTTCGGGTCTGGCCTCTTTTCCTCTTTTTTATTTTTGGTTTATTTTTGTGTAAACAAAAAGCTGCATTTACTCTTTTTAATATTTTTCTTCATCAACGACAACAAACGAACCGAAACAGAAACAATAAAAAGGCAATAACAACATTATTTCCTTCAGGATGCTGCCGATCCAGATATTCTCGAAATCCACACATAAACCGCTTATAACCAACGCCCGCTACTATACCACAACCGCCAGCAGCAGCACTGCCGCTAGCAACAACAGGAATCGTCCAAAGCTCTCCTTTCAACAGTTTGTTCAGCGCGGAAAGGTCCTCGAAGCGTATCGCAAGTATATGCGCTTGACCAAACGGATTACAGACAAACCATCCAGGAAGGAAATGCGTGCTTGGATTCGTGTTGATTTCGACCGGTACAAGGATCAGACTGATCCTCAGCGTATCGATGTTCTCTTGGCTCAGGCCACCAGGCAATACAAGGAGATGGAATCGGGCATGTTTTCGATGATCTGATGTTTAAAATGATATAACCTTTGATTTATTTATTTTTGATTGATGCAGGTGTATTGATAATGATTTTTGAAAGATGGCAAGAGAAATAAATGGCTATTGAAAACTTGTTTTATGCTCAATGATGGTGGTTTGATTGGTTGCCGCCGCCGCCACCGGGAATGACCTTGATCGGCGGCTCAGAGGGACAGCAGTTGCTGGGCTGGCAACCGTTGTTGCGGCATGACAATAGGCACGGCCCAATAGTCGCCGAGCTATCAACATTGACGGAATCTAAGCTGCTTGGCACGATGGCTACGCGGCTAAAGGCCTGGTCATGGTACTGGTACTGGTCGTTCCCCGGGGATGTTTCCACGGAGACAGCCTGGCCAACAACAAACTCGGGCTGGATCGTCGTTGAGTGCACGCCGTACCTGTGCATTACGCGCTTGACCTCGGCCGCAACTTCCATGTACAGGCAGTCCATGTCGACTGTGCCCCCATTCACCAGCGTGTTTGGTCGGGTGTGCTGCGTGACGAGGCGCGCCGAAGTCATGCTCTTGGAGTGGGTCAAGTTCTGGTGGTCATGGTCGTGATCGTGGTCATGGTCGTGATCGTGGTCATGGTCATGGTCATGGCCATGATTGGAACCTTGGCCATGCTCGTGTCTGTGTTCGTCCTCCACTAATGCATTGCTCTTGGTGTTGACCGGCAATTGGTCATTATGGATGCACATATGCGACATCGGGCGGTCAATCAGAACATGCACCGACCCGACATTCTTCGTGTCCGACAACTGCCAGACATGCAAATCATGCACATTGAGCACATTTGGAATCGACTTGAGATCCTTGCGTAGATCCTCCATACTAATTCCCCCAGGCACACCATTCAGCAGAATAAACGATGCGCTCTTGACCAAAGGAAGGGTGATACAGACAATCAGGGTGTTGATGAACAGGGAGATCGCCGGATCAAAGTAGAACCGCCATGAACCTTCCGCTTTCCAGATTACCAGGCCACTGATTATGACCGCGATATTGGTGATGCAGTCGCCGAACACATGAAGCCATACGCCGTGCATATTGAGGCTTCCGCCTGATCCGTGGTCATGCGTGTGCTTGTTACTGCTGCGCCGCTTCTTCCGCTGCTGCTTTTTCGGTCTCTGTTGTAATTGATGGCCGTCAGGTGCGATGCGCGGCGACGAGTATCCGCTGGCTTGTGCCGAGGTCGCTGCCGATTCATCGCTGCCCTCGTCGCCCTGCATCATCTGCGCTGACTTTATGATTGCCTGCTGCGTGTACACGGGGTGCGGCACTCCGATGATCGATCGGTTGTCGACTGCGCTCGACTGCACCGGTTTCCGAGACCCGCTGCCAATGTTTGTTTCAGCTTCTGGTGACATATCTATCGCCGCGTACGTCGTCCTCTGCCTGCTGGCCACGCTGCTACGGCTGGAAATAAGCCCCTCCTCCTCGTCGACAATCGAGACTTCATCGCCGTGCACATGCGCGTGTGAATGGCCGTGAGAGTGGCCGTGCCCGTGTCCGTGCTCGTGGAACAGAACCAGACCCATGAGATTGAACGTCAGCCCGATGCAGCCGACGATCATCACAAGCTTGGGGCTCTTCATTTCCTCAATGTTGATAAACCGCTCAATGACGTCAATGTAAATTGTCAGGCACAGACCCAGCAGTAGCACACCGTTGGTCAGGGCGCCGAGAATCTCTGCTCTCTGCCATCCGTACGTATTGTTTGGCACCACCTTATCTGTTCCAGCAACCTAAAGTGTGAAACAAGCAAAAAATGAAGGAATTGATCAGTTACTGTTGTTTTTTAGTTTCTTGACGCATCCAACCAAGAAAATAATAAATAATAAAAATGAATTGAAATGACAGTAGCGCCCGATACAGTTTTGTACTCAGGGATGTTTCCAAAAGCAGAAAAATGGACTTACTTTAATGGCCCACAGAGCAATAACCATGCCGAGAACGTCGTTGAGCATATGGAACGAGTCTGCAATCAATGTGATGGACCCGGCGATGATACCAACGACTAGCTCAACAAAAAACATGGTAGCACTCAGGCCCAGCATGATGCTGACCTTTGCTGAACGCGACAGCTTGAGCATGTTAATGAAAGAGTGAAAAGTGGGGTACAGGCGTGCAATGAATATAATAAATGAATGATAATATTAAATAAGAAATTTGGCGAATTTAATTTTAGAGTAAAAAGGGAGATAAGAAATAAAACAAAAAAGAGAGGAAGAGAGTGAATAAAAGACAAACAGCGTTCAAAGGTTTTATTTGTAAACGCGCGGGCAAAAGAAAAATAACGGAAAGTGGGAAATGAGAGTAAAAAAGAAAAATAGCTGCCCCTTTTTTTTATTGTTTTGCTCTGCCTATCATCCCCTCCAACCCCAGTCCTTTTGTTTCGTGTGCGCAAAGTAAAAAATAATGGCTTGGTAGCCGCTATTTTAATTACTCTCATTAGATTCATCCGAATCCGATGAGTCTGCCACAGCAAAAGTAGTCAAGAGAGAAGGAATATAGAAAATGCATTTATTCATCTCTTTCTTTGTGGTATCCCATCGGAACATCCGAATTTGATGACTATTTGCGTCTCAAATATCTTGTTTTGCTTTTCTTTCCTTTTATTATTTTATTTTTACGTTCCGCCACAACCAGAAATGAAACAGTAGTTTGACATCTATTATACTTGTGATACATAAAAGTAAAACGCATTTCATATTGATCGGGGGAGGTGAAATAAACCAAAAACGAAAAAAGCAGTTCTTTTATTGTGCCAACCAAAAAAATTTTAAGCGTGGCTTTATATAAAGGAAACTTAAAGGAATATTATTCTCTCATTTGGTACTCCGCTAAAAGATACGCGTTTAGTTTATAAAATGCGTTAATAGATGGTCATATAATGTAGTTGGTTATCATATTGGATTTTGATTCCAATAACCCGAGTTCGAATCTCGGTATGACCTCAATTTTGCAGTTTTTTATTTTTTGGATGATCTGCTAAATATCCAATATGAGGACAGCATGGCCTTGCATATTAAATTTTTTTACTTTTGCATCGAGTCTACAAAAAGTAATAAATATGAAATAAAAAAGCTGTTGTTGTTTGCCTTATACTTCCGTACAATTATTTTTTTATCAATTTTACATAGCTTAACATTAAAAATAATATAGCAGAAATATGAGACTCACAGCGACACTCAGCTCGGCCGAGCTCTTATTATTCGCCATCGCTGGCATAGTAGTCAACGCAACAGAGACCGAAGAAGACCGCGGCCTGGATAATTTTCTTCGTATCCGACCTGACCTATCCAACGCCCTCAACCCTCAAGAAAACGGCAACAGGGGCGATGATACTGGTGTGAATGAGCCGGCGGAACCGCGTAGGGGTTTAGGAGGACAGTTGGTGGTTGATCCGAATATTAAAAAACAGCAGATGGATATTGAATGTGTAGAGGCATGTGATCCGACAGATCAGGGATGTCGCGCAAAATGTCTGGGCGTTCCTGGTGGCAGCAAGAGCGGTGGGAAGGGCGTGTTGGGAGGGAAAAAAGAAAGAGATAGTGGTGAGGAGGGCGGAAGCGGATTGCCGATTGGTTGGAGGAAGAATAAGGCTGTGGAGAGTGGCAGCAGCAGCAGCAGCGGTGCGGTGAAAGTGGGTGGACGTGGCTTTGAGGCTGGGGCTGGGGTTTTGGAGTTGGTGGGGATTTTTGGTGGCATGGTACTTGTTCTAGGATGCCCATGGTAGAATAATAAAGTATATTTTATAGCTAATTTTTATTTACAGAAAAAATAAAGGCACATAAACTCCCCACGCAAAATGTTTGTCATATTAGAGAAAACTATTGACTTAACATCTGGCCCTTGTTTGATATATTCAATCTATTTGTTTACTTTTTTACACGTGTATGTGGATACATACACGTGTGTGTATGTGTGGGGTATAAATAAAATAAAATAAGAAATAGTGTAATAAACCATTTTGTGCATGGGGATTCGTTGCATTATTAATTATAAACAATTTGAGCAAGCTTAGGCAAAAAAATAAGAGTTAAACTTTGTTCATTACCAAAACGAAAATATTTTTAAACTATGAAATGAAATATCACTATTATATTATATTATAAACTAAATTGAATCAAAATGAAATTAGACACACAACTGGGCCGCGGAATACTTACCACTCTGCTCTTCTGCACACTATCTCTAGCAGCCGCAGAAGCAACATCATCGGTGGCAGTGGCGGTCACCGAACAGGCTCAGCCATCCAAACCAACCAGCAACCACCTATTCATTCTCCACAGTGCCCAAATCAGCAACAGTCTCCGCGTAACGCAGTACTGCAACACCAAATGCATCAACAGCGACTCCGCCTGTAAATCAAGCTGCATCAATGACCTCAGCTTCACCGACGAAGACATCCTCAAGCGCACTCAGAAATGCACCACCGATTGCCACACCCAACCGGAAGAACTGATCTCCATGTGCATCCAACGATGCTTCCACTATATGGTTGACCCTCTCCGGCATGTAGTCAGTGAGCGGGAGAATCGCTTGGCGGCGGTGGGAAATGACGGGATGCTTGTGGAGAATGAGTTTATTAAGACGCGTGTTAGGTTGATTGGCCCCAATGGGTTGCCGCTGAGGGAGGATCAGCAGCCAGCGACAAGTATTCCAACTGGACGGGCGCCGATGCTGCTGGCAGAGGAGGAGGATAATGAGAGGAGGGGGAAGGGGAGGGATGAGAGTGCAAGGTCGGAAGGGTATCGCGTGGAAACAGTGAACACCGCCGAGGGTTTGCTGAGTCGTCAAATGCAGGTATGGGGCGCACTATCATTAGCTCTTGCTGCTGCTGTTTGGATTTAACCGAACCATTCTCCCATATTTACTCTGAACTTTGCACTTTCCTTTTCCTTTTCCTTTTCATTTTCATTTTCATTTTTATATTCATATTCATTTTTTCAAATAAAGTAATCACTTTATACTAGCAAGTGACATGCGCCAAACTGCTTTCTTGGCGAGGGTTTTTTTTCCACACCAGTGCGCAGGAACGTCACTTTGCATACTGGGCCTTTCCTTTTATTCACTCTTGGCCTCTTTTGATTTCTTTTTTTCGCTTATTATCTCCTTTTTCTTTTTCTTTTTACAGTTTGTTAATTCTATTTCATTTCAAATTATTATTTATTTCAATTCCTCGCATGGTCTCCAACATAAAGCTCAATTGCCAGCCGTCCTCCTGGAATAGGCATAAAGTATACAAAACCCTCGGCTTCTTCCCCGTCCTCTTCACACTCGGGCTACTCGGCTGGTCGCTACTCGGCAACTACCGCTCGGTTCTTCCACAAATTCACGACGACAGTCGCGCAGCCAGCATCATCTATGGCACTTCCCTGACTGTAATCTGGACATTGTCCCTGTGGAGCTACTTCATATGTGTGTTTAAGAACCCGGGTAATCCCAGGGCAATGGGCGCTGTGGGCGCGCATGGCGGGAGTGCAACAAATGGTCCTTATGTGCGTGTTCCGGGCATTGTTGACACGACGCATTTGTCCGTGGAGGCGCACAGAGAGGCGCAGCGGGCGCGACTGGCCCCTGCATCCCGACAACGCCATGCGGATGATGACCAAAGCGCTTATGGCAGCCAAAGCGACGAAAGCGACGATGACAGCGACTCATGCAGTGAGGCCGGCAGGGCGCCGCTGACGGATGATCAGATGCGGCAGTCAGAGCTCATCTACGCGATCACAGTGAGGGAGAATGGGCAGCCGCGGTATTGCTTGAAATGCAACGTGCCGAAACCTGATCGCTCCCACCACTGCAGTATCTGCGGCGTCTGTGTGCTGAAAATGGACCACCACTGTCCTTGGCTCAATAACTGCGTTGGATTCCATACGCAGAAGGCATTTATGCTTTTTCTGCTCTACACTATGCTGTACTGCTTGGCCACTTTCATCTCCACGCTGGTGTATTTCTTGCGTCTGTTCAGTGGTCCCCTAGGCACGGACGTGGCGCTTGAGGTCGTTATTCTGTGCATTCTCTCGGGTCCGTTTACTCTCTGTCTGATGGGTTTTGGCGGGTATCATATTTACTTGATGCTTGTTAATCTGACGACCATCGAGAGTTACGAGCGCAACACGTTTAGGTTGGCTAATGAGCAGAACAGCACGAGCAGGTCGAAGAAGGTCAATTTGTTTGATGTCGGGATGAAGAAGAACTTTGTGCAGTTGTTTGGCACACACTGGACGCAGTGGCTGGTCCCTACAGCGTCCACGGTGGGCGACGGTGTAAGGTTCCCGATCAGTTTTGAAGCATACAACGAGCTCTGCCAGAGCTAGACTAATTCTTTTGTTAATGATATATACTTTTTTGTACAGTATTTGCGATTGAACGTGGTAACAAAAAGAGGTTGTCTGGATAGGGAGGTATAGAAAAATGTAAATAAAATAAAACAAGATGGTTGTATGCTGTGTATATGCTAGTTGTCCTTTGCAGCGTCTGCCAGGACAATGCCACTGGCAATACTCACTTCTTCTGTCTCAGCCAGCTCTCCCCTTCCTCCTCCTCCTCCTCCTCCACCTCCGTCGTTGTCCTCTATCATGGCTAACTTCTCATTATTGACCCAGCTCAAATACGAGTCCCAGAACAGGTCAAAGCAGCTCCCAAACGGCACCCGATAAATAAGCGGCACAAATGCGAAATTGACCGACTGAATAATCGGCGAAATCATCAGCCCCGTAGTATAAGTCGGCCAAAAAAGCGCGCCAATACGATACTTCACGTCAGTGATCCCGCCGCCCTCCAACACCGCCATTGACCCAAAGAACAGCGCGTACATGGTGGGCTCGTAAAGCAAAACGTCGTAGATTAGACGCTTGCCGATTTGTCGCGCAGCCTGGCCCTGCTCCGACCTCCGCTTTGCCCGGGTCGCCATCGTGGATGCTGTCATGCCGGCTGCCGTGTGTTTCCGTCGGGACTTGAACCACGTGTTTTGCGACCGGATCGGGAACCGCCGGTCGAGGAACCGGTGCCAGCGTACGCCCAGTGGGGAGACGCATGTGGAGAAGAGCACGAATCGGGAGGTCCGCCAGAGATCGTACCCTTTGGATGGCTGCGGGTCGTCGGCCTTTTTGGATATGTGCATGCCTATTGTCTGCGCAAGCAGGTCGCCGCATGCGGACAGGCACGCCTCGGTGGCCGCCACTGTGACAAAGGGCCGTGCTTCGGCCTGCCGCGTCCAGAATCTGAAGAAGGCTGCCATTCAAAAACGCAATTTTCAAAAATAAAGGATAATATGGATATCAAAGGGTGAATTCAGCACTGCAAAAGTCAAAAAGAAATAGAAATAGAATGATGAGAACGGAAAAGAAGAGGAAAAAGGAACCTTTTTAATTGATGCTAATGCTATCCTTGGGAAAGAGCACTTTTCCCCCGGCCAGTGTTGCGAATCGGGCCGGAGGTCATGAGCCGGACCCCGCACACGCAAAGGCACAAAAAAATAAGGAGTGTGTAAGCCTTGGCATAATAAAATCGACCATTTCATCCATTTTTTTCTCAGCGTCAGAAAATAGGATGATGATCACCCATGTGGCTTGATCGCTGCATTCTTAATCCGAAATGCGAATCAGCAGGATATATCAGTAATCTCGCTATCTCAAAGATAGATAGATGGGAAATGCGGAAGACAGTAAGCAAGCAATAATAAGAGAGGTACAGTCACGTTGTATCATTTCAATTTTTCGCTTGCTCGGAGAATACCCGCCGCTGTTGGTCTTTGCTTTTTTTCGCTATCCCCTTGTGGAATTTGTACTTTATTATATTTTTTTGCTCTTTACTCTCTAAATCCAACTTTTTACTCAACGACAACAATGTTTTCTGCTGTTACCAGGACCGGAATTCTCAACGCCACCCGCACCCCCTTCAGCCGCGCCGTTGCTGCCCAGACCACACGGTAAGCCGTCCGACAAATTCAGCCCAACGTATAAAAGGGACCCTAATGTTTTTATTTGTCATTTTTCTAACCGCCCCACCACCTCCCTTGTTCATTTGAGATATAGTGCGTTCATTGCCACTCCCGCGCGTCGCGTCGATGAGCCCCAGAGCGTAGTTGCTGAGCGTGCGCGGAAGCACCGGCCAGTGTCCCCTCACCTGAGCATCTACCAGCCGCAGATGTCCTGGATCCTCTCAGGTCTCCACCGCAACACCGGTGTGGTCATCTACGGGGCGGCCCTTGTGTACACGGCAGCGTTTGGTCTTGCGCCGATGCTTGGCCTGGACATGTCGTCAGTTTCCGTCGCTAGCACTCTGGCTGCTGCGCCTGGGCCCCTGCTGATTGCACTCAAGGCGTTCTTCTCCGGATGTCTGTCGTTCCACTACTTTGCGGGCATCCGCCAAATGGTTTGGGACGCCGGAAAAGCTGTCAACAACAAGGCTGTTTTTACCACCGGGTATGCTGTTATTGCCGCGAGCGCACTGGCCACGGGATACCTGACCTTCTTCTGAGCGTGTAAGCAGAGCCCGTGTCATGGCTTGTGTCTTGGTTCTTTTGATTTTGTTGTTTGAAAATCTAATTACAAGTGATTGGTTGATTTTATTTTCTATTTTTCGTCATTGTGAAATTTCGTCACTGTGAAATTTCGTCACAATCCCTGACACTCAGCTGGACTTTTCCCAATCGAACCTACGTCTTGTTTTTCCACCTGGGCTTCTCATTCATGCACGATACTCGGCAGTATTCAAAAAGTGTCGATTTTGTGCATCAATTTCGAAAACAAACGAAAAGTATTATAAAGAAAAAAGAGAAAAAAGCAACGGATTGCCAAACAGGCTGGAGATCAGTTTAGTCGGTCCACCTGCCCCAGCGCACATGGTTTTTTCAATTAGCGGTCTGGCCAAAGAAGCAAAAAACAAAGCTTTGGTTCGCATCATGCAGGAAACACCTCTTCTATCCTCTTCCCTGTTTTATTTTTTATTTTCCTTAATTTTGCACTTGTTCTGCCACAAAAATATATAAATAAATTTATCATTTTTTCCATATTTCATATTTTTCCATTGTTTACTTTCTTGTCCATGTTTTTGTTAAAATTAAACTCAAATTAACTACTCCCCCACTCTATTGCTTTTATATATTATATTTGACACTTGATTATTCGGGCTGCGCGGAATCAAATAGCTTGGGCAGGCGTATCTTTTTTCTCTTCCCTTTCTTGTTTAGTTTTGGGACCCTCTTTTTCGATTTGATAGACCCGGAGTTTTGCTCGTAAACCAGATTCTATTCATTAAGTCTCCCCTCCTTCAAATTGTAAGTTCTTATGAAAAAGGGGAAACAGCACACACCATCCTCTTCTCCCACTGCCATCAGCCACCGTATTGTTTAGCTGTTATTATCCTGCGGTGGAATTCGCCAATTAATGAATTTATATGAACAATAAGAAAATGGTTCCTTTAACATACCACATTACTGTCCTTGTTTTGTTGCAATAATTTCAATTACATTATCTCGATATGTCCTATTGTTCTTTGCAACAAATGAAACCAAAGTGCCCAAAGCAGTTCCTTTCCCCCATCTAAAAAACTTTCCACCCCCTCCTGTGCATACGGAATTGCAGTCTTTTTTATTCATGGATTGTAAAAAAACAGCATCCCCCAAAACCACCTTGTCCATACAATGCCTTCTCCTTACTTTCTTTAATTTTTTGTTTTGTTTTGTTTCTGGACACAACCCACCCACTAATAGTTCTGAATCCTTATTATTATTATCATTATTATTCCTTTCTCGCTTTTTATTACGTTTTGTAGGACGCGCGCTGGATCTCGTGTGCCACTTTCACTTGGTTTAATTCTGCCACACACATATTTCTTTATCTATCTCTCCATATTCCCATCTCTCTATTCATTATACACACAAATACTGTCGGTAGTTTTAAGAAAAAACACGCGAAATATTTAATAGGAGCCGAGTCACATACTCTAAAAAACAAAAAAAACATGAATATTTCGGGTCTCTCCTATCTGCAGTACTTACTGATCGACGCATTCGTAGCCATCTACATCTTTATACACGTACACCTATCTGGGAACTGGTCTAGTATTGTTCCCTTTTCGGCACTGCGGCTGGATCCGCAATCCCGCAACGATGCGTTTTTCAAAATACTTGGGTTCTACAGCAGCCTTGTGGGCACAATTCTGTTCATGGTCAAAGACGGCATAATGGCCGCCCAGGAGATCCAAGACGTCAGGCTATGCCAGGCCTCGGTGTACGCGAGAGAGGACGTGGTTCCCTTGGATCAGCAGCAGTTACCGGACATCGAAAGGGGTCTTATGCTGTGGAACTTGGGTACTGCTTTCCATATTTTGGCACTCGGGTGCGTCATGTACGGCTGGGCGTCGGTATCCATTAGGCAGCTGCTTGGTAAAACCACGCTGGTGAGCACAACCGCGGCGCTGTTAATGCTGGCTACAGGTATCGTGGGATTCGCCGGCGGCATATCGTCGCACTTTGGCGTGTTCAGCAATATAGGCGACATGTCGCGCGCACGCAGTGTTTCGCGGCTGGTTACGAGCACTGTGTTCCTGGTGTTTCTCGGTATGCTCGTCTGGGTGGCCCTGCGCTTGGCCAGGATTATTCGCCAAACACGAGTGCGCGACCCATATGCCACAGCGGCGATAGTCTCGGCGTCGCACAAGCAGTATGCTCAGCACCCGATGGCTGTCCTGAGGTATCTTTTGGGCATGCAGACGCTCGCGTGGATGCAGGACTCGGTCGTTTTGCTGGCCGTGCTTTTGTTCGTGCGGGTCGTGTTTTTCCTCGCATTTGATATCAGCTTCTTGACGCCGCAGCAGAGCGCTATTAGGTCGATGGGGTCAGCAAACACGCTCAACGGTATGGCTACGCTGGCGTCGTCGCTTTTGTCTGTTGCTATGGTGCGCCTGCTTCTGCCGCGCAAGCCGGATATGATGGCCGATGTGTTTACCAAGGTGGGCGAGCTTGACCCGTCCGCACGGACGGTGTTTTTCGATGGAAAGGCGCCCGATGTTCGCGGCCTACCTGTGCCACAGATGTCTTCGGCCGGAAATACTCGCAATCACAGCTTGAGCTCTGCGGGTGACGCCAATGGGCGCTCTCGCGCGCCGACCACGGCTAGCCTCGCGGTTGAAAAGCTTATGGGCAGCTCCACGCCGGTGCTCGTGGCTCGTCCCTCGACGACTGCAACGGTGACAGCGACAACCACTCCGACTCAGCAGCAGCAGCATCCGTATTCGCCTGTTCTCATTGACACCTGCGATAAGAGCATGCCTGTCATGTCCAACGGCTCCCTGTCGCCGATGCTTCAGCAGCCCATGTATCCGTTCAGCTCCGGTGCCAAGAGCGCTGACGGCCCTAATTTCCTGCAGCACATTCCGTACATTGACCGCAACGCGCGCGAAAACTCGTATTTCTCGCAGGGGCCCTGGGTACACCCGGTCACTCACACGTTCTCGCCAAGCGCATCCATTGCCGGATCGGAGGTTCAGGGGTCCACAATGATGGGGTCTTTGGCGAATGCTGGCGTCGTCGGGCTATCTGCAGCCGGGCCATTTGTGTCCACACCGTCAGTGCACTTGGAGCAGCTTGTGCGTTCCAATACTGGCGCCGAGCTGGTCACCATCGAGGGGCGGCAGGATATGCTGCGCCAATCCGAGGCAAAAAACGGCTCGATGCTGTTTAGTGATCCAGGATCCGACATGCACTACTTGGGCCCGGCAAATGGCACCGCGCAGCAGTCGCGCACCCAAGTCACCGCCAGTGCTTACATCCCGATTTCCAGCTCCAACTTTGCGCTGACATCTAACAACCAGGCTAACGGGGGCAGCAACTTGTCTGACAGCGTTGCTAGTAATAACACGCATCCGAGCGGGCCCAGCCTGCGTTTCGAGGCGCTCCAGTACTATAGCACGGATAACGACAAAGCAGACTCGATCATTTCCTCATACATGCGCCCCGACAACGAATCACCCCAGTTTAAAAATGTGCTTGTTGGACATCGCACCTCGTCGGTCATTTCCGATGAGTACCAGTACGAGCCGATGAATACTGTAAGCGTTGGCGGCAATGACGGTATGCGCGCTGTTTCAAGCAACCCGTTTGATGAACACACTGCTTCCGTGGCCACAACCAACAGGTTGATTCCCACGGTATACGTCGCCGAGCCCATTCCCGAAAACACGACTGCCGAAGATGAAGACGTTGATGGTGATGAGTCGAAGGGTTCGCTTGGCAATGGGCCGATTCTTATCCACAGGGGGTCCAAGGCGTCTCTCCGGCGCAAGAACACCGTCGAGCGCCGCAAGGGAGGAGTCCAGAAGAATGAAACCGGATTCACAGAGTCCTCAAATAGCAGCTCGGTCAACTCGTCCCAGGACATGTTGGCCAATGAAACTGCCAGCCAGAGTATGCTTGCTGCCCCTGCAGAGATAAAGTCGGTCTCTTTCAGCGCCCAACCTGCAGAGACGGTTAAAAAGCCTGATGCGGATAAGAAGGCTCGGGTGTTCAAATCGCGCATGAGCGCGTTTGACGACCCGCCGGCAGGCCAGACATCGGGCGCGTCGGGCGCTACTTCGCCAGTATCAGAAAGACCGAGCAAGCGCGATTCGGCGACGATCAGCGCCGTTCCGTGGGATGGTACCAATGGCAAGCCTACGTCTGAAGTTCCGCTGAATGCTGTAGACGAATTTGGGCACAAAAAGCCGCTGGCCATCAACACAATGCTCCACAGGCAGGCGCCATCCGCGGCAAGCATCCATTCAATGCGGTTGAGCCCTGAGTCGGGCTCCGCAAGTCTGCCCAACTCGCTGTTTAGACAGTCGTTCTCGAGCCTTGGCCGCCGCAGCAACGACATCTTTTCGAGCTTTTCGTCGATCAACACTAGCGCCACGGGCGATGTCTTTTACACGCCCGGAGCCAGCATTGCCAATATGGCCAACGGCAGCATAAACGGTGAGAGTAACTGGCTGGACGCCCTGGATTCAGACATTTTGATCGACACGCCTAATGCAAGCCAAACTGACTTTGCCAGCCCCAGCGTCAACTATATGGATGAGCGGCCGTTCACAGCGCCGTCGCGCACCGCCGTTATCAATAGCCACAGGCACACTTTAGCTGCGCACGAGCAGACTATTGGATCCACTCGCTCCAAACTGATTATTGGCGATAGCAATGCGTCACAGATATCGGTTGATATTGCAAATGAAGTGGCCGGTGTACGGCGCACGCAGACTTTGCGCAAGGCAAGGGCGTCTGACGCTCACGAAATTGAGTCTTCTATCCAAGGACCGACGGAGGAGGATACGACTGGCGCTTTGATCTCTGCACTCCCCATGCCGACGCCCACTCTGTCGAACGACCGCATGATTCTTTAAATTTTATTTTATTATTATTTTCTTTATAAAGTTTTATTTTTTTGGACTTGCCTATTGGCAATGCCAAATATCTGGCAACATATATAGTTATATGCAATCCAAAAAAGAAAAATCAATTAGTTTGCCAGTTTCTAGTTGATATGCAAAATTAATATGGCCAAAAAACCCGTGTATCATGCACAAATACATTTGATTATAGTTATATGATATGTAATTGCAACTAAATTATGTTTTAATAAAACTTTAGAGAAATTAACAATTACATGTTTTTTACTGACGAGCATTTGCAGGTTAAACTTTTCACGAAAAAAAGTTTTCGATCGCCAGGTGAACAAATTTTGTGGTAGCAAACTTTTATAAATTTATTTTCACAATTACGTATAAGCTCTCATTCAGCTTATTGATCGACCGATTTGGTTGATGAACCAAAATGGGTGCAATGTTTTGTGTGTGTGTATGTTTCTCTTCTCTTCTCTTCTTTTTTTGTTGTTTTCTTCGCTGGCTCTGTTCTATTTATTTAATTTTAATTTCTGCCAGGATTATCCAATTTGAAATGTCTCAGCGAAAACGCAAAATGAAATACTAGCGCTACCTTTCGGACAGCGAGGACAGTAGCTCCGACAAGGATCAGCCATTGTCAAAAAGAGTCTGCAGCTGAGCGCATACCGACCGCCTCATCAGTTTATATCGAGTCCATTCGGCTTATGGAAAGCGCTTCCGACCACAAAACATACCATATCGGCGGAGTCAAGGTTCAGTTACCCTTCACGCCCTATCCGTCGCAGCTAATAATGATGCAGCATATGATCCGGGCACTGAACAATTCGCAGAGCACCATGATTGAGAGCCCGACAGGTTTAGACAAGTCCCTGGCGCTCTTGTGTGCTGCGCTTGCGTGGAGGCGCGACTTTGGCACTAAGAGAAGAGTACAAAGGGCCAAGGTGCGCCACGTAGTTTTCAAGTATGCACTGCATGACTCCATACTGCCCACTAAGGAAGAACCAGTGGTTGGTCTGGACCAGAAGAAGGAGAAGAATAAGGACGGTGCTGGAGAGAATGACGATGATGTACACGCTGGCCCTGCTGCCTTTTCTCTTGCTGTCACTGTTGCTGCCGCTTTTGCTTTTGCCTCCGTTTCTGTTGCCGATGTTAAATGTGAGGCGAATGCCATCCATTTAAATCCTGATTTGCCTGCAGAGAGCACGCCTGTTGCTGCTGACAGTGTCGCCGATTTGGGCTCCAAGGTCAATGCTAACGTGGACAACCATGCCATTGACATTACCGGGGTGAACTTGATCTTGAACTTTGTTTCCGATCCTTGCATTAGCAGCTCTGTTGGTCTTGGCAATACATTATTTTGCATACCCGCCACACCAGTTATCGCGTAGTTGACCAACACCAAAGTGCCCATAAACCCGGTTTTGGGGCCCAATACCAATCTGGAAGAGTATCTGTTAAATCACCGCATATCTGTTGCCATGGGCGATTTGCCCAGGACTGTCGTCCATATTCTCAAGTTGGCCAGCATCTACAATCCGTCGTGGCTGGCACAAAAGGACATCGCCACTCTCAAATAATTTCAGAAACACGGATACGATCTTGACCACCCCCCGCAGATATATTTTGGCTCGCGGACGCACAAACAGGTGTCGCAGCTGGTCGACAAGCTGGGAAGGAAGACGCCTTACCGCCTGCGTACAGCTGTCTTGGGGAGCCGCACACAGACCTGTGTCCTTCAGTTGGGAGAGCACAGACGGTTTGTTGACGAAATTTGCAAGATATTGGTAGAAGACAAAAAGTGCAGGCTCTTCACTGAGCATACCAGTCTAATCAATCATGAAAAGCTGAATCATGGGGGCGACCTAGAGATCTGGGACATTGAGGACATTACCAATCTCGGGAAAAAAAAGTGTGTGCATGCCCTTACTATGCCGCGCGTGAGCTGGCAAAAACTCCCGATCTGGTGTTCTATCTGTACAACTACATCCTGAATCCGAGCGTGAGGAGGACTACCAGTGTCAACCTTGATGGCAATATTATTATTCTTGACGAAGTGCACAATGTCGAAAATGCCGCACGTAATGCGGGCCCCTTGGAGGTTACCAACCAGCAGTTGGGTGCCCTCGTCGGCGAATGCAAGGAGATGGGCAAGATGATAATTTTGCCATCATCTCACAATTTTATTATCACATTTGCCCAGGGACTTATCAATTGGGGAACAATCCGTCGAGTACCTATGAGCACCGTGACATGGAGACGCAGATATCTGTGTGGCCCCAGGATAATGCCTCGACAGATGACCTTTTTCGGTAGCTGCCGATCACGCCGAATATTATTACACGGCTATTCACCATGTTTAGCAAGCTAGAGAAACACATGAATGAGGTGCACGCTATTAAGACGCAGAAGGAACTGTATAAGAAGAACGCTATGCTGCAAGTGACTCCTGACGACAAAAAGTTGAAAGTGATTGATGAAAATCAGCAGCCGCCTCTCAAGCACCTTTCTATCAGCTTGATGTGTCTCCTTGAAGGGCTACTGTAGGTTCTCAAGTACACGTCTCCGGGAAGCAAGTACCACCATGACTATCGCATAGCCAAGATCAAAAAGCCTAACCCTGAATACCACAAGGGCCCACAGCGCAAACGACGGAGAAAGTCCACACTACCACCTCCGCCACCCCCGCCATTTGTCAATGTCATGGCATTCTGGGCGCTCAACCCTGGTGTCGTTTTTTCAGAAATTGCAAGCTATTCGCGCTCGATCATCCTGACGAGCGGAACGCTGTCACCGCTCGACAGCTACGAGTCGGAGCTGCAGGTGTATTTTGCAAGCAAGCTCGAGGCCAGCCACGTCATCGACCCTGCCCGCTTCTCTGCCATGGCCATTGAGTGTGGGCCATCTGGATTGGTTCTCGAGGGCAAGTATAACACAGTGGACACATTTTCGTTTCAGGACGACGTTGGCCAGGCGCTGTGTTCTATTGCTTCCAGTTCTCCCGACGGCATGTTGGTTTTCGTCACTTCCTACGCCCTGTTAAACAAGCTGATTGCGCGTTGGAGAATGACCGGACATTACGACGAGCTCAACGTGCACAAGACCGTGTTTGTCGAGCCCAGGGGCGGATCCAAGGACGAGTTTGAGAAGCTGCTGGCTGAATACCGCAGATGCCTTGCTAGTGACAGGCTGCCCGGCCAGCCTCTGGCCCGAGGCGCAGTGATGTTTGCTGTGTACCGCGGCAAGGTCTCTGAGGGAATTGACTTTTCAGACTTTTTCTGTCGCACGGTGGTCAACATTGGCATTCCGTACCCGGCATTCAAGGACGTCAAGGTCATGTTGAAGCGCGAGTACAATGACCAAATGTATAGACAATACCAGTATCCCCAAGGTTCAAGCAACGGCAACCAAGCAGCTGCTTCTACGGGCTTGCTGAATGGATCCAAGTGGTACGATACCCAGGCCTTCCGGGCGATTAACCAAGCGCTCGGCCGCTGTCTTCGGCACAAAGACGACTGGGGAGCAATCATTATGCTGGAGTCCCGGTTTGGTCAGTCGTGGAATATCAACCGTTTGTCCAAATGGGTTCGTCAGCATTTGCGCGTGCATAGGAATTTTGGTTCGGCAATGGCGAGCCTCGACGAGTTTTACCGCGTGCGCATTCAGGAAGATCAATTGACATTTGCTGAGACGCCCGACATTGCGGAAGTGCAAACCCTGACTGGTGATGTTGCTGGTGGCGATTCTGATGTTGATGTTGAGTTTAACGCCGGTTCATATCCTTGTATTTAATATTGAAACTGTGTCAGGGGGGGCCTTTGATCTGACAAGTATACTTTAAAATCGAAGTAATTTACTAACACCCCTTTCTAAAAGTTATTTCGCTATTTATATATAATGATTGTTTTTTAAACGTTACGTGGGTGTTTAAGTGTTTGGTAAGGCTGGCTACGTTGCGTGTAATTGAATTGGACAACCTCTATATTTTACAATATCGGGCTCATTCAACCCGCCATACACAATAGCACATTGCTACGCCAACACGTACATGTATGTTAAAGGTTTTTTGTTGACTATTTGTTTTCAATAAATTATATTTGTGCATCTAGCTAAATTAAAAAAGTGTGCGTATCTGATATATATAAATAACCCAGCTAAACAATACTGGTTGGTGCTTGTCAGGTCTAAAAGTCGTAAAGCAGGCTGTCAATTTGGGCTTCAGTCGGTGGCGATGGTCTCCAGATGCTGGCGGGTGCAGTGTCAGTCGAATGTCTCATTTCTAAGTTGAGAAAATATTGTCCAAACAAAAATAAATTTGAAATAAGAAAGTAGTATGCAAGTATTGCTGAAAAATTGGATAGATGAGAATGTTTTGATAAGGAGAGATGACAATGGTGTGGGTGCAATGCTTATTTTATACTTGTAGGTATTATGCTTGCACAGTGGAATGTTCTACCCGTCGCATCCAAGGCATTTACAGCCACATCTTCTTTGTTCAATTTACGTAATGCTTTTTGCCACACTACCCTTCGGACTATTCCTTGATTAGGCTAAAAGAATAATAGCAAAAGAAACATTCAGCTGATTTGCCTGTGCAGCAAGGATTTTCAAGTGACGGAAATAGAAAGAAACCACAATCTATTTGTTCTATTTGTTTGGTTCACTTTTCGACATATTATCATTCTTCTATTTATATATGCAGTACATATATGCTCACATGGATCGACCTGCAGAGCACTCGTTTTGACCATGCGCCCTTTGGCTTGAAAAATGCAAGGCTTGAAAAATAGATGTGAGGAAAAGAAAAGAATAGCTAACATGAATTTTTCTTTCACATTTATGCAGGCACTTCGCAATTACACATACATAATATTTTCTTTTTTACTTTTTCTTTTTTGGACACCACTCCCCACTATATCAAATTTTGTTGACGCCATGTCTGTAGGCTGAGTAAGCCAACGACGATCGGCTCCTTTGTGGGCGACTACAATGGCGTGAAATCGTAACAACTTTTGTTGTAATTCCTCCGAGGTAGCCAAAGGCTATTGAGGCAATGGGTTAAGGCCCTTTCGGGCTTCCTTATTGGCTTTATTTTATAATAAAATACTTTTATGCTCTCCGCTCCCTAGACTCCTTTATCCTTTAGAGCCTACTTAAACCACGCGCTCGGCTCAATGGGAGGGAAAACAACAGACAGAAAGCTCTGAAAAATTAACTGATTACTAAAGGGCAGGTAAAATTCACTGCCTCAGTAGCCTTAAGCTACATCAGATTACCATTAGCTACATTCTAGTAATTTCCGGAGATCCTCCAAGCCGCCTCGGCAGTGGATCCTTCAACCAAACCGGGCGTGTAAAACATGGGTAATTCCTTCCACTGGTTCATCGATGTCTGTAAAACTCAAATGATAATAAAATTGTTCGAATGTTGAGCCGCTTGTCGACCATCCTTGTAAGGATAATTTTACTTATAATTTAAATTAATTGGATTGTTGTGATATATATGTTACAGTTTAGGCACATGGCATTGCATGTTGCCTTACTGAGATCAATTGATTACGCGCGTGGCAATTAAGAAATGATATGTTTTTATTATAGTTTATTTATATGCCAAGGAGAACATATAAAAGGTGTGGCTATCGGGCAGCCAGGAATTGTTCTCCTTGGAAGAAATAAATATCCTTTTTGATTTATACCCCTTTGTAACATATATAACCACTAAAGCACTAGTGTGAAAAAGTAGTTTTGTAAAGGGGGTTTAATACTAATGTTTCAAAAATACTACCATTACCGACCTCGTCTAATATATATACGCCTCAATCTCCATTGTTGTGCACATTGCCAGTTTTGCGCTCCGTTGGCGAAAGCTGGTTCTTCTGCAAGTAGCCCGGCCCCCCTGATATGTCATTGTTTTGGTCTTTGCGTATTTACGCTCGTGCGCGTGCGTTATAAAAACAGGCTGCATATATGAATGGCATTATTTAATTACCTGATTCACTCCCACATGGTCCGGTATGTGCTCTATCAATCGGCATGCAGACAGAGACTTGTTTCATGACTCTCAACCTCAATATTCATTTCCATGTCCTCGGGCTGCGCAACATTTTTATTTTTGACGAGTAAAGAAAATTTGAAAACGCGGAATATAAAAATTAAAAGACGTCAAATTTTGCATTCATTAATTTTCAGTTTTTATTACAGGGTTTCTTTGTACATGGCCATTTATTTTAATTTTAAAGCTATTGAAATAGGTATAAAATAAAATATTTACATTGGTATACAAATAATGACAATAAGAATTTTGCCAGTTGAAATCAAACAATGCCTTTTGATTTTACTGGCATATCGATGAAAATAATACATGTCTGCGGGTCCGCCATTGTCAAATAATTAATAAACAACCCTTGGTTATTATAAATTAGTATTTTTAACTGAGCCACATAAACAATATTTAAACAAATAGAATTAACTTGCTGCTTTAACTGATGTGTTCTAGTAATGACATGTATGTATCAAATTCCAGAATTTTTTGCCGTCAGCCACTGTTTTAAAAATTATGCTGTCAAGTACCGCTGCTCAATTTAAACTTTTTTGCTCAACGCTTTTTTGTGCTGCGTGTTTCTGTGCGTAGTTACATACCACTAAACATTATTTTTGTGTTAAATGTGGGTACTAGCAATAGTGGGAAAATACTTAAATATTTGAATTTCTACAATGTGCCCCTATTCGTATTTAAAATAGTTGTTTTGGTTTGTTTAATGCCTGACAAAGCAAAATATGCTTGGATTCTTACAATAACTTTGTAACTACCTTTTTAATATACAAGGACATTAGAGTCAGATCTAAAGGGAAAATGGCTTGGTCGCGGGACTCGAGAGTAGAACCTTCAAAGTGGGCATCCATTTTCCAAGGGATTCTCCATTCTTGTTTTACATAGTCAAGCAGCCTTTCAATGTATTTGTGTCCTAGCGGAACTTAAATACGGCGAGAAGAAAGATACCCGACCCCTATAATTTTAATGAAAGAAACGTGACTTTTACGTTTATAGAGTTGATGTTTACAAGTGCTTATAACTACAAAAATAAATAAGTATTTATATTAATTTTATTTAGGGTGAGGATGGAGATAATAATGAAAATAAGGTTGAGACAAAAGCGGGGCTTTAGCTTTTTAAATATCACATTACAGTGCGGCATTTTTACCTTTACAATAATAGTTGGGCGCGGGGATTATTGATTGGATATTTGTGTGTGCGTATTTTCTTGGCACATGTCAGCTAAAATTTTAATTAGCAAACTGCCTATTTTTTCCAGAGCTATCACCGTGACTAAAAGTATTTTTTTTCGTTTTTCACTCCGTGTGGAGTATTGTTTGTATCTAGATATTTTGTATTTATTAGTATAAGACTAGAACATGTCATCATTTTCCACCCTCACATTCATTCCTAGCCCGTCTCCCCTTCTGTGCAACTTTGAAAATGTTGGCTTTTATCACTTAAAATTCTTAAAAATAATTTTGCCTAAAAGTAATGCAAATATCGAATATCGTCATTTGATTAGATATCATTATTTAGAGGGAAAAAAGCTATTGTATATTCACCAAATTTTACTACGGCATTACAGCACCGGCGCACCTTCTATACAAGCTGTTAGAAAGTGGGTTAACAGGTTTAGTCGCGAACGCATGGACATTGAATATGAGCCTCGAAGCGGCCGTCCAAAACTCAAAATTGCATAACTTTATGGCGCCGATATTCGCAAGACAATCAACCCATTTCCACATACAAGAGCTGATAATTTAGTTAAACAGTACGATTGTTTGATGACAGCAATGTGAAAGGTCTTGCGTTGTGATCTGGGCTATAGAATGGCTCATCAGCAATTGGTCCTTCATTCCCTCACTGATGGGCTTAAGGCAACGCGCATTGAGTTTTGCCAGCATTTCATCGAGAACTTCACTGGCTCGTCCAGAACAAATATATATAGCATTGCTACATGCGACAAACCGTATGTCTACCTGAACACGCCATTATATGGCTTGGCAGCCAGGGTATATATCATTGGAGATTATACGCTACCCACCCAGGTTAGTTCACACTTTGGTCAAGACAAATTTATTGCTCTCATCTTCTCCAAAACTGGTATTTTTACGCAAACCTTAACATCAAATTGCACACTGTCAATAGCGAATACTTTTTCAAGAATAGCATCGATCCCATGGTTGCCAAGTAGGAAAATGCACAAGAACGCCAACCCCAGCAGAATCATGTTTCACCAGAACAATGCATCACCTCACAAACCAACACGTATGTTGGGCCACATTTTGCAGATTGGGATGAAACAACTTTTATCACTACTGCACTTGCCAGATCTAACACCTTGTGACTTTTGGCTTTTCCCACGCATCAAGAACAGGCTTAGAGGTTGCAAGTTAAAGGATATTCGAGCGACGAAGCGTGCATGTCAGTCTGAGCTCAATTCCCTGATATGTAATGATTTCAGGGTTTGTTTTAGGCAATGTTTTAAAAGGTGTCAGCATGTAATTGAGCAAGGAAAGGATTGTTTTATAAAAGCTAGAATTCAGTAGCTTTATACAAAAACACACAAACCTTAAGTGACCCTGGTATTTTTGAATAAATCATAATTTGTTTCCACTTAAATTAATAATTGATTCAGGCAAATATTGAAAACTAAAAATTAACAAACACGATACACAGAGAGAGAAAAGGAGATACAATTTTATTTAAGTGCTTTTATTATTTAAATAAAATTACTCAAGGAAAGTGTAAATTCATTATATATAAATATGTTAAATACTTGGAATGTGGACGCCAACATCAGTCCAAATATCTATACCATTACATTTCTAATAAATCAATATATGTTGGAAAAACAAATAGCCGGAGGGAAAGTAGCAAAAAAATGGAACAAAACAAAGGTCTTGGCTAAGTAAAAATATTGAATGTCTGCTAATGAAGCATTACATAATATAGTGCGGTGTGGCAATAAAGCAAACACATAGCAATAAAAAAGCAACCAAATCTTTTAAGAAAGATAGTTCACGTTCTAGTTAGAAAAATCAAATTTTCCATATAAGAAAAGGCGGCAATTTGGTCCAAAAAGGGGCCTTGGCTAACAAAGTGGTGTCTTGGCTAGCAAATAGGCAATCTGATGTAAAAAATTCAAAAACAAAATAGTGGATTTGGCCGAGAAATGCGGGCTCACAACAAATTGTGTATTTTTATAAAGCCTAATATACTCAATGTGACTGTATCTGTCCTATGGAAGCTGAATGTGTGCAATGTTTTAAGAAAATACAACCACTACTGTAAACAATTATTTTATTGATGGTCCAGTAAGTTTTAATTTTTCCTAGTTGAGCAGCGGGTATTATTAATTATGCCACCTGAAAAACATTTATATATCAAGCTCGGTTTATTGTGCTCTGTTTTTTAGGTGATTATCTGGTTCTTGAGTTTGGTAACACTATGTAATAACTTGAAGCCTATTTTGCGCAAATGCGCTGGTTTAAAGAATAAATAAAGAATATTGAACAAACAAATAAAATCAATAAAATGGCCACTATGTGTGAATATCAATTCAAATGGAATTGAATTTCCGAGTTGTCCCATTTTATTTTTTATAAACTTCATTAATCTTGTCCAAATATGCGTTGCCATTTTTGAAACTTTAATTTTTATCCCTACCATTAGCTATACTATTCAATAATACATTAAATGCAATACCTTTTTCAACGGGCACCTCTCCTAAATTGCCTACGCACTCGTCATTTTTGTATACTTTGATATTAACCTTTCTTACAGCGCACATTTGACACAAAATAAACAGTTAAATATTATTAGCTTTGTGTAGATAAATGTGTACTTAAATAATAGTTGAAGTTAAAAAATAAAAGCAGAGGAGGAAAATATACGGCATATATTTATCTTTGGTTGCTGGCATCGTTCATTCATTATTTGTGTCTTACATGGGTAAGGGATTATATATTTTTATTCTTACCATAAAGCTTCGTTTTTTCATTTATTTTCTTTGATGCGGAAAATTTCTTTTCTTGTTCAACTTTCCTTTTATTTTCTGTTTAATTTATATTTATACAATGTAAATTATATTTATCTTTGTATGGCTTTCAAATGAATTGCAGGGGTCGTCTATTTTGCTTTTACAGCAAATATGTTGGTTTAATTCGATATAAATTAACAAGGCCCAACAAACCAACTAATTATAATTATGTGCGTATAAAAACACCATATTTAGTATGTGTGTTCGAATATCAATACGGAATTACATGCAAGGCACTGCGTGCATGTGTGTGTGTGTGTGTTTGTCATTGTAAGCAAAACAAAGCAGAATAAAATACACGTTGCTCGCAGTTTGAATTGGGATATATTATTGCACCAATGCTTCTTACATAAAACCTGTTCTTATATAAACGATAGTTATTGTAGCAATATCCTTTATTATTGTATAAAATAAAAAACACCATTGGACATTTTTGTTGTCACAATAGCCACAATGCACATTGTATTCATTTACTCAAATAACAAACAAACAAACTAACTAACCAACTAATTAACAAACAAAATAAAACCAAATCTCGATTGGGTCATTCACATATTTCCATACATTGGAATACATGGAAACAGAGAATAGATATGTGAAAAACATGTATATAATAAAACAATGAAAACTATAATCGACAATTATTCCATTTCACTCACACCTTTTTATATTCAATTCATTTACACACCTACGGTTATAAATACTAGCCCATTTTAAAGCAATGCAGACCAGCGACGGTCAGTCGAATAACAAGAACTATAGAGAGACTGGAAGCAGCAATGGGCAAGGGCAGCATCAATACGGGCAACATCAGTACGGACAACATCAGTATGGACAACAGCAAGCAAAAGCAAACTGGGAGAAAGCGTACGAGCAGCAGCGGCAACAAGAGGCAAGGGAACACGAGGAAGAACGGAAAAGAGCAGAGAACCGTAGCAAAGAGAACAACGATGACGACTCTGAATACGAGTACATCGATGCACCGTCGTTTCCTGTCAAAGGAGGAGGATCCGATGGATGGCAGTGCGGGTTTTGCTACAAATACATGTATGATTTCCTACAAGTAGCCAATCATTCGTACGAGTGTGCAGGAAAAAAACCGAGAAAATAGAAAAGGATATTTTAATTTTTAATTTTTTTATATTACAGTTGCATATTCAATGTGTAGCAAAATATAATAATTACTTTACATTATTTTGTTTTCTACATAGACATTCATTCATAAACTTTTTTTTTTATTTTTCATAAACTTTTTTTTGTTATTCTAATGTTTTCCATCCAGTTTGCGCGCCCAAAAAATAAATAGCCTCCAAAGCAGCATCAATCGACCCCTCAGGATCCTCTCTCGTACACCTCAAATACGACTCATATACCTTCAAAGTGGCCTGGGCATCCTCCACACTCGAGTGCTCCCCAGACTGAATAGTTTTGCGGTAGAAGAACCAATAAAGGAACTTTAATGCAATGGGTCGAATATGCGCCGGCGACTGATAAAGCACCATGGTGTCGCGCTGCAAACTTTCAGGTACGAAAATATTGCATACGCGGAAATCGTGCTTCAATCCATGTCCTATTATGACGCAGCAGGAATCAACGAGAAGGCGCAGTTTCTTGTACACTTCCTTCATTGTCGACAGCCTATACGGGGACGAACCCTGTATGAGATCACCAGCGTGGATGCCAGAGTACTGTGTGGCGAGGTCAGAAATCGGCCGTGCGATCGCCACGTAATCGTCGATAAAGGGCAGCCCATGGAGGGGACCGCCGTTGGCGCGCACAACGCTGAGCCGCGCCAAAGTGTGCACCGGCGGCTGGTGCAGCTCCTGCGTGCCGTCCGAAAACACCTCCATTTTGGCGGCATCCAGGACAACAAACTCAGCGTCCAGAGCGCAGACAAAATGGCCGCTCTCCAGCGACTCCGCCTCAGCTCGCGTCAGCGGCACAGCCTCGTTGCGGCGATTAGCTCCGCGCAGCTGCGGCGCCTTACCACCGCCGTTGGAATTGTTGTTGCTGCGGCGGTAGGACGAGGGCCGGTCGAGAATGGATTTCGGGTGGGTCAGGATACGCGTGCTGATCTTGTACGGGTGACGGCGAGCGATCGCAGCCAGCAGCGGTGCCAACGGTGTCCGGTCACTGTTGGCGTACAACGCAAGCGATGGTGTCCGCCACCAGTCGTGTAGGCTGAGTACCCGGTCCTCGGCCACCGGCTGCACCAGGAAGTCGTTGAGCAGCAGCCACCCGCTACCGCTGGCGCTGTCCGGGCCGCGCACGTGCACGACGAGGTGCTCGGGGCCGCGCACCGTGTCGCGGATGCTGGACACGACGGCAACCAGCCGGAAAGTGCTCGGGGTGGGATCGCTGACCGGGGCGGGGCCGCTGATCGAGGCGGGATTGGTGGCCGGAGAATCTTCGGTGCTCGGGGCGTCGTCAGTGGCCGGAGATTCACCACACGCCGGCAGCACACTGACGCGCTTCCCCGCGGCGCCGCCAACAACCAGGCGAAACTCGGCCGGTAGCGACGTCTGCCACGCGCCGCCACCAGAGCCAGAGCCGGAGCCGGAGCCAGAGCTGCCTCCTGCCGCGTCCGCTGATGGCTCAATAACGGGGAAATTCAACGCAAAGTATCCGGCAGGCGCCTGTGTCATATGCTTTTCAGTCTGGAGCAGCTGGAAGGAGCGGCACTCAGGACACCAAGCGCGCGTGGTCTCCGAGCGCGCCAGCGCCTGCTCGATCAGCGCCAGAATGCCCGTGCGGCGACCACTGCGCAGCATTTCAGCGCGGCGCACCGACACAGAGCCGCCAGCCAACAGGGTTGCCAGCCCCGAAGTGCCCTGCGGCGGGTCAAGGTCGGCGGCAAACACGTGCGACGAGCGGCTGCGCATCGCATGGCACTGCGGACACGCAGTATGCGTGTCTTGCGCAAAGCCAACGATACGCTCGACAGCGCGACCATTGGCGCCAGCCGTCAGCCCTGCGCACTCGCCGCTGGCCTGCTCGAGCAGAAAGCGCAGCAGCCGCTGAGCCAGTACAGCATACGATGTGCCGCTGGCTGGGTTCCCGTGCTCGTCCTCTAGCAGTGCCAGCGCCGCGGCTTCGGGCCGGTCAGCCAGCACATGCAGCAGCTGCGTCGCGTGGCAGCTAGCGCCGGCTGCAGTCTCCAGAGACCGAAATAAAAAGCCCATCTGGCAGCTGAGACACTGCGGCTCAGTGCAGTCACCGGCGCTATGCGCCAGCACCACGCTGCGCAGCTCGGGACTGCGGAACAATGTCTGCAGCAACGCATTGGCGTACGCGTTGTCCCGCCCGCCCTCCAGTCCGCTGTGCGCCGTCGCGTTGTACAGCGAAAAGTCAAAGTCCTCGACGCCGAACCGCGAGTACGAAATGCGCATGCGCTGCAGCTGCTTGGGCGGCTGCGACTGCTGCTGTTGGGGCTGCTGGGCCTGCGACTCAGGCACCGGCGGCAGCTCTGCGGCATCCGGCTGCTGCGGCGACGCGTGCGTGCGGCGCCGCTGCTGCGAGAGGAATTTGGACCGGCCTAGCGTCAGCTCGCCGTCATCCTGCGCGCCGTCGCCCCAGCGCTGGCGCCACGCGCGCCCAAACACCTGCTGGTTGCGGCGCGCCGTGCGCGGGTTGGCCACGTAGCCGACGCCATCCATCTGCCGCAAGCTGCCCAGCACGCCGGCATCGACGAACCGCGCCGGCCGCCCGACATCGTACAGCCGCTCACCGTCCATCCATGACAGCAGCGGCGCGCGCGCCGCCGGCATCTCGACGCACATCAGCGATACGCTATCGCAGTCAAAGTCGACGCCCAGCGCCGGCATCTCGGCGCTGCAGTCAAAGTCACCATCACGCAATGCCGCCTTCTCGCTCAGCCGCGGCGCCTCGCCTGCCGCCCACACGTGCAGTACACCGTCGGTGTCGGCCACCAGCGCCGCATCGCCTGTTGGCGCCACGCAAAACGCCGACGCGTACGCGTAGTCGCTCAGCGCTGGCTCGGCGAACGCGTCGCCGGGCGTGGTCCACGCGTCGCGCGCCGACCGCGTCTCGACGTATCCGGAGTCATGGCAGATCCACAGGTCGTCGCCGCCAGCCCACAGCCGCACGGGCGCTGCGCCGTCGCCGCAGTCAATGTCTTCCAGCGGCTGGGCCAGATTGCGCACGTCAAAGACGCGCACAGTGGGCAGTGCCAGCAAGCGGTACGCGTTTGCCGGGTCGGGCCCTGTGCCGCATACAAAAATGCGCGCACCGTTGCGCACCATGTCGACAGCGCCGCCGCCGGGAAACGCGCGCGCGGTCTGTGCTACGCCGAGCCCTGCGCGCGCGTCGCGGCATACCACCAGGCCCTGCGCCGTGGCCAGCGTCAGACACGCGCCATTGAGGTCTGCCGCCACCGCCGATGCGTCGACGGCTGCGCGCCGCACCACAGAGCCGCGCTCAATGTCCAGCAGCGTGCCGCCGCCGGCCGCCGTGCACACGAATGCCTCGAGTCCGCTGACTGCCGACGCTGTGAACGGCTCGTTGGGCGTTGTGCTTTTGCCGAATGCCTTGGCACCGCCGCGCGTGCGCACTTGAACCGAGTCGTCCGTCTGCACCAGCACGCTTCCGCTGGTTGACCGCCCTAGTGCGTGCATGCGCCGGATCGCCGTGTGTGCGCACAGGAAGCTGGTGTATCGCTCGAGCGCCTCGCCTGGCCTGCCCAGAGTGTACGTTGTCAGCCGCCCGCTTGTGTCGCCTGCGTATATCAGCTCGGAGCTGTTGGTAATTAGGAGCGCCGAGATTGGCCACGCGGCCTGCGCATCGTCGGGCGTGTCCCAGCTCTGTGTGAATTCAGACCACTCTGAGCTCATGGCAAAGTGTGGAAGTGAAAATTTAAAGTGTGAGCGAGGGGGAAAAAGAAGATAATGGTGTGAAATAATGGATTTTAAAAATGCAATTGGGAAGAGAAAAAGAATGTATTTTTTATAGGGGCTGGCTACGAAATTGAATTTCATGTCTGAATTTATTTATTTTTTTGGACCATTCAAACCTGACGTTTAATTCCGTTTGTTATGTTTTGTTTTGTTATGTTATGTTTTGTTTACGTTAAAACTAGCTCGGCCCTTCCCCTAAACCCCTGCACAGCCCCCCGTCAAAGCTTTTCAGCTACGCTCATAAGCTCCTGGTAATCAAACTCCTCGGGCCGCTGGTTGAACTTCTCCAACAGCGCGCGCTTCTCGAGCCCACCAGTAACGTAAAACTGCTGCATCTGTAGGGCCAGATACTGCGCATTCTGCACATCCAAGAACCTCTGCTCGCCATCCATCTCGCCGCGCATCAGCACAACGCCCTTGCCCTGCATCAGATCCGTATAGTGCGTCAGCGTCAGGTACGGCCTGGCGTTGACCGTGTTGGTCTTGTATTCGATCAACGATGTAAAGTGCACCTGGTGGTGCTCGAACTGCAAAAAGTAGAACTCGACTCCTTCTTTACGCGGCAAAGGGATGATAAATATCGGATTTTTGCGCGCCACCTGCAGAAGATCGGTGTATGTGGATGTCGGGATGACTGCTGAGATCGTGTCCCTGGTTGCATGGTATTTGTTCCAGATGTCGCTGATCTCCTCCGCCGTGTTGTTCTCCAGCAGCTCGATCCGCATGATCTGATCCAGCGTCTTTGTGCTTGGCGGCAAGTTGCTGGGACTTTTCTTCGGGCTCGCGGCTGATCTTCTGCCCTGCGTGCCATTAGTGGGGGCTGTGGCGGTCTCGACCCTCTGGTGCTGGTCCTCCTTCTTTGTGGCGATCTCCTCCCTTTTCTTTTTCTTGAGCTCCTCAATCGTAGCCACGCCCTCGGCCTTTGCCTTTTGCAGCAGCTTGGCCTTGTATTTATCTTCAAAGTTGGGGACGTGCGACATCTGCTTGGCGCCTCCGGCTGCGTACCTCGGATGTATGCTGCCCAGCGGCAGCAGCCTGCTCATCGTTAGGGGCGACACGTGGCTGGCACTGCGCACTCCCTTGTACGCTGCACTAACCGCCAGTGACCCACGTCCGTATGCTGACCTAAATGCCATATTTTTGTCCCGTTTTGTGTAATTTGCTGTAAATAAAAAATAAAAGATAACACGATATACACGATGCAAAAAAAGAAGTGCAGCTACTCAGATCACTCTTTAGCCATACGCTTTTTCTTTTTCTTTCTTCATTCGAGCCGAGTCGTTTAAAAAATAAAACACCCTTTCAAAATTGCTACTTTATTTTTTTCCCGGTTTTTTCTATTACCGCCATTTCAAATTTTTTTCTTCACTTTTCAAATGTTGCCTTAAATTTTGTTTATATATTTTAAATTAGTCCTCTTTTTTTCTTATTAATTTATCAAGCTTCTCTTATTTCATATTTCATATTTTATACTTTTGTTTCCAGGTTTTCGAATGCCCGCCGAATCCACAATGACATCCTCGGCGGACAAGCAGACCGAGTCCGAAGACTTTATAACCATTAATTTCTCAGACACTTCAGACTCGGAGCACGCCGAAACAGATATCGGTATCACCCGGATCAAGCGCAAGGCCGACAGCGATGAGGCCGCCGCCAAAGACGATATTCCGGATCAGGGAAACTATCAGACATGCTATAACAACCAACCGCTGCCGCCCTGGCTCAAGGGTCACCGGAGGCTGGGAAAGGGTTCCAAGCCGGATATCAGCGAGATGATCAACGAGGAAGTTACCCGTTTTATCGACTACATATCCCCGACACCCGAAGAACACCATATGCGCCTCTGGGTTATTGAGCGCATGCAGCGTGTGCTCGACCAGCTACAGATGATCGACGTGAAGCCCAAGGCCCAGTGCTTTGGCAGCTTTGAGACCCGCTTGTACCTGCCCACTAGCGACATTGACATGACCGTTATGCTGCACAATGAGGGCACCAAGGAGATGTCCGAGAACTATAAATCAAAAGAGGCCGTGCGCCGTTTCCTGTACACCCTGGCGCGGCAGATGAAGAAGTCAGGCTTTTGTCGGGACTGCGAGGTCATTGCCAATGCCCGGGTGCCCATTATCAAGACACACGAGATGGTCACTGGTTTTGCCGTCGATATCTCAATCAATGCCGACAGCGGCTTCAAATCCGCCTCCGTGCAGCGGTCCTTTTGCGAGAGGGTCTACCCGGATGCCCTCCGGCCCATGGTGCTTATTATCAAGCAGTTCTTGGCACAGCGGTCGATGAACGAAGTGTACACTGGCGGTATCGGCTCCTATGCTATCACCCTATTGGCTGTCAGCATGCTGCAGATGCACCCGCGCATCCGGGCCGGCGGCCTGGATGTCAGCAAGAACCTCGGCGTGCTCTTGATAGAGTTCTTCGAGCTCTACGGCAAGCGCTTCAATTATGACACCGTGTGCATCAGCGTGCTTGAAAAGGGCCAATACCTGGATAAGCGCCGCAAGGGATTTTACAACATGAACCAGCCCTATCTTCTGTCCATCGAGGACCCCTGCGAGCTGACCAACGACGTGTCCAAGGGAAGCTATGGAATCAACCGGATCAAGCAGACTTTTGGCGGCGCATATGATCTGCTCAACAATGCCATATTTGCATACCATCAGACGCGCAAGTTTGGTGAGCCCATCAACGACACACTCAAGGCCCTGGCCGGGATCCCGCAGGGCGGTGACAACTCCGGGCCTAGTCGGAAGCGTTCAAAGGGGAGTGACGGTAAGGCGAAGAAAAAGAACTCCCAGTCGGCATTCAACAACGACCCGTGGGCGCCCGTGTCGTTCTTATCGAGCATCCTCAATGTGAACAGCAGGACTATCAATGCGAGGGCCAAGCTGGTCGAGACCTTTTACAAGGGCACGCTGCAGTCGATATTGGGCGTGCAGTATCAGCCCCAGCTCGTTGATGCTCTGAAGTCGGGCAAGCAGGTCGAGGTTGTCGTTGCTACAGAGAATGCCTTGGATGCTCAGGAGCAGATCAATCGCATGAAGTTTGATTTCTCTAAAGGCCGCTCAAACGCCCAAGAACCAGCCATTGATATCAGCGATGAGGATGAAGACGGCTATGTTGATGAGGAAGATGACGAGCTGTATTATGATGAGAATGGCAACGAGTATCCGTATGTCATTGACGACGATGATGACGAAGACGAAGACGAATATTACTGTGACGAAGGCGAGTATTGATTTGATTTGATTTGAATTGATTGTTTTTACTTGATTTTAATGCAATTGATTCCGCCTGTCTTTTTTTGAATATTTGTACATCGCAACATTCGCAAGCTTGCACATTTTTTGTCACTGTCAACCAACCGCAAGCCATTTTTTCTTTTGGTGTTTACGCTGTTTTTTAAAATGAATGACACTTTGCCCGTTTTGGGAGCACAATGCAATGGCGGAAGTGATAAAATTAACAGAAAAAATTGGCCGCACATAATATAAATAAAATTGGGTCGGGTTGGGGATACACATCGCAACCATTGTTGTAACAGAGAAAAATTATTGTTTGCTATTTCTCGGGTATCCAATATATAAAAACAGGTATTCCCTCACATATCAATATCAATAAGGTTGATTAATTTCCGATCACATACGTCCTTGTACAAGAAAAAGTAAATTTTCAATATCACAAAAAAGTGTTCATTAGTGCTTACGCCGCTTGTCTCCATCTTTTTTACTTCTCGCCCACTAAAGTTGTTTCATTTTCTCGATATGACATCAAATAAAAAAGTTTTTTGTTGTGGTGCGGTGTTACCATTCAACTATGCAGTTGCCAAAAATAGCAAACAGTGATAAAAATTAAAAAAAAATAATGATCCAAACATTCAAAACAAAAAAATTGGGGGAAATAAAAGTAACAAAAACAGAGAAAGAGAGAGAGAGAAAGAGGGCCCACCACAATAACTGGCAAGGTACATTATTCTCATTTCTGCTGCTGCTTCTGCTGTTTTTTTTACTTGCCTCCCCCCTCTAAATCTCTTAAAAAATAAAGAACTGCGATATTTCATGGCCAATTTATTTGTGCCAGTGAAATTAAAAATGGCATACTGCATATATAGTCGTATTTCTTGTTATTCTATGGATACCGCTTTATATCAAAAATAAAATAAAATAGCACAGTATCCAGGTAGCCTTACAAAAAAGGATTTTGTTTTGACTACTTGACGCCACAAGGATACAAAAAACTTTAACGAACCGAAAATATATTGTTATGAAATGATATAAAAATAATACAAGCGCGTTATATTTATATTCCGTGTTAATGGTTGAAATCTAGACAAAACGACCTGGTGGCGGATAATGTGAAAAAATAAAAAATGTTTTTTTGTGGCTCAATAATAGAATGGCCGAGAGTTCCAGTTTCTGATATATAAAAAATTTTCATTATTGTGTAATTTGCGCACACTTGTTTTCTTTCCAAACAGTAACGTTCAATGAGCCTCTCCCTCCTTGCTCTTGCCTTTTTTTCAATATTTCTCTCGCTGTTTTTATTTTTGGGATTGATTGTGTGCCAACCGTGGGCCTATTTTTTTTTACAAATCACAATGTGGATATATTTTTTATTTACAAGTGGAATAATTTTTTTTTGATATTTCCGTTACCAAAGTAACCAAGAAAAGAAATCAAGGGGAGGTCGAAGGCCTTTTTTTCTGGGTGGTTGCGAACCTTCCCCCCTTACAACCCCTTCCCCCCTCTACCTTCTCTACCCTACCAGCCATGTAACTTTTCAAATGTATAAAGTAACCGATAGTGGGCTCTTGCAGGAACGTCAATTTTTCTGTTTCTTTGCCAAAATTTGCAAGCCTCTCGTTCGCTCTTTTTTTTTTATAAAAAAAGGTCGCTCATTCATTTTTATTCTTATTCTTTTTAACTAACTGCTGCCATTACCCGTTCATATATAATAATGTCTCCTTTTGTTAACAAGGTTGAGGAGCGCGACATTGACACCCGCGACAAGAACGGCGGGATCACTCCGGATGAGGCTCGCGACTACTCTATCGTTGCTTAAAAAAGGGTCGCTTGTGCACCACTAAGACCGACACTTATTTGAATTTTTTTAGCATCGTTACGCTTTTTTGTTAGTAGAACCCACACACTCACACACACACACATTCACACACACGCACACGCATTGTCAACTTTTTTTACTTAATTGCGTGTAGTCTACAATAAATATTTTGCTAATAATTTTTTCCCCACTCGTTAACGGCGCCAATAGCTTCAGACCCTTTATTCATAAATATGAAATCACACGAAAATGCAAGCAATTTAAATTGCCTATAGGTCTTTAATAATTATGTGGTGGTACTAGGCTAAGCATCAATTACCCGCAAAGGAAATTAAAGTCTACGGAGAAAAAAATCAATCTCTAGCGTTATTCGCTGGGTCCAGCCTGGTACTTGACGCGCTCAATATGCTCAATTGTGCCCTCTGCCCATTTAGGAAACGAGGTCTCGTACGACCATCCAGGGCCGCTATACCGCCATGCGTGCAGCCAGATGCACAGCTCGTCAGGAGTCGGATCAGCCAGCACCGGGCTCGAGCATTTTTCGCATACCTGCGCACCAGTCGTCGGATCAACAGTGTTCGTTATATGCTCGATCAATTCCTGCTTCGTTTTCCACTCTTCCATGCGTTGCACCACAGACTTCCACGCCTCGTTGTCGCCGTCATCGTCGCGCTTGCCGTTCATTTTTCCAGACATACCCTTGGTATCAGCGACAACCGCCTCCTCAATGGTCTGCGCCTCGACACTCTGCTTTTTCGGCGGCAACACGCCGTCCTTGCCCATGCTGTCGCCCCAGACCTCTCTGTTGCAGTAAAGCGGGTCGTTGGCGATTGGGAAGCCAAGGAATTGCAGGTGCACGCGAATCTGGTGGGTCCGTCCGGTTTTCGGGCGGCAGTATACAATGCTCTGCTCCCCGTCGGTCGACAGAAGCTCAAACTCGGTCAAGCAGGGCTTACCCTGCTCGCGATCGACGCAGTTCAGGCTGAGCTTGTGTGCGACCACGCGAATGGGCTGATCGCAAACTATCTTACCCTCTGGGAACACTCCCTTGACCTTGCACACGTACTCCTTTTGGATTCGGTGGTTAGTCAGGTCGCGTTCCATTCTGCGTGCAACGTCGACGTTCAGTCCCACCAGCATCAGGCCGGAGGTCAGCCGGTCGAGCCGGTTGACGGGGAACAGCGTCTTATACCCGTGTTTTATCTCCAGGATCTTTGTCACTGTGTTATAATTGTACCGCCCAGTCGGGTGAACCGGGATGCTTCCGGGCTTATCAATCAGCAGCAGCCCGTCCTGGATCTTCTCAACTATACCCAGGGCCTGCGTAGTCACCGGCGGCTCGTGGCGGTGAATGTAGTGCGTGACCAAATCGCTGTTGCACACTATCGTGTCCTTTTGCACCTTTTCTCCGTTGATCTCGATCAGGCCCTGTTCGATCGCCGCCTCGTAGTATTCGACGCTGCGGTCACGGAATTCTTTGCTAAATACTTCGAAAATCGTACGCCCAACCCACCGGCCCTTAGCGTGGGTGGCAAATTTGTGGTAGTAGGGCGTAATCCGCTGCAGTCCTTCCTCCTCATAGTAGATGCCTTCGGCACGCAGATGCTGCTCGCTGTCGTTTTTGCTGGTCTTTGCGCTCTTGGCTGCGCGCTTGTTGTCCAGTATTCCGTCAATGCATGACTCTGAGAGATTGTGCTTTTTCGCGCGGGCCATATTTTGGATCAAATTAAGAGAAAAAAGTGGCGGTTAATAGCAGGAAAGCTAATGGGAATAATCTCAGCAGTTCAGGGCATGAGCGTTCAGGAACAAAACACTGCGTTTTCTTGAGAATTGGCATCCAATCGCACTATGGGAATGTCACTGGCTGAACTTGGAGGGATCGGCTGACACAGTTGCGTTTATAGTGTTTTAAAAATCACTATTCATTTTTTAATAAAATACAATAAAACAAAATGCATGTATTTTTAGCATGACATGAAGCTACATATACATCTAACTATTGTTCAAACATGTTTTTTCGTATTGTTATCGCGACAAGTGCAAGATTACAATAAATATTGTATGACCAAAAAGACTGTGCAGTCGCATTGACAAGATGCATGCCATTTTTGTTGTTGCTGTTGCTGTTGTTGTTATTGCTGGTAGACAATTTATTGCTAATAAAATATTTAACAATGCGGCCAAGTCAAACTTTTATATAAACAATCAAGTTATCGAACACTGCCTCTAAAAAAAATATAAAACATCATCATTCACTTTTTTCACTTTATTTAATTATATCCCTCACTTGCATTATTCATTTCATATTATCCTTCATTCTTCATCCAAAAATGCCATACGAGCCAACGCCCGACAACATCCTGCACAAGCTTCTCCATGACCGGTTCTACTCGTCAAAAATATGCGGCGAGCGGGCAATATTGTCTCTCGCACTACAGAGGTTTACGGACATCAAGAGGCAGCGACAGGACGCAACGATGCGCGAGGAGGAAATCAGCCGCGACATCGACCTCACCGAGTCGCAAATTCGCACACTCGGGGGCTCCTTTGACAGATACATGCAGGGCTTGGCCAGATACAACCCCGATGATGCGCGCGTAATGGGGATTCTAAGCGACAAGCTGGTGGCCCAGGAAGCCAGGCTTCGCGGTGTTAGGAGAGAGCTGGCAGAGTCTGAGCAGCGATTTGTACACATCATAACAACATGGGCAACGTCAAAGTTTTGAGAAAGAAAAACAATTATTAACTTGTGTTTTTGTTTATTCAATAATAATTAGTAAAACAATTGTCACTGAATTGTCCAGTCGGGCAGGTTGACGCCGTCGAACTCTTCGGCCTTGATGTCTATGCCACCAATCTTGGCGGCAGCCGCCAGCGACGCACCGATCCAGCATCTATTAGACGACGCAAAAGCCGTACCATTGGCAGCCGATGGCGACGGCCCAGAGCCAACGCTTCGACCTTTGCTGATATTGCTGTTGCTGCTATTAACACTACTGCTGTGGGACTCGGAGCCAATGCGCTCCTCGGCCAGCGCGGCGATATCGGCCAGCGCAGACCACTTGGGGTTTTGGCGCAGACGCGAAACGAGATCATGCAAGAGCCGCACTCGCAGATTGGGCATGTCAGCGACCCCGCCAACAACAAGTATCTTGCTCACCAATGCTCTGCGCGTGTCGACCGGTGCTCGCCCGATGCACCGGGCCAGCGACTCAACAATGCCCTGGTGGTCCTGCGTCGCATCGCCGGCAAACAGCACTTCGGCCGCGCGCTCGCGGATCCAACTGGGGAACTCAAGCACGCCGCGACCATGCTTGCTCGAATCAACGGTCATCCGTGTAAACTCGCTACTGGCAGTCATGCTAGACTCAAACCACCCGACCAAGTCATCGCCCACGAGCCCGACGCCCAGCTCTGTCGGCGGCCGGCCAAAGCTCTGGGGAATGCCCACCGGCGACGCGTATAGCAGCTTTGTCTTTAAAAGATGCACAATCTCGTCGCTGAGAACATCGTCGTCAACCGCAATGCTGCCAGCCTCATTTGCACTAAACGGCCGGAACCGCCCAAACCGTAGTAGCAGCTCGCGCAGGTTCTTGAAAAGTGTGTTGCCGCCCATCGGTGTCGATACCATGTATGTCGTCAGCGGCCGGCAGTCATATACGGGCATGACGGTTGTGCTGCGATGCCCGCAGTCAACTACCAGCCCGGCCATGGCGCCACATGTCATCAGAGCCACTACCGAGCTCGGGTAGAACGTCACTTGAGGCACTCGCAAGTTCCCCATCAGCACCCGCGTCAGAGCCCGCTTCACCTGCACCGGCAGCAGTGCGCCCTCGACCACCGCAACCTTGCGCGACTTTGAGTCTATAAGGAGGTGGCGCCGGTAGACTTCGCGCACTTGCTCGAGCAGCAGCGCCTCTAGCACCTCCTCGCTACCTATGCGGCTGTCAAACAGCCCGCGAGATCTGCCGGCGAGTCTTTTCGTCGGCCCGACAATGGTGAATTTGCTGAAGAGCTCTGTTGTGTGCAGCGGCGAGTTGTCGCCTGAGAACCCCGCTCGCAAGGTGTACGACCCAATGTCTAGGACCACCTTCTCTTCTGCCGAAGTACCGTACAAAAGCGACGCGCTTATACCCGAGCTCAGAGAGCCCAGTGTTCGCCGCACTCCTCCGCTGGCGCTGCTGCTGCCACCGCTGGTGCCGCCCAGCGAGCCCAGATTGGTTCCAGCGTACATGTTTAGAAAGCTTAGAAATGCAAGCAAGCAGGAGGAAAGAAATGGAGAAAAGAGAGTGATTAATTGGACTGGAATTTAATTGAAACGAAATGAGAAATCGAGAAAATAATAGTGAGACCCCAGACAAGTAGATGATACGTGAAGGCTTGTCATTTGAGCTTGAAGTTGCTTCTGGTCCAATTTTCCAATTTTTGTCTTGCGTGCGTGTCATCAAGATCGCCTGGATCCAAAAAATTAAATAAGCAGAGAGCTGCCAAGTAATTTGGCATTCATCAACCAGCTTTAGCGGCAGCTGGTCAACACGTGCTTCGCAGTGAAGGAGAAAGCGAATGAGAAAGAGCGAAGCGTCATACCGCCAAATTCCACTGTATGACTAAGTGTTTTTGACAGCGCAGCATTGATTGTATAAAAGAAGTCAAAGGAATTATTGCAAAGCCTTTTTTCGCCGGCAAGCTAACAATTATTATTTTCCAAAAAAGTACACATGCATATAAATAAATACACATATACAATGCATACATATTTAAATAGCCGCTCTTTCTTTCCCAGCTTTTTATTTTATTTTCCGCTTTCTTCCCCCCCTCTCTTTTTTTGCATTTTTAATATTCTTCCTAGTTTTAGCTAATTTTTTATTGTATTTTAGCTTAGCATGTCTTCGTTTGACAGCCTGCCGCACACTGTCACCACGCTTATTCTGGACTATGCTGTTAGCGACCATATGGATACTATTGGCGCGTGGAAGACCAAGCTGCCACTGCTGGCGACATGCAAGCAGTGGAGGACAATAGGAAAATCGCTGGTTTACAAAACCATCTATTTTGAGAGCAAACCCCCAGGTATCGACAGAAGCAGCAGCAACGATGATGAGCAGGGGCTGGAACCCGGTTCTTTTGGTACTATATACGACAATTCGCGAGTGGCATCAAACATGAACTTGGTAAAAACTGTCAACGCAATGTGCAAAATTAAACGTATGGCTATCAAAATGAGCCACTCTGAGCATGTCAGGTGGCTAACTCTAGTACTGAAGCGGGAGCACTGTGCAGACGCGGGCTGCTGGAACACAATAGAACTGCTGCAGCTTTCAATTGACCATGACAACCGCGTGGACACGCCCAGCGAGAAAGACATTGGCATCAAGCTAGAATCCAACGAGTGGGAGCGCGAACTAGCGTCATTGCTGGCTGCCACAAAGCAATTGATGCCTGTAATACTGACACTCGAGCTGCGTGGCAATAGAACCAGTGTGACAGAACCGTTTTACAACAGGATTATTGAGCAGTATTCAGGCCGGGTCCAAAGCGTCAGCAACGTGTTGCCAGCAAACATTTGTGTGGCCACGCTTCCAGAAAATTTGACATGCTTGGTCATTGTGCCTGACCTCACAGCGGCGCAGTTGATTTCTAGGACATGTAAAAATACGTTACAACTGCTCAACTTAAACGACACACCTCGCGAATTTTCATGGATGTATTTTCAGAGCAGTCCAACCGCCAGCGATATTGTGTTTAAGAGTCTAAGAACATTAAAGGTATATTATGCACTGGTTCAGCCATCCAACTGCGGAGCTCCTAAAAAACCCCCTGGCAGTTGGAGGCATCGTTTAGATTTAAATTTTGTGAACAGGGTGTGCTTCCCAAGGCTCGAGACACTCGGTATATTCAACAGACCAACAGACTGCGATGTCTTGCTTTCCGACGAGTATCCGCTCCAAATATTGGACTTGGAGCTGGCCAACACCCTGCTGGCAAAACCTCCGATTGAAAGCGTAAGCGTCCAACGCGTAGAAAATGTGCACCTGCTTTTTGATAACATTTTGTACAAATACTCTGACGAGTTCTACAGAACTTTAAACTACATGTTGAGCGGCATTAATGTCTTGCAAATGGCCACGCTAAAGATTAGAAACATGGACTTTATTTTGGATTCGGGGCGAACTAACTGGGTCAACCTGACACACCTGAGATTCGACAAGCTTGATTGCCGACGACTGTTCCGGATTCTGCCTCGGACACCCAGCCTAATAAGCATGACGGTTGACAACTTTATAACAAAGGGAGTGATGGGGATGTACCTTGAGGACGAGGAAGAGATGAGCGAGTCTATCGAACCCTTGGCCTCCAACGTGCAAAATCTGGCGCTGGTTAACAGAACAAGAAGCGATACAAAAGACTGGTTTATACAGTCTATAGTTATCATATTGATGCATATGCCGTTAGTGCGCAACTTTTGCAACACGTCAGACACCAAAAACGCGGTGAAGGCATATATTGACAAGTACAAGGACAAATACCCACATTTTCGCGAGTTGGCCGTGTACGACCATCTTCCACGCGCGAGCCATGGTGACAAGCTATTCTTTGAATAGAAAAGAGGCAATATTGTAATTGACATAATATACTTGTTTATTTGTATTTTATTATTTGTATTTTCTTGAAACGAACTATTTTTTTTGACGGCAGTAATATGCGATTTTGAAGTATAAAACCAATATATATACCCAATGTTGCACCTACATGTTCGACTGCTTGACACGCATGTTTATTCTGCCGGCCCTGACCAACATGCTGAAGCTGCGCAACACGATAATCATGGCCAGCAGGGCAGATATCAATCCAGTAGCCGAGCTGACCTTGAGGTCGCGGCACCAACTACCGTCAACTTTCTTGGAGCAATCAACGACAATGATGTTGATTAGAACAAGCACGACCCAGGCGCCAAAAATGACAAAGCTCAGCACCAAAGTAAACCACGACAGCCTCGACTTTTCAATGCGCTGGCGAGTGCGCGCGCACAAATGAAGAAGAATTGAAATAAGGGCTGTGAGCGCTGTCAGCCCGCCGACGACAAAAATGGCAATCTGCGTATTGCGCTCTACAGCTTCAATATTGTCGTAGGAACGCTTGCGGCGAGACTCTGCCAGGAACGCAATGCAGACGACTGCTACACCCATTTGTGCGATGCGTGTGAGAACGTAGAATATGAAACGCGTCGCGTGCCAGCCACCCATCCTCTTGAATCCGACAAAGCTGTGATTATTGCCCTTGTCGTAGTTCTCGTTCTTTGGGACGATGGTCGTTGCGTAGGGGTCTCTGCTGATGTTGACTTCGTCGAGACTGTTACCCTTGGCCGTTGACAGCCTCGCTTTATTGCTCTTGACGACGGATGGTTTGTCCCAGGTTGACTCACTGTAGGCGCCAGCATACGGCTTGTACTCTTGAGCGGACTGATTGGGAGCCATCGAGGAGATGGGGACAGAGGGTGAGTTGATATTATGCACGCGCACCTCCTCTTGGCGAATTCCGGGAGAACCGTGGACATAAGAGGCGTCCTCGTAGTTGGTGTTGTATCTGTTATCGTTGTAGCTGCTCATCAATATAAGAAATTTTAATCTGTGTTGTTGTTCTTTGTTTAGTTGGAGCCAAAAAAATTGGAAGAGGAAGAGAGACAGAAGAGAGACAGAACCACAAAATTTACACTTGGACTCAGCAGAAGCTCTACATCTCTCTTGTTTTTGTCGTGAGACTACAACAAAATGGTTATACTTCCTAAAATAATATCATTTTGTTCGGCAAAATAGTTGCATTAACTTTAGATGATGTGCTGTTTGTAGCACAAAGGGTTGTCCCGGCAACGAACCAAGTGACCACCATCTGTAACATGCCAACCTTCCTTGTTTAATGAATATTAAACTAATTTTCCAGGGATAACATTGAGACAGCGAAGGGTGAGGGGAGGGGCTGTAGATGGTGGGTGGTACACAATGCCATTTCAAATGCCCTCCTCCCCTACTGTTTTGCCGATTGCACTCACACATCGAACAAGTTTAAAACCTTTTAATTTTACTTCGTTAAAGCTTGCACGCTCTTTACAAGTAGCATTATTTTGTTTATATTTTGTTGTTGTTGTTGTTGTACGGACATTGAAAAATGTTTATCAGTAGGAAAGCGAGTTCTTGATAGCCTCGTACGTGCGCACAGCGCAGGGCATGTAGAATCTCTCAAAAACCAGCGGGTGTGGTACAAACAAGCCACAAACACGCTGGACAGGGCTCTCGAGCCTCAAAAAGCATCTCTCCTGGATCTCGGCCGCCAGCTCCGCAGCAAAACCCTGTGTGCGTGGCGCCTCGTGTGCGACCACCAAGCGGCCGGTTTTGTTGACCGAGTTTATGACAGTTTCGGCATCATACGGCAGTATTGTGCGCAGATCGATGAGCTCGCAGGTGACGCCGGGCATGTCGCGCTCGATCATCTGAATGGCGTTCTCCAGTGCGTATATTTGGCTGCCGTATCCGACAACAGTGACGTCCTTGCCCGGCTTGAGTATCTCGGCCTTTGACAGAGGCAGCATGTAGTCGTCGACGGGCACTTGCTCAACAGCCGATCGGTACAGGATCTTGGGCTCGAAGAAAATGGTCGGATTGGGGTCGCGGATGGCCGCCAGAAGCAGGCCCTTGGCCTGGATCGGTGACCGAGGCATTATGACTTTGAGCCCGGGAACATGGGCAAAGAACGCCTCGGGACTCTGTGAGTGGTAGAGGGCGCCGTGGCCGACGGCCGAGCAGGGCGTGCGGATTGTGAGCCCGCCCACATTGAACTGGTTGCCCGAGCGGTACCGGTACTTTGCAGCCTCGTTGACAATCTGGTCAAAGGCCGGGAAAATATAGTCGGCAAACTGTATTTCGGCTATCGCTGTGTGGCCCATTGCCGCCATGCCGATGGCAAACCCGGCTATTCCTTGCTCGGTCAGCGGCGTGTTGAATATCCGCTCTCTGCCAAACTCATCAGCCAGTCCGACGGAGCACCGGAACACGCCTCCAAAGGCCACGTCTTCGCCGAAAACCACCGATGTGTTGTCTGCCGAGAGCGCATGACGCATTGCGTCGTTGATCGCCTGGCACATGTTCATTTTCTTAGTGTCGCCGTCGGCAACTCCGAGCGACTGGAGCTCGCTGCTCGCCTGTACGGAGGCCACAGAGCGCAGGAGAAGCTTGCTGTGGGCCACGCCAAGGTCCATCCCTCGCACTGGCTCAAAGCTGTTGATCTCGGCGGCTGACGAGTACAGTCGTTTGGCCAGACGAGTGATCTGTCGAGCGGCTGCCCTGTGTTGGCAAGCGAGTGGCGTCACCATTTGGATAAACATGAATATAAAAATGGAAGTAGGAAATAAGAAATAGGAAATAGGAAATAAAAGATATATGTGTACGTTATTAAAAGTAAAGAGCAAGGAGCAATAATACAAAAAAATGGCCTAGTCCTTCCTTGTTCTCGGATGCCACGCACACACGCGTTCAGTTCCTTTTCCCTCTCTCTTGCAAGCTATTTGATTAACTTGCAAAAAAACCAAACGTGGGAACAAAAATTACCCACGGTCATGTGTAAGATGTCAGCAAACTCATTTTTTCCCACGATTAAATTGCGTGCATTATTCATACAATTAATCGCCGATTTAAACAAGTGTGTTGGTTCACTGGCAAGTATGCGAGACCGCCAATTATAACTGGTTTGGCTCAAAGAAAAATATATAAAAAAATCGCAAAAATAATGTATTAAATAACGGTTGGTTTACGAGAATGCCTGCTTGATCTTTGTCATAAAGTTTTTCAAGCGGCTGACCTTCTGAGGAACAGAGGCAGTTGTGGTTGTAGCAGAAACATCACCGGCAGCAGGAGCAGCAGCACTAGCAATAGGAGCAGCAGGAGCCGCTGGGACTGTAGCTGAAGCTGGGACTGCATTGACAGGAACGCTGGCAGTAGCGCCAGCGCCAGCAACATTAGCGGCATCAGTCACACCGACAGGGGTAGCGACATTAGTAGCAACTGCGTCCTTGACAATAGGGGCTGGCGCGACAGTATTAGCCGCACCATCGGCGGTAGCTGAAACAACGTCCTTGGCGATAGGAGCGGGCGCGGTAGCAGCAGTTTCGTCAGCAATGAAGGCGGCTGCGGCACCGGCATTCGGATCCTCAGAGGCAAGCGCATCTACAGCAGAGTCGGCGGCAATAGTATCCCTGGCAGGAGCCTCGTTGGCGGTACCACCAACACCAGCAGCCCCAACGGCTCCGGCGGCAGCGGCAACTGGAGCAGCGGCATCGGTAACTGGAGCAGCGGCATCGGTAACTGGAGCAGCGACACCGGTCACTGGAGCAGCGACATCGGTCACTGGAGCAGCGGCATCGGCCACTGGAGCAGCGGCATCGGCCACCGGAGCAGCATCTTGTGCAAGCGCCTTCTCCTGCTGTCCAGCATCTGCAGCATCAGTGCCAGCACCGGCCCCAGGCGCGGGTGCGGCAAGCTTCACGACGACCCTTGCAAAGTTCGCTCCCTGCGTCTCGGCGATCTCCAACTCCTGGGCTTTGGGCTGCAAGCTCCCATCAGGCCCGGCAATAGTACCTGCGCCCCAAGCCGAGCCGCCAATAACACTGCTGTTGTCAAACATCAGCGGGCTAGCATACCCGAGGGGCACGTATATGATGCCGTGGTGAACGAAATGGGGCAAGAACGAGTATGCTGTGGACTCTTGTCCGCCATGCTGGGAGCCCGTCGAGAAGAAGATGCCAGCAGGCTTGCCGACCAGAGCACCCGAGGACCAGAGCTTTCCGGTGGAGTCGAAGAAGGCTTTGACCTGCGCCGGCGCGACGCCGAATCGCGTGGGGAATCCTAACAGGAAACCGTCCGCCTCGGCCAACTTCTCGGGCGTGATGATCGGCAGGTTGGACTTGGGCGCGGCGTGCATTTTGTCGAGCACATCGTCGGTCAGAGTTTCGGCGATCTGGTAGAGCTCGACGTCGACTGCGTCGGACTTGAGCAGGCCCTTGGTTACGGCCTGCGCGAGCGTGTGCACATGCCCGTATGTTGAGTAATAGATAACGAAGATCTTGGGCTTGGTGGCAGACATGGTTGTTGGAACAAATAAAAATAAAGGTTGGACGTTACGAAAATAAAAATATTTTGAGGTGTAATAAAGCGAGTAGGTACAAAAAAATTAAATGGATGAAAGCGGCAACTGCGACAGCAACAAAAAAGGCCTGGAGTAATTTTTGCGACTGCTTTTTAAGCGCGACGTTCGCTAGCTTTGCAACGAAAAAATTAAAAATTAAAAAAGCAGGGAGAGAAGCGTAAAACAGCATGCTGGACACTGCCTTGTTTTTTTCTATGACAAACAATTATTTGTCTTTTTACACTGTGATGCTCCCCAATTTGTAATGAGACAGCAACATTTGTCATCGCAACAGCACAAGCTCTGTATCCCCCAAACCCAAGTGTAAACACCAAAAAAAAAAAAGCAGGCCGCGGCCAGGCCAAGCTGCTGCAATGCATCAGGCTGGCCAAAGTCTATTTACAGCCACCATTTCTATGCTTAAATGCTGCGGATAATAATACATTTTACAAAAGCGTCGTTTCAAGTCCCTCCCCCTCCTGCCACCAGCCTCCCCACTTTCGCCCATCCACACAAGAGCACGCAACCCAAATGAGAACTAAAAATAATAATAATAAAGCAAGGAACTATTTAAAGATTGGAAAAATAGAAGAAAAAAATGTGAAGAGAGGAGGAAAATTAAAAACTTAATTTAATTTGCTTGTTTGTTTGTTTGTTTGTTTGTTTGTTTGTTTTGGACTAAAGGTACAGCGACGCAGCAAAGATAATGTCGCGCTTGATCTTGACAATGCCATCGGCGAATTTGTTTTCCAAATCGACGTTACCAATGGCCTTCGCAGCCGAGCACATCTGGCGCAGCAGCTCCTCCAAGCGCCTAAACGCGCGAATAAGCGAGCCCTCGAAGACATCCGTCATGCGGCAGATCTGCGAAAACTTGGCTCCGCGACACCACGCGTTGACCACGTCCATCAGCTCGGGCTTAAACGACTCGACGTACTCCTCCTCGCTCATGACCAGCTTGCACTCGTTAGAGATCTGGGCGATCTGGCGGGCAGACTCCTGCATGATGCGCAGGGGCCCAGCCAGCTCCTCCTTGAGCTTGGGCGGCTCGTTGTTGGTCTTCTCAGTAAAGACAAAGCAGGAGAGCAGGGAGACGGTCTGCTCGGTAGTCAGGTCGTTGAAGACGCCGTGGAACATGAGCTCGGAGAGCAGCAGCTCGTCGCCCGATGTGATCTCGCACGCGACGCGGCCCTTCATTGTGATGACGTCCTCGGCGGTCGTGTAGCCGAGGCGGCGCAGGACGCGCTTGCGGCACCGCAGCTCGTCCAGCTGCACGGCGGACTGCGCGTCAGAGATCTTGTGCCGCAGGTCCTTGATCTGGTTCTGAACCTCGACCTTGCCCTGGTACTCGGCGAACAGGCGCGCCTCGTCGGGCGAGCCAAAGAGCCTGTGCTCGCGGAGCTTGCTCTCCAGCGTAGCAATCTTGTGCACCAGCGCCTTGAACTCGCTGTCCTTGATGCCCATGTCTTCGACCGGGTCCAGCAGGGGGATGTTGCCGCCGAGGCGCTTCTCGACCTCGGCGATGCGCTTGCGCATGTCGCGGCGCTCGGCCGACGAGCGGATGTCCTTGGGCAGGTGCACGCGCACGGTGCTGATCCGGTCGATGCACGAGAGCAGGACGGGCACGACCATGGTCTCGCCCGCCGTGTCGTTGATGTCGCACGGCACAACGGCCATGTCGCCGTCGGCCGCCGACGTCGCCTCCAGCTTGCGCGCGGCGCCGGCGTCAGCGCGCCTGCAGTGCATGAGCACGTCGACGATGTAGCCGTCGGCGCCGGCCTGGCTCTCCTCCTCGGCGGCGGCGCGCGGGTTGCTGCGCTTGCTCTTGGCGTCCTTGACGATCTTGCGCTGGAAGAACGTCACGCAGCCCCAGCCGAAGTTCAGCCCGCCAGTGCACACGCGCACGAAGCGGCCTGGCTGCAGGAACGGCAGCGAGTGCGCCGGGTGCACGAGCACCTTGGTCATGTCGGCGGAGAGCGTGTCCAGCTGCGTGCGCAGGTCGTAGAAGCGCTTGACGCTGGGCTCGTCGGCGATCCGGATCGTGGCCAGCTCCTGCTGCAGCTCCGCGGCGCGCAGCTCGAGCTTGGGGATGGCCGCATGCGTCTGGAACTGGTAGAACGAGCGCTCGAGCATGAACTGCGGCGTGAACGTCTCGACGCGCATCAGGTTGAGGATCATGTTGTACGACAGGTGGAAGGCCGAGTTGAGCACGTCGGGCTCGCCCTTGACCATGCCCTTGGCGATCGCCGGCTCCATCTTCTCGTCCAGCATGAGGATGACCACGCCGCGGTCGTCCAGCCCGCGGCGGCCCGCGCGGCCGCTCATCTGGATGTACTCGCCCGACATGACCCAGCGGAAGTCCTTGCCGTCGAACTTGCGCACCGACGTGAACACGACCGTGCGCGCCGGCATGTTGAGCCCGATCGAGAAGGTCTCGGTGGCGAAGAGGCACTTGAGCAGGCCCTCCTGGAACAGGATCTCGATGACCTCCTTGAGGATGGGCAGCAGCCCGGAGTGGTGGATTCCGACGCCACGCTTGAGCAGCGGCAGGATGTTCTCGATCTGCGGCAGCGTGCGGTCGTCCTCGTTGAGCGAGCTGATGGCGTTGACGAAGACCTCGCCGACCATCTCCTTCTCGGCGTCCGTGTTGAAGTCCAGCTTGCTCATCTGCAGCGCCAGGCCCTCGCACTCGCGCTTAGAGAAGCAGAAGACGATGACCGGGTGGTAGTTGCGCGACATGATCATCTTGATGATCTTGTAGATGTCGCTCTTGGCGCCGGTCTGCTTGCCCTTGTTCGACTGGCCCTTCTTCTGCCTGCCCTTGCCGATGCCCTCGGTGTCGTCGGCGGCCTGGCCCTGCGCGTCCTGCAGCGACGTGATGGCGCGCTGGAAGTTTTCCTCGCGGAACTGGCCCTTCTCGTCGACGACCAGGTGGATGCCGTCGCCGCCCTGCGGGAACAGGTAGTGCTGCAGCGGCGTCGGCCGGAAGTCCGTGTACACAACGTGGCACGGCTGCTCGTGCGTCTTTGTGATCCACTCGGCAAACTGCATCGCGTTGGGGATTGTGGCCGACAGGAACACAAAGCGCACCTGGTGCGGCAGAAGGATGATCGTCTCCTCCCAGACGACGCCGCGCTCCTTGTCGCGCATGTAGTGGATCTCGTCGAAGACGACCCAGGCCACCTCGCGCATGACCTCCGACCCGCGGTACAGCATGCTGCGCAGAATCTCCGTCGTCATCACCAGGCAACTGGCCTGCGGGTTGATCGTGACGTCGCCAGTCATCAGCCCGACGTCGCCGAATTCCTCGAGGAACTCGCGGTACTTTTGATTTGACAGCGCCTTGATCGGCGACGTGTAGATCACCCGCTGCTTCTCGCGCAGGCACTGCGCAATTGCGTACTCGGCCACGACAGTCTTGCCCGCAGACGTGTGCGCCGCGACCAGGACGGACTCGCCGCTGTCGATGCACTGCACAGACGCGTGCTGGAACGGATCGAGCTGGAACGGGTACGTGCGGGCCGGGTTCTCGATCTTGGGGCGCTGTGACAGGGGCACGTAGTTGTAGCCCGGCGGGATCGCAACCTGGTGGCGCACCGAGTGGCTCAGGACAACGTTGCCCGTCTCCTTGTCTGCCGCACTGGTGTCGAGCCCAGCGGGCTTCACCTCGCGCTGCAGATCCTCTTCGAACGAATCGAGCACTATGGCGTCAAGACCGGCCGCCTTGGCACCCGCTGCCGAGGCGGCCTTGCGAGCGCGCTTGCTGCCGTAATCCGCCTTGCCGTCGATCTCCATGCTGTCTGTGTTGCTGCCGTCGTCTGTGGCGGCCGTTGGCTTGCGCTTCAGCTCGCTAGCCTTGTCGCCGCGGCCGCGCTGCTCCTCGTTGTCCTCGTCGTCGTCTGCTTCAGTGCGGCTGATAGGAAGCACCGATGACTGCTGGGGTGCGCGAGCGCTGCTCTCTTCAATATCCGAAGCGCCGGCTGACTCGTCGCCCGACTCGTTAAACACGTCAAACAAGGCATTCGTGTCCATATTGGGAATATGTATATATAATGTGTGTAAATAAAATAAGGGAAAAATTGAGCAAACGCCTTGAGAGAGAAAGAGGAAAAAAGACCGAGGCGCGCAATTAGGAAATGAGCACACGAATGCGTCGGGCTATTTTTTCTCCTTAGTGTGATTGTGTATTTGCTGTCAGCTTGCGACAACACTAAGAAAAAAAACAAAAATTTCTGATATATCGTGCTATTTTTTTCTGGCGCTACAAATCACGGAATATCAAATCAGTGGATCTTCGGACGCACACATAAAAAAAGGGGGCCATGCAAAGCGCACAAGCGTGCGCGCGCGAGTCTGGGCTTGAAGAATCGCATCTTCCGTGTCATCGATAAAAGTGAACATTCTTTTTTTCGTGCACCCTCCTTTTTATTACTAGTGAATTCAATAAAAGATATATTTTTTTCACCATTCATTATTGTAATTCTTATTTGTTCGATATACATACAAAAATGGGCATTCTTCAAAAGGACAAACGCGGTACGAAGGGAACAAAATCCCCGATCCCGGTGCCCAGCAGCTGGCTCGATCGGATCAACCAAGCGGGCTTCCTCGATACCACGGCGACGAGCAACAGCAAGGAGAAGATCTTGACGCACAAGCTGTACGACCAGATGCTCGGTCTTGCGACCGCCGCCTCCAACGACAAAATCAACAACACAGTGACGTGGCTGGAGCAGAGCAAGCTCTTAAAGAGCGTCGAACAGACGCTGGCCAAGCTCACCCAACAGCCTGCGCTATCTGCAGAGACACTAGGGCTTCTGCGCACAGCGGCGGTGCCCATGTTTGTAGAGTGTTTCTTCTTGCCCAACGACGTGGTTGTGCGGCGCCAGAGCATCCAGACCATCAAGTCGCTGAGCCTGCTGGACAAGGCGGCAGTGGACGCGGCACTGCAGGCCAACATGCTTGCGTTCTTGGGCACGCAGGGGTACCACCGCGAGGTGCAGGCTTTAGAGATGGTCAGCCGCGAGGTTTCGACCGACATCTATGCGTGGCAGACTGTGGGGCAGCGCGCGCAGGCCATTGAGTTGCTCGCCAGCATTCCGGAGGGCCTCTCTGTTGTCAGGCAGTTTGTCACCGATGTGCTAGTGTTTTCCGCCAACGCGCTGGATGCCGGCATGCCTCTGCTGCACAACCCGAAGCAGGGCGTTGGGTCGGTCGAGATCGTGGCGCTGCGCGATGACTGCACACAGGTTGTGCGGCTTGTCTTCCTGTGCCTGTCCAAGCTCGCCGCCAACAGCCGGGGCCTGCAGGCGGCGATTGTCGAGTCGATGCACGAGCCGCTGCCCGGATACGTGGAGAAGACGCTGGGCCGTGTGTATCGGCTGTGCTGGGACATCATTGGCTGCGACGGTGCGGCGCTGAACTCGCGCCAGGTTGCAGCCATGGTGCTGGTGCATCTGATCGAGGGCTCGGGGCTGCCGCCTGCTGATCGCGCCGCAGCACTGGCTTGCCGGGCACTGGACATTAACGTTGTCGCCAGCAGCGGCAGCGGCAGCGGCAGCCAGGGCGCCGGCTACCTGCCAGAGGTTGAGGATTCGGCGGGCAGGCAGCGATGCATGGACGACGCAGTGGCGATGGTCTGCGTTGCACGGGCGATCGTGTCGCTGGCACCTTACGAGACGACGCTGGCGGCACTGGACATTATGCCGTCGCCCAAGAGCCCTGGCGCGAGCAGCAACGTGCACGAGGCGGTGTTCACACACATTGCGTCGGTGTGTGGCCGCTCGCAGCTGGCGCCCGGCGTCAAGGTCGTCGTGTTCGAGTCGATGGCGACGTGGCTACAGGAGACAGCGCGGCTGCTCGCCCGGTGCCTCGGAGATGGCAGTGAGCTCGCGCACACGGCGTTTGGCCTGGGCCAGCGAGTGCTGGTGCTGCAGCGGGAGCGTATTATGGGCTACTTGTGGAGCTACTGGGACGACCCGTTGGATGCCGTTCAGATCAAGGTCAAGGCCATCTTTGAGGCGTTCTTGGACATTGGCTCGGCGATGAACCGCGCAATCGCAGCCGAGCCTGGCGAGCAGCAGGGCGGCGAGTTTTTGGGTGATGTGCTGGACCTAGTGCTGACGATGGACTGGAGCCGCAGGGTCAAATACTCGCTGCTGGCCACGCTGTGCACGCGCATCGACCTCCTCGACCTGTTCTGCCGGCAGCCGGATATCCTTGACAGCTGCCTGGAGACGCTCGCGCAGGTGTCCATGGCGCCACGCGCGGCCACCCTGCTTGGGGCGATGCTGGACCGCTCGGCCAGCGACATCAAGGGCGCCAGCGGCGCCGACGCCGCCCAGCTGGAGGACACGTATATCGCGCTGTGGGCTGCGCCCATTGTTGACGCGCTGTGCAAGGACGACGACACCAGCCGCCGCATGCTGGCGCAGTACCTCATCCCGAACCTCCTCGCGGCCATGCCACGCATCATCACGCCTCTCTTGCGCGCGCTGCCCGCGTACCGCCGGCCCTCAACGAGCCTAGCCGAGGGCGGCGGCGCCGCGGCGCAGAGCCGCGTGCTTTTAGCCGCGCAGCAGCACTCGGACGACGCCAGTCGCCAGCACGCGCTGATCATTGTGCTGAAGGCTGCGCGCGCCCAGGACCTCCTGACGATTGACGAGGTCGCGGCGATGGACAGCACACTGCTCGAGATGCTCGGCCGCGCCGTGCACCACCCCGACTTCGCCGTGCGCGCCGACATGCTGGGGCTGCTGTGCGAGGCGCGCAAGCTGTCGACGCCGCTGCACGAGATCGAGTACGACCTGCTGTTCAAGCTGCTGCGCGTCTCGGCCAACGCGCCGTCGGCTGATTTCCGCCAGCAGCAGCACGGCGCGCTGACGGCGCTGGCCTCGAGGCTGGTCACTGTGGCCACGCACGCCGAGCGCATCGTTGCCACAGGCCGCCCGCCAGTGCCGTCGCAGAAGGTCAGGCACCGCGAGAAGGCCAAGCGCGAGGCCGCCATGGCGCAGGGACTGCGCGAGGGCAAGACCGAGGCCGAGGTGCTGAGGGAACTGGGCGTTCTGCCGCGGGACGAGATGGTTGCGCAGTCGCGTGTCGTGCTGGCGCGTGTCGAGCGCGCCGTCAACGATTGGATGGACCTGGCCGTGCGCGGCTGCCTGTACCCGGGCGCCGGCTTCTCCAAGGTGGCGATGGGCCTGCGCTGGCTGGACATCCTGGTTGGCTTCTTTACACCAGGCCGCCCGGCACAGGCGCCTGAAAGCCCCGAGGTGCCGTTCCGCGTGGCGGGACTGGCCGCACCCGATTTTGCCGCCATTCTGACGTCCTCTGCGGTCTGCAGTGGCACTGTGAGCGCCGAGGAGGTCGTCGCTCTGCTGACGCAGGTGCTGGTCGACGACGCGTTTGACGTCAACCGTGCGTCCGCCTTTGCGCTGCTGATGGCCTGGCCGCTCGGCGCCGACGACAGTGACAGGGCGGCGCAGAGGTGGGCCGAGGGCCTGCTGCAGCGCGCGCTAAGGCTGGTCGGCAGCACACGCGCCGGCGAGAGCGAGAGCGGTGCGCTGCTCGTGCGCTGGGTGTTCTGCAAGTTTGTTGTTCTGCAGGGCATGCGCCTCGAGATCCCCGGCGCTAGCCGAGGCGAGAGCATGGCTGATGGCCCGGCTGACCTGGCATTTGCCACGGCGCTGCTGGACCTGATCCGCCAGGGCCAGGCCGCCGCCGCCTGCAACCTGCTTGACGCCGCGCAGCGCTTCCCCCTGCACGGCCTGCTGACGGCCGCGCAGTACGTTGCCGGTGAGATCGATTACCGCGCGCCGTCAGTGCAGCGGCACGCGGCGCAGTGGCGCCAGTGGCTGAGCGACCTGTCCAAGACTGCCATTGATGTGTGCAACGTTGTGCTGAGCGTGCTTACCAGCGCGTCGCCCGAGGGCAATGTGCCGGCGTCGTTCCGTGAGATGGAGGACAAGATCGACGCAATCATCAAGTCGTCGGATGCGACAGACGATCCTAAACCCGAGCTGCTCAGCGGTGATGTCGAGCTCGACGGGCCTGTAGGCCCGCGCCAGCAGGTCATTTTGTCCTACTGCTGGCGTGCTGTCAAGGAGGTGTCGGGCCTGCTTTCGGTCATTGCCACTGCACCCCCGGGCACTGACGAGACGGCCTCCAAGACCAACGCCGATGATGCCGAGCCTCTGGTCAGCGAGTCGACAGTCGACGAGATCGGCGGCCTGCTGCGCACGCTGCTGACGTCCATCCGCCACCGCGGCGCCTTCTCTGCCGTGCACCCAGCGTTCACCACCGTGTGCGCGCGCATGTTCAAGTCACCCAGCGCCGCTCTCAATCACCGGGTGGCCGCCTGGCTCGAGCAGTGCCTGGACATTGCAACCATCTGCCAGGTGTCCGTGACGCGCCGCAGCGCTGGCTGGCCGTTGTGCCTATTGTCGATTCTCACGTGCGACAAGAATGCCACGCAGGCACTGCTGCCGCGCGCCATCGATCGCATCTTTGTTCTGGCCGCCGACCTGCAGATCGAGTCTGATGGGCCGAGCCAGGACACCACTACCGCCGCTGACAGCACCACTGATCTGCCGCAGGTGCATGCCATCAACATGCTGCGGGTGCTTCTGGACGACCACACGCTGGCCGCCGACATTGTGCCGTACGTCGAGCACGCCTACGTGTTGGCACTGACTGGGCTGCGCTCGCGCCGGTGGGCCATCCGCAACGTGTGCAGCCTTCTGTACGCTGCGCTGACGCGCCGTGTGTTTGGAAACAACGCGTCTCGCGAGGAGTCGCGGTACGATGGCATTACTGGTCGCGAGCTTTTCACGCGCTTCCCGGGCCTGCACCCTTTCCTCACAAACCAACTTGAGGACAGCGTTGACCGCTTGGCCGAAATCGCCATGTGCGACGAATCTCTGGCAGCCGCCAAGCTTGACTCTGACACTTGCTCGCCCATGTCGAGGCAGACAGGCTCTGGCGATGCTGATGCTGTGACCACTGTGCTGCGCAGCGGCGCGCGCTTTATCCACCCGGCGCTGTACCCGTGCCTGATTCTGCTCGCCCGCCTGCAGCCGTCGCCCATGGACACAATGTCTCAGCAGCAGCCGACCTCTTCTGGTGCACCGGCTGCATCAGGCACGCGCTCGCGCGTGCACTCGATCGCAGCCGAGTCTGCCGGCGTTATCGCCATCTCGCCGCACACCGAATCAGCGACCAGCGCCGTTGCACCACCGATGAACCTGGAGGAAGAGCCGCTGACCAAGCTCAACGAGCGCAACTCAACTGTGCATGTAACGTCGGCCTCGACCATGCTCAGCATGTACTCGTTCACTGAACTGGTTGAGCTGTGCGTTGACAGCCCCGTCTACAAGACCCGCGAGATGGCGTCGCGCGCCTTTGCACCCCTGATCCCCAGCGAGCGCGCGCCCTCCGTCGTCGTGTCGCTGCTGCGCGGCCTGCGTGAGTCTGGCGACACCATCACAGCGAACAGCTTCCACGGCACGCTGTGCCAAGTGCACGAGCTCCTGCGCGTGCATTGGCGACTGGGCGGCAGCAGCGGCTCGGAGAGCCTGTGTCGCAGCTTTGTTGCGCATGTATTCCCTGCGCTGTCCGCCCTGTGGCCGACCATTGTGCACCCCCTGGCAGGCAGAAGCGGTGACGGCAGCAGCAGCAGCAGCAGTGGCAACAGCTTGGACCGCAAGCCGGATGGCTCCAGCGATGCTGGGGCAGCGCCTGCATTATACCAACTGCCGGACATCGTGCGGCACAAGTACCTGACCATTATCAACGAGTACGTGGCTCGTGGCGAGCAGTGGATCCTACAGGGCATCAGCGACGTCAAGTTCATCAAGACCACCCGCCTGCTGCTGTCGCGCTTCCGCATTTCGGTGCTGTACGGCTCGCTGCACCCCCTCTTCTCGAGCGCCGAGCTGCTGAGCCTGCAGCTGGGCGACCAGCAGACGCCTAGTGCTTACGGCACGGTGCTCGAGCTGGCGCGCCTTTTCCTTGCTTGTGTTGACGACGGCACGACGGCCGTTATGCGCCAGGACGGCAGCGTGCAGCTGGAGATTGAGGGTGAGCTTGTTGACGAGCATGGCACCATGATGCCTCCGGGCGGAAATGAGGTCCTTTACAACCCAGGCCCGGCGATCCGCAACATCCTCGAGTGCAACGCCTTCTACGAGTGCAAGCTGCTGGTCCTCGGGTGGCTGACTGAGCACGTGCGGTGCGAGTGCATGGATGTATTCAGCCGCATCGGCATTGACCATCTGCTGCCCTGCCTTGTTGTCGACACTGCCGCGCAAACGGACAGCGAGGGACGTATTCCCTCTACCGATCCTCTGGTGCGCGCGGCGGCTACGCGGCTACTGGCACTGCTGTGCACCAAGCTAGACATTGATCCGCAGACGTTCCCGGTGCCCGACCTTCAGGCCTACTGGGACGCCCTGGTTGCGCAGATGGCTGCCCGCCACTGCCCGCTGTCTGTCTCCATGGCCATCGTCAAGCTGCAGGCCGCGCTGCTTCATATGCTGCGGAACAGCGTAGGCCACACAGTGACGACCATCACCGCGGAAAGCGTGAGCCAGCGGTCGCTTGCGTGGGCCCAGCACATGTATCTTTGGACCGACCCCGAGCGTGCCTCCCCTTACCGCCAGGCGGTGAGCCGGGCGCTGGTCACATACAGCACGATCAAGCGGTACAATGAGGCCGGGCCACAGTCGGTGGCCACTCTGCCGGAGACAGCAGCTGTCGTTGTACAGGAACATGACGAGGCGACCGAGGAGATTCTGCGCCTGTGCTACTGGCGCCTGCTGCAAGACGACGATGAGGACGTGCGTGACTTTATGGCTGACAGCATCTCGCGCCGTCTGGGCCGTGAGCTGGCGTGCGATCAGGCATGCGAGCGGCTGGTCGCCGATTTCGCACCCCCGTCTGATGGCCATTTCCCGGCGACCTACGTGAGCAACCGGCTGGCATACCTCCTGTCGCTTCCTGTAGGCCAGATCGTCATTGCTGCGGCCAGTGAGGCTGTGGGCCGGGCCATCAGCCCCAACCGTGTGCTGTTCGACCATGAGAACCCTAACATCTACATTGACGAGCCACGCAACATGCAGCTGGCGTACTTCTCGCTGGTGCAGATATCTGCGATCTTTGAGCACTCGCCCGAGGCGCAGGCTCTTCTAGTTTCTGGCGCTATGTCGTGCGTCGAGGCCCTGGATTGCGCGCGCCGCGTGCTTCTGGAGCAGAACCAAGGATGCGGCGGCATTCTGGGCGCAACCTCGCTGTCAGATCTATTTGCCCTGCTGCAGTCGTGGGTGCTGGGCGCGCGTCTGGCGTTGTTTGTCGGGTCGAGGCTAGCTGATCGCGAGCGCTGGGCTGAAATTAAAGTGAAGGTCTGCGGCGTGGTTGCCGCGTGGCTCGCAGCGGAGGAACTGCAGCCGGTGCATCCGTGGATCCTGCGCGCGCTCAGCTCTGTGCTGGAGATGAGCCGCACTGTGGATTCAGATGTTGAGCTGGTTTCAAAGCAGGCGGCGACTGCTGATCTGTTCCTTTTGACCTCGGTCTGATGATTTTTTGCTTTTTGTTTATTGGATGCTTTCAAGTAAAAAAATATATAGCATTGGTTTCTTCGGTTAGTTTTTATGGTGACCCGAAATGGGGCTGCGGGTGCGAAAAGAACGGCCTCCTGCGCATATTAACTGCGCCGACAGCATTTGCGGTAGTAGTGTTTTCGCTGATTCGAGGATTCAGTCTGCTGAATCCTGGACTCAACAACGAGCTGCTGATGTTGTTGTTGTTGTTGCTGTTGTTGTTGCTGTTGCTATTGGTGTTGTTGTGGTGGTGGTGATGGTGGTTGTAGTTTGCAATCGGCCTGTTGCTCTGCGGCGGATAAAGCGGCCGTGGTGACTGGACAGACAAGTGGTTTTCCTTCTGGTACGACATTGGCTTTGTTTGCAACAACCTCCTCCTTGCGGCCAACGCTGTAGATGGTGCGACGCTCCATGCTGTTGGCAGACGCGACAGCGGTGGCTGTGGATTAAATATATTTCTGGAGAATGATTCTGGCGACGAGACAAACGATGGCCCCTGGCCCATCTGAATTTGCTCAATATGGCTGCGAGCTTCTTTTAGTAGCCTGTTTTGCCGCGATATTTTGTCCCTCAAAAGTGAAATCGCTTCGTTTTGGTTAGACAGCTGAAACTAAACACAAAACAAATGTTAAATCATTCATAATTATTTCTCGGAAAATAACTTATATGGTGTGCTATTATGTACAGCATATGAAAAACACTTTTATATGTTTTCTTTCAACTTACTTGAACGCTGTATCGGAGCCTTTCAATTTCGGATAACAGACTTTGTTTGTTGAATAATGAGTGCACCTCGCTGGGCAAGTCGTTGTGTTCAATACACCGAAAGGCACAAACGGTTGTGCATACGAGACACGCAATCGAGCCGGTGCTGATACTACCGCTAATGCAGACTCTGCAAAGAACATGGGTACATTCAAGTATGTAAAAAATACTGTTGGTAGAGCTGGAAAATGACTTGCAATTATTACAGTGTAACCATGAAGGAATACTAAACGACATTTTAGTATTATTTAGTAATGAATAATAGTGAGCATATATTTACAAAAAATAAATTTAAAAATCATTTATTTTTACAAAACCGAGACAAGTAGAGCAAAAAGATAAGGCAACAAAATTGATTTATTCTTTTAATGCAAAGAATATAGGTAGCATTTATGGACAGCAACCAAAAAATGGAAAACCCAATGTTGTTAATTTTAAATTTTTAAAAATAAATGCTAGTGTGATATTAAATAAGGAAAAGTTATTTAAAATGGTGTGTCCAAAGCATTTCCACTGCTTGCGTCGGAGATTATTTCAAAGCGGCGGTCATCTGGCGGAATGTCACGGCATATACGCCCAGTATTGTAGTAAACCACCTTGATAGGCATTATTATTTGTGTATTAATATGGTGAAAAGTTATTCAAAGTGCAGTTATTTTGTAGATTTATTATCTTAAATTGGAGGGGCAAGCGAGCTTTGTTCTTTTATACAACCTTTGGCTTTTTCTCTAAATTATTTGAGATGTGAGTGCATTGTAAAGCAAAAGCAAACCAGGAAGAATAGCAGAAAAAACAGAACCAAATACACCCGTTTTTGCACTATTTTTGACAGCGTCCATGTGTTGTCATTTATTTTTTGCTTAGTGTTAGATATACAATTTTATTGTGGGGAACTAGGAAATAATAAAAATAATATTTAGACACTCTTGGTCACTCTAATCGACAATGCGGCGCATTCCTATACATTTGTCTCCTCATTTAGCACCCCGCATAACAACGTGTGCATCTATCAATATTCTTGCAGAATATCGCTGTATAAAGACCACGCAGATATCAGTAACTGGAAAATAAGGTATCCATGGCTACAATACATTTCAGTATCCAAGTTATAAGTTTAAATCTGCAAATGGGTTATAACTACTTTTAGCAAGAATCACATTAGAGTTGGCTTTAATATTGGAACCTATCACAACATTGCCTGTATAAACTGTGTTTCTTTTTGATGTAATAATAATATATGTTCTATCAGTAATTCCCCATTGAGTTTTAGCAATATCCATTAAGAATTCTACAGTTAAATCATTAAACAAACTAACCTTCATTTTTCTTGACATTTCTTCGTCAATAAAGGTAAATGTTGGTAAAGAAAATCCCATTTGATAGTATCTATTCTGATAAAGCTTTAAGCGCCAAACGTGTATTTTCTATGGTTGTGGTTGTTGTAGAAATGCTAATTGGTATTCCAAACAGATGAAAACAGTAAAGATTAATAGTACGGGATTGGAGAAATAGCCACCATCGATGTCTTTTTATGTGATTTTGGCTAATGAAATAATATAGTAAAAAGCTATCCCGAGAATAAATAAAAAAATTTTGCAAATTAATAATCTGAGCAATGCCTGCATTTGTGCATGTGTGTGTGTACATTGCGCAATACCGTGCTGCTCGGATATTTACTTTTTTTTATGTTGCATGTAAATTTTTTAATACAAAGTCAAGTAAATAAGGACAATGAATCGTGTTTCATTTTTGCAAATTAAAAAGTAAAGATATTTTATATAGAAAGGCTAATAAAACACAAATATGATCTTTTAGTATAAAAAGATTACGACATATTGCTCGTGTGTTGCACCATCTTAAATGTTGGTGTTTTAAAAATAAAATTATTTTATATAAAGAAATTTGTAAATAAACATGGCAAATTTTCCTTGCGCATTTGTATCTTTTACTTTTGGTTTTTTAAATCTTGCAAGCTTGTTTGTTTAATTTTGCAGAGTTGATACTTTTGTGCATTTTGGTGGAAATATTTTGCGCGTTTTTCGATACGTATTGCGTCATTTCATTTTTAGGCTTTTTTTTATAAAAATAGATACATTTAGCACTTTCGATAAAGACTAATAAAAACGGCTGTAAATATATAGATAGCATTCTTTTTTAATTGCTCATTCGAATAGTGCGCAGCCGAATGGTATGGCGGTGGATGTTAAGGTTAAGAGTCACAAGGCTGCTCTCTACCCGCATGCCGACTGATCGGATATAGACAAGATTACATGGGATTAAATCAGATTATAAATATGCTTTCCATTCCGCCATATGGGGGATATATGAGGCATGCATATGCAAAAATCACATGAAAACTCCCAAGATTCGAGCTACTTGCAGAAGAACTAGTTCTTACCGGTTATAAGAACACCGGCCAACACATAGGGCAGGTGCGAGGATGGCACATATATATATGTAAAAGCCGGCCCTAGCTCTACTTTTGATTCCTTTGGTAATAAAAACTATCACAAAACTCATACATATTTTTAACGCTAGTCACATCATGTTTAACAAAACCATAATATATAGACAACGCAGGTGTGCTTTTAGACACCATTTCTTCCATCTTGGCCAATCATTGTAAACTTCCGGGATGAGCTGAGAAGCCAGAAAACCATGTGCAATTTATAATTTTGTCATCATAAAGGTATACAGGAAATGCTGTTGATTATATAATTACTTGCCACTTTGATTGCAATTTTAAGTGCATGAGAAATCGCGTATGTGTGTGTGTCGCTCTCATTTTTAGGAAGGTGGTTTTTTAAATTATTTGAGATGTGTGCATTGTAAAGCAAAAGCGAACCAGGAAGAATAGCAGAAAAAACAAAAGCAAATACACCCGTTTTTGCACTATTTTTGACAGCGTCCATGTGTTGTCATTTATTTTTTGCTTAGTGTTAGATATACAATTTTATTGTGGGGAACTAGGAAATAATAAAAATAATATTTAGACACTCTTGGTCACTCTAATCGACAATGCGGCGCATTCCTATACATTTGTCTCCTCATTTAGCACCCCGCATAACAACGTGTGCATCTATCAATATTCTTGCAGAATATCGCTGTATAAAGACCACGCAGATATCAGTAACTGGAAAATAAGGTATCCATGGCTACAATACATTTCAGTATCCAAGTTATAAGTTTAAATCTGCAAATGGGTTATAACTACTTTTAGCAAGAATCACTTTGTCGCCTCCTGAAAATTTACCTTTTATTTCTATATCTGCTTCAATAAGATTATCTTTATGTATCAGTCATTTCCTTGTTTTTATATATATATCTATCCATATTTCAGCTTTGATGTATTGGATCAATCAAATACAGGCTGTATATGCATAACAATCGATTATAAGATATCTACTAGTATTTTCTCCGTTGATTAAGAAAAAAGTGACAATTATTAGTCACATTTGATGGTATTTATTCTGATAAAGCTTGAAGCGCCAAATATGCACTTGCAGTGGTTGTGGTAGAAATAATAAATGTTGTAACAAATAAATAAAAATCAGTAAATAAGATTAGTAGTAGAGAATTGGAAAATGGTCATACTTGATGTCATTTTATATAATTCCAGTCAATAAAATAACAGTGTAAAAATTATGTAAAAAAATGTTGTATAACGTTTGCGTAATTTTGCATGTGTTTTGCACAATTCCGTGCTGCTCTGTTTTTTATACATTATTTTGTACTGCTTGCCAAAATTATTTATAACAAATACAAGTAAAAAATGAAAATATGATAAATATGATAAATAATTTTTAATGTCCGCGAGCCAAGCAACGAGCTTGCTTTTTTAATTTGAAAGCACAAAGCACAAGTCTCGGCTATTCTTTGTTACAAAAGGATTGCGCCATAGTACTTGTGTATTACACGATCTTGACTGTCGGTGTTCTAAAAATATATTTTTCTTTTAAACCTTTTTCAAGCTTATTATTTTTATTTTTTATGCGGCTTGTATGATTTTGTAGTCTCGTTATAAATGAATTGCGCACTTTTCGATACGTATTGCAGCATCGCTTTAATTGTCGGTCCTTCAAATAGACAAATGTATATAGTGTTTTAATAATAAAAAATTAAACAATAAATTAGCAATATACACTGCGACCATTGCAATTGCAATTTTCCATTGTTTTTTCCCTTTACTCGCCTAAAACAAACCCAAGCAGCTCCTCCCTAGTGCCCTCAACTATCTCTGTATGAGCAGGCAAGACAAATGGCAAAACATCCGGATCCAAATCAGCATGGTTCAGTCGAATAGTCCTCAAGACCTCATTAAACAAAACATCATTTCCATTTTCGTTCAAATGCAACCCGTCCCACGAAAACACCTCGTATCCAGCAAACGGCAACCCATTATGTGCCTCTCTTTTCGTCTCAATAACTGTCCACAAGTCCACACAGGGCACAGCCAGCTCCGCAGCTAGTCCAACAACAGCAGCAGCGTACTGTCTGGTCACCACATTGGTGCGGTCCGCCACTCTGCCCTCAGCCTCTCTGGTTTTCGCCCACAATGAATCGCCGACCGGCGGCGGCGTAATCAGGATAATTCGCGCAAAAGGTGCTTTTTCCTTCAGGTTTTCAATAATCGCCCGGGTGTTCTGGACAAACTCGCCCAATGGGACATGTTGCTTTAGAGGCGCGTGTTGTGCATCGTTGGCGCCAAAGAATACGGTTATTAGGCGGGTTCCTAGGAGGCTGCGTGGGAGCATTTGTGCCAAGAGGGGAGTTGTCCAGCGCGTGTTGTAGCCGCTGAAGCCGCGGCTGAGAACGTCTAGCCGTCGCACGTAGGCCTGTGAAAGCTGGGCCACCCAGCCGCGCTTGCCAACGTCCCAGCCGTGTTGCGTGATGGAGTCGCCGAGGCAGATTATCTGGTCCATGGATGCGATTAGAGAAAGAGAGAAATATATTGGAAACAAAAAGATTATATGTACGAGGAGAGAAGGGCTGTGGGATTGACTGGTATAGTATATTAAGGGTGTTCTCCGCACGCACACGTGCAAGCGCAACAGCCACGCACGGCTGCTCCATACCACAAAGCCACTTCACTTAACTTGTGCATATTGCAGCCGCCAGGGTTCGCAACAAGTCCTGAGTCGAATCACCACTCCGCGGGGGCACCCCAGGTGATCTCACTGCATCAAGCGCAGGCCTCGACACGCGGGCCACAGCCACAGCCACAGCCACAGCCTTAGCCCTGCGCTGTTGCAGCGCCATCTGCAGCGCATCAGAAGCGCCCTTGGCTGAGTTCTCCGCCTCATTGTGGCTCTCCTTCGCACGATGCACATCCAAGCTAAACGCATCCAATTGCACCTGCAGGTCGTCGACCGCCGTGGCAATTAGCCGGTCAGCCTCGGCTATCTCCTCGTCCAGCCGCGGGCTGGCCTCCGCCACGTACCGCTGAATGGCCCTGCCAGAGTCGTCGGCAGTGTAGAGCACCGACCAGTCGATGGACTCGGCCGACCGCGCCAGCCACTCTGTGGGCTCGCTGCTGCCGCCACTGCCATCACAGCTGCGAGCCAGCGTCTGCACGGACCTGGGCAGCCGGTCGAGCGTGCGGGCGTGGGCGGCCGACGCGCGGCGCAGGTCATTGACCCAGGCATCGTCCTCGGCCCTCAGCTCGGCGACGCGCCTTTTCAAGGTATCGCGCGCGCGTTCGTTAGCCTCATTCTCGGGATGCGGCTTCAGCGGCAGGTGGCCCTGGCCCTCGGCCTCCAAGTCGACGGGGCGGTGGTACCACGACGTGGCAATGTCGCCCTTTTCCAGCGCCGAGTGCATGTCGCCGACCGCCTCGCGTACGACGTCGTCCAGCAGCGAGCGCACCGACGCCGATAGCTCCTCGGCCCACCCGCCTGTGGGCGCCTCTGTCCGCCGCGCGCACCACGCGAGCAGCTGCCGCAGCCGGTGCGGCTCAGGCAGCTCCGGCGAAATATGCCGGTAAAAGTCGCCGCACCCGACCGAATCGTGCGGCAGCGCAGTGAACCCGCCGCCGATCGACGATGCGCGCACGCCGCGCGTCGAGAACGTCGACCGCCGCCGCACGCCCAGCCTAGACTTGCGGCTCCCCGCCGTGGTGCGCCGGCTGGCTGCGTCGCTGGACGCCTTTGGTTCATTGAAGAGCCGCTTGCGCGTCCGTGAGACCAACGGCGTCGGCTGCGGCGGCCGGCTAGTCGGGACGCTGATCTCCTGCACTGGCAACAGCGACTGCAACGGCGACGCCGCCCTCATTGCCGTGCTCATGCGGCGCTTCGACTGGGAGAAATCCAGCCTTGGCCCATCGGGCTGCCGCTTCTGGGGCACCATTGTCTCTCGCCGGCTCTTCGCCGTACTCTCGCCCTCCAACGCCTGCATGCTCTGTGTCTTGGGCGCTGAGAGCCGCCCGCGCCGGAAGACAAACCCGTGGTCGTTCTCCAGCCCGTTCTGTGGTGTGAGTGCCTGCTTGTTTTTTTGCTGTGATGCCAGGCCGGGAGCCTGTTTGATGTCGAGCATGAGCGAACGAAAAGTGCGTGCGTAGGGCACAGCAATTGAGGGAATTGAATTGAATTGAATATAGTGATAAAAAGAATTGATTCAAGCGATTCAGTTTTCAAATATAATAGCAATAAATAATGTAAGGGATAATCAAAATCAAACAATACTCCAACTAAGCTAAACTAAACTAAAAGAGGGTGAGTCGCGTTCTGTTCAAATTGAAGAAAAAATGAAGAAAGAAAAAACAACTGACATTTATTTCAACTTGCTTTAACGCGTGATAATAAAAAAAGCGCCCTCATTTTTGCCTATTGGGATTTTGTTTTGTTTACTTTTTTCACCCAACTAACCGGCTCAATCGCATCTAGTTTACTGGACCGAGTCGACTCGAGTCGACAAATACACTTCAGTAATACCCGGCTTTGGAAGGCGTCATGCCCCCAAATGCTTGTTGACCTTCCACTTCGGATCCATGACGTTCTGGTAGCTCACACCGCCTATCCTCTCGCCCCGCATGCTCTCCCTAACGACGTGGGCAAACCGGGTTTTGTTCTCGATCATCAAAAGCGCCGCCTCCTTATTCAACGGGTCCTCAGGATTGGGTTCCAAAAACAGCATCTTGAGTCCAAAAATAACCGACTGAATGTTAAGCACAGGATTCCAATCCTCGCGCAGCACATTAAGACAAACATGGCCCTCGACGTCAATGTTTGGGTGGTAGATGGTCTGCGAGCAGAGCACCTTGGGGGCGTCGTGTGGAAAGCTATCTGTGATTTCAAACGTGAACCGGAACTCACCGCCCTCATAGTAGCCCTGCGCCGGCCGGTAGACTACATTGAACCGTGTGGGATCGGAGGCGTCTGGGAACGTAATGTCTGTGTCGGAGGCTGGCTCCAGCTCGCTCATGTCCTTTTGCAGCCGAATTCGCGAAGGAGAGCCCTTGGGCTTGAGCCGCTGAGCCTCGACGTCTGTCTTTTTCTGGTTCCAGATTCTGCGCATTGCAAAGTTAAAAGTAAAAATGTATTAGCAATAAAAGGGTGTTGAGCTTGGAAATGCGAGTTGAAAAGAAAAATAAAGCGGCTGCTAAATGGAATGAAAAAGGGCGAAGGAATGGGAAGAAAAGGGTGCTCTTTGGCCTTGTGCTTTGCGCTTTGCGCGTTGAGCTTTTGCGGACTCTGCTGCTGCGGCGAAAGCTCCCAAAGCTCAAAGCTCAAAGCCTCGAGACCCTTTTATTTGAACCAAAGGAAAAGCGGGGGGCAGCACACATAATGAGCTCACTATTGGCAGATATATCACATGACTTCTAGTTTCAACTTTTTGATTTTGGTTTTGATTTCGATTCTGCGTTGATCCGCGTTTTATAATAACCAAGGAAAGAAGGGGGGAGGAGAGAGGACATGATCTGAGAACTGCGAATCGCTTCAGCTGAGTGCGAAGCCGCTGCTTCACCTGCCTGCTTGCTTGTACCCATGCAGACTGGGGCGCAGAAGCGCAGCCAGGGTGTATTTTTTTCTCTCTCGCTCTCTATCATTTCCCCACTATTTTGGCTGCTTGCTGCGTTGCGCTGTGTTGTATGTTGTGCATACACTTCTTTTTTTGCTTTGTTTATTTTTCATCAGCATCAAACATCAACAACTAGTATTAACAACAAACAAAAAATTGTTCTTTTCTTGTTTTTGCAACTGTTATTATTAATTTTCACTTTTTTATTTTTTTGTTCATTTCATTCATTCATTCATTCATTCATTCACATATTGCAGAAACCATGGCTGGCCCTGAAGGCAAATACGGCCAATTGATTATTATTTCGCGCATGGGCAGCGACGGGAAGGCATTCCTGATGCACAACGAGCAAGTGATGATTGGAAGGTAGCTTAGGGAATATAAACAACAACAGCAATAATGGTAATGGTATTTGCAATTGAGCAAAGTCTAACAACATCCGCCCTTCCGGGGGCAAAAAGCGCTACTCTTCCTGGCTTGTAGGTTGGAGACGTGCGACATATGCATGAAGAGACCGCAAGTGTCCAAAGAGCACTGCTTGATACGCGTAGCCGACGACAAGGTAAGAAACCCAACGCGTTTTGGCTTTGTAGAACGCGGCGAAATACGGGTGGAAAATATCGAATTGGCTTACAAGCAATTTTCATTGTTTACGTTTACTATTTTCGACATAGGTGATTGCGCGGAACCTTGGCGATAATGGAACACAGATCAACAGCAGGATCCTCAAGCTCGGGGAAGAGCACGTGCTGGCAACAGGCGACCTGATCACCATAGTTGGGCGCTCGCTGAGATACGAGCGGCCGCGCGACACCTCGGTGCTTTTGGCGCCGCACCAGCTGGCGCAGATCGACGTCCTGCCCAACAGGCAGCCGATTCAGCCGGCAGGGGGCGCACTGGTCACGGCGACAAAACTCAGGCCGCGGCTGGTCAGGACAAAGCCACGGCGGACGCCCGAAGCCGAGCGAAAGTTCAAGCGGTGGGATGAGCACTACTCCGGCTTGAGCAGGCAGGCCAGCGGCAGTGGGCAGAGCGGCAGTGTGGACAGCACAAGGCCGGACTGGCGCAGCCTTGCCTCGTCGTCGTCAAATCTGCTCGCCGAATCGCCGCCGTCCATGCTGTACCGCAGCTGCGTGTCGCAGACGCTTGATGACGACGTCGACGACGTCTTTGGAGACAGGCCGGGCGGCGATCCGCCTGCTGCCAGCGAGGCTGCGCTGAACACGCCGCCCAGCGCCAAGCTGGCCGGAGAGGGCGCCTCGGTAGTGCGTGACGAGGTCAGGCGGATCATGGATGAGATCAGCCAGATGGCGCAGGCCCCAGCGGCGAACCCCCCGCTGGCGCCGCTGGGCAGGCAGCTGAGCGCTAGCCGCCGGCGGTCGCGGCCGCTCGAGGCGCCGCTGGGCAGGCAGCTGAGCGCTAGCCGCCGGCGGTCGCGGCCGCTCGAGGCGCAGCTGCCCGCTCCGCCAGACGCCGCCCAGGACGCACACGGGCGCAGGGAAGAGACGTCGCCCGAGCGCAAGGTGCGGACACCGGCGCAGTTCTTTGCCAGCCTCCCTCGCGCGCCCAACGCGCAGAAGGCGCAGAAGGGGGCGCTCATCCGCCAGTCGTCGCCGCTGAAGCGCACGCTGTCGTGCTCCTCGCGGCCGCAGCCGACCCAGCCGATCCTCGTCCCGCCGCAGCCGACCCTTGATCCCGGCGAGGAGAGCGAGGAGGTTCCGACCGAGCCCGAGCCCGAGACCGAAGAGGACGAGGACGAGGACGAGGTGGTTCTGTCACCCGAGTCATCGAAGGATCCGGCGCCGCTGCTGGCACTGCAGACGCCGCCGCCGCGCCAGCGCCGGGTTCTGGCGGACGGCCGCCCAGGGCCGCGCAAGTCCGTCCGCTTCGGGCCGGCGCTGAGCCCCGAAGTGTACGAGGAGAACGCGCCGCCGTCGACGCCGCTGCGCCGAGGCACGCCGCTGCAGCCTGCGCGCCGCACGGCCGGCATCCTCCGCCGCGGCGGGTCCGAGTCCGCCATGCAGCTGACGCCGCACCCGGCGGCCGGCCGTGCGGGCCTGGGCTTTGGTGAGCTGCTGCAGCCGCGCCAGACCCGCCGAGCCACCATGAACCGCTTCCTGTCGACGCTGTCGTCGCTCGACGAGGGATATGCCCCCGAGGAGGGTTGCCTGGCTGGCCTGTTTGGCTACGAGTCTGCCTCTGAGTTCCCCGGCCGCATCGGCGGCATGGTGGCTGAATCCCTGGCCAAGGCCAAGGAGGAGGTCGATGAGCCGGCTGGCGTGCTTGTCCCTGAGCCGGCTGGCGTGCTTGCGCCCGAGCCGGCCGCTGGGCTTGCGTCCGACCAGGCGCCACAGTCTGCGAGAAGGCGCCGCAGCGTGCGCCTAGCGCGCATGGACCGACGTGTGACCCTCGACTCAATGAAGTTGGAGCCAGCGACGCTCGACGCGGACTCGCCGAGGCTAGTTGTGCGCACCAATGCGTCGCGCCTCGACTACTTCTCGCCAGTGTCGACGCCCCCGCGCCCAAGCCGCCTGCGCCCAGCAGTATGCGCCGACGAGTCCCCGGCCAGCGGCGTCAAGCGTCGAGCGCGTGCTGAGCGCCGTCGCACTGCGCCTGTGATGATGGACTTTAGCGCGTCAATGGCCGCCATGGCCGCTGCGCTTGGCGAGGACATTCCCCCGATGCCGGTTGCCGCCCAGGCGAAGAAGGACGACCAAAAGCAAGAGCAACAGCAACAGCAACAGCCAGGCGCTGAGCACGACCACAACCACGAGCTGAAAATCCAACACAACGCCGAAGAGGACATTTCTGAGTCGCCGTCGTCGCAGCTGCCGCTGGGCGGGTGGCCGTTGGGCTTGGCTGACTCGATGTACTTGCAGCTGCAGATGAACAGTCCCGTCGAGCCCGCGCACTCGGCCATGCCGCTGCCCTTGATGCCATCACGGGTGTCCTCGTCGGAGCTGCTCCTGCGCGAGCAAGCCGTCCTGCAGGCCCGCATCGCCAGCCACAGCGCCGCGCCTGACGCCTCATCTAATGCTGCTGCCGGCGGTGTCAGTTCTGACGTGCTCAACGAAGCCGTCACGCCGGCCGTCCGCAGCCGCGACCGCCGCCAGACCACCACAGACATTGAGCCGCTTTCGGCAGACGAGGATATTACCCAGAGCACCGACGACCTTTTGGCGCACAGGCAGCGATTGCGCCGCATGCAGGAGCGCAAGCGCCGTCGCCAGACCATTGCTGACATCAAGAAGCGCCGGTCATCGTGGCTCGGCTGGGTGCCTGCGCAGACACCGCCTCGCTCGCCGGCCACGCTGCCACCGCCAGCCACTGCTCAGCCGCCGCTGCTGTCGCCACCGCAGTCACGAGCCCTGGCCTCCAAGTCAGCCGGTCATGCGGCCAACCAGCCAACTGCTGCTGCCGCCGCCTTTGATTTTGAACTTGAATTTGCTGCAAAGGGGGGCAGTGACGACGCCGCGCCTTTCTCTTCACCAACCACCCGCAAATCCACATCCACTATGTATCCCCCTCCTGCCGCGAAGAATACGCCTGAGCCGCGCAAGAAGCGCCGGCTGACCGAGTATGTTGCCTCTGCACTGGGCATTGGCTCCCCCGAGCCTCGTGCCCTGCCCGCCAAAAACGACGACTTTGCATATCCACCGCGCCCTGAGCCTATCGACGCCAACTGGGAGCACGTAGAGCGCAAGGCCCTCAACGGCATCGGCAACGCCACTCCATCGCCTGCTGCTGGGGAAGAGCCAGTTTCGGCGTCGCAGCCTGTCGAGCTGTTTGCTGTCACCCAGCCCAGCAGCATTGCCAGCAGCAGCCCTAGCATTGCCAGCAACAAACGGCACCCGCTTCGTCGCAACACGGCTGCCAACAACAGCAGCACCAGCATTGCCAGCAGCAGAAGCGCCAGCAGAGGTGCCAGAAACGGAGGCAGCACCACCGCCGCCACCACCACCACCAGCAGAAGCAGCAGTATTTCCGCCATTCCTTCTTTGCGCCGAGGACCATCAAGTGCTTGGACACAGCATCGGCAGCCCCCTGCATCCCAGCCGGCCAACCCACCTGTTCAGCGCAGTGCAGCAATCTCCGCAAGAATATCCTTGTCGGCCAATACCCGTGCAAAACCTGTGGGAGGGGCAACATCTGCTGTGCATGCGAGCGCTATTAATATTGCGAGCGCATCATCTGCATCCGATTCCAATCCCAGTCCCAGTCTCAGGCGCAATCCCAATATGAAGGCACATGCATCGTCCAATATACAGAGCGACCATGTGGGACAGCGATCGACAAGGGACAATAATATCCAGGCTTTGCAGAATCCCCCCCGTGTTTCGACAATTGGCACCCAGAAACAGAGACAGAGCCAGTTAACGACGCCCGTTCGGAGGCCGGCTTCTAGGAATAGTATTGCTCCGTTAGTGTCCCCCATCATTACTCGCAGCGCGAGGAAGCGCAAGACTGCAGAAGGGCCCGCGATTCCCGAAATCACGGCGCCATCGCTCGATTCCCGCACTCGCACTCTCGCTTCGAAAGCCGCCTCGGCCGCCAATGCTGCGTCCAATTTGGCCTCCAATGCCTCTGCTGTGTCTGTCTCGGCCTTGCCTGCTGCCGCTGCAAAAAGAGCACATCGGCCTTCTGCTGCAACCCCAACAACGTGCAAACCAAAGCTACCGCCGCCCCCACGGCCATCCAAGCGCACCAAGCGCTCGTAATTATATTTATTCTTTTTTACATTTCCATCTATCGCTTCTTTTTCACGAAATTTCTTGTTTTTTACCTTTTGCCCAGCTAGTATTTCTGAATTAATATTCTTTTCGTGCGCTTTTTTCTGCTCTCGGCTAATTAGACAATAAAATCAGGATTGTTCTCCACTAGCAAAAACATTGTCTCCATTACTCCAACCACGCCATTTCCGTATTGCTTTTGCTCATCATCGTTGACCCCCCCCCCCTCTCACCATCCCCCTTTTCTTTCTCACTCTCATGTACCTGCAATATCAGACCCAGAAACCTGCATAACCGACACACTCAACGAGAGCCCCTCAGTGACCACGGAGTCCCAGCAAGATAGCCAGCACCTTGACAATATCAGTCTCATAATTTATTGTTAAATAATATACCTATTTTTATACACCCTTTAGCCTTGACATGTAACTTGCTTGTGGTCATTTCTGTTTTGCCAGTTTCTCGGACCGTGCCAACCTGATTGGGGGAGCGCACATCCAAAGATAGAAGGTGTCCAATATAGGACATAAAAAGGCGATACTAAATTCACTCAATAAATCATACTTCGAGCTCTGCTCTCTGCGTGCTTTATTAGCGAAAAAACACCCTGCTATGGGAATAAAAGAAATTACATAGATGATCAACAACAAAAATTTTCAAATAAATGTAATCGCCTAATTGGTATTTACTGTCCCCTGCTCGGTATTCATCAGTCGAAGTAAGAATAAAATTGACCATGCACGTATATATTTCAAGATTGCCCTCATCTCTAGTTTTTTCCCTCTCTTGTTTTTTCTTTTCTTTTTTGTGTTGAAGCAGGCAATATTGTGAAAATCAAAATAGGAGGAAGATCTGTTCACAAGACAAAACGCAAAATTTTGAGTGCTTGCCGTTGTATCGAGATAATTAAATTGCATGTTATCCTGCTCACCCCTCCTCCGCTCTCGAATGTCAAATCCGACTTAGCTCCAATTTGTACAACTACATTGCATTTTGCGATGCGGATCAGTGTGCTCCTCATTTATTCATTTATCCCTTGTTATGTTTCTGCTTTCCATTGGTAAAAATAAGACAGGGAAAAACAATGGCGATCGACCTCATCTAATAATTTGTATATGCAGCAATGAAAAAAGGGGAGAAAACCGAGCAACTATGAAGAAGAAACAGAAAAGACGTAATAAATGAAGGCTAAACGGACATTGAATATGAGTAACAGCAGCAACAGCAGCAGGGGGTAGGTGGAAATGGGCAGCACCGCACTGAAAATACTGATTTTAAAAGTGACCCTTTTTGTCAATGTTTGTGCGCAATTGTTTGAACTTGGCCTGTTTAAAACCACGGGCCGTATATAAACCAAAGCACACGCACCATTTTTGTCGGAATTGGTTCCTATCGCTACTTCATCAGCTTTTATTTCCCAAAACCACCCTAATATATTTTTATCCCCAATAAAATAGCACCCTAATACATTTCTAAAAATGACTATCTCTTTCACCTACGTAAAGGAGTCTTATCTCTTCAGCAAGCGCACATTCATTTTCCCTGGCATGCTGGAAAGCAGCTCGCAGGCAAGTAACCTTGAACCCGTATGGACAATGCAGACACAAGACAGAGACTCCACAATGTGTGCCGGCCGCGACGGCCCATCTATCATGTCCGCCCGGATGGAGGGCCACCGGAGGGACCTCGCACAATTCACCTACCAGGGCAAAATGACCAGCGGCGGCTTTGATGGCACAAAATCCACCTGGACATTCATTGATTTCGACGGCAAGCGCTATGACTGGATTGCTGGCATGATGCAGAACTGCTGGAAGCTCGAGGACGAAAGTGGCCAGACAGTGGCTCAGTACATCGGCATGTCGCGCGACTACAAGGTCAAGGGCACAGTCAACTTCCACACAAAGGTCAACGAGGCACTTATTGCACTGATCATCTTATCGACGAGGATGCTCAAGTACGACAATTCAAACATGCACTAATATTACCTGCCATTACAGCCAATCCTCAAAAAAAAGAAATTACAACACACACACACACACACTACTTTCTATCTTTTCTTTCTTACTTGCATGCTTGACCTCTTTTTCACCTAACTTATTTTTTACTTATTTTTTGTTGTATTTTGAAATTAATACATTGTTTTTCTATGCTGCAATTTTGCTCAAAGGCGCTCAAAAGCGTTTTGGCCTAGCCTTGTCGGACGAAACCGTATCCGATGGCCGCGGCTGCGCTCCCAATCCCAATAAGCTGGGTCTTGCAACAAAGCTCTTGTCGTCATCTTTCATTGCCGATTTGTCACCGATGTCGTCCTTCCAACCCATCCCGCGCAGCATTGCCGCACCAAATGACTCTATAGGCACCCGCTCATACGTCTGGTCGTCAACGTCGTCCGACAAATCGGCATCACTATCTGCAGTGATAATCATATGCTTCTCTTGTCCGGAACGTTCACCTAGATCGCCGCCATGCATCAAATCGTTAATTGCCTGCTGCCGCAAAGAAAATTGTTCTGATTCCCTATCCAAAATATCACTTCTTTCCACCCTCTTCTCTTTCTTTTCTTGCCGCTTGGAAACCACCAGTCCAAACTCGCCTTTATCCTTTTTCTCCATCCAGTTTGCGTTGCGCTTTGCCAAAATCACGAGCGGCCTGCTGGCATCCTCTTCCTCTTTGCTCACTATTCTGTCGCCCTGCTCGCCCAATATTGCCATCTGCACGCCAACTATTAACTTGCTTGAGGATTGTTTATCGTTTGTGTCGTCACACTCAGCGCCAAAGGCCTGTGGTTTCTTTAGCGGTGCAGCCGCTTCTAATTTAAACCCCTTGAAGGCCGTCGTGCTAGACGACAGGACACTTCCAATTGGCTTTTTGACCACCTTTCCGGCGCCCGACTTGCGCATGTTGAAAAATTAAAATTTTGAAAAGGAAAATGGGGGAAATGAAAATAATGCAAAAGAGAAGAGAAGAAATGGCTGAATCATTTTTTTCCACTATCCGTAACAATTGAAAATTGAGTATTTTTCCTTGCTCGTGTCATTCTGAACAAATTATTGGTCATTTATGTGTTTACTCATAGATATTATTGTATGTAATTACTGTTATTCAGCAAGTAACAATTGGACTTTAAAAGTTAAATTAAATCCGCAATGGTCTAGTGGCTAGGATCCGACGCTCTCACCGTCGTGGCCGGGGTTCAATTCCCCGTTGCGGAACACTTTTGCTGCCCAATTTTAAATTTTTTGCAGACGTCATTAAACAATATAAATGTATTAAAATGATGTGCAAGTTACCTTTTATTTTAATTTTTAGCTTATCATTTAAAGCAAACTGGAAATGTCTCATTTTATCTTGTCTAAAGCACTCGCTCTCATCAGCTGCAAAATGCACATTTGTGTTGGTATCAATTAATAGTTGGTTGTCAATTATTTTGCAAAATCACTGGTGCCGCTATAAGGAAGGGAGATCATGCACCTTAAAAGCCTTTAGAAGCACCAGTTGCAATGTGCGCGTGGTGGCTAACCCACATGTGATATCTGCAATAAATTTTCACATTTGCAACAGCTGCCAGAAATAAATGGTGTTTTATTCTTGGTCGAAATGAAAACAACTTCAAATAGAAAATTTTTTTGGAAATAGTGCTCTTGGATTTATCATTTGCAAAAAAATAATTTTGGGCCAGTTCGTACATGCCACAAAGCTGAGTGTCTGGCAATACACAATATAAAGGGTTAAAAAACTCTTTCTACGCCCACCTTCAAAGCGGGCTGCACAGCTTCATTTGGCGCCAAGCCTTGCTTTTAGCCCAGCAATTTCCCTTATTCATTATAATAAAGGGGTATTCGTAGCAAATGTTTTTTTGACGGCTGCTATTTCTTCTCCTCCATCTTTAGCTTCTCAACCCTTACCTACCTTTATCAATTTCGCATTTTTATTCAAACATTTTATATTCTATAAACGCATTATATCCTGTATTTTTTACTATTAGCCAAATGTCAAACACCACAGACGACAAGGACAACAACATATTGACCAGTCCAGACAAAAAATGGAGCGTCGTTCTCACGTGCCCAGACTGCCGCAAGGAGCCGCCCAACATTGTTGAGGACTTTGCCTCGGGTGACCTGGTCTGTGGCGACTGCGGCCTGGTTCTTGGAGACCGTATTATTGACACTCGTTCCGAATGGCGCACCTTTGCCAACGACGAAGGCGGCGATCCCTCTCGTGTCGGTAGCGCTGCCAACCCGCTCCTGGATGGCGACCAGCTGGACACATTAATTGCCAGTGGCAATGGTGGTTCCGGACTGGCCCACAACCTCAACCGTATACAGGGCCGCACGGCGTATGAGGTGCATGGTAAGGTCTTGGCCCAGACATATAAAGACATATCATCTCTGTGTGAAGCCTTCACCATGTCAAAATCCACAATTGACATTGCCAAGGGCTTGTATAGAAAAATGGAAAATGGAAAACTGCAGCGCGGTAGAAACAGCGACGCTATTATTGCTGGATGTATTCTCTTGGCCTGTCGTCAGGACAATGCTCCGAGGTCATACGCAGAGATTTGCAAGCTAACAAAGGTCAACAGGAAGGACATTGGAAGAACGTTAAAGTTCATAAAGGCCAAGCTGGGCACAGACTCTGGCAAAACATCGTCAAACGACCTTATTGGACGCTTTTGTTCTAATCTCGGTCTGGATCAGGACACTCAGAGAATTACAAATATACTGGCCGAGATGGCAAAGGACATTCAGAGTATCGCGGGCAAGTCGCCTGTTTCCATTGCCAGCGCTTGTATTTACATGGCGTCGCACCTCACGGGCAATAGCAGAGATGCAAATGAAATCTCTAAAATTTCTGGCGTTGGTGGGACTACCATCAAGACGACCTACAAGGTCCTGTACCAGAACCGCAACACCCTCCTTACACCTGAAATTATGCGTGAGGGATCCGCCGCCAATGAGTCCAACCTCATCGAACCGTGAGAGACGAACGGAATGCTACACAAACATGTTATTTGCAAGTGGCAAACTGCTCGAGACAAGCCCGCTGGAAAGCATGGTAAATTGGGGTGACAAAGCTTTGAGCTCTTAGTGATCAAGCTCGCAAGCCGATTCGGTCAGCAAGCTGGACACGCAGCCCAACCCCCGGCTTATAAATCAGGTTTTAATGCTGTACTTTTTTTTGTTTTAGCAGATCAAGGGACCGAATTTTCGAGGCTGGTGGCGTTTTTTTCTTTTTCTGACTGTTCACGATTCTCATTTTTTATTCTTCTTTCTTGTTCCAGAATTTCCAAAATAAAGGAAATTGTGTTTTTTTCTTTCCTTTTTCCTTTAATTCCCTGTATTTATTTATTTCTAAACGCGATTTCCCTTATTTTTATTCTTGGAATGTCAAAGATTGCAGACAGGAAGAATGCAAAGGGCGCACCATTGAGTAGTCCCGACAAAAAGTGGAGCGTCGTGCTCATGTGCCCAGACTGCCGCAAGGAGCCACCCAACATTGTTGAGGACTTTGCCTCGGGTGACCTGGTCTGTGGCGACTGCGGCCTGGTTCTTGGAGACCGTATTATTGACACTCGTTCCGAATGGCGCACCTTTGCCAACGACGAGGGCGACGACCCCTCTCGTGTCGGTAACGCTGCCAACCCGCTCCTAGACGGTGACCAGCTGGACACAGTCATCTCTCGCGGTGATGGTGGTTCCGGACTGGCTCGCAATCTCAACCGCACACAGGGCCGCACGACGGCCCAGAAGCACGAGAGGGACCTGGTGCAGGCATACAAGGAAATATCATCCTTGTGTGAGGCATTTGCCATGCCAAAGTCCATCATTGACATTGCAAAGGGCTTGTATAAAAAGGTCGAAAATGATAATTTACAGCGCGGCAAAAACAACGACGCGATCATTGCTGCCTGTATCTTTTTAGCCTGTCGTCAGGACAATGCTCCGAGAACATTCAAAGAGATCTGCACACTGACAAAGGTCGACAGGAAGGATATCGGAAGGACATTCAAGTTCTTGAAGACCAAGCTGGGCACAGACTCTGGCAAGACGTCGTCGAACGATCTTATTGAGCGCTTCTGCTCGAACCTCGGCTTGGACCAGGAGACCAGGAGGATTACAAATATTTTGACTGGTGTGGCCCAGGATATCGAGAACATTTCTGGAAAGTCACCTGTTTCCATTGCCAGCGCTTGTATCTACATGGCGTCGCACCTCACAGGCAATGGCAGGGACGCAAAGGACATTTCGAGGATAGCTGGTGTTGGCGAGGCCACAATTAGGACGACCTACAAGATCTTGTACCAGAACCGCAAAGTTTTGCTGACTCCCGAGATCTTGCGTGAGGGATCCACCGCCAAGGAGTCCAACCTAATCGGCCCATGAGTGGAATATGATTCCACGACCGACGCGAATTGCACTGTTCTCTGTGTGCATCTTTTTTTTTATTTTTTTAATGTCAATAGTGTTTTTTGCATGGATAAACATCAAAAGAGTGACATTAATGAATTGTATTGATGTTGGTTGATTATTTAAAATATTTAATTACTTTCTCGCATACATGGATGATATTGTCGCCCACATTTCTCTCGCCTGGTCGCCGACTATGCTGTCCAAGGTGCGCTCGATAATTGCGTCCACTTGCTCGTCGCCGCCGGCAGCAGCAGCAACAAATGCCAGCTCGCGAGCGCCGTCATTGACATATTGCCAGTCCTCCTCAATGCTGCCAATCTGAAACTCCAGCTTGTCTCGCTGCAGCTCGAGGTCGTTAATATCATGCTGCGTCTGCTTGATCCTGTCCTCCAGCCCCTTGTATACTGTATCGTCGGGTATGATCGGGAACGATTTAATCAGGCTGGCCGTGTTAGTCTTGGGGCTAATCAGCGTGTCCAGCTCGAGCAACGCGTCTTTTGAGCTCACGCCAGAAGGCAGAAGGTCTGCGGGCATCGATTGGTTGGCCGAATACATCTCGATGAGCTCCTCGTGCAGCTGCATGTTCTCGATGAGCAGCTCGGCCGAATCTGGTTGTGCCGACAGCGCGGATTGCAGTAAGGTAATCTCCTCACGCAGCGCCATGTTCTCGGCAGTCGACACGTAGGTTTCGGAGGCGCTTCGGCGCAGTGCCTGGCATTCGGCCTTTGTCAACTTTAGCACCAGACGTTGTTGCTGCAGCTGCCGCTTGTGCCGCTCCAGGGAGTCCTTTAACTCGAATACAATCTCGGCGTAGCGCGACTTTTGGCGCTCGGACTCTTTGAGCTTGCGCATTGCCAGGAGCAGTATGAACTGCGCGGCGTGCTGTGATGCGGAGTCGACAAAGGGCGGCGCTCCTAGACGCGCATTGGCTGCTGCCTGCTCGCGAGTGTTGGTGTTTCCGGCATTACGACCGCTGCCATTTGCATTGTTGCTGTTGTTGTTATGACTGTTATTTTCGGCTGATGATGACCTTGCCTGGGCCAGTTGCTGTTTGAGACGCTGAATCTCGGCCTGCAGCTGTGGCACGTTGCCTTGCATGTCGTGGTTGACGACGGCCTTGTTTCGAATCATCTTGGCGCGCTGAGCAAACCGAAGCGTACTGGCGGTCTCGGCGTCGTTGCAAACGGCAGGGCTAACGTTGGCAATAATAATTGTCACCGAATTCCCGCCCAGCGAGTCGCGGAGCAAAAAGGTGAGCTTGCTGTCGCGGTAATTGACGTGGCGCGATTTTCCATTTCCAATGTCGACCAGCGAGTTGATGACGTTTCCCAAGGTCGACAAACTCTTGTTGATGTTGGCAGCCTCCTTGAGCCGCAGCCCGCTGGTGTTTGCCAACTTCTGGCGCTCGCTTCCGGCCAGATCGACCAGGTTGAATGTGGACTCGCGGATCTCGGTCAGACCTGTGTCTTCGGTCTGCGTCAGCGACTGGATGACCAGCATCAGCACCGAGTGCGAGCGACTGCTCTCGCGGTTCATCGACGTCGCGCTGACATGGCGACTGTGTGCGCCACGCATAAAAATATTGTACGCCTCGTTGGGGTCCTGGACCGTCTCTTCAGACACATTGTCAATGAAAATGCCCTTCTTGATGTCCTCGCGTATCGCGCAGGTGCGCATCATCGGGTCCAAAAGGTCGTAGATGGTCTCGTTGTAGATTTCAATGTAGGATGCCTTGCAGAGGTACTTTACCCGGCCACCGGACCTGGCCTCTTCCTCGGCTATGCGCGCAAACAGGTACTCGAAGCACCGTGGAATCAGACCGCGCAACTCGTCGTCGGGCCCGGTAAACTCATCGCGCGCTCCCTGCATTGTAAACGTCTTCCCGCTACCTGTCTGGCCGTACGCGAATATTGTGCCGTTATATCCCTGCATGCACTGCTCCACCGCTCGCTTGCCGACAGCTTCAAAGACATCTTGCTAAAAGACAAAATAAAAAATAAGGTAAATACAAGCCAGGGTGTTTGTGCTGTTAGTAGAGCGTTCTTGCACATGGTTGGATGATATTCCGACATGTAAGAGCTCCAAGTCTGCTCTGTGCCGGCGTGTGTAACGAATCAATGGGCGTACCTGTGTGCAGTCCTCGTTCCCGACAAAGTCAAAAGTAAAGTTTTCTGTGCGCTGCGAGGGAATAGAAACTGTGTTTTCGGACAGCATGCGCACGGCAGATTCGGTCGTGCGGTCCCGCCTGAACTCGTCCTCGGACAGCGGCCGAATGCGCATGAAAACCTGAATGTTGTCCATTGGCTAGCAAAAAAATAATATATGTATATATATTTAAAAGTTGTGAAATTAATAAGTTTGCACCCGAAGTGGCTAATTGAAGACGTAACAAATAAAGGAGTGTGTGGAAATAGAAGCAGAAATAGTGTAATAAAAAAGAAAAATTAATGGCTACAAGCAGAACAAAAAACAACAGAATTAATACATGCGGTCCAATCAGGAATCCAGAATATGCATTAAAAAACCAGGACGATCCAGAAAATAAAAAATTAACCCTCCGCATAAGCAAAAGCAATAAAAGCTAAGCTCTGTGTTTTTAAAAGTTCCAATATCACAAACAGCATGTTACAAATTTGTTTATTTTTTTGGTATTTACGTGTTGCTGCTAACTTTAATGAAAAAAATAGTTTGGGATTGTGACATGCGCAGGCAGCAAATAATTAGGCTGTCTAAAATAGCAAAATACAGCCCTCTCCGAGGTTCGAACTCGAGTCTTCGCTTCCCGACACACGACTACTAAAAGCCGTGGCTTAGGAGAGCGACGCTCTTCCACTGAGCTAAGAAGGCGGCTTTATTTTTTACAATTACAATATAGTAATAAGTAGATTTTTGATATTTTTCGAATTGAACATGGCAAAGTTAAAAGTTAAAATATTGAATATGAGTTCTATGCGTATTGCAAATAGCCGCACAAACTGGTATTTAATACAGCCACACAAGCGTACTATCAAACCGCACTGGCTATGGAATGATACAATTTGGTCACCATGATGATATTGGCAAGCAATAGTGACATTCATGCGCATTGACAAAAATAAACCAACTTGCTTGTCTGGATGACATTTGAGCCAAATCAAAAGTAGTAAGTAAACCATTAATACTGCGGCGCCAAAGTGGCACAATTTTAGGAGAACTCTATCTGGTATATAGGCTTGGTTGTTTTTAATTATAATGCTTTTCCAGTGGTTTTGAGCGCATAGCGTACACATGTACCGGTCAAAAAACAAACTACAGTCAAGTGCTGGCTTCTTGACCATGCTTGTGCCGAAATACTTGCAACAACTCATGGATAAATATTATCAAATGAGCAACCAAGGGATATTTGCCGCTTGCCCCCTTCCTGTTCTGCCCTGCCCTGCCCTGCCCTGCCCTGCCCTGTCCTGTCCTGCCCTGTCCTGTCCTGTTCTGTTCTGTTCACTTTGATATAATTTATACAACAAAAATATTTAACAGCCATTTATCACGTGCACCAATCAGTGGATTGGCTATCATTGATTGGCAAGAAAATTTTTTTGTTGCTGCTGTTAAAGTCTCGCGTTTGGCTGGAAAATAGAGCGTGCGTTTCAAAAGCTTTCTTGTTCTCTGCTTTTTCTCACTTGCAGGATACAAGAAAAAAGAGAAAGTGCGCCAAAAAAGGCTCAGAATTATTGAATAACGAAAAAACTTCGAAATTGCAGCAGGCCAATTTGCCCCAATCCAATCCAGTCCAGTCCAATTCAATTCAATATCACCATTTTCTTCTTCTTTCGATCGTTAATTCGCCTTGTCTTTATACTAAAAATTTTTACACTTTTTAATTTAAAAAGGAAAATTATACACACACACACACACAATGAGTGGACAAAACATAATTTTTGTTGATGGCGAGTCGTCGTCGCAGATTGAAGAGCTCGCACGCTACATTGGCGGGCTCAAGGAGGAGAGCAACGTGGATTCCTTTGTCAGCGGGCTCGGCGGGTCTGCAGAGGCAGTGCTGAAGGCCAGCCTGGGAGGAGTCCTTGCCAAGGCGCCCGAGGACAAACTTGAGGCCGTGTACAACCAGCTGTTCGCCGTGGTGGCCGGCGCCGAGGACGCCAGCCGCTCCACCGCGCTGGGCGCGGCCACCAAGGCCATCGTCGACGACCTGTCGGCCAACAGCGAGAGCGGCGTCGGGGCGCTGCGCGTGCTCAACAACCTGTACAACCTGCTGGCGGTCGTCGGCGCCGAGGGCAAGGCGCGGTCAGATGTGTTCGAGGGCATGGTGTCGGTGGCCGCGCGCGCGCAGCTGCTGGGCACCCTCGTGCCGCTGGTGTCGCGGCTGCCGTCGATGCTCGGCGAGTGGGGCGTTGCCGCCGAGGACAAGGCGCGCATCCTGCTGGCGCTGCGCACGGCGCTCGACGCGGCTGCGCTGTCGAACGAGGCGTACGAGGCCGAGGTCGTCTTCCTCGAGGTCGTCGGCGCCGAGCACGAGCGGTCCGCCGAGGTCGCGTCGTCGGCCATTGTGCGCTTCGCCAACCTGCTGGCCATCTGCGACATCGACGCCCTGGCCAGCCTGGCCAGCGTGCAGGAGCTCAACAAGCGCGGCGCGCTTGGCGATGCCGGCGCCGTGCTCAACGCGCTGCTGTCGAGCGACTTCGGCCAGTGGGCGCAGTTCGCGGCCGACAAGGCCGGCGCGCTGAAGGCGCTGGGCGTCGACGCCGAGCGCGCGGCCGACAAGGTGCGCCTGCTGACGGTTGCGTCGGTTGCGGCTGAGAACCTCGGGCAGGACGTGCCGTTCGGCGTCATTGCCAAGGCCATCGGCATCGACGAGGACGACGTCGAGCTGTGGATCATCGACGTTATCCGCGCCGGGCTGATCCAGGGCAAGATGAACCAGGTTGCGCGCACCGTGCTCCCCACGCGGTCGACCTACCGCACGTTTGGCGCCGACCAGTGGGAGCTGCTCGCCGAGCGCCTCAGCCAGTGGAAGAAGTCGCTCGAGGAGCTGCAGCCTGTCGTCAACAACGCCAAGCTGATCGCCCAGCAGCAGGCCATGCAGATGGCAGGCCAGTCGCGCGTCACCATCAAAGAGTAGAAAAAGCAAAAGAATGAAAATTAAATAAATAAATTCTTTCACTTTAGCCAGGCGGAGGCAGCAGCGTTGCTTTGCCCCCTTTGCGTCTTTCGCTTATTTTTATTATTTCTTGCCCCAATTTGGCCAATCGAAAATGCACAAGACGCCGATGCAGCTGCTGCCGCCCTCTTTGCCAGAGACCGGGGCCGAGACCGAGACAAATAAGCAGGCACAGGCAGAGACGCAGATGCAGACGCAGCCACAGACAGACGCCGGCGCACTGCCGCCGGCCAGAGCGTATTCCCAAAAGCAGCTCAAAGAGTAAGCACCGCACAAAATCCATTTTTCACGTGGCGCTTGAGCCAGCCTCAGCCTCCAGTCAGCCAGCCAGACAAACAAACTCACATTCTCGCCGAAGGCCCATTTTTTGAGAGGCAGTGTTGTAGGATATGCAGCCTGGAGCGGACGCTCACCGACCGACGCGCCAGAATCGAGTTTCTGCAAAAGGCCACCGAGGCAGCGCTGATGCGAGCGCAGCGGGTCAGCCGGCTGCGGCAGCAGATAGACACACAGCGCAAGCGCGTGGGTCTCCAGAAGCAGCGGCTCGAGGACAAGACCAGGCACGTCGAGCGGGCCGCGCACCTGCTCGAGATAGCGCTCGCGCAGCACGCGCAGGCCAAGGGCGCCATTGTAGCGGCCAGGAGGGACGCCCTGGCGGTGGCCGGCCAGGTGTCGCGCCAGGCCGTGGTCTTGCGGCAGGACCGCATTATCTTCGAGGACCTGCGCGCAATGCTGGCGAGGCAGCGCGCCCTGGCGGTCGGCGACCTGGCCGAGGCGTTTCCGGTCGAGATGGCGATGGACGAGGCCGACTGGACAATATGCGGGCTGCGCGTCAGCAGCGCCGAGGGCGTCCGCGGGTGGCAGGCCAGCGAGGAGACGGCAGCGGCGCTGGGGCTGGTCACTCGGCTGCTGGACGCCCTGGCGAGGTACTTGTGTGTGCCGCTGCGCTTCCCCGTGGTGCCTCGCGGATCGCGGTCGGCCGTGTGCTGCCTGTTCTCGGGGTCCGTCGAGTGGTGGCCGCTGTTCATGCTGCGCGCCGCTGACCGGCCTCGCCTGCACACGGCGCTCAGGCTGCTGGCCGTCGACATCGAGCAGCTGCTGTGCCAGCACGGCATGGAGTCGGTCGATCCCGAGAGAAAGAGGCGCCAACTGTCGCTGCTGCCGAACCTCACGCAGCTGCTGATGGCCATTGAAACAAGCTCATTTGCCCAGTAGCAGCACTGTTTTTATCAGCCACCCAATGTAATCAATACAAAGGACGCATACTCAGCATCTCAGCTTGAAAGAAGAGAAAAGTTGCGCTGGGTGGCGGGGTGGGTGGCGTGATGGTTTTTTTTGAAGAAAACGCAAGTATCAAGTATCAAGCAAGTATCAAGAGTACCATACAATGCAATGGTTCCATTTTCGACCTTGAAGTTTTTTTCCACGCGCGTTTCCTGCCCCCCTTGTCTTCGCCGGTTCAGTAACAACCATTTGCATTTACATTATTTACATTATCGCTCCTTCATTACTTCAATTTGCCTGTCAATTACAATTACAATTACAATTCCACTTTTCCCCACACAATGCTAGCCACATACTCAGGCCCAGCCTCGGGCACTGAGGCAGACACAGACACAGAGGCAGACTCAAACGCAAACGCAGACAACTGGCCATATTCAACAAACGAGTCAACCCAATTAGACGTTAGAAGGGCGAGCTTCAACTCCATAAAGCGAGGGGAGAATGACGAGGAGTATACCGAGGTCACAACAGCAGACACAGCAGATACGGCGACCAGCGGCTCGGCACAACAGAGCGCACCTGAGCCCGGACCAGCACCAGAATTAGCACCAGAACCAGAGCCAGCGCCAGCGCCAGCACCAGCACCAGCACCAGCACCAGCACCAGCACCAGCACCAGCACCAGCAGCTAACTCGGACGCGGGCAGCGACACACAAAAGGCCCCCGCAATGCAATGCGACGATGTCCTAGCGCATGCGTTCTTGGGTTCACTGAGCGAAGTTGCGCTTATACCGGGCACCCTGGCCGAGCCAGCGGCTGCGCAGGCATGCGTCGATACTTTGCAGCCGGCTGATCCACGCTTGGCCAGTGATGCCGATGCCAGGGACACCACCGAGGCATGCAAATCAGACCCTGTTGCCGATGAGTATGATGGATTTGTGCCGTTGGCTGACGCGCCTTGCCTAAAGGAAAGACGGACGCGCAACGACATTATTGTTCTTGTTACACGAAAGGCAGATATTGAAAAGCATAAACGGATTCAGAGACAGAGACAGAGTCAGGTACAGGGCGGCGCGACAGAGTGCACAGACCGTTGTCAGTCGATGGACGCGTGGCACAGCCGGATCAAACGTGTAGTCAGCAGGTATGCTATCACCAATGGGCCAAAGAGCCCGATTCGAGACAAAAAAGGTAGTGTAATGTGTGCATCTTGTTCATAGGCTTGTGGAAATTACCTAGGGACACATACCGCTCCATTATTGCCTTGGAGGTGTATTTCTGTGCTTTGCGATGGCGACATATGTTTTGGCTTTGGCTTTGGCTTTGGCTCCCAATATTTGTCTTGATTTGTTTTTTATTTTTACTGACAACTAATTCCTCCTTTGTCCAATTCACCTTCTTTACTCGTTGTAGGGCCAGACTACGTGCATCTCGAGGCACTTGCCAACGAGTACACTGAATGTCCCCCCACAATCAAAACTGCCATCAAGGCCTGGGCACAGCACATCTGCAAGAGGCGATTGGCAGTGGCATCAGGCGAAATCGCAATGGCTAGTTGGCTGTATGGCGGGTCACCAGCCCGTCTGGGCCGCTTTATATTTAGACATGCAAAGTTGTCTCTGCGCAAAACCAACGATGACAGATGGACGATGGCTGATGAATCCGAATCACCTGGATCACAGCCTTTGTCAGTCGTCAAGAGCGCTTTCAGCATTATGCCGCAGCTGATAATGGCGCTTGGTGCTGAGTCAGCGGCGGTAAAGGCAACATCGGGGGGTTTTAAAGGGGACGAGAGTACCGATGCACCTTGCGGGCAGCTCGAGACCGCCGCCAACGCACTAGTCGATGTCGCACACAAGGCGGCGGACGGCGACGAATGCAATCCCTTGCGAGCTGTTGCTGTTGTGTCCATGGCCAGTGATTACCGCGAGACCCCGCTTGCCGATAATCTGGAGCGCGCGCAGGTTTTGCAGAAGAGCGCTTTGCGGAGACTCGGGCGGAGCAAACGAGTGGCTGCCAAGTCGCCGAGGTCGCCGCGGATGTCGGACTCGCCACACATATTGAATTATTGCGACAGGCAAGCGGCGGCTGGCAATCAGGGCAGCCCCATGGATGTTGATACAAACAACGGGTTGGTTTGGCCGATGCATCGGGCGAGGTGGGCACGCACGGCGCAGCGCAATATCGACTACAACGAGGACAACAGGTTTAACGCGACATTTGATGACGATGACAGTGATAATTTGGAGGACCGTAGGCCGCTCAAGCGGATCAGGGCCGCGTCGAGCTCGGAACACAACGAGGAGGCGGCTTCATCACATTTACTGTTGTCGCCGCGGTTATCGTCGTCGTCATCGTTATTGGCGTTACCCAAGCGCAGTGCGTGTCTCCCGCCTAAGCGCAGGGGTCGTCCACCGAACAGTGAAAAATTGCGTGCTTTTGGTCCAGCCGAGCAAACGGTGACAGCCGGCGATCCAGAGTATGTCGCTATGCAAGGACTGGTTCCAAGACCCGATGGCGACGGCGATGCGTTGTCCAATGGCGATGCGGTGCCCAATGTCCATGCGTCATCCAGCACTGAGTCGCCTACCACGACGGCCTCGGGGCCGGTGGTCTTGGCAAAAACGACACCATTAGTCAGGACAATGTCAGCGCCGATGATCATACTGGCGTTGCAGTCACCGGTCAGAGCATTGTCAGGGGTTGATGCGGCGGCAGAGTCACCAACATTGGGGCCAAAGGCCAACGGAAAGGCCAAACCCAAGCCCAAGGCCAAACCCAGGCGTGGACGAAATGCGATTTATGACCTTGGTGCTCCCAGAATCGACGAACTCATCAGCGCGCAGAACACGTTCATCCGCATCAGCTCAAATAACAACATGCCGACCATGGACCAGATGACGAGAAATGACTTTTTACCTTTGGTATTTAACAGGACAGCGGACGAGCCAGCACACTTTATCATCAGTGCTAGCAACACAAGTACAAGCGATTCGATACGCCGTTACGGCCAGGGACTGCACGAGTACGCAGTTAGCGAGTTCCCGGCGTTGGTCGACCCCGATCTCTGGGTCGCGCAGCAGCAGAAAAAGTACGATGATCTCTTTAGCTCTTCTGGTTCCGAGGGCCTTTCAGTCAAGGTTACCACGTCGGCGCCCAACATGACTTGTCTGATTCTTTCGAAAATTGGTGGCATTATTTTGTGCAGGAACTGCTTGAACAGGAAAGCTGACTGCCCGTGTATGTTTAGAAACACGCGCCTGGTGACAAGCATCATTGTGTCGGCGCCGGGTACTGCAGACATTCCGTTCTTCTCGATGACTCCGATGTTCTTATCTCAGAAGAATCCGTCGGAACCCGAGTTTGATGTTCCGAGGGCTGTGTTTCCATCTCTTCCCATATTGGAGCAGATTGACCAGGCGCACTGGCGGACTATTTACTGCCGCATTTTGACCGCGCCCACACTGCTTCCGGATCTGCAGACCATGCGACTGACAGCCTCCAGGAATACAGCACATAACGGGGTCGAGTATGCGGTGGACACAGAGCTCGGGTGCTCTTCCGCGCCGTGCGTCTACCGCAAGGAGGAGTTGGGTATGCGGCAGCTGTGCGACATCTGCGAGACGACCATCCTGGGCGTCTACATGTCGTGCTCGATGTGCGGCCAGGAGGTGTGCACAGCCTGCTTCGCTGCCTGGGACGACAGCGATGTGTGCCAGCGCCTAGTTCAGAAAGAATTCGGCCCCAAAGTCCTAACGAACAGCTCAAAGTACAAGATTCGTGCATGCAAGCGGATCAACAGCCCGATCAGAGTGAAAGCTCATCACAAAAAGAGCCAGTTTGTGCGTATGTCGCAGCTGGCCGAGGCTGATGTCAAGCGGATTGGGCGCAGCGCGCAGGCGGCAATCGACATTAAAAATGATAAACTGGGAGGCCCCGACTTGTTTGACTGCGACGGGCCTGTCAGTGCTGCAGAGATGGCTGAGTTCGACGAGAAAATCCATCGGTTGAGAGAGCGCGCGCGCGCTGAGTGGGCATACCACGAGTGGGAGATGCCGCCGGTTTATGTAAAAGAGGGCGAGCTCAGCACGCGCGAGTTTTCGCGGCTGTTGCGGCGCGGCATGCCCGTCGTTGTGCGCGAACTGCTCGATAAGCTGAATGCCAACATCTGGACGCCTCAACATTGGATCACTTCCTTTGGGTCCGAGCGCGTCAGCATCCTTGACTGCAAAAATGACGCTGAGCCCGTCGAAGGCGGCGACTGGCCGCTGCGTGACTTTTACCGTTTGTTCGACGGCAACAACGATGTCTACGCGGCGCACTTTGCAGCGTTTGACGAAGCAGAGGAGGCAGCAGCGGCATTGGCAGCGGTCAGAGACAAAGACAAAGCCAAAGTCGAAATAGAGCTGGAGCCGGTGTCAGAGGCAAATGGCAAGGCTAGGGCGACCACCAAGTCAAAGCCCGATCTGCCGCGCTCCACCTGGGCCGAACACAAGACGAGCCTCGAGAATGGCATTCTCAAGCTAAAGGATTGGCCGCCGACGCAGGACTTCCAGCAGCTGCTACCCAGGCACTTCATGCACTTTATGGCGTCGCTGCCGTTCCGCGAGTACACGCAGCGCGACGGCCACTTCAACCTGGTCAACCGCCTGCCGTCTGGCGTCGTGCCACCGGATCTCGGACCCAAGATGTACTGCGCATACGGATCCAGGGACGACGGTGGGGGTTTTGGCACGACCAATCTGCACTGCGACATGTCTGACGCGGTCAACATCATGGCGTACGCGTCGAAGAGCTTTTTGCGCGCCAACAACATCGCTGTGCCAGCCATCTGGACGCCCGAGGAAAGCAGCGCTACTGACAACGTTGAGGCCAGTCCCGCCAATGACAAGGCCAAGACTGCTGCTGCCGTCTGGAACATCTTTCCGTCGGCGAGCCGCGCCACGCTGCGAAAGTTCATCACCGAGCACAAGGCAGAGGGCATGTTCATTTCGGATGCTATTCACGACCAGGCCTTCTTCCTCACGCGCGGCGACCGCCAGCAGCTCTTCGACAAGTATGGCGCCAAGCTCGGGAGCAGCTATGTCATTCACCAAAATCCGGGGGACGCCGTCTTTGTGCCTGCCGGGAGCCCGCACCAGGTGTGCAACTATGCGAACGCAGTCAAGATCGCCATGGACTTTGTCTCCCCCGAACGCGTCGCCGAGTGCAGCGCGCTGACCAAGGATTTTGCGCGCCTCAGGTCGCCTCACCCACGCAGCCACGACAACCTGCAGCTGGTGAAGATTCTGTGGTACACCTTTGCCACCAAGAAATATGTGCCCGAAGCGGAGACGCCGGTGAGGACGCCCAGATCGGCTCGAAAGCCCAAAGCGAGCAAAGCTGGTGCCGAGGGCGCGTCGGCGAGCAAGCTCAAGCCCAAGCCCAAGCCCAAGCCCAAGCCCAAGGACAAAAACATAGTCAAGGCTAAGCTCAAGCCGGGGCCCAAGAAGAGACTGGCCGTAAGGTCCGGGCACGCCCGTGATCCGGATTTCGAAGACGGCGCGTCAGTGGCTAGGCCCAGGGGGAGGCCAAGGTCCAAAAAGAAGCCGGCTTCAAAGCCAGATAGCTCTGCTGGCGCCGACGAGCAAGTAGCGGACGCCGAGACCAGGTCATGGCAAAGCCCGACTCAAACTCCAACACCCGAAGACAAACTTTCACCAGAGCCTACGCCGATTGAGACGCCCAGCAAAAGACACCGGCGGATTGTGGACGACGACGACTATGGCAATGGGAATGGCAATGACTATGACCATGACCATGACCATTGCGCGGCGCCAAACGCTTGATTATTATTTTTGGCATACACACGCGTGCCTCAATCACAGTTTTATTTTATTTTATTCTATTTTTCTCATTTCTCAATTCACTTTTTTCTTTTGCTTTTCGATTCAAAATAATTAAATATTATTTTCTCAGTTTGTTTAGTTAATCGGAATCATGACCAACTCGCTTTCGCTCAGTTCGCTCTTGGAGGAGTCCAAGCGCCTGACCACGCACCTAACTTCAACCGAAATCCCAACCGTTCAGCGCGGAATCGACCTCCTCGAAGCAGAGTCGCGCAAGCTGGTTGCGCGCTCTGTGCGCAATTCGACTGCTGCCTCCGGTCGCACGCTCCTAGACCCGCGCGCGCAATCGCTGCTGGCCAGCTCCGGCGTCGATACGGACGAGCTGACCGAGAACGTCGCTTCGACCGCCATGCTCTCGGCTTTTGAGATGCTGCAGCCGTCCTACGACGCCAATGTTGAGAGCTTTTTGGCCCAGCAGCAGGAGCAGTCCATTGTTAACGCCATCGAGGAGAGCGAGCTGTCGACCCTGGATGATTTTGACCGCAACATGACCGCACACATGCAGCAGGTGTGGGAGGATACCCAGCGCCGCCTGTTCGAAGAGCTTGGCCAGTACCAGGGAACCGAGCCCTCGCCCTTTGCCGCGTCCATCGGTTTGGCCGGCGGCTCGCACGCCGACGGCGTCACAGCTTTTGATCTTGTGGACACTCGCGCCGACGGGCCCAAGGTCGCCCACCCGCGCGTCGAGCGCTACGCACAGGTCGTGCGCAAGCTCAACGATGCTCGCGTCTCTGCCGCCGCGCGCTCATCGTCGGCTGTGCAGTTCGACCTGCTGTCTGGCTTTGAGAAGGCCACAACGGACAGCAGCCAGGAGCTGAAGAGCAAGCAGATCTCGCAGGTGTGGAGCCTCCTGTCCCGGTACGCCTCAACGGGAGGCAGCAACATTGTGGGCGGCGCGTGCGACTATCTAGAGCACACCTTTATTGAGCACATTGACCGCGTCATCGCCCAGTACCCGCACGAGGCCAACGTCGGCGGCGTCCCCTCCGTGCACCGCAAGATCCAGGGCTATCTCAAGGTGCTCTTTGGCCGCCTGGGCCGCGTGCCCACCTTCCTCGAGGTCTTCAACGGTGAGGCCATCTGGGCGCACATGTTCATGCTCTACCGCTGCGGATACCGCCAGGAGATGCTCAAGTATGCTCTGGAGATGGAGGACATCATCACAGACAGCGACCCATGCTTTGTCATACACCTGAAGGCCTTTATCGACCGCACCCCCGGCCTGCACCAGGCGGACTTTGCGGTCACCGCCGCGTCGCTCGAGGACCCCTACAAGGCAGCGCTGTACAAGGTGCTTGGCCGCGGCAACGTCCCGCGCAAGGCCTCATCCGAGGTTGTCCAAACCACTGAGGACTACCTGTGGTCCAGCCTGGTTCAGATTCGTGAGGCTGACGCCATTGCCGCCGCCACATCCTCGGTCCACCCGCGCAGTACGCTGGACGACCTGCAGAAGCTGATGCTCAAGTTTGGCCCCGTTCACTTTGACCCTCACGGCAATAACCCGTTGCTCTACCTGCGTGTCCTGCTGCTGTGCGGGCTGTTTGAGCACGCCGTCGACTACCTCCTGCAGGTCGACCGTTTCCAGATTGAGGCCGTGCACATGGCCATCGCCCTGGCGTTCTATCGCTTGCTCCGCGTGCCATCCGTCGACTCGGCCGAGATGACCGCCACTGCGGCGTCAATGTCCAGCTACCTGGTCGTAGATGCCGGCGCTGCCACTGCCGCCGACGACCACCCGTCGCTCGACTTCTCGCGCATGGTTATTCACTACGCCCGCGCGCTGCCCGACTCTGCCGCCGACGACGCCATCAACTACTTGCTGCTTCTGACCCTGCCGACCGACAACAGCAGAAACAGCAACAGCAACAACGCTGTTCGTCAGCGCGCCCAATGCGAGCAGGCGATTGTGCGCATCCTGTACGAGAAGCAGGACTACGCCCATTTCCTCGGCGACATCCAGTCCGATGGCACGCGCCGGCGCGGCTTCCTCGAGCGCTACCTGCCACTTATGGGCATTACCACGAGCGAGCAGTTCTCTCAGGCCATCATCCGCCGCCTCGCCGACCGTAGCCGCGATGAGGGTCGCCTGGCCGACACTGTGCTTCTGTACAACCTGGGAGAGCGCTACAACACGGTGCTCAACGTCCTTTGCAAGCAGCTCGGCGAAGTGCTCTATGTCCACGCCAACTCGGGGGCCAGTGCCGCGTCGCTTGCCAGCACCGGCGAGTCGATGGGCCTGGAGGATGTTGATGGGGTGGCGCGCGCTGTGCTCGCCCATTATAAGCAGCGCGAGCATATTGCGCGCGCGCTCGACGATCGCGCTGTCACCACGTGTACCACACTGCTGGCCGTCATTGACTTTCTCACCTGCCATCAGCGCGGCGCGTACGAGGACGCCTTGCAGATAATCGAGTCCACGCAGCTCTTACCCCTTGGATCGACGGCAGACAGCGCCGCTGCCTCCTTGACTGCTGGCCAGTACGCTGAGCGCGTGCGCTCTCTGGATGACTCGATCACTCGCAACTTCTCGCTCATTCTGCTTGTCGCCATGGATACTTTGTCGCGCCTGTACGCTGGCCTGAAGGAGTCGCCCTTCCTGGACGCCGTCAAGCAGGCCAACATGCAGATCTTGCGCAAGAAGGCTCGCTGCCTTATGGTCTTTGCCGGCATGATCCAGTTCCGCATGCCCTCAGACACTTACGCCAAGCTCAATCGCATGGACGTGTTTATGAACTAGATTTAATGCACCAGCGCAATTTGATATTTGTGATGCGAATAAAACGGTTTTCAGCGATTAGTTTTGTCACCCGGATAATTTGGATTCCAGTCCGAACGATGTTGATGCATCCATCTGTCTTGCTTGAGCGGCGTGGCGATGGCAGAGTCAAATAAGCCTGACAAGTGTATTAAGTTCCGCTTTTAATCATAATCATTGAGCAGACTGTTACGCGCAAAAATAAAGCATCGTACAAATATAAGTTTGGTTTGAAGATAACATTGGTTTTGATATGCAAAACAAATGAGTTGAGATTTTCTGCACATTTGCCAAAAAAGCTACACGCCAATGTGTTTGTGGATGTCGGGCAATTTTTAAATTTGTCATTTGAGAGCACAATTGCAGCTGATATTCGCAAATATGAAATCTAATATGGCTTGTATTTAGTGCGATGCAGCGGTATTATTCGAACATTCTTGGGGAATCCACTGATATTATTCTAAAACAAAGTGAGGTTAATATTATTTATTTGATTTGTCATTTATTGTCTAGCAAAACAAACTGATACTGTATTTTTGAGCGCCGTGCAAAAGTTTATTTTAAACAGGTTTTGTATTCTAGTAAATATAATGTGCGCGTGGTTGATAAATAAACAGATTTGGTCAAAACACAATGTCAGCTGTTGGCTAGCGCAAATACCAACACATATAATACAATAGACATAAAGAAAGCAGTGTCAGCTACATGTAATTTTACGTAAAATCGATGGCAAATTATTTGCAAGGTTCCATTCTAATTAAAAAAGGACTTGCAAAACTAAAGTGGTAATGCGTATTCCAATTGCTCTCGGATTGTCATATTTGATGGTGGCCGCTGCGTGAATGTTTAAGTTTATATAAAAGTTCAAGTAGTTGTGGATTCTTCTGCCATATTAGATATAGATATAGAAATTGCAGATCCTGCTCAGCTGAGAGTTTGTTCTGTAAACAAAAATTATTTGCGCGCTTTCCATCACGCCGATATACGGCAGCAAGAACGATGTCCATTTGTTAATAAAAACGCGCTGGCGGACCTTCAGTCCAAATATTGCGTATTTGCTTTTGTGTTTTGCAGTTAATTCGCAATATTCTTCTTATTTTTGATCAACACCAACTTTTGATTGACCAAAAAAGCCGCAATCCTACCATTTCTTTTCTTTTCCTCTTGTATATTTTATGTATTTATTTGCATTTGAATTATCCTGTATTTTTATATTCTCAATTCACTCATTCACTTTATTTGTCATTCAAAATTGAACACCACGTTAAGAAACCAACGACGCCATAAACGGTTTTATTTTGAACAGCGGATTCGGCACTCTGCAAACCTTTCTTATTTTCAACTTGAATCGAGCGACAAATCAGCGGCCAAATCGCAGCTTGGGCGCAGAAATCCGGCGTTATTATTATTTTTATATTGTCCAACCAACCAACCGAACAAACGAACGAACGTCATAACACAGAAGTTGCAGCAGCAGCGGCAGCAGCAGCGGTCTGTTTTTATACTTTTGTTGGTAGCTTTCTCGAACGACCACACTGTAAGCACACAGCCGATTCATTGGCACGATCTATTTTGCGCGGGCCGTCGTCAAAACAGCCTCGCGCTCTACAGTCTCGATATTCTAGTATGCCACTGCCAACGCTAATATGTTTCACCTTATCAATCCCACTTTTGCAGTCGTGGCGCAAGCGCTGTTTTTGGAAGCGGTCTCTACTTGCTAGCAGCCACCCCAAATATCACAAAGCACAAAACACAAGCTCAATGTAAGTACGCAGCTCGATCATTCACTTGCTTTATTGGCTTTGGCATCATCAATACACACATACACACTTGTTATTGTATTTAATGGCATATCACTGCAAACAGTGCTAATTCCAAAATTAATTTGTTAACCCATACGAGTTTCCTGTAGCCATGACAGATCAGCCTTATCAGCGGTCACACATTTATCCATATCGTTCGCGTGACGCGCGACCTCGGAGTCACCAGCAACACGCTGTCGCACATATCAGCGACTCTGATGACGACGTGTTATCTCCATTTGTGTTTAATTTTGCCAGCGATTCTAGCGATGCGGAAATATTTAATAGGCCGCGGGGTGCTCGGCAGGTGAGCATGGATGAGCAAATGAGCTGCTATGATGCACACGGTGGGTCCTGCTCACCTCCGTCATCGCCGTGTTCGCGCCGCATCTATCTATACTCTGCGCACTTCACTGGCAGGTTTGCACTCGTCCGCTGCGACGAAAGTGATGACGATTTTGATCCCGAGGACATGGTCCCGGCTGATGTCCAGACCATGGCAGCGCGCATTGCGGATGTGACAATGCAGACTACCCCATCACTTGATCACATTGTGGCCGCCCAGGTCGCGATAGCCGCAGCGAATGCATCTTCGAGAAGTCACAGCCACAGCCACAGCGAGGGTGAGGGCGAGGGCATTGGTTTCAGCCACTCGAGCAGCAGCAGCGACGACGTTGGTACGGATAGCGAAACCCAGTCTTTGGATATGATGATCAGCAATACATCTGAAATGAATGTCGACGTCGATGGATATGCTGCGCTGCAGACCATGCAGCTTGACCAGCCGCTTGCCGATAGCGACCACGCTCCGGGCATTGCAGCCGCCAGCAGTACACTGCGTGAGTGCGCGCTGCCTTATCTTGGTTCAGAGACCAACTCAGAGCTGCTCGTCCAGCAGCAGCAGCAGCAGTTGGACGAGCGGGCAGCAACACCATCCATGCAATCGCCTACCACACACAGATATGCGCCGATCGTACCGCCACTGGCACTGTCAGCGTCGCGCCAAAACTCGTTGCAGCTGTCGCCGATACTCGCGCTTGGTGACAGTGCAGTATTATCTTTGCCGCTGCACGCCGCAGGTCTGGCGATTGAACACACATCGCTAGTCACCACACTGCCGACACTGCCCGAGGTGCACGGCCAACCCCAAAACGGCGGGCAAGAGCTGCAGTCAAGTGGAGACCATGATACGTTGTCTTTGCATGCACAGCAACCGGATCAGAGCCGTGCTCGGGACAGCGGGCATGTCATTTTGCAAGATCATGGTTGCGTGAAGGAAAGAGGTCTCGGTGATCTGCCCATCGCCAGTGTAGTTGTGGCGAGCAATGCGACCCTTGAGCACAATCAGGACGCTGGTCAGCAGCAGCCGAGAGCATGCAAACACAAGCACACGCAGTCTTGCGAGTATAGCTCTAGTGACCAAGCATTTGCGCCGGACTGCGGCCTTCAAGCGCATGCCTCTGTGCGTCGCAGCAGCAGTGGCAGCCTTACCACAGCAAAGGGTCTTGTCGTCAGTGACTCGAGCTGTCTAACGAGTGCATTGGCCATGGCTTCGGCAGCATCCAAGCAGCCACACGCACGCGACACCAAAAAGAGTGCACAGACTGCCAAGTCTGAGCTCACAGTGGCGGCATCGGCCGATCCAGAGCAGCTCGTCTATGCGTTGGGCACGGTCAATGCTTATCAGAATATCGACGACCGGCGCGCCAGCGAGCATGCGCGCAAACCACAAGTGTGTCTTGCAGCGCAGTCGTTTGCACGTGCACAGAGCGAGGATGCTGGTGAGGACGAGGATAGCACTGGCGACCAGGCGTCTGCTCAGGAAAAGGTGGATTTCCTGGCGCGAGTGTCGCCCGCAACGGCAGATGTTTGGCAACATGAGCCGCATAGTTTGGAAGCCAAGCAGCAGGTGCAGCAAGCTCTGCCTGCCAACCCTGCTGTGGCGGCAGAGGGGGCAAAGAAGCGACGCATAGCCCCTTTCTTGGTGAGCACTGAGTTGACTACGCAACCGACAGGGAACCTGATGGCCCAGCAGAACCAGCAGTTGGTGAGCAGTGCCGGCATATCGGCCTTGCTGTTGTCATTGCACACAGAGGCAGAGGCAGCGGCCACAGTGCCACAGCTGGATCCTGTTTCGGCGCGCAATCAGCTGCAGGCTATTTTTGTCAGCTGTGGTTCTGCTGGGTCTGATACAAGCGCAGGCCGAGTGCTGAGCAATGCGAGACAGCACCGCCGCGCACTCGCGTCATTGGACTACTCAGCCGATCAGCCGCCTTGCGCTGTGGACTTTCAATTCGTCGCTGGCGATACGTTTTGGTTCCGCCGCCTCGCCAGCTGCAAACTCACTAGCAGCAACGCGCAGCGCGTCGAGTGGATGACTGCGCGCGCGCGCAAGGGCGGCGGCAAGGGAATGCATGAGTGCGATGCTGGCGCCATGGATGCGAACTCAGCCAGCGCGCGGCTCTGGCACAATATGCAGCGGGTCCAGGCATGGCACTGGCAGCACGTAGCGACCGTCGATGGCATAGCTTACGGCAACCTTGGCTCGCACATCGATGATTCAATTTTGGGTGTGACAGCAGCAGCAGAAGCAACAGCAGCAGCCAGCGCCAAAGACTACGATGCCACCAACGACGAAGACAAGGTGCTGCCGATTTATGGCGACTCAGAGTCAGAGGGCGAGTATCCCGACGATCTGCTGCGCGAGATGGACGCCGAGCGGCGCGATGTTGACAAACACAGGGCCAGAGCCGAAAACATCGAGAGACAGCGCGTCGAGCTCGTCAGAAACATTGTCCAGGAGAGGAAGACACAGTTTGAGAGCGACTGGCAGACGCGCGTGCGGCCCAAGCTCGAGGCGCTTGCGTACAAAAGCTGGAGGCGGCATATCGGCAGGCGCGCGCGGCTCGAGGGCGAGCTCGCCAGGCTGAGCATACAGCGCTTGCCCAACGAAGAGAAAAGCGTATTCGAAAGCGGCTGCTCGTCGCGGCGCGAGCTGGTCACACTGTGCGAGGGATTCCACTTGACCATCAACCAGATCGCCGAGACCAAGTGGATGTTGCAGCTGATTAGCTTGCCTTGTCCGCCGCACCCCATTCGCAAGCAGCGGTGCTCATCGCTGTCGTCCTCCGCAGTGGCAAATCAAGCGCAGAGATACAGCGCGCTGCTTAAAGGGCACGGCCAGTTGCCAGAAACCAAGGGCGTTGATAGTGGCAGTGGCAGTGGCAGTGGCAGTGGCAGTGGCAGTGGCAGTGGCAGTGGCAGTGGCAGTGGCAGTGACAGCGCCAGTGATAGCGACAGCGACAGCATGGTCGGTTTTATCGACGATGAAGACGATATTAGAGTCGGCAGCAATCCACTCATTAACGCTTATGGCCGCAGGATTGGCAGCGACATGGCCGATGGTCCAAATAATGGCCCTCAGTCACAGGGTCGCTCGTCACAAAAATTGGCTCAACAGCCGGCCTCTAGAGTTGCGGCGGGCAGTTTGGCGGGCAGTTTGGCGGGCAGTTTGGCGAGCACAGATGCGGGTGCGAGTGTGATGTCGCCGGTACAGCAAAGGCTAAGCCAGCAGCTGCATGGTCGCCCGCTGTCATTAGAAGAGGCGGCTCTGGCAGCCGAGGAGGCGTTGCTGATCAAAACCAAGGGCAAGGAGCTAGCAAAGTATCGCGAGGCAGTCAGTCGGCGGTACGCCCACAATCGGGCCCCCACAGCCCGCAGCCAACGCTCGCGCGTAGGCTTAGACTTGGGCCCAGACCAAGGCGAAAGCAAGGCCCAAGCACACGACAACGCCAGCGTTGCTGTGGGCAAAGACACGGACGAAAAGGGCAGAGCTACTCGACAGAGTGCTCAGCAGCCAACTGGGTCTCCTGTCATCACAACAACTGTTGCCATGTCGAACGAGCAGTTTGTACGCGAGCTGCGCCAGCACAGTGCCGATGAAATTCACGATGCGGCGATGTTCTTTGTCGTGCGCATGATGCGTGGATTGGAGTCGCTCGCCGATCTAGAGGCCGGGCGGCTGAGCCCAGACTGCCCCGAGCACATGCCTGCTGTCAGCATGCGCATTGCGCTGCGCATGTGGAGCGAGTTTATGCAGTGGATCAATGTCCCGGGAGACCCGATTCCGGACAACCGAGCCATGCCAAACACCAAGACAGACTCTCGCAGTGCGAATGATACGGGCGATGCGGCGCTGGTGGTAGTGACGTACCCCAACTCCAAACAGCGCGACGAGCAATTGGCAATCATCAGGTCGGAGCTGGAGCGCACGCCGCATCCGTCTGTAACAGATGAGCAGCAGCGCCATGAGCTTCGGCGTATGTGCCACGACACCTCGCTGGTCGCGCGGTCGCTCATCGAGTGCCCCTTGCCCGTGTGGCGTGTTGGCCACGCCCGCCTTAAAAGCGCCAGCGCAAAGAACACCAGAGACGCAGTTTTTGCTAGCTTTAAGCGCGTCAAGCGAACTAATGGATGCAGTGGCGGCGGCAGCAGCGATGGCAGAAGCGCCCTTTCGATTCACAGATGGTGCTTGCCAAAGCTAGCGCGCTTGGTACAAGAGATCAAGGAAATTCGCAGGGCTGCGTTTGCCGCGTTTTTCCATTGGCGGCGCACTTGTCGCGTTGAAGCAGAGGGCGCGGAGAAGCAGCCGACGTCGCCATTGGGCGTTGACTCTTATGGCACTGCTCGTTCCTATGGCCATGAGGGTGGCGGTGTTGGCCAGTTCGACGGTATCAACGCGGTCGAAGACGATGCCGGTGTTAATGCCGATGCCGATGCCGATGCCGATGCGCAGAGCGTTTGCGAGGACGGCGAACTGAGTGATAGTGGCAGCCAGCCTGACAGCAAAATTTCAGCGAACCGGAAACGCCGGCGTAGAGAAGTGCCCGTGCATACCGAAAGCCAAGAGGTTTTGGAGATGCGGCAGCGCGAGAAGCAGGCAGTGCTAGATCTCAAGCGGCGCGCAAAAGAGCAGGAGGCCGATATTGCGCGCAAGCGCATGCGATCCGAAGGCACTCACAACGCAGCCGCCGCTATGCATGCCAGCGCGGGCTTGGGCGCGGCTGATGAAGACGAGGTGCTGACTTCGGGCATAAACCTTGTGCGTCCACCGGCGCAGTTGCTGCTCTCCCCACTGGCACGGCTGGCATCGTTGAAGCCATTGGCTCCGCCCATGATGGCGCACACATTGACACCACTGCCGCAAGTTGTTCCAGAGTTTGACGTCAGCACAATCGGCACGCCCGTGCATATCAATCTTGGGCACGAGGCCGATCAGCGCGACGTGTTTGTGCCGGGGTTCATTGGCAGCCACCTGAAGGAGCATCAGGTCGAGGGCGTCCAGTTCATGTGGCAGAACGTGGTCGCGCTCAGCGATCACAACTCGGCAGCTGGCGACAGCGACAATGGTGGCAGCAAGAGCAAGCGCGCTGCCCACATGCCAAAGCAGCATGGCTGCGTGCTCGCGCACTCGATGGGCCTGGGAAAGACACTGCAGACGGTTGCGTTCGTGTACACTTTGCTCAATGAGATTCTGGAGGGCAGCGCCGATTTTGCGCACTCGACATTTGGCACCCGCCGCGTGCTCGTGCTATGTCCGCCTACGGTGCAGTCGAACTGGGCGGCCGAGTTTGAAAAGTGGACGGGCGTCGGCCACACGATATTGTCTTTGTCAAAGCCAAGGGGGCCCGTGCTGCCTGCGCCGTACGACGCGGCGTCGGATCCTGTCCAGCAGCAACGTGTCTTGCACGCAGTGCGGGTTCGGGCGCGGCGGGTCATCACGCAGGTCGTAAGCTTTGGGGCGATGACCAGCAGCAAAATGCAGATGGCGGCGCTGAAGTCGTGGCATGCTCATGGCGGCGTGCTTATAATGGGGTACCATGTTTTCCGGAGGCTTGTGCAGCGGGCCACCACTGCCACCGTTGCTAGCAGCGACAAGCCCGCTGATGCAGACGGACGGTTGCCAGATTCGGCACGGTCCATGCCGTGGTCGGGATTGGCGACTAGCACCAACGGTCTGGCAGCACCTACATCGCCGAATGGCACTTGGCAGCAGCAGGATTTATTGCGCAAGTATCTGATCGACGAGGGGCCGTGCCTGGTGATTGCCGACGAGGGCCACTGTATTAAAAACCCCGAGACACAACTGGCAAAGGCAGCCAACATGCTGAAGACGCGCGCACGCATCTGCCTGACCGGGTACCCTCTGCAGAACCGGATCGAAGAGTACTGGACGATGGTTGACTTTTGCTACCCACAGTTCCTTGGCGATCTGGCAGACTTTCGCTACCGCTACATCAAGCCGATCAACGATGGCATGTATGTGGACGCAACTAAAGACGACAAGCGCCGCAGCAAGCTGCACATGGGGATGCTGCAGAAGCTGCTCGAGACGATGGTCGACCGGCGCGACTCGGGGCTGCTATATCACGAGCTACCGCGCAAGGTTGAGTATTTTATATCGTGCCCACTGACGCCGATGCAATCGCAGCTGTACATCGAGTACCTCGCGCGTTTTGCGGGAATCGGGCTTGGGGCCAGGGAGGGGACCAATATCGGGCTGTTGCAGCACGGCCACTTGCTGCTGACCATATGCAACCACCCGGCCGTGTTTAAAGCGTCAGTTGAAGAAAACCGCCGCCGTCGCCAGCAGCAGCAGCAGCAAAGACAGAGGCAGCAGATACAGCAGCAGGCGGATTTGTCGGCGATAATAGATGATGTAGCGGATATTGCGGCCATCGATGAGGAAGGCAAGTGTGATGGCGACGAGTTGACCAGCCGCATTGCCGACGACGACGCGTGGTGCCGCGAGATTTACGAAAGGCACTGCGGGAGCAGCCAGCCGGGCATTGCTATCGCGGATGATATCGCGGATGATATCGACAACAGCGGCGTGCAAAATCCCGAGCACAGCACGAAAGTGCGCATGGCGCTGCACATCATCCGCGAAAGCATTGCTTGCGGTGAACGCGTGCTGGTATTCTCGCGCAGCATCCCGACGCTCGACTACTTGCAGCGGGCCATCGAGCACGCAGGCATTGCGGGCTGCGATGGTCAGAAACAGAAAGGGCGGATCCAGAGCACACCCAATAAGATGATGCGCATTGACGGCGCGACGCCCGTCACCCACCGGCAGAGCTTGATCGATGGGTTCAACGCCGACGACTCGCTGTATCGCGTGTTCTTGATTTCTTCGGGCACTGGGTCGATCGGGATCAATCTGGTTTCGGCTAGCCGCGTTATTCTGTTTGACATTGGCTGGAACCCGCTGTACGACGACCAAGCAGTCGCTCGCGCGTACCGCTACGGTCAGAGGCGGCGGGTGTACGTGTATCGGCTGCTGACCACCGGCACTTGGGAGGATCGGCTGCTCAGCAACAACATTTTCAAGGTTGGGCTCATTCGGCGTGTGGTTGACAAGCAGACAATGAACCGGCGCGTGTCGAAACAAGATTCACAAAAGTACTTGCAGCTGCCGCCAGCGCGTCCGCCCTTGATTACTGGCGACAAAGTTGTGAAATTGGCGAGCGAGTACGAGGACGACTCTGTGTTTACTGGTCTACTGGCGGCGTTCAGTTCGCAGATATCTAGAGTGACGCCGCAAGCGACGCTGTTGGCAAACGAGGACGACCCACTGCATCCAGATGATCTGGCAGCGCTGAACGCATATGTGCTCCGAGAGAAGCAGCGGCTTGGCCAGCTGCCGCCATCGCCGGGCGCGAATTCAGCTGATGCGGCGACAATACTCAATGGATTGGCGATTTTGCCACTGCTGTCACCGCCAGCACCGGCACAAACACTAACAGCGGATTCAGCATTGGCAGCGCTGCGGTACCCACAGCAGGCGCGCCAAGTGCAAGCCGTGACACAGCGACCTGCAGGGTACCAGCGGGCCACACACTGGCCATCGGCATCAGCACTGCCATTGACCCGGCCATTCAGTTCAAATTTGGATTCGCAGCAGCATCAGCAGGACCGCGCAGAGCCACGGATGGGAGCAAGGCCAGGGACTGTATTGCCACACGGCGCCAGCATTGTTGGTACCAGTGGAATGCATGCAACGCACCCGTTGCGCCCAGTCGCAGCAACATTGGCGGTCCCGCCATTGATGTTCGGCGCTGCCGGTAATTGTAAGTATCGGACGCAATTGCACAATAATGGTCAGAGTGAGAGAGAGAGTATTTGTGTATATATGTTTATTGCTAATTGGCACATCAATGTGTTTTGTATGCGGATTTGTTTATATTTCGTATCATTGTTTTTTTAAGTAGCAACCACGTCGTCGAGCAAAATTGTCAGCGGCAGGAACAATGGCACCGGCACAGCTGCCGGCGCTGTTAAGCGCATGGCGCAGCCCAACAAGGCAGTCATCTCTGTTGAAAACATGCCCGTGATCTTTGTGATGGCGATGCTGCACAAAATCTACACACGCATTGTCATGTTGCCAGACGTGGTTTGTGGCACGGTCAATCACGAGGAGCTGGAGCTGTTGAAGCTGATTATTCTGTGGTCCGGCGAGCTCGATAAGTATGTCGACAAGAGCCGGGATGGATATGAGCAGCGGCAGAAAACCCAAATACACATGGCGTCTCACTGGTTGACACGGCCATCGGATATTTACAAGATCGTGCCGATGCTGCACCGGCAGGACGATAGGTTTCTGACATTGGTCATCCAGCGAATGGAGAGCACGAAAAGCAGTGCGACCACGGCTCAGCGATGAAATTTGTTTGGTGACATCAGGTCTGTCATTGCGGCACAGGCGGTGTAAGGTGAGTGAGCGCGTGGGCCCTCAATTTTATATTTATAAATTCAAGGTGACCAAACGCTTAAAAAGAATTTAAACAGCTCTTTGTTCGGATGGTTACAAGCGCAGCCTCCAAGGTATATCTGTCCAGCTCTGCAGCATTGACAGAGCTGATCTCTTGATTCAGATTAAATGCAAGCAGCAAAAGTCGGTAAAAGAATTATATAGGAAATGTATAAGAAAGCGCGATAGCTCAGGAAAAGCTTGGATTTCGGGGCGGTTAGTTGCTCCAGGCAGGGATCCATAGTGAGGCCCGTGGCTGGTGCCAATTCCAAATGCTAGACGCGTCGCAAGGCGTTGATAGCGCGAGGACGAAGCTCCGAGGCATTAGGAGCGAGGCGCAAGTCTATAAAATAGAATGAAGCAGAGATAGCAGATTTTTGCGGCGCGAAATTTTGAGTTTTGGGCGGGGGAGCAAAAAGCGCAGAGCGCTTTTCGCAAATAGATAATAAATAGGGATTCAGCCCTAGTTTGTTGTTTAAAAACAATTTATTGAATTAATCCCCGAAAAGTAAACTAAACTATAAAAGTAAAACTATGGCGGAGCTTGAGAGCAGATGCTATTGAGCGACCATGGGTGATGAGGCGCCCTGTAAAAAGCGTGGCAGTGACTGGCAGTATTGGATATTAGGCGGTCCTATAACAAAAAGAAATTAGCTGAGAAACATAGTTGTAAATTGAGCGTGTGTAGTCATCTGGTGGCGATTTCTTGTGATGGGTGTCGAAAAGAGAAAACAAAGAAAATGAAAAACCGATGCCACGAGAAGGAGCGGCGCGCACGAGTTTATTTAAGCAGGTGGCTGAACGGCAGGCAAAAAAGATGCTAAAATATTTTGGCACTGCAAGCGCTTTTTTTGATCCGCCTTTTTATTACACCATGCACCCGCTATTATTTGGTTGGGGAGATGAGCAAAAAAGGAAATTGCGTGCGTGTGGATATCGGAAGGCCAAATCAAGCAGCATGTTTTTTGTATGTCCGCTCAATTTTAACGTGTGTAGTGCAAGCGAACAAATAAGAAATATAAAAATATATTTCAGTGGCCATTCATACTCACCGTCACAGCACAATTCAAAAAGCGTTGAGCGTGAGAGAGAAAACAATAATCGAGATGAATAAAGACATGCACCACCGATCTCACGTGCATTCAATTACATAAAAAGCACTTTAAATATCCGAGTCCGCACATTTCATTCTCCAATTTAAAGCGGAGTAGTGCGGGACGCAGCTATCTGTCCCTCATTTTCCGCTGTTTAAAAGTGGGAGTAATCCGACATTATATCTGAAAATGGTCAAAGTCACTGAGAGCACGCGCAGA